TCTCTCGCGTCGGCTTTTGAAAAATGGAAAATTTAGCCGAGATTGATTCATTAGTTGACACGTTATAGGACGGTATAAGTATTGATCGCGGCCTGTCATGTCCCATCTCGGCTAATCGAAGCTGAGGCGCTCTGTCGATGGGCGCATTTTTCATAATTCCGTCGCCGGGGAGAGAGAGCAGCCGGCAGAGGCGACTGCAAGGCACAGAGAGAAAAAGAGGAGAGTATAGGGGGGCAGCAGAAAGATAGACGGGGGGAGAGAGATGACTTGGGGGGGAAATAGGTAGGGGGCAAAGAGTGGAAGAGTGAGAAACAGAGTGAAAAAGAGGCATGGGGTAAAAAAGGGAGAGAGCAGGTTTGTGTGTGCCGGTGCGTGTGCGCGCATCTCCGTGTGTCCGTGCTGCATCTCCAGCCCAGGGGCCTCGGGGTGAGGCAGAGAGGGAGCCACAGGGAGGAGAGGCTATGTTAATGGTGCAGGTATTGGGGCGTAGATAATTAATGCATTAACTAATTAAAGTCAAACGGGGGAGATAACGAGGTGGAGGGAAGTATGAGGAAAAGGGAAAAGACGGCGGGATGGATGGAGGGAGTGGAATTAGGGCGACAACAGGGGGAAGAGTGGGTTTTAATAGCGAGGAGAGGTGTGGAAAAGGAGAGATGAGAAGGAGTATGAGAGGGGGTGTAGAGGTGGTGGTGGGGGTGAGGGAGCTCGAGGAGTGGAGGGTGGGGTGGGGGGTGAAATAAATAGAAATTGAATGGCTTGGGTGCGAGCAGAGAGAAGTTCTGAGGCGGAAAAAAATATAAAGAGGAGTGAGAGAAGACACAACGACAATGATGGAGAAACTTTTGATAGTTGTGCAATTCGTTTGGAAAAGTTGGCATTGGCGTGCGCAGGACTTATAAGTCCAACATAATGCCACTCCTCTGGCAGTCTTGTCACGAGTTTGCACAAATCCAGGGGCCCTGTCAATCAACAAAAGGAGGTTGTTGCAAAAGAATGGAGTCGACCAGTTTGTATTTTGGTCTGAGAGTCTGAAGCCCCCAGACTCTTTTGTTCCCTGGTGGATATAGAGCACTGAATTGGAGGTCATCATTTTGCACAAGGGGCTGTGTCATCTCCAAAATGAAATCCAAAATGGTGCATTAACATGCCACACAAAAGATCTTTTTCCAGAAGTAAAACCATAAAGTGCTAATGCATGTGCACTTTTAACTTTTCATCTATTTTCCCAACCAGATCTCTGCAATTCTAGGCTCGCCGTTCTCTGGTTTCACCCAGTAGACACCAAATTTTCTGTCATAAACCACAGTATTGCCATACAAAGAGCCCATGAAGTCTGGTCAGATAAAATAATGTTTCATTTATCTCTATAGCTCATTCTTCCACTATTACGCTTTGCCCAAAGTGGTGACTATTTGTCATGGTCATTGTCCCTGTAACGTTTACCAGTGTTCCTTTATCTCGTCCATATTTGTCCTCCGAAAGACCATGAAACTGTAGCACACCTTATTCTACGAGACACTTTACAAGTTTCAAAGTCAAAGCAATTCAACCATGTTAAAAGAAAACTGCTCAGAAAAGAGATCAATAAAAGAACAGTACAAAAGTCAGCCAGTTTGACCAACCTCCTACAAGCTGTCATGCTTGTTCTCTGGCTCTTTGTCCACTTTCTTGACCCAGCTTGTTCCAGCAGATGGCTGTCTACCCCTTGTATCTGGTTCTGCTCAAGGTTTTTGTCCATTTAAAGGAAGTTTTCCAATGTAAACACTGCCGTAGGTCTGCTCATACATGTCAAGTATAGGTGTCCGTATAGTACTAAGAGTACTGTCTAGGTCTGCTCTCCATTCAAAGTAAAGAAAGGGGACTCTGCTTTTCATACCAGTAAAAATAGTTCACATTTCCACTTTTCTTTTAGTAAGTGATAATGTATATTAATATATACACAAAGTGTAAGATAGATATTATCCTGTTCATTACCCAGCTATGATCTAAAGATACACGTAAACACCAAAGATGCACTTTTTTGGTATAAGAATTATTCATGAAAAAAAAAAATAGCAGTATCGATGGTTGGTAGCACCTTCATGGCAATGGAATCATGTCAGACCCTCTTAAGGATGGATTTAACATTAAACTCAACATTTTCTTTCACAGCAAAGTCAAAGCATCTGATATTCTTGTCAGCATACTTCACAGATACAAAAAAATCATAGCATTCTCCTCATAACTTTGCTATTTGCATTATTTTTTTCCATTAACTGGTCCTTGAATGGTCTGGAATGGCGCCGATTTTCACTGTCCAGGCAAATTTCGTGGTGGATTACGGATAACAGGAATCTCGAGAAATCACAAGAACCCACGGGTTCACATGCAATCGCACGATAACAAGTTGTCTCTAGCCACATAGGCTAACCATATGAGCAGTAGATTGTGTCCCTCCAGAGGAGGAAATCTACTTTTAGACTTCTAAAATCAGCATCTCCTCATCCATGGTGTCATCGGGGTGAAATGCTGTCTATAAACCTTTCACTTGTTCGTCGCCCCCCGTTTGCATGGTGTGAAATACGATCCGCCTGAAACACGGAGTGTTTTATTTTGAAAAGAAGCCAGATGTTTAATTTTGTGTCTGTTCCTGACTTCCTTTCCAGAACATGTTAATCTGTGCTGAATTTATCTGGCACGCTCAGGTGTCCAGAAAAAATAGAACTCCTGCGATTAGCTGCAGAGTCCGGCGATCCGCAGCGGAACAGGAAGAAGCCGGTGGAAATTGACACATTAACTTGAATGGTTATGATCAGCTAGGATCAGCAGATACGGCCTTTTCGTAGCCGTTCCAGATGAGGTGAAAATTGGGGGTCAGACTGTGTTGCAGTTCCTGTCTGCTTCGTGTCTGTTTTCTTCAGTTTGCTTGAAGTCTCTCACTTCACATCACTTGCTTGCTTTAGCCTGTTTTTTCCACTTGTCTTCTTCTCTCTGGTGATGACATATCAGCCATTTTTACCACAAATCTCAAGTTTCTAACACTCTGAATGAAATGAGAGTGACACTAAAAGTACCGTTTATACTGATGCTGCTGGAAACTAACATTTTTGCCACATGGTCAAAAGGAAGTGGTGAAGTTGTACTTAAAAAATGTACTGGACTCCTGCACATTGATTCGATACCTCGTTTGATATCTGCTTCTCCTTCGTCTCATTCTTGCAGATCAGAATAAATAACTGTTGCTATAGAGTTTTGACCAATCAGAATCAAGTATTTCAATGGCTAGGTGATTGGTAAGAAAGCCAGGTAAAACAAAGTCCCAAGCAGAAATCCTCTGTCATTGCTTTGGTTTGGTTTGGTTCGGTTTGGTTGTTGGTGGCTGTGTTCTGTCTGCAAACCTTTACACTTTAGTCCATCTTTAGTCCAAACTATGGTAGACCACCATTTGGCCACCATATAGCATACCAAAGAAACACTAAATATGAATGAACCAGTTTCAAAGAAGGTCATGGTTAGACCTCACCTAGGTTTTCATGGCTACTGCAGTTATTAACTGTCTCTGCAAACACCAACTGAGTCTATATCTTGTGGTAACTTTTTATGTTTTCTAGTGTCCAGTTAACCATTTTTAACCAGTTACAGGCTTACAGATGTCAGAAATCAAACACCCAAAACAGGTTCAGCCGTAACTGCAAAAAACACATACCAAAAAGAGCAAAAACCTCAATTATGAAAGAGCCTTCTAATCCATGTTGTGTGTAATGTCAGTATCTGCATCCCTCAATTTTAACAAATTTGTGTCCTTTTAGATCCTATCATGGTTTATTAATACAATGCAGGGTCAGTTAATGTCTTTGTGGGCATGTTGTGTTGAAAATGACACCTGAGTTGTCAAAATGAAGCTGAAGCAGAGTGTGCTACTAGCTGCAATGAGCCTTTGCTCCACTATCTGAGTGAAAGCAACGTGAATCTCAATCCCATAATTGATTTTAATAAACTAACATGCATGGTGTGAGGAAGTCCTCTTGCACTGGGAGAAAATTGGGAGTGTGTCCGAGGGGCCACCCCCAAATCAGCAATGATAAAAGTGGAGCTGAAATGGGTTGTGGGATGGAATCAAGAGAAATGAGATACACCAAATTAGAAGAGATTGGCCTGATGGACTTGGATTAGAAGGAAAAGAGGTGTATAGGGAGGGGATGACGAGAAGAGGAGGGGAGTGAGTGAGTGAGGGAGTGCATATGTGGAAGATGGGGAGAAATGGAGGGGAGGGGAGGGGGATCTCGGTACTTGGCAGTCTCTGGGTATCTCAGGTTCTCTCCGGCCGGGAAAGCGGTCGATATTTAATTGTTATTGCTAGCATGGAACGCACGGAAGCGGGGCCTGTACGAAAATTTCTCATTTATTTGGTATTCTTGTTTTCTCTCCTTTTCCTCCTTCCACCCGCCGCCTCTCTTTGCGGGGGTGAGGTGGAGGAAAGTGAGGGTGGGGTGGGGGTATTGTGTGGGGCAAATGGAGAAAGGGGGAAGAGATGTTTGGATGGGGATAAAATTTAAAAGGGAGAGGAGGAAAAAAAAAAAACATTGCGTCCTCCTCTCCAAGTTTAGTTTCTGTCCCTAGACACATCATATCCACCCTCTTTCACCTCCGCTCTATCCCCCCCTCCACCCTACTCTATCTCCCCTCCTCTCCCCCCCTCACTCCATCAACCCCCACCTGTCCAAAATGAAAAATCCGTCATTTTCATCAAACGTCCAACCAAATATTATCTACACTCCATTCCCAAAGATCGAATCTTATTTAGGGGGCGACGGGATTCGCCATCTGTTTTCAAATTTCATTCCTCCATGAACTTTATTTTCCCTCGACTTTGGACAAAATTATAACCCGATCGATCCGCTTTCTGGCCACCACCCGTCTACATATATTTTCCTGGTGCGGGCTCTTCACTGTGCAGGTCAATTTGTCTGTCTCACGCCGACGGGAACACGTGCAGATCAGAGTCTGCAGCTGATACAAACTTAAATGCAGTCAGGCTCGTGTGAGGTTGGAGGTTCAGGCTCAGCACCTTCTCTTTCTTTTTTTTCCTCCCCCCCTTCTCTTTCTCTCCCCCTCTCTCTTGCCTCAGCGCCTGGATCTCTCCCCATGCGCGCTTCTCACCCCCCCAAACACCTGCCTGTGTCTCCTTCCTTTTTGGTTACATGTAAACTAGATCCAATCCGGACAGCAGCCGGTCGCAGTGGAGTCCCCCTTTTTTTTTCCTTGTCAACTTTTTGTTGCTCCGAGGACAACTTTTTCTTCGCTTTAGTTCCGCGCGCTGCTTCTCCATCTCACCCATCTTGATTTTTTCCCACTTTCTTTCCCTCATACTGGAGCTTTACATCCATTGACAATCACAAAACATGCTACTTTTCATCAGTATAGTTTAATGCAGGAGGACGGAGGCGCGGTCCGATCGGTTAAATTGGCCAGATTTCCACCGGTTCTCCGCGCACATTGACGGGATTCCCCAACAAACCCGAGTGGGAGCTGCCGGACAAGTCAATGAAGGTGCATCGGTGAAGGTAAGCATCCTACTTTCCATGTTGTGTTACGGACAAGTGGCATTAATAATTGAGAAATGCGTTAGAAAGGAGAACCTCTGGAGTAATATAATGCACTTTGGTGAGGGGGGAAACAAGCGCGCCTCCTGCAGAAATTGATTGATGCAGGCTGTGTGCGCCCTTGCGCTAGAGAGTTGTCCAACGCGATACGTTTACCTCCAAACAGATCGGCAATAATTCCTATAAGGGTTAAAACGAAGACGTGTTTGCGCGATGCGTTTGTGATTCACAATCTTCTTCGGGGAAAAGATTCTTAGTCTGTGATGCTGGACAAATGTAAGATGAAAAGTACCAGAACAGCTGGAGAATGAGAACACCAACTTGGGAAATGAAGATATGCACTTCATAGAAAGTTAGTGAAGTCAACATGGTAAAAGTGGGAATTTGTGCATGAGCAGTTACACAGACTGGTTTAGGATGGGAGGATGAGGACTGGGAGGCTGGTTTTGATGCTGGTGTTGTGCTTTGATACAACTTGTGTGAATGTAGCAACAATCAACTACAGTTTTATGTGTAATTTTAAGTCTTCCTACACATCTGCTGGCTTCATTACTAACAGTATAACCTTGGAGGTGATGTCCCTTTCACAAAGCTTTAAAAGCAAGTTACTTTCCCCTGCTGAGATGTTAATACTCTTCTCTCTTTGCCAGTTTTAGTCACATTTTGCTGTCTTAATATAGTTTAGCAGAAGTGGGGTCAAATTAGGGCAATTGTCTTTAGACTATTCTAAAGAACACGGATCGCCAACTTCACAACACCTTAATGGACCAAAGGGCCAATGGAGGTGGACGGCTCCTCTCTCTCAGAAGATCTTTTGTACCCACAGCCATCAGATTTTACAACACTTCTGTAAATAGTAGATGACTTTTAGAGACATGACAAATGTGACAACAGACAATTGAATTTCCCTTCAGGGATCAATAAAGTTATTATTAAATTGAATTAATGTAAAACAAAGTAAATCTCTCTTTTTTAGTCTCAATATCAAGTTTTTGAGGTCCACTGTGGTCGGCTTAGTTCTTGGGATAATGAAGAACTTCCCATAAATACTGAGAAGTTAGACCCTGATCTTTGATGCACATAGCAGCTGTGAGACAAACTCTGTGAACTCTCTGTATTTAGTATTTATGTCCTTGAAGGGTTTTACGTTACCCTCTAGTTTCTGATTTCAAGACGGTGGAATGGGCGAAAATCACATTGGTTCACTCTCTACACCATATTATACTAGTGTTTAGATACAAGAACAGATGCTGTTCTGGTCTTACTGCCATGAAGTACCTGAAATTTTTTCATCGCTGTTAGATTATTTCTGTGGAATTAAGTTTATATTTCCAACATTTGCATTGGCATAATAGATCCTTCCTCATTATCACTGTGAAGATTGTTACAAGTGTTGCCTCTGATTATCCTTTTTGCTTGTAACCCCTCACAGGATCTTAAATGCATCCTTAAAAAGCCCCCCTGTCATCATGACCTTGATTGATGATCTTAAGTTTATGTTACATAAGGTCAAATGCATCATTAGTAAAACTTCAACCAGTCCCAGTTGTTATCCTAATCTATAAATCAACATTCAGTGAGCAATACACTCGCAGATTGAAATTCCCAGCTGGTGACACCGCTACACTGCTGTTGTTGCTTAACAGAGCAGATTTGGTTATCACGTCTGATACATAGTGAGAGACATGATCAGAATAGATAAGATGCAAACTATAAAGTCTGAAAAGAGCCTGACGAGCATCTTCCTCACTTTATATAAAATTCAAGAATACACACTCACATACATTAACTCTACACAGGTTTAGACCTTAACAGAGATATGGATGAGCTAAGCATGTCATTGGGACTCTGAAAAGTTTAAAATTCCCACGATAGGAGTTCAAAATCATATTCGTTTGGTATTTTCTCAAACTCAATTATCTTCGGCTGAGCCATCCTGTCAAAGGCATAAATGGTTTGTCTTAAACATTTAGATTTCACTGACAGGAGATTCCCACTTTTCGTTTTAAATCTTCATACATTTTGAGATTTTTAAAATACAAATCTTATTCAAAATGTACTTGATTGTTTAAAACTCCTCTCCATAAATATATGGAAAATGTCCTTTCTAGTTTATATTGTAAATAATTGCTTTTTCACTGCGCTTTGAAAATTACACAAGGTGTTGAAATGGCACATCACATTGTAGACCATTGTTGTTTGGGTAACTCATTTACAATCAAATGTTGTGCTTAATAGAGGCTCGAATACTTAAAATAATTCAGCCTAACAGTGAAATTCAGTCTTAGTTTCTTAAAAGTAATTGAAATGTAGCAGAGCAGCCTTCGCTAACACCTCACAAACCTAAATATCTCCTGTCTTCGTGAAGGGATCTTCCTTTTGTCGACTAGGGAATGTTTTGATTTCCTGGGGTTGAAGAACCTGGACTCCTGTCTAATCTGTAACACCGGCACCCAACATGGGGAGAGTGACCCCACCTGAGACCCCTTAAGTCTGAGTTCCTCACAGGAGCTGGCAGGAAGATGTTCAGTTCCCACTGCAGTCTTGAAATGTTTTCTCTGGATGCCACTGTCCCATCACTCTCCACCTCCTGAGAGAACTTTTCTTATTGACAATGATTATGTGTAAATCAATAAGGTAGTTTTGTGCCTATTTTTAACCAAATTATATCCACAGTCTGTGTGAATCGAGGCTCTGTGAGGGCCAACTGCAAGAGAGCGTCCCTCCATTGATTTGGTATTAGCTTCACCAGCTCCAACGCCCAGCCACTTGTTTGCAAATGACGCTCGACTCCGGAGGTATTCAAACGATCACTAAGCACAGGAGCCGATATTTATAGAGGCTGTAACAGCTTCATTATTGTCAGGAGGATGGTCCCATGGAGGGTTGAAGCCCTCATAAAGGGTCCGATGGAGTATGTCCCAATCCGCCGAGCGTTTGACAGTACAGTCAATGGTTCCAATCGTTCCTCATCTGCTTTATGGCTGCACAGACGTTTATAGCTGTTATGGGGTTAAAATAAAAGCATTAATGGATGCTAAGGGCAGGAGCTCTATTCAGCAGGGGGCTGCATTTAATCAACAGGCACTCGGTGTAAAGTCCATAATCCACTCAGTGACAGTTAGTGGTACCATAGGGTTACACAAACTGTTGCTTTAAGGGAGGCAGCGGGTGAAATCCTATACACTCTTGATTAATTGTCCTCAGCTTATTTTTGGTGTTTTTATCCTACCATCCACCTTGATAAAGCACCTGTCTTAAGTTGTGTAGAAGACTAATAAGTACTTGTGCTTTCACAAAACCTACAGACGCAAATGAGACCGTCAGCCAAAAGTTGTCTGAGAATTATCTTGTTAAAATAAAATCCGTGACCAGTTGGCGTCCAATTGCAGAAATCGTCTTTGGTCACATTTTTCACAGCAGAGGATCCAAATAAGTTCAATGTTAGACAGTTTTTGCAAAGCAGGGTGATACAACTTACACATATGCAGAGATTAGGTATGATTTCCTTCTTAGCCGCAGGAGTCTCGGACATTTACACCAAATGAAAAGCAAAATTAAAATCATCGAAACAAAAAGGCTCCATATTTCTGCTAATGTAGCCCTCTGCACACGTAAAAATACTCTGTTATACCACACGTAGTCAAATTAACATGCATTCTTGTAAGCATACACAATCACGCATAAAATATTTAGAGTACTTGCTCATAGCGCCAAGGTTAGCCTCTCTTTCCTGTATTTGTCTTGCTATACACATGTATTTTCCTGCTTTCAGTGGGTTGGCTCAAATGTAAGCTTCCAACCTTGTGTCCACTCATTCCTCTCTCTTTCTTCTCCAAATCATCATTATTCTCTTGCACTCTCCACAATGCCTCCTCCTTCAGCCCCTTTGAGCTCCTGTGAATTGTGTCTCGCACTAAAACTACCTATTTGTGTTCCCCACTTTCTTTCCCGGCTACCTTCCCATCTTCCGCTACGCCCAAAGCAGCTTCCCTTTCAGAAAGCGTGCCCCCTGTTTTGGAGTCGCTGACCCCCCTCGGCTTTCTCCTCTCCCTACCCCGTCTCCCACTTAACCCCATATTTCACAGCTGAACTACGGCTAATTTCCCCCCAGTCCTCCGAACAGCGCTCTCTCTACTGCCGGAGCACGCTTAATTACCCACAATTAAAGCCAAACGCTAACGAGAAAATTGCTCTGTTATGAAATTACTTCAAAAGGACTAGAGTAAGTAGAATGGATTGGATGAAAAGTTGGGTACAGCCTCGGGTGGCAGGGAAGAGCTTGTGTGCTGTCTTTTCCCCCTCAAGCTGTCTCAGTGGACGGCAGTGAGCAAAGACTCCACCGGCAGCACCCAAAGCTGTGGGGTACAATATTCAACAGCTAAACCCCGGCGTTGGCGCTGAGGGAGCACAAGTGTTCACTTTAGTAATGGAAGAGTGGATGTTTTAAAGCTTTGTTGTGAAAGGGGAAGTGACTTGGTTTGCCAGTTTAGTCTCCTTTTAATCACAGCAGTTAAAAAATCCTGTGTGTTCATCTTAGACAGCAGTTTTCTCTCTGTTACTTTTAGTAATAAATGTGACATTAAATCTCAAGACCACACAGAAATAATTAGTCGCTCAAGCTGGTAGGCCAACAGATTGCCTTCAAAGTCAAAAATATGAATTTACAGCTGCTCTTTAAACTGAGTGATAGCAATTCTAAGTTGAAACCTAAAATCACTGCGAGGTTATCGCAAATTTTTTAAGACAGTTGACGTCTTTCCATCCAAGCATCTACGATACTGCACACAAGGTCATTTAATCTAATATAAATGATTGAATATTTAAGTAATTATCCAGAAATTAAAGGGGTCCATTAATCCAAATTTAATACAACAAAGCAGCTCTGAAAAAAAACAAAAAAAACTTTGGTTCAATCTTTCTCAAAAATTTCTGCCCTTATACTCTTGAATAGATGTGAATATAACCACCATCGAGAATGATCAAAATAAGCATGCTAACGTGAAGATTAGGATGCAGAACCAGGTAAAACTGGAACTGAGGCGATGGCGATCAATTTTTGATAATTCTTTTTTTTAGTAAAGTTTTGTTTCATTTTGACCTCTTGAAAAAGGTCCCCTATGAAACACACAGGAGAAGAGTTGGTCCCCACCAATCAGCCAGTTCCTGCACTTGACATGTTAAAATGTCCTTAGGTAGGACGCTTTACCTCTGTTGCTCCTGGAGGCAAAGCAATTGGTGAGTGAATGGGTATTGATGGGTAAAGTTAGTATTGATGAGTACAGCACGGCATGTTCGGCCTTTGGTGTACGGATGCGGAGTAAAAGTGACGCAGAATCCAGCTTATAAACACAAGCCCCCTCTTATTTTGTATCACAGAAACTTGATAGCACATTTTACGTATGTACTCAGATTTTAATCTTATTGAAGCTTCAGAGGAAAGTCAAAGAAAGATCAGTCACAGGACTTCATTTTAGGGTCAGGTGGATTTTGCTCAGATTATCTTGGATTTAAAACTTGTTGGGATCGCATTGTTTCATCACAGCAAATGGCCAACCAATGTTGACGGACGTATGTCAAAGCTGTTGGTATGGTTTTTCAAATCATGTGCTGGTGCTCTCTTTTATGAAACCGGTACCAGTTTCCTTCATCGATGAAAGAACCATAACTCCATTTCCCCTTTTTTGAATCCGCAAATAAGTCATGTTACCTGGTCACTAGGCATGAGAACATATGATTTTTGATGACTGGTGAAGGAAAAACGATGGCTGTTTGGTGCCACTAAAACACCCCCCACTATATTTAATAATGTGACACCAAAGTCATGAACCCCTCTTGTAACTTAACAGGATTATCTCACACAAGCCCTCTCGAGAGTCTCCTGGCAGCTCAGCTGAATTGAGACGCCCAGATGTTCTAAGTGTATCCGCCACAATATACCTGACCACACACCCCATCACCAAGGAATGAGCCAAGTCTTCACCACCGACTCAACCCCCCACCCTCTACCCCCTCAACCTCCCAACCCAATCCAATCTACAGCAGGCAACATGAAACAAATAAACACTAATTCGGATTATTTACGTCCAGTTTACACCACATGACGCGAGGTATGAGCCGGAGAAAAAAAGAGCTATAAGGTGGGTGGATAATTGTAACAGTGGTGGTAATAAGTGCAGCGGCTACAGTGATAACAATTAGATTTGATTTCATTTGAGAATGCCTCCACAGCTGCTCCCCACTCACCCCCATAACCCCCTTCTTCCCCTTTTTCCCTCCCTGCCCCCTCCCCTCGCTCCTCTCCCCCTAGATTAAAGTGGGTGTGTTAATTCCGTGGTGTAGCGATCGAACAGCTCTGGCAACAATGGGAAATGGGCTATTGATCAGAACAGCTCAGATTAAGACTAGGCAGTGGAGCTCTTTCTTGCTCTCTTTCCCCTTCTTTTCTCTCCATTTCCCACCTTCTTCTGCCTGTCTTCCTGTCTGTCCTGCTTGTGTCACCCCCCCACCACCACCACCCCTCCACCCCTTCTCTGTGCTCTTCTCTACCTCTCTCTAGTCTTTCACACCCACAAAAGAGAAGAAGAAGAAGGAGGAGGAGTGTTTGCATGTAGAGAAGTCTATGAGGATTTCCTGGTCCTTCTTTCTTGTCCCTTCTCGACCGCTGACTAAATTCAACCTCATTTAGCGTCTTTTGCTCTCCTGGAACATCACGTCTTTGCTCGATCATATCTAAAGGCTGCACAGAAACCAACAAATCTACAGTTGTAGCCTCGAGCTGAGTTATAATGTGCACAATGTGAGCCTTTTAACAGTTCACTCTGCTGCAATTTGACATCCGTTCACATGAGATTTTATATCAATCAGTCACAGTGAGCCCCTTGTTGTGCCACAATTAAAATCCGCCCTATCAAAACAGCTCACATACCAAAATTAGCTGTCATGATCGGGGCTGCGGGACAGAACACATTGGATTTGCATTGAACAGACATAAAACATACCAAATGTGAGGAGACAGCAAATCCATACAGTGAAAAGTGAGCTAAGAATCCCCTGCTCTACTTATATTAATTAACTCAGTCAATGTGGATGTGATAGGTCAGTTATTCATCCTCTTCCAGCACCTCCCCACTCTGTCACACATACCTCCCAGGTGTCAGAGGCTCAGGCGCTCCAGCTGCTCAGCAAAGACCAGCGGAGGAGAAAAATCACACACACACACACAAGCGCGCACAGACTGTGGTGAACGTAAACATGAGCGGGTCTGAGAGAGAGAGAGCAGTGTTTGGAGATCGCTCACGTGTTTCCGTGCATTTGCTTTTTTTCCCCCCCTCTTTGGATTTTAGAGGTGACACGGACGATTGCAGCAGACACTGCATGCATGTACAGAAAACGGACATGCAACGACAGCATGCACACAATCGCACACACACATGAACACACACACACATGCTAGTGGTCGCATCAATATTGCCATGACCCTCAGGGGACTTGCAGTATTGGCAAAGCTTTCATCTGCTGAGTGTGTGAGTGTCTGATACCCCCTGCTCCCACACACACTGACTTGACATACAGTCGAGAAAAACAGTCATAAAGCAGACAAATTCACTCTAGCTGTGGCTTTTGTGTAGCTGTGCACCCAAAAAGTTGAAGGGAGAAAGGGCAGGAGTTGAGAAAGTAACAGCAGGAGGGGTTAACAAGCAGTGATGGAGGGCTGAGACCAGCAGTGGACACTAGAGGGCGATAAAGAGATGCACCCTTGCACCTGAGTGTGTGGTGATGAATGGCTGGGACCGTGGCGGTGTTCCACCAACACTGTCCTTTTCAGCCAACTTATCTGGACCCTGATTGATTTTTAGAGGAGCTTTTTTGAGTTGTATAAAAACCTTTTCAAATATTTGACAAATTAGTTGTCTATATTCTAGATTTGTTTTCAAAAATTGGGACAAAAAGCTTTAAAAATGTTCAAGTTACACCTTGAAGTTGTATGTCTTTTTGGAAAAGACAAGATAAAATAAGAAGAAATAAAAAAATCTAATCATTTCTTTAACACTGAAGGCTGTTAAAGTCAAACAATTTTATAAAGTTCCAAAATAACTAATAATCTAAGTATAAGATAATGGATTTTTAAACTTTTTTTATTACCACCAGTGAGAACACTTCTAATCGCCTCTTAACTTCCGCCTCCTAGTCGCAGTTGATTTGACCTTTATCCCCCTCAGCACCCGTGGGTGAGGGGAGTATGTCATGTTAGCAGAAAGAGACTGTGTCAGAGTGTATCAGCAGAACTTCCCTGACTGTGTCTTCCAGGTTCTGTCCCCTGTCTCCTTTCCTTTCCTCCTTGTGATTCTCTTGTCATACACTCAGGCTGTCTGCACTCAAGTGAGTTCCATAGGTTTACCTAATTGATTATTAAGTTGCTGATTGGGGATCAATTAAATAATTAAAGTTTGTTAAGGGCAGGGTCGATTCACTGGCAAGAGAGGCAGGGGCGCGCTCTCCTCCTCCTCCTCCACTTGGTGTTTGTGTGTACGCAGGTGTGCGTTTGTGTGTTTATATGCTTGCTGTTGATAGAAGTGATGTGATCGAGCTGAAAGCAGAAAATGTGTTTGTGATGGTTGGATTGACAGGCAGGACTAAACCTATTTTATGTTGGACTAAAACACAGACCGTGGCTGTTCTTCCTCTGGTTTCTGGCTTTGTGTTGAGGTGGATGTTCGGTGCACTGAGTCACTATGTATCCCAGCTGAATTGGCTCTTTCTACTCCTTCCAGTGACCACTTCTATTGGCTGTTCTGGGAGAAACTCCTCGATTCAAGTTGAGCAACCTATGGGGTCAACATTATAGACACAGTGGCACCTTGGTTACCATAGATCTGAGACAGGGTGTAAAGAGGCTCTTTTTTTGTGGTGGCAAAGTGTGTCCTGAAAGACAAAACACCCTCACACACACACACAATGTATTACACTACACACTCTCGCTCACACACACAGACCTCATATATGAGACACAGGAGCGGAAACGGGTCGAATCCTACTTCAAATTCTCTTTCCTCTCGGCTTGTCGACCGGGGAAAACAAACCGACCCGAGGCACTGCGAGTGGGGATTTACTAATTAACTACTTACACACGCGCACACACACAGGGAGAGAGAGAAAGCAAGCGAGAGAGAGAGAGATGCACACCTCCACTCCTCCCTCCTTCTTTCCCTCCCTCCCTCCTCCTCCTCCTCCTCTCCCCTCCCTCCCTGTGCTCTCCTCCCCGGGTTCAGGTTGGTAGTAGTGCTGCCTCTCCGGTCGCTGGCTCGCTGCGCCGTCAGAGTGAATGCGTGTGGATAGAGTGTTTGCGCTTCAGCCGATGAGAGCCTTGACACCACTTCCTGAACACAACAACCGGCGGTATGTCATTTTATTTTCACTGTTCAGATATGATTCAGGGATCCGCTTTTTTTTGACACACGAAACATCGTACTCTCTCTCTCTCTTTCAATGTTTGCTTCTCGTGTAGAAAAGTTGTGTTTGTTTCGTGCCATAAACTGTATCTAATATTTGTCATCTTTGTGTGTGTTTAAGCGATATCACTGGTCGTGTTGTTTTTTCTTTTTAGTATTTTGCTTCTTCTTGAACGTTTTTTCTTGTATTAGCATCAGTTTGAAGATTGCAGAATGTCTCTTTGCAGAAACCAAAAAAAGTTACCCCGTGCGTAAATTACGCATGCACACTCACTCAGTTTGGAAGCATGTTTTATAGCTCGTATTTTACTTTACCTATTCTGTCTTTTAAAAATGTTTGAAATCTTTTGCTCACACACACTCACTCACACTCACTCACACACACTCTCACGGTAGGAAGCAGAGTTAAATACCCGAGTTTTGGCGCGTGCTCAGGTGTGAATGGCTCGGCTTACACGGGAGCACTTTGATGCGTTCAGCTGTCGGTGTTGGCCCGGATTAGCCTTTAAGTGTCTCTATTTGTTAGCGCGTCCAGCCCTCACCTCCTCACCGCCGTATCAATCAGTCAATTAAACAGGCACTCACACACGGCGAGCTGCACGAGACCTCAGCCGGTGCATCTCTCTCTCACACACACACACACACACTCACACTCACACACACTTGCCCCCTCCCTCTCTCTCTCTCCTTCTCTCTCTCCTGTGTGTGTATGTGAGTGTTTGACCCCGTTTAATTTACCTCCATGAATATCTTAGCGAGTTTGTGTTGCATTTATAAGCTCTGTTTGATTTATCATTTCCATGTCATTGTTCTGCTTTTAGAGGTTATTCCACGAGCTTTAAAAAAAGTTTGTTTATCTTAATTATAAATTTTCTAATAAGACATTAAATTATTCACGAGTTTGTTTTAGTTTCTCGCCTCAAAGTTGCTGCAAAATTCCAACTTAGATCCCCTCCCAAGTGGACTCCGGTGATTTATTCCAACATTTATTTTTCATGTCTATTCCCAGTTTGATGTGCACCAAGACTTAACCTTAAACCTTCCAAAAAAAATACGCAAACCGAGCTGGACTTTCACTGACCATCTGTCAAGGAAAACACCCAAGTTTACTCCCATCAGGAGTGAAGCCGGTTCTGTTTGTATATATATATATGTGTGTGTGTTTTCACTCTCGCATGGGAGTTTGTTTCAGAAGTCTAACCCATCGATACAGCGCGAGCCAAAACTTGAAAAAAATATATATTTGGAATAATCTTTATGTGAATTGGCTGGGCTCTCCTCAGATTTTTTTTTGCTCCTCTTTTTAGGTGTTTACCCCCCTCACAACTTCGATGCATATTTATGCGCGCCGTGGGTGTACTCCATCAATTATTTGTGCCAGTATATTTCCAGATAAACAGTGTTTGTAAATCAATACTTGCATGTAACTATTGCAGATTAAGAGATCGATCAATGGATCCACCCTAACCCCGACCAATGTTGTTTTTCTGCCGTCAATTATTCACATCTAACTTTACACAACAGCAGCAGCAGCAGCAGCATCTGTAAAGTTTGAAAGCACCTCTGACTGGGTTTACGCACAAGGACGCTCAGAATCAGTTTGACGAGTTTGGAATTTAAAGAAAAATAGAGATTATTTTTCTGCTAGAAATCTCGATGTAGTCTTGTTTTAATTTATTACAACAATTTCACGTTTTCTTAGTGCTGTACTGTTTTCCTTTCCAACTTTTAATCACCTCAGCATCTCCATCTTCGTGTCTCCTGGATCTCTTCTCTCAGTGTGAACTTTGAGGCCCGTGAACGTCTCCACGGTCAGCTCTTCTTCCTCCGTTCAGGCCCGTTTAATTGGATTATTTCCCCGCTTTTTCTCGCGTCTTCTCGGCGGCCGTCTCATCCGTCTGCGCTGTCAATACTTGGTGGAAATATTTCCGACATTAAATGGCATTCGGGGAAATTTCTCCCCACATCACTCACCCTCCCCTCCCCTCCATCCTTCACCTGTGCACGACCACCTCAACTCCACGTTTAATCACCCAATTACATTTATTATAAAGAGAGAGCTATGAGAGGACTGCTGCTGCTGTTTCTCACTCAAGTCTGTGCAGGCTGGATTATAATCTGACAGCTCTCTTTTTCACTTATTAACAAAATATTAATAATAATCATAAATTTGATAATTTGAGAAATTGTCATAATTTTATTAATCAAATAATTATAACTTAAAAAAATCAACAAACACATTTTAGGCCTACTCTTACATGTATAAAGAAACAGAAGTATTTTTCAATCGTATGCCTTTGAAAAGTCTTTTTATTATTATTTTTAATATTATTATTTAATTATTATTGTTGTTTTTATCGAACGAATAATCTGCATTTCAGAACTCCAAAAAGCTTCTTGCCTTAACTGAACCTCTGCTTTTTATCTACATAATTTTTTTGTGTGTTATAAATTTGTTATCACTTCTGTTTTATTTGTTAATTTTAGCGGATTAAGAAACTAATTTCATTTTAAAGAATTAAGAAATAATTAATTTGGCATTGTTCTGCGCGTAATTCCCCATGCGTAATTTCCTCTGGATGAAATTATTGTGCCTATATGTACCCAATCGAATATACATATTTTTCTCTGTTAATAAAGGGAAAATTTGCAAAGCTTTATCTTGTTTTAAGTTTTTATTTTCGAGGAGTGATGAAAGAGTTTAATCTGTTCTTGGAGGGAGGTGAATTTTACGCACATAGTCACGATTCTTTGGTGAAGAGGAATCACCATTTAGGATGAAACCTTCCCCTCTTAATTTTGGTCTTGGTTAGTTTCCCCCCTCCTTCAGGAAATAGACTCTTTGCTTTCTTTTATTCGTCAAACCAGTCGACCTATGGGCTCTCACCTTTCCTCATCTCCATCTCTCTCGGATTTTAAAAAAAGAAACTTCTGACAGGTACGGGAGGCGGGTTTGATTTTCTAAAAATGCTCTCATCCTTAATGTGTTGTCATCTGGAAAGCAATTGCGTATGATCAAAGTGCGGCTAGTTAGTGCGGTCAATATCCTTTCCAGCAAGCTTCTCACATATCGATAACAAGACAGCAGAGCCTCGCGCTGAGCTGCGTTTAGGGCCTCTGGATCAGCTCTGCTCACCGACAAAGCCGGATGCACCCCGTGCGTAAAAAACAGCCAGAAACTCAAACAAATATTTTAAAGGGCTTTAACATTAATACTGAAAAAATCAGAAATCCCTCTTGGGGTTTATGGAAAATGGGAAAGACACCAACAGGAGGCGAGTTCGATAATGTCATTCAGAAATAACTGCGCAAAATACGCGCCATTTTCCGACATTGTGGGAGAGTTGGAGTAATTTCGCTCCTGCTGGCACCTCTTCCTCCCTCTCACTGTGTCCGTTACTGTATGACAGTAAAGAGTAAATAAGGTGATTGATCTGTGGTCTGTGTGGAGTGGTGGTCCTGCGGGAAAATAACACAACACACACCCTCCAGGATCGGCACCTCCAAGTGTCGCCAACGCCTGAGTGTCTTTCATCAGATTCCGGATGAACATTTTCTCCGCATAGACTTTGATTCATATCTTTATTTTTTAACCTTTAATGATGATTAAAATAATTTCCTCTATGTTTCAGTGACGCCCTCGTGCAGTGCGACAGCGGCACTCTCCCCTCCCGTCTCCTCCTCCTCCCCCTCTTGGGTCGGAACCTGCGCAGCAGCGAACAAACGCCAGTCCGAGAGACGGTGATCGGGCTTCGGCCTCAGGAGCATCTCTGAGGCGGGGCGACGCGGGAGTCCAGGTGGGTGGATTTACTCCTCAAGTTCATCCTAAATCTGCTTTTCCCACCGTCTCTGTCTTCACTTCACGTCTTTATGCACGCACACACACACACACACACACACACACACACACACACACACACACACACACACACACACACACACACACACACAAAACTCCATGTCCTCAGATCTTTAAAGGTGAAGTCACTTGAGGTCAAAGAGCTTTTCCACCTCATGTGTTGATTTGAAGTTCAAGAACACAATAGAAACTTTAAAACTCAGACTTTTAATCTATAAAACCGTACAATGTGAAAACTTTAACATCAAATTATAATTCTCATAGGTGTTGTTGCGTCAAATCCAAGCTCTGTTGGATTTTTATTTGATTAGCTTTGCAGTCCGATTATTTGTTTCTACCTTGTAACACAACTCTGTGAATAATCAAAGGTGTCCAATGCTCCATGTAATCGCCTTTGGCCATTACCGATCACATGCAACATGCTCCTCCAGCCAGCCAATGTCTGAACGCTTCCTCCGGCCCCTCTGCTCCCCTGCCCTCCCCCCTTAATTCTTCCTGTCTGATATGAGCCCCTCGGCACACCTTAAAATTTCTGTTTCATTATTCATCATTCGTTATAACTGTGTGGTTGCAGACACACTTCTACCTGTTACTCTGCAGGCCTATAGGGCAATTGAAGGACTCTTCTGTATCTCCCTCTCTATCTCCGACCCTCTGTCCTGCCCCCACCTCCCTCCCTCCCTATCTCCCCCCCTCCTCTCTCACGCCCCTGTTGTCTCTCGCTGCCACACCTGGTAACTACAAACTTGTACACAATAATAACAGCCAGATGTATCCATCTATCTCTCGATCTAGCCTGTCGGCAGTTAGTGGAGTGGCTGAGAGACTTGCAGGCGTGAAAGGTCAGTTAATCAATGGCGCACAATTTGACAAATCCCAGCGACTCTTATCATCCTCATGGGCGTTTAGGGCCGAAAGGAGGACCACCGAGATAAATGCTTAATCCTGACTGCACTGCGAGAAGGAGAGGGAGAGGGAGAGAGAGAAAGAGGGAGAGAGAGGACACGTAGTGGGCATGCAAAGGTTGTGGAGGGGAGTTGGAGAGAAGTGGAAGACGGAGACGTAGAAGTGGCTCAAAGCAAAACTGGAAGGTGAACAAATGCAGCTGTATTTGGAAATGACAGATTCTCAGTTTTTTAGACCAAAAAACAGGCGACTTTGTGTCTCTGATCGAAGCTGCTGCTTCGGGCTGGACAGGCCATGCTCTCGCCTTCTGGGCTGACATCAAAATCCTGGTTTCTGCTCTCAGTTATGGCTCTGCCGCCGCGTGTAAAGTTGAGAAAAACCCGAGGAAAACAAAGGTGTATGAGTGGTTGAATTCTCCTGTGGCATGTTAGCCCGCCTGCAGCAGTGTGCAACCAAGAGGAAAATGAGCTTTTGTCCACAAGGCTGGCCCCTTTTTTTTTCTCCTCAGTTTTCTGAACTGCAGGGGTTTTGGAAGGTGGCACAATTTCTTTGCCCTTATACCCTTAACAAGAATCAGCCCAGTATGACACAGAGGCAGTTTTTTTTCCCTCTTGAACTGTAACACACTTTTCATCTCCTGCTGTGGCCGCGCTGACATTAATTTCATTAACTGTCATTGTCAAAAAAGGTGTCACTGCACTGATTCCTTCAACGTGTGTGTGTGTCTTCTTAAAAGGAAGCGCTTGAGCAGCCACACAAACACACGCTCATGTCCTTTATCTCCATCTCAATACAAGTTCAGTGTAATTCAATTGAGATTAGTTGCACTGGCATGACAGCAGATCCCTAGTATTGCCAAAGCACTTAGGAGGCAATGACAGGACCACATCGACGTGTGCTGACACACACACAACACCCTGCGAGTGGCCAACCTTGCAGAGAAAGAAAGAAAGAGAGAGAGAGAGACAGAGAGAGAGAGACTCGGTGGAGGTGGAGGAGGCAGAGATGGAGTGACAGCTAAGAGAAAGAGGTTTGGGGGGAAAATCTCAGGATGACAAAGTTGGAGGATGATAGAAAGTTTTCCGAAAAAGAGTGCGACTAGAAGAGGAGAAAAACGATGAAGGGACCCGGATGGCGAGCGGCGCTGAAGCATGACAGAGTGCGTCCAGAAAGATGAAAGAATGATTGACTCGCAGGGAGAGTGACGGAGGAAGAATGAGGGGAAAGAAAAAGGCGACAAAGAGAAAAGCAAAAATAAGATAAAGAAGGGCGGAGGAAGAAGAAGAGAGAAGAGGCGAGAGGTAAAGGGAGCAAGAGAGGATAAAATGTTTAAGAGTGATGTACGAGAAGAGGGGAGAGGAAGAGATTTACTAGAAGAGAGATTAAGTCAAGTTGTCCCCGGTCAGTCATTAATCCGATTTAAGAGCAATTAAGGTGAGACTGATTCCTTCCTAGAGAGAAAGAAATAGATGGAGAGGGTGAAGAGAGGGGGGAGAAAGAGAGGAGACAGCGGGGGAAAGAAGAAAAGAGTGATTGAAAGAGAGAAGTGGGAAAATAAAACAGGTGTACGAGCTCTGAGTGCTGGTTTGTGGACAGACCGGCCGACACAATGAGATCCAGAAAAGATACCTGAGATTTAACACAAATGTGATTATGTAAGAAAACTCAGATGAGAGGGGAATATCTTTCTTCTTGAAGGAACGATAGTAGACGTGTTTGTTCATGCTTTCTTTTCTTATTCTCTGAATAACATTCCTTTTTTTATCAGACCCCCTGAGACCGGGGTCATACTGAAGTAACTCCTGACACCGCTGACAGAAGCTTAATGTAAAAGCAAAGCAACCAGGACCTCCAGTCTGCATGTGGGACCTCTGCTACCTGCGAGATTACTCCTCTGAGAGTGGGCAGAAGTTGTAAAAGTTGAGCTTGAGGTGAAAGTGCAGTGGCAGGAAGGAGAAAGAGAGAGACTGAGGGACGCGGCGAAGAAGCTCCTTTACATGAAAATGAAAAAAAAAAAGAGAGAGAAGTAAAAGCAGTCCCCCCCACTCCCCCTCTCCCTCCCTCCAACCCCAGCTCGCTGTGCTCTGTTGTTCCAGATGTGTATCAGAGGTCCCGGGGTCGACAGAGGGGTCCCTCCACCGCTGTAGCATTTCTGTGTCTATTGGGAGATGCTGGTTGTGATAGCTCAGCCGTCTGACACGTACACAACAGTGCATAAATCAAACACACACATACGCGCAGTCGCTCCATTTATCTCCCACTCAAGCAGCGCGGTGATAGCAGCCAACTCTGCATAGAGTCAGGGAGGGAGAGAGAGAGAGAGGTTGTGGTCGGTCTTGTTAAGTGGGGAGCTGTAAAAAGGTTTATACTTGTGTTGCTGCCATCTCTATTGTTCAAGGCCTTTGCCAGTGTCTGTGCCTCTTTGTTTGTTGTGCTCTAGGAGTATAAAGCGAGCTCGACTGCATCCATAATTGCTGTTTGGGACAACAGTGTGTCATTATGAAGCCTGTTAAGGAAAAGAATGGAGCAAATTGCAAGCAGAGGTCATAGATTTTGTTTTGTAGCATGTTATCCCTTTGAATGGAAATGTTTTTACATGATTTCATTGACTTGCATCAATGTTGAATACGTGTTTTTTCAAAAGCAGCTCACTATTATGGGGAAAATTACTTAAAACACATCTCTTTACTTTGCTTCATTTTTCCCATCCCGGCTCTTCTCTTATCAAAAATCGCTCTATTTTTTGGTGGCTTTTCCGCGTACCAATCTGCAGCCCATCACAAGTCCCAGATTGAGAGGCCATTTGGCTGCTGTTGACAGGAGGCAGCAGCTATTGACAGGGCCCTGCCGGGGAGGCGTGTCTCGGGCCCCGCGTCCAAAGCGTTTGTGGCGTTTAATACACTGTAGCAGCGGTCCTCGCAGCTCTCACCCTGCGTGCGACTGCCATAGGGATCAATATGCACTGGGTTAGAGAGAAATGGACCATCTGATGCACACTCAGAAAGGGGGATGAGGGAGAAGCAGCGAGAGAGAGAAAAACAGCAGGGAGGGTGAGATTTAAAGGGAAAAAGAGAGGAACGGGCTCGAAAAAAAAGGGGATATGGCGAGACCAAAAGGAGGGAAGAAAGGAGAGGAAATGATTAGAGGCACGGTTTAAAAGACATGGAGGCAGAGAGCGGCCCGGCACAAAGATAGATCGCAAGTGAGAGAAAGTGGTCAGCGGTTGAAAGAGACATTCAGCTGGGAGAGAAAACAGATTGGAGTGAACGGGGATAGACACTGAAAAAGAGGAAGACTCAAGACACCAGGGAGGATACACACAGGAAAAGAAAAAAAGACATAAGGGAAGAGTGGGAGATAGGGAGAGGAGGGGGTGAGGGGGGGAGCTAGAGGAAAGGAGGGGGGAGAAAAACAGAAAGAGAGAGAGAGGGGTGCAAGAAAGGATGAGGAGGAAGGGAAGGGAGGGGAGGGGGGTAAAATTTCCATCAGGTTTTCAATTGGGGCGGATCAATAGTGTATTAGAGCTCACCTTGACCCCGTCTCTCCCCCCTTCTCCCCAGCCCTGCACACAGGCCAAGCTACTCTCCCTCACAGCAGGGGACGGAGAGGGGGAGAGATTGCATTACGGCCTCCCTTTCTTGGACCAAAGTGGCAGAAAATGGCACAATAAAAGCAAGAGCAGACAGAAAGAAAGAGGAAAACTAAGTCGCGGCGGGCAGACACAGAGAAAGTGGGAGACGAGGAGTAAGAGAGAGCAGAGAGAGAGAGACACCAGCGGGGGTCGTCGTGCTTGTTTGGACAGAGATTTCTGAGAGAGGAAACTGGTTGGGTGGTTGAGTTTGTGCATGAAGACTTGACTTTAGAGTTTGTATCATCGCAACCCTGAAAAGAGGAAATCGTAACGGAACTATATTTTCCTCTTAAAACATGCATTCATACTCAGACAGGTCGAATACTGCACAATATCAATGCACCCTGCACACGCGGAAGTTTGAGCTCTGCAGAGAAGTGTCCTATTATTTCTGCCGCTGCTGCAGGGTCATATGGGGTGTATGAATTGCTTTATCTCATTTTGACTATTATCTCAACTCAAGAAAACAAATAAAATTTTGATTGTGTGATTTTTGACGACTACGAAGAGACACAATCTAAAACAATCCAACAAATCAGAGTACCTGTAACAGTTGTCCAGCAAACCGTCCTTGGACATTTTTTTGGCGATTTGCCTTCATTGATGGTACAGGGTGTAATGTAGGGAGATAAAGAGAGTGGGGGGAGGACATGCAGCACATGGTCGGAGCCAGACTCGAAATCTGCGACTGCTGCGGGGACCGTGGTCCCCATACATGGGGCGCGCTAACCCACTCAGCCATCTGCGCGCCCCTGGACTTTGGGGTGTTTTGAGTTCACGAATTGAATAGTCATTTAACTTCGACTTCAAATTCGGTCTAACCATTGAGTCTAAACGTCAGAACACACTCATGAACATCTCAATATTGCGCACATTTATTCAACATGAGTAAAGAGGATCACACTGGTTTGACGATTGTACATTTCTTTAATCAGACTCGTCTCCTTTATAACTGTGCTGTGCTAGGAGATGCTGTCATCTGTGCTTGTTTACATCCGGGTAGTAGAGCAGTGATGCAGTGCTGCAGCAGCCTCTCACCAGTCTCAGTATAAGGTGGGCATTTCAGGCAGTGATGATAAGAATATTGATAATTCATTGAAACCAAGTAAGTAATTCTGGTTCAGACTGGTGAGGATGATGGCGTTTGATTGTTTAGTCGACCAATTGTGCACATCTTTAGTTGGAATTTACTTTGTATTGTGAAACCCTGATGATCTTATTTCAGTTTCTTTTTACTATTTTATCCTAATTTCTAAAAACGTAAGTGATTAGTCAGCTGGTTGACTTTATCACACATAGAGAAGACTGCTATCGACCAAGGTAGAACAGACCTGATCTCTCAATACATTTGCGTGTTGGTAACCTGACACAGTGTTCTGCTCTTTCGAACCTATTTCACAGTTTTTTAGCTAAAAATTTGTCGTTGTGCATTAAGCTCCGATCCCTGCTAAAATGCAAGTGACTACATTTAACATGTTTGACTTTTTAACTTTTTTTTTTACCACCCTGCTTGCCGTACAAAGGCTGTGTAGACATAATGTATGTATATGACAGTCATCGGGCTAGACTGATGTTGACATGCCATTTATTTTTGTTTTTCCATTGACCTTTGTTTTTTTACTTAGTTGAATCACACAGCAGAGACAGCATTGACAGTATCTTTAAACGGACACTGTGCTGCCATGTGTCCCCCATTGGAGATGGTTGGTGTACACTTACATGTTGAGCTGGTGGAGCTGGAGTATGTGCGTAGGCAATCTAGCTGGTGAGGCAAAAATACGCATGCAAGTTACAGCTAAAATGTTAATGGTTGGATCAGTCCACCGCAGAACAGATCCTTGTGTTGGTTTGAAGCAGACTCTCACTATTATAGGAAGTTGACGAGAAAAGTGTTATAGTTTTCTCTCGCCATTTTCCCCGCTCTGCTGCTCTGCTAAAATATACTACAGAAGTCTGCATTTACCTACAAAGTTTTTTTGGCCACTTTTTCTTTTTGACAACAAAGAGCTGATCTAAACTTCACTCCATTTTATCATCTGACCCACAGTATGTTTAATCTGTTCAAACAGAGGAGGCGGGCTTTTTGACTTTCGGTGCAGCCGGTCCTAATATTTTGGCTTCACAGTCCGTGAACACTTGTGGCATCCATTTTTATAAATAGAGGCAAATCGTAAGTTTAAGATGTGACAAATGTGATGTTTTTTGAATGGTGTAACATTAACAGTCTTGTATGTTGACTATGTTGGAAACATTTACGACATTTAAAGTGGTCATAGCCAATATTCTTACAACTATCCCACTGAGCATTTTTTGGTCTAAGAGAGGTCTAATAGACGTGTGAATGTAGCCTAGATGACTGGTCTAAAATCAGGCTACCAAAAAAATTAAAGTTTTTAGACGTCTAAATTTAGACCAAGGTTTGAAAAAATCTAAATCTGGGCTATATCTATACTACACTATTGCTCCACAGCTATCGAAATTATTTTGGTTAAGTACTTGGAGATCAGTTATGCAAAATAGTTATTGAATAATGGGTTAAAGTGCAACGTCTAAATTCTGTCTAAAAATATTCAGAATCTAGACGGTTGAAATTAGGTCTAAAAACACCTAGATGTCTAATAGTTGTCTATTGCTCAGTGGGATTTTAACATACCAAAGCATGTGCCTGACATTCAAAGGCTTTTTTTTGCTACATTTTGGTCTCCACCAGTATCTTCTCTGTGGTTTCACGTCATCTCAGAAACATTTATTCACCCTATCAGACTCAAATGTCGTCTTCTGTTTTTATAGGTAGTTTTTAGGGTTTAGTGAAAGCTGAAATGGTCATTGTTCCTCACCGCAACTTCACCCAGTTCAGTGTCTAAAATATCAGCCAACCATGACAGATGTCTCAGCAGTTTTGTAGTTTTCTGCTAGAGCAACAAACACTCAACAACTTAGAGAGTCACACTGAAACTCAACACAAACAGATAGCAAGCACTGACACAGGACATGAGAGCGGTAGGACACACTTCATCAGTGGAGGACAGTCAGACATAAAGCTGTTTGAGGAGGACAGAGGCCGGGGGCAGAGGGAGCGAGTTGATGGGGGGGAGAGGTTGAATAAAAAAAATTGATCCAGGAATTTAGCATTTAGACACAGTTTACAAAGTGATACAGAGAGGGGAGTCACGGGAGCAGAGGGGACCATGCGGGGGAGGACACTTAACTTTACAATAGGTCAGCCCTGCCTATTTGACTAACTATAACCCTGACACACAGCCTTGAATGCTGCACCCCTTATACACCTCAGAAAATAAGCATGATTCTCAGATTCTCCTCTCAACGATCCATCTTCAGACGAGTGTGTGATTTAGCTGTTTAGACAGGAGCTTGTTTGTAAAAGCGCAGACCTACTAGCAGCACCATCCTCATCTCTTCCCCACATTTCCTAATGCTGTTCCTATTGTCACCCATCCACACTCCGGTGCACATGCACACGCCAAGACAACACACAGAAATGCGCACGCACACACTCAACCTATGTCAGACGCACACACACAGGGTAACACACAAACTCTGTCCCACTCGCTGAGGGGGAGAAAAGGAAAGAAAAAAGGAGAGAAAAAAGAAATCGATCGCCGGGGATAGCGGTGCGCGTCGGAGAATCGTATCTTGTCAAAATAATATATTACCCTCATCCCCGCCTGATCGATGCGGTGGATTAGGGACGGAGGGCTCCCTCTCTCCCCTCCTCTCTCTCCCTCTCTTCCTCCTCGGTGCTTGGTGCAGTTTAATATTTACCTCCGTGAAAGAGCGGCCGCGACGGCTCTCAGCCCTAATTGATTCCGACACATGGGGCTCTGTGCTCAGGCTGCGGATGAGGGAGGGAGGGCAGGCTGGAATGCAGAGGGAGAGATGAGAAAGGAGGAAAAGAGGGGAAAGAAAGACAAAAGAGAGGAATGAAAAATTAAAGAAAGAGGTTCAGAAGGAGGAACATGGGAAACCGAGGTTTAGAGAGCGGTGTCAGCAGTCAGATTGTGGGAAATGTAATCAATGCATGGGCTTGTTTTTGGTAAACAAAGGAAAAATACATCAGAAAGAAGACAAAAGCTGCAGCAAGAGAGAAAGGGGCAAAAGGGAGCAGGCCAAGCTGAAAGAAGTGGATGGATAAACTTTCCAGGGGTGATAGAGAGATAAAATGACAACCAAAGTGAAAAAAAAAGCTGCAGAGGAAGACCAAAGAGGTCAGAGGAAATATAGTTGGAAAAGTGTAGGATGGAGACAGGAAAGCCCAGAGTGGAGGGAGGATGGGTTGTATGTAGCACAAAAATGGGGGGTAGAGGGATGAATGGAAAGGATAGCAGAGAGGAAATGAATCAGGAAGAATGAAGGAAACAGAAAGGAGTAGGTGGAAATGGGACAGCACGCGGAAACGGCTCCAGGAGAGCAGGAAGAGAAACGGGGAGGGATGAGGGGCCAAGGAGAGCAAATGAGAGGGGATTAAGAGAGCGACATGAAGATGGATAGAAACAGAGGAGTGAAACATGACGGCTGGAATGTAGAGCGCCAATAAAAAGCGCAAAGAACAGGGAGGGAAAGAAATAGGGGGGGATGATGGAAAAAGAGCGCAGCGCGGAGGTGACAGAATGATATCAGGTGGGATAGACAGAAAACAGGAGTGATAGCAGAGCGAGAGGCGGGAGCGCAGAGAGGGACCATATTTTCCGTTGAAGGAACTGGCCTGTCATGCTGTTCCGCCAGCGCAGAGCAGCTCTATAAAATACAGGGAGCAGGCGGGTCGTGTCGGGTGACTTATGTGTATATCTAGGCTTTGTCAATATTTCTTTCTGTCTTCCTTCCTCGGTGCTCCCCCTATTGCTCCCTCGCTCCTGTGCTCTCACTCCAATTCTGCTTCTGCCACCTCTCTAGGTGTGTGTTTGTCCCAGTGAAGAGCTCACTTCTTCATCTCTCTTTCTGTTTTTTTTTTTCTTTCTTTCTATCAAGCTTGTGCAGAGACACTTTGGAAGTGGGTTTTTGCCTTTGGACGTTAGCACGACTGTGGCGCAGAGTCTCGAGGCGTCTGCAGGTTTCAACGCCTCAATGATTCTCCGTGATACAATGCAGACAGGATGATGAACCTCCCAGTAAAATGGCCATCATTGACAGAGTGACAAGACATATTCTCATTGCTGTCGGATTTTAAAGTTTGCGTCTTTCGCTCCACAACAAACAGGCAGATTTTGATATTTCACACCTACTGCATGTTTGAGTGAATGCATCTGTTTGTGCACTCCTCCACTCACGCTTTGCCCCTCTACAGAAGCACCGGGTGGTATGCTGATTTATTCATGCGGTCCCACTGAGGATTGCACCTCCTCTTCCTCATTTGGCATGGTTTAGTATCCTGAGCACAGGCCTGCGGAGACCCCGAATCCATGGGGGGCCCAGACATCCTGCAGATACACTGCACAGGTCTACCACTGGTGGACACTCACAAATTAGCCTGCTCTCCATGTCATGTTTATTCATCGAGAAAAACACGTCAAAACTTCTAAGAAAACTTCTCCACGCCAAATATGCAAGTTTGGTGCAAAGTTGCTTTTAGTTTTTTTGACTACGTTTTGGTTTTTCTGATGCTTCAAACACACGAGGGGTTCAATCGGAGTCAAGGTGGGGCCTCGTGTTGAAATTTTTATCGAAGGAAAGAAAACAAAAGGCTTTAGTCTTCCTGAGAAAGATACTGTCATTGGAGTATGAATCTATTTCGAGCTGTGATCACAAGTCCATGACAACTGACTGTCACTGTGGAAACAGACGGAGGAGAAGGAAAGATAAGAGACGAAGAAGTTGCACTCGAATGAAAGAGAACTTATTTATTTTTACAGAACAAGCTGAAAATTTTCAATCTGTCTCCACGACTTCCTCTGTCTCCCTTCTATTTTCTCTCTCGCTCTCTCTCTCTTTTTCTCCCTCTGTCGCTGTCTCTCTTCTTTATTTACACCTCTCCCCTGCTCTCTGCAGTGGCTCAGGGAGCGGTAACAGAAGTGTCACTTGTCATTATTGGTCTAATTCAGTAATCCGTCATCGTGCACTCACTGTATGCAGGGCATTATACGCCGGCACAGCAGGTGTACTGCGCGCTGAGGTGGGGATTCGATTTGACACGCGCACACAGGCGAGAGGGCTGACGAGGGCCGGGGCAGACGGGTACTGAGTGTGTATGTGTGTGTGTGAATGTGCATTTGCTTGTGTATTTGTGTGAGAGGGAAATGGATAGAGGAGAGATTGAATTTCTTGGTGTGTGTGAGTGTGTGTGTGTGTCTGTGCACACACATGGATATATGACTTCAATAGAAATGCTTCAGTCCAAGAGGTGTGTGTAATAGGAAGAGACAGAGCAGTATTGAATAGAGACAAATTGGCATTAGATATTGTAGAAAATAAGGACCTGGTCAGAACAGAAGACTCAGTTGTCATTTTAAAAAGCATATTCCCCTCTAAAAGTGAAAGAGCGTGTGTTTGCGCCTGCGTTTCCTGCGTCTTCTTTGTGTTGGAAATCTTTATTTTGAAGTCTGGGTGCGACAACTAGTTAACAAGTTTGACAACATCAACGACAATAGAGCTGCCATTCATTTAAATGGTGATAATAAGTCAGTTCAGTCATCTCTCATGTTGTGAGGGGTGAGCGATCTCTCATCTTTACTGTGTCTGCTGAGAGTTTTTCATGCAAAACAGCCACTGGGATGTGACAGGACAACAAAACTTGGTGTCAGCACATGCATCAGCGTCACACTCTTAAACTAAAGAGAAGCCTGTAAAATTTGCAAAGCAGACCCTGTTTATGATGGGAGCATGTTTGTAAAGCACAAGCATTTAAAGAGAAGTTAGATGGACATCTTAGTAACTGCTACACTCAGCTTAAGAGTCACACTGATATTTGTTCCTTTACATCTTCAGTGTCTCACCTTAGAAACTACTCCCTCATACACTTCCTCTTGTTTTTATCCTGATCAGTTTTTCCCCTTTTTTCACGACTCATCACTGGAGCAATCTGTCATGTTACCATTATACAACACATGAGACATCTGCCTTACATGAACACTGGTTATGTTTGAGCCAAGGCAAAAATATGACTTGATTTCAAAATTTTAATAGCTTTTATTTGAGTTTGAGTTTGAAAGAGTAATGTTTAAAGTTAAAACTGTTGGCTGATTAAGAACCCTAGAAGATAATTTGTTAGTCAATCAATCATTGATTGAAGATTAATCAACTCTCTAAACAGTTGTTAGTTGTGATTTAAAGTTCCTCTAAATAAATGCATCTGCCATATGTTATAGTGAGATCAACAACCAAACAGATGAGCAAAACTTTGGCTTTCAGGCCTGCAGGTTAAAAAAGAAGCTATAAAGGACAGTGACTTTCAATGATATCCATCTTGATGTTCATGGCGGGGACACTTTGCACTACAGGTCTGTTTGGCAAGTCACTTTTTCACAACTTTTTTCCCTTATTATACCAAAGTTACCTTTAAAGTAAACTGTGTCATACTACACACCAAAGTAAATAAACCTTGTTATCTGTTTGACTGTTTTAACCTTCATTATAAGTCTTCTGCTTTTATAACAGTGCACCACAGGGATTCAAAAAGTTGTTTTAAGCTTCTTTCAGGGTGTTACAGGTGGTGTAATTGGCAAGTCATTAGCAGTCTTCATTTTATCCCACAGCGGTTAAATAGATATAAACATAGATACAAATGTGACTTCTTCCTGATCAGTGGTGAGCTTCTAACTTCTGTATTCTAAGTTTAAGTTTAAGTTCAGTCTTGGCATGGTTGGAGTTGGTGTGGGATGCTGCTGTTGTATTAACTTGGTGTGCTTCTGTCTTTCTAATGTAACCCTGATATAATGACTCACAGTGTCTTGTCTGTTATCGACAATTCACATAGTTTAAGACAAACACGTTGATAGCATTGTGCAGCCTGCTTTAAACTGTGCACATTTTAATTACTCTCGATCACACTGAGGCACAACTTAAAATCTAGTCCACTTCATCACACTGCCAACCACTACTTTCAAATTTCTCTATTATTAACAGGCATTTATCCTGCAATATATAGTATCCTTGTTCCTCCACCAGCAAGGTTGTGTGTTAGGTGTTGTTTTTTTACTTGTAATCAGAAATATAGAAAAAAATCAAAAACACATAATTGAAACAAGTAAGTTTCCTGAAGTCTTTGATTGGAATCAGATCTGACAGCAAATTTTGACATAATCTGATTCGTTTGATAATAAGATGCTGTAGTCATGTGAAATATTCATATACACTGAGCTGAAATGACGACTCTCCACTGTGACACAGCAATGATTTAACATTATTTTTATCGCTTTCTAAAGAAATCAAGACTAATATTTGCATTTGCAGGTTTGGGATGTGATTGGGTGAAGGTTTGTGTGCTTTAAGTGCTTCTCTTCAGGGTACCTTGTGTTTTCATTGAGCCTGTATCACCTGTCTTGGTGTTCGCCTGGTTGTTTTAGTAAAAGGTGGGTAGATCTGTAGCTGCTGTGCTGTATGACACATATCTATTCACTTATAGTGTATTTCTTTGTGTGTCTGTTGTTTCATACAAACACACTGGCTGCACTTTACTCTCAAAGGTCACGAGTTTAACAAAGCTGAAAATTTCCTACATGTCATGTTAGTGGTATTGATTGCATACATCATAGTAATCTAAAATATACGGACCTTTAAAAAAGATTTGATATCAAAAAGGATGTTTGTACAATATCAATCTCACCTCCCTTAGTGTCCCTGATGATGCTGGCTGCAGTGCATCCTGGGTAGGGTAGTTTTTCTGTCTGAACGAGTGTGCGAGCTGAAGGGTTTGATCGTGGGTGGAGTTTCCCTATCTCTCTTTATCAACGGCAATTTGTATGTGAGCGCTCACCTCTGTAGTCCCAGTGGGCATGGCGGATTTTATCAAGTTCTTAACCCCACAAGGCTCCAAATCCAGTTACCACTGTAAGTGTTTTAAACTGTTAAAACTATCAAACGCTCCATGCTGAGTCTTAGACCGCGTACACCCGGACCACATATGAATCTAACCACATTTACTTTACAGTTTTTTTTTTCTCATTAAATTTATGCTGCACAGAACACCTGTCATTTCCACCACTTTATAAAGCTCCAGTTTTAGACTGACTCTGATGAGATTTGGAGCTGTTTGTTCGAGTCACAAGTTTTAGCTCTTATTATATTGATTTTTTTAAACTTTCTCTTTTTATTGACAAATAAGCAAAATATAAAACACTCAAATGTGATACTGCAGTTCACCTTTTCAAAACACTTAATCATTACATTAAAGCTCTAGCGATGAACTCTCAGTTTGACTCAATTTTAGCGCCCCTTGTGGACAAATCAACCTTTGCTTGTTTTGTCCTCTACAGCAGAGGTCCCCAACCCCCGGGCGCTGGACCGGTACTGGTCTGTAGATCAATAAGTACTGGGCCGCAAAAAAAATAACAATGATTAAATAATTTATTTTTCTTTTCATCCGTCCTCGCAGTATCTTATTTTGAGATTTTTGTTATTGGAACCTCCACGCCCCTGCCCGGTCCTTGGAAAAAGTTTCCTGCATGAAACTGGTCCCTGCTATAAAAAAGGTTGGGGACCACTGCGTTAAAGCTCCAGTGAGGAATTCTCAGTTTGCATCAATTTTAGCGCCCCTTGTGGACAAAACAGCCTTTGCTTGTTTTGTCCTCTACCTGTTAGTGTCCTCTGACAGAATATCTCAACTTTCTGACTTTTGACAGTGAAATGTTTAATTTTACGTGAATATTTTGTGCAGTAATGTCAAAGGCAGGTCAGTTTCTTTAGCTGCTCAGTTGACACCTACATCCTCAGATCCATCTGAGGCATCAAAATTTACATTATAAAAAACGTTTATCTTGTTTCTTATGGTTTTGTTTGCTTTCATACATCATTAAAAGGCATAGATCTAAATTTCAGCATATTTCATTTACATCAAAAAACTCATAACAGTAGCTTTAAGTTTATTTACTATAATCCTGATGACTCAATTACTAAGTATTGATACTCACTGAGCGATAGATGGCTATTAGATGTCTACTTTTTTTAGACCCAATTTCAACCGTCTAGATTCTGTATATTTTTAGACTGAATTTAGACGTTGTACTTTAACCCATTATTCGATAACTATTTATTTCAAAAAGCAATTGTGAGTTTCATAACTGATCTCCAAGTACTTAACCAAAATAATTATGATAGCCGTTGAGCAATATACTGTGTAGTATAGATATAGCCCAGATTTAGACTTAGTCTAAATTTAGGTGTAAATCTTTCAGTTTTAGAGCTGTGGTAGCCTGGTCCTAGAACAGTCATCTAGGCTACATTTAGACGTCTATTACACCCTTTTTAGACAAAAAAAATGCTTAGTGGATAATCGTCAATAAAAGAAACTATAATGGTCCATATTCAAAGCTTCAATTCAACAATAGCTTTAATTACATTATTGCAACCAGTGTAATAAACTTGTGGGCCTCTAATGAGACTTTACTGTTACTTTAAAGACCATTATGCCCTGAAGGAAAACTTTCAAAGTTTAAAAGAAAGTGAGGGCCAATTATTGAGAAGAAAGACTTAATGAGAGGAGCCTTCAGGCTGACTAAGACAGACCAAACACCAGAAGTGACAGCTTTTTTTTCTCTCAATTGACTTTTTTTTCTTATATCCAGAGCTCAACACAAGCTCTTTATTCCTCACACTTTGCTTTCATTTTTTATGAGCCAAGAAAAGACGCTTTTTCAAACATGGCGATAACTGGGTTCTGAAAAAAAACTTCCTGGCAGCCCTTGACATCAAACTGCACAGTCAGAAAATTGACCTCATAACAGTCATATTTAACACAGGATACATTTATTCCCACTAAAGTCATTTTAAGACTAAGCTTCACAAAAAAAGTATGAAATAATATATATTACTTTAGTCTCCCTTCTTCTCTTGGTGTGTAGTTGTATTCTCTGCTTTGGCCCCCTTTCACTGCCTTGGTCTCATCTCCTTCACACAAGGACAAATGGGTAAGTCACAAAGTTTACCCTCCTTGAAAATCAGTGACCTAATTTTGTTGCATTATAGGCTACATACAGACATAACCACATTAGGAAAAACTGACCGCAAACATTAGCTCATTAATTGATTCTGCAGTCCAGAAAGAGAAGATCAAGTATTGATTTTATTGCGGTTGCCTGCCTGATTATGATCTCCTCGACTGGGGGTTTATTTTCCATTATATGATCACAGGCGGTCAATACTGATCAAAATAATCCCCCCTCTCTATACTCTCTTCCTTTAAAGTGCCCACTCTAAACCTATAGGCCTTTATCATATGCTTTATTAATAATCCGAACCTATTGATCCATATACACTTAAGGCTGCTTTGGCTGCGTTTAAAGGGTTTATGTGCAATACAAAGTCATGGTGAAATACATTTTCCCTTTGGATCAGTGGGTTAGACATGAGAGTAATTATGGGGTTAATAAAAAACATTATTAGGGAGAAAAAGTAAAGGGAGAGGAAAGAGTTGGGGGGTGAAAAAAGGAGGAGGAGGTGAAGGAGGAGGTAGAAGAAGCAGAAGGAAGGAAAGTGTTTGAATTATTATCCTGTATATGCCTGAGTGGACACGAGACAGAGAGCACGAGGGAGGAGGCAGGGTGCCTGAGTTGTTGAAGAAGAAAAAGATGAGAGGTGAGCCTGAAGGTGGGGAGGAGAGAGAGAGAGAGAAAGAAAGAGAAGGGAAGAAGGGTGATGATGAATGGATGGGGAACAGGGATGAGAGACGCAGCAGCATGAAAAGGCTGTAGGTATACGGGCTATACGGCGCGCGGTCCCGCTCCGAGGATGATGAAACGTTAATTAAAGTAAACGAGCTACCTGAGCTCCCCGGCTAACCCCCCTGTCACACCCTGTCAGGAGACAGAGAGACGGTGGGAGGAGGAGGAGGAAAGAGAAGGGGGGCATCTGAACTATAGAGAGAAGTTGGGTAATCCAGCTGTGGCTTTGGTTCAAGGTTAATTTCTGTCACTTTTACGCACAGTTTTTGCGCATGGTGGCCTCCGAATGTGCGGGACACTTTAGTGCTCAAACTTTGTTTTTGTAGAAGGTTATGCTTTCATCAATATGTGTTGTCGAAGTTTGAGTTTTTATTTAACTTTCAGGTTGTTTTTGCTGCAGAGATCTCCTCATTCGTTTAAGGGACAACAACCTCAAGAAGCAGTGCATGATTTTAGTTCAATGAAATCTATCAGAAGCAGAGGTTGCACTAACATGCATCCATTATTTTATGCAGGGGAAAGTAAGGCCCTTATTTTTCAATCCCCATCCTTTTTCCTCTATATGCATGTCCCCTCTCTGTGTATAAAATCCTTACTTCCCGTTCAGTCCACACAGAACGTTCAAGCGCCAAGATCACCTTTGTTTCTTTTTTTAATGCTCATATTCATTCAATTAATCTGGGCTCTAATTCGTTTATATATTTATTTACTCGCTCTCGCTATCACTCTCTCCCTTTTTTTCATCTCTCTCCAACGATTATCCCGGCGTCTAATTAGAAATCGATGCAGCTGGGCCGCCGGGTATTTGCAATGTGTTTGTGGACGTTGAGAACAATTCCCCGGACAGAAAAGACCGAGAGAAGAAAGAGAGAGGAAGAGGAAACGGCAACACAACACAACACTGCACTGCACTATATATGCACACACGCACACACACTGACAACCGACTTTACTGCTCGCAGCTATTCTTCTTTCTAAAAAGCAGCAGGCTAAGAGAAAAAAAGGAAGAATGGAAGGAAAGGAAAAATGAAAGGAAAAACATTTTTTAACGACTGACGCTTGGGATTTATGCAGAATTGTTGAGGAGTGTTTCCCTGTCTTTTAGGAAAACAAACAAATCTCGGAGTGGAAGAGCACTTTATATGTGCGATGGCCTGTTTCTAACCCCAGCCTGCACTTTAGTGCGTAAAAGTCCAAGGAGCCATTTCAGCTCAAAGTTATGACAATGGACTTGTAGGCCAAGAAGAAAATAGACCTTGGTTTAAATTAAATGTGAATAATCCTTGCGTAATTTTAGTCCAAATAGTGCGTTTTATTCTGAGGGAATATTCTGCAAACTGACGCGTAAAAGACGAAGAATAATTTTTCTCGTTTTTAGTCCCAAAAAAGTAACATTAACTTCTGTTTGTTTGATGGTTAAACACTTTTAAAACATTTTTTTGAATGTCAATTTGAATGTCTTCTTTTTACAATATCGTGAATATAATCTAGATAGTCTATATCTATCTTAATTTTGAGGCCTAATGTGAAAGTAGCAAGGTCAGGGAGTTTTTGGGTGAGAAGAAATCATGTGGTTGCGCACAAATATCATCATCTCCTTTTTTTTCTTCTTCAACTACTACTACTTTTTCGTCCTTTTCTTCTTCAACTACGACTACTTTGTCTTCTTCTTCCTCCGCCGGTGTTTGTCTGTTGTTCACACCGAGTCTGAGTCGCCTCCTCCCCGCCGCGTCCCATGGAGACGAGTCGGCATAGAAGCGGGTTAGCGTCATTACCGGAGCCAATCGAAGCTAACCGGATTAGCAGCTGCCAGCTGAAAAAAAAGAGAGGGAGAGAAGAGAGAGTGTTTCAACCAAGTGAAGAAAAAAAATAAATGTAAGGAATGAGAGCCCCGCACTTTTATTAGTTCAGCTTTTATAGCGCGGTGTGTTTACCGTCTGTGCTCAGCGTTTTATTGGCTCGCTCCATAATCTGTTTTTCACACGTTGTTTCTCCCTGTTCTCTGTGTTCATCATCCCAAACGAGATGCATCTCTCTCTCTCTCTCTCTCTCTCTCTCTCTCTCTCTCTCTCGCTCTCTCTCTCTCTCTCTCTCTCTCTCACCAGTCAGGAAGTGTCATAAAGGGAAATACAGTGTTGGAGTGTCACCCTCCTCTGCATGATGAGGAAAACTGAATAACTTGCCTTTTCTCGTTGTTGCTTCACATTTCGTCAACCCCTGTGATGCTTTGCTTGTGCCAAAACCATCAGTCTGGACTCCCTCTGTCTGTGTGTGTGAGTGTGTGTGTATAAGTGTGTGTGTGTGTGTAGCTTGCATGTAAGTGTGTGTCTTTGTTGCTGCGTGCACAAAGTCATATGTGAGCCTCCATCCTTGCATTCTCTGTCAGTCTGTCTTTCCATCTTGCACGCTCATTAAACGTCCCTCACACATATACACACAAACACACTCACACTGACTCTCCCTCTCTCTCTCTCTCTCTCTCTCTCTTTCTGAGTCTCTCTCCCTCTCCTTCTTCTTCTTCCTCCGCGCCTCACGCTCCCCTTGCCCGTGGCTATATGATCGTGAAAAATGTGTTTACAAAACTCGCTCTCTCGCAGATCAAACCATACGGACGAATCAAAGACTTTGGTGAGAGGAGAGAGAGGCAGAGAAGAAGCCAGTGAAGAGAGAGAGATAGAGAAAGGGTGCGAGCAGAGGGTGTGTAGAGGCCTTATAATTTTAAAATTCTCTATGTGTTATTCTCCTTTTTCTCTCCCTTCTTGTGTGTTTGTGTGTGTGTGGATGTCTGCCTGTATCTCCTTTGGTAATACAATATCTTTAAGGCCCCCAAAACAACTATCTGTGTCTCACAGTTAAACATGAGATAATGCAATATTGATGTCTCCTCGTCTTTGCTATAACGCAATCCTAGGCCCATTCTGGCTGGACACACTAACATGGGCTGAGAGTGCCCTCGCACTTAAAAGAATTACTGTGATCCTGCAATAAATTTTAGAGGGATGCTACACAAATATTAAGTCCCCGAAGGACTACAGTGAAAGCATAAGATGAAAATACTCCTGAAGTGGCATTAGGTTGCCTGTAGAGTGGGTAGTCTGCGCAAGAAGAAGTCGAAATTAGATGGGATGATTATTGCCTTGGCGGAGACTGATGGGTTTGGAAACCTTAGGAAGCATCTGAAACAAGAACGGGATTTACTAGCCAGGAGTAACGGTCAGAAATATCCGATAAACTCAATCATTAACCAACAAATTAAACCTAAAAAAGAGACCATTAAAAAAAAAAAACTATTTATATACTCCTAAAAGGTGATACACCTGCTTTTATGACGCTAAAAGTTGTCAAATATGCAATAATTCTGAAATCTCAATCCACAGGTTTAAAAAAGTGTAATTGGAGTTAAAATCTTTACGTCTTTTTTATGAGAAAAGACAAAAATAAGTGACAACAAGCACCTCCCTTTGACAGAAACTAAATGATTACTGTACGAGAGGAGAAAGTGTCCAAAATAATCATGAAACGACAGGACAGAGAGACACACAGTGGGACACAGGAGGGGAGGATGAGGAGTGTCAGTCTGTAGCTGAAGAAGAGGGTAAAGGGTGAGGAGAGGAGGGAGAGAGGGGCGGGAGTGGGGGGGCAGACAGACAGGCAGGGGCAGCGATTATAGCAGGGTTTATGTATGAGCTATTGATTGAGTCGGTGGTGACTTCTTGAGTGGTTAATTCGGGAAGTGAGAGCGATAGAGAGAGTAACTCACTGACCAGAGATGGGAGGAAGGGGAGGGGGTGAAAAGGGGGTGAGAGGATAAAGAGGAGAGATTGAGAGAGTGCAAAGAGGACGAGGGAGGAGATAAAGCTGCGTTTCTACTGGAAAACTGGGAAACAATGAAAATTTGAAAAGGAGCTGTACTGTAGATGAACTGGAGTAACTTTTGAGTGCTTTTGTTTGCTGAAATGTGTTTAATGTGCTTATTGACGGGGTCTCACAGACACTGCTGCTGTCAATACGAGACCACTCCCATCGCTGAGACCTTCGCCTGCACAAAAAAGGGACTAAACACACTTCAAAACAAGGACATTTTTTTGTGGGGTTTAATTTATGAAATATCGAGTCTAGTTACAGATTGAAAATGTTTCATTTTTTGACACAGGATTAAATGTTTGATATCATATACAGGTTATATTACGAAGACCTCATAAACAGGGGCCAGGGGCGTCCATAGGTTGTCCAGGGGTGACTTGCCCCTCTTTGAGAATCTGATTGGCCACTCTAAGTTGTCACAACAGAACCCTCAACTATGATTGGCTGTTTTCATTGTGAAAGGCAAGTTTAGGCTATGCTGTAACAGGCTGCTAGATTTTCTTTGTGCGGAAGTGTACTAATATATTTTTTTGATGCTTAAAATAGAAAAATATTTAACATATATTACATCAACAGACGATGTGACGAACAATTTTCTTCTGATTAATGTATTTTCGGTGGTGTGACTGTCCAGTTGTCTACCTCAATTTTCTGAGACTGTTACTCTTTTACAACTTTTTTTTGAAACTGACAAAAACCGAGACACATTTTAATAAGATTAATTTTTGATTATACAAATCTGTGATAAACTACTCAATCATAAATCTTTCACCATCATAGATATATACCGGAATATCTGTCTGACCTTGTTAAACTGCGCCAGCCCTCCAGAGCCCTGAGGTCAGCCAATCAGGTGATTTTAGACGTTTCTCGATCCTTTTTAACATCTAGGGGAGATCGAGTATTTTCTGTCGTGGCTCCCACTTTGTGGAACGCTTTACCCCTGACAGAGCGCACTGCTAACAACCTCACTTCTGAAGATGCACCTGTTCACTTTAGCTTTTGGGAGAATATAGCTACTTTTATTGGGTATTTTATTTTTTTGCTGTTTATCTATATTGTTGTTTTATGTTTTTATATGTTTAATAGTTTTTATAGTTTTTAATGTCTGGCTATTTTACTGTAAAGCACTTTGGTAGGCCACTGGCTGTTTTTAAATGTACTATATAAATAAAGCTGACATCGACATTGACATACCTGTATGACACTTGACTGTGTGAAGTCAAAGTAGATATGATGAAAGGAGTTAGGTAGCAGTGTTGTTTTCATTGACGATGACGTCATCGTCAATGAAAACAACCCTGGTGTGTGTGTGTGTGTGTGTGTGTGTGTGTGTGTGTGTGTGTGTGTGTGTGTGTGTGTGTGTTGGAGGAGCACAGCGGGCTAATGACAGCTGTCAGAGTGGACTGAAGCTGCTCCTATATGTTTAGCTTTTGACGAAATGCTCATGAATTTTGCAACTCTGTTCGTCATCCACCGCTAACGTTTTCGTCTAGTCTCGTCTCGTCAATGTAAACGCACATTCGTCTCGTCACATTTTAGTCATCTAAGACTAATGTTTAGCTTGTCAACGTCACGAAAATATTTTCGTCAATGAAAACAACACTGGTAGATAGACATTTTAAAGCTTTTATCTTATGTGTGCACTCATACTTCATGCCCCCCTCTGCTCCAGTGGGGTCCCCCCCAGTCACACACTTTGGACACGCCCCTGCTTAAATACTCTGACACTCTGGCTTTCATCAGAACTGTAGTTTATATAATTTCAAAACGGAACTGTTGTTGGTAAATGTGCTTTCACGTCTTAAAAATGTCACCTTAACTGTTTTTAAACAGCTCTTTCACCTCCTCACACACATACACACACACACCTTTCTTCTCGCTCTATAGGCGTGAAGTTGAGCCCATAGGACACTCATCTGCTCCATGGAAACAACAGATGGTTTCCTTGTTCTGACTGTGTCACCTTGTCTGAGGAAGTTAAAATCAAGAGCAACAACTTGGACAAGGAGGTGGTTCGCGCACGTGCACGTGGGGGGTAAGGCGTTTTTCGCGGCGCGAGGATTGAGTAGGATGGAGGAGTATCTTTGTCATGTGGAGATCGGTGGATTTCCAAATGTCTGCGGCGCATATTCATCAGTATTTTCGTTATCAATTCGTCTCTCATCTAGGTTTTTTTTTTTTTTTTTTTTGCTGGTAGGATATCCTGCAGTCAAATTCCTAAAAGCCGCGCGCGTGCGTAGGCTACGTGTGTTTGGCGTGAATGTGTGTGTGAGAGTGTGTGTGTGTGTGTGTGTGTGTGTAAAGGTCAGCTCGCCGGCGCAGTTTCTTTTCCTATTTCTCTTCCCTCTCGCGCAGGTTTTGATCTCTCAGCCGCGAGATCAAAGGCGCTCTCTGGCTATTAGTCAGCGCGAGCCATTGATCCCTCATCGATCCACGCGAGACACAGCCGCCCCGTGAACACCGCGCGAGGCTCCCCAAAGCTCCTCCCGCGCGTCCGGAGAGATGGAGAGAGAGAGAGATAGAGAGAGAAAGAGAGAGAGAGCAGGAGTGAAGGCAAAAGGAGGGAGTTTGAGCAATGTGTGTGTGCGTGCGTGTGTGTGTGTTTTTCTACTGGCGCGGGCAGAGCCAAACTGGAGCTTTTTCTTTGCCGCGGGACATGAAACAATGAGGCTCGAGCCGGTTTTAATAAAACGCGCTTTCCCTCCTTTCAACTCTGGCGCGAGGCGGACGAGCCGGCAGCGGAGAGCGATCGATAATTAATGACGATGAATAATTTAACCCTATCGATTGATACTTTTTTCTTCATCCCTTTTCCCCTTCTTTTCCTTATTTTCTTAAGGCCAGCGTACCATACCATACTAATACTGTTTCACGCGCTCACATCCTCATCTCCACTCACCTCGTCTTAAACTTGTTGGAGTTCTCCACCTTTCATCAAAGTCTGAAAAAAACAAGCTTTCTTATTTATCAGCAGCTATAATGTCCAAATTCATAACCTCACTGAACTTCACCTCACTGTCAGGGTCCTTAAATCTCTCTTCCTGAGTGACACTAGAGACTTTACAGGATTTTGTTTTCTCCTAAATTCATGTCCTCAAATTTATTGAAATACAAACAAAAAGAGAACACGTATTTCTCCTACCTTTTTAGACCATAAATGCTCATTTGAGTAAAACTGCATATTAATCAAATCGTTGAAAATTGTCCTTAGTAGATGCACAATTTGTCCTATAGTTTGGGATACATGTGCTGCTTTCAGATACACAAGAGGTAGTCAAAAAGTACTTAATAAATTCATGATTATACATTTTAAACATGCATTGGTTGTAATTTTCCGCACAAATAATATGTATTAAGGTCTTGTAGAGTGGTAAAGCCAGTTCAACATTGTCATTTTACCTTCATAGGTTGTGTTGTCAAAAATAAAACAACATGCGTTATTAGTAGAAGGTCTGTTATTGCCTCATTTTGATTTTTCCACAAAATGAAGTTTTTAAATTTTTCCTACAATTTGTTATAGTGTGTTTAGCATCTTCAGTCACAGGCTTCATAAACATAAGTTGTGCTATGGCTAGGTTTATTTATTTATTATCTGTTAGAGTGATATTTTCTGAGTCTGTATCACCCTCTTCTTACTTTAAGCTTACAACTACAGCTCTCAGCTACACAAGAGATAGTCAAAAAGTACTTCAATAAATTCATGATTATACATTTTTATCATGTATTGTTTGCAATTTTCCGCCCAAATTACGTGTACTTGTTGGCACATAGTCGAGTGGTGAATCCACTTTAATGTTGTCATTTCACCTTTCGTAAGTTGTTTTGCCAAAAATAAAACAACATGCCTTATATTTTAGTCGGAGGTCTGTTATTGCCTCATTTTGATTTTTCCACAAAATGAGGTTTAAAATTTTCTTACAATTCGTCAGTGTGTGTTTAGCAACTTCAGTCACAGGCTTCATAAACATAAGTTGTACTATGACTAGTTTGCTTCTGCATTGATTTTAAACTTCTTTTAATCGTTTTTAAAGCCCTCAGTGGTCTTGCCCCCTCCTTACCTGTCCAAGCCCCTGTATCACCACTCCCCAGCCAGAGCCTTTAGGTCCCCTGGCCAGTTACTGTTGAGGGTCCCGAAAACCAGACTCAAGTCTAGAGGTGACAGGGCCTTTTCAGCGGTCGCCCCTAGACTGTGGAACAGTTTACCTGTCCATATTAGAGCCTCTCAGACCTTAGGGTCTTTTAAATAATCTTTTAAGACCCCCCTTTTCTCCCTTGCTTTTAATAAATAATCACACAGGAATCAGAGGCACTGTAGCTTTTATTCTTTTACTGTCTGTCTTTTATTCTACTGTTTTTAAATTTAATTTTTATTGTCATCTATCTATTTCTTTACTTCTTTTATTCATCCCATGTGCAGCACTTTGTTTGACTGCTGTCTTTTAAAGGTGCTTTATAAATAAAGATCGACTTGACTTGACTAGGTTTATTTATTATCTGTAACAATGATATTTTCTCATTCTGTACTATACTTTCTCCTTATTATCCTTTCCTTACTTTAAGTTCATTTTAAGTTCATAACCATGGTGCCTGTGTTAGCCAATACATTCAGTTTATATGTCGAGCTTGATTTTACTTAACAGCGATCACTTTATGGTGAAACGTGGCATTAAACTAAAAAGTTTTTGGTGTGACTAAATAGGAATACACTGCTCTGTTTCTGTCTGGTGATATGTCTTGCTCATCTCTCAGAGTGAGGGGTTTAGGATCAGCTTTGCCCCTTCAAGTGTGGAGTAATGGCTGCTCTGTGGGAGCACAGAGAAAGTCAAAGAGGCTCTTGTAACTGCACATCTTTTTCAATACGCTGACAGTAATACACACTTCTCGTTCCTGTTGGTTTTGACATTACATTATAGTTTGAAGAAAAGTGAAAACAGCAAAATAAGCAGAAACAAATTCATTATTTTTCTATGTATTGTAAGCAGCATTCGACTCTTGAATTTCACCACTTTATGGATGATTTACAGTAAATAAAAACTTTGATTTAAATGCCATATTTCACAACAAGTGACCACCATATTTTGAGAGACATTTGCACAAATCAGTTATCTTCAAGAGCGAGTAATAGGTTAAATTTGAGCTGAGTTTTTTGGGGGTTTGAGGTTAAGACATGGTTGCACAGATGGGAGGTAACATGGTTGGGTTACACGTATATGTAAGCTGTATGTTTTGACATATAAGTGATATATCGTCTATTATTATTTCTTAAGAGGCACTGAAGGAGTTTTATCAAAATACAGCTAAGAAATCAAGTTAAATCAAATAATGTAGATGGCACTGCAGTAGTAAAAATTCATTCAGTTTTAACTTTTCTTTTAATATTTGGATGGACAGGTCCTTTTCCCTCTTCCTGACCAGCCCCCACCTCCTCCTCCTCCTCCTCCTTTGCTCCTTTCTCTCTCCCCTCCTCATTTCTCCTTCTCTCCGTCTCCTCTAACAAACCCATCGCAGAGTCCCTCTGTTCTTCCACCCTGAGGCTGACCAGTGTGTCAGAGCTAACCAGGGAGAGGAACAGAGAGAGAGGGAGAGACAGAAAAAAGCAAGAGAGAGGCAAGTAAAGAGAAAGGGAGAGAGAGAGGGTTCAGTCGGGCCTTTTTCAGGGGCAACCGAAAAAAGGAAGATGAGACAGATGTACTGAGCCCGTTTCATCTGGTGGAAAAGAAAGCGGGAGAGGCCAGACTCTTCATGCCTCTCATATTTTTCTATCTTTTTATATCGTGACCCATCACTCTTTCCTTCTTTAGACAACACTGGAGACATAATGTTGCCTGAATGTCAACCTGCCCCCCCTTCCTCCCTCTACCCCAGTCACTCTGCTGAATTTCAAAACACAGTCGGTACTACGCTGTGTTCCTCACACTGTTTCCTCCTCACTCCCGTCATGGCCTACTAACCCCGGTTCTGCTGAAGGGGCCTGGTCCAAAAGATTACCAGCCTCGTTGCAAACTTGCATCACTGTGGATCAGTCAGTCGTGTTTGAGATGATTTTATAATCCAAATACACCTGAAACCACCCAAATCTAACTCTGCACTTTTTGAAATATGCTTTTTATTCTTTTTGGACCCTTCGGCCTCAACATTGCCACAAGATATTAGCTCACCCTCATTATGAGCACACTAAATAAGACTTTATTCCTTTCTACCAGTGCTGTTATCCCAGTTAGCCAAGTTCAGGTGAAGTTAAATAATCCAAATAACACTATTAAAAATCAGACTCAAACTGTATTACTGAAGTACATTTTAAAATAGAATTTCACTGGGACAAAGAGATGATAAATGATGCATTTAAGAAAAGGAAGAATAATAACAAAACAAAATTTGGTAACACTTTACTTGACACCTATCTCTTTAATGCACCATAAATATATGTGTAATGTGTTATAATCATGTTATAGCACTGTATAACTATAGTAATAAACACTGATAGCTGATCATAATGCTTTATGGCAATAATCATAACACATTATAAAGCATTTTATCATGACTTACAAGGTCAGGTATTATAATGTGTTATAATTTGCTTATAAACTTGTATAGCTATCATTATATTATCATTATAAACACTCATTAATTATAAGAAAGCTTTATAACAATAAGCATAACACATTATAATACCTATTTTAATGCATTTTACATTTATTTATAATGCATTATAGAGAGGCATCTAGTAAAGTGTTACCCAAAATTATAAAAGATAGGTCGATAGTTGAGTAAGCTGCTTTCATTAAAACTTTTATGGTTTAAATTCACAGAAAAAAAAACTCTGCAGTTCTTCACAACTCAACTAAAACTTTAAGCTCCTTTCTGCTCCTTGTTTGGTTTTACAGTCTAGATCATATGCTGGATAAAAAAGGCGAGCGAAACAACAGCTCCCCAAAAGTAAAACCAGAAAATTTAAAGCCCACCCAGTGACTAGCTCCTGCAGAGACCATAAAACTTCCTTCTACATCGTAACAGATGCTACAGGAGTCAAACAGTGAGCACCGAAGATGTGGCTCTTGCCTTGGTGGAAATTTGCGGTGGGACCAAATAAATCATCTCCTTTACTTTGATCAAGACATGATAGCACAAACATTGACTCCTGTTCATGCACTTTCGAACTTGCAAAGTTCAGGTTGTGTTGTTTCAGTATCGGTTTTAAGTCCAAAATCTGTCAAAATTCCTTGCAATTCCTTAAATTAGTTAATGCTATAAAGAGACAATGTGATATAATGATTGACAGCTCAGTTGATGCTAACAGATCAGAGACAGAACAGTGAGAGCTTTGGTAAAGAAAAGAGGTGGGATGTCAGAACTGCTGCTGCTCCACCAGCCAGATCATGTCTCGGCTCCAAAACCCGTCACCAGTGTAAGAGGTGTTTTTATTTTGTGCTTTGTTATTTCATAATGTGAAAAAATCGAGGCATACTGTCCACATCTACACGATCATTGGTCTTTACTTGGTTTTGTTTCGCTCTCACAAGTGTCTTCTTCAGATACGACATTGTGAAACTTACTGTACATCACCGGCCTGAAAACAAACTACAGACTTCAAGCTTCAGTAAACAGTTTGTGATGAATGTTGATCATTTTTGTTGCTGAATAGCCCGTTGAAGTGGGTGAATATTGGACTTACGCTGACCAAAAAGCGAGGAACCAGACTCTGAGTGAATGCCAATGCGGCTCCTGTGTCTGCTGGACGTGTAAATAAGAAACTCTGAGCCAACAGGTCCACCATATGAACTTGTTGGATGTTATTTCAGAATTGTGTTTACAGCTTGTTTCTGTTGCTCCCAAATGTGATGTAGCTGCAAAAATGATTTGGCCTTTTTGAGACTTTTCTGGAGAGTTGTTTGAAAGTTTAAAAACAGTAACAGCAAAAAGCACTTCTCGGTTTTCGCCCCGGTGTTAGTGCACGGGTTCTTGCATCATTGTGTTGTCGCTAAAACCTGCGCGCTCTTTCAAGTGTTTACCGAGTTATCAAAGCCGGTGACTCATCAACACACCAGAGGACGAGCAGTAGGTGCGTGCGTTTGCTAAATCCGGCGTAGGCTCAGATGCATGTGCGAGACCAAAGCTGAGATTTCCTTTGAACAGTGAGGGCGCTTTTGTCGAGGTGTGACTGTGCGCGCTAACTCTGCGCCCCTGTTGTGTGCTTTCACCATTGTCGCTGCTAACTGTGTGATCCATCATTCATCCTTGGTTTCATTGGTGGCCTTTTGTAGGAACCAGGTCTTTTGTTTGGACTGTTGTGTCCGGAGTTGCTCTTTAAGAATAAAATGCATTTGGGTTTTTTTTTTTTTTTTGTCTGTTCTCATCTCTGTGTGCTATCAGCACCAAAGCATCTTTAGTAAACAAAGTGCATTCTGTCTTTCAGCTCAGTGAGATGTGTGTTAGTGTGTCTCTATTGATTGAGTCAATATCTATGGGCTCCATGTCTTATTCTGTGTGCTGCTGCCCGCTCTGTGTGTGTGTTTGTGTGCGCTGGGTACCTGAATACCTGTGTATTTGTGCTATATCTGCTGAAGACTGTGTGTTCACTGTGCATGTACGATCCATTACAATCTGTGAGCGTCTGTATCTGACAGCCTGTGTGTGTCAGAGTGTGTGTGCGTGTGTGTACGAGGAACAGTATTCCCTGGGCTGCTAGTTATAATGTTTCTGGGGGTGATGGGGGGAACTTGAAAGCCCTGCGCTGCCCAAATCAAAACTAACAAGGAAATGATGGGGGCTCCTTTATCTCCTCTCTGGCCTGGGGGGCCGAGGGGGGCGAGAACGAGAGACTAGGGAGGGAGAGAGGGAAGGATGAGGAGGAGGAGGAAAGGGAGGGAGGGAGAGAGTGAGGGAAGGGAGGAGGAGGGGGGCAGCCTGGCTTCCTCTTTGATTTGTAAAAAATGCATTACCTCCGAAATCAAACGGAAAATTACTGCGCCGAAGCAAAACACACAGAGCAGGAGAGAGAGAGAGAGAGAGAGAGGAGAGGAGAGGAGAGGAGATGGGTGGGGTAGGAGACAGGGAGGAAGAAAGGGTGGGTGAGGAGACAGAGGATAGGTGCGAGCGAGTGGAAAGAAGGTGGGAAAGAGGAAAGAAGGATTCACCTGTATACATATAGAGTGGATTGGGATAAAGAAGATGGATATAGATATAGGCGGTGCGTAGGTGGTTTGAGAGGTAACTGGAGAAACCCTGACAGAAAGGAGAGCGCATGTATCCGATCCTCAGAGGAGATAAGTGTATATATGCTGAGAGCCTTGAGAATATGGCAAATGAAAGAGCTGATATACTACAGATGACCTGTAGCCCACAGGAAAGAGGAAACTTACAGATTACTACCCCGAACAAAAAGAGCACCACGTTTTTGAAAGACTCAAAGCGGTCTCTGCTGAGGCCTTTGGTCGGTGTGAGTTTGGAAAACCTAGTGAATACAAAATAATTTGTGGAAAAATCCTGCGTGGAATTACGCTTTTATTTTGAAGAGGTTACTCCAACTGTTGTTCGAACCCTGTGATAACTTCGGCTCATTACGAGATAGCGAGTGTAGGCAGAGGCAGATGAGAAAAATAAGAAATGATAACGTGAATGATGCGGGGGGGAAAAAAGCGTGTGAACAAGATAGGATGAATGCCAACTTCATATCTGAAGACTAGAAAACAAGGAAGATGAAGAAAGAGGGAGCGGAGAGTGAGAGGAGCCACAATCCAAAGGCTAGAAAAGGGTGAGAGTGAGCGAGAGAAAGAGAGAGTCAGTCAGAGAGAGTGAGAGAAAGAAAGAGAGAGAGGGAGAGAAATGCCTGGAGTTAGCAATAATAATTTATACAAACACACCTTAATAATTCACGTTCTATTTCAATGCTGGAGGGAAAATCCAAAATTCACAGAGCATAATTAAATAGAGACAGAGAGTGAAGGGAGAGATAGAGGGGTCGGCATTAAAGATAGCAGTGTAGTAGCAGGGCATCGCTTCCATCCGAGTTTTGTAAAACAACCCTGATCAAAATGTGATTTCCAAACTAGACTCCGTCCTCTAGCTCATCATGGAAACACTGACATCTCTGTACTTTTAGCTCTCAGCAGACGGGCTCTTTAAGTTTTTAAAAAGACACTGCTAATATTCGTCCTTTTGCTAAAACATCCCGACTCCTCCGCTCTGATCACCTGGTCATACTAAAGTCACATTTATCAACATAACTACTTAATTTAAAAGGAATATAGAGGGAGAGAAGTGCTGTCAGAAACTAGTTTTGGACTTTCTTGAAACACAGCATGAGAAAAAGTCAAGACAACTAGACTTCAGTTAAAAAACATGACAAATACAACCCTTATGTCTTAACCAACAGACCACGCAGTTACTTTATTTATGAATGGTGTATCCACAGTCCTCTGACTTGATGTGTAGTCTTTATTTCTTAAAATTTGACTCATTAAATGGCAGCGTTGCATGTTAAAAAGCCTTTTTGTGCGTGTGTGTGTGTGTGTGTTACAGCTCAACTTCAACTAAGTTTTCAGGAGTGGATTTAATTCCTCCTGTTCCTAACTGCACTTTAGGGATGTCCACCATGTTGCATCAGACTCTGCCTCAGGTGGCCACACAAGATCACATCCATCAAACACCTGATCTCTACCCGAGACATATGAAACATAACCTTGCCATATTTCACATCGATTTAAGGTCTGATTTTGAACTAATTCAGCGCCCTTAGACCCTTATGCAATACCTCCATTTTTCAACAAAGTTTACACTCTTGAACTTCAGCTTGTTGGAGTAAACTTACTCAGGAGCTGACTCTGGATGTAACAAATAATTTGCCACGGAGTTTCTTGCCTCAGATTTTTATACTGCAGTATTTAGAGTTGTGTGTGTGTGTGTAGAATCATTGGTCAGTAATGATCCCTGTAGACTAACTTTTGTCTCCTTTGGTGTGTTTGATTCCAGGTGTTGTGGAGGCATGGACTGTAACTGCGTCAGTGATCTGCTGCTCCCTCCGGTGCCCGCTCTTTGGACGCCAGGTCAGTTAACAAGAAAATTCTGTGTTTTTTTTTTTCTTTTAACAGAGTACCATCATCAAATCAAATCAAAATCATAGTCGTGCATGTTTGAAATAAATCTAGATTTTTACAGAAAAAAATTATGCACAGGCTTTTTGGTAAACAAATTCAGTCTCTGGTAGTAATTGGTTGTATTTCTAATGTTTTTACAAGGCTAGTTAGTGCCAGATTCACCCCGTAGGTGAGTCAAAAAGCTGCTTTACTCCATCCATGTTATGCATACAGTCGGCTTTTAGAATTCAGGCCCGTGCTGCATCAATCAGATCTCTCCCAGCGAGCTGTCATCATCCCGCTGACCAATCTGTTGAGGCTAGAGGGCATTAGCGCAGACTAACATTGCTCAGGGCACGTGCTGTGATATTAAACACATCATCCCTCACCTCCATCACTCATCAGTCATTCAGACAGCGATCCCCCTCGGCAACCGGCGGGACAAATGACAGGCCCTGACCTCATCCTCCTCTCTTTCCTACTCCGTACACCCAGGGTTCGCCTTCCCGGACTGGGCCTACAAGCCCGAGTCGAGCCCCGGGTCCAGACAGATCCAGCTGTGGCACTTCATTCTGGAGCTGCTGCAGAAGGAGGAGTATCAGGGGGTGATCGCCTGGCAGGGGGACTATGGAGAGTTCGTCATCAAGGATCCAGATGAGGTGGCCCGTCTGTGGGGGATTAGGAAGTGCAAACCTCACATGAACTATGACAAACTCAGCCGAGCACTGAGGTAGGTGTTTGTGAGTGATGCGATGAATATCAAGCGATAACACCGTCGGAGTCAGATAAGTCACGGCGGTTATTGCAGCAAAGTTAACATAAATTGTTTACTCCTCTCAGACTGAATCCTAACCTGTTTTTTTTTCTTCATGTGGGTTTAATGGAAAGATAAAGGTGGAGCTTTTTCTCAGGGAACGTCAATATCTTCAATTTCTCCTTATCTGTGGACATCCTAATGGAAAGTTCACCATTGAGCTGCCAAATAAAAAATTCAATAGGGATTTCGAAATTAAAGCTCCAGTATGAAATTGCTTGGACTTTCTCCTTCCTTGTGGTGCAGAAACTGCCTCAGCTCTGAACTTGCTGAAGGTGATTAAAACAACTCACACTCCACACCTTCAGTGTTTTTTTTACACCCCCCTACCGCACACACGATTTTCTTATGCAAATAAACGCTACCCCGACTTATTCTCCCACCCACCCCCCTTCCCTTTTTGCTCTTTCCTTTGGCCTCTTGTTAATGGGGGCTGTCGTCAGAGTCTAATTGTTATGAATTGGCTGGGGCCACAATTAGCCTTCTTAATTAGCCTCACTTAATTGCTCAATTAAGGGCCACAGCGCAATTGCCACGCAAAGCAAAACACATACACATCATTGCACCGGGCGCAGCCACTGTGGCTACACGCTGATCCGTACATGCTGCTGTGTGTGTTGATACGTCGCGTCTGCATAATGAGGCGAAGCTCAACAGTATTTAATGCTGAGCTCGTCTAATGCATTCTGGATTTGCTGCATTTTAAAACAAACAAATCCAACCGCTCATAAAAAACAGCAAGTCAAATGTAAACTTCTGTCTCGCGAGAACAAACCTACAAGTTTTTCAATTTACTGCAGCCCCCCCGCCTCCTTCTCTTTCCACTCTTCCCTTACCTGGGCCAGATGGCTCCATGTTTCCTTTTACCGCTGATCAACCTGGCATCCTGGCAGACCGTACACTGTGACACCTCCGTGGGTGGCGCAGGAAGCTGGCATGACGGCAGCTCGACATGCCCAGCGGGAGACACCTGAGGTCGTTACCATGGAGATTGTCTCACCTTTCTGTAAATGTGCTTCGCCTGGTGGAAGCATTGACGGCTTCTCTGTGTCAATTACATTCACGCTTCAACTAGCCTGCGAGTTTTATTTCAGAGTTGAAACAGCTGACAAACAAGCAAATTAAGTATTGTACACCCTGAAAGTTTAATTTTGGGTTTTTACACTTTATTTATAATTTTCAGGACAACACTTGTTTCTTTTAATTTAATAATAACATCATTTTAATCACAATCTAACACCTGTACTCTTTAATTTTGAATCGTAATAGCCGTATGTTGTCCTGTCACAGTGTTGTACCTCTGCTGTTGCTTAACATTCACTTTACTGTATGTTAATGGCCTCTGTAGCTCAAAGGGATTCATCTTTTTGACTTTTTGTCTGTTAACAGCTGAATAAAATTTCCCTTTAAACGAGCCTCTCATATTGAATCAAGGCAGGCAGACATGAATTGATTGGAGGTAGGAGGAGATGAATAAAAACAGTGGGAAATCAGCATAGCTCTCGCCCAACAGCACTGAAATTGTTTACTTATTCTTTCTGTTAGCAATGAAGCACAAAAACCTTGATGTGAGCATTATATTAATCCTTCCCTCCTCTTTTCCTCTTCCTCTTCCTCTTCCCCTTATCCCTTATCCCCTCACTCCATCCCTCCTTCGATTTCCTCTATTTCTTCTCTGTTGCAGGTATTACTACAACAAACGCATTTTGCACAAAACCAAAGGAAAGCGCTTCACCTACAAGTTCAATTTCAGTAAGGTGGTGCTGGTGAACTACCCCATCTTGGATATGGCAAACTCGCCCTTCTTTCTGGCCCAGAACCACTTCAACGGGGGCTCGACCGCACCCGACTGCAGCCCTGAGGTACGAGGAGAACGATGGGGTGACTGGGAGAAGGGGGAACAGGAAGAAGGATGTATATCGTGAGATAAATATGCAGATAATTAAATATTACTGCAAAGAAGAATTAGAGCACTATGAGCGTTTGCAATAAACTCCTCCCGAAAATCTGAATTTATCATATTGAATTAAAGCTTCTCCGTTAAATATAGTTATGTTTTACCTGTTGGATGGGGAACCGGGTATAATAATAATGGCCATGCTTTTGCATCATCTGTCAGAATAGCTTGAACTAGTTGTCAGCCATCCTCAGATTAATTGGTGGAAAAGATGATTTTCAGGTTTATTCAGGACAAGAGGAACATGTTCCAAACATTGTTAAAGGCATACAAACAGCAGGTAGAAATACTGATTAATTATTAAGGCAAAAACGCAGTCAAAATTTTTTTTTGTCACTGCGTTTCACATCATCGTCCCAATATTGAAGAATGTTGTTGCACACTGCAGCACACTGCGTCTTTCACTCTCACATCCTGCAGACCTACAATGAAACTCAGATGAGTTCTCTCCCCCGTGTTTGTAAAGCAGCACGATTACACGACATAAAAACAACAAAAGAGAAGCTTTTGGTTTCACTTTTTTTTTGATAAAGAAAAAACTAAAATGAAAAAACATCAGACATGATATGATAGAAATTTAAAAATCCACACACCTGAGAAAAAAGACTCACAAGACAGAGTAAAATCAGAATTTCATCAATACTAAATTTAGCCCTTTAATTTCAGTGCGTCTGGCTGTCAGGTAGAGTAAATGACATTTAAATACACAGGAGTTTTCAAAGAACAATACAAAGAAAAAGGAAGGAGAAACAGCAAGACACGGCTCTCTACCCCTTAAATTTTTTATTAATAGGAATTAAATTCAGGTAACTGAAATCCATTTTACTCCAGTGATTTTGCTCTTGTATCTCAGGCCCCTGCTGTGCCTTTTTTTTTTAGCTTTTAACACAAGAATGGGTGGTATCATTGTGCCTATCTTTTATTCACTCTGTAATGGAGATATTAACAGAATACTTATTGTTTGCCCTGAGAGATTGTAAATTTTTACAGAGACAAATTGTATCAGAAGAAAAAAAGGAGCAAAAATGCAGCTCAGAAACAGTATTATGTCTTCAATTGTAACTTTATTAGGGTGATAAGATATTTAGAGAAAATGAAACTATGATTAAATCAATTTGAATATTTTAAATTCAGCGCTACATGATAGATGTTTTCAGACAAATGCTTGAAAATGACTTTTTTTTAATTTGGATTTTGGGGTTTTTTGCTGGCGTGCCGCTGATTTTAATTAACATCAGCCGTCCTAGAAAGTGCCTCGAACTTGAAAGTACAGTAAGAAAGAATCATCCGTCATTTGTCTTTGCTCCTCTTAAGACGGGATAAGGCGAGACACGCTCTGAAGGAGACGGTAAAAGAGAAAGAGGGGGGGTGGTTTTAACTTGTCCTTAAAAAAAGAAGACGTTATCCCCTCCTGCTCTCATCCCCGTCTCCGATGGCGTATCCATCTGTTATCGATTGAAAATGAAAGAAATCGAAAGCAGAGGGGTCGTGTTAGATCAGATCAATGGTGGGTCATTAATGCGGTTTGTTAAGCAACGTGGATCTTGCGGCTCGGGAGTACAGTCTTATCTTTCAAAGTTGCGGGGCTGGGAGGTGACAGATACTATTGATCCAAAAGTCCTGCTTGGGGGGGAAAATCCCCCCTTTGTCCCCTTCATTCCTGAGATTCAACTGATCCGTTTGTTTTACCTTTGCCTCCCTCTTCTTCGTATATTTAACACACACACATTAAAAAAAAAACAGTCACAGCGACACAGAGCTGTCTTACATCCCGAACACTCGTGACTTTCTAAGATCTCTGTCCTTTTTGTCCCGTGTCCCTTCTTCTCTCGCCTCGTCATTTATCTTTCGTCCCCACAATCTTAATCTCTGGTCTCCATTTGACTCTGAACTCTTCCTGCCTTTAAGTAATTTGAGCCTCTTTGTCCCCCTGTGTCTCTTTCCTACGCTGAGTCCCATGACGCCTCTTTTTATCCTGTCCTTGCTGTGACTCTGTCACTGTTGGCATCAAAGTCCACAGAGTGCTCCACAACACGGCAGCACCATAAGGGCGGAAACATAGGAAGGACACGTGTTCTGTCTGGGAATTACAAATCAAACTTTAATATTTCTATCTTCCTTTGTTTCTTCTTTTTTGTCACTTAGGCCATTCAGTCCCTGTTTCCTCGTTTGCCGGACTCGGGCAGGGGGACGTCTCTGTTCGACAGAGGGACCACAGCACCAGGGCCTGAAGGAGACAAGCTGAGACTGGACACATTCCCCTTCCTCAGTTCAGGTAAGGAGGAACCCTGCCAAAAAGTAGGAATCTTAAAGTATCCTAGAGACAAAACCTTCGTCTTTGTGAAGGAAAAAGACAGCTTGTATGGAGGGCATATAGGTGGTACATACACAGAAAGAAGGAAGGAAGGAAGGAAGGAAGAGATGGTGGAGGAAAAAGAGGAGAGCAGGGAGAGGAATGAGGATATGGGGAGGCATGAACATTTATTGTTAAAGGAAATAAGAGAGATGGCTGTCCCATCGCAGCCTGCAGTGAGGCTCTGCTTCAGGTGAAATAGTCCAGGTTAGGTTTTGAATTATGCATTTCAGCGGCGGTACGGAACAAGTTGAAGGCTGAAGGAATCATCCTTTCAGCCTTTTTTAGGAAAGATTGTTCACGTTTTGAAAACTTCTCCTTCGCACCGCTCTCAGGAAACGCAGCCTTGATTTTTGTACGTTTGCTCTAACGCGTCTGCCTTTGTTTGTACTTGAGAGCTCTCTGTACGTGCATCAGAATGTGTGTGATTGTGCCACAGAGATAGGGAGCATGTAAACAGATGTACCAACACACACACACACACACACACATGCACTCTTAATCACACAGCCTGCCTCCCCCTTATCTCCCTCCCTACTCTGTTTGTCCTCAGGTCCTTTCCCCCCCCTTCCTCCCTTCTCACCCTCCTCTCCCTCCCATGTGTCCCCACTGTCCTAATCCCTTCCCAGGCAGGAAGGCCCTAATTGAGGGTGCAGGCTTCAGTTTGTGGCCTGTGGGCGCCCATTACTGTGTTTTCATAAGCAAGTGAGGCCTGCCTGACTGATTCAATATTCATGTGTCTGCCAGCTACTCCTGGCCCAGCACGCAGAGACTTCAGCACTGTCAAATTAGCCCTGCATAGTAAATAACAGAGTGAAAGAGAGAGGGAGAGAGAGAGAGATAGAGAGGAGGAGAGGTGGAGGGTGAGGCAGAGGGAAGAGAGAAGCTTTGAGTTGGTTGTCAGTTGGAAGGAAGTACAGTAGATCGAGCGGCAATGTTTTTGTTTGTTCATTAAAATTGAATCCCAGCATCACCTCAAGTTTACCTCATTTCTCGGTTATCAAGACGCTAACAAGGAGCTGAATTAGGATAAAGCGATGACCTGAAATTGTCTGAAATTGTCTGAAATTGTGCGATGACATCGCAGACCTTTCTGTGGAGAGAGTTTGTGAAGTTTCCTCACTTAACCTGGAAGTGCAGGGACCGCTGTGCTGATGCATTCTTTAGAGTCTCAGGTGGATTTTGTTTTGGCACGGTGACTGTCACCGCTGTAATGATGTACAGTGGAAACAGAGATGTGGAGGTCTCCGTGTATTTCCCTTTCAGCAGGCAGACATAATAACCCGAGATGAAAACAACTCTGCGTGATTACTGGTTTGATTAGTCTGAGTTTCAGTGCCCACTGCAGTGTGGTTTCACATGTGGTTTGCAGCAGTGTGAAGTGGGTGTACTACACAGTACTGGTATGCATAAATGAACCATCAGGTTTTTTGTTAAGAGCAGCCGTGCCAGAGTTGGCCCCTGTGGCTTCTCATTAGACTTGCTAATACCGATGAGCATAATTAGAGAACATTCTTAGATGCTGTATGTCAAGAAACCTTTGGCCCCTCTGAGTTTTAACCTCCATCTCTGGGTTTTTCTTCATCCTAGGTGCCCCATGCTACTCCAAACCCCCGTCCCTGTTGGGCCCGTACCCACGCAACCCACCCTTCGACTACCCCTGGGGCTTCAACCCCTACCTCCCAGGGGCCTTCTCTCTCAATAACTGCCCCAAACTGCCCCCTGGCTCGCTTTACCCCTCCCAGTTTTACCCCAACCCTTTGCAGAGCAGCCTTTCCCAGCTGCCTCACCCCTTCTCCTCCCTTCTCCCCCCGGGGGAGGCAGGTGGAGGTGAGAGGGGGGCAGCAGGGCAAACCGGAGGCACAAACGGCACGGCGGGTGGTCAACCAGTAAGACTCTGCCTGCCACCTTACCCGGGGAGCCTGTCGCTGGGTCGGACAGACATTGGGGCGTCATTGGTGGAGAGGGACAGGGTGGAGGCGAATCCTCCGGGCTCAGGTTTAGGCCTGGGTCTGGGGGCAGTCGGATTAGGAGCCGGGACTGTGACGGGCCAGCCGAGCCCCACAGAGAGGAGAGGAGGAGGGATGAAGCAGGATCCGGAGTCAGACTCAGACCTGGAGATCACAGATCTGAGCGACTGCAGCTCGGACAACGAGAACGAGCACGAGTTCGGCATCAGGAAGGAGTCCAGCCTGGCGGGCCGATCTCAGTTACTACTGGATGGGAAGAAAGGGAGCGCGCTGCCACCCATCTCCTCTCTTCCTCCAGCCGTGTCCCCTCATCCTCTGAAGAGCCTGATGCCCCTCACCCCTCCACCCCCATCCCTGCCTCCGTCGCTCTCCCCCTCCTTGGCTCTGCATGACAGACACAGAGAGACAGAGACTCTCAAAATGATCCACAGCTAATACTTTCTCTCCTGCGTCCACCATCTTGCCAGTCTGCGCTCTGATAACTCTCTTTTTCTCTCCTTTCTTTTCTTTGAGACACTTTCCTGCTTTAAAATGTCAACCCCTGATGGACACTTTCTCCAGGAGAGGCAGTCATGTCCTTTACTTCTAGAATTACCGTTTCCTTGTTTGCTGTGTAAGTTTTTGACTCGCCTACAGTCCATTACACCGCAGACGCGTCCATCCCAGCGTACATGTTTGAGGGTATTGTCTGTCCATATCAGCATCTTGTCCTTTCTGTTTTGATCTCTCGAACCAAATATTCGCTCCACGCTTTGTATACTTGTTAAACGCGTTGCCAGCAGGACTTTACAATTTGCTGTCTGCTGTCGGCCGTGCTATGATGGAAAGCAGCGAGGTGGTAAATTACAGCACAGCAACGCCTGCACTGACAAACATTAACAAACAACATCCCTATACTAACAGAACAGAACAACAAATAATGCTCTGATCGATCCAATTTTGCACATTTGTGCTGTAATTCTTGAGATTTGGACCATATATCCAAAATCACTGTGAGTTCTGGGACATAGTCAAATACTGCCACCTAGTGGTCCTGTCAGTCAACATCTCCTTTAATGAAATCATCTCATTACCTCATTGTCTGTCCTAAAGGGAGCTTGTTGAGGCGAAGTTTGTTTTGCACTTACTTTTAAAAGATTTTTTTTTTTGCAGGTTAATTTGAATGAATTCTTATTTTTAATAGTGATACCCGTGATAGTGTGTGAATTTTTATTTTGTCCTGTGGTTCGAGTATTTCCTGCACTTTTTCTAAAAAAAAAATTAAAAATAAAAATGAAAATAAAAAAGGAAAGAAAAAGAGAGCCGGGGGAGCAGGACCAATCTAGAAATTTGTATGAATATTTCTGTGTATATATTTTATTATTGTGTACATTACATTTAATTATTATTAACTATGATAAGATTTAGCTGTATTGTTGTGATTTAATTCAGTATTTAAACATGTCGGATAAATTATAAGCTTAGGTGTATTAAAGTTTAAATTATTAATGGCAGAAGATCTGCCCTCTGAAGATGTTTTTCTATGATGAGGACAGAGTTCACACTGGGAATCATCTCAACCCCAATTAATTGTGCCCTTTGGTCATTTTTGCCAGATGCCCAACATACAAACCCTTTGGGTTCAAAAATATGCCGGTAGACTTATTTTTATAGTTAGCATTCACCAAGTGTAACTATAATGTAATTAGTCTAATGTGAATAATATTGGTCTTTGCATTTTCTTGTTTAAATCCTCCCCTCTAAATCTGTTTTTGATTATTTTTCAATCAGTGCTTTTTGTCCACACCAGCTGCAGAGATATTTGGTTTTGCTTGAGGACATGAAACAGTGTTAGAAAAATGATTCAAAGACTGTTTATCTCTGCTCGAACAGATCTGATGAAACCACATCCTTTCAGCACAGAGTGACCACTAAAGCATATTGTACAGCTTCATAGCCTTTATATCTGATGGTTTGTCATACAGTGGCGGTATACGACTCGTTGTGAAAGCTCTATTGTAAAGTTAATGTAAAGCTCTATGTTTGTTGAGTTGCTACAGGACAAAGGCCCCCCAGTCACCTCCACGTGGAGTTCACCAACTAACAGCTGTAAATACTGTTTCCTCTGTGTGTATATGTGTGTGTACACATCCAAAAACAACAATGCAGTGCTTTTACCTGTCATCTCTTTGTTTTACTGTAAAGAGGAAAAATGGAAAGTGGCAAAAAAGAAGAAAAAGATTAATATCTTCAAAGCAATAAACATTATTCTGGATAGTGGACTGTTGTTGACTCTTATTTATTTGACCTTTATTTGGACGGATTTGTCCCATTGAGATCAGAGGTCTCTTTCCCAAGGGAGACCTTCAAAAATGGCACAAAGTTTCCATAATAAAAAAATCACACTTAGACACTAGAGCTAAATAAAGTCCCAAACAAGTGCTTACAGAAAGCCTGGCTTTCACCTAATACATTCAGAATAAGATTCAAAGTTTAAAACTATCGTTAGATTCTTCTAAAAGCTATGAGTTTGTTAAATGGATTCATCAACTCAGAAAATGTGACTTTCATTTACTTAATGAGATTTAAACTCTTATTTTCTTTTACTGAAATTTTACAGATATTCTTTAATATTAAATCTTAGAAAATTAAATACAAATTTTAAACTACACCATCAATAATTCAGATGTGAATGCAGATATCTGACACATTCTATGGATAAAGAACTTAGATTACAGGTAAAAATTGACTGATTTCTAAAAAAAAAAATAATCCACATTTTTTTGTGGTCATAAGATGACTGAAATCTTCTAAATTAAGAAAGAGAATGAATGTGAAAAAGTTTGGTGTCATCTTATTGTATTTGTCTGTTCGATGGTAGCCTTTCAGACACATTATAATATACAGCTACAGGCTGATTCAAACTCTACTGAGCGTTTCTTCTATGCAGTGTTACTAACGAGTGTTTAAGAGTTCAGGTTAAAATAAATCCTCAATTTAGTCAAACTGCGGCTGAGAAGGGATCGTGTCAGATTAAAGTTTCTCCACAAGGTGGCGCAAGACGACTGGAGCAGCAGCGAGGCAACCGAGGGGAGAAGAGGGGAGAGAAGTTTGATTACTGTGATCAACTCAATATACAGGTGCTCTGATTTCATGATGGACAAGTGGGCCTACATGTGCAGATTATTCATGGAAAAAGTCTCTTTAGGAAAGGGGGTGACTGCTGAAAAGAACCTTCAATTGAAATCAAGTTAATTCAGCAGTTATAGGTGGTTAAAGGGCAAACATGAGAGCCTTGTTGGACAAAACAGATGATCTGTTTGCCTTAGAAAATCACAGTGTGATATATCTCAGTAATTAGAGATACTAAAATGACATAGAGTTCACTCCTTAAGTTTTGCATTAAAATTTTGATTTTGACTTTCATGTGAGCTATATTGTATTGTAGGCTATATCAAATATTTAATAACTCAATGCAAATACATAATAAGAACAGATTAGGCAACTACACAGCACCAAAGGAGGGAAATTCTGGTTAATGCTTGTTCAACAGTTGACCTAATAGGGGAGAGTGGGGTAAGATTTCAGATCACTACGTCAAGACAATCATAGTTTTGTTTCTAATTTATGTATCTGCATATATTTCAAGGTGTTGTTCATCCCTGCAAACCAACAGAATGAGTGTAAACATAACTGTCTTGATAATTTAGCATGCCAAAAAAAAAGTGGTCTCCTATGGTCAACTTACCCCGCTTACAACTGTAAGCGGGGTAAGTTGAGCCGTATCTCTACTACGAATGCCTTTAAGTGATGCAGAACATTCACAGCTGTATTTTTGAAAAGAAAAAGTAAAAAATTTCAACAATCTGAACTGAAACTCTGATCCTCTCATCAGACTCATTTACTTTCTCAACTTACCCCAGAACTACTACAATGACTTTATAAGTCCTCTAAGCTAAAATGGTGGACTTTTATGCTAGGTTTTTGACCTCATATTGTAGCTCTTAGATACCACAATTGATGTATAAAACACAATTAAAATGATCTTTTTTTGGTTTGAACACAGTTCTAATAAAACTTATGACAGACTCAATTCACTTTCAGGAGTGAAAAATTGGACATAAATGTCTAACCCCTTCACCCATGTGCTTCTAACCTTCACAGACTCCATGAATTGATGCCCATCTCCTAAATATTTGGTCACATGATCAATTTCTTTTACCATTTCTAAGCAACAGGGGGTGGATCAATTTACCCTTTGGCTCAACTTACCCCACTCTCCCCTATTGGTGCTAATATCAAAGAATTAGTAATATAAATATTCTGTGAAATGCCTCGAAGACTTCATGTCTCTGAAAACAAAATTAGAAAATGAATGATGTTAAAAGTAAATACCAGGCTAATGAAGTTTGTCTATTAAGGGACAGAGCGGCAGAGTTTGGTGGAATCAAGTGAGGGAAGGGTTACTGTGTAACACACTGCGGAAACAAGCCGCTAAAACTCTTTATTTTTAAACTACCTACTCTCTAACCGTGAAAAAACTAACAGAGAAGAAGCTTATTAAGTTATACATTTTTAATGCTGAAGAGTAACTCGTGTAATAGATCGTTTTAATTACCTTCAGTAATTTATATTTTCGGCGGCTAATAACCCCGTGGGTTTTTTTCCCCTTTTTTTCTGCATGTGTACTTCCGCGTACAATGTTTTTTTCCCACTGACACACGACAACTTTCGAACACAGGAAACCTATCAGACGCTTCGACTGTCGTTTCTTCTGTATTTACGGGGTGAGTCCTTCATTTTAACACGATGCTTAGAGGTAATTGTAGAGAGTTTGAGTTGTAATGACGGTGAATTTAAAGTCGACATGAATATTAGTTTTACCGAGAGAAACAGCAAACCCTAACCCTCCTCCTCCTCCTCTACCCTCCCCTGCTGCAGACGGCAGAGTCCACATACAGGAATGCGGTGCTGCGCACATAGACTACCTCCTATATGGATTAAAAGGACATTATCACAACTTTATTAAACGTTTCTGTTAAAGAAATGCAGCACAGAGACTACTTTGAGCATTGTTGGGAAACTGAACGCCTGTGTGAGAGGTGGTTTGTTGGGTGAAACAGCCTCTGGTAGCAAAGTCTGACGGTGTGTATTTTCTGGGAAAGTCATAGAGGATTTTACGACTAGACTTGTTTAGGTCTGATCCCAAACTGCAAATCACTTTAATATTCTCTAAGGGAGCTGTGATGTGTCATTGGCAGTCAGGTGGGGATTTACAGCTGGTGACCTTGTGAAATTTTATCCCCCTGACATTTATCAAGACTTCTGTGCTTCTGTGTTTCTCGTGAAAAGTTTGGTTTATGAACCTGTATGTGTTTTCCTCTCAACGACTCTGTCCATTTGTACGGAAGCCCTACGTGGTATGACTTCATTTCAGTTGTGTGGAGTTGCCAAATCAACCACGAATGATCATAACTCATATCCTCAGAGTACAAAACAAACACAGAAATATGCATAACTTATCTCATTAGTGCGGGCAACGGCAGGTCTAGTCTTTCACAGTGTTTTGTTTTCTAGATTGATAGTTTTTTATCCCTTTTATTATGAGAAAACTTAATTATCTTGAGATCCTAAGGTATGTAGACACATTTCAGAGGGAAAACCAGCTTTCTTATACCATTATATCAAAATGAATAACTTAACTCAACTCAACTTTATTTGTAAAGCACTTAAAAAAAACCATAGCCGAACAAAGTGCTGTACATGAATAGACAAAACAATGCAGACATAAAAAACAATCAAGAAACAGTTAAAACAATGGATAAAACAAAAGCAGATATTAAAAAGTGAAACATAATTTCAATGTTTTTTAAAAAATAATTTAAAAACAATAGAAACAAATAACTAAAAACAAAACATAAAACACTAAAACAAGAGCCGAGTGTCATGTAGGGTTGGGAAACAAATATAAAACTTTAAGTAAATAAAATGTATGGATGCATGTCTGTTTAGGGCCTCCCTACTTTTGTAACAATAGCTCTTAACAACGTGATTAGAGATTTAAGTAATCAGCGCCAGATCAGGCTTTTTGTTTCCCTCTGATTTACCCATCGGCTTTGTTTTGTATGGCATGAAAAGAGGCTACAAACATGCAGCACAGTCCCCCCTCTCCCTCCCTCTTTTCCTATAGGGCTCACTCATTTGATCAGCCTATATAGAGTGGGGGTTTGAGTGTAGACAGAGCTCAGTAATTAGTGTCTGCTTATAATTGATTAGCCCTGATGATATTGCCCTGTGAAACAGAGGACAGTGCCCGTGAAGAATAGGCGAGAGTTTCCTGCGCTCAAAGGAAGCTGCAATTACTGAACATCTACCAGTGTGGCTTTATTATCACACTGCAGTCGTTAACTACAGACAAGAGGCTGGAGCAGTACGGGTTGCCAGTTATTAGTCATGTTTTCATTAATCTCCTCAAAGAACGGTTACGGTTGCATAGCCAGGTTGCCAGTCCAGTTTGTCTTATTTATACTGCTGTGACTTTCACTCCTCCAGGGTTTGCAGTCTGAAAAGTTGTCTCATCAAAGCAAACTTATATTCCCTGCTAATTTTAATACCAGTTTTACTAAAACGCTGCCATATAAGTGTTAGACTGTGACGTGTTCCCAGCCAGCCGCTGCACCCCAGAGGCCCCATGTGAAGCAGGCCCTGCCACTTCCTGTTACGCTCTGCTAAAGGAGAGAAGCCCTGCACTTGTCATCTCTCTCTTGCTCACTCACTCACTCTCTTTCTCTCTCTCTCTTTCCTCGTTTTACTAGTGCAGGCTTGTCTGGAGCCCAAAGGCTACCTTCTCTTCCTTTTAAAGGAATGTTGGCTATTTAATCCGAGTTGCTGTGCCACTTTTTACCTCACTGTCTCGCGCTTTCAACGTTGTTGCAGGCCTACGTAAACTCACCCACATGTTGCAGCCCCTCACGATGTTGGAAGACAAACTCTGATGAAGATACAGTGAGACATTACAGCCTCTATTAGCTATCTTTGAGGAAAACCCAACAACTGTGATGACAGGTAATGGCACCCACCTCTTGAAGAGCCGGGGGGTGTCCTGAGGGCCTGAAGCCGTGTTGCAGGCAAGCTAATAATTTACTGTAGTCAGGGCCGGACTTCAAAGAGAACACAGGTATTCTTCTCTGGCTGCAGTCAGATTGACGCACAGGCTGCAGATAATGAGAGACAGAGCGGACTGCAGGGCTCTGCTTCTCTTCGCAGGTCAGCGGTGAAATCTGCTGATGTCTCCTGAATGAGCTCAGTGGGTGAGATGGGGTGAAGATACTAAGGTGTGAGGAAGCATGAGTGCATGTCAAGTGAAAAGGAAGATCACACTGTTCTGTGGACACAGCCGCACTTATCTCTGATCAAAGCAAGGTGATAAACTAGAAGGTGTCAATAGATGTTCTCTTTTATTCTCTCTTGTATAATTTACAGTTGTTTGCTGGTAGTGTTGAGTCATCTGGATTTTTCAGTGTATTTATGCAGCACGATTTTTCAGTATTTACTGCATAAATAACCTGATATATATTCCTAATATTTTACTCTATCTCTAAATGGCTAATTACTTGTATCTAATATACAATAATGCAGAGTATTTGCACTAAGAAGCATGTTGTAAAAAAGGAAATAGGAAAATTTTTGATTTCTGAACTTTTTTTGTATCTGCTTGATTATCGTCACACCTTAATGAGTCACTGTAACATTTGATAACAACACTATACCTCATAGGTTGTAACAAGAGTGGTCATATCAAGGAAGGCAGTGTCCTTGCTATCTTGTTCTTTAGTCAATCAGTGCTGATCCATTAAAAACATGTAATTTTTTGGAGTCACACCAGTGATGTCAAGGTTATTAAGGGTGCCCTCCAATCCTCAAGTCTGGGGATCCGAATTGTTAAGAAATAAAAGTGTCAAAATTTCTCATTTTGGACACAATAGTTTGTGGGATTCATAGCTGTCTCTGCTGGAAGGGTAAACTCCTGTGATTAGTATCGGGATTCAGATTTGGCAGAAGATGAGAGATGGATTCTGAAATGGGCGGTGGGACAGAAAGTAGGAGAGGCCAAGATATCCTGACTTGATATGGGCCAAGCACATAAAAACACTTGATCCTTGAATTCCAATAATGCTCCTCTAATATGTCTTTCATTAGACCCTCTGTGCCTGGTAAATACCAAGTGTCAACCTCTGATCTTAAGAAATGAAGCCAGAGTGGAAGTGCTAAAAACTGCAGTTCCCTAAGGGTCTACTTGGAGCTGGCTGAAGAAGCACCGGAGCCAAAAAAGCCAATTTTTAGAGTAAAAACAAAGACGATTACAGTCTGGTTTAAAAACAGCTTGGGTCTGAATAGCTCAGGGCTCCCATGGCACCCATTGTAGAAGGAGTGAACTTACAAGATTGGCATATCAGAGGCACGGCTGACTTGACAGACAGGTGGGCATATCTGTGTGGTGGCTTGTGATGTTGACATGTAGTCATTTTAAGACTGGTTTGTGCTCAAGTTCTCTTTTTTCTGTACAGCTCTGTTTTTAAAAGTATTAGGGGTTCATGTTTTCTATGATTGACACCTGATACAGCCTATGCGCATAAGAAGATTGCGTAACTCACCTGTGGGATACGCTGTTTGAGCCGAGCGTCATCACGGCGACTCTCTGCGACTCTCCCGCCAAATGCGTACAATGCTACTGCGCAATGTTGGTTTCCGGAGATGAAGAAAAATCGCGGAAACACTGAGAGCTTTTCGGCTTCAAATCTGTGTACTGATGGAAGGCGGAACCAAATTGTCCATAGTATAGTTTATGGTAAATACATCATACAAACCATCCAAATCTCCATGCTTAGACTGAGATAACCCAAATGACATCATTTAGGGATGTTTTCTCCGCCCCTCGAGGATTAGGTCTGATGGGACAGAAAGACAGTTCACCACGTTTCTTTTTCCAGCTGGAGGAATGAATTGACCCAAAGAGCAGAGAAGATCAATCTGGACAGGAAGTCCTACCATTAGGGCAGTCTCAAAACCCTATTAATGGACTCCTGACTATATATCAGATTGTATTGATAGAAATACTTGTTGATGATGGATATACAACAAAATTATATATTTGCATAGCATACTCACCAGTGATCGAAACACATAAGTAATGGTGTACTCTCCAAATGAACGGTAAATGAACCACGAACAGGCCCTGCTACACATTGTTAGTGGGATGTTGGTCCCAGTGCACATTGTTGTTATCATCACGTGGTCTCGATTGTGTGATTTTTAGGATCTTGCAAGTCCAGCTGCGACACATGCTTCCTGTGGTTGAAAGCATTTATTCTCAGACCATTCGTAATGAAGCATAAGCATTACTTCCTCTGTTTAGTGGTTAGATCAGCTCACTCAGAGGACAGTTGTGTTATGTTGCTGCAACACACAGGCAACACAGTGGTCACCTTCAACTAGGACTGGGCAATATGGGAAAAAGTTTATCATGATATATTTTTTCATATCAGTTGATATCGGTATATATAAAAAATGAAATTTAACAGTGTTTATTGGTAGCATGTCGTTTGCAATACAATAAGCTTCTGCATCTGTGTGGTTTTTCTATTTGTTCGACGTTTTGTCGTAAGGCGTTGCGCGAGAGAAAGTGAACAGAATGGTCGGCTATTTCGTCTGCACAGGCATCATGGGCTCCTTGCTCTGCTCGGAGTTTGTAGTGCTGTCGACTTCATGTGTTAAAGTGCTATAGTTGCGTGTGGCTGCAGCCCGCTACTGCGCAGTTGTTTGCTACTTGGTTCTAATTCAGCACATGATTGGTTCAGTGCGAAGCGGACCCGGAGGCGACATTTTTTTTGTGGGGTGGTAGGGGAAGGTCCCGCCTCCTTCGCCTCTGATTGGCAAGAAAAGCTGGAAATGTCATCACGTGCGCAAGCCAAACGCGGCCTGTCGGCTCTGTACATCGAACAGAACATCATTGCACTTCTGAATCTCCTAACCCTAACCCGATAGACGATGGCGTTTCACAGCCATAAGGAATAACCAATAAGAGCCCAGCACTTGTAGCCAATACGAGGCTAAGTAGGGCGGGACCTTCCCCTACCATCCATCCTACAAAAAAAATTTGTGACCGGAGCAACTCCCCTTTTCATTGGCTAGCGTATTGACCATGTTTTATATTGATATTGAGGGATATCAATTTTTATCGCCCAGCCCTACCTTCAACCCTCTGCTGTCACTCAGGACCGCTCTAGTCAAACCAGACCAGGTCCCCCATGCAGTCTGTGTGGTCAACTGTGTACATGTGTGAGACATATGAGTCCTGTGTGCACAGCTTGGATAAACCCTACAGCTGAATGACCCCTCGAGGGGCCAAACAAATGCAGCCAATCTCAGTGTGAGTGTTTACGTACCCTCACACTCGATGATAACAGGATTCGGTGCAGAAAGTGTTCTCTTTACTGCAGCGGTTTGTTCCTCACATTTTAAGAAAAAAAGTACAAAATGGAAAGAGTTACATCCGTCCGTCCAAGTGTGAGTCAGAGAGAGGCGGCTGGAAAGCTGATGTGATGGAGAGTGTTTGAGTGAGTGAGAGAGAGAGGGAGGAAGCAGAGAATGAGCTCTTTCATTTGAGGGTCAGGGTGGAAAAAGCAAGACTGGACTCCATAGATGATGTTTACTCTGGAGAAGTGAGGGATGGGGGGTAAGGGGGGGGTGAAAGGTCCTGCAGTCTGAGAGAGTGTGTGCAGACGGTTTGATGACTGTTTGTTAGCACTAAAGCCTAAAAACAAGGGGAGGGGGGATCTTAGAGTGGTCCTACAAATCTCATAATCCTGCTGATTCATGAGTGTGATGCTTGAGCAAACATTGATTTTAAGATTCTCCTACAACTTGAAAGTTTACAGTTTAATTCTGATTAATTAATTTCACCCTTTATTTTAGCTTCATTGTTATTTTGTACGCAGATCCTGCTAATCAGTTTGTCTCAGATTTTTTCTTTCATTTCTGTGCCAAAATGCTCCAAATGAAGTTTCAGCTTTTCAACCGTTCAGACTGATCAACTTTAATTATGCAGATTAACAGTCATCAAACTGGTTTTTGTTTTTACTCACCAAGAAATTGTAAAATTTGCTTTAGAAATAGTTGATTTTCAATGACTCATAAATCCAATAATGAGCAGAGAAGTAGAAGACAGTTACTGTTCATTTTAGCCTTACAGTGTTTATTACAAGTAAACCTAGAAGGTCAAGTTATTTATGTGACCAAAAACTACTCCATTTGGGCGATACTGTCTGCTCCAAACTTCTGACTCTGATAAAAAATATAATGTCTGAATCAACTCAACTCAGTTCGTTTGATTGGAAATTTAATTTGCTGCACATTTAGCTGCTTTTACAATAACCGGATTAAAAAAAATGCAAAAAAGCAGTTCATGCATAAACAGGGCAATGCAATGCAAACCACCGAAAATCAAAAACAATGCACTTTACAAGCCACTCTACCTATTTGAACATATTCCACAGCATGGATAGGTGAAAATGAAACTATTGACACTCTTGCACAACCCTTGTGGCGTCAGTGGAGCTACGAGAAGAAGTTACATTAATTGCCTCTGGTGATGTCGTTTGAGTCAGCTTTGGTTTGGACTCGACTTTGCAAGTTTGAGGAGTAAAATATTTTCCAGGGATGAGTTTGAAACAAATGAGCAAACCAAACCTCCGCTGCCAGCTTCTTTGTTTGGTATCAGTGTAAAATCCACAGCAAATGAAGACAGCTGGACACAGATAAGTACAACAGACCACTGACTGAACGAGGACTGTTTTCTGTCTCTGGATCAGGAGTTTCTTTTTGGCCTTAGCAATTACTGCTCCGATCACAAACATCGTTAGTCACACACACACACACACACAGATACACACACATGGAAGCAGTTAGACCCTGCTGGAGGTTCACTGTGAGCTGCCAATCCATGCCAGTCGATTGGCTCTGGCCTATCAAATGTTTCCATGAAGTAAATGACCTCTATATGGGGACAGGCCGAGTGAGGGTGCTGGAGGGAAGGGGAGGATTTAGGGGGAGGGGTGGTGGGGTGGTTTGGGTGGGGGCGGCAATTTGTCGGAGCAGGAAAATGAGGTGTACTTTGGCTCCAAGGTGAGCAGGGAAAATAAAGAGGAGGTGTGTTGAACGCTCGCTAAGAAGGGAGTCGCTTGTTATTCGTGGTACCTTGTTGAACATCATCATCAAAAACTCTGGGAAGTCTTGGTCTGAGGTTTGGGGAGCAGAGGGGTGGGGTGGGGGACGGTTTGGCCTCATTAAAAACCTCACAGAGCGATGTCTACTCCACTGAAATCATATGGAGAGAAGGTCAATGATTCTCCGCAGTGATTGTGTCCAAATAAAACCATCAAGAAAAGGTCATTGCAGTAAAACTCTGAGAGGAGATGTGGCAGACGCGGCGCAGAGAGACTTTTAAATCCGCGAGACGTTCGATGATACGATTCCTTTGTGCTCTGAGCTGTTAAAAAAGAACAACATGTAAGGTAGGATCCTGTCATGCAATGAAAAGACCTGCCTGTGCTTTTCCCCGCGCTGCTGGACATAATCTTATTTTAGCCACTACGTAATGGTCGTTAAATTACATAATTGGCCCTTGTCTGCCGGCCATGAATGCACTGGCTGTCTTGGAGCGATCGCACAACGGACGGTTTCATTTAAAGCTAAGGTAGAGGAGCAGAAGGAGGGACAGGGAAAGAGAGAAACAGATGATGTAGAAAGACCAAGATTACCTAGAGAAGAGACGGTAGAAAAAAGGATGTGGTAGTGAAAACAGGAGGTTAAAAATGTCTGAGGGAACATTGCTCCACCGCAGAGAGAAGAGTGACTGCCTCTCATACGCTGATGTCACTTCCCCTGCGCTGACACTCTGCTGTGCTGTCTCCTTTATCGCTCTTGTTTGCTTACAGTCTGAGCAGTGACAAGATCTCTGGGATAACGCTGCCCTCAGAAATGTTCAGACCTCTGTTCTGTTACTCTTTTACCTTTACTGGACATTTAATCGTGTTTGTATCTTGAAATATCTTATCTTGGTGAATTTAAAAGCAGCTTATCAAGTCACAGTTTGTGTGGATTTTTCTCAAGATGCTCTCTGGTGGGGTAATCTGCTCTAAAGTTAGACCTTTTGAGGGTTGCTCTGATAAGTTTGGCGGGTTGCGTTCAAGTTTAGATCTAAAATGCTCAGATGTTGCCGAAGCCGCTACAGTGCAGCTGTACTCCCTCAAGTTCGAGGAAATGCTTTGTCATATTGATCGTGCTTCCTCTCTTGCATGAAATAACTTTGCCAATTATGTTGCACTTCCCTGCACCATTATCTATTCAGGTAAAGCTTAGCCAAACTTCTCGATCTGCCGTCTCTTCTCTTCACAATAGTGGGATATGAAGTAGGGCCCGACTGATATGGATTTTTTGGGGCCGATGCCGATACCGATTATTGGGGGGGGGGAATCTGATTACCGATTAATTGGCTGATTTTTTTTTTAATTTATTAAGTTATAAAATATACATATATACTATAGTATACTGTAGATATCTACAGTACTGTAGATATACTGTAGGCTACTGCTCTTCACGCCGACAGGAAGACCGACTCTGACCAGAAAAGCGTTTTCGACTACCCCTCCCCCACCAATCGGTGCCTCCGCGTCTTAACTCACGTTACTCATTTCCAGTCCAGTCTCATCTGGAGACATGCAGCTGCCTCCGTAAGAAAAGTAGCTTGATCATATAATATGTACTGTTGTTTTTTCTACCATTACTGGCATGGCTAACAGTGTAGCAAGGCTAATAGCAAATGGCTAACTCTAACTTTAGCTTGCATATTACATGGTGCTTCACCGTTAACTCAGCGTGACCGAGACCAGCAACAGCGAGGAACATCGTGAAGTGAATTGAACTGAAACTTGTTGACTTATTGTGTATTTCACAATCTGGTTTATTTACCGTTGAGGCGGACCACTCTCCTCCGTGCGTCCCTGAGCTGCCTGCTTCAGATCCGTCACTCTGCTGTGCTGTGAGGTAGTTAGTGGATGAAGATTGTCATGAGGTCGCTGCGCCATCTACAGGATAAGTCGGGGAACTTTTCAAATGGTGGAACATTTTTTAAGTGAAACCGAATCTTATTCTCCGCATTTTATTTATGAAAATATCGACGAAAATCTGTGAGTTTTGGCCGATTACCGATTAGTCTCAAACGGGCTAAAACTGACCAATTTAATCGTCTCGCCGATAAATCGGTCGGGCCCTAATGTGAAGTCCTCCTGACAGACTTTTCAAAAACCATGTAACTAAAATCAAACCAAATCAAACTTCTCATAGTTGGAGTGACAAACTTGGATAATTTTGTTATGGATCGATTTTCTCCAGGATCCTTTCAGGAGTTTTGTGCGTGTGTGAGAGGAGCCGAGGCTCGCTCCACCGTGCTGAGATTTCAGAGGTTAATGTGTGGAGTCGGATGGCTCGTACTCAAAAGTAGCCTGAGTTTGTATCTTAAAGGCTGACCAGTGAATTCACCCACCAATATCACAGTCAGAGATTCAACTGTGTTTGTAAATGTTATTGGAAAAGTGTCAGTTTGAAAACTTCTATTTGAGTTTATTTCAATTTTTCTTCAAACATTGACCATTTTTGACACTATATCGAAAATGTGTTCATTTTTCTCCTCATCCATAAAAAGGAGTGAATCTTGTATTTTTATAGTTTCTTAGGAGTCGAATCTGTTCCTGTCATCTCTTCTTGCTGCAGCCAAAACCATTTGCTCTGGGTTGTAACCTTTACGGTGTACGTCTTAACTTAAACACAGCGAGTTTGTGGATGTGTCTGTGCTGCTCAGACTTTCCAGACTTCCTCACACGTACCTTTCCATCGCTTGTTTTCTCTTTTTTTTCCCCCACTGTTACTGCCTTGTTCTTCATTTCCTGCTTCACCATGTCCCCTCTTTTAATTTCTCCCCCACGCTCCCTCACCTCCTCCACCCCCTGGTCCCTCCTCACTAGGCCCCTTGTTTTTTCTTCCCTCTGTTTAGTCTGTCATATAGGCTAATGTTTGTGTCCAGTCTTTTTAACCAGTTGTAGTAATTGCTAGACGTTTGTCATTCTGCTAAAATGAACTAAATGAAGTCTTGTATTGTGATCAAAATCCTTTTTCTCTTTTCCTGTTCAGCCTCTTTTCACTCTAGCTCTGTGCACCTCACTCGTTCATCGCTGCCTGCTGTTCGTACCCTGCACTTCCGCCTTTCGTTCCCATGTGAACAGAAGTAACACAGGGTTTCTTTGATGTGCTTCAATCTTCTCTCATTTTCACTGTCTTTCTTGCCTTCTCTCCGTCTCGCTTTCTTTTTCTCCCCCTCTTTTCATCTGATAGGTCATACAAGAAATGGCTCTGATAGCTTCCTGAGGAAATTACACCCACTTCCTGTCTGTGTGCCTCCCCATTTGCCACCTTCCACTCCCCTAGTTTTTTTTCTTCTCTTCTTTTTCTTCCCCTGTGCTCAGGCGCCTCAGGGATCTGCTGCTAGAGGAGCAGCGGTGCTGGTAGGACCCCCTCCTCCTCCTCCTCCCTTTTTCCCCGTCACTGCTAATGAGACTGGGGTCTGATGAGAGAGCCAGATAAACAGCAGTACAAACACAGCAAGCTATAGCCATTAGCTGCTTGGCTATTTTTGGACACTGCCCTCATCGCATATAGAGAACAGGACACAGCCCATTGTGACCCCGGGTAAAAAGAGAACTGAGAACTGCGTTTATAAAACGGATACTGTGACCAGGTGTTTTTACTTACGTTTAGAAGGTGAAGCTTTTTTACTGTCTGATTCTGTAAGATGCCAATTTGTTAAAAGAAAGTAGATAATGGCGACCTAGTGGTCTGCCAACTTTGATGGTTGACCAGCGGGTTGGAGTAAATCTAAAACTGCACCTCCTGTAGGGTGTTTCAGTTCAGCAGTGGTTAACACCTTCCAAAAATGGTCTAAGGAAGGAAAACCAGTGAGCTGACCACAGGGTTATGAGGGGCTGTGGCTCATTGAAGCGCATGAGAAGCAGAAGCCAACGTGATCTGATCCAACAGAAAAACTACTGAAGCTCAGATTAATCAAAGGATGAATGCTGTTGCATACAGCTGCGATACTACACAGAAAGAGTGCTCTGAAAAACGGGCATCGAATGATCCAGTTTTTGTGGTTGTTGTATGCTTGTAGTCGCCTTGTTTAGCTGAGGCACAGAAACATAGAGAGACCATTTATTTTGACACGATCTGCATCACATCGACAGATATCACTGTTGTCTTTTCTATCACCAATCACAGCGCACCAAATGTAAACATTACCTTTTATTTTATTTTATTATCTTTTTATAAATCCATATATTTACCTTGTATTTATATCTGTCGTGATAATTTGAGATGATTACGCAAAGTTCAACTTTTTTGTTCCTGATTTGTTAATATCAACAAATTGTTGTATTTTGTCAAATGCAAACAGCAGCAACAACAACCTGATATCTGTATTATATGTCGACCATCAGCTGACCTGCTCTCATATTATGGGTAACAATATTGGCATTGGGCATTGATAAACCGATATCGATCGACTAATAAACAGAAATGTTTATGTTTGAAATATTTTAAACAGTTTTTATACTATCTGTCTTATCTAGTGTCGATTTGTTAAGTTTCCAAGTGAATAATATCAAGCGGTGTGATGAGCAGTCACACAGTGAAAGTGTAACGTGCACAAACTCTGTTTCTATAATGCCGGCTCATTAATGGAACAGTTCTGTCTCACTTTCCTACTTATGTATCTGTATCTGTATCTAGGCAGGTCGAACAGCATGCAACAAGAGTCATGGTGGAATGTCAACTTATGGTATACAACGCAAAACCAGAGCTCACCATGCGTGTCTGTGCTCAGGCTGTATGAACAAACTGTCTCACACAACCCTGGTGCCTGAACTGTTTACGTTAAATCAGACAGAAAACTGTCAATAAAGTTTCATTGAATAAACGTAAGCGCATGTGCAATCCGGTAAAAGGAGAGTATGCTCTCTGCCGGCCAAAACTTTTAACATGCAAGAAACATATTCTGATTTTTGATCGGTCAGTTCAGTTGAGTGATTTCCAAAGCCAATTTTCTGGTGTCTCTGAAGTTACTTATCCTTCATTCATCTTCATAATTAAGCTGACAAACTGTATCAGAAACAAGAATGAACAAGTAAACTGAGACTTTATTAGAAAAAGGTTTCAATATTAGTTTATCTGCTGGGTATTCAAACCACAAATGTGTGTGCTCACGTGTGTGTAAGGTATTTGAGCTGCTCTCAGTTTCTGCTCAGTCTGGTTGTGAGTGCAGCTCAGATCATGTGATCGTGTAAGAGCCTTATTGTGAAGAAATTGGCTCGATTAAATCGAACACCCTTTGTTTGGCACTCTGAACTTTGGTGTAAGTGTGTTAAAGTTTATAACTCTAAATGCACACCTTATACTTTTGTGAAGTGACATCTTCGTTTTCTGGTTGTAGAAAACATTAAAATGCAGTGGGTTTGCAATAACAAGCTTGTTGGATGTTTGAATGACACATTATTTCCTGGTTGGGTTTTAAAGACACGGTCAATCCATCTGCATGAATTAGCACTGCATTATGTGACACTGTCCATCGCCTCTTAACTGATCACCCTCCCCTCTGACAGCCACTGATTGACAGGTGTGGGACCCTCCCGTCACGATATGGACTATGAAGATGCCCACTATGGGGTGAGGCCACAGCATGACTCCTCCTCTGAGGGGTTTCACAATGGAAGCGGGGTTTGCATAAGATCTGATGTAACGGTGACTCAGTTATTCTTAGGCTGCAGAGTGACCTCTTAGTGACCTGGTGGAAATATGAAATGCTGAACTGTGCTGCTGCTTCCTGTCCTAAATGTTCCAGAGATCTAATGAAACAGGTGCTTTATTTTCCTTCGCTCATGTACAGTATTAAATCCCCTCCTGGTCGGCCCCAAGATGGAGAGGAATGCTGCTGTAAAGGACCAGTTGTCATATTACACACACACACACACACACACACACACTCTCTGGACAATCACATAGGAATGGCCCCTCCTGCATACGTGCCCGGTCTTAACTCACACTCACACACAAAGGCATGTACGCTTGATGGCTATCATTGGATTGATGCCACCTGACACTTAGTTAGTACAGGAATGTGATGAAGGGGAGGGAGGCTGGGCAGCTGCTGACTTTCAGGAGCACTGAAGCCGATCTCTGCAACTTCCTAGACGCCATGTTCAAACGTCATCAGGGTCCGTTTCTTCTCGTCCTCGTGAGTCAGAAGTGAGTGACCCTCGTAGGTTGGAGCATATGCCGGGCTATCATGTGCGAGCAGAGGTGAAAGGAGGAGGGTCTGGTTACTGTTGCAACTCACAGACTGTCTCCATCTGTTGTCTGAACTGTGCCATATGCTGGAATGCAGCGCTCGCCTCCTCCTGCCTCTCTACGATCCCTTTAAATGTGGAGCAGAGTTGACCCCCCCACTCCACCCCCACCCGAGTAGCCGCAATTAGCTTCCCCCCTGACTGCTCCAGTTTATGTCTCAGAGCACAAACATGGATTACAGTGACTCAGATATCCACAGAGACACAACAATAACAAGGGATCAGCTTCAGCATCTCCTGTAATGAGGAGGCTGAAATGCTGCGATCAGGACTGTAACAGAAGTAGCAGCGGGGGTTTAAGAGTTTTTGTAAAAAGCATCCTTTATTTTCATTTGAAGTGAAGTTGAAAAGTTTGTGTACACAAATCTTAGCGCACATTTTAAATCTGCAACAGTACTATTTATTTTTTCACCTAAAAACTCATAAAAAGTGACAAATATTTGATGGTTACAAGAAAATGTTCTTTGTTTTCTTGTCCCTGTCCACAGTTTTATTATTTTAGACCATCTGGTTTGCATGTGTCATTCAAACCAGGACATTTAAATACATCATCTTAAGCTAAACTGGGTCTGGTAGTTATTTTGAACATCATAGACGCCAATTACAAACCATAAAAATGCAGAAAAAATGCTTTACAGATATTTCAACAAGAAGCCACCACTTACATTTTGCATTAATCTGAATAAAAAGATATATCATCATGAAGGTATACTGATAAAATGTCTTAAAAGAGGACAGGTGGGACACTCTCAGTAATCAGAGTTGTTGTTGTTGTTGTGTGCACCTGTCCTCAAGGCTTCATATTATCCGTCTTCATTCAAGCTGGAACAGAGCAGCATTTTATCTTTCCACCAAGAAACGGCATGTTCTGCTTTTGGGGAATTGTTGTTCATGTTGTCATGGTGACATAACTTTATTTGTGTATGGGTAAAGGTGGTGTCGGTGGTTTCATTTAGCAAGCTTCTCTGGGTTGACGTATGTGTGTGTGTTTTTCTGTGAGTTTGTATCCACGCAGATATGAGTCTCTGTTTGACTAACCCCTCCCACTCATGTTGCCTTTCTCAGCCCACAGCCCACTGAATACGACCATGAATGAACAGTCCCTCTCTTCTCTGTCTGTGTATCTCTCCCTCTCTCTCTTTGTCTCCCTGATTCACAGCTCTGCTCTCGCTCTGTGTCTCTTTACAAGAACTCACCTTGACCTCGGAGCATTTTTCTGCTCTGCCACTGTACACACTCTCTCTCACACACACAGACACTGACTGTGTTCAGGGCCAGGCTATGAATCGAATCGGGGCCGTGTATACAGACACATTTCCTCATAAACAAACCACCGAGTGATTTTTCAGTTCCTATTTAATCTACTCAGACAGCCGTCATAACCACATATTTACTAATCAGACAGTTTTGGATTACAGAAGATATTATAATTTCTGAAAAGAGTGAGCTACACACCTCAGTTGTTCAAATGCAGAGTATAATTGAAAAATGCATTAAAAAATAGTACGGAAAGCGCTTCAAGTGAAGTTGTTGTAGCATAATGATGGAGGATTTCTATGATCTGAAACAACTCATGTCCTATTTGAACCAGATGAAGCACACGTACAACGTTATCTTCATTTTCCAGATCAAATTGCTGCTATAAACTCTAAAAACATGCTGTAAGTTGCTATCTGTCATCAGAGCGTGCTTACATTCAGGTCATAGAGCATCACAGTATGTTATGGCAGTAGCTGTTAACCTCAATACAATGTGTGTGAATACTTTCCTCTTGATCATCAACCACCAGAACAAGAAGAGTTTTCATTTTTGTAGTAAATCAAAGTTTTTCCTCTCAGAGTGACTTCTAGAAAGAGTTTAGACCAAGAGGCACAGGTGAAAACTGGTATTATACCGGTGTTTCTGTTTTGCTGTTAAGCAATACTTGGGAACATGAGAGGTGGTTTGGTTTTAGTGTTTCAGTCGCACTGTTTAACCAAAGTGCATGACAGTAAAATGCAAAATAAGACACCACTCCTCTCAGGTCTGGACTGTCATTTCACCCCACTCTGCTCTGAAAGATGACCTCCAGCTTAATATCATTAAACACCGTTTTTCAACTCGGACACCATCCTCCAAAAACAGTATTCATCACTCTTAATTCATAAAATAGACTCTATATATTAAATAGTTCTCATCAGTAGTTGCTGAAGGTTTTTGTCCTGCACTTTGACACACTCACACTTACGCTCTCGCCCTTTTACTAACAACACAGTTGACAGTAGTTGAGGTTACTCAGTGTGGCTGCTCGGGTTTTTGGATGTGTGTTTGAGTGTGGGTGTGTTTGGGTGTTGCCTGCCTGCTAGCTGCTCTGGGTCTGCAACCTTCAGAGGACTGAATGCATGACTTATTTGTGGTTTTTTTAGGTGCGTATGTGTGCGGGGAGGTGGTGAGGGGTGAAGTGGTCGCCCATTTCAATGTAATTTTTTCCCCATTCATGGTTTGCAGAGGCAAAGACTCACATAACCTTTTAATCTCAGATTAGCTGAGCTACATTTTTACACCTTAACAGGGTCATTCGAGCTGCAAGAGCGATTTTCTCTGAGTGCGTTTCTGAAGAGTTAAAACTTGTCCAAACTTCAGTGAGAACTCAAATCGAAAATAACTGTTTTGCAATGCAATGTTAAAATGCTGAATTATTCCCCCCTGATTTAAACACCTGAACTAAATGTTTGATGGTGGCCTGGGGGAAGAGAGAGGCTCAGCTTTTTACAAAAACCTCCCCATCCCAATGAAATAATTCAAATTATGTAGTTAAAAACATTTTTAATTGCTTCTTTATCAGTTTAGTCTCGCTCATTATCAATGCCATGTTCTAATTACTTTAAAAGTTATTTCAGGATAGAATAACTTTCTCTTGAACAGAAGTGCAGGTAAATATTGTCAAAGTTGTGTGTTTTCCTCTATATTGATTACTTTTAAATCAAATCAAATCAAATTTATTTTATATAGCGCCAGTTCACAACAGTCGTCATCTCAAGACGCTTCTCAAAGAACAAGAGCAGGTCTAGACCACGCTCACTGTTTGATGATCAAGAACCAACCTAAGATGGGTTTTGGTCCATCTCATCTAACATGAGTAGCAGTGGCAAAGAAAAACTTCCCTTTAACAGGCAGAAACATTGGGCAGGACCAGACTCATGTTAGACAGCCACCATGCCGCTGCTGGGTTGGGGAGGAATGTAGAGAAATGGAGGGAGATAGAGAGAGAGAGAAGAAGAAGATAAGGGGAAGGAGAGAGAGAATGAGTAAGGAGAGGGAAGGGGAGGGAGAGAGAGTAGAGAACGAGGGTGAGAGAGAGACAGGGGACAGCAGAAACAACAGCAATAACAACAACAGCTCATGTAATGGTGAAACAGAATGAGTTCAGTTTACAGGGTTAGGATATGAGTGATTATGGACAATGTTAAATTAATTAAATGTGATTACAGTCAGCAGGCGTGATCATAGTCAGCTCTAGTTTTATGTTATTAATGTCAGTGAGGCTGATTTTAAGGGTTATTCAAAAAGTTCATAACATACATGTTCAACGACTTATTTGACTTTTGATTGATGCTGTATAACTCTTTGTCTTGATGGGCTCATGTGAATGGGATCCTTCTGACCTGAAGAACAAGGTAACACTTTACGTGACGCCTATTTCTATAACACATTATAAATTTATGTATAATGCGTTATAATCACGTTATAGCACTGTATAACTATAGTTATAAACACTCATAAATGATCATAATTCTTTATAGCAATAATAATAATAACACATTATAAAGCATTTTATCATGACTTACAAGGTCAGGTATTATAATGTGTTTTGCTTATTGTTATAAATAATATGCTCATGATAATTAATGAGTGTTTATAATGATAGTTATACAAGTTTACAAGTGAATTATAACACATCATAAATATATGTATAATGCATTATCTATGTGGGCATTGTCAGTGAGTTGTTAACAGTTATAACACATTGTAATACCTGACCTTGTAAGTTATGATATAATGCTTTATAATGTGTTATTATTATTATTGCTACAAAGCATTATGATCATTTATAAGTGTTTATAACTATAGTTATACAGTGCTATAACAGGATTATAACGCATTATACATATATTTTTAATGTCTTATAGAGATAGGTGTCAAGTCAAGTGTTACCTAGTTCTTCATAGACTCTGGTGATCTGGTCTGTCTGTCCCTGTCCTTTTCTCCTGAGGAGGTGGGATTGGATCCTGGGATGTTTCCTGTCTTTCCACTTTATGTTTTTTTTCTCTTGGAAAGTTCGCTGTGTCCAATCTTTAATCTGGCTGTATGTCTGGCTCTGCTCAGCAGGGGGTTCAGGAAGTCAGTGAGGTAGCCCACTGGTTCAAAGTATAGCTTATAATGTTTGCTAATTGTCTTGTTTCCTTCCTCTCTCTCTCTCTCTCTCTCTCTCTCTCTCTCTCTCTCTCTCTCTCCATCGCAGGGCGCGTTTGGGGCCCATTGCTCTAACCCAGCCATGAGCATCATCGGGGCTGAGGATGAGGATTTTGAGAACGATCTGACAGAGGTGATGATGATGATAACTTTGTGTTGCTTTGTCTTTTTATCATTGTTCATTTCCCTCCATTCCTGTCTCCTCTTTGCTCTAATTTTGTGGGTCATCTCTCTCTCTCTCTCTCTCTCTCTCTCTCTCTCAGCAGGCAGATGAACATGGCACAACCTTCAACAATATAGAAAGTTTGAAGGATCGGCCGACCCACCTTCTAGTCTTTCTGCAACATGTCATTCTACAGTTTGACCCCGCTCCCCTGGTGAGAACTTTGTAACCCAGCACTCGACTGTACACACTCGATCTGTCTCTGGTGTGCTTTTCAGCGTTAACATGAGTCACACAAGTCTAAACAGATAAATGCTAATCAATACAGCTGTCTGCACAGGACGTAGATAACAGATGCCTTTTTCACACACAAAAAGTGAGCGTGTGGTTTTACAGTGTGTGTTCAAAATGTTTGTTTATTCGTTTAATGCCTGAAACCACAAATTACAGCCTGAAAATTCAATTTTTTGGAGCTGAAATGTTTATTTCACTTATTACTGAAAACCAAAAGAATCAAAATGTCCTTAAAATTTAACAAATATTTATTTATCTCGTTTGATACATTAGATGTTTTTGGAAACTGATAAACCACAAGAGGACATTTTTATCATTTATTCGACTGTATTCAGGTGTTTTTTTTTTAGTAGTTTGTTGATCATATTGATTTGATAGACGTATCATATAAATATGTATCAAATATGATACGAAGGGCATTTGTATGGCGACTATCAAAAACAACTTAGTCGCTGAGAGGCTGAGTAGGGGAAATCGATACCTTGCCCGACGCGCTGGCTGTATAAACTAAAAAAAAACAGGCTGTATCTCCGTTTGTAGTTTTATTATTCAAAAAGGACGAAGCACTTACATGAAAACAAAATGAGGGCAGTCGTTCAATATCAGGCGAAACATAAGCGGTCAGCAGAAAGTAGGACTTCCTCATTCACCCCCTCACAAATGCCAGGTGAACAGCTGACTTCACTACTACCGGTTTTGACGTACTACCTCCACCTAAACCACGTGACTCTCATCCTCGTATACAACCACACACAACAATACACAAATACTATAAAGATCATGGTTACCACTAAGAACTGGCATCTACAGCATTAAAGGGTTAAAAAACGCCAAAATGCTTTTTAGTAGGTGAAAGAAAAGTCAAAGAAATCAAAGGAAATTCTGCTGAAAGTTAAAAATACCTCAAACTTCAGTTGTAGCTTTAAAAAATCAGACATTTAGACACAAAATGCCACATGCGTACTATAATTTTTGCACTTATCTAGAGTCTGTTCGATTTAAATTGAAACCGGTTACACAAATCTGCATGGAAACTCTCTCTTGTTTTTAGGTTAGAGGGGAAATAAAAAGAGAGCAATGACTTAACCAAAAGTCGTGGTTCACATTGAACGCAGGACCACAAGACCAGACACTCACATTAGGTGACAAAAATAACATTTTGAAATGAATCTTTATCTGTAATTAACATGTTTTGTACACAGGTAATAGTGTGAAAGTTTAATACACTGTTACAGAGATTTTTGGTCAGATGTCTTTAAACCACAAAAGACAAAATATGAAAGCGTTATAAGATGAACTGTGCAGCTGTGACCTGCCTGAGTTCACCGTTTCCTAAAGTCTAAATCAGTACAGCTTTTAGTCTGTTTGTTTGTGCGCACCTGACTGCATGTGTGTCAGTGCTGACATAAAACAGGCCTGTGCTCTCCTCTTTGTTCTGCATGCAGACACCGTGACCCACCCAGGTACTGTTTCATCTCCCACACTCATGACCCCCCTCCCCACTTCTCATTTTGCTGATCTTCTGTCCGTCTCTCCCCTCACAGCTGTGTTACCTCCATGCTGAACTCTTCAAGAACCTCAGTGCCAAAGAGACCAAGAAGCAGTTTGTTGAGTTTTACAACACTTTCTTGGACAAGGGTGCAGTAAGTGACACTAAATCACAGCCTTTCATGAATGCAGTGTAACAGGTACAAGCTGAACATTTAAAACTGACCTTATATATCCAGCCTCAGCGTCTTAATATCATTGATAAATTTCACTCTGGAAGAGCTGGGGATTTGCAGCTATCACTTTCCCCCTAAAGGAAGCACAGGAAGTTTGATGACCTTAAAAGACCCATTTCCATTTCCCCGCTGTGCATCTGGACTCCTTCAGCTCTGGTTTTTCTGTTTCGAACGTCAGTCTCGGGTTTGGACTCAGTGCCTTATTTTGATGACTTTAGCAGTTGCTGCAGATGTAATAAGACTTGAATTATCAGAAATTTTATTTGCATGATTTTGTGTTTAGAAAAACTTCCAGTAGTCCCATAACGATAGATTCTCAGCTCGATAGTTGCTCTTTTTTAAGCCAAGTGAGTTATCAGGCTGTTGGTAATTCTTACAGTGATGTGAGATAACTCAACCAAGAAAAACGTATATCCCTGTGCAACATAGGTACTCACTCTTTTCTCATTGTGTTGTATCAATAGGCTTTTGATATAGTGCCCAAGCTGCAGTCTATAAGCCGGACTCTGGAGAGAGGAACACACTGTGTACACTCAGTTTATTTGCAGCATTGTGTCGGCTCTGTTTGCTCTGTCTTGTCTCCGTGTCCCAGCAGCGCTCTTCTCTTCCTGTCTTTCTCTTTCTGTCATCTCTTCATGTTGTCTCTTCCCTGCACACCTGGTCTCTGTCACCTCTCTGTAATATTCTCTCCACCCTATATGTCTGTCAATTACTCCCAGTCTGTCCCTCTCTCTCTCTCTCTTTCTGTCTGACCCCTCAGCTTCCTGTCAGGGTTGTGGGAAAGCCCTTTGGGAGGACTCATCCCCTCATAGTTTCTCTTTTTTAAAGCCCCTCTCTGAAGTAAACCCGCTGACTTTGACTTGGCCCGTGTTGGCGCATGGCCTGTTCAGGGCGATGAATCTCCCAGTTTGGAATATGTATTTTTATCGGGCTGTATTCTTTGATTTCTAATGTTAAAATGACCCCTTGTGGTGATATTGTGGTACTGCACTCTTTATCTCGGTTCTTATCAGGTGATGACATAGTGTTTTTCTTGGTTTTAAACACATAACAAAGAACCACTTCACCACAGCCAGAGGTCAGTTTGAAGAGAAGTAGACACACCTTCATTCAGCTGATACAGTTTATCATTTCAAGTGGTGTTTATTTTATTTTATTTAGCCTTTGTTAAACCAGGTTGGTCCCATTCAGATTACAAATCTCTTTTGCAAGAGAGTCTTGGCCAAGAGGGCAGCAAAGCTCCTTCAACAGATAAAATTCGTAAAAAATAAAACAATCTCACATAAAACATTTAAACACAGATGAGGTAATTTAGTTTTAAATGTATTTAGTCACACAAATGACACTAACTGAGTGGTCATTTTTGAGGATTTAGTTTGTTGGAACATATTTTTTACCCCCTTGAGCAAAAAGGGAATCACCACATCTGTAAAGCAGATTAACAAAACACAAGACAATTACAGAGAAATACAGTACAGGCCAAAAGTTTGGACCCACCTTCTCATTCAATGCATTTTCTTTATTCTCATTACTATTTAAATTGTAGATTCTCACTGAGGGCATCAAAACTATGAACTAACACATGTGGAATCATGTGCTTAAGAAAAAGTGTGAAATACCTGAAAACATGTTTTATATTTTAGATTCCTCAAAGTAGTAGTACTTGTAGCCAAGTACAAAATTCTACATGAGTTCATTCATAGTTTTGATGCCTTCAGTGATCATCTACAATGTAAATAGTCATATAAAAAAATAAAGAAAAGACATTGAATGAGAAGGTGTGTCCAAACTTTTGGCCTGTACTGTATCTATATAAATGTTCTGAGTTAAGGTCTAATTTAAGCCCATAAAAGTTTGTTATTCTTAACCGGGAGTACCTTTTAAATTGGCAGCTGAGGATCAATCAAACCAGGAAAAGATTACATTTTCTGTTATTCCATTATTTCTTTAAATGACATTATAATTTTAACATTTCTCTCTCTCTGTATTTTTCTTTTAGATTCTCAGAGTGGCCGTACCCCCTTCTACAGGCTTTGAACTGGGTAAGTGTTTCATTGTTTTGTCACAGATCCACACACCTCCGCTGAGTCTTTTCCAAACTTTCTCTCGTGCACCTTCCCCCCTCCAGATCGAACGCGTCCAGATCTGCTCACAGATGACACCCAGAGGCGATTTGCTCAGGAAGTTCAGAGTCTGCAGGCCGCTGAAGTGGCCAAACAGCTGGAAGATTTCAGGTAGGAATTAGAATTACAACCCGCCCCCCTTCAGTCTTAATGGTCATGTGAGTAAAAGAGATAATAGTTGATGATAAAGACAGCAGATTCAGATGATTTCGATCCACTTTTAAAATTGCACTGCCCTTTGTTATGACTATTACATTAAAGCTACGCCACCGCCACAAGACATCTTAAATTTCTGAGTGTCCATAAAAAAAAAATCCTGTTTTTGTGGCTTTGCTTGTGTTAGAAATGTTTGTGCACAGGCCCCTCCCTCATCTGCAGAGCATGATGTGTCTGTCTACTGAATCAGTGAAACAGTCATCAGAGTTTGTTTTCGCTTCAGTTCTTATCTTACCAACGTCCGACCTCTTTCTTTGTTTGCACAGACAGAAAAGGATGATGGGTATGACCCCCAACGAGGCTGAGCTCATTGATGTGGACAGCCACTATCCCACCGACCGCATCCCCATGGAGATGAAGGAGAAATCTGTAGCCGAGAATCTGCTGGAAAAGATGTCCGAAACACAGTGAGTGTTTCTTCTTCACGCTGTCTCTTACAACTCTGAAAAACACACCACACAGTCGAAAATATTCCTGTTTGAAAAGGTTGCTGTAGATCCTGGCAGTCCCTGAAGGATAAATCTTCTTTTTCTTTGTACATTATTATATGACTCATATTTGGAGCAACTCTTGAACTCGACTGAACAACAAACTCACCAGGTTGAGTCTTAATTAGAAGCTGCTTTAGAAAACGTCTCAAAAGGCATACGGTTAAACTCCTGCACAAATTCAGAAGGAGTCTAATTGTGACGACAGAGCGGGGGTAGAAAGAGTTTTTAATTGATATGCTCAAGTGGCTTTACACTTACTTTGATGAAATTTCACTTAAAGGGATATTCTGGCGTAAAACTAAGCTAGGGTCAAACACACCGTAACACCGAGTTAGACACCTCCTCCACAGATGAATGTTGCTGACTGCTTGCTTCTCTAGTTATACCAACTTTAGTAATGACCGCACGATAGCAATACCACTACCACTCGGTCTACCACTCCATGCGCAAACCTCAACCAAAAAGCCACTTTATAGCCACAAATAATGCTCAGAACAGCACCTAACTTTATCAGCAGTACATATAGGGTCCTAGCTAAGAGAAGCACGCAGTTGGCAACATTCATCTGTCAAGGGGGTGTCTAACACGGTGTTATGGTGTGTTTGACCCTAACTTAATTTTACACGGAATATCCCTTTAAGTGGAAGTCAAACTACAAGAACAAGTGAAATACTAATGTGTCCTTCTACCCTGCTTAGGTAATGTAATGTAAATTATAGTTGACTGCAATACTTCCCACTAAGACTACTTAAACACGAGTATAGGTACTGATTTTAAAAACTACTTAACAAGTACAAGTACATAAAAAAGCTACTGAATCACATGGTTTGAGTAAATGTAATCAGCTACTTTTTACCCCGACCAAGAAGTTTTCAAGTTTTGGCAAAGAGCACAGGACCTGGTCTATAAATTCAGCATTTTAAAAACAGTAAATCTTGAGAGTTTTAGTCAATATGAGATGGTTGTAGATCGTAACTTGAGGCTGTCTCCAAAGTCAAGGAAGCCCCATGAGAGTTCGGGTTAAAATGCCCATCTTTACAGCAGTAGTAGTAAACATGTTTACAGCCTGCTGCAAAAAAAGGTTTAGGTCTGAATATCTCATTCTTCATTAGAAACGACCAGAGGGGACATTTATCAGCTTATTTGTTTATCCCATTAAGACCTGAACCCCGTCTGAGCCGCGCCTCTGAAATCCTGAGGGCAGTTTTGAGAAGGGCCCCCAGATCCTGAGGTTTTCTCAAGTGTTGAGGTTTATAAAAAAAGCTGATATCTCGGCCTCTGTCCCATATTTTTCTGAACACTCAAAACATTATTGAAAACCATGAACAAACAAACTCAAATGAAATAAAGCGGCTGTATAGGTTATGATTTGAAAAAACAACAACAGTCTAGTTGAAATGAGTTCTTGAGGTCATGCATCTTTTCTGGCTTTTACTCGATATGATTGGCTCGGGTAAAAGTTTAAAAAAGCTGCTTTTTTTAATTAACAGATTTGTAAAACAGAAACTTTGCACATTACAAACCAAGTAAAACCAAACCGGTACAAAACCAGCAAGGAGATAAAGAGAAAAATCAAGCAAACTTTACAAGAAAGCCAGAGAGGCAGCTGTGATTGGACGAGAGCACAGCTGAGAGAGAAAGGAAGTGAAGAAGCAGAGAGGAAAAGATGGAGTCAGCAGTGCCACGCTGGCAGGAAGGCCCTCTGCTGGCACTTTGCCAACCAGAGGGGGGGTTGTTGGTGTTGGTGGTGAAGAGGGGTTACACAGTCTTAAGATAAGACGGTCGAGAAAGGGCCAGAGGGTTATCCATGCCGCATAGCACCTGCCCTGGACACGGTTAAAGGCACAAAGCAGAAGATCTGGTGGAAAGTTAATCTATCCTTGACCCCGTGGCAGACTACAGTGTGTTATCCTCCATGAGGAGCAAGTGAGACGGAGGGAGAAGAGGGCAGAGAGAGGGCAGAGGGCTGTCTAACTTCATCTTTTCAGGGGAGAGGAAAAACTGAACAGAAATCTACCAAGATACACTCTTCCTCTGAGCAGAGCAACAATATCAGCGGAGAAAACAGAGAATCCTTCAAAGCGGAAGCGATCTGCAGCTCAGTCTTGATCATTCAGCTTTGACTTTGACCCACACAGACAGATCTTTATCTGCAATGCACAAACAATTCAATGAGTTGGCTCTATTCATTCCCCTTACAATCGTCTCCTTATTTCCCTCACGTTTACACTCCCACACTTGTGCACCCAGTCACCCCCATCAACACTCCCTCCCTCATAACCACAACAAAGTGACCTCGCCCCGGCTGTTTTTCATTGGTTTCCCTCATGATGAAAACCAGGCAGCCGGACGATTTGATTGGATTATGCAGGGAAATCCCGGGGAAACCCCTCCCACCCTTTATGTTCATAGCAAAACACGAGTATCCTATTTCCACAATGTTGCCTGCCTGTTGCATCAGACTAAAACAGAGTTAAATAGACATTTCCGCTGTGCTGGACCATTCCTGACTTTGGATTCCCTTTGCAGACAGCATACTCCAGCGACTAACCGGTGCAGACCGAGTTTTAGACCGTCTTTAGATAGTAGTTGAACTTATTTGCAGAGTTTCAGCAGTGCTACTTTAGTTTTGACTTTTTTTCAGAGCAGTAAAAGGTGCAGCTTTAGATGCATCTTTTACCTTTTTAATCCTTTTTTTTTTTTTTTTATTTCTCCCCCCTTTTTTCTTTGCCTATTTTAGATAATGTTCAATAGCTTTTGCTCTGAACACAATAACAAAACAGTCAGCTTTGAGTTGGATCAGGAAAAGCTTAGTTGCTTTAGATTCCACAGGCCTAAAACAAACTTAACTATCTGTCGAGCGAGAGAAAGAAAAGATGCTACTTAAAAAGAAGAGGTGAGTTTGATGCTGCAGGGTGGTGTCCTTCTTTGCCCTCGTCCCTCCATAACAGTCACTTTACTGACCGCCTGTTTTTTTCTTTTTTCTAGACCGTCTATCGTCTCAGACGAGGAAAAATGGTGAGTGAAGTTGCTTTTGTTGGAGTGTAAATGTTTGCATGCGTGTCATTTGAGTGTGTTTTGGTACACATGTGGTTAATGTAACACATGTATGCTCTCCAAGTATGGGTGTGGTCACACCACAACAATTTTGCACGCCGGCTTATGAGCACAAATGTTTGTCAAAGAAAGTTTTTTGCAGTAGAAAATGTCTTTTCTTAGCGTATACGTCTTTTCTCTTTGTTTTTAAATGAAACACTGAAAAGCTGGTGAGTGACACACATGCATTAAAAAGATGTTGAATGTGTTGCACATAAAGTCAGTGACCAAAGTTTGTCGTGCAAGTTTTATTTTTTCTGGTATAGTTCTGGTCCTTTGTGGTTCGAGTTCTTTGTGTTAGATTCAATGTATTCACACAGAACTCTCTGTAAAACTGACTGGTGATGCAAGACACTTCTGCTTTTGTTCTTGTGCACATCCCCAGAGGCTCCTCCCTCAGGTCCCTTTTTTTTTCTTCTAACTGCTCGTATTTCCCTCGGCTTCTCTTTGGTGTTTTGTGTTAACTTTCTTTTCTCCTCTCTGCTCTTTTCAACTCCTCCCATTCTGGACATCTTGAATTCCCACCTCCTTACATCTACCATCCTCGTTTTTTGTTCCCACATGCCTCCTTCATTTGCAAACTCAATTTTGTGCAAGTCTTTCAGCATCATCATCACCGACATCAGAGACTATGCAAATACACCGAGGACAGAAAACCATTATACTTTTGCCGAGGACTGAATTTAAACTAGATGAGTTAGTTTTAAGAAAAAGGAGAATTTTAAAAAGTATTAAAAATGATTTATCTCTCACTTTTGTTAATTTTCTTCTCCTGTAGTCAATCCATCTTTGCAGCAGTGGTCTTCTACATGAAGCACCTTGGTGTTAAATCCAGGGCAGTCGACAGTAAGAAGTCCAGAGGAGGCTTCTTCAGGAACAAACTGAAGGTAAACCACCATAACTATCTAATTGTCCTCCTGCTTAAACCTTTAAGGGACAGCGTTCATATTTTTGCAGCTATGAGACTTCATGTTTTTCTTTTCTCTCTTTCTGGTTTGTTTTACCTCTGCAGAATAGGAAGGAAGAATCCTCAAAGGCCAAACCAAGAGGAGGGTTTCCGATCCCCAGCTGGATGGCAGGCAACAGTACGTGTCTCAAAGTCGCAAACATCTCACATCTATACATTTTCTAGTATTTTTTTAAACTTATTTTGGATGTTATTTCACAATATCTATGTGTACAATCTCTTCATCTACAAATTCCAAGCACTATAAGCAGTATCTGTGAATGTTGATGTCCATGAATGATCTGTACTTGAGAACCTGTTGTCCTGCCCTTCTTTCCCGCTACAGCTGAGGTCAAACCTAAGACAGAGGCTGAAGGTACTAGTCGTCAAAAGTCCCCCTCTCCCTTATGTGAAAAATGATCACATCCCTACTAATTATTTCTAAAGCATGTCTGCATGTCCCGAATCCATCTGGGAGGGGATGGGAGTGATTGTTTGAAGAATTAATTCAACACTGTGGTTCTGTAATCATCAGAGAAACTCACACACTTACACCATCTGCAGGCTTGTGGGTGTCCTCTCGTACTAAACTAACCCTCTTATTCACTACAGAGGCCCTAATTTCACCACACTCATCCTGTTTGTTTGTCTCTTTTTTACGGGCTGAAGTGCTTGTGGGTCGACTTTTTCTGCAGCTGCTTCATCTTTAGTTCGGCTCTCTTAAACATTTCTTTTTTTTTTTGTAAATCTTCAGCGGAAAAGGAGAAAGTGAATCCTGAACGTAAGGGTCTGGCTCCGGGCAGAGGGTCTTTGACCGACTCTGCAGCTCCTAACCTCCCTAGCAAGAAATCTGGTTCCAGTGGAAGCCCCGCCTCCTTGACAGGGTTGGAGGTCAGCGATGGGTCAGGCAACAACATCATCACAGCCAACAGCCCTGAGTCTGCACACACGGACGGTAAGCCTGTTCTTAGAGATTGTTGGATTGAATGTGCCACTTCTGTTGAGTTTGAGGAGAGTTTGAAGTGTTTGTTTATGACCAGCTGATAAAATAAAGACTAGAAATAGACGGATAACAGATCTGCAACGGTGTATGGACTGGCATAAGGAGATCTGGAGGTAAATGTGTCTGTTAGATGACAGTAATCGTTGATGTGTTCAGCATCATCAAAGTGTCACCACAGGAAGGTCGAGATCAGCTGATTCTTGGGGATGATGAACTCGTAACAGCTGTACTTTTATAAAGTGTGACTACATATTATAACAAATGGACAAATGTGACGGTTGAAATGATACATCTGGAGAGGCTCAGCATGCAGAATAATACACAGAAGCATCAGGGTCGTGTGTTTGGAGAAGTCTTTGTGGTTTCTCTGTGAGCTTCTCACTGAATCACATCTAATCTACACTCAAGTAGTAAAACTGTATCCGCAAGGAAACAGTGATTACATACCCTGATGTTAAAGCTACAGACTGCATAAATAAGTGGATTATAAACAGTCACTGGTGTAAACAGAATAAATGGCTCCTGATGTGGCACTAGAGGCAGAAATAAATAATAAGTGCACTTTAAAGTCCCACTCCGATTGTTCTTTTAAACTACTTAAAGTGTTCTCAGTGGTCTTTAAACTGTGATTTTGAAGTTTCGAGCCAAAACCACGTCACCTTTGTCATTTTTAAAGGCTTTTCTTCAGCAGAGCTCCAGTAGATCATTAGCAAATCACCTCTGAGTCATGGGTGGAGACAGCGCTGCTCTGCACACTTCTCCTCCCGTTAGCTTGCAACCTAGGGTAGTAGAAGTAGCAGGTAACATAGGAGATATTCAGCTCTCGGACACTAATGTCTTTAGGGACATGATTAAAGCTAATATCACAATTAGCTTTCTTAGCTTTCTTGTTCTGCGATCATCCTCTCTATTTCTCCAAAACTGGCCTGCTTAGCGGGGCTCCGGGGGGCGGAGCTTTGATTTCCTACGTAGGAAATCTCACTGTATCTGAACCCGCTGTTTGGGTCTGCCAGAGATTCACAGCAATTTGAATGCAGAAATACTCAGAAATACAATTTTCGCGCTTATTTTTCTTATGATATGCCCTGTAGCATTAGAAAAATACCATGTGAACTTGTAAAAACAAGAAAAACATGATTTTCATCGGAGTGGGTCTTTAAAAAGCCATCATTGGGCGTAAAGTTGGGATTAAAAAGTCACGCTCCTTCCTGCTTTCACTTTACTGTCCATTTGTTTTTGTTTTTTTCTACTTTTATGGAATAAAACAGAATAAATTAGATCTCTAAGCTCAGCTACATTTGAGTTTTTAAACCTTCTCTAAAATTACTTTTTAAATGTTCTTTTACAAATGAATTCAGAAGCAGTGAAAGTAGAACTGATTATTTGCAAATTTAAGTGTAATTTGGTCTACATTTGTAATTAGTAACCCCTCATTTTCTTTGTCACACCTTCTTCTGATCTCACAGGTAGCTCAAGCAATCGCTTAGAGCCCCCAGCCCTGTCAGACGGGGGTGATTCGTCACCTGTGGGGCCGATTGGAGGGCTGTCCATCGGGGAGACTTTCTCACCCAGTGAAACCCCCACAGAGGAGAATCTGGAGAAAGAGAGGTGAGGAGGGTTTGAGGGGTAATCAGTAGCATCCAGGGGGTGATATTATTCGATACACTGCTGTGTAGTGGTTATAGTGGAAACCGTAGGATAAGTGACTGTATTTAGATTAAAGTTGGACTCTGTGGGAGAAGTTGTGTTTAAAGAAACTGGAGGTGTCTGAAGCGCTCAGGCTGAGGGAGCTTGGTAAAACTCCCCCAGCTGTCTGTCCCTGCTGTATGCAAGCTTCTGTCATGCTGCCCGTTGCTCGCTCGCTAACAGAGTCTGTAGATCTGTGACGGACCCTCAACATGTGAACTTGGACCGGGTCTTCCCTACTAGGCCCTTTGCCCCTCCCTTCCCTCTCCCTCATGCTCTCCACCTGTTTCCTCTTCACATTGAAACATGAACTTTTCCTCTCTCCAGTTTCTCGTATCTTTCCTCTGTGTGTTTCTTGTTTGCTTACCACTGAGTTTACAACAGAGCTACATCGCCGTATTCGTTGCACTTAGGCTTTGTTTGTGCCGATAAATACATTTTCTAAAGTTTTCACATAAAATATAAGACATAATGTTGGTGACTTCTTCTAGATTAAGATATTTGAGATATTTACTCCTGTAGCAGGTGATGCTTTTAAGCCAGAGATTTGTGCAGACATGTAAGAAAGGTTAATTTTAGACGAGTCAATATTTGTTTTTCACCACTTTTACATCATAAACCTTAAAAAAAAGTATTTGTATTTAAATTCATGTTGCTCGTCCCATGTGCTTTTCAAGGTGTCTGCATCTATTACGGCCAGAGCCTGTCCTCTGTCCTGCTTGTCTCCACAGTGTGTGCGGTTCCATGTTGTGCCAGGGGCTTTGGCATTGTTGTATCTGGCATGCTACTCTGAGAATGGTATCAAAGTGTTCAGCATATCATGTTGGAGTTTGCAGTTGCATGTTATGGTTGTTACTTTGGCTTGCAATGGTTGGAAACAAAAAAAAAAAAAGAAGGCGGGCGAGTAACAATGTGGTGTCCCGTGTTTTCACAGAAGGAAGAGGTGGGTGTCTGCGCCTTGGCAGAGTCATGGACATGCTTCAGGCCTTAAACTGTTCAAACAACACTCACACAAACCAAACAAACCGTTAAAAAAGCCACACATTTGAGCCCCGCATTACTGAAACATTACACAAACACATGGCTAAGTATCATGTTCTGCCTGTGAAGGATTTAGTTTGATTGTTGAGGTCAGTTGGATTATTTTTACTCGATGTGAATGCAGATTGAGTGGATCTTGAGAAATGATGATCTCCATGAACATTTAAGTTGGTAGAAACATTCTTTAGATGCAATGCATGGCTACTTTCTGTACTTGTTTATATATTTGTTCCTAGTTTCTCATCAGTAGTGTTGATTGTATTCATGTGGAGCCATGCCTGCAGTATATGAAGCATATTCTGTATGTTTCATTGTCTAAAGAGTTGATGCATGTCATATGTCATGCATATTCACTTTGCATGATCACTAATTTTCTCTTTCTTTTTTTTGATGTGACTCTTCTTTTTTGTAATTCCTCTTTTGCTCTTCTTATAATCATTCATCTTTCCTCACTCTATTCTACTTTCCTTCCCTTAAAAATCTCCTTTTCCTTCTTCTGTGGAATCTGTTTTTTTCCACAATTTTGTACTCCCTCTTTTCTCTTTCGTCCGGTCCTTTCTCGTATTATTCCCCTCTCTATGTTTTCCATCCAAACTCCCTTCACCCTCTACTCTGTCGTACCTCACCTCCCCGTCCTCTCCCACCTTCCCCTCTTGCAGTAGGAAAGTGGGGCGTAGCGAGAGTGCCCGTATGGACCGGCACTCCTCTCGGCGCCGTGGCTCTTCCCGGGCCAAACAGTCTCGCTCCCGTAGCGATGTGGACCTCCAGCCACCATCCACTACGACAACATCACCTGCCCCGCTTACCCCCCAGCACCTCCATCCGTAAGATGGACAAATGCCCTCTTAAAGTCTCTGATTTGAGGGGTGCACAGCAGGGACAGACAGTTAAAATCCGAGGCAGTTATAATTATCAGACCGACATGCTTACTGACTCACTTGTGACAGACAGGCAATGATGTAGAGTTTAACAGCTCTCCCATTTCCGTTGACAAGTCAGAAGGTAAGCTTTTAAGCTCAGAGAAATAATAACCGAGTAAAGTCGAATTCGACTGTAAGGTGAACATTTGCCTTCATTCATTATTTCACTTGCCTTCATTAAACTCTAAATCCTCATGATCAAATGACAGGAAGGTAAAGAAAACTTTAGAGAGCTTAAAGTGTTCTTAAAGATATGATATGTGATTTTTAAAGTACAGTATTATAAGGTGATTGTGATAGCAGGAAATGTTACACATTCACTAGATGACAGTCAGCATGTCTCGTGTTTGGAGAAGCTGATTAGTGCTCCTACATTGAAGTAAAGCTATGAACAGAAGCATGAGGTCATGAGAAACCCTTACTCGTATTTTCACTGCTTCATCTTGAGATTAGACGGCCCTTTTCTTCATTACCATGTCAGCTGTTTGGGTCTGATAGTGCAGAGTCCAGAGTGCACAGGGATTAAGCTGCACATGATATAGATTAGCCAGAGTTCTGTTAAGTGCTGGTGCCTCTTCTAATAACTGATCAGTGCAGCTGTAATGGTTCTGTGTACGTAGAGGATTGAAACACGGGGAGGGCTGTGAGCATCAAGATGAAGTGGTGAAATTATCCACAAACACAGCGCTCAGCTTAATCTGAGATGTTGTTTGACATGAAGTGGCTCGAGTGCGTGGTGTTTTCTTTTCACATAGCCTAGCCTCAGTAAAGCTAAGTTCTGAGGAGCGTCGGTCAGCTCCTCTGGGCAGGGACCATGCTGACTTTTTTGACTGATTATTTGTATTTCACCATAAATCGAGTTTTTTTCTTTCAAAGAAAACCATACAAAGAAAAATAGATTATATAAATGCTTATAAATCACAGCCAACGACTTAAACTAGTCCCACTTGAGTGTGTTGTGACTTGGCAGCCACCTGGGTCATACTTGAACCTTGCTCCCGTATGAATGACTCTCACACAGCTTTTGTTTCTCAGTCCCGAGGGACCAGTTTTAAATCCAGAGGGGCCCGGACACTCCCCCACCAGCCCCTCCCCTCAGCTGGAGGAGATGGAGCCCCGCCTCCTGGAGTTTGAGCAGGACCCACCCAACTGGAGGGAGCTGGCCCCTCCTGAAGCCCTGGGTGGTCTCAGCAAAAAGGAGACCAAGAGGCAGGAGATCATCAATGGTGAGAAGTAGAGGCCACAGCGTATGATGAATAGAGAGCAAATGTGCAGATTGACGCCCCCTGGAGAGATGAATGTTGTTGACCGGTTGCTTCTCTAGTTATACCAACTTTAATAGCTCAGAACAGCACCTAAGTTCATCAACAGTACATATAGGGTCCCAGCCATAGTAATCCATCCAGCAACCGCTTGTTTGTAGCGAGACCTCGGGCCAGTCCATTACGGACTACAGCGGGGTGACGCAGCTCAAGGAAGAACATTTATTTCTTCATGGAAATGCAATCAGACCAAGACGCTAAGGCAGAAGAACTACCGTGTCTGCCGTGCAAAATGATTATTTTATCATGATTATTTCTTCAAGGAAATGATAAAGTAATGATCATAAATGTTCCTCCTTGAGCTGCATCACCCCACTGTAGTCCGTAATGGACTGGCCCGAGGTCTCGCTACAAACAAGCGGCTGGTGGATGAGAGTAGGTGAGTTGTGTTTAGTCTCTTTGCAAAAGAAATTATGCAAAGGTGGCTGGAACCCTGTATGTACTGTAGATTAAGTTAGGTGCTGTTCTGAGCATTATTTGTGAGAGTGGCGTTTTGGTTGAGGTTTGTTTATGGCTCCTCAGACCTCTGTGTATTGCTATGGTGCGGTCGTTACTAAAGTTGGTAAAACTAGAGAAGGAAGCGGTTGCCGACATTCATCTCTCAGGGGGGGTGTCTAACTCTGTGTTACGGTGTGTTTCACCCTAAATTAATTTTACGCCGGATCATCCCTTTAAGCCGAGCTACAGTGTTGGATCTCCCTGATTTGTTTCTATTCCCTCTCCACTCTCAGAGCTGTTTGCAACTGAGCATGCCCACGTGCGGATGCTGAGTGTCCTGCAGATGATTTTCTCCAGGCCTTTGGAAAGGGAAGAGCTCCTGACATCCACCGAGTTGGCTACCATCTTCCCCAACCTGGACGAGATCATTGAAATGCACTGTGAGTGGAGCTGCCAAGAGGCTCGGCTTGTGTTTGTGTTCTCCCAGATTCATGCACTCAGACTTGGCTGCTAAAACTCTCCTTTCACACCGAGCGGATCATGAAAATAAACTTGAACTGTGAAATGAAGCCGTTTGTTTATATCAAGGACATGTAAACTCTGACTATTTGGATAACTGGGTGTGACAATGTGCCTTAGCACCCAGCCCTCATCATTTGTTTGTCATACTCAACGTCTCTGCAGGTTTCAACAAATCAGATTTAAGAGCACTTGAGACTTTTTTAAGACCATAATGAATACAATTGAAGACCCATTTTACATCCATACTGGCACTAGAGCACAAAAAGAAATGAACATTTTACATTACTTCAAATCAATCTTTATTTGTAAGTGAAGGCCTTTTAAAATCGACACTTTATGAGATTTTAAGAGAATTTAAAACATTCTAAGACTTTCAATTCAAATGATTGGATTTTAGACATTTAAAGACTTTTTAAGACCCTGCAGATTTCCTGCTACTGTTTTAAAGTAAATAACTGGTGTGTTTCCCTCTGACTGTGATTCCAGATAACTTCTACGAGAGCCTGAAGAAACTGCGTTTGGATGATAACTTCATAGTGAAATCCATCAGCTTCACGATGCTCAACAGAGTAAGTCTTCATCGTTCTCTCTGTATTATTCTGTTACCTTTTACTCTGAGTAACTCCAACCAATGAGTGCTGACAATTTAACATGATTAAGTGGCAAATCTAATTTAGTAGTCATAACAAGAGCTTGAAGCTATGAATCAGCAGTATATTAATTAAAAGTCTCGTAATCTGTGCTTTCCCCCGGTTAATTTTCAACCTGCATAACTCTTAATTCCTCTCGTACTTTAGTTCTAGCAATGTGACATGGTGTTATAATGCGTGTGTGTGTGTGTTTTGTGTGTGTGTGTGTGTGTGTGTGTGTGTGTGTTCCAGTTTGGAGGCACAGAGGGGGAGTGGTTCCAGAAACTGACAGCTCGGTTCTGCAGTCACCAGTCGTGGGCCTTAGAGCAGATCAAGAACAGACAGAGGAGGGAGCCCCGCTTCAACTCCTTTATTCAGGTTAAACACACAAACACACAAACACACATGCACGTCTACATACACACACACACACACTGAGATGAACAGACTGAGAAATATTTTTATAGATTTAACAGAAAGATACACACGGGTGGGTGCAGTTACTTCTTGCAGCATGGACATGCAAGAGATAACACAAGTGGTTTGATCATGTACCTTTATCCAGACACTCTGTGTGTGCGCGTGTGTGTGTATGTGCTCGTGTGTCTGTGTGTGTGTGTTTTGATCCCAGGAGGCAGAGAGTAAACCCCAGTGCCGCAGGCTGCAGCTCAAGGACATCATTCCCATAGAGATGCAGAGATTGACCAAATACCCATTACTGCTGGATAATATTGCCAAGACCACAGGTGTGTGTGTGTGTTGTAGTTAATTTTTTTGTGTAGTAGACAGTGTGCACTTGTGCACTGATACAGTTTCTAAATGACAAAGAATAACTTCATTGTACTTAATATGTATATATAAAATAGTAGTATTGTTGAACAAAATCACTTTTTGTTTTATATCAGGAGATTAAAATGTGTCGAGGTGTAGTTAATTATTTAGTAAACTGTGTACTTATCAGTGAAATAAACAGACCGGATGTTTTTGTCACATTTAACCTACTTCTTAACAGTTTGAGACATTTTATTACATTAATGCAAAATCATAGAAATATCTAAAAAAAAACCTAAAAGCAGTCAGAGCCTCCACTTTGCAGCATCAGGTCATTCTTGGCCAAGCAGTTTTAACATCGTCCTCAAGCAGGCAGCTTCTTTCTCACATCTCTTTCTCCTCCCTCCACTCTGTCTACTGTCTTACTATCTTCAAAATAAAAGCATAAAAGCCCAAAAATCGAATAACTTAGAATTTGAGTGGTCCAATATTTTCACAGTTATAAAAAGAATCAAGTAGTGTTTTAGAGATGCCACTTTAAAAAGTAAAAAAGTGAAAAATCTACTATTTACAAGAAACAGAAATTAAAACACAGAAATAACACAGCTGTAAATCACTGCCACACTACAAACATACACCTCAGTCTATTTCAGAACAGATAAATGTTGTTTTTATTTCTCCCCAAGCTTAAAGCACATCAACAACACACTTACACATCTGTGACTGTCCATCCCCAGTTCTTGTGCACGCTCATGATTTATAGCTTTTGTTTGGGCTGAGCTGTGAAAGCTGTATTTTCCTAACCTCTGTGTTTTCTGTCTCTCCACAGAGGACTTGGCGGAGAAAGAGAGGATCCAGCAGAGCGCAGAGTGCTGCAAAAAGATTCTCAACCATGTCAACGAGGAGGTCAAAGTGATGGAGAACCTATTGGTGAGAAACACGCAATCCATCACCGGGCACACTGTTATGTGGTGATTGAGCACCGATTGGAGTCTGGTTAATTCATTTTGAGGCCTCTGAAGGTCTCTGCTTGTTAGATTTCTTCTGCTTCAGAGCTGCGCTGTCTGTCCTCTTTCTGACCCCCTCACCTCTCTCCTTGTCTCTTCTTAGACTCTGAAGGACTACCAGCGAAGATTGGACACATCAGGGCTCAAACCCAGTAATGAGCTTTACACTGAATATAAGGTGAAGATCTTTCCACAAAGTTTGTTTGTTCACACTTTTGTACATAAGTTCTTGGATTTTTTTCTTTTTATGCTTTCAGTATCATTAATTATTTTCTTTCTGTCCTTTCAAGAATATCGACCTGACCCAGAAGAAGATGCTTTACGAAGGCCCGCTGACCTGGAGGGTCACAAAGGAAAAGGCGATTGGTAAATTAGAGTCTTTGAATTGATTGATTTTATTGTGTACATTCAGGAAAACTTCTGCTGTTTCTGCTGCAGGTGATTTCCAGAACAAAAATCTTACAAAACTCTGTTAGATAATAATTTACATGAATCAGCTTTCAGTCCAACTCTGTCAAGCATGTTCATAATACGTTGTTGCTTAGATACACTTTGTATTTTCATCTACCACAAGCGGAAACCCCGTCTCAGACCTTTATCAAGCTGTGTTTTACAGCATACCAGCATTTCAGATTTCATTTCCCTTTTTCAGATGTATAGACTAAGATTTGCTTATAAAAAAAAACAAACAGCTGCAGAGCGGGGGACTTTCATCAGATCGCACTGGTCCATCGACTTTGTTTTTTTTCTTTTGCATCAGTTTGAATTCATTCCTGTTATCTTGGTTTCATTCAAATGCTCTCGACTTTATTTCTGAATTGGAAACTCTTACGCAGCACTTTTCCACCTGGATCCGCTAATAACATATGAGACAGAAAATGAGGGTAAAGCTGCCATTATTAACATGAAAAGAAAGCCAAAGGCCATAAGCCGTAACATTTATTATAAATCACATGATACAACATATTAATCTAACAAGTGTGACTAAACCACTCTGCCTTGTCTCTGTCTTTTGCTGTTTCTTTGCTGCTCCACCTCTTCTCCCCTCTTCCTCTCTGCCTCCAGACGTGCAGTGCGTCTTGCTCGGGGACCTGCTGGTGCTGCTGCAGAGGCAAGACGACAAAATGGTCCTCAAATGCCAGAGTAAGAGCAACATCGCCGTTCAGGAGGGCAAGATGATGCTGAGTCCCATCATCAAGCTGGACTCAGTTTTCCTACGGGACGTTGCCACAGGTCGGCTCAAAGAAATCTCACAGATAAATACAGTCACTTCAATTGCGCGATCAATATTCAGTTCAACCCTCCATTTTTCTTCCTCTGGCAGATCGAAAGGCCTTTTATGTCATATTTACCTGGGACAGCGGCGCCCAGATCTATGAGCTGGTGACTCAGTCTCTTGGAGAGAAAAAGACGTATGTGTCGGGAGGAAAACATAATAAATCATGTTTGTTTTCCTAGAGAGTAGATTACAGGAAGAGTTGTCTGATTTGTGTGTTCGTGTATGTTCGTGTGTGTGTTTGCAGCTGGACCGATGTGATCAAAGCAGCAGTGGATGACCTGAAGAAGAGCGGAGCACCCATGAGGTTGACGCTCCCTCCTGGAAGTGGAGGAGTTCCCTTCAGTCCCTCCTCGTAAGTGTCACTCTGTGTGTGTGTGTGTGTGTGTGTGTGTGTGTGTGTGTGTGTGAAACAAGCTGTATTCTTTTGTGCAAAAGTTCACCCGTCTTAAAATATCTCATTTCTTTTGTCATTTTCTTTCCGTCAGACTCAGCGCCCCTCTGAGCCCGACAGAGAATGGAGGTTTAAAAAGCGGCAGTGGTGAGAGCGTAGAGCTTTAAGATTAAAAAGACTGTTTTGTTTTGTTTTCCACGTTTTTAAAAGCTCGAACCAAACCGAAGCTGAGTTTACTGTCCTGATAACTGTCCTTAGATCGAGACAAGGACAGCCTGACGGATGACAAGCCCACAGACCACCCGCACCGGCTGATTGATTTCCTGTCAGACAAAGGCTTCGACTTGATAGGCCACACTAACAGTGATCAGGAGAGGGTGGCCAGTAGTGCTTTGGATGAAGGTGAATGGAAGCCCTTTCTTGTGTTTTAAGACCATTTACTTTCCTTTCTTTCACAGCGGCTCACCTGTCTTTCATAAACCTCCCAAATCTGCTTCTCTGTGTCAGTGATGTCGCTAAAAAGGCTGCTGATCGGCAGCATCAGCCTATCAGAAGACTCGCAGCCTGATGAAGAAAACGGAGAGGACCAACCAGAGAGGCCCAGCCAAGAAACAGAGAGAGAGAGTCAGTCTACAGGTAGGAATATGTTGAGTTGACGATTTCTGAAACTCTGTGACCATAAAGCCAACAGTTGCTTTGCATAATGTTTAACTGCAGGTGATAAATCCGTAAGCATGTATAGTGATTGATTTTCTCAAAGTCTGGTCAGATGCTGCAGGTTTACTAATATTGGACATTCACACTCGCATGATTCAGTGCAGCATCAAAACTGTACGTTGTCAGGCTTTAAGGGCGGACTGCATCACACAAGGGATGAGCAGATTTTAAGGGCTGTTGGAGGTGCTGATGAGCACAAGCTCGGCCAGAAGCTTCTGCCTGTTTACAGTCTTGATGCTCGGCTGTGACCGCCTCACCCTGGCTGTAGTTTAAATTAAATGAAAGGTGAAATCGTGTTATTTATCTCCTCATCTCATTGTCTCTGAAAAAGGTCAAACTCTTCTTTTTGAATAAAATCTGATGTTTTTGTCTGATTTTTTTTCTAGTGACTGTAAAACCCCATTAAAATAGTGTTTTCTTTTCAACGTGTAACAAACACAAACAGAACAAATTCAGTCCAAATATGAAAAGCCTCAACCTCTTTAATTTTTAAATATGTTATTTTGTCCTCCAACTTCCTGCCTGTTTTCACCTTAGGCTGTAGTTTCTTTTTTTAACCATTATTCATCACATTTGTAATGGCATGTTCAAAATTCTGTTATTTTGCATTTCCAGCAGCTTTGAAGTCCATATTAACAACATGAAGCTAGTCTTATCATAGTTTTGATCTGGAAATCAAATAACAAATACAGTTATTTCTGCTCTAAACTAGGGCCCGACCGATATGGATTTTTTGGGGCCGATACCGATTATTGGGGGGGGGTCCGATTACCAATTACCGATTAATCTGCCAATTTAAAATAAAAAAACATCAATAAGTGAGTTGAACTGAAACTTGTTGACTTATTGTGTATTTCACAAACTAGTTTATTTACCGTTTAGGTGGTTAGTGGATGAAGATTGTCATGAGGTCGCTGCGCCATCTACAGGATAAGTCGGGGAATCTTTTCACGTGGCAAAACGTTTTCGAAGTGAAACAGAATCTTATTCTCCGCATTTTAGTTCTGAAAATATCAGCGAGTTTTGGCCGATTACCGATTAGTCTCAAACGGGCCTAATCTGGACTAAATTTGTTAAAAATTCATGCTGCTCTGTTACACCAGTGAGGTCTGAAAGCATGACATAGAGAGAGGAGACAGCTTTGTAATGTTTCATCCGTATGTCTGCTTGCTTTTGAGAAGTCCGATCAGCTGTTCCTGTTTTCTCGACTCAGAGATGGTTGCTGTAAATCAAAGTACTGTAATATTTTGAATCCATTTATTTTGACACAAAGTGCATATTACTTTTTACGAGCCATCTCTGGGTTTCTGAAAGCGTTTTTTCAAGAGTGCAGTGGTGTCATTATTTTCTGTCACACTGCTGCAGCTCAACTACAGTGTGGTTAAAGGGAGATAATAGCATGCCATTAATTTTGGGCCTTAATTGCAGCACAATTAATACTTTTACACTAGCATTCGCATTAAAAGATAAAAAGTACAGTTCAAAGAAGTAAAACTTTATCATTAAAGGTTTAAATAGTGTTTAATATCATAGTAACTCATCCGAATATCCTGTGATCCAACTTTAAACAGACTCATAGCACTTCTTAACAGAGTCTATTCATCCACAGAAGACAACCAGAACACAGACAGAGGAGCAGAAGAGGAGAACGAGATCTCTTGTGAAGAAGAAGGAACAGGGATGAAAGGAGAGGAGGAGAGGAGCATCAGCGCGCCTCTGGTTCTGTCCCAGGAGAGGATGGAGGAAGTGTGCAAGAGGCTCCACAGTCTGCAGGAACAAATAAAGAGACTACAGGTGAGGGGAGGTGAACGGAGAACGAGAGAGATGAGAACATAGAGAACACCTAGCCGGGAGCAGAGAGTATGACAGCGGAGGATAAAGATGAGAGACATAACAAAAGATGGGAGTCGACTGAAAAGAGACACACAGCAGAACATGGAGGATTTCACTGAGGATAACTTAAGTAAGGAGTGAGCGGTGGTGTAGTTTGGACAAATGGGGCCAAAATGGCACAAAAGAGAAACTAGAGAATAGAAAACCATTTAACCACAGCTGTTATTGCTCGGCTCAAAATTGCTTTGTGAAATTGGACTTCTCTGAAAATGGCTATTATGTCCAGCACTTGCAATGGGATGTGTCAGAGAAGCAGCGAGAGAGACGAAGAGAGGATGTTAAGAGGAGGAGGTAGAAGTGTGTGTTTGTGTTTCTGTGTGTGTGTGTGTGTGTGTGTGTGTCCATGTGTGTGAGGGAGCCTGGGAATACGAGTGTCTGTCCTAAGGTGATATTGATTTTGTGTGTTGCAGACTGTAGAGGAGGAGCACCACAGACTGCAGGAGGCCCTTTCCAAGTTCTCTCTGGAGGGGGGAAACTTCCAGTAAGACACCATCACGCCACCTGCTGGCCTTTAGGTGAGAGCTGGAGTTAAACTCGAGCAGAAGTATCAGGAGTCTTTGTCGTGGATGTAGGTTTGGTTTCATCAGTGGAATCAACAGATTGATTTTCTATTCATCACTCTAGAAATTAAACCTTTTTGAGATCAGCTGTCAGGTTTTACATACCAGGACTCCAACCAATAAGAATAATTGGTTTCTAAAGTTTGTATCAAAACAGATGTTAAGTGTTGATGGGATACAGTAGTTAGGCAGTATGAATTACTTAAGATTGGTCATTATAGAGAACAAGAAAGGATTTTAAAAAAAGTCAATAAATTAACCAAGTTTGGGGAGAAATGAAGAACAAATGCAGAGTAGAAAATTTGACAGGAATTGTACTGATTTTTTTTACATTAATGCACAAAACTTGTGTTTATATTCTGTTTGGTTTACTTGATAGGGGTGTTGTATTTAAGAGGATATTATCTATTGAATAAAAATATTTTTCCCACAAAACAAGGAGTTACAGCAAGTGTTAAAACTATAGTACAAAAAACTGCAGTTCTTCAGGTCTCCACTTGAGGCAGTCTCATTAAGTTAAAGAATCTCTGATAGGTCTATCATTGAAATGCCTGTTTTTACACCAGAAATAAAAATTTACAGCTGAGTTTAAAAGGAAGTTGAGTTCTCTGATGCTCAATTTTTATTCCAAAAAGTGAGTTCGGTTTTCCAACTTCAGTGTTTTCAGCTTCATTAACCCTCTTCAGAAATGACTGGGTGATACCACCGACTAAACCCATGTTTCATTTGGCCAATGCTTAAAGCAAGCACAGTAGTTCTGAGGAGTTTTTTTTATCAGGCTAAATACAGTCTAGCCTAGAGGCCAAAGCCTAGGACAGAAAAGTCATTTCAGTCATTTCAGTCTTCACCTCTCTTTATGAACACTCATCTGTAGACTGTTTGAGTGGTTTTTGAATCAGTGGGATCCTGTTCAGTGAAATTATATATTCATTTAACCTTAATTTAACCAGGTAAGAACCCACTGAGATCAAGATCCAACTTTTTTTTTTTTATACCAACTTTAGTAACAGCCGCACGATAGCAATACACAGCGGTCTCAGGAGCCATAAACAAACCTCAACCAAAATGCCACTCTATAGCTACAAATAATGCTCAGAACAGCACCTAACTTCATCAACAGTACATATAGGGTCCCAGCCATAGTACTAGCCACCAAACATCTTTTTTAACTTTGCCTAATTTCTTTAGCAAAGAGACTAAACACAACTCACCTACTCTCTTCCAACAGCCGCTTGTTTGTAGAGAGACCTCAGGCCATTTCATTACAGACTGCTGCGGGGTGAAGCAGCTCAAGGAAGAACATTTATAATAGTCTCTTCATGGAAATGCAATCAGACCGAGACGCTAAGGCAGAAGAACTACCTCGTCTGCAGTGCAAAATGATTAATATGATGATTATTACTTGAAGAAAATGATGATAAATGTTCTTCCTTGAGCTGCGCAACCCCGCAGCAGTCGAAATCATGCAAAGCTAAAAAGATTGGTGGCTAGTACTATAGCTCCTGAGACGGCTGTGTATTGCTATCCTGCGGTCGTTACTAAAGCTGGTATAACTAGAGAAGCAAGTGGTCGGCAACATTCATCTCTTGAGGGGGTGTCTAACTCAGTGTTACGGTGTGACCCTAAATTAATTTTACACTGAAATGTCCCTTTAATAGTGTTTTTGTCGTCAAGGAAACTAACCTTTCTATTTTCTTTTCTCTCTTGTAGATTTTTACTGGTGCTGGTTTGAAGTGTAAGAGTCCCTTTCTGCGGCTCACCTGGAAAATCCCTAAACCCTCATGCCTGGACCTTACGCTGCCTTTTTAAGGGGCTTTGTGCACAGTGCAGTGGTTCAGTGATGGAACATGGGAGGTGCGTGCAGGTGTAAGCTGCGTACGTTTGCGTGCCTGCTTGATAGAGAGAAATGCATAAAAAAAACAGGAACCTCCTACTTTTTGAGCGGGAGGCGGCTTTTGCGGCGAGGTGCAAAAAAACAAAAGATAAACAAAAACACAAAAACAAAGCAATATGTTGCTGTGAGAGGGATGCTGCCTAAGAAAATGTAATGATTGTGATCTGCTGTAACACACATACGCACACCAGAGACATGCTAGAAAAGGATTTACATTGTTGCCAAAAGAGGTTGTACGTTAAAGAGGAACCCTAACCAGGTGGAGCTGATGTAGCATTTGAAGATTTAATGAAATACTACTGCTGATATTTAGTGTTATTTCTAGTCTATGCCAAAGCACCACAGAGATGCACTTTGTTCTAACCGAACAAGTTGAACCCACACTGTGTCTGCAACATTTATTGTGTTTGCTCTCTATTCAGTTCAGTGCAGGCTTCATGTAGGCAGCCCGCATTATTTAGAAGATTCAATTCAAAGACAGTGTGTGTGTGTATGTGTGTTACAAAGTTTTAAACTGCTTTATTTGGAGGGTTCTTATTGTTATTAGGTCACATAAAAACATGTATAAATAGAGGCACTGTAGGTAATCATGCTGTTTATATTGGATATTTGTTTGTATTTACTGCTTTTATTTATTCCTCTGAGTTCTGTTGGGTCAATGTGTTGCCTCACCCGAGTGAAACTGTTACAGCACTGGGCCAGAGTGAGACAGAGAAGTGAGTTACAGAGAGGAAGAAATATCTATAAGAAGGTAAACTCGAGAATGTGGATGAAAGATTAATGTGGCGGGAGAGAGAGAAGATGAAGGGATGAGAAGTGAGTTCAGAGGAAGGTTGATGTTGCTTTGGTTCATTTGCAGTGAGGAGGAGTTGTGTAGAAAAAAATGAGATTAGGATTTGCACTCACTGTACTGGAGAAAATGTAGACACACACACACACCATCACACACTCACATGAAACACTTAGATACACTGAAAGCCCAGTGCCACATTCACAGAGGTCCACACAGTGACGACTGTCATCTTCTCCCATGTCAGCTTCACAGCTCCTGATCCAAACTCTGGACTTTAGAGGAGATTATAAACTGTATGATATGATGATCTAGAGTCACCTGATAGTAGTAAAATTGATTTTCTTCCCTTATCGTGGCATTTGTACCCAAATTAAGCTGTCTTTTTTTATTTTGCTCAGCAGTTGATTGTATAATTACGCTGATTTGATTTCTGCTAGGTGGAAAAACTGTGGCTGTGCACACAGGACCAAAGACATGACAAAGATCCTCAAACCAGCTGCTTCGTATCAGGAACGCTTTATATTCGTATTCACACATTTGCTGCCAAATGCCCCAAAATCTAATGTAAGATGAATGAAGTGAAGAGACTTCAAAAGTGTTTGAAGAACAGAGTATTTGTTCTGGAGAAAATGATCCGGTTCAACCTTCTGGTAAATGTGCTAGTGAGTACAGACATTAGAAGAGTGTAGACTGCCCAAGCCTCGTGACCAAACCAGGCAAACCAGCCAGTCTATGATTTCCTGCTTTCTTTTTACTGATTTTCAAAATATGAAACTCGCAATACTTGTGACTTAAAGACGGCACTGACTGTTCTGAAGACTTTAAACTCTGTTGGTGTTGAATGAAACATGAGGGAGCTGTCCCGGCAGCAGAAAGGACAAGACGACAGACAGTAGAGCCAGACAAGGAAACAAAGACGAGTGTGTAGGAAGGAGAAGTGCTGTCTCATTCCATGATTCCTCTCAGCAGTACTGTAATCATGATCACTTTTTATGCATCCTGATCATTGTCACCCTCTTTAACCCGAATGAACCTCAAGTAGAAATCATGCAAATAATGGTTCCTTTATTCATCTAGACGTCACTTGTTGTTAAATTATGTCTGTTTGTGCTTTGCTGTCGTGTTTGTTTCTTAGAAACTGTAAATAAATGTAAGCTTGAAGGAAAACTAATTATAAAAAAAAAGCTTAAATTTGCTCCCCCTATTTGTGTTTCTTAATCTTGTCGGCCACACACATCTTGATAACACCCTCTCATCTGATTGCATGATCACCTCCTACTTCACAGTCTGTGTTTTTTTGTGTGTGTGTATTTCTTTTGATTTTCTCCACCAGGCCATGGAGATTTTTGTTACTGTCTTCCAACAAGCTTATGTAATTATGTATTTTGCATTTGACCATTATGATGAGAGAGGCAGGGTTTGTCTATAAAAATGCCAATGCATGAATGAAATGAACAATTATGCAAATGATGTGAACGAGGCACACATGTTTGTCTCCATTTTTGCAGTTAACCCGCTCTTTACTGTGGTTAACAAGCTACGTTATGGGATACATCTGAGGAGATCATCTCATACCAGGATTTTTTCACTTCACATACCAGCTTATAGTCACTCACTGCCTGAGAAACTACTACAGGCACTTCTTACTCTCTCTCTCCTCCAGATTTCTTCCTTGTAATTTTATATAGAAATACCAGGATGTAAAGAAAGAGTGTGTTAAGAGTGTATTTATAGATTGGTGCCTTCTCTGATGATCAAGCTGTTGTCTACAGAAAGGGCTCCTGAATCTGCAAACACAATCACTGTTGTTTCGGACGAGGTTGTCTTTCATGGAGGACTGAGTATGACAGAAACAAACAAATCACTCAGTGTCAACCCAGCGTTTTGCTTTTGTGCCCACATCCATCACAGCAATAGGATCTAAGCCCTCTGCCAACTCGGAGAAGACACTGCTTTTTTTTTTTTGCCATTTTTGTCTCTATAAACAAATGAATATGCAAGAACTATACTGTGTATTTGGCTTTTGATTTTTATTGTGTAAGAAGCTCTTTAATGGTGTATACTTCAGGAAAATTGTGGTACGTGTCTGTTTTTTAATTCTTCTTTTTTTAATAAATTGGGGAAATAAATTCTTGTTTTGTCATTTTATAGATTTAAAAGCCCAGTCACAATAACCTGAAGGGTTCTTTTATTTACCTCTGCGTGACAAAGAAAATGTTTTGCTTATATATAAACCATTATTTTTTCCATGAAGACAAAAACATGTAGTTTCTCAATGCATTCATGCAAATGTGGGAGGTTTCAGAGTTATTCAAGTGGAAATCCTGACAGAGACAAAAGGAAGAGATCTGTGTGTTGGCGCAGTAGCAGCTTAAACTGAGACCAGTTTTCTATGAGGAACTTTATCTGCATTATTTAAGACACTTTTTTCTTTTAAATCTCTGATTTAACATTTTTTAAAGCGATGGGAACATTTTTGATCTTTCTTTTCTGCAGCTTTGCTGGTAAGTCAAATCGATTGAATACACAATATGATCTAAAATACTCATTAATTACTGAAAACTACTCATCACTTCATGAGGATGAACTTACCCTCTGTTTAGAATATCAGCATTTCTACATGTTTGTCCACTGAAGCTTGATTAATGTACTTACTATCGCTTTAACCCATTTTTTTACACAATGTTCAGCTTCAGTGAACCATGTCTCCTGTCAAAACAGGTGGCGATGGTATCATGTTTCATGTTTTTGCTTCACTGTGGTTAGTTATGATGTACAGTCTCACTTTAAAACAGTTGAAATGTCAGTGAAAACTGAATTTGATGTTTTGTAAATCATTTCAATAGGAAGTAAGGCACTGAGAACATCAACCATTAGAACTGAAACATTTTCTTGTCTTGTAAAAATTAATTTCTTGTAATAAATTTGATGCCAACAACATGTTTCAAAAACATAGTGATGGGTAATCTTTTGGGAATCTACAGTTTTTGAGGTGAAATGTCCCTTTTTTGCCTGATACAGGATTTTAGCTTGCCAACAGTTAAAGGTCACCCTGGTCATATTTTTGGTTTCATTATGGGCCAATGATTATAATTTCAGTAGGTATCAGGGATTTAGGTGGGTTAGTTCTACTACAAGAGTGTTCAAAACATGTTGTAGAACATGCAGATTATTATTCAGCATTGACTTGTTGAAATATGCAAGATGTTTCCTGATGGCACCTGTCCGCTTAAATCTGCTCTTCGTAACTCTTGGTCTGTGTTGACACTGGTGCCCCTTGTGGATAAAGTGATACCTTTTCTCTCATGTCCTGTGCATGTGAAAGTAATGTTTACAAAAAAGAGTGAACTAAATCAGCCTGTGAGCAATTACTGTAAAAAAAAAAAAAAAAGTCCAAATATGTTGTTTCTTGGCTTGATGTAACTCATCTGGTCTGACTCCTGACCCCTAATAGAGGTTTTAAGCATGAAAAGTTGTTACAGTGGAGTTATCAGCTTTCATGCTGATGGTCTCAATTAATTCTGAAGGTCATAAAGAGGCATCACTAACCATTTCAGTCTGTTTCTCAACCAAGTAAAAACTCCTCATAGTGCCTTTGAGAACAAAGATTACAGCATACATCTCAGTCCAGCTTCAATGGGCTGGGCAGGTTTGGTCATATTGTTTCACCTTTGAAGCTGTATGTATGTGTTTACATGGGTAATTGTAGTATGTTATTTTCCTTGTATGTTATGATAAAATTATCTGACAATATTCAATGACTGCTCCTCCGTCCACAGTGGTGATCGCTGAAGCTGATGTGACTTTGATGGCAGACATGCCCTTTTTGAGCGTGCAGCTCAAACATCCTGGTATCCTGAAATGCTGCTACGAAAGCAGTAAGGAGCCAGAGTTTTTCCGGTGGTACAAAAGTTTTCGAAGCGGCAACAAAACCATTGATGATGAGAAAATCACAGACTCGGTGACTCAAGAAATTTTAACGGTAACACGTTATTGTGGCGTCCTAACCTTTGACTCAGTCCAGGTGAACAACTCAGGCTTCTATCGGTGTTGGCTGAATACGAGTAGAATCTATACACATGGTACCTACCTGCATGTCTACAGTAAGTGTTTCTGTCTGTGTGTGTTTGTGTGTGTGCAGTACTAGGGGAGCCTTGTCTGCAATGCAAAATGGTACAAAAGCCTAGTATGTAGTATGTTTATTAGAGGAATGTTGTCTAGTGAGCTCTAAGCACTGCTTACATCTCGTAAGCCATAAATCCTGTTAACTGTCATCTAGCTGAGCTGAACGAGAGACAGCTGCCTCACATATGTCCGCTTTTTTAATCTTTACATCGTCAGAACGGACTCATCACAGTCTGCTGCTCTTTCATTCGCTTTAAATAGACACAATATTCAGTCAAGTTGCAGCCAAGCTTGTGGAGGAGCTGTGTTTTTTTATACTGTAATGTCTTGTTGCATCATAATCTTAATTAAGTACAGATGGCAGAAATGTAAAACAACCATTAACTCCCCCCGGATTACATTTCTGATAGGCTGCAATATAATAAAAGAACACTACTACCCTTACATTTTGAGCTGAACAGCTTTCTTCATGTTAAATAGCGCAGTTACATACTCAATTTTATAATTAAGGACTGGGTAAGATTATTTAGTAATTATTTTGTAACCCTACTCTTTTTTTACTCTCTAGTCTCTTATGTGCAGGAAACTCTAACTCTGCTTTGTTCTTCCTTTTCCTCCAAATGTCCAGAGCCGCTGGAGAAGACCATTAACCTCAGAGAGAGCACCAAAAATAAAATCCTCACGGCTGAGGGAGTGTTGCTGTTCCTGTCTGTGATTCTGCCTGCTGCCACTCTGCTCTGCAAGGTCAGATTTATACCTCATGATGACCATCTGGACATTAACACACACTATCTCTCAGCCACACCTAAGCCCGAGCACCAATGTTAAGACATGGTTAATTTCCAGAATGTCTCAATAGTGGCACTGCTGTATCCCTAACGTCAACACAGCAGGAATTACAGAAGTCTATAAGCCTTCCCTTCTCTGTTCAGTTACAGGTGTTTCGTTCTCCTTTTTTTCTATTTTGAAGCTTAATTCACTTCTGTTTTTCCTTCACAGTCAAAAAGACTACATGAACTGGAGAAAAAGAAAGTGAAGAAAGAGGAAGAGAACATATATCAGGTGAACTTTGAAAAAATAAGTCACATTCCCTCTGAGTCAAACACACATGATCACATGTTTCAGAAGAGAGGAAGCGAGATATGTATGAACATATTGTTCAGCTTATGTCTGAATATGTGATTTTTTTTGTGTGTGCTGACCTAGTTTCTCTTTTGCTTATCTCACACACCATAGGGACTAAATCTGGATGATTGTTGCACCACATATGATAAGATTGAGCGCTCCATGACACAATGCCCGTATGAGGATGTGTGCAACATTATCGAAGAGGAAGAGGAGATCCAGTTGGAGAAGCCTTAGAGGAGCGGGTGGAAAAAGAAGAGAAAAACATGTATTTTGATGGTTGGGTTTAAGAGTGTGCTTTGAAATATCAGGTCTTTTCTTTAATATCAATATTAGCTTAACTTTTCTTCACAAATCATAACTTGGAATCATGTACATAGCATTATAGCACTTCAAGATATGAAAGGTGAAAGGCCCTTTGCTCCATGTACTTTCACAAGAAGTCTTTTTTTTAATATCTGCACATTACCTGCTGTGTTTAAAAATGCATTTAACATTTTCCCTTTTTTCTTGACACACAATAATCAAATGTTTCTGTCTTTTTTGGCAATTGCAAATATAAATGGGGATTTATCTAAATGTAGACTGCACAAACTCTAAAAAAAGGTAAAAGAAAAGAAAAGAAAGGCAGGGTAAAGGTTGTTCTGAGCCTTTAATTCTCCACAGCAAACTGAGCTGCCTTACAGCTGTGGTATTTGGCCGAAATCCAACTTTAGGACAGTTATGAACAATAACTCCCCAGAACGTTAAGAAACATTAAAAAAGCAACATTTCTTTACAACCAGGCGACGTGATTTACTTATAAAAACTGTGTTTGTGTGTTTTCACCCTCTTGAAAGTGTGTTGAAATACATATTTTAATTTAACATTTTTGCTTTTTTACACAATAATTTTATGGTTTGTTACAATTTTGTTGCTCGTGCTTACAAAATAAACCTTTGTTGGAAAAATGTTAAAAATGTTAGAAAAAATATCAATATTAGCTTAACTTTTCTTTACATATAACTTGGAATCATGTAAATAGCATTACAGCACTTAATGGAAAGAGGCTGGGGAAAGATCTGGAAAGTGAAAGGCCCTTCGCTCCATGTACTTTCACAAGGAGTCTTTTTTAATATCTGCACATTACCTGCTGTGTTTAAAAAAATGCATGGGAATCAGATATTACATTTGACCTTTTTTCTTGACACACAATAATCAAATGTTTCTGTCATTTTTGTCAATTGCAAACATAAATGGGAACTTATCTAAAGGAAGACTATTCAAACTCTAAAAAATAAAAAGAAGAAAAGAAAAAAGAAAAGTGGGGTAAAGGTTGTTCTGAGAGTTTAATTCTCCACAGCAAACTGAGCTGCCTTACAGCTGTGATATTTGGCTGAAATCCAACTTTAGGGCAGTTATGTACAATAACATTCAAAAATCAAAATTTCATTCTCTTATTGTGTTTTTTTTTCTTTAACATTTTTTAATTTCATTTGCTTGTTTTTTACCTTATTATTTTCCTTATTTGTGTATTTGTTGTATTTCTGTACTGTTTACATGTCGTTATGTGATTCATAGAACTGCTCACCTTTGAGTCGAGTGGAAATGTGGGAGGGATAAAATAAACTGGGGAAAGGGATGGAAGTCTTCCCGTCACGTTGTACTGACATGTTGCTGTATGTGTGATTGCTTCCAATTAAGAAAGTTATAAAAAACGCAAAATTTCTTGACAATCAGGCGACGTGATTTACTGATATATGTATATATGATGTGTGTTTGTATGTTTTCACCCTCTTCAAAGTGTGTTAAAATGCATATTTTAGTTGAACATTTTTGCTTTTTTACACAACAATTTTATGGTTTGTTACAATTTTGTTTCTCGTGCTTACAAAATAAACCTTTGTTGAAAAAAAAAAAAAAACTTAAACCTTTCAAACGCCTAAAACTGTGTCTTAATAACCATGATATCCTTCCAATTTGGATGAATGAACAAGCGCTCACATGTCTGACCAAACCGTGAAACCAAAGCAGAGGGGCGGACCCTTGTTGATTACTCGCGCCACTATTGGCTACTGGACAGTGACGCAGCCAGTCAGCGAATTCCGTTTTTGGTTGTGGGCGGAGCCTGTGCGCTCCCCGGCAGGTATGTAGGATAGATGTGAGAGGCGGTGCGTAAACAGAGTGGGCGAAGATGGCGTCGAGCAAGAAGAGTGGTGGGAATAGCAGATATGAGAAAAGTGTGAATGGAAGACGCTCGTCGAAACATAAAGAGGGTCCAGTGGGTGAGTTTTCCTCTGAGTCACAGCCCCCCCCCTCCTTCGTCGCTTTCTCTTTAATAACGTCTCTTTTTGACGCTCCGTCGCTGTCACCTCCCGTTAGCGTCCGTTAGCGGCTACGTTAGCTTGCCTCCGGTAGCCGAAATGAACCGTCAGGATTAAAGCCGCTGGTTCTGTCTCAGCTGCTCACATCTCGTGATCGTTGTGATCGACCTACTGAGGATATCTGCGACTGAGAGCCCGCTCCGTCTCCTTCTCTGACCTGCCTTTAGGTTAAACAATCACTGCCACTATAATGTGATGTGTGCCGTTAGTCGGAGCAGCAACAGTAATGTCATCGCTGGAGACATAAACGGCTCAGCGCCTGTATATATATATTAACATTTTCACCCTGTTTTCCCCTTGTTACAACCGCTGACACTGCCTGGACACACCTGAACAGGTACTCTAAACTAAGGGGGAGGATGGGGCGTAACCAGATTAACCTTCCGAGTCCGGTGTGCCCAGTGCTTAAATCGATTATTGGTAGATGAGAGCAGGCAGACACATGATGAGCAATCGGCAGTTAAAGAAGGAGAGACTTAACAGGATGCTGCTGCCTGGAGGCACTGTGGAGTTGCTGTTTATGTGACTAAACAAACCCCCTCTGTTGCTTTGTTCTGCTCTTAAATAAACTACTCCCTTAGATTTACAGGGGGGCATCAAATTGCTGCACAATGTCAGTTTTTACCACAGTATCACAACATTTCCTCTAGTGTTTTATGAATGGGGTGTTTATAATAGACTTGGGCCTGTGTAATGAGATTAGAAGAGTTTAAATCTAATCCCAAATCTTGCATGTGGCTGCGAACATGCTCCGTTTTCACCAGGACTGAAGATCAGATTTGTAATCTTCAGTTTAATCCAAGTAGGTGCATTATAAACTAAAGGGAAACTTTGTGCGCCTCATTTGTAGGGGGGTGTGGGGGCTCATTGTTGCGAGTTTCCTGTTGTTCAGTTCGGCCTTGTGTGTGTGAAGGTGTGTTGTCTGGAAAAAGGGTCACAGCCTCAACACAACACTAAAGAGCCCCTGCTGCTGGCGCTTCCTCTCGCGCAAGTTTGCTATTTTTAAAGCCTGCTTCCTATAGACATGGCATTTTGTGGAGTGTCACATATCAAGGCAAAGTTCAGAAAGACTGACCAAATATGTATCTTGTACAGAAAAAAAAACATATTAAAATGTGTTGCCTGGCTTAAACAAAAGAGTGATCTTTTCACAGACATACAAGGATAGTTTTCATGTTATTGGAATTACTGTTGCCAGGACTTCAGAGTGACACGGAGTGGCTCAGGTTAGGAAACCTAAAAAGACTGATGTCAAGAAGTAGCTAAAATCCTCCCAACAATGGACCGCACTGGAGCCTGTACACCTTTCACTATAAAGGTGACCTGTCAGGCTGCAAGATTAAGTTCCTAATGTAAAAAGAAGCAAGTCTTTCCTGTCAAAAGCACAAATATTTGTGTGCGTGTGTTTGTGTACATAAATGACAGTTTCTGCTTTTAACTCTGCTTTTTGAGTGATGTTTAACCATGCAGCTTAACATAGTTGGAGCTACTGAAAGATTACATGGTAGTGCATCAGTGTCGGATTATTACTTGGCTCTGGACCAACCTGATGCCCGGGAGACTGGAGAGGATCTGGCTTGTTGAATGAGGCGACACCGTGCAGCAGGGCCCTGATCTACATCCACATACTGATAGACAGTAATAAGATAAAGGCAGCAAGTTCTTTTAAAGATTTGTGCAGATTAGCGGTCAACCAATTGTAGTCTTTCAAGAACTGGTGCTGAGGGAGCAGGTCAGTTTATGGCCAATACAACGAAATCACCTTTTTTTGCATTTAATAGAATACGATGGTTTAATAGTAATAATAGTTCTTACTTTGTTTAAAAGTACAAAGTAAATGTGATGAAAAGAAACAACAATAAAAATAATACTAATAATAATATAAATAAATATATCTATATCTTAGCCAGTAACATGTTTCATATTCATTTTAAATCAATCAGAAAAAAAATACATTGGATTATATTTTATATTTCAGAGCATGGCTGATATTTCTGTCAGAGGCAATACTATGTAAAGGAATTTGTGATAAATACTTGCCTGTGACTGTTTTCTATTTGATATGCTTTCACTGGGTATTAAGAAAATTTAGAAAGGATAATTATGAGATCTTTGTGCTGATGATTTTAATACCCCATTAATTGGCCCTATGAATCGGCCATCTGATCAATTAATTTATCTCTAGTGCAGATATGTGTTTATTTTGGATGTGCTTATTAAACTGACTAAAAAATAAAACATTAAAACCCTGGCATCCTCATTAATCAGCATCGAAATTACATGTCAGCTGAAGGAATTATCAGGGTTTTTATTATTGACGGTCCGTATTGGTGGCCATGTGTTCCGTCTTGGCTGTGACACAGCCGGCCACCACTAGCCAAGGCTGTAGCTCTGGTTAATAATGGCTACTGCCAAAATGCGATAACACTTTACTACCCATATGAAAACAAACACGGATGAAAGATGATGGCATCTTGGAGCTTGGCACAATTTGCAAGTGTTTTGATCTAGAGGCTGGAGATAAAACTGTATGTAGTCTGGTGAAACTGGCAAACAACCACCTGACCAGAATGATGTGTAACTGACAGAGACATGATGCTGACCTGCAGGGGGGACCAAAGGCTGGTGGAAAGCGTCACTCAGGAAGGTCACGTTTGAACCTTTCCCACACTGGACCTTTATTGACATCTTTTCTTTTGCAGCTACTATGTTTATTTTTGTTGTCAGCATTGAACTCGCATCTTGGTTTGACATAGCTTGAGGTGTAGACACAATAGAGATGTCATGCAACATCCTGTGAAGTCAATAAAACCATCAATAATCAAATCAATTGCACTTTGTGTATTTCCAGTTGTTAAACATAAAAATATCTTTCTAAGAAAAGGGCTTCAATCGAGACATAAAACAACACCTCTCATTTCTGTTCAAACTCAAACAACAGAAATACTTTTCATCTGAGTTTAAAGTCAAGTGTCTCTGTGTTCTTTTGCTTGTTTCTTTGTCTCTGTGTGTGAAAAGTCACATCTCATTCCCTTGAGTCATGTGACTATCAAATGTGTGAAATCAGCAAGAAAGACTTTGCAAAGGTCATATTTTCACTCCCTTTTTTCATGGGCACACTTTGTCCGTGTTCTATCAGAAGAAGTTTCACAACGCCTGGCAGATACTCCAAATATCAAATACATGTTCAGGGGTTCTATGCAAATGTTGTTTAAAAAGCATGATTCCGACACATTCACCGCAAAAAAAGTCACTTAAATAGACACGACAGGTGCAGGCCTCGCATCTTAAAAGGATTAGTATTGATTGGATCTTAAAAAAACTTTGATTAGTTAGACAAAGTTTTTTTTTAAACAGTAAAATGTGACATTTTAACGTTTTCAAACTGACACTGTGTTTTTCAAACCTTTCCGCTCTTGTTGGCAGTACCAGAGGATTTCAGTTCCTTATTTCAGTCATTTGGCCACACAGATAAATGTGTTTTGAAGACCTCATTATAGGAACAGAAAGCATGTGCTGTAATTTGTTTTTTTTTTTGTTTCAAAGCCTGTTTATGGACGATATTTTTATTAATATACCCTCTTACCTCCTGTGGTTTGTATCCTTATATAATATGGAAAAATGTAATCAAAGGGAAACTCCACATTGTTCCTGCCAATGTCTGTCTGTACAAGATCTGCCAATTAGGTTGAAGGTCACAGGGAGTTGCAAGCTAAACAGCCAATAGCAAAATAGTCAGTGTCACAGAGAGAAAGTTAACTGGGCTGAAGTTGTCTGTAGCTTCCCAACTGTGTTTAAAGAGGCATGGGAGGGACGAGCAGGGAGGAAAGAAAAGGGCAACTCACTGCCTCTGGGTGGAAGTGGTTATGACTGGCTGACAGAGGACGAACCTCAACGTGGAGAAGAAAGACAACAAAACCAATTGGGAAGACAGTATTGCTTTCCTTTCTGCTACCCCTCCCTCTGGATCTCTCATTCTATCTTTCTTTTCCCCTATGCTCTCGTTGCTTTCGTGGAAGAGAGGAGACAAACAAGGACAGAGCCTTGAACTCGGACGCTGGTAAACACTTTTCACTTTTTTCTCTTCAAGCTTTCCTATAGCTTAGTCCATGTCCCATCGCTTACATGCTGTCCCTGAACCCTGAAACAGGTTGTTTTCATCCTTCTGTATTCTGGCCCTGCAGGAGTCATTATATGTCTGTAATGTCGCTGGTGTGTGTTGTTGTACATGACTTATTAATGTCCACTGTCATTCATCTTTAATGTGGAGAGACCAGGTACAACTTAATGGTCTCAGCTGGTTTACATCGGTGTCCCATGTTATCTACGCGGGGTAGGGAGTGGGTGACGCGGGAGTATATCACTGACAAAGGCAGCTCATAGTTCATGTGTTTGCTGGAGCACAAGTAGGTGAGTCCTATTTTTCTGCTTTCTATTGATTAGGTATTGACAGCTATCCTGGTGTGAGTGCGGTCCTGGTGTGGCACAACTATTACTTCATTATTGGTCTGCCTGATGCATTATTCTCCATCAAGTGAAGTTGTCCCCAGGCCTGTGTGAACTCTGAGTGAGTGCTCCATTAAGATTGCACTGCTCCATTTGCATTCTATTTGCATATGATATACTCCCTGCAGCAAGACAGGGGTGTAATATTTACCGGCTTCATTATCATTAAGCAAGAGTTAGAACAGCTTATGCTGATCCAGGGGTTCATAAAGTTCACGCTTAGCTTACGCTTGTCAACATGCAGCCTATCGGCTCACCCAGCTGAGACAGTGGTACCCTCCCTCGCTCTAATTAAGCAATGTAATTTTAAGTCTGGCGGTTTTCCCAAACAGGTTCGACTGCCAAAGCTGGTCCTGCAACATGCCGTTTGTGTGACTACTTGACCAAAGCGGCCATTGTGTTCCCTCAGGCCACATTGCAGATTGTGTTTAAGCAGACAGATGAATGTGTGTATTTTTAGATGGGTTTTAGTTCGTCTCTCGTGGTGTTTCCAGATTTCTGCTGACGCAAGCAGTCGAGTTGATGCACATTGAGTAACTGTTTCCTGACTCGTCAAATTCAGAACATTCACACTCACTCGCACACAGTGTGGAAGAAGCTGGCTCGTTGCCAAATCCCGAGATGAAGCAAGAGTCCAACTATTTTTATGCGTGTGTTTGACGTCAGCTGTTACATTGCTTTGACATGATGCGGGTGTGTAGCAGGTTCCCATCATTGATCTTTATAACGACTTGGGATGATTCATGTTTTCACGGGATGAGTGAATGGGAAAACCCTGATTTACTCATGTCGTGTGACGCCCTGATCCCTCCCTCCTATTACACCTAAACAATCCTTCAACTCTTCAGTAGGTAAAGTGTTCTTCTCATTTACTTTATAACAGTTAAGAAAGAAACAATTTCACTAAGTATTTCCTTGCATTGCTTCGTAAAAGTCATTCGGACATAGACTGTCCCTCTCTTTAAATATTAATTGACTGCAAACCAATCATACTCGACCAGTATGTGATGACAAATGTCACCAGACATCACAAGACACTTGGAGTCAGTTTGAAGAGACAGTTGGCAATTAGTGTACGCTATACAAACTCACCGACCATTACTGTCAAAATCAACTCTCAAGTGTGGAATAACCCTTTGATGTCATATGATGAGCTTTACTGTGTATCCGATCAAGTGGTCCTTTCACATGCTTAAAGTGATGTGAAATTAGGCCTCAAGCTGCTTTATTAAGCTTGCAGGAGTAGATAGAACATGAGACTGTATTGAAAAACATTCTCCCCACTGCACTGCTGCTCCATGTAGCTCATTCATTCGGCTCTACAGTGCAGCTCTGGTTGATTTCTGTGCAAAAAAAAAAAAAAAAAACGCCTCATGATTCTTTCAAACTTTGACCAGGAACCCCATTGTGACATCCCTGGTGTACAGCGAGGTTCCCTCCTGACAAACATTTTGACAGATAAGAGGTGAGTGGACGAAAGACAACATTTCGATAGTGGTGGCTGTTGCATGACATTTCATCACTTCATCGCGCTGTTTCGGTTTACAGTTGGTCGCGTTTGAGTGAGGTTTGGTTTCTGGATGCGAGTGAAAGGACGAGTGGTGCAAAACTTCCAACAGAATATGTGTCCCCATTTATTTTTGGCAGGATCTAAGAGGCACAAATTTAGCTTGCCTGCTTCGATATAATTTGATGAATTCCCATTGACAGTATTCAGTAATTCTGTATTGACTTTTTCTTTTAAAAAATAATGTTAAACTATTCCTATGGAGAGATGTCTTGCCTTTTAGTGTCTGTAATTTAGTATGAGAAGAGTTTGTTTATGTGTGTGTGGGTGTGTGTGTGTGTGTGTTACAAGTCATTCAGTTGATAAATGTCAGGAAATTGTGATTCCTCCCCACACACTGAAATTGCCTCTCCCCTTTCCTGAATGGCGGGAAAGAGCAGAATAATTGTGCGATAAGGCCTCTATTATTTCTTTGACCCCTGAAACAATAATTCAGTCGGTGGAACCTGCTTACTTCTTAGTATGCATCAGCAACCTCTGCTCCACAACCCAAGATGCTGCTTTGGGCACTTTGGGTTAAAAAAAACAAAAAACTGAGGAATGAATGAGTGAGCAAATTCCAGACCCTGATGTCATTAGTGATATTCACAAGATATACATGATCTAATGGAAGAGGATCCAAAACAGCAGTGTCTTTCTTTGAGAGTGGACTTGAAGCGATCATTATCGACAGTCTCTGCGTAATGGATAAGAACACATTAGTCCTGCAATCGAAATGGTTAACACTTGTCATTAAGAGAATTTGTTTTTCTCTCTGTATCCACCACAGGTCATTGAAGGAAATGAAGAATATAGATTTATTCAAGAAAAGGTTAAAAAATGAAGAGTACATTTATAAAGGCCAGACTGATATGGATTTTTGGGGCCGATGCCGATTATTAGGGGGGAAAAAAATCTGATTACTGATTAATCGGCCGATTGTTAATTTTTTTATGAAGCTATAAAAAAATTATATACTCTAGATATACTGTAGGCTACTGCTTTTCGCAGCCGCCGCCGATCGGTGCCTCCGTGTCTTAACTCACGTTACTAATTTACAGTCCGGTCCCTCAGTAAGAGAAGTAGCTTGATCACGTAATGTGAACTGTTTTTATTCTACCGTTACTGGCACGGCTAACAGTGTAACAAGGCTTATAGCAGATGGCTAACTCTAACTTTAGCTTGCATATTACATGGCGCTTCACCGTTAACTCGGCGTGACCGAGACCAGCACAGCGGGGAACATCGTGAAGTGGGTTGAACTGAAACTTGTTGACTTATTGTGTATTTCACAAACTGGTTTATTTACCGTTGAGGCGGACCACTCTTCTCCGTGCGTCCCTGAGCCACCTGCTTCAGATCTGTCACTCTGCTGTGCTGTGTGGTAGTTAGTGGATGAAGATTGTCATGAGGTCGCTGCGCCATCTACAGGATAAGTTGGGAAGTTTTCAAATAGCGGAACATTTTTGAAGCGAAACCGAATCTTATTCACCATTTCATTCTGAAAATATCGGCGAAAATCGGCAAGTTTTGGCCGATTACCGATAAGTCTCCAACGGGCTAAAATTGGCCAATTTAATCGGCTCGCTGATAAATCGGTCGGGCCCTAACATTTATTTATTCGTCTCATTTATTTCTGTTTATGTCTTTGAATGTATCTTCAAATGTAGGTTAGTGTTTGCGTATTAGTTGTTCACAGTATCAGGCTATTTAATTATTGATAGACGTTTGAGGGATTTCATTTGTTTATTTTTATGTGTAAAGTGTGAATCAAAGATCGATCAAAGTCAGATGATTGACAGCTTTGGCCTATTTGCACAAGATCAATGATCAACTAAAAGTTATACTAAGTGAAATATGAGTATTATTTACAATTGAAGTTGTTTCCATTTTTGTTTTATAGCGCTACTCTGCTTTTTTTCCATGGCTGCTTCTCCCCTCTCATAATTTCTCATGTGCTCATCAGTTAGAAAAGCACAGCTGTTTCCATTTTCTCTCCCTTTGTTTTCTTCTCTGCGTGTCCCCTCCCTTCTCCCGTGTCCTCTGTCCCTCAGCATGCCAGTCACCCTATACAGTAAGTACCAGCTGGTTCTCTGACTCGGTGTTGTGGAAACACGGGTCTCAGGTGGCCAAAAAGCTCTTTTACAACAGCAGGAGTCCATCAGGGACATAGTGCTGGATCTTAGTTATGCTGCAGTAAAGCAGGGATATAGGCACACTTAAAAAAACACACACAGTTGTATACCTCCCTTTGGGACCGTTATGTGAGTGTGTTTGTGTTTTTTTGTCAGTTTATGACTAATCTGGGTCTGTTCCCAGCAGCATGACGTGAGCAAAGGGGCCTCTGCCTTCTCCTCCTGCTCCATGCATGTCTGCCTGAATCTGTGGATTTTGTCTGCTTAGCCCGGATTTACATCATTTAATTTCAAGGCTTGCTTAACACGTTTCAATCAATGAGCCTCTATTCGCCCGGCTACGTGGGATTAGTTAATAGGAGTAAGAGAACATTTTGTAGGATATATCCAATGATACCCCACCTGGGCTGGTATAGTGTCTACATGCTGATAAAGAGTATGGTCATGGTGCAGAATAGGGATCAGGATGCTCCTCTTTATGCTTGCAAGACAAGACACCAGCTGCAAGTCAAGCCCTGAGAACTAGAGAGATAGTGAAACGGTGTCCAGGATCCTGCAAAACAAGCATGCATCAGGGTCAGAAAGGTGGCACGATCCCCTCCCCTCAGTCCAATAAAGAGGAAGTTCGCTCGCTTGAAAACATTATCAGTTCACAGCTGTTAAAATAATTGTTGTACTGCAGTACTCCTTCTTATGCACAACTGTCTCTCTGTCTTTCTATTCCTAGTGATGGACACTAAGGCGGTGTTTGCGGCCCTGTACAGCGTGTGTGAAGAAAATGCGGCTTTCTTCTCAGGAGGAGCCAAAGGGTCGCAGGGTGATGCGGCACGGCGGCTGGTGGAAACCATGAAGCTGATCCAGGAGCATGCGCACAGTCTGGAGCCCGTCGTCACTGGCTTTGCTGCAGTTTACCATCACTTTGACTTTGACCCTCACATACCTGCCAATGGCTATCGCTCACTAGTCAAGGTAGGCTGTGGGATGCTTTCAAGCTTTGTGTGTGTACAGTAAAGTCTCTGAGCCGTGTCTGGGCTCTTGTATCTGCCCAGTTTAGCTTTAAGAAAAATAAGCATACAGCTACACACTCTTATCAATATTCTGCCCACACTGTGAGAAATGGCTCTGCTTCCCCTCTGTGCCTTCATATTGTTTTGTTTCAAGGTCAGTCCATTTGTTTTCCAGATTGATTTTATGTTGCAAATCAGGTTAGATAAATTCCTCCAGCTGCAGAATATCTACCCCAACTGTACTCACTGTACTTTATCTTCTTCAGTTATTGATGAAACATCATGACCTTCAGTAGCTGCAGCCCACCACAACTGAATGAGTCTAGCAGGGCAATAAATGAATGCTGCTCTGTTTTCAAGCCTCCAGATTTCCACATTTATAATCCTTCTCATCCCCACACTGCAACTTTGACTAATCTGTAACACCGTGGTTGGAGCACTGAGCATTTCACATGCTTGCTTTCTGGCATGCTATCATACACGCCTTTTTTTTCCCCTTTCAGTCCTAATATCTTAATCTTTAGACAATTTCAGCAGACCCAAAACACATAAATTGAACACAGTTGCAGGTCTCTTTGTGGCCAACTCAGTTTTTTTTAATCTCTGAAAATGAAGAATTCTAACTATAGCAAATGCCAGATGATGTTTTTCGAGTTTAACAAGAATGAACAACTGCACATGCAGTGTTTACTGGTGAGAGAGGGGGGTAGTTAGTATTCCTCGTCATGCTGCTGTCTGTCTACATTTCTGTTGCTGTGTGCCATGTTACATGTTAATTCGATCTGGTGGGTTGTAGGTCTGTACCACTTCTCCCAGAGGCATTTTAATATGCTACTGTTGCCAGCCCCCTGGAAAATATGGAATGAATCGAAGGGTACCTGCCTGGTGAATGGGTCCGATGACGCCAGGCTTTAATGTCCCAATAATATATTTAAAAAGTACATATACTTATTCTAATCAGAAAGATGGAGGAAACAGAATAGCAGAGGCAGACATTAGACCTCAAATTGTGCGAATTCATTGCCTTCATCTTCATCTTTCTCTAGTTGGTGCGCTGCTGCCTTCTCCACATCATCCAGAAGGGGCGCTACATCACCACAAACCGCCGTAGCATCTTCTTCCGAGCAGCACACAATGCAGGGGAGATGGAGGCCTACTGCAATGCTCTGTGCCAGCTACGAGCCCTCCTTTACCTGGCTCAGCGTATGCTCCATGACAACAGCCACGGTAACCTGTTTTTCCAGGATGAAAGTGGCCTCAGTGAGAGCTTTGTCCGAGAATACGCCTCCATGCACAAAGGGTGCTTCTACGGCCGTTGTCTTGGCTTCCAGGTGAGATGAACATCTCTGTACACTTGGGCACATTTGAACTGGTTAAAAGAAGTGGGAGGCATAAGCAGGGCGTACCTTTGAGAACTTTATGTAAGACATAAGTCAGAAAAAAACGAACTGCTGTAGAAAGTAGGATTTAAAAGTACAAGAAAACATCTCAGAATGTCACAGAGAAAAATAACAAAGCAACCTCAAACTAGTTAATTATCTCTTTATCATACAAACAAACAACTGAATGTGACTGCAGTTCTGAAAAGGTACACTTAAAGCTTTTATGCATACCAAGGTTGTTATAATAAATGAAAACTAACAAAACAAGAAAAACAAGAAAACCAAAAACATTTCTGTCAACTGAAAAAAAGATCAAAATGTAGCTGTACCAAAAAAACATGGGGAACTAAAACTGTATGCTATAAAGCAAACTAAAATGAAATAAGACTGAAATGTCTTCCATTTTCATTTTTCATTTTTTTCCTTTACGGTCCTGCTCAAGTTTTGGGTCGACGTTTTAAAAGCAGGAGTAAAAAACCTTTCCTTTTGTTGTTGTGTTTTCTACAGAGTTGCCTCATGAGGTGATGTTTTTTTTTTTTTCATCACAATAGCCAGGTTTTTTTTGGGTTATACCCCTGACGAGTATCCCATATAACAAAAAAATAGGACTATCAAAACTGAATTGAGCATTTTCTAAAACAAAAAACAAACAAACTTTAAAACCAGTATAAAAAAATATTTCAGACTCAGTCAGAATTGGAAACAAAAAGCCAAAACAAAAAATACAAATGAAAGTTTCAGAGCTATTGTACCCTTGGAACAAACAAAATCCTTTACTTTGTGTTATGTTACAGCCTGTAATGCTGTCGTCTAAAGTCACAGCTCAAGATGTTCATAATTCTTGAAAAAAGTGACAAGTTGATGAAAGAGGAGAAAACGTTTTTTTGTGCACGTCACCAGGTGCTCATATAAACCCCTTCATTACGTCTGAGTCTACAGGGAGAGATAATAAAGAGGGAGAGAGAAGTAAGAAGTGTAATAAGTAAAGGCCAGGAAAGTAATACAGAGACGGGGATGACTCCTGCTGCTCAGACCCGCAGGTAAAACGTGGGGAGTAAAGGGTTTGATTGTACAGCCACAGTTTCTGTTCTCAGTTGAGCTTAACGAGAGAGGCTGAAACCCCAGTGGACCGAGGTCAAAATCAAACTAAAGGGAAAAAATGATGAAACCTCCAAAGCGCTGTCAGCATCAATTTATAATGTCTAGTACTCCTGTGATATTCTGATAGCCCATCATCTGTTTCTCCTGCTGAAGATGAATGATGACTGTTTAATTCCAGTTTATACTCTCTTATTATAAGTCCTATGGATGTGAATTATAATTTTAAGTATTTCTCTCTCTCTCCCTCTCTTTTTTTTACCCTCCAGTTTACTCCAGCCATTCGACCCTGTCTGCAGACCATAGCTATTGGGCTTGTGGCCTTTGGAGAAAACTACAGACGGCATCAGTCAGGAATAGGTCAGCATCGTTCTGTCTGCAAGCTGTACCCTCTCATCATTGAGCCACTTCATTTTCATTCATAGACCGTACTCATCCCCACGCCTCTTCTGCATTGCTCCTTGGCCCCTCACTGTGTACCTTTTGATGTTGTGTGTTTAGATTTCGAGATGCTCTTTCATCCCTCGGATTCTCCAGGGTTAGCTGCAAAGCTTCTTCTATATTTCAGAATGTTTTGAACATGCACACAGTTATGGGCAGGAGCAAGGAACGTACACCATTATATACGCATTTTCGCCATGCATGCACACACACAGACACGGACACACTCGAAATTAAAAGAGGAATCATTCAACTCTTGCGGTTTCTTGTGCTCTGTGCTGCAACACAGTGGAGGCAGCCGGTATTGCACCATACGGTGAGTGTACCCCCTCTCCCCTTCATCATAGCCCTCTGTGGTGGCCTCAGAGCAAGAAGGTGCTAGTGTTGTTATCCTTTATAGTTCTGCATACAGTTCCCTCAGCTGCATTAGCTTGTGCCTGCTGTATTTGCCTCACAGATTGAGCAGTTAGGTACAGCCACAGCATCTGACTGTGACTTTAACTGTCGGACTTGTTGCAGAGCAATAAAATAAGGGTTGAGTTTGTTTCAACGCGGCACTTTACATAGTTACCTCTATGTAGGAGTAAGATGATAGTGCTGTGAGTGTGTGAAAGTTGGTGATATACAGTTGTGTTTGACTATAAGTCCTTAATGTAGCTATAATCTTGACGTATGCTGTGTTTTAGCAACCTGAACCCCTCTATCTACTCTTCAATCCTTCCACCTTCCATCTTTTTTGCATTCCCCATGAGTGTTTGTCAGAGTTTTTGTTTTATGTTCAAAGGTGCAGGCCATCTCTGCAGTTTTGATGTTCTTACCCTTTCTGACTTTGTGAAATTACTTTTTTTATTGCCCTGTTATTGAACTTTTGCCTGCCAGTCATTTTTCCATTCCATTTTTTCTCCCTCTTCAACCGCACACATCATCCTTTCCCCTCTTGTCGTTTTTATTTCTGACCATATTTCATTTTTTTCATTAAATTGTCTCTGGAGTACCCAACCTGTTAGTACACCTTTCTCATTTTGTCATTCTTTATACCTTTCCCAGGTGTAGCAGCCAGCTCTTTCTTCAACTCGGGAAAATACGCTATTGATCCGGAGTTGAGAGGGGCAGAATTTGAACGCATCACCCAGAACCTGGACGTCCATTTCTGGAAAGCCTTCTGGAACATCACTGAGACTGAAGTCCTTTCAGTGAGTTAACTGTCAATGCATCTTGTCAAAGTCTCAGACAAATGCACTTACCTGTGTGCAATCAGTATTCCTCAAATGTCACTCCTGATCCATGTACAGAGATAAGTGCACTGCCCTGTTTTAATTTTAAAACTGTATCAGGGATATTTTACTTTCCTCTGGTAAAAGTACCTTTTCTATCAGTATGCATTTTGGCCCACAGGCTGCTGGTAATAATAGAGTGGAATTCAATTTATTCAATGGTTCATGATTTATTCATCTGGTTTCTCTTTCTCTCCAGTGGCCTGCCTCGCTCTGTAACTTGCACTCTTTCTCTTTTTCTCTCTGCCTTATACCCAATTCTTTCTTTCTGCTTGTCTGCTTATTTCGTTCTCACTTTTTCTCTGTTATCTCTCTCCCTCCAGAGTCTTGCCAGTATGACATCCACAACAGTCAAGGTGAACCGGGCTCTTTCTGTGCCCCCCGTGCCCTTTGACCTTCCCCTGGCGGCCAATCACAAAGCATCTGTAACTATAGCTCCACCGTCAGCGCATATCGGCACCGCTCCGGTTCAGATGAGGCTCATCTCTTGTGACTTACGTGAAGGACAGGTAATGAAATTATTACTCTGTTCACGTCCAAGTACTACGAGTGAAAAATGCAACAAAAAAAGCTCGGGTATTTTCTTTTTTATGCGACACTAGACTAGATCCTGTATCTGCTGAGTGCTTGCTTCACACTGTCTCCTTGTGTTTCTTCTAACTATGTTTTGTGACCTTGTTTGTTTCAGTTTTTTTCATCTCCCCCTTTTAAACTATTTTTTACATACCCGCTGTACAAGTTCTTCAAAATTCAAATTCTATGTAAAACGTTTGTGTTAACTCTAAGAGTTGTTTGAGAGCTCATCCTCATGGATGTAATCCTTGGCATCATCATCATCCCCCTCCCTTTTTTTATTTCTCTGCCATAAAGTATCGTTCAAAGCATCACTCCCCCAACTTACCTGGCCACTTTCCCTTAAGAGATTCCCTCTCTCCTCCCGAGTTTCCTCCTTACTTTGCAGCCTGGCACTTAACCAGGTGCCATCAACAAACACTTACAGCCATTGATCATGCTCCAGCAAAACAAAAGTGTGCTTTTTTTCTGTTGCTAAATACAAGCTTGCATCAGCGGAGGCCCTCCTTCTCAGACATAGCTCCCCTCCCTCCTTGTTTCGGTTAATGAATGGGAATTAGTGTGCGTTCATGCAGGCGCAGGAAGGGCTGGCAGCAAGCTGCTGTAGAGCAGCTAGTTAATCCCCCTCTCAAAGGAGCCCTGTTGCTAACACTAGCACTGACATGTATCAAAAACGAAAACAACACTTTGTTTGCACTGTACACAGTTTGAGAACAGCTTCAGAATGCAAACAGGGCTGTCACCATGTCACCATCATGTGCGGTTTTGGGCTGTTAGACCAAATCAGCTGATTTTGATAACTTCTATGTCAGTTTTTCTGTATTTTCATTTACCTTTTCCCCTCTCTCTCTCTCTCTCTCTCTCTCAGGACAGCGAGGCTCTGCTATCTCTCTCTCGCTCTGAGGGGGGGTCCATCTCTCTGTCACTGGGGCTGAAGACCAAACGCCTCCCCCCATCCCCATGTCTCTTGATTCACTTCCACGGAGGAGGCTTTGTGGCACAGACATCCAAGTCCCATGAGGTGAGATCAGAATCACCAGTCATGGTTTTCCAAACCTGAAAAACAACAAGTTACCACTTTTTAGGAGGCAAACTTAATTCAAAAGACTATACATATGTTTGTATTGGGCAAAATTTTGACTGATTCCTTTAAGTCAGGATTTGACCAATTTTTGATACTTAAAATGGACCAAAAAGGCAAAGAAACTAAACGTCTCTATTGTAAGACCTGTAACATTTAACCCATTAGGGGTCTGAGAAAAAAACGATACAGCATCGTATCGTGATATTTTGTCTGGTGATTTATCATGTCGTCTCATTGACCAAGTATCAATTCTTTCAAGTTAATTGCTAATATGAAGTCAAATTTATGATGATGGAAAAATAAAATCAACAGTTTGTCCAGTGAGGTTGGCAAAAGGGACATCATGGAGCAGGAGAAAGTTCGTACAACAAATATATAAAAGGTTTGCAAGATGTGCTACAGGAAAATACATTTCAGCGTAAACAAGACAAACATAAAGGAAAGACAAATGCTAAATCAGCTAAACAGTTGAAAAAATTGTATAAATCGCAATGTATTGTATCGCAATACTCACTGTATATCATATCGTATCTTGGCCCAAGTATCGTGATAATATCGTATTGTGGGGCCACTAGGGATTCCCACCCATCTAACCCATAGAGTCAGCATCACAACAATTTTCATCCAGCTGAGTGGATCCCTCACTTCCCTTACTCCAGCTAATCCCATTTTTCACTGTGCAGAAGCTGAGGTATTACGAGTTAAAGTCTCTTCTGATGTCAGGTAATAAGTGGTCCTCTTTTGTCTGGGAACTCACTCCTGCAAACTTAATAGAGACGGTTTGCCCTGAATCCACACCTTTCTTCTCATGATAGCTACCTACCTGAATCATAAATTCACTTCCTCATCATCTCCATTTTTTCCTTTTGTGGAGGAGTCTATGTCCCACATTTATTCCTCTGTGACTGAAAAAAGTGGGACACACAATTAAGCTGGGACCTCTTATTGAAAAAAAGTTTGATTGAATTTTTTGTCATCTCTCCAGACAGCACTTGACGAAATTGTTTTCCATCCTGAGTATAAAACGGTGGTGTGAAGTATTTTACCTGTTGATTCAATGAGGGATCAAATCGGTCTCCCAGCCTCCCCCTATGCTGATCTGATCATCTTCGGCTGTGTGGAATCTTTATGTAGCGTCAGCCTACTCCCAGCTAACACAAGACAGGGCTCTGTGAAATTGCCAAGGACATGGGCATCCTTGACTGCAGCAATGTAGCAACCAGCGGATGAGACGGGGGGCAATCAGAGAAAAGGAGCGAACAGGGCTGTCATGTTGAATTAACAGAGAACCGTACAACCCTTGAGAGAAAGATCACTGCAGGCACTAATGGAAGCGCTCACCCTCCATTTTTGAAACATCCTCCCTCTCAATCTTTGTAATATCTTGCAGTATCCCTTGTTGCTCCTCTGGTGTCCTTCAGTGGTAGGAGCCTTTGGTGCCCTCAGTGCTCAATGAGGCTGAGATCACAGAGATGGATACTCCAGCATCTGTGCATTAAGCGACTTGGACATGGACCACACACTCACCCACCCACACACACAGAGTTCGGCCAGCAGAGGTTTACACATGCAGATGAACTGCTCTGCCTGTTTGAGAATGAGGGGGGACTACAGCTCTTAGAAATACCTGCTGTGAGAACAGATCTGGGACTCTCTGAAATGGTGTGTGAGAGTTTTTCTTGGTGAATAGGATATCTGTAAAGGAACAGTCCAACAACACAGACACACACACACACACACCATCACGCCCTTAGACTCTGCTTTTTGGGTCATTTGTTGTGAGACTATACCTGCATTTATGTGTGCAGATGATAACAGTTTGACTGAAGGTCCTGCCCGTGGACCCCCACCGTATCTTGACACTAATTGTAGCCTTGCAACAATCGCTGTTTTTCATACATAGATGCACACACTCACACCTGTGGAGTATCTTTGCTTATTTAAACCCACACTGACCTGAACAGTGCCTGAGCTGCACGCACATTTACATGTCATCAGTCTCACTCTTCTGAGATGTGCTGTGACAGGTCGGGTCCTGAGACAGCATCGCCACAGACTGCTGAAGCTGCTCCTTTGATTTCTTTTTCATACTTTCATACTGACTCACTGGTCGGTGAGCCGTCATACAAGCGTACACACACACTGTGCCTTTCCTGGCATTGTGATTGGAGGGCTGGCGGCGAAAGTGACAGCCCTGTCATAGCTAGTCAGAAACCTGTTGAAGAAAGATAAAGACAGAGGAGAAAGGATGAATGCATTGTGGAAGGAATATTTTTTTTTCTATAACAAGTTTGGATGCCTTTCTCTCATTTTAAGGTCACTGCAATTCAGTTGTGAAGTCGAGTACATGCCTCAGGTTGGCATTAGAACAGTAAACACTCATCTTGGCTGTGGAGGAAGGAAAAAGAAAACACTCTGCACTTTGTATCCCTGTAAATTCACACCCATCCCATCCTCTTGTCTTTGTCCTTTTCCCCAGTAAACTAGGACGTGTGAAAGCCACCTGTTATTACCATGTACAGAGATGGGAAATAGAGGTGACTGTGAGGGCAATTCTCATTCTGTCTTTGTCTAGACAGTAATTCAGAAAGCAGACAGATGACATCAGAGGGGCATATAATTTTCATAATTTTTCATCCTCGTTTCTTAATGTTCACGCCCACGCATCTCTCTCCCACCACATTTCTTTGTCTCACTCCGTCTCACTGCCTCTTTGCTGTATCGTGGATGCTGTTGTCCTCATGAATTTAACAAAACGGAATATATTCACTGTGAAACTAAGTGTTCCCCCATCAGATATTCACCTCTCTGTGCACCCTTGTGTTCTGTCTTGTGCAGCCTTATCTGAAGAGCTGGTCCCAGGACCTCGGCGCCCCCATCCTGTCAGTGGACTACTCTTTAGCCCCCGAGGCCCCCTTCCCAAGGGCTTTGGAGGAGTGTTTCTACGCCTACTGCTGGGCTCTGAAAAACCACCATTTACTAGGTACACACAGGCCGGCGTCTGTTTCATCTCCTCTTTGCATTTTATCTACCAAAAAGTAATGGGAGAGTATGCTCAGCTGAAATGATACATAAGGCAGGTAAAAGTAAGTGGTTTATTAGAATTAATGAGCGTCTGTAAGTCCCCACTTGCGTTCCCTACGCCTCTCGAGAGAATTCATTCATCACTTTGAAAGTAATCACGCTGCAGCACAATGTCTCGCAGTGTACCTCTTGTTCTGTATCATCTCGCAAATTGTGATGCTTACAATGAACACAGAAAAAAAGGCTTCTTGTCTGTTCTGGGTACATTCAGCCTCTGAACAACGCTGAGTCAAATTAACAGCAATCACAATGCATCATGTTAGTGTGCAAGAAAGGAACAAGGAGACTATACAGGTGCTATAAGGGAGACAGTGAGACAACACTTCCTCTCTATAGCCACATATTCAGCTGTGAAACTGTGCAGAGAAACTGTAACTTGATGGTTGTCTCACCAGTTTTTTTTCAGTATCTTTCAGTCAAATAGGAGTTATTTTTATCTTTCCAACCTTTATTTTTGTCTTTCATTTTACTACGTCTCCCCAAAAAGCTCTCATTGCTTCCTCTCCTCTTTCCCTCCATCCTATCATCTCTGTCCTATTTTAATCCCTTTCAGGTTGGACCGGAGAGAAAGTGTGTCTGGCAGGTGACAGTGCAGGAGGCAACCTGTGTGTGACGACGACGATGCGCGCTGCCGCCTTTGGTGTTCGGATGCCAGATGGTATTGTGGCAGCCTACCCGGCCACCCTGCTGACAGCCTACGCATCGCCCTCACGTCTGCTAACACTTATGGATCCCCTGCTGCCTCTCAGTGTGCTCTCCAGGTGTCTCAGCGCCTACGCAGGTAAGAGTGCGTATTATTAAAAGAAACCGAGCCAGGACTCTGCTTTGTTAAGTGAATTTAGATCCATTTTCTTCTTTTTTCTTTCAAGCAGTCCTGCATGTCTATGCCATCTGCTCCACATCAATCACACTCTTAATCTCACTGTCTGAACTTTGGTTGTAGATTTATTAATAGTAATACTACTCAAAACGTTTTTGTAGCAATGATTATATATTTCTTCCATGCTGTAACAGTTGTTTTTATGAGTGTTCATACATTCTAGTTTGTCTGTTGGTATTATCATTTTCCATGTCAAGAAGCCTAAAGTAATGTCTTCAAATTCTTAGCCGAGCAGTGTATCAATAACTGATGAATGGAAACACACAGAATAACTGAGACGTCAGAGTCGTGTGTGCAGAAACTATTTTTAGAGATTGTAATAAATGAGAAAAAGAGTGAAGAAGATTAAAAAACTGGCCAAACTCTGCAAATACAGACTTTCTTTTCCTTTTTTTTCTTTTAATAACTAAACTAAATGCCTGTAATTTTCTGTTCACTTCTCTAGTCCTACCCACTGTATATTGTCTTCTATAAAACAGACTGCTTTATGTGCAGTATTTCATGGTTGTAATGAACCAACTGTGTCGCTTCTTCACTGCTTCCTCTTTTTCGGTTTTCGATCATCTTTGATTTTACTGGATGAATTACAAAAGAACATTTCCATAACTGTGGAGCATCTACCTTTTTTCATCCTTTTCCAGGCAGTGAGCCGCAGACGGAGACCCAGATAGAAAAAGTGAGCACACTGAGCATGGTGAGAAGAGACACAGCGCTGCTGCTAAAAGATTTCCGACAGGGAGCCACAAACTGGATTCACTCTCTGCTGGATTCAAACAGAGCGTCAGCCTCTCCTGGCACAGCTGCAGAGGCGCCACCAGGAGCCACTGGTACACCGCCGACTATGGCTTTGTGCATGGGTGTGATTGTGCGTGTTTGTGCAGTCAGGTGGGGACAGGAGATGAGATGTGGGAGGCATCAGAGTGTTTTGATGGCAGCTATTGTGTTCAGCGTTCTCTGTAGATGTCCTCCACTTGTTTTTTTGATCTTATATTTGCGAAAAAGTAAAATGAATGTGATAGTGGTGAATGTGGTGTGTTTTTACTGCCTGTGTTTTCAATGTCTTAATTGAGCTGATTAATTTAAGTTTTATGATCGCAACATCATCGAATGCCCCAGGGTTCATTCAGATCCCATATGGAGGAGGTTGCAGATGTGGATCCCGTTTATTCATCATCAGCTCACCAATTATGGCTCCATCCCACTTTGTTGCATAACACTCCTCTAGCTCCATTCATATCAATTCACCTCTTTGGAGCAGCAGGCCTTTGACAGTAATTGTTAATTGTCGCCACCGTAAATCTGGTGGCGAACTGTAATTTCCCTGGTGTCCCCTTAGCTAGGTGACACCCCCACAGCTGCAAGCCCAAACTAATGAGAATGTCATTGTTGGGTGTGCATTATTAAAAGGCCATCATGGCTCAGAGATGGTTCATTATTAAAGAGATGAGAGATTGCAAGCGCTTTGTGAAGAGACCAGCCATGACGACTCTTACAGCTGTGTTTTGACGGCTCAGGGCAGGCGGATGATATCACCATGACAGCACTGTTTGAATTTCCTTCACCCACTTCTCCCCTCTTCTTCCGGATATATTCCAATTAGCATTTTAGGCTTTTAACTGTTGGCTGTCAACCAGAGGACGTATGATAAGTGGAATCTGTGGAATAAGTGAAGTGGGTGTGTGTACTATTACTGGTGTGTTTTCCTTGTGTCCTCCAAATGCTATTGACCTAAAGAAAATTTAAGTGGCGTCTATTTAAGTGGCATCTTCCCCTGTTTAGACCATTTACTGTAATTTGTATATCCAGCGTTCACTTTTTAATGCACTTATTTTGTATTTAGGTCTAACTTTTGCTAAATGTCTCTAAAATTCCTCTCCCTTTATCTCCTCTCTTAGACACAGTGAGGAAGAGCATCTCAGAAGCATCCTTCTCCTCTCCCCACGCCGACCCCCCCATACCCTCCGAGACCTCAGAGTTCCCCACCCGGAAATTATCTGTCAAGAGCCAGACTTGTCAGGACTTGGGAGCCCACAACAATTCCACTTCTCACAATTCACCGCTTCTCTCTGAGCGAGCCGTACGTCACGCTTTGACATGTTAACATCATGATTAGCTAGCTTTCACTTGGTGTTCTGGGGAAGATGACAGTGTTGAAGATCTATGGGTTGTAGTTTAAAAGAATGCTGAGCTGTTACTTGTGAGAATTAGATCCCATGATGAAGAAAAGGTCAGTAATCTGAAGATCATTATAATGCAGTCAAACTGATATTTTTCACAGACTCCTTTTAATGATCTGCTTTCATACCGCTTGTATTAAAAAGATTTAGCATATGGTTGTAGACTTTTTTTCAGAGTCGGAGAGAACATCAGCATATTTAGGTCCTCTGTCTGACAGGGGTGTGCACATGTAATGTTTATTAACTCAGCTAAGATTATGTCATCCAACGCCTCAAACAGATTTAGCAAGAAATGCTGACTGGATATCAAAACTTTCTAGTTGTGCGTGTGCCGGCAAGGTACTGCAGATTATCCTTTGGGTGTATTTTCACACAGGCGGAGTGGATTAGTGGCTGGCTTGGGAAAAATAGCAAGCAGAGGTGATGTAGGATTTTAAATATGCTTTTCCTCCTTCAAAGGAGAATTGTTCAGCCAAGGCTCTGAGGCACTGAGCCAAAGTATTTTGAACATTTTCACAAGGACAAAGTGGTGTGTGTGAAATTTAATCAAGTTTTCTGTCGGTTATTTATTTGTTATACCCTCGATCATTCTCGCCGTTAACTTCCCAGTGCTGTCCAAACTCGCTTGAGTTGATTCTCATCTCTTCTTTAATGTAGCCAGAAGATGTGAATTTCTACCTCTCCAAGGACACGGATCCCTGCATTTCCAGAGACCTGTCTCCAGTGGCCATACCGCCCCCTGCTGGAGAGGAGGGATCAGAACTGGAGCACCCAAGGGAGTTCCCCTTGGGGTTTGAGCCCCTGCGTTCATCGCAGCTGGCTGAGATGAAGGTGGAGGTCTCTCCGGTCGTCAAGGATCCTTTTTGCTCTCCTCTTCTGGCCCCCGATAGTATGCTGAAGGGGCTTCCACCTGTACATATAGTGGTAAGAAGATGCACAAGTTTACACAAAAGCAGACAATAAGGGCAAAAAATATGATCAGAGTAATTCCTTTTTTTGTATTGATAAATTGAGATTTTTGCTCAGTACATGTTTTGATCAAGCTGGCAGTTTGAGGAGCATCCTGATAAAATAACATTAACAATTTATCTGTTTATGTTGCTTTATTAACATTTGTTGTCTTTTGAGCATTTAAAGGTTGTCATTTTTTTGTGTATTTCTGCTTTTATTTGGAAATAAGAGAGTGGGCAGGGGAGGAAACTGGGATGCGTCAAGCTGGAATTAAACCTGAGCAACCTCGGACTAAAGCCTCTTCTGGTTTAAATGATCTTAGCCTTATTAAGATCATTTAAACCAGAATCAAGCAGTCTCTCTCTGATGCTATTCATAGATATATCACCACATCCTGGGAAAGGCTGCCAGACATATCAGTGTAGCCTTGTTATATTACTCCAGTGTTTACCATATCAGCTGGAGAGGTATTATTGGCAGAGTCCCCCAACTCTTCAAATTTATAGACCCAGTTAAAAAAAAGAAGGAAAAACACAAAATAAGTCTTTCTTGTAATCAATCAAAGTTCTGTGGCAGACACAGGATATGAAGCACGGCTGATTCCAGCTGAGCTGCCTCTAATTTCCATGTACCGGTAGTTGATGTGATTTTATAATTTTCTGTCTACAATCTTCTCAATTTGGAGGACCATGGGGGTTAATTGCATCATTAATTTGGTGCCCTTTGTTCCACTCTTTTCTTCAATACCAGACACCCCCTCAAACAATGTTTGGCAGTAAGAAGTGGGCACTGACTTTGTCTGTAAGAAAAAATACAGACTTACTGTCCATCATTGCCAACTTTCATGTCCAAAAGGCTGTTCAACAAATGTTCAAGTTTATCATTATACACATTGTCCACTCTGTTGTTGTTGTTGTTCCTGATGCACATCATGTAGTGGCTCAGCCCTGGTTAAAATGATTGACAGAGCACATTCATAAGCACTTCTCTATTTCACTCCAGTGTCAAGCAGTGCTTTAAAGAGCTGTTAAGTTCTTACAGCCCACTACATTTAGTAGATTTTGGTAGAAAATTGCTGGTTTACATGTTTCTTTCAAGTTTAAAATTTTAAGATTAATGTTAGAGCATCTCAGAGCAGATCAGGAATGGGATTGTGTGGTGATGATGATGAGAAGGGAGCAGCAGACTGAGGTACAACAAGGCATCCTCTAATGTTAAGAGAGAAATCTACCAAGTGCTCTAGACTCAGTGCTGTATGAGAGTGAGCCGGAGTGTGATGGTGGGGAGATTGAGGGGGTTGAAGCCTGCTCTCTTGTGAAAAGAGTGTTAATATGAAAATGAGGAAATTGGTGCTGCCTTTAAAGTGCCTGGAGTGAGTCAGCGAGAATGTAAAGAAAGCTGGGACAAAAGAGACTAGGACGCTTGGCTTCCTTTTCTTCATCCTTTAATTAAGATTCTTGACATGTCTGAAGGGAGTCCTAATTTGCTTTCCTCCCTTTTTCTCCTCCTCCTCCTCCTTCTCTTCCCCTCTCTCAGGCTTGTGCTTTGGACCCCATGCTGGATGACTCTGTGATGTTTGCCAAGCGTTTGAGGAGCATAGACCAGCCTGTCACTCTGTGCGTCGTCGATGACCTCCCTCACGGCTTTCTCAGCCTATCCCAGCTCTCCAGGGAGACGAGGGAGGCTGCCAACGTCTGCGTGGGTAGGATCCGCGCCGTCTTCACCCAGAAGGACTCACCCCCGGAGCCGCGCAAGCACCGCAAGCTGGAACGGACCGATAGGGGCGTGTCAGCCGCTTCTGGGGAAGCCGATTCTCTCTTTGTTTGCCCTATTGAGGAAGTGGAGCTGACTGAAGGAAAGGGGGTCAGAATATCTGATGGGGAGGGCCTGGTCAGTGCGGAGGCCCAGAATAACTCTGATGCTGGTGGCATTGAGTCTCAAACAAGGTTAGATTAAAACAGAAGGACTGCAGTTCACCCAAGGAATTAAGAGAAAGAGCAAATGAAAGTCAGTGCAATGCTTAGAAAAGAAGAGAGAGGAAGCATCCTTCAAAAAAAAAGGGTGAGGGGGGTAGTCTGGGAGATTGCCCTGTTCTTAGTGATGTCAAAAGAGAGGAGGGACATGAAATACGACTCCCTCAGCTTTACATTTCTTACCACATGTCTGCATCATCACACACCGACACTAATCTTGCAGATAGAGCAAACGCACCCATAGAAGACAGTCTTATTTCAAAACAAAATGGTGATTTAGCAGGTTCTCAGATCAAAGACCCACACTCACCCACACATGTGACACAGATACTTACACAGAGTCGCTGTTAGGCAGCAGAGGGTCAGACAGAAGAGTCTTGGGACGTAGCCTGAATGGGTGATTCATCCAGGCTAAGGCAGTCATTTGAAATCCTAATCAGATGGCAGGAGACACAATATATGCTTCTGTACAGAGTCATCGTATCAAAATGGCCACTTGTCCTTAAGGGAGCCTCTCTAAATCAGACTAATAACTCCTCATTGTGTTCTCTATTACGCCAGTTTGGCAGTCAATATAGCCCACTTTGTGGATGGTAACTGTGTTGACTCTGCTAAACACAATTACAGAGCGAAAACACAACACACTAAAAGGCTCCAAAGCGGATGAATTGATTTACTCATCTGTTGCTCTAATATTGCAGTTTTTAATCATCTATATCTAAATCTATGCAGTAGTTTAACTTTTTATTTATATATTTTCTATTGCTGTATTGTAATCCTTGAATCACTATAGGTCTGTATGTTGATTTTTACATTATAATGTTTGTTTAATGTAATCTCATGCTGTTCCACATTTTTTGAATGTTTCCACTATTTACCTCTGCTTCTTTGGCACAGCAGCTGCATCAATCCTGGACTTTTCAGTTGAAATCATATCCTACTCTCAGTACTGCAAACTGACAGGATAAGGAAAATGTAGAATATGACACAGGGACACAGTTCCCTCTTTAGATGCTGCCTGGTTATCTTTATTGCGCTAGTATTAATAATGCAGAGATTGCATTTAATTGATCACTACAATGAAATCATGAAGACGCACTGAGTTGGATTTAAGACGTGTACATGCTTGGTCCTAACTTAACAAGCTTTTTAAGAAAAATCACCGTATTTTTATTTGATTATTTTAAGACAAAGAACTGTTGCTCAAGATTTACTACTTTCAACCGGAGGAAGTGAGAGCAAGAGGCAGCAAAAAGCCTGGCCCTCAGCTATCAATACTCATTTTAAACTCTGCTGCACTGATTTCCTCTCAGATAGCCCTCGTTCCTCACCAGGCATTATTGCTCACCACTTCTCTGCACAGTATGCAGTGTGTCAGAAGTACCACTTCTCTTCAGGCGGGGTATCTCCTTCCTGACAATCTGTTTCTACAAATGGAAGCCTTTTAGGCAATCCTCCAAGACCCTCTGAAGGAAAAAAAAGAAGATCGTAGCCGTGTTGTGTAATCGCCACTGAACTTGTATTTTGGCCAGCTTAAGTAGCTGGTGGTCCAGATTTGTTTCACTCCCCACCATCTCATTTGTTAGTTGATTTTGTTTTTAATAAACTTGAGAACACTACCCGGAGGAAGTTGCCACTGAAGCACTTTAAAGTACACAAAAATGTCCTTCAGAGGGTCAGCCCCTCTATCAGGCCCAACTAAATATAGATGCCAACAATGCTGGAACCGTCACCGTCCTGCCCTTGCCTAGTAACAGGGCTTGGGTTGCCAGGTCTGTAGAGAGAGATGCTGTGTGATGAATAGGATTTAGCTGAAGCTGCGAGTGAAAAATCCCCCCCATCCGTAGAAGAGCAGGATTTTAAGCAGCAAAGTCATGCTACAGGATTAGACCATGCTCAGTTCTGTCAGCTCGGAGTACTTACCGCAGTATTTTTAGTCAGATTGATGGAGAGAAGCAGGACCGTGAAGAAAAAAGAAAGTAATACACTCATCCTCTTGGAGATGCTGGGCTGAAGTTTTTACTTGCTTTACTAGCAGCTGTTTATGCTCACTCTGCACTTTTGCAGTAGTTTAATTGTCAATCTGTCTCTGTGTGTGTTCATGTGTGTCTATAAGCTTGAGTTTCTATACATGTTTATTTTTACATGGTGCCTGTGTGTGGCTAAAGTGTAGTCTGTGCGTGTGATCCAACATATCTTTGTCGTGTTGTAGAAACATGAGCTGCATGACGTGGGTGCGTCTTCTTTGTTTGTGCGGTGTGTTCACATTGAGACAAGAATGGCACTTTACACTCGAGACTGTTTGTCGTAAATATCATCTGTTTTTGAGGACAGCCTCTCTCTCTATGGGATGTTGTTGTTTTTTGTCCGTGATAAACAATGAAATGTTGTCTTCTTTATCTTCCGCTCATGAAGCCCAGCAGGGTTGGTCAGCCATAAGCACTTTGTTGTATAAATTATGTTAGCTACTTGCAAAATACGTGTCAAAAATTTCACCCATTTGCTGTTGTTTGACCTCCATCTGCCTCTTACCCTTGATGACCGCTCATGCATCGGGCCAACCTGGGCACAGGTGATGCACCAGAGAGCCCATCTGGTGTTCTGGAGAGATTAGTATTCAGTTTTACCATTTAGTTGTTGTTGTTTTATTAAATTTAAATTCCTGGCATTACTGTGGAATCACTGATGCCTATATGCTGCCTGCAACTCAAAGCTGGATTGCGTGTTATAGTATTGTTTCAAGTTACAGTTGCTGCTTCATAGAGTCTCATTGTTGAAGATCCACAGACCCAATTTACAACCACAAAATGCCCTCGAGAATACCGAGTTGTTTCAGTGTAATGCTGTTTTCTTTAGTTTGGTCGTTCAATTATCAGGTTTTACAGCATACCTCTGCAGTTTTTATTCCTGGAATGCTTTCCTTTACTTGAGATATTTCTTGCCCTAGGCAGATGTTTTTTTTTCCTGTTTTTTTTTTTTATGTGCAATGCAAAAAAGTGCAACGCTGCTACAAGTTTGAGCTGGCTGCTGACACTATTTAGGTCTTAGGTAAAGCTATGCAGTTAAACACCAGCATCACAACATTTTTCCTCACACAGTCCCTGTTTCCTCAGTCACTGATGGTGTTTAGTTCTGTGTTGTTGTTTTTTTCAACTCAAGGATGGACTTAATAATTACTTAACCTGGAGATGAAACGCTTTCACTAATGCATCGCTGCATTAGACTGACCTCGAACCACTCTTCAGAAATGTTTCCAAATAAGAAATACTCATTTTATCCGTCTGTTTGATATTCTACAACCGTGGTCAAAATTTTAATAGCCATCAAAGTCAGCAGCTAGATTGGTGTTTTTTCCGTTTAGTGATGGCTCTTAAAAGGTATTTTTGAAAATGCAGGTGCTAGCGAGTGTCAAAGCCTGTATCCATATGCAAATTGCTCTGCACTGTAAAATGCAATTCTGATGTAGAATATATAAGCCTTTTAAAAACAAGCCATAGACTGGAAACAGCATTTTTATGTTTACTTTTTTAATTTAAAGTTTTCTTTTATGTAGAACACCATAAGTGCAAACCTGTGAATAAAAAAAGATTGTATATTAAACATTGTAGATATTTTTTCTTTGAGATTTGTTAATCAGATTGATTTGATTGCATTCTCTTTGCAGGTCCCATACCACAATGTTATCAAGACTGGTTTCTTCCATTGTTGATTTTTATCTAAATAAATATATCCTTCATGAACCCGCCGTTGTGTTCAAGCTCAGTGAATTAACCTTTACTTTGCACTGATCAAGCTAAAGGTTAATTATAAGGAATAGTGATGTTAATTTGATAGAGCGGGTCAGATCATCTTCATGTCTGATGGCTTTTGATTTGCAAAAGTATAATCAAATGTGATTGCATTTGTGAATACCAAATACGAAAAAAGAGACGTTTTTTTCCCAAACCTTTGAGTTTCATCTTGAGTAAAGGTCAATTACTGGATTGACCTTTAGTTAAACTTAAAAAGAAGTGTCAGCTCAAACACAGGAAAAATACAGGGTATAGATCTCTGATGTTATTCAAAAATCTGCACAGAATCGGAAAATAGAGTACAAGCACAGTTTCTGTTTAATACTTCTTTATGCTTAAACTTCACATTAATTGACACTAATATAGGCTACTTTTCACTCATATTTGTATAACGCTAACATTGCAGACAAGAATTAAGAGTAAATCATTTGATTTGTTGATAGAAAATGTTCTTCAACACAACGATGAAGAGGTTTACAGCAGTGTGTCCTTTATATACATAGACTGTATATAAAATGGATGCTGTCTGCCTCCTCATAAATTTCTAAAGTTTGTCCACAGCCCCATAAGCTTTGCTGGCGGAGGCGGGATTTATGACCTATACTGCAGCCCGTCACCAGAGGGTGCTGTTCTCGGAGTGGCTTCACCCAGCTAGGATGCAGATTCTGTCCATTCTTTATACAATCTACGGTGATGGTTTCCAGCTTTTTTTTAGCGAATCAGAGGCGAAGGAGGCGGGACTTCTCCCTGCCATCCTACAAAAAAAAAAAAAAAAAAATAGCTACCAGGGGGATGCACTGCTTGAGCCGAGCGTCATCACAACCACTCTCAGCGACTCTCCTGCCAAATGTGCACAACCCTACTGCGCAAGTGGTGGAGTGCGAACAACGCTACTGCGCAGTGTTGGCTTCAGGAAGTGGAGAAAAAACGCGGAATTACCGAGAGCTTTTCGCCTTCAAATCCATATACTGGCGGAAGTCCTGGGTTAACAGACTACAACATTAGAGAAGCTAAAATTCATGACACAAGGATGGCATTAAAAACTGTACATTAAGTACTCAAATATGAAAAAAAAAACTGCAGTAGTACAGGTACTAATGCCTCTGCTCCTCTTGAAATACATCCTGCTGCTTGGTGATAAAATCATTTAAGCCAGAAGGCCAGGCATCATCTGTCTGAGTGATACTTCATTAGAGGTGTGTGACCTCTAATGAAAACATGATTGCGATCAGCGATGGTATTTTTAATGTGTGGACGTGTCGCATTCTTAAAGCACGAGCGGAACCGGGGGCGCGCCGCCGTACCCCCCTCTCCTAACCGCACACACACAAACACACACACACACACACACAGCTTCAACTGCTGGTGGGGGGGCCACACAGGCATATCGCGACGAACCGGCGTCCACGCGCCCGGTCTCTTCCCTCACCGTTTTCTTCCTCGCGCTCGAGCGCGCGCCCGCTCAGAGACAGGCTTCAGAGATCCCAGAGAGCAGACGAGAGGCAGCAGGGGAGAGAGAAAGATGGAGGTGAGGGTCGGGGAGAGACTCCTTTGCCTGGCCGTGCTGTCCAGCGTCTTCTGCGTGGATTCCGTCTTTGGGAAATACGTGAAAGGAATCGTCAACACGAAAGAGGTGAGCTCTGCTGTTTTCATTCACCTCTTTATCTAGTTGCCACTTAATTGCGACAATGACACCGAAGCAGGAGCGGGAGAGGGTTCTCGGCTGCGTATCTGCACGCAGGTGTCTCTGGTGGACTGTACCGCGGAAAGACGAGGAGCCCGACTCTAATTCAGCGTTAAGTTGCTTTGGACGTTTGCAGCAAACACACTCAGCTCTTTTCTCTTTCCCTATTTCGCGCCATTAGCGTGCGTCTCATCTGTGGCGTATATTTCACCCACATTATGACAGTCTTTGGCATCATTGTAGCCCCCAGTAAAAAGGCACCCCACCAGTCCGCTGCGACCAATGGAGCCTTCAGTGTAGGGAGAAGGCTAGTCGTCCTCAAACAGACGCAGCTTGACTCGCGTGGTTTTGTCGCCGGGCTCAGGTGTGAATTCGCAGCTGTATTTCTGACCAGGATTAGGAGAGCTGTTACAGGTGTGCGTCATTTGGCTGCTGGGGTTTGTGAGCTCAGTCCAGCCCTGTGGTCAAGGTTCCAGGTCTGTTTCCATTCAGATCAGCATCGACATCACCGCTTTTCCTTGAGTTACAATGTGAACTGTGCAGCTGTGCAGCAGCAGATACTGTCGTTCTTTGTCATTCAGGGGGATACCACCTGCTGTTCCCCTCAGCTCTGCTCGGTTTTTCTCTCGAGTTTGTGGATCAAGTTTGACACAGGAGTATCGTGCAGACAGGCTGTCTACCATTTTGTTGCAAGTTCAATAAGCCAGTTCAGCAGACAGAGTTGTCTATACTGTAACACGAGCAAATGGGCCTTAATTCAAATTATGCATGCTTGTTTTGAACGTTATGGTAATGCTGTTGGATTTCCTGCAGAAGCTGTGCAGAGGAAGCCAAAGTGCTTATCTCTCCTAAACAACAGAGGACACATCTGACCTTTCAATCTGCGGGGTCAGCCAAGCTTGGAGAGTCTTACAGGGGTTGAGGAAAATTAATGTTTAGCAAACAGGCGCAGACAACTCTTGTTCAGACTGTGAACGTTCAGCTTACAGTGAGACAGAGTTTCTTTTTTCAGTAAACAGTTTTTTAATTATTGCTTACGAAAATAACGATATGATTGTTGTCACATTACAGATTGTTTCATGTTTCATGAGCTATCGGGTGAAAATGTGGTTACAAAAGCATGATTGACCACAAGTTTTGCTCATATAGACCATCCATCCATCCATTTTCTACTGCTTATTCCCTCAGATAGACCACAGTATGAAGATTGAGTACCAAAAATGTGCTCTCATGTACCACAGGTTTTATCAATCAATCATCAAACTTTATTTTTAAAGCACTTTTCATACATAGAATGTTGCACAAAGTGCTGTCCATTCAAGCAGGATATTAAAAACAATGAATTAAATAAATAAAAACACAAATACCAAACCCGCCCACTCTCCCAACCCCCATTCAACACATAAAACACTCACACGCTCACACACACAGATGCATACACAAAAGACCAGGTGAGGACTCTTCAACTTGCCACAGACGACTGAGGAAACTCTGTCTTGAGTTAAAAGAAATGTGGAAACACTGGATCTCTGACTAAAATGATAAAACAATGATAAAATATAATAAAGGTGACAAAGCGTTAAAAGTTAATTAAATAAAACAGTCGTAAAATCAAACAATAACTTAAAGTTAATAAGAAAAAGAGGTAATAAAACACAAAATAGTTACTCTGGGACTAAAATAGGGTAAAATCACATCATGCAGATTAAAAGATTAAAACAAAATTTAACTAAAAGCCAGGCTAAAAAGGTAGGTCTTGAGTTTAGTTTTAAAAATACAAACAGTAGGTTTTACTGTGTTATCAAAATGCTACTTGGTAAGCCACAAAACAAACTCAGAAATATTGCCTCTCTGAGAACACATTACTTTATACCCCTAACTGCTTATCCCCTAAACACAGTTTACACGTCAGAGCCAGGGAAACTAATTTTCACTCCACCTCACTGACTTGTTTTTCTCACTTTCCTTGAACTGTGATTACGTTAAATTTTGAATGAGTCATCAGCCGAGAGATTGAAGTCCCCAGTTTGAATCCCCATCAGGATGATGATGGGGGTCTGAATGGATAAATTGAACTTGAGGCACTCATCCATCCAACTCTGCTGTAGAGACGCCCTTGAACACAGCACTGAATTTGCACCTGCTCCAGTGGAGCTGCTCACTGGCCGGCAGTGGGTTCAACTGGGCAACTTCCAAGTTTGTGTATGTGTGTATGAGAGTGATTGTGAGGCTCTTCTTTTAAGGCATCATGTAATTTTGCAATCCACTGCAGTGAATGAGAATTAACTTTTAGTAGTCACGATTTTAATTTAAGGCAACTAATAACACTATACTTCATTTATTATTTAGATCATAAAAAAATAATGAATCATTGTTTTGCTTATTTTCCTTGATCCAATGTAGCTGTTGTAAATCTGAATGCCTAGTGGGATTGATGTTTAAATAATTAAAAATTATTGATTTTGCCAGCATGCAACAATATGAAAACTAGCATCTATTTTAATTTTATTAAATGGTCAAATCACTCTAAAGTAGTTAGAGTAAAGGGGAACATGTACACCGGAATTGCTTGTTGGTGGATCAAGTTATTTAAATGTTATTATTGTGGGCCTGAAATGCAGATTATCTGTTGTATCAAAGGCTGGAGATACTCTTGTTGTTATTCATCTCGAGATATGGCACTCAAATCTGCAGCTAACCTACATGGTGTGTTACTGCCACTTTTACAGCAACTCGTTGGTCAAAGTAACCGGCTATAGAGAAGTTCAACTTTATCAGTCAATGTTGAAAATTAAAAATGGAAACAAGTCAGGGACTGCTGTGTACACAAACAGGAAAAAGTTGAAAAAAATACTGAGCTAGAGCTGTGCCGATGGTGTGTTCTGTCCACTGTTCATCTGTCGTCTGTGGCTCGGTGAATGCCAAAAATTCACAGCTCAGCTTGAAGACCCAGTACTAAGCTCTGTGACTACTGCTATGTCTCTTGTTTACATCCCACTAATCCAGTTGTTGCATAAAGCCATAGGTCTGTGGTATACCCTCTGGTGGTATCCTCAAATAAAACATATAATGCATACACAATGCGTACACGAATGTCATGTTCAGCAGCAAGTCATCCTCTGGCTACTTGCAATTTGCCACCAGCCCTGGCTGTAGCTCTGGATAATGGTGACTGCTGTAAAGCCCTATTTGATCTTGAAAATGGAGATTAAGTTGTATGTAGATTGTCTCTGATGGAGCAGTTAAACTGGCACAGACGTGTGGATGTTAACCTGCAAGGAGGTCCAAAAGCTGGTGTCAAAGCGATTAGACCAGTCAGACCCCCGAGGGTTGGGAATTTGATCCCAGATGGACCTTACTTTGCAGCCTCTACCATCAGTGTATGAATGTGGAGTGAAGAGGTCAATATGATGTGTTATGTTGGAAGTTATGCTCCAAGTGTTGAGAAGATCAGAGAAACTGCATTATGTATCATCAACTGCAATCTTCTGACCATGAGTGAACTTTGATTAATCTCTGCAGCTGCACAGATGGTTGAATATGAATGAAGCTGACTGTTTTCTTTTTAATGCTGCCTCTTAATAAGGGCTGTAGAGGTGGGAGAATTCCTCCTTCTGTGATTCAGATGTGTGGTACTACTGCAGTGGTCCATGTATCTGTTGGTAGTTCATTATTGGTGTGAACCTTATTTGAAAAATGATTGTCAAAACCCCTTTCTTCTGTTCTTCAGTAGTATTTACAATGAGGTTGCTTAACTGAGAAACAAGAATCCAAACTCTGCTCTCACATAGTAAGATGAATCACATACAACTCACACAATCTTTGTGCATTTGAGGGAGCTTGTTGATATGAATGGATATAATTTCTTTGAATAAGTTCTTTTACTCGACTTGGATCACGGGGGGCTGCCTATTGCAGCAGGACAGGAAGGTGGGCTGTTGTTGCATAAAACCTCATTTTGATTTCGGTTTTTCCTTCAGCTTGTATTGGTAGTCGTATTTTTGAGCACTTGCTTAAATGCCAGTTTGTCCACCATGAAAAATCGGCTCCAATTCCCCGACCAGGCACTGTGTAACAGGGTCTGTAAGGCAGTTGTGTCTGTCACTTTCGCTGTTAAATTTGGCAACTCTGGCTAAAGCTTCACTAATTCCAGGCCTTTCAGCTGACACTGGCATGAGCTGCTCCACAACTCTGCGCTGGAGGCGGCCGCAGTTTTACCTCCAGAGCTGAAGGGTAACTTGCTCAATGAGACTTCTAAATTTGAGACTTCTTTTTGGTGCAGATTTGATAAATTGCCTCATTTTGATTAGTGATTCATCCTTTTCCATTTGGCTTTTACTTAAAAATGTTCCAAAAGGAGTGAAGTTGCATTTGATTACTGTTGTTTCTGCCTGAACACCAGCCGGTAGCTTTGTTGCCTTTTACTTTGGAGAGGATGAAGAGAGTGGTTGGAGAAGGAAACTGGGAGAGAGAGTGGGAAGTGACATGTTGAAAAGGGACCACAAGCTGGAATCAAACCCAGGCCACCTGCTTGAGGACAATAGCCTCAAAACATTAGGCACTCTTAGACACTCTATAACACAAGAAGGAGAGGATCAGGGGATACCAAATAAAATACCAAATAAAATACAAATTGCAAAACCCCACCCACACACCTACCCTCCAAGCCTGCATTTAACAGAGACCCCACCACCCACCCTCAAACACACACAGGAAGCCCCAGAGGACCAAGGAAACACTATCTTAAACTAAAATGGGGTAACACTGGAGCTGAAGCTAAACTGATAAAACCATGATAAGATATAGAAAACTCATAAAATGATAAAAAAAATTAAATGAAATAAAATAGTAACAATAATGAAATAATAATAAAATAAAACTGTTTTTAAATCAAACAATAAAAGAAAATAAACAAGTAGTGTTAAAACATAAAATCATTCTGGGACTAAAGTGGGGTAAAATTCACAAGATAAAAAGAGTAGACTGAAAGTGAGGCTAGAAGACTAAAACAAAAATCTGCTAAAAGCCAGACTAAAAAGGAAGGTCTTGAGTTTGCGTTTAAAAATATGAACCGTAGGTGTCGCTCTCAGGTCTTCGGGCGGACTGTTCCACAGACGAGGGCCATAATAATAAAACGATGCCTCACCGTATGTTTTGGTTCTAACTTTGGGGACTCTTAAAAGACCACTACCTGAAGACCTGAGGGCTCTACTGGGCTCATATCGTCAAAGCGAATCAGATAAATAAGGAGGACCAAGACCATTAAGACATTTATAAACTAATAAAAGAACCTTAAAATCTATTCTAAAAGATACAGGAAGCCAATGCAGAGACTTTAAAATTGGTGTAATGTGGGCTCTCCTCCTGGTCCTCGTTGGACTGTAAACATCAGGTATGATAAATATCATCAACAAACAATGTAGACAAATCTATATTTCTGCCTAAAAAGAAGCAGAGTTGGCTTTTATTTCATATTCTTGTGCCTCTGATGCAGTCTGGGATCATTTTGACAACCTAAGCAAACAACACGGCATCGTGAATGACATCAGCCAACACTCGACTTGACATATTGATACACGGTGTCTGTGTGCGCGCTCTTGTGTGTGTGTGAGTGAGTGCGTGCAGTTCAACGCATCATCAGTCTTACTTGTCCATTAGTAGCCCAAGGTCATGCACTAATTCCACTGACTCCGCATCCCCTCTCCTCCAAATACACTCACACACACACACACACACACGCAGTGACACTCTGCTATAGGTGTGTCAGTGTTTGCGGTGATGGATGCAGTGTTTGTGCTGTAAACTGGTTAATGTAATTTAACACACACAGAGGTATGAACTGCTGGAACTGTGAAGTTACTGAAGATATAAAGAGAAACACGAGCAAAGTTATCCAAAGTCATCGAAGCTCCAGGCTGGTCAGAGGCTTTATTTGGGCTGGTCGATGTGTGCAATTAGCTCTAGTGGCTCATGGTGTGTGGAGGCACTGATAAAATGTTCCTTTGAGGGGCAGTAGCAGCTTTAAGGTCAGAGGAAGGTCTCTCTCTTTAATCCAGTTGGGAAAATCTGGGTGGGAAATAAAAAGTTGCACTCTGTTGGTGGACAACATCACAGGACCTCTGACCACAGCAGTAAATCCACGCTGTGCCTCGGGCTGTTTTTTTTCCCCGTGTTTTCAGCCGAGCGACGTCCAACTTCAACAAAGGAAATGTACTCATCTAACCTCAAATCAACAGAGGTGTTGCTCAGAAACGCTCAGACATCACACTCTTGATGTTAGAGGCTTTGACCCACAGTTAAAGGTTCGATACTCCGATAAGATTATAAATACTCACTAGAAATTAAGATGCAGAAATGATCCTTATGATCTGCAAAGTGTCTGCAAATGTGATTTTTTTTATATGATCTTGTTACCAATTTTAAAAAGGACAGAAACAGCCAGCTACCTCTACAGATTTTGATATTGTAATGTAATAAATTTAAAATGTATATTTATTTATGTGTTTATTATTTATTTCACCAGGCAGAAGTAATCAAACTGTGCTGTCTGAGACATATGGCTTTCAGTAATGTGAAAAACCACTGCGCTGCTCTCTGCTCAGGGGATTTTTCACGCCTTTGTTTTGTCATTGCACCCGATTTTTTAGTTGTGGGGTGGTTGTGTATTTGTGTACAGAGAGTGTGCTCTCCGTCTGTACTTTTTGATTTTCCCGTCATTGTGCACGTTTAATGGGTATTGATTATTGTGCTGTGAAGCTCTCCCTGTCAACAGTTCACTATAAACATACCGTAGCTGCCTCACTCCTCTGTTTTCTGTCGTCAAAAGGTGTGAAGGAGTGTGAATCTCTCCCATACAGGACAATCGGATTTGATTCAAGCCTCAATGGCTGCAATTTGATTAAAATAATCATTCATTATTTATAAAGAGTTGAACAATTTCCTTCCATACCGTTTGATTGGATTTGTTTCATTTCAATGTAAATGAATCACTGAATCCTTAAAGGTTTATTTAATATAAATGAATAAAAAAATTGAAGATAAATTTGTCCTCCGAGGAAACATCCTGGGGTTTATTACTTCTCTGAAACAAAAGAGTAGACTCACTGTTCAGTCTGAAATGATCACAAACTTAAGTCTTTATCCCCACACTTATGCTCTGTTCTCACTTTTACGAGTAAATGGCTGAGAAATATGAAAATCTGTTTCATGTAACACAGGTTTCTTGGTTTCCCTGCATCTGTGGTTTCTGGAAAACCCTGATATCACTGCAGAGAACATTTATTTTCCAAATTAACATAAACTAATGACAATTAGTATTCATAAAATACATGGATAAAATAAATTCCATTAAAAAAAACATGTTTCTACAATTTCATTTAATCTGAAATACTTGATCTTAAAAATTTGAACAAAAAAATGTTGTTTAATGTCATTCAATCATTACAATTGTTCAAAAGTTTGCACCATCAGCAGGTTCTTGCTGAAAATCTTTTCTTTTTCTCCATTTTGATCATTTTTTTTATGCACCATTTATCTTCGTTTTTTTTGCACCTTTGTGGCCCTTCAGCTGCAGCTGTACACCAGTCTACAGTTTAGTTCATCCTTTCAAGCTGGAAATGACCACAATCGGAACATTGAGGTTTGCACAAATAAGAACCTGGAGCACATTTGTAATACACATCAACAATTTACAAGCTTCTAATCCTGAGCTTCAAGTCACAAAAATATAGACAGTTAATCGTTTCAGTAATAGATGACGAGCTATAGCTGTCAAAGTGTTTCTCAGTTGAAACCATAATAACTGCTTTTCTTTTTTGACTTTGTCCTAAATTTGTCTCTTTTTCAAACCAGCCAGTTACTTGTTAATGATCATAAATGATGCGATGTTAAAAATGTTTGATCACTTGACCCTTTTTTCTTCTCTCCTCTCAGAGGTGTGGCAGGGGTCAGCTTGGGGAAAACATTCTGTAAAAAATCACAAATGCGGCTCTGGACAGGTTAAAGTGTCTGCGGTCCTCGGCTTCTCCGGTTAATGAAAATTTGTGGATTAGACTAGAAAGGTGTTTCAACTTTTGTCCTTTGAAAATTAATGAAAATGAACAGATACCCTTGAAAGTTCGTCTCCTAATTTAAAAACCTTGCGCCTGTATTCATCAGCGTGCCTCAGCTCACTGGGCTTTTCTCCTCCCTAAATTTAACATCTCACCTCTAGAGGAAAAAACAAGGTGATGGATGCTGGGGTTGATGTAGATGCAGTTTTGGAATAAATGATTTTACAAGGATTTCTGGACTTAATAGGATCTTGCGGTGAAGAGGCGGAGTTTGTGGTGTCTTCTTTAATTAATGTCAGGTCGTATCTCAAAATGTGCCACTTCTGAAATTCCCTAATACCAGCAAACAAGACTTTTAAAAGTTTGTGAAAAATCCTTTAAACTGAAGTAAGTTCGAAGATCTCTGTATGCGTAGGGCCCAACTGATATGGATTTTTTGGGGCCGATGCCGATACCAATTATTAGAGGGTAAAAAAAAATCCATTTACCCGCCCCCCGCCAATCGGTGCCTCTGCGTCTTAACTCACGTTACTCATTTCCGGTCCGGTCTCATCTGGAGACATGCAGCTGCCTCCGTAAGAGAAGTAGCTCGATCACGTTATGTGTACTGTTGTTTATTCTACCGTTACTGGCACGGCTAACAGTGTAGCAAGGCTAATAGCAGGTGGCTAACTCTAACTTTAGCTTGCATATTACATGGTGCTTCACCGTTAACTCGGCGTGACCGAGACCAGCAACAGCGAGGAACATTGTGAAGTGGGTTGAACTGAAACTTGTTGACTTATTGTGTATTTCACAAACTGGTTTATTTACCGTTGAGGCGGACCACTCTCCTCCGTGCGTCCCTGAGCCGCCTGCTTCAGATCCGTCACTCTGCTGTGCTGTGAGGTAGTTAGTGGATGAAGATTGTCATGAGGTCGCTGCGCCATCTACAGGATAAGTGGGCGGATCTTTTCAAATTGCGCTACATTTTTGAAGTGAAACAGAATCTTATTCTCTGCATTTTTTTCTGAAAATATCGACGAAAATCTGCGAGTATTAGCCGATTAGTCTCAAATGGGCTAAAAGTGGCCGATTTAATCGTCTCGCCGATAAATCGGTCGGGCCCTAATGTGTAGAACTTCAAACTCAATCGGTTTCTTGGTATGTCTTTTTAATGACATTAGGATTAGATTCAGGCAACATGTGAGTCAACAGGTGTGTATGCATGCGAGGGATTGTTTTCAGGTGTCTGTATGCCAGCCCAAACGTTTACAGTCAGTGTGTGTGTGTGTGTGTGTGTGTGTGTGTGTGTGTGTGTTGGTATGAGTCACCCAAAGAGATAGAGCTTGAGTGTGTTTCTTTGTGTGTGTGTTTATGTGTCGCAGTGTTGTGTAACCCTGACTAATGAATCATTGAGAAGCCCGGCGGTCCAGGGGTGACTTGACTAGCTGATTGGTAATTAATTGTTAATGAGGCTTAGCAAGCAAACAAGGATCAAGAGAGAGGAAGGAAATGACAGAAAGCTTCAGAGATGAAAGGACACAAACTTTTCGGGGACAACAGAAAGAGGGAGTAAGATTTAGACCAGAGCCGCTGAACTGACCAGATACGGCATCGAGGCCTGGCTTTTGATTAATGGGATGTATGTGTGCACACAACCCATGCACATAAGCAATCGCACACACTCACACACTGAGGTGCCTGAGTGATTCTGCATCACAATGCCACAGGGGAACAGAAGAGACTAAAAGGGGATTAAGATGGACAACTCATCTACTGTTGCAGCTCTCTGGGGCTTAGTCTCTTTCCTACTCTACACACACACTTACACACACACACATGAACATAAATCTACACCAGCAGACTAGCTTGGCATCTACCTGGTTTTATTTATCGATGTTGTTTGAGAGAGAGCTTGTTAACGGCTCCTGGGTTAGGCTCAGTGGTCGACCTCTAAGAAGAGGAAATCCATTAATTTACTCATCATCACACCTGCTAACAAGTGTTGCAGGGTTTCACTTAGCAGAGCTGTAAGGGGCCACTTTACATATCTTGAGATTAAGCCTGGCGCCGCAGCGGCCTCTGTCATGGAGCTGCTGCATGAGGGAGGCTACTGCGCTTTGCCTTTATCAACTCGCTTCATGCTACAATAATTACCTCTATGTTTCCCAACGAGCTCACCCACTGTGTCAGTAGTTACAAAGATATTAAAATACACTTACAAATCTTTGATGACACACTCCCTGTGGGGTTGGTACACTTTGGCCCAGGGGTGCTGGTGCTGGTGGAAGTGCTCTCAGGAATGTGGCTGCAGCTAAAGACTATTTGAAAGTCATTCAAAAACTCGTCATTGATTACTGGAATGATTAATTGGCTAATGAGATAACAAAGGGCTTAATAACTTAAAGGCTATCATTTAGCTGTAGGCTTTTAAACTACCATTACTCTTTAATGACATTAAATACTTCATTCGTGAGGACAGATGATTTGATATGTTGGGTAGTTACCACAGGAACGTGGTAGGAGTTTGGTCCACCGTCTAGTGAGAGGAGATAAGGAAGACGGAGACAAGAGGAGGTGAGGAAAGATTAAGGGTAAAGATTTTTTTAAGGTGAGAGAATGAAAACCCCCAAACTAAGTGTCGATAACTTCAGACTCTTCAGCTGAATGTCACAATTGACGTTTTAAAGAGGGACTTCCAGAGAGCCTTTTCTTCAAATGCCTCGTGTATTACTGATGTGCTCCCACAAGAAGCAAGGTCCTTCTCACAAATCATGCAAGCAGTCTTTTTCCTTGGAGTGATGAGAGCCCAGCTATTGATGCTGTTTGGATACCAGTCGCTTCTAGCCACACTTAACAGAGTCAGTGGAGATGCTGGATCGTTCATTCCTCAGCAATTCAACTCCAGAAAGTGATGGTATATCCTCACACCACACAAAACGTAGGGCGGTGTCACTGGTTTATATATCACTATAAAATCTGCAGATGATGTTATCTTCTTGGCTTCATCGGACCGTAACCTTTAGCCCTCACTGCATCGGTTCGCAACCAAGTGTGAAGCGGCTTGGATGGGAATCAGCTCCTCTAAATCTGAGTCTGTGGTTCTCAGCTGGAAAAAGGTGGAGTGCCTCTCAGGTCGGGGAGGAGATGGAGTGGGGTGATAGGTAATCTGATGAGGACAGTAAAGATCTGTGGTGTAAAGAGGGAGCCGAGTTAAAAGGCAGAGCTCTCGGTACACTGGTCGATCTACGTTCCTCTCCTGTGGTCACTAGGTGTGGCTAGTGACCGAAAGTAAAAGAAACCAGCTACAGGCGGACAAAATGAGTTTCCTTGGTCTGAAGACCACAAATTTGAAAATTAGAGCAACATGTAGGGCTGGGCAATATGGCTTCAAATCATTATCACGATGTATTGAGCAGTTCACCTCGATAACGACAAATGGATGATAACTACTTCAGAAACTGCTCACCCCCTCCCACATTAACTTCGTCTACTTCAGCCGCTTTAGCTTTTGAACTGTCCTCCATCTCCTCACCTGTCTTTCCCTCGTTGTTACAGAGGGAAATGGGGTGGAGTCATGTCTCTGACGTAGGTCAGCGTCTTGAAGGGACATGAGACCGTAGCCCACCTACACACATCCAAAACAACTTTTATTCATTTATTTTTTTTGGCACTGAATATACCAGTATGGGCAAAATGACATCTGTTATTGTCATAGATTTCAGTGTCAATAAATTTTTGGTTCATTGCCCAGCCCTAGCAACATGTGAAGTGACCACAGCTCTCTAGCCTTCATCTCAACAAGGCCGACAGCGTTCTGGCCACTGTATGGTCAGGAATATGTGGTCAGCATTAGTGGCTCTGTGGCTGCTCCCTGTGGTCTGGTTGAATGTTGCAAATAACATAATTTCCATTTGCACACTTACTTAAGTAGCTCCCTGAAAGTGTTAGAAAATGTTCTCCCAAATCTTCTTCTCACGTCTCAAACAAAGCAGAGCTTCGTGCACTAAAGCCCGGTCTATGAGGAAGTAGTTTTCAGAGTTTAAGGAAAAATCTCACCATCTCACACCCAAAGCGCTGACCTCATACCTAATGAAAAAGCTTCAGTATGAACTGGGATACTGGCTGTGAGCTAGTATTTCTCATACCACAGCAGTGTCTGGCCTTACTGATGCTTTGTTGCTGAAGAAGAAAACTCCTGCCACCAGGCTCAGACATCTTATGGACAGGTTTTATTTTGAAGAGTGAAGGCTGTCAGGTGTTGTTTGTTTGTTTGTTTGTAGACTAGATGTGCAAAGTCCAAAACATATCAAAAGTGAGGTGATATTGTTCAGTGTTGGTATAACAAAATAAAGTGTGATAAACTAACCACAGTTTTGATATCTATCAGATGCTTTCTTTCACATATTGCTATATTGATGAGAGTGAAACGTACTATCTAGCCCTACTTTAAATATTCACTAATTTTGGGTTCATTAATTTACAATTTTCTTTGTTTTTGATGAACTTTGTTTCAATGTCCAGACCTTTTGATTTATTCCCTTTGGTTTTATTGATGGGCTGATAAATTCTCACCACGGGACATGTTCAGAAAGTTGGTCCGGCTTGAACAGAGTAGCCTTCTTCTTCAGTGTGTGTGTGTGTGACTTTTAAGAATAAGCTCATATATCAAGTTGGGAATCCAAAGTAGCTCTCTGCTTTGAAAACAGTTTGAAGGTTTTACTACAGCTTGGTTATTGAGAAGGTGATGTGAAGGGCGTGAAGGACAATCCTACGAGAGAACCGCACAAGTGTTTGTGTGTGTTTGTGTTTGTGTGTGTGTGTTCCCATTGAACTGCTTGGCCTTTTGATGTTTCTATGGCAGCTGCAAACTAAAGCATGCTGTGGTTGCTATGACAATAATGAAAGGGGTTGACTCTTGGTTGGTACCGTGTGTGTGTGAGTGTGGGCATGTGTGTTTGTTACAGACCAGATATGGCACGCTGTTAGACTGTGTGACAGATGCTCATGGGGGATTCATTGTGTGTGTGTGTGTGTGTGTGTGTGTGTGTGTGTGTGTGTGTGTGTGTGTGTGTAACAAGGGGGTCTTTCACAGTGCTAGCCTGTGGTAAGTTAAATGACGCCCCCCACCACTCTCCTAAAACACCACCACCACCATCCCATCAAGACCACCCCTCTCTCATCTCTCCAGGGATTCATCTCTGGGTCACTGCTTCCCTCTGCTGCCCCCGGTAGCCATGGTTACAGCCTCAAGCGTCACCCAGGTCGACACACAGAGGAGTGGGAGCGAGTCTCGTCTTGGGCTTCAGTGACTTTTGGAGTTTGCCATGAATTATAACCCACCCACAGGCTCTAGGGGATGAAGCAGGCTGGCGGTGGCTGAAATATGGCTGCGGTTTTGTTTGCTGTGATATATGGAGGCAGCAGTGCAAGCCACGCTACACTGCTCTCTGGTTGCACTTTATTTCTCAGCACAGAAATTACTGTGCTTGTTTATGTAGGGAGAACAGAGGGCAGAGGTAATTATAGTATAATGGTGCATGGGGAGCTTTGTGGTTGGGTGGAGATCAAGAATTAATAACAAACAGACCTTAAAGCTCGTTTAATAAGAAAGAGGAGAAGAGCTTCTCGTGGACAATTTGTAACCTTGTGTGTAAATGTGTCTGTTCAATGGAAAGAATTTATTTTATTTTGATAGGGACAATGCAATTAAACACAGATCCAGTGCAGCGTGAAACTCGAGCAGTGAGAGTTTACAGCTTTTACATATTTTCCTCTGAGAGGACCGTTTGATTGCTCTTCACCGGCATTGAACCTGTTGCTAAGGTTGTTTTCTCGGGATTTATTTTGTTTTAGTGAATGTCTGCTCGAATTTACCTCTTTATGGCTCTTACTTAGCTCAACAGTGTCGTGTTGAGTTTGCAATCCAACATCTTATCTTGACACATCTTAAAAGAGGTTCAGAGGCTAGGCTGTCGATGTCGATGTAGATTTCTGATCTGCTTGAGTTAACATTTAAAAGGTGTGAAAACCCAAGAATTACTTAAAATACAACAAAGAGATAAATTAGAACTAAATCAACTTCAGACATGAATGATTGTAACTTTCTGGATTTTATCTATTTATGCAAAGTGCAGTTGTGGTTATTTCTTTTCATGATTGAAATCATTTTCTGGTTTTCTACAATTATGTTAAATGTTTTCATCTGCAGGGGTGTTGTATTTTAAGATTTCCTATCAAAGTTAATTAGTGTAAAAGTGTGCTGCTCTGGCTCTGCTGCAAGTGTGTCTTTCCTTGTTCGTCTGTTTTTACTCATAACTCTATTCGACTCCATGTCCTGCCAACAACTCCTGCTACTTCACCTAAGTGAAAAATCTGAGCACTTGTACTGCTGGATAATAATAACATGAACTGTAAAGGGTGTCACAGATTAAGTCATTTACTGCCTTTATTACTGTTTAGGGTTGCAAAATTCCAGGAATTTTCAAAGCAGGAAACTTTCCGTGGGAATTAGCGGGAATAAATCTGAAACTTACAAAATTGAAGGTTGGGGAAAATATATTGCATCATAATCTTGGCTAAAACAACCAGATTTAAAACAAGTACACTCCTCCATCACATGCACACAGCACACTGCACTTACTGCAGTGTGCTGCAGTGGACTATTGAGTCCACACCTCCAACATGCACTGTGCATTCCTCCATCACATGCACAGATGATTTTTTGAACCCTGGAGGACACACTTGTGAGCCCAAAGCACAAGACATTTGAGTCCACAGACTTTATAAAGTCAATTAAGTTTGGATAATATTATGGGGTAAAAATATTTGATCTATAATAGTATGAATATTTAACCTGCAAAAATTAAATAAAAATAGGGGTAAATGTAAGCTATTTTTCTTTTCATTGGCCATTTAGGGGCTATCTTATGATATTATGGTGGTGGTAGCTACCTCAAATGTGATGCTGTTTCTTCTGACTCCTGCAAGAGGGTTCTCTGTAATCATACAATAATTTATACATCAGTTAAGTATTTTGAAGACCATTCCAGTTTTTTAGCCAACTATATTTCTGTTCTTGCCATTGTTCATTGCCATTTATTGTGTTATTTTGCATGGATGTCTGCTTATGACAAAACAAAAATACATCAATGTTTGGATATGATTCAGTTTGTTTAAATTACCCCCAATTTCCAGTTAATTCCCATAAATTCCCAATAATTCCCATGGAAAGTTTCCAATTTGGAATATTTCCAAAATTCCCAGGCTTAACTTTCTGGAAATTTACTGGAAATTTTCCACCCCTTTGCAACCCTATTACTGTTGTACATATTCATCTGTAGTCATTTGAAATAGTTACAAACTCTTTTTTAGTGATAACTTCCCTTTTTAAAAAATTTGGACAGAAAGATTTAATTTTTTTGTGAATACCTATTGATTCCAAATATTAAATCAGTCAGTGTCAGCAATGGAAAACTGATATATCTGTTGAAGCTCAGGTGCTTTTCTGATCATTCTTTGTCCTCATTCAGCTTTTTTCCTGATTTTAAATTATGCATCAGAAAACCATTTAAAATACTATGTTATATTATTCCCTGTTTGCTCTCTAAACACTATTTTTAAAACCGTAACGAGTGAGTGTCTATGAACAACAGCTTTCACCTTAACTGCTGAGCAAGCTGTTCAGATTTGACACAATGACAACAAACAACATCAATCAGCATGTTTTTCGCAAGGAGGGTTTTGACGAGAACATCGGCATGTGTGGTGGTGTGACTGCTTCCACTCGTACTCCATCATCTACCCACACTACAAGTTCACGACAGCATTCACGGTTTCAGTCAAACATCCACGCTTTTAATCATTTGAAATGTGAACCGCAGCAGCAGAACATTGTTTTTGTTTGGTGTTTCGGCTCTAATCGCATCACTCTTCACAGATTCGTGTTGCATGCAGAAATTGTAGGAGCGAGTAATGTCTTTCACCCCCTGGCCAGAGTCTGTAGGAGGATGCTGGGGTGATGATGATGGGGCTGGAAGAATGAGCACAGTGCTGGTGTAAAGGCAGCGGTGACAGTGACGGAGCAGAGGAAGAGCTCCTGCAGCCGACTTTAGATAAAGACTGCTTCTTTTAGGACGTAATCAAACCTTGAAGACAAGGAAAATTTTAGACAACTGCTCATCTTAAAACTGTGTACACACAATGCTTACTCTGTATACAAGGTTACGGTTAGATAATATTGTTTTGGTGATATTTTTGTTCTACTGAATTGGCACAATCATTTATGGTTGGAAGTTGGAAAACAATGACTCAGTCTTGTTTTGTGTTCGGAGAACTTTTCTCATTTGAACTTGTCCTCTGGCTTCTTTTGTGTCAAAACTCTTGACACTCTTGTTTTTTTGTGTTTGGAATATTCAGCAGGCATATGAAACAGATTGTTTTAGTGAATCATTTTGCCCATAAAATGTAAAAAACAAAAGTAAATCAGAGCCCAAGTTGAAATCACGGTGACTCTTGTTCGACTATCAAACAAAAGTAAGAAAAGGACAATATATATTTACCTTTGGTATACATAGAAACATAAGAATTTAACTTATTTTATCATGAACAGCCACAGTTTGCTAAATCATAATGACCTACCTAAACAAGTAAAAGCATATGCTTCTTTTAAAAGTTAGTACCAAAACTTATCTGGAGCTTTGCATCAGCATCTGTTCAGGAAATTTAAATATTGATTCAAAGTCCCGTCTGTGAGTGAGGCACAAATATGCTGTTGTGTTTGAATAGCTGTAACTTCGATTCACATATGTAGAGGCTTTAGTGGTCTACCAATCACTCTGTAAATCGAGCACTTTGGATATTTACAATAATTAAAAAGAGTGAATACCACAATGAGGCTCTGCATTAACTAGAGAGCATTTAGCACACAAATGTAGTCCTTTGAATTGAATCCAGCTCCGGTCTCTCTCTGGTGTCATTTGTCTGAATAAATTTAATGTCATTTGTCGCAGTGATTTTGCCAGCACAGCTATTACTTTTCTTAAAGATTTGACGTCTCTTTCTGCTTCAGAACTCCTCACTCATTCTGGCCGTCTCAGTACAGAGAGGACTTGCAGCGGGCAATCCTCCAGCTGGAGAAAAGTGTGTGTAAACAGTATAAAAGTGATGTGTTGTTAGTGCTGCGTTCAGCACTATGATCCATATCTACAGAAGGTGTCGGCTCACAGCTGTATACGACATATAAATATATTTTTTATATAGACCACCAGTGACTGAGCCGCCATGCTGAGGTTTCTGCAGTGTCTTATATAAGCTCGGTGAAGCACACCCTCAGCACTATTATCTGGTCTCATGCTGCCGAGCTTATGGCTGAATTATATTGAGAATGTATATTTTTTTCTACTTCTCCGACTCGCTCCCTTATTAATGTGCTCAGCGGGCCCTTAATGCTCTCTCTGTTTTCCCTCTCCAGAAGTTTACCCTTCTGGCACCACTTCTCTGCTTCTTCTTTTCCTCCTCGAACTCAAAGTTTTTTAATTCTCCTCCACCTTTTCCTTCACTTTTAAACCTCCATGGTTCGGTTCCTCTTCTCCTCTTATTGCAATTATGTTTTCTCTCATTTAAATCTCTTGTGTCTCTCCATAAAATTTTATTAACTACAAATTCTTGTTCTTATTGAAATGAGAGATCAGGTTGAGATCTAGTGTTTGACATACTCGTATTTAGCTGAGAGTAGGGCTGGGTGATATGGCCTCAAATCAATATCACCATATATTGAGCAGTTCACTTCGATAATGGACGATAACTACTCTACAAGCTGCTCTCCCCCTCCCATATTAACTTTGTGTACTTCAACTTTTGAACCGTCCTCCATCTCCTCTCCTGTCTTTCCCTCTTTGTTACTGACTGGATGGGGTGAAGTCACCTCTCCAACGTAGGACAGCGTCTTAAAGGGACATGAGACCATAGCCTACCGACCCACATCCAGAACCAGCTTTTATTTATTTATTTTTTCGACACCGAATATATTGACATGGGCAAGATGACATCTGTTATTGACGTGAATTTCGGTATCTGTAAATTTTCGCTCTAATGCCCAACCCTATCTGTCAGCCCCTCATATGTCTTTGTCATTACCCCTTTCTAATTCGTCATGTCTGCTCTTCAAATATGCTTTAACTAAATCACAGCAATTATAACCACTTAAATAAAGCTGGAATATGTCTTACAAACTGCACACTGATGATCTTTCTCAAAGACAGTGTGACACTCCTGCACTACTGACAATTCCTTTCATGTTTGACCATAAAAACAACCCTGACTTTGTCCAACAGGTGACTTCCTCTGCACGAAAATAACCCTTCTCTCTGATAGCCGTTAGATCTAGAAAGAATCAGACCTAAGATATCATTTGGACTTGGCAGCATGTAATTAATGTAACAAAGATAAGATCCCATAAAATCCTGGTAAACATTGCTTACTGGTATTTTTGCGCACTTTGATTGTTTGTCCATTCCCTTCCCGAAAACATCATGAGGTTGTCAATGTTGTCAATCTTATATAATTATATGGTCAGGGCCTCATATCCTCTCTCCTGTGTTAGCTTTTACTATGCACCCACTATGTTAAGGGTCGGTTTTGACCCGTGTCTTAAATCAGCTGTAAATTACACTAAAAACAATTCTCTATCATCCAATTTGGTTCTCATCTCTAGGTCACCTTGTTAGGCTTCATTATCCATGAAAATATTGTTCATAATAGTTTTTGTAGTGGTCCTCTGGGCCTTTCTCTGTCAGTATACCCCTCACACAGACATCTATACTGAATTGATCTCACATGTCCGATGTTGTTTTTTGTGCAGGGAAAAACTAGACTAAATGAGAATTTCCTAAATCTCACATGATTGGAAGAGGATCTGACTGTCAGTGTGGTGCCTGACAGTGCACTTATGATTTCAGTTTTTGCTCTAATTATTAGATATTGATCTAACCAGGTCAACAGCGACTCTAACACGACAAGTGCCATAATTTTAATAAGAGCATTTTATAATGTAATCAATTAATTTTTTTTTTTTTTTTTCGAAATAGAGGTTCCTGACAAAGTCAAAAAGTCTTGAAGCAAAAAAGCTAATGTAAGTGGTTCTTTTAAGCATTTAAAAAAACGGGTTGGTGCAGACCCCAACACAGGGGGAGGGATATCTAGATTGTCTCATGTCTGCTTCACAAGTCACGAATATTTTTTTTAATAGGTAACTACCTCATTTATCAGGGTTAAGATTTAAAACTCATGAAGACATTTCAGTTTGTTTTGATGTAGTGACACCTGTGGATTTTGCGCGTACGCGTTGATTAAGTGTTTCTTGATGAGAATCTCGTTTTGCCCGTATCACTCATGGGGAATCATCTCTGCGGTAAAAGGTAAAAAATGACTCTTCAGCAGCTTGCTGTCGCTCACTTTGTCTGACACCTGACTCATGGCAGCAGTTTCAGACAGTAAAAATAACCTCATAGAAAAAGTCAGTCTCTAAGCTAATGGTCTCTCACTTTTCAGAGACACCATAGATACAAAAATAATTCTTATTCCAGTCTTTTTCGTAACCGGAAACCTTTTCAAAACAGGAACTTCATGTAGTCTGATTCTGGCAGAAATGAAATGACGTTCCCTGTAATGCCAAAGTTACAGAGCTGTTTAGTGTTTTTAAACTTGAGGAGGAGTCATTCATCATAGATTGTGGCTACATTTTTGGGGGCTGAGACTTTCAGTAACAAAAAAACCTGCAGGATGAATCACCGTATCGAAGTGTCAAGTTTTCTCCAAACAACCTGAACACATTTGTCTGTTTTTTGAAGAGTTCACCGGTTTCAAGGACATTTTAACTTGGAAAATTATCAAAGAGTGCGACAACACAAAAAAAACTTTGAGCAGTGTTGAATCAACAGAGCACTCCTGTTGAAGAGCCAAGGTTTTTGGACCACTCCATAAAGCTGTGCTTGTACTTAAACTCAACACTCGGGCTCGGGATCGTTTCCTGTAGTTTTTGCAAAAGCAGCTGACAGTTTCCTCTCAGCTGAACCTGGTTGGAGTGTTTTTCTCTTTGTTTGAGCCACTTTGTCATCAAACCAGTTTGCAATCCATGTTTTCACACAGTGTCACTAATTGCTACCTTGACAACGTGGAATTTGGTTCTAGGAGATTGGTCGCTAACTGTATGTGTCTTTATTTTTTACTGTCTACTTAAGATGAAACTATTTCTGGACCAATACAAAAGATTTGTCAACAGTATCTCTGTAGAATCAGTTAGTTTGAAGTTTAAATTTGTTATTTCAAAACAAAGTACTAAAAAAATACTTCAGCCTCAGCATTACTCTGTGTTCAGTGCTAAAAAGCATGGTTTGGTAGTTCAAAAATAACCTGGTCAGATTGAAGCGATTGAGTTGTGTCAGATTATGAAAATTGTTGTTTAAAAGAAAAAAAAAGGAACCGGTTTTGTAAAAAAAATCAGATTTAGTTGTAATCCGGATAAGAAATCCAAGTTTTTAATGTCCAAACTGTTGAATAAGGTTGAAATGACTTTGGATTACATTGATTCCTGGATAGATTTAAGATGGACCACAGAAACAAAATATAATAAAAGTATATTATGATTATGACACTAACAGGAATAATTTGGTTTTGATTGACCAAATCACTACAAGTAGAAGTCATGGACCTCAGAGTTTTTTCAAACATTTTCAGCATGAACATAAAATATTCATCAGAGATGGTTGTGCATATCCTACTTTAAGTTAAATATGGGCCATTTAGCCTCTATTAGTAAGAAGGATGAAGATCCAGCACATATTGGGAGGAGAGAGAGAGCGTGGGGTAGATGTGCAGTAGAGAACAGAGGTTTAAAATGAACCCACAGCAACAAGGACTAGAACCTCTGTATGAGGCACACATTTAAACCTATGATCTAAGCAAGAGCTGCACAGTTTAAGACAAAAACTACTCATAAAGAATTTAAGTTTTCACGTGTTTCATTGTACTTTTTATTCTTTTTTCCTCCTCCACTTTGACCAAACTTCACCCATCCCTCTGACAGCAGCTCTGACACCTTTACCTGACAGTACATGGGGAGTTACACCTTACACTTACTCATAATAAACGCACACGACTTATAAGAAATTAATCATTATCTTGCAGTGATGTTTAATTTGCATCACCAGCTCTGTGATAGAAACTCCTAATGTGATGTGATGTCTTCTGTCATCATTTATGCAGACACCCCACTGAAACTTGTAGACACTGAAAGGAAACACTGGGTGGTCCTGTTGACAGTCAGTCTGCGTGCTTACATTGTTGGTTCTGCAGTGTTGCTTTTGCACATCCGCACATCATAGATGCAACAGTAAAATAAATATGTTCATTAAGCCAGTTACGTAACTCAGTACCATCGCTGTCTGGCTCCTGTGTTTCCACCCTTGGACAAAGTATGTAGTATGAAGTATAAAGTCTCATTTTGAGTAGGAGTGATCTGGATTAGTTCATCTTTAAAAATCTCTCCAGAAAAAACAAAAGTAAGATGAATTACTGAATTCTGATGGAGGAAAATTAGAAGGAAAAATTCCGTCTGCTGAACATCGGCAGTCGGAGCGAGCGTGTTCGTGTGTTGACATTAGCATTTAGCCCTTTAGCCAAAACAGCTTGAAAGTTGTTTCCATCTTATTTGTCCTCATTATTGTTTTTCCTGTCTTTTCTCTCCACAGGACTGGGTTTTCCTCACTCGCTTCTGTTTTCTTACCGACTTTGGACGCCTGGACTTCAGGTTCCGCTATCCAAAGGTAGAACAATCCAGAAAAGATGCGTGTGTGTGTGTGTGTGTGTGTGTGCATGTGTATCGTGAATTTGTATAACATCATGTATTTTAATAAGCCTCAGCCTGCCCACGCATTTCTTTTCTCTCTGTATACATAATTGCTTTACTTGTCTCCATCTCGTTTCTTTCTTTCATCTTACTCTCTTTCTGTCCTTCCTCTCATCACCTTTAAACCCGTAAGAGAGACATCTCTTTATGTCTCCTCTTTCCTCCCCTCTTTTTCCATCTCCTCCTCCTCCTCCATCTTCTTTCACTCGCGCCTGCTCTATATTTCCACACATCTGTTTCGTTCTTCCGCCCTGTCTTGTTTTTCCCGTGCGTAGCTTTACTGTCATAGCCTGCAGACTTTGGAAACAGTTTTGGTCGTATAAATCTCAAACCATCTCACTGCCTCCTCTGATCTATGTACTTGCTCTCCCCTCTCTTTCTGTCTCTCCTCGGCGCAGTCTCGCTGCTGTCAGAACATATTGCTCTACTTTGATGACAGCTCTCAGTGGCCAGCTGTGTACAAGAGGCCTGAAAAGGTGAGATACTGACACCCTCTGCATCATCTCTTACGACAGGCCATTATTAAAGAGAAATACGGCTCCCTTTACTTATCGCACGTCAGCGCTTTAATGAAAAAGCGCTGTGACTCCAATTTAGATAATTTTCACATTTAGCTTGAACTAGAGGATCACACGCTGCTCAGAATAAAACAAAGCTGTCTTTCTCAGTTCCTGAAAGGCCTTTCACTCGCAGGCAGTGATTTATTATTGATGATACATGCAGCGATCAAGGATGGTGCAATCCATATTTGTGAACAGAGAGCTTTGCCATTAAGTGAAGCGGTTCCACAAGAAGTGACAGCAAGGAAATCGTCTGTAGATAGACGTATGTATTTTGTCCAGGAACTGATGATTGAACAACTTATTTTTTTGGACAGCAACATGTTTGTTTGACTTTGAACCTCGATCAGGTCTTGAATGTGTGTGAATCTGTGATTTAAAAGATAAAGGGCTTTCTATTTTTACTCTCATATAGGGTGAACAGTTCAGGAATGACAGAAAATGTTGATACTGATGTGCTGTTAATAAGTAGAGTGTCGGTGCAGAAAATAGCTATGAATACTATTCACCCACAAATATCAGCGACCAGTCAATAATCAATAATCCCTCAGACATGAAAGTTAGGACTGGTCTCATTTCAAATCCAGTCTGCTCGACTCCAGATCAGCCCAAAGCAATCAAAAATGAACATCTTTCCTCCTATTTAACGAAGTGCAGTTTATTCACTCAAGAGTTATTCCTATATCTGGTTGGTTAACAAACTCTTTCTTCCGTCCACAGTCTGTGTACTTTGAACATCTGGTTGATACGGATTTTTCCAGTCTCCATCTGAGATCTGAAGCTCTTATAGAGCAGAGAAAGTGTTCTTACTTAATATTCGTCTCAGCTATAGGAACAGCATGCATGAATCCTTAATCTGCATGCATTCAGCTGTATACTCTTCAGTCAGCTGGTACAGTGAGCTATTACACGATATAGTCTATAAAATCAACATTAAATTGCTTTCACAGTCAATAAATAATGTAGAAAGCAACCGTTTCTGGAGGCAGACGACGCTACTCTTCCACTCACCCAGTTTAGAGCTGCACCTTATGCCAGCCGTGGATTTTTATCTCCAACAAAGCGTCTGATAGAATCGTTGCACGGTTGTGTTATGAGAGTGGACTCAGTTTCTCAATAAAGCATTTTACTCTCAGTATTATTTAGAGTTTAGAGGAGAATCCAGGTTTAACTTGTGCAGCGCTGTCGGAAAATAGAACAACCTCTCATTTCTCGGCCCATGTCATTGTTTGGTTGTGTATTCTTCTCGCTGACATCTCTTGACAGATAGATGGGACATTATTTATGTGTGTTTCCGGCACAGCTAAAAACAGTGCACCATTTGTCAGCTCCAAGACCGATTTTTGTGTCAGTCTCCCAGAATCAAATACCATAGACTTTATGCATCATTTTGCAGTAAGATTCATTGAGCAGTCACACAGAGAGAAATCCATTACAGAGGAGACCAAAAATATCAATTTTAATTCCTCTTACAGCAGCTTCAGTAGATTACAATTACATTTTGTTTAAGCACACGATTAGCTTCCAGTCTGGTGTGCTTGGTTAATACTTAATATTCATACAGCAGAATGTAGGTGTAAACTGGAGCTGTGTGCAACAAGCTTGGGCACTTCTTCAAAGCTGTATTGGAAAAAAAGTTTTATATATATATCTGTAAAGACTGGAATAGGAAAGGATGAGAGGGACTTTGGTTTCAAATGTTTTTCTCATATTCATCATTGTGTCTTCTCTCGTCAGAACTGCTACCAGAAAGAAGCGGTGCTGAGGCCCGAGAACAACCAGGTCATCAACCTCACAACACGCTACACCTGGTCAGGCTGTGTGGTAAGGACACACACACTCAATCACACAAGTGGCTTCACAGAAACACACACTCGGCACAGCAGCATCCTGTAACTGAGAGTCTAACGCATAGATGCTGTTTTCTAACTTGAGTTAACCTTTTATATTATTGTGTTTTCATATGCAGTGTGTTATGTTACAGACCAACACAGTTCCATTTTATTGCGATACTTTTGCACTTATTTTCATCTTTACATCTGCGTACTTCTTTGTGATGCTAAAATGAACAGAGAAAAAGAGACACGGTGGCAGCTAATGGCCTCTAATGTGTTTTCCCTAACATTGTACCGAGTCACACATTTGCACTCTCGATGATACATCCAATAAATCAGAAAGGGTCCAAAAGACCCTTTTCTCCTGCAACACCTCTTTTATTATTTTTTTTTTTTTTTAAAGAAAAAATATCCCCTTTTCTCTTTTTCAATAAGCTACACAATGTGTTTGTTTATCACATTAGGATGTGTGATTGCCGGAGTGACTCTGTTGTTGTGGCTGTTAGTGGATTTTGTTGACACGTTTCAGGCTATATCAGAGTGTGAAATATGTTTGTGTCTTGATATTTCAGTCTCCCACTCTTCTGTGATAATTCAGTGTCTCTAAGGCAAAACGTAATGCCATTTTAGATAACATCCTCTGTCTACCCCCCTCATGCTTCCCCCCCCCCTCTCTCTCTCTCTCTCTCTCTCTCTCTTTCAGGTGGAGGGAGACGGGAACGAGGAGGTTCTGAGCTGCGTGGGCGGCCGTAGTTTCCGCTCAGTGAGGGAGAGATGGTGGTACATCGCTCTCAGCAAGTGTGGGGTAAGCACTGACCTCCCGACGCCACCCTGACCCCCTGCTGGCTGTTTCTCTAGATAAGGGCAGATGTGCGACTTTGTGGTTGCCATGGCAATGTGTCTGCTACCACACCAACAGACTCAGGGGCTCAAATACGCTTGTGTTGGCATTACGTATGCTTTTTACTGCTCTTTGGGTAAACAGACGTCATAACCATCATCAATTTCATCATTATCCTTAAAAACTGAGGACATGTTATTCCTGCAGGGTTATGAGGTTTTTTTTTTCTTTTGCAATGAAGAAAAGGAGAAAAAAAGGATGACTACATGTTAGGTGCAAGAAACCACATCTAATATTAAAGTGAAAAAGCCTCGGCAAAAACTTTCTGAGAAAATCTCGTGGAAAAGTCTGCGAATCTTCGGAAAAACAAACAAAAATAAAGAGTCTTTTATCATCACAGTGAAATAAAGAAATGCTTCACCTGGTGGAGGAATCCTCATTAACAAAGCCAAACATGCATCTTAGTCCAGAAAATGTTTTGCATAGTTATTATGGCATAGTTAATTATTATAGCAGCGAACATACTGTGCAGAAAGCAGAGTATAAATGTAATTTGCTCCTGAAAATGTGTTTAGCACCGGGCTAAGTCAGGACTTAAGTGGTCTTAATTGTGCAGAAATTGTGCACTGTAACTTTTGGCGAGTATCCAAATGAGAGACTCAGATACTTATTGAAGGATGAAAATTCCGAGAACTGTTTTAGTGAGGATTACCAAATGTTGTGGAGTGTCGCAGGCCTCCTAATCCTTCTTGTTTTATCTCACGTCTGATCTTGTATCTGTGTATCTCTCTCTGGATTGCCTGTGGACACCTTGAAGTGCTTTATCTCTCCCCGTTGCTACAGCAGTTTTTACAACAAAGCACAGAGTCTCTTAATTTGCAACTCTGATTAAACTGAGCTAAACATGCCTTCTAAGGACTGCACTGTAGCTTATCGATCAGCCAGCTAGCTGGGACTTTAAAGCCTGTTGTCTTCTTATAATGGGACTCAGAATTTTTTGCTTTCAGTGTGTGAGCAGAGAGAGAGAGAGAGAGAGAGAGAGAGAGAGCTAGCCGCTGTGCGTGTTGTTTGTTGATGTGAGTCTGGACTGGGGCACTTGGTGAAGAAATCATGAGCTCGTATAATGATCGCTCAGCTCAGTGATGATACATCCTCCTACAGCGAGGACTTCAGTCAAGGACGAATTTCAGGAAAAATCGTGTGTGTGTAGATGTTTATGTATGTGTGCTGTGTTTTCATGTTTTTTGAAAGCGAATGAGGATAAATAAGTTGGATTTCCGCTGAATTTGTATCACCGCCTGGCTGCCTATCAGAGCCATACTCTGGGTTATAACAGTGGCGCGCCTGTGGTCATGTTTCTGTTTGTTTGTGTGTGAGAGGATTTTTCTTTGTGGGTTTGTTTTTGCTCTGTCGGTTGGGAGAGTTGGCTGGAGAGGGATATGATTAGAAGAGATGCTTCCTGCAGAGTGTGGCTGAGTGTCACGCCGGCGTCTGCTGATGGACACGCCACCTAATGTAGTCGGACTAATGTATAAAAGCTCGTCTCAACTCCCGGGGACATATGTACGCCGAGCCCCGCAGCCAATTTCCATTCCTCATCTCCCACCACTCGCCTCCCTTTCACACCTCTCACTCTCTTCTACCTCTGTCGCTCACAATCTTTGGCTACGTCCACCTCTTTTTCAGCTCCCTGTCACCAAGCTGTGATACGTTCCACGCCATTTCATATCTATTTACCTTTCTGTGTCTCTGTCAGCCTGCCTCTAATTGTGTTTTTCCTCTCCATCTTGCCATCTCACTGGTCTCATATCTTTTGCGCCTCTCGCTCATTTCACGCGTTCCCTCTCCCCGCACCCTGTTTTTAATGGTGCGTTTTTTGTTTTTGTATTTTCTTCTCTTTGTCCCTGTTTCTCTCTCATCCATTTCTCCTTTTATCTCCTTTCCATTTCCTCCTTTACTCGTGCTGAAGCGGGTCCAACTCTACATCGGTTGATAAGCTGTTAAAACCAAAGGATGTCTACTCCGATTCCCCAGACGAAGCCGAGCCTGCTGAGACACTGAAATGTGATGTTGATGATTATTTAACATTTCCGAGCAGTTTCACTCGATTAATAATAGCAGGAAACCTCAAGGCAGAAAATAATCATTATTTTATCAGTAGGAATAATGACAGTTATTATAAATAAAACCAGTTCATTACAAATTACAAAGGAGAGGACCTCTGGCAGTTGAAGTGGATGTTTTTAGACAGCTAAATTATAGGATCAACCAAAGTTCAATGAAATTAGCAGACTTAATGCAGCTGGTTCTCTGCACTTAGTGTTGCTTTCTTTGTTATAAAGCTATGATAAGATATTTCTTTATTAGTCCCACAGGAGGAAATCCCAAATAAAGCATCATAATGTCTTCTAGATCTGATGGCATCTGTGCAGAAGTGTGCACCTTCAAAGTTTCCAAAGCTTAGCAACATTTCTGTCCGTTTTGGCGAGTAACTGTAACACAGAGTTTAAATTATAATGGATAGAAAATAAACAGAAACATAACAACTCAATAACATAATTGCATTGTTTGCAATCTACTGCAGCAACTTTACATGTAAGTGTTTGTTAATATGGCCTTTCAAACTGAAATGGAAAGATATGAAAAGCGAAGAAAACCTTTGAATGACTGTAATCAACTTCTGCTTTATTATTCAGAGCTGAAGTGCTGATAATGAGCAAAATTACCTCAGCAGGGAGCCGAGGAAGCCCGGAAATTGGCGCAGGCCATTAAAATGGCGAATATTTCTGAGCTGCTAACTTGGCAGGTGACTCATCTTTATAGAACGAACATACGCACATCTGATGCTTTTCCTTCAAGTCGCAGTTAGAAAGTTACAAACTATACGTCTCCCTTCCCACAGTCACATATGGAGGAAAGATTCCTGTTATTCCCCGGTGCGCCTGTTTGTTCACCCCGAACTTTTATAGTGTAATGATAAATTAAATAATGACGTAAGTGATTGACAGTGTTGCAGCGCTTAAGGGATAGATGCTCAGCTTTTAGGAGAAACACAGACACTTTGTGATTTCTAGATTTAATTTGCTCACATCGTAATCCTACAAGAACATTCATACCGTGGGGAAAAAAAATACTTTTAAGGAAACTTGGTAGGATTGGGTTGCATTGTACTCATTGTAACTGACTCATTGTACTTAAGTCAGTTTTATTTGGTGTTTTATATTTCCAGATAAAGATAGTTTGCTCTTTTAAGCTAAATGATACTTCACTATAAATTTAGCTGCATCATTATGTGTTTAAATGTGACAACAAAGTAAATGGCCATCAGTGTTGTCGTCGTCTCTTTTTGCTGTTTTTACCCCTTGGTTTAAAATTAGGGTTGTCTTAATATTACAGTGTAAAATAATATTTTAGGCGACTGATTTGTTTGCACTAGTTTGTATTTATACTGAAGTTACAGCTGCTGCTAAACTATTATAGATGCACAGATATCTATTTAGATGCTCGACTTGAATATTTGCAGATGGAAAGTACTCTGCTCATACCAGTGGGATTTAAAGAAATCACACATGCCGTATTATTGGTGAAGAAAATGAATATGAACATTAGCTAGCTTTGACTTACATAACGCCTTCTTCTCACACTGCATTTTCATTGTGTTATATTTAAATGAATATTTATCTGACACAACTGGTTGTGGTTCACATTTGCTACGAGGTTTATTTAAATGACTTTCAAGGGAATCAACCTAAACCCAGATGAAATTCGTTCAGGGGAAGGAAATAAGGTCAAAAAGATGCAGCTTACCTGCTTTCAATGATTGGTTTTAATTGATGTCTGTGGTTATGGTGCTACATTTTTAAATCACACACTGATCTAATATCTGGATGTCTGCTTTTCTTGTCCAGATCTTGAGTTTTTGTATCAGACGGCACTAACTCAATTTTCTGAGAAGCTCACAGGTGGATAACCCAGGTCTGTAAGCTCTAACCTTACACTTAACTTTCCTGAGACAAGATCCACTATCTCAGAAGACTCTCAGAGATCCTTTTACATGCAGTTATCTGCAGCCCAGGGGAGCACACCATGCTGAAGACTGCACAGGTGTTCGGATGAGAGAGTGTGATAAATCAGTACAGTGTATCAAACGTGGAAGTCTGAAACCAAAAAGAAACACCCAAATCATCCTGTGGCTCACTGTCAGTCCCACAGGGGGAGACTCCCTGCTGTGTAAAGAGCTCGTCTGCTCTCATCTATCCCTTCTCTTCTTTATCCACCTCTCCTCCCCTTATTTGCATTTGCTCCCATTTTCATCATTCTGCCTCCCTCTCTACCTGTTTTCTTTCTTCCTTTCTACATCTATCACTCTCTTTATCTCTGTCTCCCTGCTCTTTGTGTCTGTATTGATTTTGTGGCAGTGCACGCTCCACGCTTCTTGCCCTTTTTGATAGAGGGAGTGAGATGGAGTTTCAGGCTGCCAAATGAAATCAAAGTCTTTTTTTTTTTATCTCCTCCCTCTCTCTTTTCCCTCGCTCCAACGCAACAAGCTCAAACTCCATCGGCTTTGAACTTGCGTGTGTGAAATGAGCTCTCTGTGCTCTGATTGTCAACGCATCTCTGTCCCCCTCCTCTTTTATTCTCAGCTCCCCGTCCTTCTGTTTCTCACCTCCCACGTTTTTCCAGCTTGACACTTTTTTTTATTTGTTTTAGTCCAAAAAAATTAGCATCATCCCATCAGCGGTTTACCGCACAGGTAGCTTCTTGTCCTCCTCGGTCTTTCTCCTACTTTGCATGTTTACCTGCTTAAATATTCTCTTTTTAGTGCTCTCATAACATCACAGTGCAGTAACAATTATTCCTGATCGACATATAATTATAATGAGCGCCACAAATAATTAATAAAACGCCACTTTTACCATGAATAATAAAAAAGCCTGATCCTCTGCAGTAAAACAGAGCTAACTGCTGCTGCTGTTATCTATCCATCTCTGTATCCTATTAATCTGGGTCATCTTCTCATTGAGCAGAGCAGCCTGCATCCCTCATTTCTCCACCGACTTCCTGCACACACCTGAGGGCACTTTCAGGCCAGCTGGGAGACTGACTGACTATAATAGAACAAATGCACTGGAACAAGGAAACCAAATGAGCGTCACTTGTTAAAGAGGATTTAAGTTGTTGCCTCCTGTTCACATCAGTAAAGTTTCGGGGGAAATAAAGATTATTTGTCTTTAACGCTGCTGTGCAAACCCCAACCTCACTCGTGCACTCGGGTCGTCAATAATGGCAAAGATTTTGCTGATCTCGGTAAACAAAACTGACTCTCAACCTGAAAGGCTTGGGTTTTTTCAGCTTTGCTTGCAGCTGGGAAATTAGTTGGATGATGAAAAGTCAAAGTAGTTTGATGATGTGACATTATGGATCGGGTTCTGTATTTCAAACTAAAAAAATATCAATAATGTTTTCAGCTTTTGATGCTGCTATTGAGTGTTGTTGGTCCATTGATGTAATCTTTTAACCCAGGTCAAGTCATTTAATTAAACCTCTGGTGCACAAACATGCACGGACTGTTAAATGAAGTTGAATCACCAGCCAACAGGTATTAAAATGACACAAAGAAGTATTTTGATATCCAGTCACTTGAAGGATGTCTGAATGTGTGCGGAGCTCAGCTACATTTTTATCAAAGTAAGAGATAAGAAGAGAGAAAATGCAATTCATGTGGCAAATTGATTTCCTACAAGGTGGAGAACACAGCCTGTATGACCAAGTTCATCAGCGTTTCGCTCCAAATTGAACCAAAAAGCAGAACCGTCACCTGTCACTGAGTTATAATACTGTCAGTCCCAGCTGCTGCTGCTGCTGCAGAACCTCCATCTTTCCAGTCACAGCACCAGCCTCTGCAGCAAATCCTGTACGTTAAAAATAGTTGTTCAATGTTCAGCTCTTGTGTTAAAATTAGCAGGGTAAGAACTAATTGGCTGACTAAAGGCTGTGAAATAAAGTTGTAACGTGATGTTTAAAACTGGATCAGTAAAATGACTATTCAGCAAAATAAAATTGATTATAATTTTAATTTATCAAAATAATAATCATTATCATCATAATACATTTTTATTTATGTGGCACTTTTCAAGATACTCAGACGCTTCAGAAAATCATAAAAGCACAGATTAGGAGAAACATTAAAGCACAATGTAAAGCGATCACCAGTTGGACACAGCTCTGAAAAGGTGGGATTTGAATGTGAGTGTGCCAGCACAATGACAGATAGGCTTAGAGAGAACCTTCCAGAGGGTGGCTGTATTCAAATATAATGTCAAGAAAAATGTCATTTAGGTTTCATGGAGAAAAATACAGATAAATACAGTCATTGAGAGGAGGGATTTGTTTCTTCATTTATATAAAATAGACCCTTTTTTATTCGAAAGAGGATTAGGGCTACAAGAAGAGAAAAAAACAACAGTAGGGAGATTTTTTTGATTTTCATTTCGAGATTGAAGTCCAAATTTGAGATTGAAGACAAAATTTTAAAAAGTCAAAATTTCAACTTCATCCATGTTGACTTTAATCTTGAAATTTCGACTTAAATCTCAAATTGTAATTTTTTTATCTTGAAATTTTTACATTATTTATGACATTTCAACATCTTGTAATCTATTGTAATTATTGACATATTTTCAATTTTTGTAATCTCAAAATTTTGACTTTAATCTCCTTCCTGTTATTACTTTTTTTCCTCTTCATGTGACCCTGATCCTCTTTCATATTTTTACCAGCTTTATTATAAAAAAAGAAGGTTGTCTTGATAGAAGATAATCAAAGATGGAATGGAGAGACCCTAATCGTCAGGGAGTGTCAATAAATGCCAATAAACATGAACAACCCTCTTTCAAGGTGACACTGATGCAACTTTGGTGTTAGTAAAGATATTTGTTTAAAAGGATTCATTTTGGCTTTTACTTCAAACTTTCTCATAAGGTTGGTTGGGGCTGTACAATTATTTTTTTCAATTTAGCTCATTTGTACAAGTTATAATGATTAAAGATGGTAAAATGTGTCTAAACAGTATTAAAATGAAGTGTAGTTGCGTTCCAGAGACACCCGGGCTCATAAATCTCATTTTCACAGGAAAGAAAACAAGTCTGTCTGGAATAGACCCCGGTAATTTTCCATCCAAGTGTTGACCTCAACACTTTTTTTTTTACCAAAGGATTTGATTAAAAGTTGGAAATACTGTATCACATGTAATTTTCAGCTCTTCTCTGATATCCTCATATGTAGATATGTGGTGAGTGTGCCAGTGTTAGTCCACAGAGTCTTATCACATTGGAACCAAAATCAGATTATGAGTGAGAAAACAAGAAATTTGTCCTGGTATTATAGTCCAAAAACATTTTACACAGAGATACAGTAACATTTGTAAAGCTAGTCAGCTGCTCCCCATAAAGGAAAAAAGATGTAATAGCACAGATTTTCACTAAGTGCAGTGGAAATGCTCTGCAAGATGATGCATGGTGCATTTTGAAACTCCGTCAAATGCAGGGACATTATGCGCTGTTCTAATATGTATCTATCAATTCCAGTAGACATGCTATTATTCTCTCCTCTCATGCTCTCTGTGTGATGTTAACATAAAACCCTGCTTTTAGCCCAGCGAATGTCTTTCTTTTCATCTTTTCAATGAACCCAAATGTCTCCATTATCAGATACATAATGAAAGAGATAAAATTTCACAGGAATAAAACATCCAGGAAAATACATCTTAAGAGTCACCTCTCGTGGACATTTCAACCTGCCGGATTGTGCGGCACAGCTTTAAGCATTCATGGATATTTTGTTCAGATCAATGGAAGAGGCTGCATTTTTAATCCCACCTGCCTCCTCTTTCCCTCCGCCTCTTCTCCTCCTCCCTCCTCCTCCTCTCTCATCTGCAGGGCGATGGCTTGCAGCTGGAGTACGAGATGAAGCTGACCAACGGCCAGTCTTTCTGGACGCAGCATTTCTCGGCAGATGAGTTTGGTAAGAGTGATTAGACAGAAAAAGAGAGATTACTGAACGAATTGCTGATGGCACAAGCCAACACCACTTAGCACGGCCAATAAAGCACACTGAACTGAACAAATTACAATAATGAAGGGACGGCTGAATGAATTAATGATGATAGATGAACTGTGAGGAAAGGATGAAAAGAAGAAGGAGCCCAAGTAGCTTCTAAATGAATTATTCCTACATCCCCAACGTGCTTCTACCTCTCTGTCGTCTACTGTATCTCTCTCTTTGTTTTTAACTAATCCAATATCCTCATCACGTACCTACTGCTGGATTTTTCTTCCCTTCATTCTTCTACCTTTCCCTCTATCATCCCCTCCCTTTCTCGGTACTTTCTGAACCTCATTGACTCCTTTACCCTCTAGTTTTGATTCCACCTCCTCCTCTTTTTCGACCTTTCTCTGTTTTTTCCATTTTTTTCCTCATTAATTATTCTGCTTCTCTCTCCTCCTCTTTCTTCCACCCACCTTTCACAGGGATCTTGGAGACGGACATCACGTTCCTGGTTATCTTCTCCATGGTGTTCCTCCTCTCGTGCTACTTTGCCTGTAAGTACTCTACTGTGTCTCTTTCTCCCTCTCCTGTTATGAAAAAGCCAATTTCTCCAGACTGGCAAAGCTCGCAGCAGTCATTAAGTGCTCTTTTCATGGCATCTTTTATAAAACCGACATGTTTTCTTGATGAGAGATGAGTGAGTCTTCATGTTTCTTCTGATAACTAAAAAGGTGAAGCTTATACCTATTTTTTTTATGGGCGCTGGGAGTTTTTTCAGACCAGAGCAGGAGCAACATGATAAGCAGGCGACAGAGGGTGGTGAGTGCAGAGTTGGGTTTTCGTGTTAAGGTGAATGGTTGAATGGAGGAGTTAGCGTTAGCCTGGGGGTAAGTGAAGCGGGTTTGTCACACCAAGGTCACAGCTCGGATAGCTCTGGGCCAGAAAGAACAAGAGCCAAAGAGGAAAGAGTCGCCTACGAATAAAAACTCTGTCATCCTTTCCACAAAACCTGCTTTTCTACAAACTCAAAGGCAGTTAATTCGCCCTTTTTTTCGCTTAAGAGTGAGCCCATTTCTCCCTTCACTTTGCTCCACACAGAATTCTGCCAGTCGAACTGAATCTGGCTTTTCTTCCTGAAGCTGCGACTCTTTGTTGTTTTTGTTTTTCATACGTCTTCTACAGCTCCTGTAGCCCCGCCAGAGTGTTTCTTTCAACATCAAACTGCTGTTTTCAGTGTTTTCACCTGTTTTAATCAAAGAGCAGAGGGGAGGTGACTTCTGTGAATATTTGGCCTCAGGTAAAAACCCTGAAAACAATGGGGGAAGAATTTTGAATAATTTTAACCAAATAATAAAAAAAAAAAAAAACAAGCTGAGAACATCAGGACAAGGTCACAGCCAACTTCATAGACTCTGCTTTCTTCTCTTCCAGTAACCTTAACGTCAAACTCTTTATTCACTGTTTTCGTGATTTTCTTAGCTAGAGGTGTTTTTTTATACATCCTGAGATTTAAGTTTGTTAGATCTGTTTTTGTAGTCTGGTTACCTGGATAGCTCTGCGTCAGTCTTGAGACCTTTCCACACTCTAGCTGCTCTCCGTTCCTCAAAAGCATCTCCAATATTCATCCTCGTTTGTGGAGCTTTTTAGAAAAAAAATGCCGAGGTTTTCTAGGTCAGGGAGAATCAGTCACAGTTATATCTGAACCAGTTTGCTTGCCTGCTTCTTGTGCTGCCACCCTGGTTTCATATCTGGTAACCTGAGAGTCGTCCAAAACAGCCTTTTAACCACCTACCTTTTAATGTCAACAAATACAAGTCGTGATGAACCAGAATCAAGGAGGATCGGGTGGCTGCTGCATGAGTGCCAAAGAAGGCTGTTTCAACAAAGTGGGTTTTCTTAATGCTGTCGATACTCTATAAAGATCTTTTTATAGATTAATTCTTTGAAAAGATAGTGGGTACGCAATGCATGATGTGATGCCCACTATCGCTGAGTGACCATCGGATGGTCACTACATTTTGCAATGCTCTATGGGAAATTTTGAGTTGCCTATATAGGGCACTGGAATTGATCACTCAGGTTTCGGATGCCCCTCAAAATGGCGCTAACCCCCATATAGTCGCCCATATAGGGGTTAGGGATCCATTTTGGACACAGCATATGATTAATTTCATCAGGAGGAATATACCAAGTGCTAATGGGGGTGTTTTCAGAGCACCCCTGTTTGACAGGTAACCTGTCTCAGAACACCCCCTCTTGTTTTCACCATTTTTGGATTCGCCCAACCCTCTGGAGACCGGCTGGAGAAAGGAAGATTGGAGAGCGTCCAAGTTGATCAGCGTCCAGTGTGTTGGTTGGTTGAGTGAGAAGTTTAACAAACCTTTTCATTGTGAGAGGAACTTATTTTGCGGTATCTTTGCGATCATTTTGTTAAAATTTCTCACTGGGTGACGGCTATTTTTTGAAGAGACATTTCATCGGTCACCGATTTCCGTCTTCTTATGTTTCGTGCCTCCATCTTCATCTTTGACCCAATAAACTCATTCCCCCTAACAAACACGTCACAAAAGGCCCTATAACTTGATTCGATCGGGTTGCGAGTGTGTAGTTAGACGGTGAATGAAAAGCCACGCCTCTTGAACATCTGCTGGGAGTGTCATCAGTTAACCTGACACCAGTTAAACTGACACATCAGCCGTTTGCTAAATATTTATATTTTAGCTTTTGTGTCTAATTGCCTTCTTGTGCTGACATCGTTATGTATTTTTTTACCCTGCCGAGCCACTCTCTGCTGATTTGTGCAATTAGATAGATTTTGGATTTAGGAGAATCCACATTACACATCATCTGTAGTAGTTGAAGGACTGTCCCTTTTAATTTAAACCCTCTTCAATGAAAACCACCTTTGGTAAAGTCATAGATGATCCAGAGTAAGAGGAACAACTTTGCAAATTAATTTTTTCTCCAGTTTGTTATGCTTTTGGAACAAAAACCCAAACTCCTTTCATACTTATGTGAAGGTTAAGTCATAAACAGAAACTTTTAGCATTGCTAGAAACCTGAGAAGCGAATTAAAGAACTACTTTTTACTTAAAGGTAGAAGTTTTCTCGGTATTATACTTGGTTAAGCAGCTGAAATAGCTCTTTAAATCCTCAAATTGCCTCCTGCGGTGTCCTTGCATTTTTTGTTGCCAGAAATTAGTATTTAAGTTGCAAACAGAAGCCTTTTCATCACTTTCTGCACAGGGGGTTATGGGGAGTTTATTCCTTGCTTTGCTCGCCATGCTGCAGTAGAATTGGACTACATAATGAGGTGCAAATACATATTTAGACTTTGCTGGAATCTTATTGTGATTTTATGCAGATTTGGAGACGCCTTTGAATTAGCTGCTGTATCTCCAAACTTCACATGTGTGTTTCTTCTGTCAGTTTCCCTGGAATATAAACTGACACGAAGGCTTCAGTTTTAATGAGTTTGACTTTTATTTTTCTTGTGTAAGTCAGAATCAAACAGAAGGAGAGTGCTGTGCAAATACTGGAAAAAATGGCCTTGTGGGACTCGTCTCATTACCTCTACCTAAATGAAAACAATTTTTGCAATGTCACAGGGATTTGCAGATAATGGAGGAGACAAGCAAAAATGTTTAAAAGGTTATGAAACAGTCGAGGCGGCAGAGGGTGACCGGGGTTTTGATTTGGGGTGGATGTTCCTCTAAACGCCTCCATTCACGCACCTTCGAGGGAATCACAGAGATTTCAGCAGCCAGGCCTGTAGTTACACGGGGCAGCTGTGAGTGTGTGTTTATGGCCCTTCCTCCCCTTGTAAATTTTCCCCTGAGCCTCCGCTGTTTGTAGGGGTGTTTGGTAGTAAAATTGCCTGCTTAAATACGCATTAAAAATATTTCCTGCCAGATCAGGGGTAGAGCGAGCGGAGGAGATATATAATACCTCATCTAGAACCGGGCTTCACAAGATAGGTGCATACTAATGGTCGCTCCCCCCATTTATCTGGGCTCTTCTCTTGTTTTTTTTCTCCTCTCTCTCTCTCTCTCTCTCTGTCTCTCACTCTCTGTACCCCTCTCACTCTCCTTCACCATCTGTTAGCATATCTCCATCCTTTTTATCTCTACCTCGACACAGACGCACACACATACACACACAACTCCATCACTCCTATCTCATGCCTCTTTTTTTTTTTTCTCTCTGCAGACAATCTGAAGGGGAGACAGCTTCTTCACACAACCTACAAAATGTTTATGACTGCAGCAGGTGTGGAAGGTGAGAAGTCTTCCATAACACAGACACACACACACACACACACACACACACACCTATATACACTCGAGATGAGCCTCGCACGGCTGCATCATCTCATACCTTAATCCCAGCTTCAATAGACGAGATATTATCGCCCTTATTAGCCTCTGAATGGGAACTATCGCAAACAGCCGTTCTGTGCTTCAGTGTTCAATGGAGCATGCTGTTACTGACGAACACCATCCCACTCTTCTCCTCCACCCCCCAACCTCCCCAACCCGCCACCATCTCGCTTTCTTCTTTCTCACTTGCTTGTCCCCTCTCCAAATCCCTTCTCTCCCTTCTCAATTCTCCTGCCATCCCTAAAATTTCCTTTCACCCTCTCCTCCTTCTCTTACGCCTTCTGCTGCTTTCATCAACTCCTCACTTCTCTTTTTACTCCCTCACTCTCTTTCTCCCCCCCTCATTATCATCTCCCTGTCGCTTCTGTTTTACATCTTTTCATTACTTCTTTTCTCTTCTCTTCCCTACCCCTTTTCTCTTACTTTCCAATTTTCTCTCCCCTGCTTTTTTTTTTTTTCTTACTTGGCAGTGCTCAGCCTGTTGTTCCATTGTGTCTACTGGGGCCTGTATGCAAGAGATGGAGTCGGTAATGGCAGCCTGAAACTTCTGGGTGAGTTCTTTTCCTGCGGCACCTAAATGACCGAAAGACTGACGGACTGACGGACACTGCCTCTGTCACACTCACTCTGCTCGAGCAGAATAAATAAGTGAATGATGGCAGATGTGTTTGCAGCCCTGAAAGTGCAATAGCAGGTTTGACAGACCTACTAAGGATCAAGTATGATTTTGTGTGTGTTTGAGTGTGTGAGCGTACGCTGCGTAAATGTGTGTTGTGACCTGGTTTTATCTCTCCCCTCTGATATTACAGATTTGGAAACCACAGCCTAATTACCCCCTCTGTCTCCTCTTTCTCTCTCTCTCTCTCACTTCCTCTCTCCAGGGAAATTACTCTTCTCCGTCAGTTTCTTGGTGTTCCTTCTCATGCTCATATTGTTGGGCAAAGGGTTCACTGTCACCAGGTGGGGGCTTACACTTTTGTGCAGCCTGTGTGTGGATTTATTCCTTGTGTGTGTCTCTTTCTACGCCTGTCACTTTGTACGGTCGTGTTTATTCTGCAGCTGTCTCTCACTGTCAGGCCGCTCTGTCACAGCCATAACACGGTATCTCACTGCATGACAATGTAAGGCGCCAGTCAGGAAGCCAGTGAGTGGGCAAGATGTCATAGTTTGGCTGAACCCCTTGATATTTCATGACGAAGAGATAAACCGATCCTGCTTTTTTTGTGTTTTTCCATCAGCTAAACGATTACATTATCCCGTCAAAGCCAGCTGACAAACGCCGTAGTTCCCTCGCTGCTTTTCTGGCGAGGTTTAGTGGACATTTGCGTGGGACGGGCATCATTTCACAATGGATGATTTACGGATGCTCCGCTTGGCTAGAACATCAGCGTCTCTCCATCTCACACCTGACTGGACAAACACCCTCTTTGCTAAACCGTCAGCTGTCTTTCCAGTTGTCCGGTTCAAATTCAAAAGTCCAGTGATAAAACACGCCAGCTGTTCTGGAAATGATGTTAAGTTCCTGCCAAGCTTTCCCCCCCTAAAAGTGCATTTCTGAGTCAGTTTCATGTGAGATGACTGCTCACACTCTTGCTTTTCAAATCTGAACGGCTTAAATAAAACGCCTGTTCGCAAGTTTTGGAGTTTTGATTCACGGTGAGTCATCATCTAAATCAGCGTCGGTAGTTTGAAGATTTGTCCTGCTTCCGGCACAATTGAATCTCTGTGGATATTTTCCAGACTGAACTCCTGTAGTCAAAACTGAGCCTGCAAGGTTTAAGCTGGCTTTTTTGACTGTAGGATTACATCCTCCTCTGGCTTCAGAAGATTCTATGATCTCTCTCTCTCACATATTAAACCCTCTTTAAACCCCAGTGAATAAACTAAAAACTGCTCTTCCATCAAGCTTAAAAAATGCTGTTTATCTGCAGTAACTGATAAGTTGACAGTTCAGAGATAACTGCCCGACAACTTTGATATTCTTTTTCTCTGATGTTTGCTGTTGAATTTGTCTCTGCAAAAGCGTGTTTTTGATGAGGGCTTAACGCAGAAATTCTTTCATTTGTTGGCTGCCGCTGTGTAAACGAAGACGCCTTTTTATTTCTGCCTGAATGTCTGACGTGTACACAACAAAAAAAAAAGCTGCATCCTTTTTATGTTTAGCAATCTCAGCGATGCTTTGTGCTGTGAGGAGCCGCTTTTAGATGAAGCTGTCCTCGCTCTGTGTGTGTAAAGAAAAAACGTGAATCCTGACTTTTATTTGACCGCCTCGCCTCCTGATGTGTTCATGTGTGTCAGGGCGCGGATCAGTCACAGCGGGTCGGTTAAGCTGAGCATCTACATGACCGTCTACACCATCACCTACGTCATCCTCTTCATCTACGAGGCAGAGGTAAAGCACCACAGTGAACAACACTCCAGTGAAATTAACATAAGTTATTTTTATCCTCTATTGTTGTTAATAAGTAAAAAAAAATTGACATCCTGTTTTGAAATTTTCTCTTTAAAGGCATGGTTGACGATCTGTGAAGCAGTTGAAACAAACTGAGCCGTTGAGGCAGATTTTAAAAAAGCGTCCCACCCTTGAACCTGTATCGCCCTCCCAAAGACACACCCCCTCTGAGACAGCGAGAAGGCAGCCGGTAGAAGATCCTACGCTAGCTTCAAATAGGATTCAACCTGTAGGATTCCTAGTGACTAGCGGCAGTAAACGCCAGCTCTGCTAGCGAGCGCCGTCTGCAGCTGCCTGGACAGCTACTGTGTTGACATCGCAGAGACTGATAAGAGTTATTTATGTAACATGTGCCACGATAAAAGGCAAAAATTACCTGTTCAACAAAAACGCTGCCATCTCTGTTTTCAGGCCCAAATCCTGGCGGCGCTTTCTCCACCACTCGAAGGATGACCCGATGTTTATTTGAGTTAGATTCCTTGCTTGGTCACATTTCCTCTTCGTCTCTGCCCTTTTCCTTCTACCGGCTTGCGTTTTTTTAGTACTTCTGGCGGTGGAGCGAGCAGAAATGTTTTTTTTCTTTCTTTTTTACTTCTCCATCACAGCTCCTGTAGCTAAGCTGCTACGCTACTTTCAGCCGCTCAGAGCTCTGAGGAGGGCCGGGAGAGTGGGAGGGGACGAGTCGGAACTAGAGGAGAGGGATGTGTCGAATACAGCGAGGTGATTGGGTGGAGAGGCGGAGCAGGAGATTTACCAATAGGAGCTGTCCGGGACGGATGGCTCCCATTGGTCAATGTTTTTGCAGCCCTGCACCTGCTAGAGTGAACAGATTTTTTCCATTCTAACTTTGTGGAGATCGCACTATAAGACCATGACCGTTATATAAACGAGATTCATAATAATTACCAATCCCTCCAATTGTCAACCATGCCTTTAATTTTAGTGTTTGCTTGTTTTGCACCTTAATATAGAGGTATGCGTCATTCCCTCTCCCTCTATCATGTTAATTAGGACCATTCAGTGACAGAACAATCGAAATGCTAAACCTTTTCTCTGACATTTCACGGACGAGTTTGTCTCCATTCATGTTGGAATTAAACTCAATGGATCATTTTTTACTGGTCCTTGCGATTTTCACACCATTAAAATCACTGTCACAGCTGTTACTTAAAGCAAAGCCTGCTCCAGTTTGGTAATGAATATTTTTAGTTCAGACCCCCGACTTGTAAAACATCTCCACACTTCAAAGTTCCTCCTCCTTCAGATGTGACTTGAAAGCAGCATTTGAGTTACACAAGGATGACTTGAGTGCGAGATTTGTTTTCACGCAGTATCAGCACCCATGTTATTACTCTCTTTGGCTTTTTTAATAATCTCATAAAGATTCATGGAAGAGCGAGGCCCACAGATCAACGTGGGCTGTAATAGCTTTCCTTGTCAACTGACTCATTACATTGATATATAGTTTAATATAAATATGCATCAAGTTGATTGTTGAGGGGGGAAGAAATCTTTAATGAGCTACAAATTATGGATCCTGACAGGCAACTTCCAACACGAGTACAGAGGTTCTTACTACTGTGTTCAATGATGGCTCCACTCAATAACAGATCAATGGCTGTTTCTTTAAGATTTCCCGGGGTGTAAAGGTTCTCATGAGCGTGCCGAGAGACCTTCCCCCATTAATTATTCTGCATATCGAGCTTCTGAATTAACAGTGTAACCGCTACATACGTCTCTGCACAGTCCAGAGGCTGCAGCACAGTCACATGTAATGATCAGGGGACAGTACAGTACAGCCTTTGAGTACAGCGTGGGAATGACCCAGTGGGAATATTGCAGTGGAAGAGACTGAGCTAAATATAACACCGGAGCCTATAGCATCTCCCTCACTGCAATACGTGCATGTGAAGCGTGTGTGTGTGATTTATCTGCCATCTGCCCTCTTACATGCTTCCTGCTATTAAAGAGCCAAACTCAGGGGAGCCTCTGCTAAAAATATGCCAAACTAGGTTACAGTCGGGACTAAAATGAAGACTTTAGGAGTGCAGCTGAGAATCTGACGAGCTCTGGTTGGATCCCAAGAAGCTCCTCCACCGCGAGCTGTCGAACCTATGCATTATGTAGCAAGGGTAACCCTGTATGGTCAACGCTATCCAGTCACTGGACTGTGAAATGCAATCTAGAGTCCACAGATGCAAGAAAAGGCTCCACACACTCACACACACACACATATACCCGGGGACTTGCGCACACACTCCCTCACAAATCTACGACCCAGAAGCAGAGACGGAGTGTCAATGTCAAAGACTCACACAGAGCTTTGGCTCGGTCATCACGGTGCATCAGCTGAAACTCCACTCATCAATCTTATTAATTAGGATTCAGACTACAACGTGTCTCAAAAGCCAACAGACGCCAAAAACTTGAGCTCGTTTTATCTTTGTCAATTTAGATTTGAGCAAAATTTTTAAATGGTCATATTTAGTGTTTTAGTCTCGTCTGACTTTATGGGAAAGATAAACACATCATTTGGATTATTATCTCTGTTTGTACAACACAGTCTTTGATTTCATCTATTGGAAATTATATACTTCTTTTTTTTTTTTTTTGACAATTTACTTTGAACATTTTTTTTCATAAAGAGTATACAACTTTAATAACAGCAATAAAACTTTAAGTTTCAGCCAAAATTTCACCCAGAACAGACCCCATAGGCCAACTCTTACCTTCATCCCTAACAAACAAACAAAATAATAATAATAATAATAATGATAAATAAATAAATAAAAGAAGATATTAAAATAAATAAATTAAAGGATAAAATGACAATAATAATAATTCAAATAATAAATAAGCAAATTAGTTAAATAATTAAAAATAAATTTTGAAAAAATTGACATTAAAAAACATGCAACAAATGTCAAGACAGTGACAATGGAAAAACACATTTACTCCTGCTCATGTGCTACAACCAACAACCACCGCCACACCACTGACAGTACTCATCTAGTTAACTTGAAACTTGAAATTTTACACTGAAACATCTTTATGTAAAATACTCCACTCTTTAAATACTTCACTTGTCACTTAATTATCTATTTAGGTTTCTTGAAAGTAGGAGTATTGCTGTTTCTTTGTCTTGTACCAAAAACATCATTACAAACTGCTCATACTTGTAAACCTGCTCGACAATAAAACCCAGAGTTCTGATTGTGATTCTGATATTTCTGTGTCAGTTCTTCGACCCCGGCGAGGTGCTGTACGCCTACGACAGCCCCGCAGGTTACGGACTGATGGGCCTGCAGCTGTTAGCCTATGTGTGGTTCTGCTATGCCGTGCTCGTCTCCTTGAAGCACTACCCTGAGAAACAGCCCTTCTACGTCCCTTTCTTCACCACATACACACTCTGGTGAGACCTGTGCAGCCTCCGCCTCACTGCCCTCGCCCTCTGGGTATCGCTACCTGAGATGGAGATTGTAGGACTAGGAAGATACACATTTTTCTGTTTGAGGTCTCCTCCATTTGAATAATTTATGCCGCTCAGTAGAAATGTGCACAAGATAGCTGACGCTTTAGCGGTGAGAGAATGAAAAGTTATTTATTTTATATTATCCTTCTACAGTGGTGTGTGTCCACCCTCAGTGCTCCATTATTGTACTTGAGCGAATGATTGCTGGAGGAGAAAATCTATTTTTCCTCAGCTGATGGGGTCTCTTATTAGAATAAGTTATGCAGCCGTATATGTGTGTCAGGTAGTTTAAAGCTTTGCACTGGGAAGAAGAGCTTTTCATTTACCCTCTGAAAAACTCATCCACATATGCAACTTAGCTCCTCTGCCCTTCACTCACTCAGTATAATAGCATCAGCTTGAAATGAAGAGTAGATTACAAAGACTAATATTATCTCTGTATTTCTCTTTCATTGCTGCCACTATCTCCCGCCTCATTATCTACGCCTCCCCTCTCCTCCCATCTTTATCTCCCTCTGTGCTTTACATCTATTTCCACTCTCTCCGCCTCTCACCCTCTAACTCTTTCCTCATCTCTTTTCTTTTAATGTGCTTTTTCCACGCCATTATCCTAAATCGGCTCACTTGTCTTCCTCAGGTTTTTCGCGGTGCCCGTTATGGCGCTGATCGCCAACTTTGGGATTCCTCGCTGGGCCCGGGAGAAGATTGTCAACGGCATTCAGCTCGGCATCCACCTCTACGCCCACATTGTCTTCCTTGTTCGTACTACACACACACACACACACACACACACACACACAAAGGCTCTCAAGCTCTTGCACATACTGTTCTGGAGTTATTATTGCCGTTGTCAGACATACATTATTCACTGTCTTTGAGTCATAACTGCCTCATGCTGATTGTCTCCTCCACACATCATTATCTACCTCCCCCTCACCTTCTTGACTCGTTGTTTTTCACTAATGGGCCGTAGTGCTTCCACAAATGTCCTTTTTCACTGTTTTCATGTCACTTTTCATTTCCTACTTTATATTTTATCTCCTTCTGCCCTTTAGATTATCACAAGACCTTCAGCAGCCAATAAGAACTTCCCGTATCATGTGCGGACGTCTCAGATTGGGATCCTGCTGTCAAGTCCAAAAGGAGGCGAGGGCGCAGAGAGCTTCCCTCATCACGCTTACGGAAACAGCTCCTTCCTGGGAGACTCTCAACCCAACTTTACTGAACTGTTCTCCATCCAATCAGTGAGTCTCACAACATCTATAACATGTCTTTAGTCGTAAAAACATAGAAGTGTAAGGAGGTGAAAACAAGTACTATTATTGATAATAGGAATACTGATAATAAAACCAATTCATGCTCCTTTTGTGTTTCAGTATTCAGTTTAAACAGCTTAAAACAATTTTGTACTAAATGCTTAGTGAAGTTAGTTTCCTCTGACCTCCAATTTCCACCGCATCCGGAACGGCTGCGAAAAGGCTGTATCCGCCGATCTCAGCTGATCGTTTCAATTCAAGTTAATGTGTCAATTTCCACTGGCTTCTTTCCGTTTCGCTGCCGATCACCGAAACCCACAGCCGACCGAAAGAGTTCAATTTTTTCTGGGCGCTGCAGCATGCTGGATAAACTCAACACAGATTAATCCGTGCTGGAAAGGACGTCGGGTACAGACACAAAATAAAACATCCGGCTTCTTTTCAAAATAAAACACTCCATGTTTCAGGCGGATTGTATTTCACACAATGCAAACGGGCGTTGGATGAACAAGTGAAAGGTTTTCAGACAGCATTTCACCACGATGACACCATGGATGAGGAGATGCTGGTTTTAGAAGTCGAGAAGTGGATTTCCTCCCCTGGAAGGACACAATCTACTGCTTATATGTTTTTGTGGCTGTCTTTATCAAGACAACTCGTTATCGCGCAATTGCATGTGAATCTGCGAGTTCTCACGATTCCCGCTGTCCGAAATCCACCACGAAATTCGCCTCACAAACGCATTTGGTAGGAATTGGCGGACGGCGAAAATCGCTGCTGTTCTGTAGCGGAGCTGTTCCGGATGCAGTAGAAATTTCGGGTGAGTTGAATTCATCTTACAAATCTTCTAACATGTTAACCAACCTGTGTTCAATCTACTTTGAAATCAACCTGCGTCTCATCTAAAACAGATGCTGAAATTAAAGTGCATCATAGTGACAGCACAGGTGGAAAGGAGACATAGTTTTCAGGAACATCTCTTCCGCTTGTCCTCCCGTGGACTTCAAGTGAATGACAATGAGCTGCACGATGTAGAAAACGCACTGCTGTTACGACACATGGACACAAGAGAATTATGATTCAATGCAAACTTTGATGAGACCAAATTTAGGCGTCCTGTTTGCTATGATAAATTGTCTTGATTAGGAAACTTCCAAATCTGTGGACATTACTTCTTTTTTAATACCGCACAGAAATGAGTCACACAAGATGAGCTTCTTATATTCAAACAAACTGACTCATGCAAACACGAGCAGGAATACAGAGTACAGAGCTGACAAAAGGCGTGTTAATACAAGGAGTCATGTCAGGAGTTTGCAGCACCTTTCAATAATAAAAGCATCTTCTAGTTTTTATTATATGAAAGGGTCTTCAAAACTTCTCCTAAAGTCACAAAAACTAAGAAAAGTTCATTCAAAAGAACAAGCAGGTTAATTTTTGCGATGTAATTGAAGGCAGTGAGCATTGAATTGTTTTCCTTTCTTCAGGCTAGTGTTAACAGAAATAATGCTCTCAGTTCCTCGGGTTCTTGTTAGAAATCCAGCGACAACATTACTGCATTTGCTCCAGATAACTAATTACACTGAGCTGCTGAACGTAACATTAAACATGATTTTCAACTTGGCCTCAAGTCTTTTTAAGCCCGTTATCAAGGTGAGCATGAAGAGTTCCTCCTCTGAGTTGCTAATTTAAATGCACCCTCTCCTGTCTTTGATTAAAGTGACAGAAGCGCAGTGGCAGGTAATCACTCGCGCTGACACACTAAGTTAGCACACTGGACCTGAGTTGTTGAATGGACAAACAAAGTAAGCTTCTCTGAGGCAGAATTTGGCCTGGATGGATTTTGGCTACATCAGTGCTGTCTTTGTCCTCTGCCGGTCGTTGGCCAGATTAAAAGTTTTTCCAAAAACCCTTTTACAGGTAAAAACAAACACACTTCTTTTGTTTTAGATTTCAAAAACAATAAGTTCAGTTTCAAAAAGATGAAGTTGGAGGAGTTCAGATCTGAAACGGTGGATTTTTTTAACTTTCTAATGAGACAAAACAAAGTGCTCATTTTCTGTTTTTACACAAATTAAAAGTTTATTCTTTTATACTGTGATGCATGACAGCACAACACAGTTTATTGCTTCATCATCTTGATTGATTTATGTTTCTTTGTTGTTGCAGATTTTCAAAGTTAGAAAAATGAGTCAATTATGAGAAAATGTATCTGCAAGTTTTAAAAGTTTTAGAAGTGTCTTATGATCAGAGTCATTCTTAAAGCAAAAGCCAGATTTGAAATGCAAGAATATTCTAGTCATACATTATGGAAAAAGAAAATCAATATCTCTGCAGATCAAAGAGTTGATCTGACTAAGGATTTAATGGTTTGCTCACCAGTGCTATAAAATATCAGTAACCCTTTCTTTTACGATACACTTATTACCAGTTAATTAACAGGTAATTACCTAGTAACAACATGAAATTATCTGGTAATTACATGATAACTACAAAGCCGAATTGCTCTGGTATTCTCAGGATTTTCTCTGCTTCCTGGAACCACCACTTGCGCAGTAGCATTGTACGCATTCGGCGGGTGAGACGCTGTGATAATGCTCGGCTCAAACAGCGTATCGCTACGCAATCTTCGCACACCCATAGGCTGTATCAAGTGTCAATCATAGAAAATAAAAGAACCCCAAATAGATTTTGAAAATGGAGCTGCACAGTAAAAAGGAAAAAAGAAAAACTGGACAGTATTGACTTAGTAGTTATCATGTAATTACCAGATAATTTCATGTTGTTACTAGATAATTACCTGTTAATTACCTGGTAATAAGTGCACCGTAAAAGAAAGGGTTACCAAAATATTTTGACTTTTCTAAAGTTAAACCAAAAGAGTCAAATTACTCAAATAGACAGAAAATCGCTGTTTCTATGTCCATGTAAACAGTTAATGAAAAAGTCTTTTAATATCTTAAGCTAATGTGCAAAGCTTACATAGAAGATTCACAGTACAGTACAGTGCTTCCATACAGTGGAGTTTGTTGGTAATAGAGAGAGTCTGATGAGAGTAAGTGAGCTGGAGGTCAGCCTCACGCAGCTGTAATTTAATCTGACCTGTTTTATTGCAGCATAGGTGAGTTTGTGGAGGAAGCTGTCAAACTATGATGAATAGTTTGTATGGTGTTACTGACACGGTCTGACCTGCGTGGTACTTCTGTGACCTCTATTCAGCAAATTTGATTGGTCAAAAGTTTAAAACCACCGTCCTCTCCCCCTACAGGACCCGGTGAAAACGGTGGAGGAGACTGTGACCCGTAAAGGACCTGAGGTGCCGAGGAACAGTGAGCAGAAGATCATCACCACTGCAGCTGACCTGACGTCAATATTGCCTCCTCCGCCACCTCCGATACCCCCACGCTTGGCCACACGCTCGCCCCCGATGCCGCCCAGACTCCCCTCGTTCACAGAGTACTTCAGCATGCAGGGCGGGGGAGGAGGAGGGTTCGGAACGAAGGCATGAGACTGAGAGACGGAAGGAGAGAGAGGCGAAGGCACAGAGGGAACGGACTGAATGACAATACAAAGAGAAGAAAAAGCCAGAGTGGAAATCAAGGTTTTTCTGTTCAAAGACAAAAGAGACAGCAAAAAAGAAAAAAAGTTTGGATGGATGGAATATGCGACATCATCAGAAAAGTGATTCCCTAAATGGTACCTTTTCACCTGTGAATGAAAATAACCCTGAAAGGGATGAGAGAGGAGGTGGGAATGGCTGTGAGATAGGAGTGCTGAGCTTGTTAAAGAGTAAAGAAGCAATAAATATTTAATGTTGACCAGTAAAAGGCACACAGGAAGAAAGATGACAAAGTGGATGTAGCCAGAGCAATAGAATGATAGCTGTGCACGGGGCGGAAATGAACAAAATCCTTGAAATACTTTTATTCAAACATTCATGAGGCATTGATGGTGTGCCTGACAGAGTTTGTAAATAGCTTAAACTGGAGAGAGCTACTACTCTATATAGTTTTATTTTAAAAAGGAAACTTTTCTCCATGTTTCTTTTCACATCATTAAATTCCAGTTGGTGCTGTGAACATCAGAACAATCTCATGCCATTACATGAAATGAGTTAATGTATTAAAAACAACCTTTTTTTTTTACATTTCACACATTTTTATAAAGCATAGATATTTCCTCTATGTGGAGTTTGTTGGGTTAATTTATATTCTATAATCCATTAGAGCTGGTTATTCTGGATTGATATGCTGATGTGTAAATGTAAAATGTCATGTTTACTGTGGGCACTCGTAAAAACACGCATGTTTGTAATGTATTACCCGTCCAAAAAGAACGGATCTATGTACTCCATGTGATCATACACTATTGGCTTATTGTGTGTATTGAATTCTTTATGTTTGTAAATACATACGATAGGCTTCAGTATATTTTTCAATTGGACAAATTCTGGTGGAAACCCTCCAACGATGTTGAAAACAGTATTATTGGTTGTTTTTTTTTTTGCTCAGATTTTTACTGGAGTGCAGATTATCCCTGCTCTAAAATGTCATTTCTGTGTATGTAGACGTTGGTGAATGTACTGATGCAATACAGCACAAAGACAGGGGTGATTTCCAAGTTACCTAAATACCGCAGTACACCTCTCTAGAAGTACTCTACCTATGGCTCTCTGCTGCGACACATTTAAGAGCAGGAGGCTGCGTTTCTTAAAAAAAAAAGGAACTTAATCCTCACCTCTGTCTGCTCCCTGAAACATGAGTTATTAGCTGGCCTGATCTTACTGTTAAAGCTGAACAAATATAACTGGTTTCATATCCCTGAACATTGAGCTATAACAAAAAAAAAGCCTTGTAGATGAACTGTGAAAACGGCAACACAACTGTACATTCTGTCTGTCCTGCATGGAGCACTTTAATGTTCCTGGTCTTAGTCTGTTTATCCGTGATGATGTCACCTTTATACGACTGCTTTGAAACCTGTACTCACACCACATCCTGTATTATTGCAAAAGCATTCGCCTGTAAATACTCTTTAACTGACCATCAGCTGCCCAGACATTTAAGGGGACGCGTCATGCTTTGTCAGTGTAATTTAACATTTGAATTACTGAAATTGATAAGTCGTGTAAGAGTGTTATTGAAACTGAGCTTACCACCAGCTGCCTGCAGTTCAGAGCCTTTAACTGTCTTTGAAAGGACAAAAAAAAAAAGACCTTTTTCGTTTCAGTCATTGTCTGATTTGAGATTTATAAAAGTGGTGGTACTCAGCTAATTGACTATTTCCACATGGTGGTGTTTTCTTTTTTTTTCACACTCAGGGTGGGGAGCTTGAATACTGCATCGACCTGCTGCCAAATAATCGCGAAACTGCATTTTTCTATTTAAAGCTCCTGTAAGGAGTTTTTTGACATTCATGAAATAGGTCAAAATTCATATTAATGCCTTTTCATGATATCTGAAAACTAACAAGTCCATCAAAGACATGATCAGCAGTTTGAATGTTGTCGTTTTAAAGGCCTGAAACAGTGTTTCCCCTAGAAATTTTTGCAGCTGCGGCGGTGTGTGTGTGTGTGAGTGTGTTGGGGGTGGGGGGGTGGGGTCGTTATTACCCCCCTAATCTTGCCGCTCCAGGAGCTACTTACATTCACGTTACGTTACCCGCACTACTTGCTGTACAGATCATGTATAAGCCTTAACCTTACCCGTGACATAAATGGAAGAGGGTCTGACAGGATTTGACGCGCTCGTTGATGACTCAAAACGAGTCAAAAATAACGTTGTGTGTTGTTGTGGTCGCACAGTTCAAGTAGAATCATTAGTGGCGTATTGATATTAATGATCATGTGAAATTTCAGTAGCTGCGCACGTAATTAAGCAGCGCCGCTGCTGAATGAATGTAGAGGAAACACTGCTGATACATATGAGTCTGAGGTAGAACTATGTGAGATCAAAACTATTTTTTTTTAGCAGCGGCGGTGCGCCACGATCAATTGCATGTAGGGGAAACCCTGCTGGAGTCAGTATTAGTGGGCTCACGCAAATCGTCACCCTATTAAAATAATGGCCCAAGTTATTTTTTAGTAATTTTAATTTATAAATTAATAGGATTATAATTTAGTCATCTCCCAGCTAGCTAGCTAGAGAATGGCTAAATGTTAGTATTACAGTTCAATACTGGCACAGAAATGGGTAATTGTCACATTAGCTTTGGTTTGGCTCAGTGCAATATGAGCTGTTTGATGATGCCAGCTAATGCAACATCACATTTTAGTTCAGTAAGTATCTACATTTGTATTAATAAGGTGACATTTTTGCGGCTTTCCTACGTATGACTGAGAATCTTAAAGGCAACGGTGAAACAAAAACAGCCTTCAAGCTTCCCACCCTGAGTGGAAAAAGGCTTCCATGTGAATATGGTGAATACTCCACAGGTTTATCAATGCTGATCTTACTGTAACGGAGTACTTAAAGATGTTAGGACTGTGGTGTTTAACGTGTACGAGTGCAGTCAGAGTTGTAATGTGAATCAGATTGATACTTGAATTAGAGTATTAGTCGTTATTGCTGATTATGTGTCTGGTTAATATTAGGCATGTCTGCCATTTCGTCCGCCGTTGCCATGACTTGACTGAAGAGCCACTGGATTACTGGGCTAACTGACAGGACTACTGATAACTGTATCACTGCTAAAAATGTGTGTACGCTGACATAAAACAACAGGACTGAGACACACTTGGGGAGAGATGCTGGAGAAAAGAGATTATGTATGCATGACAGAAAACAGCACAGCTTTTAGGTGACTCAGAGCGATCTGGTTAATAGCACATCACTGAAGCACTGTTCAAATGCATTTTAATGGTGTCAAATGACTATTCTGAATATGCTGTACATATACACTTTTTGCCAAAATAATAAAAATATGGTTTTATTAGAGGGTTTTTGTCAGGGTGTGTGTTATTTGGCTGAGTGCAGAAGAGTTAATGTGATATCTGTAAATCATATTTGTGGTGTGTTCTCATTACGAGGGGTTCATTAAGGTAAAACTCCACAGGGACACGGTCCAGCCTGGTCACAGCCTGATGTAGGCTGAGCTAATTATTTCACTGTGCTGTACTCATTCTGCATCAACAGACCACATTTGTAAAAGGATTTCAGTCTAGTTTCCACCACAGCAGAGAAAAAAAGAAAAAATATAATTTACTTCTTCCAAATTTCTTGCGCAATTAATTTTAGATGTGAGTTTGTATTATTTTTAAGTATTTTGTGTCTATTGGCATGAAATGAAATGGATTTAATTTTTTCTCTTTTCAGAAAATAAAGACCACCAACATCGACCACTTTAAGGCTGTAATTTTGAAGGACTATATTTGATGTAATTTTCAAAATGATCCAAAACTAAGTGAGTGCAGAATGACGGCAATCGCAAACTGCTGCACCTAACTTCTAAAAGAAGGGTATGACCGTATGATCAAGATTAATGCAGATGTCGATCTAGTACAGTTTTGAAAAACATCGCTGTGCCTGCTGTTGTTTAGATTATTGTAATGCCCTGCTCTCTGGCCTCCCCAAGAAAAACTTACATTCCCTTCAGCTATTACAAAATTCAGCTGCAAGAGTGCTGACAAGGGCCAGAGGGTGAGAGTGTATAACCCCAGTTTTAGCGTCGCTGCATTGGCTCCCCGTCTGTTTCAGGATTGATTTTAAGTTTATTTTAATAGTTCTTTGACGTATTAACAGTCTTGGCCCATCTGACTTACTTTTATCATATCAACCCTCGCGGACCCTGAGGTTGATATGATAAAACCTTACCAAAAGTCAAAACAAAAACACACAAGGAGGTGGCGTTCAGATTCTATGGTCCCCCGTTGTTAAACAGCCTGCCGGAGAGCCTCAGGGCCCCAGAAACTGTTGATGTTTTTAAGACTTTTTTAACCAGGCTTTTCATTATTTGCTTTTTTATATTTCTCTTATTGCAAATGTTCATTTTAATTGAAGTTCTTAATGTTCATTTTATTAATTATTTCTGTTCTTAGTCTTTTTCTTAACTCCCATCTCAGAGGGTTTTACTTCTTTTACCCCTTTTACACGGTATAGAGCTCTCACTTATCTGTTCATTTAAGATTATTTTCTTGTTTTAGTCCATCAGGTTTTTCTCTTTCTTTTTACCATTTTATTTTTTTTTATCTTTATCTCCAGTGTTTCCTAAAGGTAGCTCTTTCCTCACGTAATGTTGGTGTCAGGCCATGTCTATTTAACAATATATCTTAAATTCTCACACTGTGTGTGTATATATGTGTGGTTGAGTGTCTTTGTGTGTGTGGGTCCATGGGTGGGTGTGTGGGTCAGGTTTTATTGTTAATTGTTGCTTTTAGCCTCTGTAAGGCACTTTGAACTGCGTTTTTTTTGTCTGAAAGGTGCCATAAAAATAAAGCTGAATTTGAATTTAAGTTATCAAAAAATATACTTGGGTAGCTAGTTGTCATTCATGTGCGGGAAACACTGTCTTAAAGGTTTGCTAAATCTTGCTTCTCAGCGAGTGTGGCAGACTCGGAGTTAGGATGATTTGATCTTTTCTGCTATAAAACTGGTAGCGTACACTATATAGGTACAATATAAAATTGTTGAATGAGCCTTTAAAACGTATAATAAAAGTGCTGTCAAAAATCAGTCACTTTTGTCACCAAATAATGTTTATTCACACATAATTGCTGGTAAAAGTCCTTTCACTTTTCCTCCCTTGGCTGACTCTGTGGGTGAAATAGTTAATTTTTTTACTCAGGAAATGTATCAGTCTGTAGAAACCACCGTCTGCAGCATCTGCAAGCGGCTTCCTTTGATTACGCTTTGGCAGCTAACTGTTGGGCCCTCTCCGCTCTGTAACCTTTCAGCAGCTGGTTGATAAGAGTGAGTTCATTCTCCTTTTTCGCGGGATACAGAGGAGGGAAGGGGTTGCCTTTGTACTCCAGCACGGCCATCTTGGCTCTGTCCAGATTCGCTCGGTTTGGGATGCGAGCCATCCGTGTGTAGCTATTCGACTGAGTCTCAAACCGTGGGGCGAGGACCTTGAACAGCTTTGGGACCAGATCTTTTTCCTGAAAAGAGGAAGCAGAGTCGACTGAGAAGAAGCTTTTCATTGAAGATTTCTAATTAAGAAGGAAGACGGTGTGAAACTTTAAACAGCTGAGACAGCAGAAGATACGTACTGTCATCCAGAAGCTCGCCATTTTCATCGCCTTCTCATCAGTGTCTCCCTTTTTGGCGTAGTCAATCAGCTGGGAACAAGAATACAAAGAGTGATGATCATTGTGGATAAAAGAGAAAAAAAATGACTGAGAATAAGTGCGTGTGAATAAATAGGCATGTGATGCTGTGATCATCCAATCATCTGTTTTCATCTACTAACATGCAACATCGTGTAAGTGTTAACCAACTAAACGTCATGATTTATACAAAATGATGAAGCCTAGTGAACCATTTTTGACTTATTCTTTCTCAGGCTAAATTTCTGAGACACTTGTCTGTTCTTCTACAACCATTTTTAAGTCTAACTGGACTCCTGCACTTGAAGCCAAAAGATGATGTTGTGTCAACAGCGCTGTGACGTCTGTGGTTTTGTAATGAGCTGCTCAGTATTCATATGTGGTTGAAATGTTTGGGTGTCCACAGACTTATTCGAGTATTAAGTATTATTGCTGTTTGGACTCCTGGAGAAAATTTGATTTATATGCAAATGTGACTCAGATGATTAAATTGAAATTGAACTGCCAACATAACGGACAGCAGCTGTATGCACATCCTGCCGAATTAAGTCCAGATGAAAAAATAATTTTTAATTGAAGGAGAAGCGGACTTCAGTTTGAGAAATCAATTTAAGTTTTAAAAGGCAAAAGTAGGATATGATGTTGAAGTAGGTTAGGATGTTGAATTAATTAATTGATTTACTTTTTCTCTTTTAACGACTTTCTCAAAGTCTGCTTTAGTTTTTCTTATTGTCATTCATTATATTTAAACTGACTCAACACAAATGTATTTTTTCATCAAAGTGTTCAACAATGAAGACAACAACTATCCAAACAGACAGAACTGTCTTTTTCCAACCTCTCTGGGAAAAGGTCATATTCTCTGGGTTCAAAAATGAGGTAACATTATGCAGCGAGGTGTGCATCTTTCCATTTAAGTAATATTAAACAAGGTTACAAATGCAACACTTCATCTATTTTAATGATGCATGTGAAATAGTATCACAAATTTCTAACCTTATGTGACATTAATGTAACTGTTTTAAGGATACTTAGAGAGCGGGTGTTATATTGTCACTCTGATTGTTTCTCAGCAGCTTCACATGATTTACAGTTCAACATATTTCAGGCTGCTGTCTGAAAGGCTTCTTTGCAGCCAACGCCGTTTTAGGTCGCCCCCAGTACTCCAGAACCATGCACTCTGGAAGCCTCCTTCACTGTTGCCATTAAACAAAGTTGTGTTTACTTTTTTTTTAAAAATGGCAAATTTGCCCTTTAACAGAGATTCACTTCTGATGGTGTCACAAATTGAGAAAATCTTATATTTATCATGCTATATCCTCATGCAACTTCTGAAGTTCCGTGTGAGGATTTCTTCAATGCGCATTAACGTGGATCTCAAACTTTGCTCAGGTTTAGCACTGACTTCCAACATTTTAGCTAAACACATGAAAAAAGAAAAACGCCACCTTTTTATCCATCGTGTAGTCATTTCAAAAACACAATTTTGAATGATTTTGACTTTTTAATGTGCATCTGTAATTGAATTAGAATATAAGACATCAGGTTTAACGAAAAAAATACTCCTCTCTATTTTTATAAATTTTTAGATTTAGGATGCAAACATGAGAATAGAGTCAAACTTTCTCACTGGCATCATCAGAATAATTACAAACATGATCTTTATGGTCGTTTCACGGTCTTCTCGTTAATCAGACGCAAACAGTATTTAGAGGTCATCGTCACCTTTTCAGCGTAGAAGCGGACTTCATCTGCCCGGGCCAGAGTGGTCTCGATCCTCTCATGCCGAACCAGTCCTGTCAGAATGTTCCTCAGCATGTGGATCCGGGACTCCGGGCCTAAACCGATCCTCCGGGCAACCCGACCGTGAGAGATCAACATCCGCAGCGAGAGACGCATCTTGTCCGGGTTGATTAGTCCGAGGAATACAGCAGAGAAATACGGTAGGAGAGAAAAAAATTAACACGATTATGTTTCTGTCATCAGAGTTTTCCTTGACTCTAAATCAAACACCTCTGTTTCTAACGACGGTCATGTCTGGTGCGTCGTCAAATAAGTCCGACTTGAAACCGGAACCATTGAGCATCAGTTCCGCTTAAAGCAATGTAACCAGAAATGAATACAACTGTTCTGCTATAAAATTATATATATATATATATATATATATATATATATATATATATATATATATATATATATATAAAATATATTTTATATATTTTTCTTAAACTGCATCTTTAAAAACAGGAGTTTACAAAGAAAAAGCAGAGTAAATACAATTTATGACAGCAGGGGAGAAATGAGAAGATTTTACTCAACAATATTTTTATTACTTTTAAACAGATTAATACGGTACATCTCTTGATGTTCATATTTTCCCTTAAAACCCTGTCTACTGCTGTTGATATTTCTAATACTGTGCTGAGTTAACAAATTCTGGAGCTAAAACAGAAATGAAAAAAGAAACAAACAAGTAAGAGCTGGAATTTTGGTTTTGTAAATCTTGAAATATATAAGATGTTGAGAAATAAACAGTAAAAAGAAAATAAGTGAAATGTCCAGAATCTAATATTTTAAAGACAATAAGATTTCGCAGAAGAGGGATAAGAATGAGAAAAATGAAGCCAAAAGGAAAATCTAAAGATAGATAATATCACTACAGAATAAAAACAGATTAAAACATGAGGAGCAGTGAGATACAAATAAACCAATTAATAAATGAACAAATCAATATGTCACTATATATGTGATCAAGGACAGTAAAGGAAGAGGTCATATGAGGGCTTTGTTTTGTAAGATTAGTTTAAGGTACAATAAAAGCAAGTCATACAATTCTATGGCGCTTAAGAGCAGTATAAATGGTGCAATAACAGTCACTTTTGAATATTTCTCGCACTTCGTAAATATTTCTCTTATACTTTTATTTGTCTTTAATATTTTTTGTATCCTTATTTTGTTGTATTCCTTCAGTACCTATTGTGTGTTTTATCTGTACTCCTTTTTGTCGAGCGGTCCTCTCATCCAGGGCATTTTTATTGCATTGTTGACCTTGTTTAACACACACATGACAAATAAACAAATCTTGATCTCTTGAAATGAAGGATTTAACAAACACTTTGAAATAACTACCCCTGAATTTTCTTTGACACCAAGAGCATAAAAACATATAAATGACAAAGGCATTAACAGCCTCATAAAAAAAACACAGTGAGCATTAAAGGAAGTCATCAAAAAGTACATCATGAGAACATGATGGACTTTACTGAACAGAAACAGCTGTGGCAGAGGTACAGTTTGACACGCCCTGCAGCTCACGTACCTCACTTTTACCCTTATAACAGGACATCCAGAATTACTTACGTTGTTTCAGCTGACACTTCACAAATATATAACAGTCAAGATACACAGATGGCAGACTCACAGCGGCTTGTGGTCAAATGCCATCCTAAGACCACTCACATGGTGAAAGCATGGGCAGGAATGGAGACACGGGTGGGTTTGCTCAGCAGTTTCACCAGCAAGGACTGATACTGTAGCATGCCATCCAACCAACAGTGAATGTAAAAGAGGAGGGCTGACTTATGTGTGAGCTGTCCGTACATAAGTTATCTTCGATGGTAATGATAAAATGGACATATGTCTCTGCAAAGAATAGAATATGTTTTATTGAAACACAAATCTGACAAAAACAAAAACAATCAAGCGCTGCAGTACTCTGTATGCAAGTTGTTTCTGAAAAGACGATGCTTTCTTTAAGTGTTTATACGAACTCCAAGGACAGCTGAATAATAAAAAGATGTGTAAGACCCTTCCCAACTAAAATTGAGTTAAACACAGATTCATAGTTTTATAATCAGTACCAGATTCTGCCTCAAACGTAGACTTTGAAATCTGGTGTGTAATGAGATGTTGTTGTTCTGGTTTGCTCTGAGTACAGCACAGCATGTTTTGAACGGGTCATCATTATTTTCCCGACCTTCACTCAGTCTGAGATGCAGGTCCAGGTGGAGTTTCTCTCACTGTCTGAGTCACTGACTCGCTGCAGCATCTGGTGATGAAAACTGCTGGGACTTCTCCTCTAGTAGAGCAACAACTTTTAAAGTTTACAATAAAAAACTAATTTATCTTTCAATTCACTTCAGATCAAATCAAATTGGTCTAACAATTTCACATAACAACTCTACCATGACAGCGCCAAAGTGAGGAATGAGCGAAGAATGAGTCTGCATTAGTGTTGTTTGCTCAAAAGATATTAGATGTTTTTTCTTGGAACAAGGTTTCTGCAGACTTGAATGTTAAAGCGTTTATGTAATTTTGACTGAGATTAATGGTAATTTAGTTTTTATGTGAAACAGTTTTTCATGAAAGAAGAAATGACTAAAAACAAAAATGGAAGGAAACTTAGCAGCAGAAGATCGGCCTATAGCAAATATATCCCAGAGAGTGACATGACATACAGTGTCAATCAGCTAGGAGCTTATTGGACATGAGGAACTTAAATTGGACGACAAAGGCAGCGGTGGCCAGCATAGGAGTGTCATCATCTGTTTTCATGACTAAAATATCAAACAGTGTGATACTAGAGTCATCCTATCTGTAAATCATGGTTTTATATTTTAAAAGAGAACATGGATTAATTTTGAATGACTTATTTATTTGTCCAAAGACATGACTGTGGACACTAAAAAGAGAGAGTGTGTTACAAGAAAATAAAGCGAAACAAGCTTCTGCCAACCCAAGCAGTTGATTTTTAGTCTGCCTCTAATATTGGTTATAGCTGAACATGGTTGGGCATTTTGGGGTGGCCAATCACATTTCAAGTGTGTGTTTGTGGTGATGGGGGGCAGTGCCACACCTTGCCACGCCCACTTGCATACCTTCTTTAGTCTATGTCATTTGTGCTTTCTCTGAGATATCCTGTTTGTGCAGAGTTCAACTCTGCTGCTGAAATGATTTTTTTATTTTTTTTATTTTTGCACAAACAGGCAATAAACTGTAACTATTTCTAGAACCAGCAGGATGTTTAACATCTTTTCCCTTTGTAAGAAATAAATAACCAAAAGCAGATGTTTTGAATTGAAGTTTTATTGACTCAGATGGTAAATGGCTGCATATTGCCCAAACTCAACAACACTGTCGGAGTAAAAATGAGGAAAGAAAGGCAGCAGAGTAAGATGTTGGTCACATGATCAGACTTAGTAGCTGGCCATGGTGCTCTCCAGCCAGTCGTTGAAGATGCAGACCTGTCAGTGGAGACAGAACAAGGTTTTAGCCCAACACTTGTCATGATTAAATATCACTTGTACTTATTGTGACGAGATAGTGAAGGTTCACCTTGGCGTAGACACCGGGATGGTCCTTCTCGGCACATCCGTATCCCCAGGACACAACACCCTGCAGCTGACCGTTGCACACAACGGGGCCACCGGAGTCACCCTGTGAAAAGAGAGCAAAGGGTGTCGAACAAGTCTCACTAAGATTTCACAGTTTTTTCTGTCTGAAGACTGAATGACATACCTGGCAAGAGTCCTTGCCTCCCTCCAGGTATCCAGCGCAGAACATGGCATCGGTGATCTGGCCAGGGTAGGAGTTCTTACAGTCCCTGTCGGACAGGATGGGGATGTTCAGGCACTGCAGCTTGTCACCGTCAGCAGCTGAAAATGGAGAGAGAAACTTAAAAAGGTCAAGCTGATGTTTCAGTGCAGCACAGACTTACATTTGGAGTAAACAATGCAGGATTCATACTCACAGGAGCTCTGAGTGTTACCCCAGCCAGAGACCTTGCACATGGTGCCAGCGGAAGCACAGCTGGTGGGCAGAGCCACGGGCTGCACGTACTGGTTGAGGGTGGCGGGTGTGCTCAGCTTGATCAGCATGATATCATTATCAATGTCCCAGGAGCTGTACCTAGGGTGGCGGATGACGCGGGAAGACTTGATGAACTGCTCAGTACCCTCGTTGATCCTGATGTGATGCTCTCCAAGACGCACCTCAATACGACTAAAAGAAAACCAAGACAAGAAGCCGATTACACACAAACAACCATCAAATATAACTCCTTACACCTCAGGAAAACATGAAGACTGTGCTTACGACTTGTAGCAGTGAGCAGCAGACACAACCCAGTTCTCGTTCACCAGGGAGCCTCCACAGAAGTGGTAGCCAGATTGCAGAGAGACCTGATGGGGCTGGGAGTGGGGTGTGCACTCATACCCTCCGACGATCTTGTCGTCGTCAGTGGCGACTGAAAATGCACAAGAGGCCCAATAATGAACAACCAAGAGAACATTTTTTTAGAGCTCAGACAAGTACAAGTCAATACAAGCAGAGGTTTGGGTGCTTACAGGCAGCTCCGATGAGCAGAACGAAGACCAGAGACCTCATGATTGCTGAGTGATCTTGTGGATGAAGGTCTTAGGTTGGAGTCCTGGTTTATATACGATTGTTCCTCTCTCTAAACACACCCCCATAGATGTTTTAAACCAATCGAGATCCTGGAAAACTCTGGGTATAGGATAAGCAAATATTTGCTTTGCTGTGCGGTGGTGTGCACTGGAATTCTGCACGAGTTATTTGCTTTAAGTTTTTGGAGAAACAGAAATACTGTTGTGTTAAAATTGGCGCAATAATGTAAAAAAATATTCTTGGTACAACTTTCATTGGCTGAATGATGTGAGGAAGAAAACAATATATATTTATGTAATAATATCTTAAAATGAGGTGGGAATTACCACAGTATCTCAATCAAACATCAAATGTGTCTTTATATGCAGATGACTCTCTTTTGATGTGTGATTATGTTGAATTTGTGTAAGCAAGGGCACATGAAGGAATGGTTGACATTGAAATGGGTGGATCTGTGCTGTTAAGGCTTGTCTGCAGCTCTGCAGATGGCCTGATTCACAACCAGAGGTTACTGATTGTGGCTTTCACAGGAAAACCAGCCACGTATTCTTTGCAGAAGCTGCAGCACTATGACAACATCCACGTAGATAAAATCTGTACATCCAAACTCAACGTGAGACAGCTTTTCAGGGAATAAACTTTTACTTTCATTGTGTCAATAAAACAACAGATTTTTATTTATCAAGCTCATAGACCGTATATACTATGGACAACTTGGTTCCGCCTTCCACCTGTGTACGGATTTGAAGCCCAAAAGCTCTCGGTATTTCCGGGATTTTTCTTCATTTCCTGAAACCAGCGCTGCGCAGTAGCGATGCGCGCATTCGGACGCGCAGTCGCAGAGAGTCGCTGTGATGACGCTCGGCTCAAACAGCGTATCCCCCGGGAGAGCTACTCAATCCCTGAACGCCCATAGGCTGTATCAGGTGTCAATCAAAGAAAACATCAAAATTCAATCAATCAATCAAATTTTATTTATATAGCGCCAATTCACAACAGTCGTCATCTCAAGACGCTTTTCAAGGAACAAGAGCAGGTCTAGACCACGCTCATTGTTTGATAAACATCAAACATTGTTTGAAAACATGAACCCCTTAATAACTTTTAAAAACGGAGCTGTACAGAAAAAAGAGGACTTGAGCACAAACCAGTCTTACAATAACTACATGTCAACATCACAAGCAGGGGGGAGAAAAAATTATGTTCTGTGTAATAAATTTCTGAATGTTGTCCACAGTCCCATAAGCTTTGCTGGCGGAGGCGGGGTTTATGACCTATACTGCAGCCCGTCAACAGAGGGTGCTGTTCTCGGAGTGGCTTCACCCAGCGAGGTGGTAGACTCTGTCCATTCTATATACAGTCTATGGTATAAAGTCCTTGTCTTTCACTCTGTCTTGTTGGTTCATTGTATGTCAATGTGTGTGTATTTGTCGGTCAGTGAGTGTCTTAGACAGTCATCGTAGTATCCCTAGTCTTTTTGTGTTTTTTTCCCCAGTGCCTCTTCTTTGATTTTTTCTCCTTGTTTTTTTTATTATTTTTATTTTTTAAGTTTTTGTTGTTGCTTTTTTTCCATTTAGTTCTTCATAATTCTTTTTTTTTGGTCTGCTCATGACAAATATGTTAATAAGAAGGTGCGCTGGTGGCCTTGTGGTCTGAGTGCCTCACATGTAAAGGCTTTAATCTTCCCCCAGTATCTGCTCTACACATTTTCTGTCCACCCCAAATTAAACCTTTTAAAAAGTCTCGAAGATAATCTCTCAACCTGTCCAATCACTTTTGGTTTCTTGCAGCGACTCCTTACATGAACAAGTTGCAGTGTCCTGTCCTTTGAGAACAATTGTATCCTGGCAAAATAAAATCTGTACCTGATATTTACCCGTGATTTTATTACATAGCCAAACTAGTGCATTTAGATAAGTGCTTGTCCTGTTGTCCTACAGTGTCAATCAGCTAGGAGCTTATTGGACATGAGGAACCTCAATGGGATGACAAAGGCAGCGGTGGCCAGCATAGGAGTGTCATCATCTGTTTTCATGACTAAAATATCAAACAGTGTGATATTAGAGTCATCCTATCTGTAAATAATGGTTTTATATTTCAAAAGAGAACATGGATTAATTTTGAATGACTTATTTATTTGTCCAAAGACATGACTGTGGACACAAGTCTGCCTCTAATATTGGTTATAGCTGAACATGGTTGGGCATTTTGGGGTGGCCAATCACATTTCAAGTGTGTGTTTGTGGTGATGGGCCACACCTTGCCACACCCACTTGCATACCTTCTTTAGTCTATGTCATTTATGCTTTCTCTGAGATCTCCTGTTTGTGCAGAGTTCAACTCTGCTGCTGAACTGATTTTTATTTTTTTATTTTTGCACAAACAGGCAATAAACTGTAACTATTTCTTGAACCAGCAGGATGTTTAACATCTTTTCCCTTTGTAAGAAATAAATAACCAAAAGCAGATGTTTTGAATTGAAGTTTTATTGACTCAGATGGTAAATGGCTGCATATTGCTCAAACTCAACAACACTGTCGGAGTAAAAATGAGGAAAGAAAGGCAGCAGAGTAAGATGTTGGTCACATGATCAGACTTAGTTGCTGGCCATGGTGCTCTCCAGCCAGTCGTTGAAGATGCAGACCTGTCAGTGGAGACAGAACAAGGTTTTAGCCCAACACTTGTCATGATTAAATATCACTTGTACTTATTGTGAAGAGATAGTGAAGGTTCACCTTGGCGTAGACACCGGGATGGTCCTTCTCGGCACATCCGTATCCCCAGGACACAACACCCTGCAGCTGACCGTTGCACACAACGGGGCCACCGGAGTCACCCTGTGAAAAGAGAGCAAAGGGTGTCGAACAAATCTCACTAAGATTTTACAACAGTTTTTTTTCTGTCTGAAGACTGAATGACATACCTGGCAAGAGTCCTTGCCTCCCTCCAGGTATCCAGCGCAGAACATGGCATCGGTGATCTGGCCAGGGTAGGAGTTCTTACAATCCCTCTCGGACAGGATGGGGATGTTCAGGCACTGCAGCTTGTTACCGTCAGCAGCTGAAAATGGAGAGAGAAACTTAAAGGTCAAGCTGATGTTTCAGTGCAGCACAGACTTACATTTGAAGAAAACAATGCAGGATTCATACTCACAGGAGCTCTGAGTGTTACCCCAGCCAGAGACCTTGCACATGGTGCCAGCGGGAGCACAGCTGGTGGGCAGAGCCACGGGCTGCACGTACTGGTTGAGGGTGGCGGGTGTGCTCAGCTTGATCAGCATGATATCGTTGTCAATGTCCCAGGAGCTGTACCTGGGGTGGCGGATGACGCGGGAAGACTTGATGAACTGCTCGGTACCCTCGTTGACCTTGATGTGATGCTCTCCAAGACGCACCTCAATACGACTAAAAGAAAACCAAGACAAGAAGCCGATTACACACAAACAACCATCAAATATGACGCTTTACACACCAGGAAAACATGAAGACTGTGCTTACGACTTGTAGCAGTGAGCAGCAGACACAACCCAGTTCTCGTTCACCAGGGAGCCTCCACAGAAGTGGTAGCCAGATTGCAGAGAGACCTGATGGGGCTGGGAGTGGGGTGTGCACTCATACCCTCCGACGATCTTGTCGTCGTCAATGGCGACTGAAAATGCACAAGAGGCCCAATAATGAACAACCAAGAGAACATTTTTTTAGAGCTCAGACAAGTACAAGTCAATACAAGCAGAGGTTTGGGTGCTTACAGGCAGCTCCGATGAGCAGAACGAAGACCAGAGACCTCATGATTGCTGAGTGATCTTGTGGATGAAGGTCTTAGGTTGGAGTTCTGGTTTATATACGATTGTTCCTCTCTCTAAACACACCCCCATAGACGTTTTAAACCAATCGGGATCCTGGAAAATTCTGGGTATAGGATAAGCAAATATTTGCTTTGCTGAGTGGTGGTGTGCACTGGAATTCTGCACGAGTTATTTGCTTTAAGTTTTTGGAGAAACAGGAATACTGTTGTGTTAAAATTGGTGCAACAATGTGAAAAAACATTCTTGGTACAACTTGCATTGGCTGAATGATGTGAGGAAGTAAACAATATATATTTATGCAATAATATTTTAAAATAAGGTGGGAATTACCACAGTATCTCAATCAAACATCAAATGTGTCTTTATATGCAGATGACTCTCTTTTGATGTGTGATTGTGTTGAATTTGTGTAAGCAAGGGCACATGAAGGAATGGTTGACATTGAAATGGGTGGATCTGTGCTGTTAAGGCTTGTCTGCAGCTCTGCAGATGGCCTGATTCACAACCAGAGGTTACTGATTGTGGCTTTCACGGGAAAACCAGCCACGTATTCTTTGCAGAAGCTGCAGCACTATGACAACATCCACGTAGATAAAATCTGTACATCCAAACTCAACGTGAGACAGCTTTTCAGAGAATCAACTTTACTTTCATTGTGTCAATAAAACAACTGACTTTTATTTATCAAGCTCATAGACTGTTTATACTATGGACAACTTGGTTCCGCCTTCCACCTGTGTACAGATTTGAAGCCCAAAAGCTCTCGGTATTTCTGGGATTTTTCTTCATTTCCTGAAACCAGCGCTGCGCAGTAGCGATGCACGCATTCGGAGGCGCAGTCGTAGAGAGTTGCTGTGATGACGCTCGGCTCAAACAGCGTATCCCCCGGGAGATCGACTCAATCCCTGAACGCCCATAGGCTGTATCAGGTGTCAATCATAGAAAACATGAACCCCCTAATAACTTTTAAAAACGAAGCTGTACAGAAAAAAGAGGACTTGGGCACAAACCAGTCTTACAATAACTACATGTCAACATCACAAGCAGGGGGGAGAAAAATGTATATTCTGTGTAATAGATTTCTAAAGTTTGTCCACAGCTCCATAAGCTTTGCTGGCGGGGGCGGGATTTATGACCTATACTGCAGCCAGTCAACAGAGGGTGCTGTTCTCGGAGTGGCTTCACCCAGCGAGGAGGCGGACTCTGTCCATTCTATATACAGTCTATGGTATAAAGTCCTTGTCTTCCACTCTGTCTTGTTGGTTCATTGTATGTCAATGTGTGTGTATTTGTCGGTCAGTGAGTGTCATGCATAGTCATCGTTGTATCCCTAGTCTTTTTGTGTTTTTTTTTCCCCAGTGCCTCTTCTTGGATTTTTTCTCCTTGTTTTTTTTTATTTTTTAAGTTTTTGTTGTTTTTTTTTTTTTTTTCATTTAGTTCTTCATAATTCTTTTTTTTTTTGGTCTGCTCATGACAAATATGTTAATAGGAAGGTTCGCTGGTGGCCTTGTGGTCTGAGTGCCTCACATGTAAAGGCTTTAATCTTCCCCCAGTATCTGCTCTACACATTTTCTGTCCACCCAAATTAAACCTTTTAAAAAGTCTCGAAGATAATCTCTCAACCTGTCCAATCACTTTTGGTTTCTTGCAGCGACTCCTTACATGAACAAGTTGCAGTGTCCTGTACTTTGAGAACAATTGTATCCTGGCAAAATAAAATCTGTACCTGATATTTACCTGTGATTTTATTAATAACAAATCCAAATAGTGCATTTAGATAAGCGCTTGTCCTGTTGTCCTACACTGTCAATCAGTTAGGAGCTTATTGGACATGAGGAACCTCAATGGGATGACAAAAGCAGCGGTGGCCAGCATAGGAGTGTCATCATCTGTTTTCATGACTAAAATATCATACAGTGTGATACTAGAGTCATCCTATCTGTAAATCATGGTTTTATATTTCAAAATAGAACATGGATTAATTTTGAATGACTTATTTATTTGTCCAAAGACATGACTGTGGACACAAGTCTGCCTCTAATATTGGTTATAGCTGAACATGGTTGGGCATTTTGTGGTGGCCAATCACATTTCAAGTGTGTGTGTGTTTGTGGTGATGGGCCACACCTTGCCACACCCACTTTCATACCTTCTTTAGTATGTCATTTGTGCTTTCTCTGAAATATCCTGTTTGTGCAGAGTTCAACTCTGCTGCTGAACTGATTTTTATTTTTTCATTTTTGCACAAACAGGAAATAAACTGTAACTATTTCTAGAACCAGCAGGATGTTTAACATCTTTTCCTTTTGTAAGAAATAAATAACCAAAAGCAGATATTTTGAATTGAAGTTTTATTGACTCAGATGGTAAATGGCTGCATATTGTCCAAACTCAACAACACTGTCGGAGTAAAAATGAGGAAAGAAAGGCAGCAGAGTAAGATGTTGGTCACATGATCAGACTTAGTTGCTGGCCATGGTGCTCTCCAGCCAGTCGTTGAAGATGCAGACCTGTCAGTGGAGACAGAACAAGGTTTTAGCCCAACACTTGTCATGATTAAATATCACTTGTACTTATTGTGAAGAGATAGTGAAGGTTCACCTTGGCGTAGACACCGGGATGGTCCCTCTCGGCACATCCGTATCCCCAGGACACAACACCCTGCAGCTGACCGTTGCACACAACGGGGCCACCGGAGTCACCCTGTGAAAAGAGAGCAAAGGGTGTCAAACAAGTCTCACTAAGATTTTACAACAGTTATTTCTGTCTGAAGACTGAATGACATACCTGGCAAGAGTCCTTGCCTCCCTCCAGGTATCCAGCGCAGAACATGGCATCGGTGATCATGCCAGGGTAGGAGTTGTCGCAATCCCTGTCGGACAGGATGGGGATGTTCAGGCACTGCAGCTTGTTCTTGTCAGCGGCTGAAAATGGAGAGAGAAACTTAAAAAGGTCAAGCTGATGTTTCAGTGCAGCACAGACTTACATTTGAAGAAAACAATGCAGGATTCATACTCACTGGAGCTCTGAGTGCTACCCCAGCCAGAGACCTTGCACATGGTGCCAGCGGGAGCACAGCTGGTGGGCAGAGCCACGGGCTGCACGTACTGGTTGAGGGTGGCGGGCTTGCTCAGCTTGATCAGCATGATGTCGTTGTCGATGTTGTAGGAGCTGTACCTGGGGTGGCGGATGACGCGGGAAGAGCCGATGAACTGCTCGGTACCCTCGTTGATCCTGATGTGATGCTCTCCAAGACGCACCTCAATACGACTAAAAGAAAACCAAGACAAGAAGCCGATTACACATAAACAACCATCAAACATGATGCTTTACACCCCAGGAAAACACAAAGACTGTGCTTACGACTTGTAGCAGTGAGCAGCAGACACAACCCAGTTCTCGTTCACCAGGGAGCCTCCACAGAAGTGGTAGCCAGATTGCAGAGAGACCTGATGGGGCTGGGAGTGGGGTGTGCACTCATACCCTCCGACGATCTTGTCGTCGTCAGTGGCGACTGAAAATGCACAAGAGGCCCAATAATGAACAACCAAGAGAACATTTTTTTAGAGCTCAGACAAGTACAAGTCAATACAAGCAGAAGTTTGGGTGCTTACAGGCAGCTCCGATGAGCAGAACGAAGACCAGAGACCTCATGGTTGCTGAGTGATCTTGTGGATGAAGGTCTTAGGTTGGAGTCCTGGTTTATATAGGATTGTTCCTCTCTCTAAACACACCCCCATAGACGTTTTAAACCAATCGAGATCCTGGAAAATTCTGGGTAAAGGATAAGCAAATATTTGCTTTGCTGTGGGATGGTGTGCACTGGAATTCTGCACGAGTTATTTGCTTGAAGTTTTTGGAGAAACAGGAATACTGTTGTGTTAAAATTGGCACAATAATGTAAAAAAACATTCTTGGTACAACTCGCATTGGCTGAATGATGTGAGGAAGAAAACAATTTATATTTATGTAATAATATCTTAAAATAAGGTGGGAATTACCACAGTATCTCAATCAAACATCAAATGTGTCTTTATATGCAGATGACTCTCTTTTGATGTGTGATTATGTTGAATTTGTGTAAGCAAGGGCACATGAAGGAATGGTTGACATTGAAATGGGTGGATCTGTGCTGTTAAGGCTTGTCTGCAGCTCTGCAGATGGCCTGATTCACAACCAGAGGTTACTGATTGTGGCTTTCACAGGAAAACCAGCCACGTATTCTTTGCAGAAGCTGCAGCACTATGACAACATCCACGTAGATAAAATCTGTACATCCAAACTCAACGTGAGACAGCTTTTCAGGGAATAAACTTTACTTTCATTGTGTCAATAAAACAACTGATTTTCATTTTTCAAGCTCCTTTGAGGAATTTTTGACAGATTTAAATTGACCTCTGTGCCTCTTTATGATCTGTAAAAGTGGACAAGACCATCATCCAAAGACTGATTTCAACATTTAGATTGAATATTTCATATTTAGATGACATTTTAATTGAACACCCAACATCTAGATTTAATGGTCTTTATATGGTTTTAACAACAAAAATACATATGACAAAGTCAAGATAACACACACACACACACACACACACACACACACACACACACACACACACACACACATTTGCTTTTGGGCATTTGTTTACGGTGCACACAATTACCAATAAAACACAGCAGGTACACAGCTTCATGCACAGGACCCAACCAACAACTGAGAGTGTTGTAGCCAATATGATGCTTTTTATTGTAATGCATGTTATTGTGGTGTTACCATGACAACCTGGGCATAGGAGGGTTCCAGCCAATGGTAGGTCACGTGAAGTTTACTTCAGGGTGTCACTGGGGCACAGGTGTCAGGGGTTGGTAATCAGGCCACACAGTTTTTCAACCATGTGGGCTGTATTGAAGACTCAGAAGTGGCTAGAAGATTAGTTTTATTGTTTACTTTAAGAACCCCTCTAAGCAGTAACATAGGCTTCCCACTGCTCCCTGCCCAGTTAAGCCCTCTTTCTTCTTTACTTCTGGTTTGTTATTTGATATCTTGTTTAATATTGTTACTGCAGTGATGTACAGTTGTTATTGTTGTTGTGTGTGCGCGATGTCATTCATACAGCGGAGATATATGTTCTTTCAGTGTTGCTGTAATTAGGCTGATGTGTTTGTATCAGTGCGCGTGTGATTTGGTGCGAGCGTGTGTGTCTGCCTGTAGAGTGAGAGGAGAAAGTTTGAGAAGAGAAGACGATCGGAGCAGCTTCGTGTGTCCAACAGATTCATTCATTCCTTCGGTGAAGTTTTGTGTGATTAATAACCCGCACAACAAGTTGTTTTAGACCAGTGAAGATTATACCTAAAGAGGAACAAACGGACTTTGAACTGAATTTAGTTCGCCGATTAATGTTAGCTCTCGTTTTCCCGACAGTGGCTAGCTAGGTCTCGCTAGCTGCGTCATTGTCCTTCGTATCCCAGCAAACGTTAACTGGCCCCAGTTTAAGGACTTAGTTCACCCCCTCCTCCTCCTCTGGACCACATCTTCACCCCCTCCCCTCTTCACCAGAGAACAGTTTTTCCATTCATCTTCCGTGGACATCTGATCACACCATCCCTCAACATCGGGACCTCTCCACAGACCTCCATCCTGACTGAATCACAATCCTCACATCCTCCTCTGAGCTCCAACCCCGGGCAACATTGGTACCATTAGTTTTAGGATTAGATAAGGCTTAGTATAGTTAGACAGGACATATTTTAGTGTAAGTTTTTATAGTTAGACAGGACATATTTTAGTGTAAGTTTTAGTGAGTCAATTGTGCATTGTTTGTTTGTGTTATAATAAATGTCTATGTTGTTCCCTTTATATCCTTGTCCCTCCCCTGCTGTTTAGTGAGAGTCCACAGCATCTTTGTCCATAGTAAGGGACGCCAGGGAGCGGTGGCTAGCGCCCTACTGTACCTTACAGTTCTTAGTTAAATTGTGGTCCTACGCTACATGGGCGGTTGTTTGTTTTCAGTTGTTTTTGAGTTTATTTTGGTTTATTTTCATGCCGCAAGTTGGTTGTTTAGTTTATAGGTAACACCCGGCTTTGTTTACACTCCATATCACGCTGCAGCATCTCCAAATTAACTGTTTTAAATGCACTGAAGACCTGGACTGTCAACTACTGCACACATTGGAAACTTGGGCTCCACGCCATCCCTCACCGGCAAGTTTTGTGGTTCTGATTGCCTTTACAGAGAGGAAGTGCTCACCTATATATCCTCCCTGATCAGATGCTACCATAAACCAGGGTGCTAAAAACATACAACTTTATTTCTACTTATCTTAAACCCCCAAACCTTAAAGAATGAATTGCCACAACTCCAGACTAAACTACCATATGTGACTCTGACTCAACTTAGTCACATCCTCCCTGTAGTTTCTCCTCAGGAATATTGCACATGGCCCTGTTCACCCCCATACCAATCTGCCTGTTGGAACCCCCCAGCACCTTAAAAGGCTGTTTGTTTCCCCTGGGTCTCATTTACCAGCGCAACCTGGGAGTGCAGACAGAAAGGCACAGGTAAGTGTTCAGCATATTAACAACAGGTTAAACTTAAAATTGCACCTTCCCTATTTCACACTGCATACAAATCTGCACGGACTTCTCCGACTTAACCTATATTTCTCAGAGGTGGTGCGACTAAATCAGCCCCAGCCACCGCACGACCAGTAATCATCTGCAAGCAACACACCATTAATCTGAATAGACGTACTTTCACTGAAATATCTCTCAGAATCATCTGTTAACATGTCGTGTTTATTTTTCATCTGTACAATCCTACAATGACCCTTCGATTTATACAATGTCACCACTTGTTACTAGCTGCCTCAATCCTGAGCTACCTGACATACCATAACGGAGGCGATATTTTTTCCGTAGGACGGTATGGGAAGGTCCCGCCTCCTTTGCCTCTGATTGGCTAGAATAGCTGGAAACATCATCACACGCTCAAGCCAAAGTGTGTAATGTACTGTCGGCTCTGTACATTGAACAGAACATTACAGAACATTATCGCTCTTCTGAATCTCCTAACTCTAACCCTAATCCTAACCCTAACCCGACAGATGATGACATTTCACACACACATACACACACACACACACACACACACACACACACACACACACACACACACACACACACACACACACACAGTAGTATATACCATGTAATGCCTTATCCTTATCAAAGCCTGTATTGCACAGGCACCACTCAACATATTGCTCTATGTCTTCATGTGTTGCACTTTCCATATAAAAGCCTTGTTGTAGAATTTCAGTTCACAAGTGTTGCTGTAAAGAATAAAAAAAAGGGACTGAAAAATTCATACTATGTTTTTTTTTATGTCTAGAGCTCGATGTGGAACAATTTTGAGGATGTTTTCAGCATGTTAGGGCTGCAGCTATCGATTATTTTAGTAATCGAGTACTCTATCGATTAATCTGTCGATTAATCGAGTAATCGGATAAGAAATGTTTTGCTCTCACTGTAATACTTTGCATTGAATCACGTTTGCCTCATTAAAAACCATCAGTAACACACAAAACTGAAATAGGCCAGGTCTTTCAAATGAATATTTTTACTGCATAAATCAGGAACCAAAAGTTTTACATTTTACCATGTAGTTCACATGAAACTACTGAAGGCAAGGTCTGCAGATGGTCTTTTAATTGCTATGGTAATGATCTTTGCAGTTTTCACTAAACCAGTCACAACTATTTCCAGGCTTTGGATCTAATTTTACTTGTTTAATTAATAGGCTGAAATAATATAATTCTTGGATACTAACATAATTTGACAAGCAAATGTACATTTATTCAATATATAAAAGTGTTACATTTTTATTTACATGTTGTTGTGTGTTGGTCATTTTGCAGCCCTCTGCTGCTCATCACACGCCTAGCAGGTGGTGTATAGCATTATCACCATGGATACACGGATGTTTGTGTGATTTTTTTCATCCACTGCCGCCCGGTTTGTGTCGTGTAGATGTTGATTATGAAAACACTTCGCAATAATTTGGAAACGTGAAGGGGGAGCTGCTGCTGCCCGGTGTTTACGGTAAATAGACGCAAACACCGACCAAGTGGACGCTTCGGTCTCCGAAAACGCCGAGACAAATTTACAAACAGCCACTATTTCAAACAACTGGGCTCATAATCGTGATGTAAACACTTACTTTCTCGCTAGAAAAAATATTATTATTGAATGAATTTATATAATTTGTCCGGTATGCAGTCGTTCTATGTAGCTTGTGGTAGGACTATTTAAATTTTCCCGGCGCTGCGTCCGGCCGGCACGAAATGCATTCTGGGGTATTTAGTATGTATGTGTGTAAACGCTCGGGCAGCCGCGGCATACTCAAATCATCTTTGAGTAGTCAGTAGGCAGTAGCTACTGCTTGAGTAGGTAAGTAGATAGCAGGCAGTATGCCATTTCGGACACAGCTTCTGTCTGTCCTCGTTTCCCTCCATGATTGAACCAAACGCGCGGCAGCGGAAGGAGCGGAAAGAGCACGCTTCTGCGCAACAGAAATAACCATCCGTGTCAAACACCGTGCGCTGCACATGGTTCCGGATTTAAACGATTCCTCGAGGCATATAATTTGCCTCGAGGAATTTTATTAATCGAGTTACTCGAGTAATCGTTTCAGCCCTACAGCATGTGCAACTTTACAAATGGCATCCCATGAGGAAGGTGTCAGAAGATTGACAGGATGCTGAAGAAACAGTCTCCAAATTTCCACAGTGAGTGTCTGTTCAACAAAGATGAATGAGAGGAGAAGTACAAGTCAATGGTACAAGTACAGTCAGGTGGCATATCATAAATGTCATTAAATGAGGCGGAGCATTCAAATTTGGAACAATTTCTGTGGCTCAAAACATAAAGATGATTTAAAGAGAGAAACAGACACAACAAAAAATGTGATTGTAAGAGCACATTAAAAGCATTGCTAAAAGATACATTAGAAATACGAAGCAAAAGTAAATGGACGGTTGGAATATAACAATTACATTGGTGAATAACCTACAAGCAGAGGAAAGAATATGGTTTTTTAAAGATTGTTTTTTGGAGGCTTTTAATTCCTCTATTTAGACGATCTAGGGCAGCAGTTAAGAGTAGGGAGTAAGAGAAAGACTGGAGGGTGATAGGTGGTAAAGGGACCAGCCATGTTGAGAACCACAGACTCTTAACATGGACGAGGGTTTAATGGTTGAGCTAAACCAGCATTCTTGCATAAATCATATTTACACGGACACAAATAATCGAAATAGATCGGTCTAAAAGCGCTTCATGTAAATATGTCGATTGGAAGATTCTAATCCAATTCAGCTCAATCGGAAAGATATTGTATTCTGGGATGATTTATACCGATCGTTATTCCGAAACGCGTCCATGTAAACATGACTTTCTTACCTGACTCAGTCTTTACTCTTTAGCCTTTGACTTATTTATCAAGGCCAGTACAGGAGGTTTCATTATAATCACTCTGGCATACAACACAACCAAATGTGCCGTGCCTGCACTTCCGGTAACATTACAAGGCATACGTACAGCGTAATGATGTCAAATCTGCACGGACAGAGCAACGTTTAACAGAACAGTAAAATAAGTAAACAAGGGCGCCATCTAGTGACAATATTTAACAGGAGGGAACATCCTGAATTGGATGGAGTGAGCCACTACCGCGTTTGTTGGTTTGTTGAGAGCACAGGCGTCAATACAACTCTTTTAGTCTTAGCGAAATTAGACAACTCTGCGCATGTCCAAGTGCCTCTAATCTGAATAAAACTTGATGCATGTCTACGCTCGTCATGATCGGATAATTTGATTTTGCATCCATATAAACAGTGGATTCAGATTATCCGATCCCTCAAAATTTCAATCGGATCAAGAAATTTTGCCCATGTTAACGTGGTTCAAGGTTGAAGTATGACTGATGAATGAAAAATAACACTATGATAAATTTAAGCTGACGGCTTGTGGTCTTTTCCTCACAACAAAGTTTTGATTGGTCCTGAACCTGAAGGCGTATCTGGAAAAATTCTCAGACATGCAAAACAAAAACATACAAACATTGTTGTTTAAATGGCGTCTGGGGCTGACTCAAAGTTAATCAAATTAAAGTTGTTGGACTCATTTGCTAAAACGTGTTTTTTCATTGAAAGTATCATCTCCTTTCTTCAGGAGACCCGAATCACTGCAGAAACTGTGTCCATACATGAGTCTGTGTTTGTGCTTGTGTGTGTTTGTGATTTTTCTGTTTTTTTCTAGTTATGATAGGTAGAACTTAAAAACACTGTGTCCACTTCAAAGAGAGCTTGTCTATCTAACCAACTAACTCCTCTTAACCTGGAAACACAGCTATAATAACAATCCAGTTAGATTTTTAATATGCCATCTTTTCGAACCACACTTTCCTTGAAAAAATGCCACAGACAGTAGACATGCACGATATGCTTTAAGTTTCTTTTTTATTGGTCACAAAGTCCAGTATTACAGATGGAACATGTACAGTAAATGGTGTTATGCTGTTGGCTGGACTTGTTGGTGATCTTTGATCACTTAGTAGCTGGCCATGGTGCTCTCCAGCCAGTCGTTGAAGATGCAGACCTGTCAGTGGAGACAGAACAAGGTTTAAGCCCAACACTTGTCATGATTAAATATCACTTGTAATTATTGTGAAGAGATAGTGAAGGTTCACCCTGGCGTAGACACCGGGATGGTCCCTCTCGGCACATCCGTATCCCCAGGACACAACACCCTGCAGCTGACCGTTGCACACAACGGGGCCACCGGAGTCACCCTGTGGAAAGAGAGCAAAGGGTGTCAAACAAGTCTCACTAAGATTTTACAGTTTTTTTCTGTCTGAAGACTGAATGACATACCTGGCAAGAGTCCTTGCCTCCCTCCAGGTATCCAGCGCAGAACATGGCCTCGGTGATCATGCCAGGGTAGGAGTTGTCGCAATCCCTGTCGGACAGGATGGGGATGTTCAGGCACTGCAGCTTGTCACCGTCATCGGCTGAAAATGGAGAGAGAAACTTAAAGGTCAAGCTGATGTTTCAGTGCAGCACAGACTTACATTTGGAGTAAACAATGCAGGATTCATACTCACCGGAGCTCATGGTGTTACCCCAGCCAGAGACCTTGCACATGGTGCCAGCGGGAGCACAGCTGGTGGGCAGAGCCACGGGCTGCACGTACTGGTTGAGGGTGGCGGGCTTGCTCAGCTTGATCAGCATGATATCGTTGTCAAGGTCCCAGGAGCTGTACCTGGGGTGGCGGATGACGCGGGAAGAGCCGATGAACTGCTCGGTACCCTCGTTGATCCTGATGTGATGCTCTCCAAGACGCACCTCAACACGGCTAAAAGAAAACCAAGACAAGAAGCCGATTACACACAAACAACCATCAAACATGACGCTTTACACCCCAGGAAAAAGCAAAGACTGTGCTTACGACTTGTAGCAGTGAGCAGCAGACACAACCCAGTTCTCGTTCACCAGGGAGCCTCCACAGAAGTGGTAGCCAGAATTCAGAGAGACCTGATGGGGCTCGGAGTGGGGTGTGCACTCATACCCTCCGACGATCTTGTCGTCGTCAATGGCGACTGAAAATGCACAAGAGGCCCAATAATGAACAACCAAGAGAACATTTTTTAAGAGCTCAGACAAGTACAAGTCAATACAAGCAGAGGTTTGGGTGCTTACAAGCAGCTCCGATGAGCAGAACGAAGACCAGAGACCTCATGATTGCTGAGTGATCTTGTGGATGAAGGTCTTAGGTTGGAGTCCTGGTTTATATACGATTGTTCCTCTCTCTAAACACACCCCCATAGACGTTTTAATCAATCGAGATCCTGGAAAAAAACAATTCTGGGTATTGGATAAGCAAATATTTGCTTTGCTGTGGGGTGATTTGCACTGGAGAGTAATTCGCTTTAAGTTTTTGGAGAAACAGGAATACTGTTTTGTTAAAATTGGCGCAATAATGTGAAAAAACATTCTTGGTACTACTTGCATTGGCTGAATGATGTAAGGAAGAAAACAATATATATTTTATTCAGTTTAGAGCTGGATCTGGAACAATTTTGCTGATGTTTTCAGCATGTGAACTTTACAAATGGCATCCCATGAGGAAAGAGGTGTCTGAAGATTGACAGGATGCTGAAGAAACAGTCTCCAAATTTCCACAGTGGGTGTCTGTTCAACAAAGACGAATGAAAGGACAGTTTTTTTGTCAGCACACACAACCTTAACATTTTCAGGACAAGATCAGCAAAGAAGAGAGATAATAATTAAGACACACAGTCAGTTTGATTCCCAGAACAAATTCATAGAGTTTTGTTGAATCTTTCTGATATCTGACCAATCTACAAAATACTTTGAACGTGTTACAGTGGCGTTGATACAATTTCACATAACACATGATTATGTCAAGTGTAGAGAGAGATTGAAAGGGACAAGTGCAGGACCTGTTAAAACATGACTGTCATGTTAAGTAGGATCTGAGATACATAATATCATATTCCCATAACTAATATTGGGACAAATATTGCCCTGATATGTTTAGTTTTTCCCTGGTTTTGTTATCTGAGTTTATTTTTTTAAGTGTTTTTCCTTGTGTTTCTGTTCCCTATTGTTCCTGTGATCCAGTCTTGTGAGTTTTCAGTTTTTGTTTGACCTCGTTTCCCTCCTTTTCTCAGTGTTTTATTCTTAAGAAAATTTTTTTTTGTGTGTGTTTCTTGTTTTATTTTGTAGTCGTTGATTCCTTGTGTTTCTAGTCTGATTTTACTTCCCTAGTTTTCTCTCCTTCGTTAATCACCCATGAGTTTCACCTGTGTCTCGTCTGCCTCACCTGTTGCTCGTTTTCCAGTGTGTATAAAGTCCTTGTCTTCCACTCTGTCTTGTTGGTTCATTGTATGTCAATGTGTGTGTATTTGTCGGTCAGTGAGTGTCTTTCATAGTCATCGTTGTTGTATTCCTAGTTTTTGTTGTTTTTTTTATTTAGTTCTTCTTTATAATCATTTTCTTGCTGCGACTCCTTACATGAACAAGTTGCAGTGTCCTGTCCTTTGAGAACAATTGTATCCTGGCAAAAGTGATATGCACCTGTGATTTTATTAATTACACATCCAAATAGTGCATTTAGATAAGTGCTTGTCCTGTTGTGTGCAGGTTTTTATGTTTTTAGTCTACAGATGTGCTGAGAGGGACCACCCTGGTGTCTCTGCTACATACCACTTCTCTGCATCTGCTGAAAAACCATTACTCTGTTCTGTGCTGCTTTACTGCAGCAAACTGACTAATGTTTTTCCATTTCAGGTTTGTATGCAGACTGAGCGGCTGACAGCACAATGGCGGGCTATTAACTCCACCATTCAACCTGCACAACAGACAAAATAACACAACAAAACTGAATAACGCCAACAGCAACCTTCTTTTTTTCCTCTGCAGCAGGAGAAATTCAATAAAAAATGCATCTGAAATGTTAAACTTATGCAATGTTTGTTTTTCAAACACATTTTTAGACACACAATTGCACTAAAGATAAATATCTAATCACACATACATAGATTTTCAGGAGGCTGCAGGTCATTATTGTTGATCAGAGAGTAAAAAGAAAGGAAAAGAAAAATAAATCAAATAAAATGAAGAAACTGTTATTCTTTCATGTTTCATCAATTGGTATGCAGACTTCTAAAAATCAACGTTTATATGACTCAGCCATCACTTTATCGTGTTTCATGTAACAAAATGTCAAACTTTTTTTCTCTGACCAGCAGAGTGACGGCAAAATAAAAAAAAACTTATAAAGGAATTAAATAGTACAGATGATTTATTACTCTTTTTCAAGGTTTTTATTACCATCATGGACTAAGAGAAACAACTTAATGAGCCTATTGGTTTTGTAAAATAGGCAGTCTTGCACATTTGATATTTTTGAGAAGATTTTTTTTTTAACCTTTGTACTGAAACGTGCTCTGAAATAAAAGCTACAAAGATAACCATTTGAAGGCAGTCTCAGCCTTCATATCTGCTTTTGGTGTGTTAGAAACAGATGCTGAGAATCACACAGCTGTGAGATGTTCTCACATGTCTAAATATAGAGTAGCTGTGTACCTGTTTAACCTGACCAGAAAAAACACGACTCGACTTTTGACATACAAGTGATGGACTTAAACTGTTATAAAAGTAGCATAAAAAATCTTTAAAAAAATCCTGAAAATAAGCAGCTAAATCTTTGTGAAAAATGTATCCAGGTTGTAACATACTTTTTTAACTACCACACGTTTGAGCAAGTGATCTACGTCATTTATGTACTTAGAGAGCGAGAAAAAAAACACGTATCAGAGAAATTTTCATGCATTTTTTAACTCTACAAAAAAGTAATAAGGTCTGCACACCAGGAACCTCCCGCTGAGGGATTTATTTACCACCAGTGGCATTTTGAGCCGACATGATTGAAGCAATTTCCATCTATCCACAACTGTGCAGAGTATCAACAACTCAGAACATACACTCCTGATCAAAATCTTAAGACCACTTAAAAAACTGCAAGAATTTATATTCAGCACTGTTGGACCTTGAGACGGTTCTTCATAGAGCTTCAAAATGCAAAAAGAAGAAATAGGAACAAGAGACCAAAAGTTCTGAGCAGGTAATTTATCGAAAACAACAATTTAACTGAAATTGGCTGTTCATCAGCTGATCAAAAGTTTAAGACCACAGCTCAAAAAAACCTAAACACCTCCAAAAACAGAAATTAAAGTGTCAAAAACTGACTCAGTAATGAGTAGCTCCACAATTATTGTTGATTACTTCAAAAATTCGTTTTGGCATGCTTGATACAAGGGTTTCCAAAAGGCTAGTGGGAATGTTGCTCCAAGTGGTAAAGATGGCTTCACGGAGGGCATCCACTGTCTGGAACTGATGTTCATTTTTATAAATCTTTCTTGCCATCCATCCCCAAATGTTCTCAATTGGATTTAGATCAGGGGAACATGCAGGATGGTCCAAAAGAGTGATGCTATTCTCCTGGAGAAAGTTCTTGGTCAGACGGGCCTTGTGAATTGTAGCGTTGTCCTGCTTAAAAACTCAGTCATTGCCACACAGACGAGGGCCCTCAGTCATGAGGAATGCCCGCTGCAACATCTCCACATAGCCAGCTGCTGTTTGACGCCCCTGCACAACCGGGAGCTCCACTGTTCCATTAAAGGAGAAAGCATCCCAGATCATGATGGTGCCCCCTCCACTGTGTCGCATAGAAAACATCTCAGGTGGCATCTCCTTGGCATGCCAGTAGCATTGGAAGACATTAGGACCATCGAGGTTAAATTTTTTCTCATCAGAGAATAAAACTTTCTTCCACCTTTGAAGGTCCCATGTTTGGTGCTCCCTCGCAAAGCCCAAACGGGCAATTTTGTGGCATTGAAGGAGACGTGGCCTTTGAAGACGTTTTTTGTTTTTGAAGCCCTTCCTTCGCAGATGTCGTCTGATTGTTATTGGGCTGCAGTCAGCACCTGTAATGGCCTTAATTTGGGATGAGGATCGTCCCACGTCTTGATAGACACACATTCGGATCCTCCGGCTCAGCGCTGGTGAGATTTTTTGGGGTCTACCACTTGATTTTTTTGTTCCAGAACCCTCCGGATCTTTTAAGAAATGAAAAATAACGGCCTTACTGCGTCCAACCTCAGCAGCGATGGCACGTTGTGAGAGGCCTTTTTTATGCAGCTCAACAATCCAACCACATTCAAAAGCAGTGAGCTTTTTTGCCTTTGCCATCAAGAGATGCTGACAGTGTGACCCCTTGACAAGAAATGATATGGAATCCAAATTTTCGCACAGATTTGGGCTTTTAAAGGCTGTGGTCTTAAACTTTTGATCAGCTGATGAACAGCCTATTTCAGTTAAATTGTTGTTTTCAATAAATTACCTGCTCAAAACTTTTGGTCTCTTGTTCCCATTTCTTCTTTTTGCATTTTGAAGCTCTACTAAGAACCGTCTTAAGGTCCAACAGTGCTAAATATAAATTCTTGCAGTTTTTTAACTGGTCTTAAGATTTTGATCAGGAGTGTATTAGTAAAGAGTGGAGAGTCTCTAATAAGTAATATATTAGATACGGCTGTAAAGGGTTAAGTGTATGAATAGATGCATGTGAACAGGCTGAAACTGATCAACTATTTAGCTGTTGCAGATGTTGGTAATAAATTAATGATTAAATAAATAAAAAACAGTTGCTAACTAATCCATATAACCCTCCTTCCCTTTTTCATCTTTTTAAATTTGCTGACTTGCACGCCATCCTGACTTTAATTTTTATCTTATCACGTAAATAAAACATTTCATCCCAGAATCCCGCTGCAGTGATTGGCTCTTCACTAACCAATGAGCACAACCACAGAGCAGGGCAGCTCTCCAGGTCGTGTATATAAACCAGGACTCCAACCTAAGACCTTCATCCACAAGATCACTCAGCAACCATGAGGTCTCTGGTCTTCGTTCTGCTCATCGGAGCTGCCTGTAAGCACCCAAACCTCTGCTTGTATTGACTTGTACTTGTCTGAGATCTTAAAAAAATGTTCTCTTGGTTGTTCATTATTGGGCCTCTTGTGCATTTTCAGTCGCCATTGACGACGACAAGATCGTCGGAGGGTATGAGTGCACACCCCACTCCCAGCCCCATCAGGTCTCTCTGAATTCTGGCTACCACTTCTGTGGAGGCTCCCTGGTGAACGAGAACTGGGTTGTGTCTGCTGCTCACTGCTACAAGTCGTAAGCACAGTCTTCATGTTTTCCTGGGGTGTAAAGCGTCATATTTGATGGTTGTTTGTGTGTAATCGGCTTCTTGTCTTGATTTTTCTTTTAGCCGTGTTCAGGTGCGTCTTGGAGAGCATCACATCAGGATCAAAGAGGGTACCGAGCAGTTCATCAGCTCTTCCCGCGTCATCCGCCACCCCAGGTACAGCTCCTACAACATCGACAACGACATCATGCTGATCAAGCTGAGCAAGCCCGCCACCCTCAACCAGTACGTGCAGCCCGTGGCTCTGCCCACCAGCTGTGCTCCCGCTGGCACCATGTGCAAGGTCTCTGGCTGGGGTAACACCATGAGCTCCAGTGAGTATGAATCCTGCATTGTTTTCTTCAAATGTTTTCTTCAAACAGCAGCTTGACCTTTTTAAGTTTCTCTCTCCATTTTCAGCCGCTGACGGTGACAAGCTGCAGTGCCTGAACATCCCCATCCTGTCCGACAGGGATTGCGACAACTCCTACCCTGGCATGATCACCGATGCCATGTTCTGCGCTGGATACCTGGAGGGAGGCAAGGACTCTTGCCAGGTATGTCATTCAGTCTTCAGACAGAAAAAAACTGTTGGAAAATCTTAGTGAGACTTGTTCGACACCCTTTGCTCTCTTTTCACAGGGTGACTCCGGTGGCCCCGTTGTGTGCAACGGTCAGCTGCAGGGTGTTGTGTCCTGGGGATACGGATGTGCCGAGAGGGACCATCCTGGTGTCTACGCCAAGGTGAACCTTCACTATCTCTTCACAATAAGTACAAGTGATATTTAATCATGACAAGTGTTGGGCTAAAACCTTGTTCTGTCTCCACTGACAGGTCTGCATCTTCAACGACTGGCTGGAGAGCACCATGGCCAGCTACTAAGTGATCAAAGATCACCAACAAGTCCAGCCAACAGCATAACACCATTTACTGTACATGTTCCATCTGTAATACTGGACTATGTGACCAATAAAAAAGAAACTTAAAGCATATCGTGCATGTCTACTGTCTGTGGCATTTTTTCAAGGAAAGTGTGGTTCGAAAAGATGGCATATTAAATATCCAACTGGATTGTTATTATAGCTGTGTTTCCAGGTTAAGAGGAGTCAGTTGGTTAGATAGACAAGCTCTCTTTGAAGTGGACACAGTGTTTTTAAGTTCTACCTATCATAACTAGAAAAAAACAGAAAAATCACAAACACACACAAGCACAAACACAGACTCATGTATGGACACAGTTTCTGCAGTGATTCGGGTCTCCTGAAGAGAGGAGATGATACTTTCAATGAAAAAACACGTTTTAGCAAATGAGTCCAACAACTTTAATTTGATTAACTTTGAGTCAGCCCCAGACGCCATTTAAACAACAATGTTTGTGTGTTTTTGTTTTGCATGTCTGAGAATTTTTCCAGATACGCCTTCAGGTTGAGGACCAATCAAATGTTACCGGAAGAGCAGGCACGGCACATTTGGTTGTGTTGTATGCCAGAGTGATAATAATGAAACCTCCTGTACTGGCCTTGATAAATAAGTCAAAGGCTAAAGAGTGAGGAGAGAGTCAGGTAAGAGAGTCATGTTTACATGGACGCGTTTCGGAATAACGATCGGTATAAATCATCCCGGAATACAATATCTTTCCTATTGAGCTGAATTGGATTAGAATCTTCCGATCGACATATTTACATGAAGCGTTTTTAGTCCGATCGGGTATTTATTCCGATTATTTATGTCCTTGTAAATATGGTTTCTGCAAGAATGCTGGTTTAGCTCAACCATTAAACCCTCGTCCATGTTAAGAGTCTGTGGTTCTCAACATGGCTGGCCCCTTTACCACCTATCACCCTCCAGTCTCTCTCTTACTCCCTACTCTTAACTGCTGCCCTAGATCGTCTAAAGAGAGGAGTATAAAGCCTCCAAAAAACAATCTTTAAAAAAACATATTCTTTCCTCTGCTTATAGGTTATTCATCAATGTACTAATTATTGTATTCAAACTGTCCATTTCCTTTTGCTTCGTATTTCTAATGTATCTTTTAGCAATGCTTTTAATGTGCTATTACAATCACATTTTTTGTTGTGTCTGTTTCTCTCTTTAAATCATCTTTATGTTTTGAGCCACAGAAATTGTTCCAAATTTGAATGCTCTGCCTCATTTGCCCAATGTTCTGCCACCCGACTGTACTTGTACCATTGACTTGTACTTTGTCCTCCTTTCATTCGTCTTTGTTGAACAGACACTCACTGTGGAAATTTGGAGACTGTTTCTTCAGCATCCTGTCAATCTTCTGACACCTTCTTCCTCATGGGATGCCATTTGTAAAGTTGCACACGCTGAAAACATCAGCAAATTGTTCCACATCGAGCTCTAGACATAAAAAAAAAAACATAGTATGAATTTTTCAGTCCCTTTTTTTTTATTCTTTACAGCAACACTTGTGAACTGAAATTCTACAACAAGGCTTTTATATGGAAAGTGCAACACATGAAGACATAGAGCAATATGTTCCAGCATGCAATACATGAGTGGTGCCTGTGCAATACAGGCTTTGATAAGGATAAGGCATTACACGGTATATACTACTGTGTGTGTGTGTGTGTGTGTGTAACAGAGGTCTCTCCAGTCTCTGTTACGTGAAAAAAAAAAATTTGTAGGATGGTAGAAGAAAGTCCTACTTTGCTGATTGGTTATTCCTTATGGCTGTGAAATGTCATCGTCTGTCGGGTTAGGGGTAGGATTAGGGTTAGAGTTAGGAGATTCAGAAGAGCGATAATGTTCTGTAATGTTCTGTTCAATGTACAGAGCCGACAGTACATTATACACTTTGGCTTGAGCGTGTAATGATGTTTCCAGCTATTCTAGCCAATCAGAGGCGAAGGAGGCGGGACTTTCCCATACCGTCCTACGGAAAAAATATCGCCTCCGTTATGGTATGTCAGGTAGCTCAGGATTGAGGCAGCTAGTAACAAGAGGTGACATTGTATAAATCGAAGGGTCATTGTAGGATTGTACAGATGAAAAATAAACACGACACGTTAACAGATGATTCTGAGAGATATTTCAGTGAAAGTACGTCTATTCAGATTAATGGTGTGTTGCTTGCAGATGATTACTGGTCGTGCGGTGGCCGGGGCTGATTTAGTCGCACCACCTCTGAGAAATATAGGTTAAGTCGGAGAAGTCCGTGCAGATTTGTATGCAGAGTGACATAGGGAAGGTGCAATTTTAAGTTTAACCTGTTGTTAATATGCTGAACACTTACCTGTGCCTTTCTGTCTGCACTCCCAGGGTGCGCTGGTAAATGAGACCCAGGGGAAACAAACAGCCTTTTAAGGTGCTGTGAGGGTTCCAACAGGCAGATTGGTATGGGGGTGAACAGGGCCATGTGCAATATTCCTGAGGAGAAACTACAGGGAGGATGTGACTAAGTTGAGTCAGAGTCACATATGGTAGTTTAGTCTTGAGTTGTGGCAATTCATTCTTTAAGGTTTGGGGGTTTAAGATAAGTAGAAATAAAGTTGTATGTTTTTAGCACCCTGGTTTATGGTAGCGTCTGATCAGAGAGGATATATAGGTGAGCACTTCCTCTCTGTAAAGGCAATCAGCACCACAAAACTTGCCGGTGAGGGATGGCATGGAGCCCAAGTTTCCAATGCGTGCAGTAGTTGACAGTCCAGGTCTTCAGTGCATTTAAAACAGTTAATTTGGAGATGCCGCAGCGTGACATGGAGTGTAAACAAAGCCGGGTGTTAACTATAAACTAAACAACCAACTTGCGGCATGAAAATAAACCAAAATAAACTCAAAAACAGCTGAAAACAAACAACCGCCCACATGGTTGAAAAACTGTGTGGCCTGATTACCAACCCCTGACACCTGTGCCCCAGTGACACCCTGAAGTAAACTTCACGTGACCTACCATTGGCTGGAACCCTCCTATGCCCAGGTTGTCATGGTAACACCACAATAACATGCATTCCAAAAAAAGCATCATATTGGCTACAACACTCTCAGTTGTTGGTTTGGTCCTGTGCATGAAGCTGTGTACCTGCTGTGTTTTATTGGTAATTGTGTGCACCGTAAACAAATGCCCAAAAGCAAATGTGTGTGTGTGTGTGTGTGTGTGTGTGTTATCTTGACTTTGTCATATGTATTTTTGTTGTTAAAACCATATAAAGACCATTAAATCTAGATGTTGGGTGTTCAATTAAAATGTCATCTAAATATGAAATATTCAATCTAAATGTTGAAATCAGTCTTTGGATGATGGTCTTGTCCACTTTTACAGATCAAAAAGAGGCACAGAGGTAAATTTAAATCTGTCAAAAATTCCTCAAAGGAGCTTGAAAAATGAAAATCTGTTGTTTTAATGACACAATGAAAGTAAAAGTTTATTCTCTGAAAAGCTGTCTCACGTTGAGTTTGGATGTGCAGATTTTATCTACGTGGATGTTGTCATAGTGCTGCAGCTTCTGCAAAGAATACGTGGCTGGTTTTCCTGTGAAAGCCACAATCAGTAACCTCTGGTTGTGAATCATGCCATCTGTAGAACTGCAGGCAAGCCTTGACAGCACAGATCCACCCATTTCAATGTCAACCATTCCTTCATGTGCCCTTGCTTACACAAATTCAACATAATCACACATCAAAAGAGAGTCATCTGCATATAAAGACACATTTGATGTTTGATTGAGATACTGTGGTAATTCCCACCTCATTTTAAGATATTATTGCATATATATAAATTGTTTTCTTCCTCACATCATTCAGCCAATGCAAGTTGTACCAAGAATGTTTTTTTACATTGTTGTGCCAATTTTAACACAACAGTATTCCTGTTTCTCCAAAAACTTAAAGCAAATAACTCGTGCAGAATTCCAGTGCACACCACCACACAGCAAAGCAAATATTTGCTTATCCTATACCCAGAGTTTTCCAGGATCTCGATTGGTTTAAAACGTCTATGGGGGTGTGTTTAGAGAGAGGAACAATCGTATATAAACCAGAACTCCAACCTAAGACCTTCATCCACAAGATCACTCAGCAACCATGAGGTCTCTGGTCTTCGTTCTGCTCATCGGAGCTGCCTGTAAGCACCCAAACTTCTGCTTGTATTGACTTGTACTTGTCTGAGCTCTTAAAAAATGTTCTCTTGGTTGTTCATTATTGGGCCTCTTGTGCATTTTCAGTCGCCACTGACGACGACAAGATCGTCGGAGGGTATGAGTGCACACCCCACTCCCAGCCCCATCAGGTCTCTCTGCAATCTGGCTACCACTTCTGTGGAGGCTCCCTGGTGAACGAGAACTGGGTTGTGTCTGCTGCTCACTGCTACAAGTCGTAAGCACAGTCTTTGTGTTTTCCTGGGGTGTAAAGCGTCATGTTTGATGGTTGTTTATGTGTAATCGGCTTCTTGTCTTGGTTTTCTTTTAGTCGTATTGAGGTGCGTCTTGGAGAGCATCACATCAGGATCAACGAGGGTACCGAGCAGTTCATCGGCTCTTCCCGCGTCATCCGCCACCCCAGGTACAGCTCCTACAACATCGACAACGACATCATGCTGATCAAGCTGAGCAAGCCCGCCACCCTCAACCAGTACGTGCAGCCCGTGGCTCTGCCCACCAGCTGTGCTTCCGCTGGCACCATGTGCAAGGTCTCTGGCTGGGGTAGCACTCAGAGCTCCAGTGAGTATGAATCCTGCATTGTTTACTTCAAATGTAAGTCTGTGCTGCACTGAAACATCAGCTTGACCTTTAAGTTTCTCTCTCCATTTTCAGCTGCTGACAAGAACAAGCTGCAGTGCCTGAACATCCCCATCCTGTCCGACAGGGATTGCGACAACTCCTACCCTGGCATGATCACCGATGCCATGTTCTGCGCTGGATACCTGGAGGGAGGCAAGGACTCTTGCCAGGTATGTCATTCAGTCTTCAGACAGAAAAAAACTGTTGGAAAATCTTAGTGAGACTTGTTCGACACCCTTTGCTCTCTTTTCACAGGGTGACTCCGGTGGCCCCGTTGTGTGCAACGGTCAGCTGCAGGGTGTTGTGTCCTGGGGATACGGATGTGCCGAGAGGGACCATCCCGGTGTCTACGCCAAGGTGAACCTTCACTATCTCTTCACAATAATTACAAGTGATATTTAATCATGACAAGTGTTGGGCTTAAACCTTGTTCTGTCTCCACTGACAGGTCTGCATCTTCAACGACTGGCTGGAGAGCACCATGGCCAGCAACTAAGTGATCAAAGATCACCAACAAGTCCAGCCAACAGCATAACACCATTTAATGTACATGTTCCATCTGTAATACTGGACTATGTGACCAATAAAAAAGAAACTTAAAGCATATCGTGCATGTCTACTGTCTGTGGCATTTTTTCAAGGAAAGTGTGGTTCGAAAAGATGGCATATTAAATATCCAACTGGATTGTTATTATAGCTGTGTTTCCAGGTTAAGAGGAGTCAGTTGGTTAGATAGACAAGCTCTCTTTGAAGTGGACACAGTGTTTTTAAGTTCTACCTATCTAACTAAAAAACAGAGAAATCCCAAACACATACACATGTGCACAAACACAGACTCATTTATGGACACAGTTTCTGCAGTGATTGGGGTCTCCTGAGGAAAGGAGAAGGGGCAGCAGAGCAGCTATAAAACAGAAAAGATGGCTGAGGAAGGATATCTGTGAAGGAAGAAGCTGAGATTTGTCAATTTAGAAGAGCTTATTCCAAAGGTAAAACAATAACAGTTTTTTTCCCAGACTTGTAAAAACCCACTGAGGGCAGAAATGTGGTTTTATTGTTTGTAGCAGCAAATTTATGAGCACAGGAACAGATCTTATTAGGGCTCTCAAGTGGCCTGCTTGAGAATAAAGGTTGCTAGTCAGCACATCTCAAAGCTTCTTAATCCGAGACAGTACACCCATCTTAATATGTGAGATGAAAACTGGTTCTACTGTTTAGGGGTTATGTTGTGTATTTGTGAAAAAAAATCTGACGTTTTGAAGTCAGAGCTCTCCCTCAGTTCAGCGTTGGTATTATGTCGTCTGAACACAATGATCTCAAACATTATCTGACATTTTGACAAAATATCAACTGTAACCCATTGGAAACCATACTTTCAATGATAAAACACATTTTAGCAAATTAGTCTAACATCTTTTAGGTTTAAACTTTAATGTGATTAACTTTGAGTCAGCCCCAGACGCCATTTAAACAACAATGTTTTAGTCATTCAAGGTTGAAACTTAGACTTCCAATTTTTATCACTTTTTAAAAATCTTTAATAATAGGTTAATAGCTTGAATTCTAATTGGGCCACTTCATAGTGGGGTGTGACCAGCTGCCTGTTGGATAACTGTGCATGTCTGAGAATTTTTCCAGATACACCTTCAGGTTGAGGACCAATCAAAACTTTGCTGTGAGGATAAGACCACAAGCCGTCAGCTTAAATTTATCAGTGTTCTTTTTCATTCATCAGTCATACTTCAACCTTGACACTGGCCACGTTAACATGGGCAAAATTTCTTGATCCGATTGAAAATTTGAGGGATCGGATAATCTGAATTCACTGTTTATATGGATGCAAAATCAAATTATCCGATCATGACGAGTTTATATGCATCAAGTTTTATTCAGATTAGAGCCATTTGGACATGCGCAGAGTTGTCTAATTTCGCTAAGACAACCGCAGAAAAAGAGTATTGACGCCTGTGCTCTGAACAAACCAACAAACGCGATAGTGGCTCACTCCATCCAATTAAGGATGTTCCCTCCTGTTAAATATCGTCACTAGATGGCGCACTTGTTTACTTATTTTACTGTTCTGTTAAACGTTGCTCTGTGCGTGCAGATGTGACATCATTACGCTGTACGTATACCTTGTAATGTTACCGGAAGAGCAGGCACGGCACATTTGGTTGTGTTGTATGCCAGAGTGATAATAATGAAACCTGCTGTACTGGCCTTGATAAATTAATCAAAGGCTAAAGAGTGAAGACTGAGTCAGGTAAGAAAGTCATGTTCAGAATAAGTGTTTACATGGACGCGTTTCGGAATAACGATCGGTATAAATCATCCCTTTCGATCGGAATACAATATCTTTGCGATTGAGCTGAATTGGATTTGAATCTTCCGATCGACATATTTACATGAAGCGTTTTAGTCCGATCGGGTATTTATTCCGATTATCTGTATCCATGTAAATATGGTTTATTCAAGAATGCTAGTTTAGCTCAACCATTAAACCCTCGTCAGTGTTAAGAGTCTGTGGTTCTCAACACAGCTGGCCCCTTTACCACCCATCACCCTCCAGTCTTTCTCTTACTCCCTACTCTTAATTGCTGCCCTAGGTCGTCTAAATAGAGGAATTAAAAGCCTCCAAAAAACAATCTTTAAAAAAACATATTCTTTCCTCTGCTTGTAGGTTATTCATCAATGTAACTGTTGTATTCAAACTGTCCATTTCCTTTGCTTCGTATTTCTAATGTATCTTTTGGCAATGCTTTTAATGTGCCATTACAATCACATTTTTTGTTGTGTCTGTTTCTCTCTTTAAATCATCTTAATGTTTTGAGCCACAGAAATTGTTCCAAATTTGAATGCTCCGCCTCATTTAATGACATTAATGTTCTGCCACCTTTCCCCCTTAATCAATATCTAACCCTCTGCAGCAAGCTTTTGTGGTCGATGTATTTCAACTCCCATGATTTACAGTTTGTAAAAGCAGACATAACATGCTATAGACTTCCTGTGAGACATTCCAGCCTTCAGCATTTGTTTTCTGTAGTAAATACAGCTTTTCTGGGGCTACATAATGCTGCCTCTGGGGTCTTTTATAAGGATTAATACTCTTTACTGTTGACATACAGTACCTTACACATTTTGTATAGTTTGTTTTTAATCCCTCTTTGACATGCCAAAACAGGTTTGTAGTACAGCTCTGAGCTGCTGTCAGAAGAGACTCAGCACGATACGTCTTACTACCTACTGGACAAGGTCTGTCTGCAGCTCTGGTTTCTAATCTTTCATCCTAACTCACTCCCATACATTTATATTCTGAGTGGAGTTATATGTGCAAGTTCAGAGGGATTTTTAAAGACTTTAAATTCAATATTCCTGTCATTCATTTCCTCCTGTAATTGTCCATTCTGTCATCTTAGTCGCTTTTTTATCTTGAATCACTGTGGCAACAGTGAAGGGGGTAATTCACATATCTGGACTGGGCTGCAGGTGCTTTGCTATTCTTCACTCTGCCGGTAAGACAATATTTCTTTACGACTGACTGATTTTAATCTGTTGCTTGCTGCAAAGAGAAGTTTGTCATCCTTTCTGTGTAACTGACTGATGGCTGATTTTCAACCACCAGCTTTAACAAACCCTTTGTGGAAAACAGGCAACTATGGCAGGTGAGACATGTCTTTTCTTGTTGAATTGCAGTTTCTTTGAGCATAAAAATCTTCATTATAATGTCACCTGAATGATGCTACTGGTTTGAAGCGATGATTTCTTTTCTTCTGCTGAATAATGCCAGGGGCAAATAATAGAAGACAACAATGAAAGCTAACAATAAGTAGGTCACATTCACTTTCTTTTCAGGCTCGATACAGTTGTATTGTTGAAAGAGCGAGGGTTCAGAGCATCTTTGTGTTTGAATGTCCTGCTTGAACTCACAAGTGTTGATCAAGAAAGGTGTATTTGCTTAAATGTTAAGGTCTTCAATTCCTGAACACACATTCTTTCATATCCAAAAGCTTAAAAAATGCTTGTCATCTGAGACTTTTTGAGAATAAAAAAGATTGTGAAGAAAAGGACTGTGATGGAAAAATAAAGAATGAAAGTTTTAATTCCTCTACATAACTTTTGAACAGAAGAAAAACAGAACACTTGGATGACAGTCAGATTTTTTCCCTTAGATCTGAATAGAAGTCGGTGGAAAAATGAAACTAAAACTCAGTTTCAGATTTTTGTTGTTGCAAACTGACTTCAATCAAAAGGCTCTTTAAAAATCCATGATCTTCCTTTCCAGAAGCAGAAAGCATTTTTCACAGACAGAAAAATTTTGTTCAGCTAGCTACTTAGGGTAATAATAATAATTTTAGGGCCATAAAATAGAGTAAAAGTTCATAACTCTTAATTTACTTTTGGAGCCTTTAAAACTTCCTGTGTCCCCCTTTTTGTTTCATCCTTCATGCAGAGTCCTTCTGTATGGTGCAACAAACCCACCTGGAAGATGCACATCTGAAAATCTTTCTATTAGAAAAATTCTTGCAATTTATTGTAAAGAGGGGGATGTTGTAAAGGTAAACTCTTTGTAATGAACCAAAATGAGTGTCATGATTTTGTGACTTTTTGTATCAAGGTTAACAAAATTTTCATGTATTGAAAAAGGTAGATGATTTAACTAACCCTAACCTCTTTTTATTCGCTGCTTTTGTCCAACAAATTAGATTTCTCCTCCTCAGAGCTGTATCTTGGCACAGCTTTTAGTGTGCAGTGATTGTTGGCTTGTAAATCTTTCAAAACCGCCTCCCCAACACTGACAGTATCTTGTGTTTGCTCACAAACTAATGTAATTTCATGATGTTTAGAGTGCTCTAAAGCTAGCTGTGATTGACCGAATAAACTTGTTTGACAACCATACATAGGTATTTAATAGCATCTGTGCTGGGAACAGACGCAGCACTTTTACAATGTCAACAATAATAAACACACAGATGCATCACAAAATGGTAGATTTTATTGATTGTGCTCAAACTAAACATCTCTCTGTCTCTCTCTCTCTCTCTCTCTTTTCCTCTTGCTCACTGTTTTGGCCTGTTTCTCTCTCTCTCCTCTGCTCTCCTGCTGCTTCTCTTTCTGACATTTCCCACCAACATCTCCTTTCTGTCTCCTTCCATTTCACTCTCCCTCTGGTTTCTCCTCTGTCATGTAGCTCTGTGATAGGAGATCACAGCCTAGCTGTATCTGGAAAGAATATCGTTGATCCAGGGCATCAAAGAGCAGACTTTGGTGTAAACGCCCGGATAGTCTGGCAGAGCACAGCCCTGCCCCCAAGAGACGATACCCTGCAGCTCCCCGTTACACACCAAAGGACCACCAGAGTCACCCTGAGCAGGAAGGAGGCAGGTGAAGAAGGGAAGACTTTATTCCTTCCATTATCTCATCCTCTTAAATGTTCAATCAAAATTTTATTTCATTTGTTACATAATTGTGTGAAAGTACCTGACAAGCATCTTTGCCTCCCTCCAGGTATCCAGCACACACCATGCGATCTGTGATCTGCCCGGGGTAGGATCCTTCACAGTCCTTATCGGACAGGATGGGGACCTTCACACACTGAAGGAGGAATGGGTTGAAAACTGCAGGTAAAAGAAAGAAAAGCAAATAAAGATTATTTTGTCTTTAATGATAGAAAAGCAGCAGGTGGACTTGAAATGTCAGGTGGATAAGGCTGGGGGTCACATTGAGAGAACCGTGTGAGCTACTAACCAGCACCCCAGTGACACCAACATTTTATCTACAGGTAAATTTCAGCATCATGGGTCAGACTTTTGAGGTTATTTGTAAAATGAAAACTTAAAGCAGATCAGAAAATGTCTGTCTTTGGTGACTTAGCCGATTAAAGTATTTAACATGGTTAACTAGCACTTGAATTACTAGCAAGCTAAACAAATCATCAATACTTTTAATATCACAGGCTTGAAATGCTGGTCATATGTTGTATCTAAGCTGAAGTGCAGACAGCTGCCACTAGCTGGGGCTGTAGCTCCCGTTAATGGCTGCTGTCACAATGCCAGGATGCTCGACCAATCAGATTTTAACAAACATAAATGACAGATTGCGTGTCCTCATACAGCATGGAGATAAAGCTGGCTGTATCTGGTTAAATTGACGCATACGTTTATACTCAACTATAGCAACATAGATGTAGATAGTAACCTGTAGGAGGACTAAAGGCTGCGGGCGCTAGCTCTGCTAACATTAACCTCAGGCAAACCAACATTGTTATTGACATGGTTCACTCTTTGTTGAGTTTCCACCCTCCTGACTTTTCACTGGCTTTTAAAAAAATCAGTGAAAACACAAACAGAAATAAGTAGAAGAGAAAGTCTGAACACAATTTAAGCTGATGCTACACTTGCTTTGCTAACGACAGGAAGATCTGCCAGCACGAGTCTCCAGTTAGCAAACAAAGCTTCTTAAAGCAACAACCTTTAACTTTGCAGCAGCTACTATGGCGTTGATTAAGGCTTTTATCACAACATTAAGATCTATGAAAGGCCATTAGTGTTGTAGTTTTGGTTGTGCTCCTCCATGAAAATACGTAGAAAAAGATCATAAAAAATCTGAGATCCTCTAACTAGACGTTTTATTAGAATTAGAACTAAATCACGGTGCAGCTCACCTTGATCTGAGTAGATGTTTCCCCATCCAGACACGGTGCACATGTCCCCAGCTGAGGGGCAGGCTTTGGGCAGGGCGACTGGCTTCACATACTCGTTAATGGTGACTTGGTGGGACAGCTTCATCAGCATGATATCGTAGTCCAGGGTTTGGTAGTCGTAACTCTGATGCCAGTAGATTGCATCGACAGTCATGTACTGCTCTGTGTCCTCATGCATCCAGATGTGGTGATCACCCAGGACTACAATCTGTGAATAGGGGCTGAAATAAAGATAGTGAATGAAATAATAGTTGAAATAGTTCAAACACAAACTTTTTAATATAGTATGTTAATATAGTACAAACTTCTGCCAGCAGTGGGCAGCAGAGACGATCCACTGCTCATTGATGAGTGAGCCGCCACAGAAGTGGTAGCCGATGTTGAGAGACACCTGCCAGGGCTGAGCGTGTCTTGCACACTCATAGCCGCCCACAATCTTGTCGTCTACAGGGGCTGCAGCTGAGGGGTAGAAAGAATAAAAAAAAAATCACATATCAATCATAACAACTGTTTTTTTTTAAACTCTGTTAGACTCATAATGCCCATTGGCTTTACCTGCAGCACCCAGCAGTGCGAGAACAATCAGGCCGATCATCTTGTAGGCTGACTCAAGCCCTTCCACGACTAGACTGGATGTGATCGATCAATCACTCATCGCATTTATACACTCCTCTGTGTCATTCCATTCCCCACCTCTCCCTAAACAACCCCTAACCTCCACCCACCTCTCAAATCCTTGTCCACTCCTACCAGCCCAGTCCCTGCTCTGAAAAATAACCTTATCTTCTCATGTGCCATGTGCATCCTTTAAGGTTAACAGATGAGCCACTTTTTTGGCCTTGGAGAATGTTGTGTGCATTTAATTTTGACGGGTCATTTGGTGGATTTTCTGCCTCCAATAACCCACATAAATGTCTTTTTTTTTCTTTCCAAGGGTGACACGGGTGCAACCATATTTTAAGAGGACATTACATTTTGAAGACCATACATTTTTTTTGTGGTTACATATCGGGGATATAAAAAAGTGAAGAATGATTTAACCCAACATATTAAAACATGAAGAGTATTGGCCACCATCTGACAGAGAAAATGAAAAACAGGCCTCAGCAGGGTTTTGTTGTCTACTTTGGAGACCACAGATGATTTCTTTCTCACCTGTCTTGGCTTTCTTTCAAGGGCAGAGCTGTGAAACTGCTTGTTTAAAACTCCAATCCCACAAAAGTTGGGGCACTGTGCAAAGTATTGATAAAAACAAAATTTGATGGTCTGCAAGTCAACTGGAAATAGAGCAAAGACAACAAATCTAAAACATTTTTTTATTGTTTTATGAAAAATAGAGGCTCATTTTGAATCTGATGCCAACAACATTTTCCAAAAGACTTTAGACAGGGGAGTATTTACCTTTTTTAGATAACACTGTAAACATTTGAGAGCTGTGGAGTCGAGTTTTAGGAGATTTAAATCAAAATTTTAGCGGCTTAACAGTTCGGGTCCTCCTTTCTCCTGTTCTTTGAGAGTTGGGATTGCAGGGAGACCAGTTCAGAATCTGGACTCTTCTATTAAGAAGCCATCCAAAATGAACTTTTGCATCTCTTTGGCTTATTTTGAAAGGTCCTCCCTTGAAAAGTCGTTGTCTAAATGGCGGTATATGTTGCTCCAAAACCTGTTTTGATTGTTCAGCATTAATGGAGCCTTCCCAGATTGTAAGCCCCCCCTGTCACATGGGCACTTTAGCATCCACATACCATCAGAGATGCTGGCTGTTGAGCTGTGCATTGATAACAAGCTGGGTGGTCCCTCCCCTCTTGAGTCTGGAGGAGGCAGAGCCCACAGGACAGTTTACCACTTCACCTCAGTCCACTAGAAGCTGCTGGCCTTTCTGGATGATGTGTAAATACGTCTCTCTTTATGCATGGTACAGTTTGACCTGAATATCAAATGGATATAGTGACCAACAGTGTTCACAGACAGTGTTTATTGGAAGGGATTTTGAGCCCATGCAGGGATTTCTACGGCAGAGTCATGTCTGAGGGTCTAAAATCACAGCTCTCCAGTATCAGTCAGGCCTCGTCTCTGTAGTTCAAAGATTTCTCCAGGTTCGCTGTATTTTTTTTATGATATTGTTTGGTGCAGGTAATGAAACACAAATTCTTTGCAAAGGAACATTATTCTGCAACTGGTAAATTATTCCCTCACCTCGTCTTTTCTTCTCATGTTTGCTTCAGAGAGACGGAGAGCCTTTTTCATACTCAGTTATGTTCCTAACATATTACAAATTAATGGCGTTAATTGGGGCACATTCCTCCAGGTTTTCCTTTTTAGCATACCACAACTTTTTCAAGTTTTTGTTGTCCCTGCCCAAGTTTTTAGAAACATGTGGCAGGCATCAGGTTCAGAATAAGCATATATTTTTTTAAAAGACAATACATTTGATTAGCTATCTATACATTATTTTCTATCAAATCTTGGCTTTAATCTAATTCTATTTTTACCCAGTAGTATTTTTTTCTTTGTTGGAAACTATGATTGAATTCACGTCCGCCTGTTAAGTTTCCGAGCCCGTGTATAAGTTGGTCCAAGTCTTGACGTACTTTGTATAACTTTTTTTCCTGGGTAACGCATGAAGGAAACATGAACAGGTGTTGAATGTGTGGAGACCTTGGTCCACATTTGTAAATAAGGTGCACAGGTGACATAACTACAGGGGGTGTGCTACAACAGGCCCACAGTGGGTAAACATAAAAAATAGGAGCGTGATAAGAAAGTAGATTTGTGCCGACACCTCATGCCAACAGAAAAGAACAGAGTGTGTGGACACAGATGGGGTCAACAGGAGGAAAGAGAAGAGGAGGGGGGGAAGGGGTTTGAGCACAGTGGGGCTGCTGGGATATAAATATGAGTCGATGTGTGTCCAGGTGTCTTCTGATTGTTCATCTGACACCATGAGACTGCTTGCTCTGTTGCTGATGGTGGGAGCTGCTGGTAAAGACACAAATACACATTCACACTCAGATATTTACATACGACACACACCCGGCAACTTATGTGTGCTGTAATGTGAAACGAAATCCAAGGATAGTTGTGGTGAAGAACCAAATCCTTCTCTTTTTCCATGTGTTCGTGTGCAGTGGCAGTTCCCCGTGAAGATGGCAGGATCATTGGCGGACAGGAGTGTGAACCCCACTCCCGCCCTTACATGGCCTCCCTCAACTATGGTTACCACTTCTGTGGTGGGGTGCTCATCAACGAGCAGTGGGTGATGTCTGTTGCCCACTGCTGGTACAAGTGAGTATGCACCGAGTGAGAAAATACGCATTCAAATTTTGTGTAGTCATTAGCTTGTCCTGTTGCTATTTTACCCCCTACATGTCTGGGTTCATTTGTATGCATTAGACTTCCCTCAGAGAGGAAAATAAATACATTAAGAATCTGGTTGTGAGACTAAACATTTTCCAAATGTGTGGAGGACTTGTATTTAAATTGAAAATAAAAGTTTCGCAGTCTTTGCAAAATATAGAAACATGAGAGCGAGACCAGAAGAAATAAACATACTGAAAGTGTTTTCACCTTCCAAAGTTTTGAAGTGTATTTCACACTTGTTCTCAGTCCCTATGCCATGCAGATCATTCTGGGAGATCATGATGTGCGCACATTTGAGGGCACTGAGCAGCTCATGAAGACCGACACAATCATCTGGCACCCTAGGTGAGTGAAGGAATGAACCATCCTGTGTGAGAATACTTTTACATTCCTCATGTTTTATTAATTCACACATTTAGCATAGCAGTAAAATCAGCTGAACTTCGACTTCTATCTCTTCTGTGTGCAGTTACGACTACCAGACTCTGGATTACGACATCATGCTGATTAAGCTCTTCCATCCCGTGACCGTGAACGATGCAGTCGCACCCATCCCACTGCCCACCGGCTGCCCAATTGGTGGACTCCCCTGCTCCGTATCTGGCTGGGGAAGAACATCCACTGATGAAGGGGGTGGGTTGATACTAGAGTTTTTTTTATTATTTCTGTTGTTGCTTCATTGATGTTCACTTCAGAGATGGCTGCTTGGAGACGGGTTTGATGGGGAAGGTGATAGGAGCGTTTTTTACTGCCTGCCTCTGCGTCTTCTTTACTTGATCTTCAACCTGGCCTGAAATGCATCAAGACCATAACAGAAAAAGAAAAAAAAACATGAATGTAGTTTCAGTGACGTTGCCCATTAGTTTCTGGAGAGGGGTTTTTAAAGCTAAAAGATGGCTGAGCTGGGCCTAAATCCTCCTGGCAAACAGATATATTGTACCTTCCTATTGGTCAGGCCATGCTATGAGCTCAAACTGAGACTAAAGTTGCTCGGCAATGCTTGTAAATGTTTGATACTAAATAGAGTGGTGATGTGGAAGGCAAAAATTTGTAAGCTGCTTGCATGGTCATGGCCTAACGGCAGATATAGCATTTTTTTCCTCTTGTTTTCAAAACAGTAAGACAATATAGAGCTACCAAAACACTAGATGTCATATCTGGCTGTAATTAAATCCTGTAGCAGACTCCCATATCAAGTCCAAACTAATATAATTAGTTACGCTTATATGCTTTTTTTTTTTGCAGTCCAAGAAAGTACCTAACAGAGGGCTTCCACTACATAATTGGGATGATTATGTGTTTTTGAAGGTTTTAGATTTAAATACTTTATTGTCAGTAGGCACGGGGCTTGGGCTGACAGCTGCAAACAGGCTGGAGAAATGTATAAACAAATAATTTTTTTGTAGACAGCAGCATAAATTGGGAATACAACCAGCCTCGCTCTGTAAAATCATTTTTCTAGGCTCTATAGATTTCTCATATGTTTCAATCTCTTCTCTGTCTGGTACAGCGATCTCGCCCACCCATCTGCAGTGTTTGGACGTGCCCGCGGTGGCTGACGAAGACTGTGAGAACGCCTATCCTAATATGATCACACGCAGGATGTTCTGTGCTGGGTACATGGACGGAGGCAGAGATGCATGCAATGTGAGTTTTACATAGTAAATGGCTCCACAGACAAATCGAATTCAGCGCCCTGTATTTGTAGAGAAAGACATCGCTGTTAACCCGCTCGCACCTCCTCTCTCTGTGTTTGTCAGGGCGACTCCGGCAGCCCTCTGGTGTGTGTTGGAGAAGTCCACGGCCTGGTGTCATGGGGTCAGGGATGTGCCCTGCCTAACTACCCTGGAGTCTATGTCAAAGTGTGCGAGTTCTTGTACTGGATTGAGGACGTCCTGGCAGCCAACTCCTAAAGAAATGACCAAGTGCTCACCTGATTCTCCCTCTCTTTCTCCATCCTTTACCAACACTGATTTTCTATTAGGGCTGTGACTCTTATTTTATCTCTCTCTCTGGTGTGTGTGTCCTCTGTGGTGTTCTCAAAGCAAATATGCCGAAATGGAAAAAACAAAAACAAAAATACAATAAATAAGCTTGGTAGACCTCAGCTCTTCATTTTTTTGGTTTACACAAAAAAACAAACAAACAAACAAACTACACAGAGGCTGGAGCGTGTGTCACTTTTGGATTTATTGGTATTATTTTAGTATCATATAGACAATTTGATTGAGCAAACAGAGGCCTGCCTTTACCTCCATAACCTGCTCATAAAAACAAGCACATGGTTTAAACTGTCGAGGTAGCAAATTTCTTTCAGTTTTAATTCTACTACCATCTTTAATTGTTCATTTTGTGAAGATTTCAAGTATTAACCCTCCTGTTTAATCTTGTTATTTCCATGAGGCTTAGCAAATGCAAAAAGAGGTGAGTGACTCTATATTTAGGAATCAGACCTGAACCTACTGTGGTGATAATGGCAGTGTGATTATTGAACAGTAGGAGGCCTCAGTGAGAAACTTTCCTGACAGTCCACCCACTCATCTCAGCGTAGAAGCCTATTTTTAACATGACACTAAAAACTATTTTTACACTCTCCGAGGACTGAATCATGGATTTGAGACGTGCTAGTCAGCAGGTAACTGTCACTTGAAAGATATAGTCTGTAATTTGCAGGGGTTATGTTTCTGTCAGGAAGACATTGTCCTTGTCACCTCTCCCAAACTGCATTTATCTTTTCTGAGTCCTGCTCTCTGTTCCTGTTCCCTTTCTTTTTTTCTTCGTCTTTGTTTGGCGGGGCTGGAGGGTCCGAGCCATGCAATTCCACCTACACACAAACACAACACAAGTCATACTAGACTTCACATTTCACAGTGAGTAAGTAAAAAAGATCAAGTAAGCTTCTGTTAAAAAGAGATTCTGGATAATCATTCATGTTACATGAACTCTGCCTCTGCTATGAAATGCTAGTGTTTGATTTTAAGAATAGATATTTGGAGAGGCAAAAACTGGAATTAAATTTGGTCTGATTAAAACCATTAGAGCCCTAACCCTTCTTTGATTAACCAAATGTTTGGTCAAAAGTGAGAAAGCTTGACTTACATGTTATGAAATGTAGGAAACCCAAAATTAACTAGACTCTCAAAAATGCCACAAATATCAGTATTTGGAGCTGCTGTGCACTGCGTTACCTATCAAGACTGCCATCACTGCATTATTAATTCCACTTCAGCTTTTCAAAGAAATTATAAACATAAAGTTTAGGAATATGATTTATTTTGGGAAACTGAGTATGATGAGGCATGGTTAACTTACTGTCATCACCCTTTGGAGAAGAAGAAAGCATTCCTTCTGCGAGGAGTTCAGCACTGTTAAAAATCAGAAAACAAGTGAGTTTGATACTCACTATGAAATACTGTAATTTTTTATTAAACTCAGTACATTAAGAACAAATCACTGTGACAGTCAAATTGTAAAACCTTAAAGGCATATCAGGTTTTATGGCTGCACAGCAACAGCACTACCTAAAGTGCTCTGCTTTGTATTCTATGAGTGTCTCACCTGTTCGAATTTGTGTGTTTTTTGTGCCTTCTTTCTGCTTCATTTCCACTGGGAGTCTGCTGAAGAGAGAAAACAAGGTACTAAGATTGTGCAGCCTCCATCTATATTCACTTCAGAGTAGGTTATGTTCCCTAGAGGTAAGCGTCTGTGAGGATTTGGCAAATGGACACCTGACACCAACAATATGCAGAAGACTTAAGAGTCAGTAGAACTTACCAGAAAAGGGCTGGAGTTTTTCGGTGGTATCATAGATTCTGATACCTGTGATTGGCTGGGGGGAGATGGACAAGGTAGGGTAGTCAAGCTTTTGGGTGGCAGCGGTGGGGCGACAACACCAGCGCCAGGAACTCCCAGACTAGAGAACTGTCAAAAGAAGATGTAGAAGGGTTGGATACTTCACTAGCTTTCAGGGAGGAAACTATAAAGATAAGGATTGGCAGAATACATGATGAATGCATGTATCCAATCACAGATGGTTTGCTTAAGTAATGCAAGATGTCAGCACCTATCAAGGCAGTTTTATTGTTTCAAATTTGCCCTCACACACAAACACATAAACATAAACTAAAGGCCTTATATATTAAACCACACTATCAGACACATCCTTTACAAATAACTTTATCTTTATTGTAGCATTGCAAAGAACACAGGACATGACCTCTGTGACAGTGAACCTGATAAACTAACCAGCCTCTTTGACAAAGGAGCATGCAGTTTCCTGTGTTTTTAATTGTTGCCCACCCCTGCTATGGGGTGCCGTTTGTGAAGCTGCTCGTGCTGAAAATAACAGCGACAGTTTGTATTTATATTTAGCTTCAGGAACTCACTTTTTTGCACATTTACAACAATATGTGAACTTAAATATACTAAATAGTTAAATCCAAATATGAAATGTTGCACCTAAAGGTTAAATGTTAAATCTTAATACTAAATCTAAATCTTAAATCTAACTCTAAATGTTAAATCTAAATCGTTTGTAATTTTAAATCAAGATCTAAATGTTAAACCTACATATTAAATGTTGTATCTCAATGTTAGATATTAAATCTAAATACTAAATCTAAAAATTATATCTTAATCTATAGTAAAATCTAAATTTTAACGTTAAATCTTAATCTAAATGTTAAATCTAAATGTTTCCGGTGAAACTTAATATTTAGCTAATATGCAAATTAAAAATGCCGGTAACCGGAAGTACCAAAATAAGAGCTGGAGGAGGTAAGAGTCTGTTTGTAGTGTGAAATAACGAATAAAAAACAATCTTATCCGAAGAAATTGACTCTTGGACATAAATTATTGTGATAATAACTACATAACTCGTTTGAAGAGACTTTATTTGACGAGTAACATGAGTTTTTAGTGTCACTTTGGTCGAGCACACCGGCAGAGCAGTTTTGGCGGCCATTGAGAGTTTTTCATCCGCGACCACAGGGCCAGTGCCACCACAGACGACCCCGGTAAGTAGTAACGTTATCCTAGCGTCCCAGCCAGGCTAACGTTAGCCTGGATAACTTTAAGTAGCCTACCCGATGCTGCTACATGACATGGAAAACACACTTACCAAATGAATACTGCAGCATGCAGTTTCCAGAGTTTGTAACTGTGTTGGCGGCCTGCTGTTAGTGGAGGTGAAGCCAAGGGAGAGGAATGACTCATCATAATTTCATTTCTTTGTTTTAGTTGTTTTGACTTTTGATGTAGAGTCATTATCAGCCCTGTGTTTGCTTGGCAGTACTTTTAATTGGCCATACTTGGCTGGCCGTGCAGAGAGGTGTGCATTTATGAGTCCACCCCCCTCATCGCTCAGGAATCACTGGTCTAGTCATTACTCTCAAAATCAAAAAAATGTCAGCTTCATATTGCTGCTGATGGAAAAGGAATGTCATAAATTTTGATTCATTGTTCGGGGACCCTGAACATCTCCATAAATTTTGAGCAATCTCATTTTGTAGATGTGAAAATATTCCACCCACCTTCCTCATTGCAGCCATCTCCTTTACCATCAGCTCAATGTCCTCATGGTCATCCTCCTCCACATCTTCCTCACTGTCATCCTCCCACTGCCTGCTGCTTGGAAGGTAGGGTTCGATGAGGATGGGCTCTGTTCCTCTGATGTCACAGCGGCAGTACGGGCAGGTGTGGCCGGCTGACTTGTGCTGGATAGTTATAGAGGACAGGCCAGAGCAGAGTAACAGACACACATTATGAATGTAAAGATGAGATGTTGTGAATAAACCTTGTCTTTAAAGCGAAAAGGCACACATTTTCAAGGCGGAAAACACTAAGTTTAAAAGTGATTCTGAATTTGCTTTTTTAAACTTCAGTACAGTGAAGACCAGTTGCTGTAAAATTGGACTTTTCTTTTATTTTGAGAATACAGGATTGATGAATTGTTGCTCCAAAGTAGATGCCATGCAAACACGTTTCTCAACATGGCTAATTTGCAACCTCTGTCACTGGTTTGACTTCAAAAATCAAAACAGAAATTTCTAAGTACAGAAATTTAACTAAACATCTGTTAATATGTGATCTTTGATTTAAACTACAAAGTCATTGTTCACACGGCTGACGTTCAGTTGCATGTATGTGGTTGTCTTTGCTGATTCACAGACTTGATACCTCATACTTTAATCATTCCATTGTCTTGTATTGTAAACTTGATGAGGAAGTCTGGTTGACCACAATCTACTCTAACTTACAACTTTTCCATTGTGGTCTGACGTCCACGACGCATATCTAATTTTCTTTTCCTGTCTGCCTCTCTTTCTTTGTTGTCCCTTTCACTCTCTCTCACACGCACGTCTTTTCATAGCGTACTTGTCTTATGCAGATTGGGGAGGATGTGAGCCTAAGCTTAAACAGGAAGTCTTCAGCCAAATGTCAGGACTTTTGAACTTGGCACCTTTTTACAGATTTAAACCCTCCCATTAGATGAGAGGTGACTGTTTAGGTGGAATAAAGCAGGAGGCTTTAGTTTGCCTGCAGCTACTTTAGCTTTGAGTTTGATGTTTTCAGTGAAACCCAGACGAAAAAGGAAGCGTGAAATTCTGAAGACCCAGCTGCAGGAGAAAATGTAAGCCAAAACAAAACTCACTTTGAGTTCACTTTTTGATAACAGGAAGCTTGTCCCAGTAGGACAAATAATGTCAGTTAAAATTTCAAGTGTATTTTCTGTAGGAAGATAATCAAAAATTAAACATTTTCCTGTTTTGAAATGCACAAACATGCCAAGGCCATGATTTGTTTTCTTTCTAGATAACGGGACATGTAAATATTAGTCGCATGCTTAGTTAAACACCACAGATATTTTTGACATGACCTCAAACCACATTCAAATAACCAGCATTGATCCGAATGGCGGAGCGACGACATAAACCAAACTTTGGAGCTGATTAAATGACTTGCTTAAGAAACACTGTTTCGCCTCACTGAACACCCACCAAGTGTTACCGTAACACTCGGTTTTGCTTCCGTGTGTCTGCAATCGCACAGGGAGGTGGAAGATTTGCATGTGTGCCTCAGAGAGTATGCAGGTGGGGCCTCACTCATACCTGCCAGCCTATGAGGCAAGGTCTGCACAGGAGATGTCCACAGGGCTGGATACGAATGTCCTTGTCTCTCTCTGCACAGATTTTGCACAGCTGGAAGGTGCTGCCGATATCACAGTAGAGCTCATACTGCTCCTGTTTAGAGAAGAGGACACTTCAGGATATGATTTATGTTTTGTCCTAGTCTTTACCTCGAGGATGCTGCTGGCAGTTTCATAAATTGATAAAGAGGTACAAAGTGCATCCTCTTACTTCTGAAACTTTGACTTTGCCCCTCTGGGCTGGCTCACTTAAGCTTGTCAGGTCGGGGTTCACATCACGGCCATCTGGGTACAAGTAGCTGCAGGCACACAGACACACACACACACAGCACTTATAGTAAAGACACGAACAGAAGAGAAAGTTAGCCGGTGACCTGAGTTTGCTTCCTCACCATCCTTCCTTGAAGCCCTCAATGAGCGCCAAGTAGAGAGGTGTATTCTGGGGGATTGTCTGGACGATGTTACCCTCATTGGTCACATGACCAATAGCCCACTGACCCATTCGGGTGCAGCTCAGGCGAAAGATATAGCTGGAAGAAAAGAAATCCTTTAAACTAAGAATGTATGTTTACACTGAAGGCTAAGAAAATCGATGTGAATTCTGGTTTTTGGGGTGAAAATGAGTCTCTGATATGGTTGGTTCAGAAGTTTATGCAGTTAATTACTGCAAAACGCTTCACAATCGTGAAACAGCTGTAATTTTTAGACTGTAAACTGTCTGAATAAAAATGTTATTGCTCTCTTTGAACATTTTTATCAGGTCCTACTTTATACGAAAATAACAAAGTCTCTTCAACTCACTCAAGTTTGACGGGTTACAAAAAAATGCCGACAACACAGAAAGGAAATGAAAAGTACTTGCAAACTTTCATTATCATCCTACTTGTTTTATTATAAAGTGTTTTCGGTCTTTGGTGCTTCAAGTGTCTTTCCTCTCTACCGAGGTACTCCACAGCCTCTACAGTGCTATTTTGAGATTTGATTTATGTGGATGCCTTTTTCTGTGAGGTGAATCAGTTTGTTAGTCGCTGGGCTTGCCCTTACCTCCCTGGTCTATGGAGGTAGTGTTCCAGACGAGCTACAACCTGGTCATAGGTGAGGAAGGCCATGTATCCTGGATGAGTCACAGCTAGCTGATTCCAGTTTCTAATGAGTGACCTCCAGGGCTAAAATGACAGAAAAACAAAGATTATATTAATCATGTTTCACCACTTAAATTCTAGTTTTTAGAGGTAAACAAAGCACTCTGATTCATGTTTGCTGAAGATGAAGCTACAGCCAGGAACTAGTTAGTTCATCATAGCACAAAAGACTGAAAACAAAGATGAAAATCTAGTTTGGGTGGATCTGAAGGTTAAAACAACACTTAAGAATGTGTCATATTTTGTTTGTTGACCAGTATTGCAAACTGGAGTGTGACAGTAGCAGGTTGTGGTTTATGTGTGATAATGTGCTTGACTTGTTGGAAACATGTTGCCATTTTTTTTTGTGCCATTTTTAGTCCAACATTTCTTGGCTAACAGATTGGTGTGTAAAGACACTATTTAAAGTATAGAGAGAAGTAACCGTCTTCATATTCTGATTCCAGTAAGGACATAACTAAGACATTGAACTGTTCTAAGTATTCAGAGTTCTCTAACCTGAAACAGTCTGGTGAAGATGTCAAACTCAAACACAGAGATGTGATCGTTACAGGTGAGATCTATAGTTGACTTCAGCGCCATGGACTCCATGCTGTCCTCAAATGCATGTACACCCTGCAGCTTCTCTTTGAAACTACTCCACTGCACTATACACCTGTCAGGACACACAGAGGGATTTTGGAAATATACACATAAACTATCAGGACAAGAAATGTTTATGATTAAAAAAAATGTCTTAGTAAAATTTTCCTTTGCGTACTTGTTGCCAAATGAATTCCTCCAAAAGTCTTCAGCTTCTGTCTTGGTCAACCTGTAGGAGTCACCCTGAAAACTACCTCCAGGAAACATGGCCTTCAGCTCCCAGAGGATGTGACTGAACAGCAGGGACAGCTTGGTCAAGTTCCTCCTGAGGTTGAAAAAACACACAGCAGGCTTCAGTTGCAGAAATGCAAATTGGTCAAATTTGCTCTGGTATGTGAAAAACAAATTGAGATTCACCAGTGATAAATGTTTGTGCACAAGCAGCATCATCTGTGGTTTTGCAGTTTACAAGCCTACAGTGGACATTAAACACCTTGTGTGAATTTGTAAGAGGAGACTGGTCTGTAGTGCTTTGCATTGACAGCTATTGTTCAAACTCACCGTTGTGTGTTAATAAATTGTGAAATGTGGAGGAAAAGATAGAAGCGAAGATATCATTTCACAACCTCCTTGTTCAGTGAACAATTACTCTTGCTATTGCACATCAGATACTACACTGCTATGTACCAGTGTCATCAAGCACTGATGAGGCATTGCTGACACTTTCCATACACACGCAAGCACACAGCAGGTAGTCCAGCTAGCAAACAGGATGCTCTCTTCTGCATGCTTGTCTGTAAAACCACAAAATGTTCCAGTGGCCAGTGTGTTACTTCAGCCCAGTGTACCAGTGTTCATTCTCTTTCTAAGCTCGTCTTTGGTTATTATGTGATTTAATTTTTGTTTTGCAAACACTTATTATACAGCAAATTCCTTTTTTTTTGACAATCATTATACGAGTCTAAACAAGTAGAGTGTTCTAGACATCAAATCAAACACGCAAGTTTTAAACTCCTTTTTTTGTTTTATGTATCCCTATAGAGGTCTTTAACATGCTTAACATGCATATTGATATTTCATCTATAAGAGAGTTTAACTAAAGGTACTGTGCCTCAAACCATTTCCTACATTTGCACAGAACATAAATGAAACATTTTTATCTTCACTTGAATAAAAAGTGCATGTAGTCTCTAAAGGTGAATCATTAATGTGAAGTTGACTGCATCAAACAAACTTCATGTCTTATTTATACAAAAACCAATTCGAGTGACTAGCATTGTGCTTCATGTCTTGAGATCAGGAAACTTTGCTGTAATCCATTATCAGACACACTTACCGTAAATTTCAAGTAATATTACCAATCATCCCTGAGGTGAATTTGCAAACTTAAGTGGCACTTTACTCATTTTTCACAAATTATTGCGTAATTCATAGCATGACAAGTATATCTGTTTCTTAACATGTTCCAACATGCAGTTCTAGCTGTATTAGTTCACACATTTGCATGTTTTTTTTCTTGAATTCCAGTCAGAGAAGGTTAAGGTTCTTAACCACAGACAATAACCCCCCAGTCGCTGTTTCTACCACATCTTAGTTCCAAATTGAACTCCACATCGTAGCCAGGCATAAATTTCACTCACTCACAGAAATCATTTTAAGACCATCTATGGACACATTTGATTTGAAATAGACAAATACCTGAGGCCTACTGACTTGGTTCTGTGAGATATGAAACTGCGTAATGGAAAGGAAAGACAAAAGGGGTTTTTTAACTATTTGACTTCATATCTAAACTATATCACATGTTAAACTCTTGTGAACTTGACACATGGCTGCCCATGCAGACCATCTCTGCGGTAAGAACGCCATCTGTTATCTTCCAAAGAATGCTCAAGTCCCCACAATGCATGTTTGAATATATCTTATCTGATTTTCAGGTTGCTCTGAAATTTAGTCTTTGACGACGCTGTAATTTGCAAGAAGATACATTCGACTGCATTTTCCATGAACCGAGAAGAATCTGCAAGTAAATGCTACATCATAGATGACAGACACTGACAAGGGCTTGTGGTTGAGACAACAGTAGTAGCTCAATATTTTAGAGTACGATTTCTACAGTACAAACAAGTATCAACCTCATAAATTGTGAAACTTCAAAATTGAAAACACAAATGGCTAAATCTGCCGAGTTTAAAATACAGTTTATAAGCATTTTGATTATCCTATATAACCACATTTACATCATCGATCTTGTTATACTGATAGAAAATCATTTTATCTGGCTAGATTGATAGAAACATTGCAGGAGAAGGAGGATAATATCAAAATAGTTGTAGAAAGAGCTATACCACTGAAAAGATCAATAGACTTGATAGTTAGTTAACTTGCAAGTTTATGAGTCCGACAAAAAAGCGACACTGATCGATTTAAGAGGTAGATAGCTGTCAAGATTTACAGTTAGAAAGAAAGTTAGGCAGTTGGCTAGCTTGACAGCTCACTTTTATTGATACGTTCGATTGATAGTTTTATTTGATAACTGGATATCTACCAATAAGAAGACATTTAATAAGAGTGACTTTGTGATGATACGGGAGAGCGGATTAACTGTTAACTTGTGACAATGCAACTTTACTTTTTACCATTTCCTGCATATTCAAATGTCTTGCACATTGTGTGTGGTCAGGATACATTTGAATTAAACAAATCAAGCGGAGTGGTTGACTGCACATCCATTTCGGAAATTAGACCATATTTATTTAAGAGGATATATCTGTGCGTCCCTTGTAGAAACACATGCATAGATACTTGAAGAAGAAAACGTTCAAGACTGAACTATCTTTCCCCCGAGCTGCTCTCTTACTGAGGTTGTAATTGCTTTGCCAAGTTCCTAACATTAGCATCACAAAGATGCAAGTTTGGCCCCTTTTCTAGCGTCGTCATTAGTAGTCTGAACAGAAGCAGTGGATGGAGCCCAAACTGCAAATAAAACAGTCACTCTTTTTAGCTTTTCCAAAATATCCGCTCGAGCCAAATGGCCAGCACACAGAAAAAGTACTTTTTTCCCTGATATAGACTGTGAAATCCACACAGTTAAGACTTGAGTAACCAGTGAAGTTAAAACTACAGGACACAGTCTATCGAAGAAGCATGAGAGTAGAATATTTGTTGATATAATTTAGTCTTAACAGGGGTCAAAGCCTTTATCCTAACTGACACACAGTAAGTTATGACTCATCCAAGGTTTACACAAGGCTATTTCTGGGTTCTTGCACTTTTTGAGGAGCATAAGCTGAGTAATTCCCCGTTCCCATGGTACTGGATAAAGATTTAAGGGATGCGCAGACTCTTTTAGACCCCAGCTGAGCAGTTTGTTTGACCCGAGAGTCAAGTCACCAATTTTAAATAGTCTGGAAAAATAAAATATTGTGAGATAACATTTGGAGAGATGGCTCTGAAAATACATGGGTAACCCTTAATTTTTGGTCACCAATGTACTGGAATAATAGGTCTTTTAGACCTCAGCCCAGCAGTTTGTTTGACCCGAGAGTCACCAATCTTAAATATTCTGGAAAATAATAATATTGTGAGATCATGTTTGGAGAGATAGCTCTGAAAATACATGGGTAACCTTGATTTTTGGTCACCAATGTACTAGAATAATAAAGAGTTTTGGATTTGTATGTTCAGGTTGCGTTCTGTGGAAGCCGCAGATCTTGTTCCAACACTTGATTAGAAAAAAATAGAACAATGTGAATGATTAAATTGGATGATTGTGATATCCTTAAGGAAATGTTGTGCGCATCTAATTATTCTTACAAGATTACATATAGCCTGAAAAGATAATTATGTTAATTCAATTAAATCACTTTATAGTAGTTTCTTGGTACCTGCAAATATATGACACGGATCTCTCCTTCTACATCTTGATTATAAGACAGGAAATAGGTGTAATAAGCTTTCATTGATTAATCCATTCATAGAAATCCTGGTTTCAATTATGACCAAAATTTATCCTTTTATTACAATTTTAATGCCAAATTTAAATAAGTCAAACACAGAGTGATGATGATGAAAAGCTCATGAAATGCCTGAGGCTGCGTCTAATGTTTTACTCAATAATTTTGGAAAAATACTCAAATATTTGCAGCTTCTTAAATGTTAAGAGCTACAGCTGACAGAATTTGGCACTTTGGGTTATATAAGTGAATTTAAAGGTATACTGTCAACAAGATTTTCTTATAATTAACTCTTCTTGTCAGCCCTCTTACCTGCAGCTGGATGTCTCTTCAAAAATCTTCTCCCTTCCGTCTTTAAACAGCATCACAGCCCTGTCTGTCTTATCCAACAGGTTTCTGACATGGACTCTCAGGTACTTGGCCTCATCTCCACGGGGCACGGGGCCACTCGCTGCCTTGGGGCCTCTGTGAGGCTCCCAAACCAGTATAAGCAGCTTTGATGTCTCAGATACTAAGTCAGGCAGGTATGGTGGACTGTTCCTCAGACTCAGCCGGGGGTCAGTGCAAAGTTCATGGAGCTTGTTCAGCCGTTTTAGGGTCTTGTCCACCAGCCGAAGGTCTCCGCTGTTAGGGGGCTGGGAGCTGGATTTGGGGTTTTTGGAGGCTCCTGAACCTGCTGTTGCCATCATGTCAATGTTGAGAGCTTGATGATGATGTGAATCAAAATCACCTTATATGTGAGGCGATTTGCATGTGTTGGGGCGGAACAATAAATAATAACTGTGGTTTTTCTGTTACCAAGAGGTGTGAAAGCTCAGTTGTCGTCTGTGGAAATGGTTCTGAGCAGAAATAGGAGGAGCTATCAATATGAGCTCAAGTTTTTGAGTGTTTACTCTGGTGTTTGTGGTCCTTCGAGTTATTTTTGTAAGTTCCCAACTTCATTTGAAAAACACACATCTTAGCCTTGTCACACAGCATCCAGTCTTGACCCATTACAATCCATCAGCATCCTGTTATCCAACAGTAGACAGCAAGTTTGGTCACAGCATCTCTAAAAGTGGACTCCAGTTTGCATTTCATCTCTAAGTAGCCAACTCTGTCCGCCTGTAGCTTCTCCTCTTGACAGATCTTGGAAATAAAGTAAAAATAAAAACGGGAGGTCAATTATAAAAAAAAATCTAACTTCAATATTTTCTCACAGAGGTTAAGCACAAAAGAAGAGTCAACCAAGAACAAAGTAAGGGAGTGCCAGAGACTGACTCAGACACTGACACCGTTTCCCTTCCTTCTCTCCCTTCACCCCAAACAGTTTCAGTCTTTCTTGCCCTGAATTTAGCACAGTGCTCTGCTTACCAAAAATCATCTCATAGGCACAGCCAGTCCACTCTCTAAGGGTCAACTGAGCTGAGACGTCTACTCACGGCATGGTGGAAACATGGTCTCTGTCACTGGCTGAAAAGTTGTTGTGTCTTCTTTTGGTCTCTGTCCTTGCTCGCACCTTTACTCCCTCCCTCTCTCTCTCTCTACTCTCTCTCTCTCTCTCTGTTTCTTCTCAGTGCACCCTTTGATTGGTTTCCTGGTTGCAGCCAGCTAAACAGGTTTGTTTTCTCTGCTCTATTGCTCAAACAGAGGAGAGAGAGAGAGGAGGAGAGAGAGCGTGAGAGAGGGAGGGAGGAAGACAGAGAGGTGTGAACACCAAACTAAGCACTAGCTAAGAAACCATGAATGAGTTCAGGGCAGAGCATATGTGGTATTCAGGCCGTAAGATTACATAGTTACAGGTATATATTGTTAGTTCATGTAGGTCAAAGGTCAATCGGGTTATAAAACTTTTTATGATCTTTATTCCCTGATTGCTGGAAACAATGTTTACTATGCAATAAAACACATTTATTCAGCATTTCACCTGAAAATCTGCTGAATAGTTGGATTGATAACAATGAGGTTTTGGTAATAGTCCTACAGGAAACTTTCAAATTTCAATTACTTTTCCTGTAGCGCCATCATCAGGGCAAACTTTACATATCACAACCTGGGTAGATGACTTTCCATTATGAATTTGTTCAAGATTACTTTGCAGCAGGTCTCTAAACTATCAGCATTAATAATTAGTATAAATAATACATCAAAATACAGACATCAGCAAACACTCTCTTCTCAAGAAGCTGGAACCAGTCAGTTTCAGCATTTTTCAAATAAATGAGTGAAAATATGTCCAAAATTATTGATTTAGACAGGTGACAGATATGAAATCTCGACAGACTGATTTTTTAATTGTTATTTTAGTGATGACTGAGGACATTAATTGTTATCTTAGATGCTGTAAAGTAATTCCAACTAGGCTGAGGAAGTTTATGAAGGGCATGTTTATACAGGTTCATATTATCATAATATAACAAACATATTTTTTTCAACTAATTGTTTTGAACTTAATCATTCAAATGTATTTAGACAAATCATTTGATAATTTTGTACTTGTCAGTCCATCTCTTATCATTGTAAATTATGCCTTTAATTATGTTTATCCTTTGCAAAGCAAAGCGCTTTGAATCGCCTCAGAAAATAAAATGTGATACACAAACAGAGCTGCCTTGCCAATCACCAAAAAACAATTATATATTTTTTTTTATCATTTTAAAGTTAGCTAAGATGAGTATAAAAAAAGCCTCGAGAAAAATTACTGTACGTGTAAAAACTAACTTCCCCCTCATGTGTTTGTCACTCGTGCTAGCTAGGCTGCTAGGGAGCTAGCCAGTGCTCTCTTACCTGTAGCAGGTGTAGCAGCTTCAGATCAGCCTTGTCTACTTCCCCAATATTTGTTTAATGAGTAACTTTATACAGCTGCATAGCTTTAAAGTTAGCCCATAAAAGTATTTTTGAAACAAAATTTACTTTCCTTTAATCAGTCATTTAGTTTATGTACACAAGACAAAGTATCTGATTAAATGAAGGAAAAGGGGAGCTTTGATGAAGTTTCTAATACTGGACAAATTTGTTTTCTTCTTTAGGTTTCTATAACGGGTTGCAACCCATGAGTTGAGGGTGCATATCACTGAAGGTTATGTAGAAAAGGCTATAAAACACCACATCTTTACATTAACACATCAAATCCTAATTTACAGTATCACTGGGTTGACTTCAAGTAGTTCTATGAATAATATCTCAGTTTCCTCTTTTCATATATTTATAACATACATTAATCTGGTTGTGTTATTTTTATACTGTGTTTGATCTTTCATTTATTTTAATACCTATATGAGCAGGTATCTACAAAACCCCACATGAGTTTGAGGTCTGCATAGTCTGAATGAACTTTGAAGAATCAACACAACACACCACTTGACAGATTTCTCATGAATATCCCATATATTGAATATGATAGTGGCATTAAACATCTCTGCTCTTAGAAGTACAACAACAGGAAAGATCCACAAGAGGGAGACACTAACTCAGAAACTGCTCACTACACTGACACAAGGTTACATTGTTAGTATACTGTATACACCAGTTACCCACTTTAATGCCAATCCAGCTTATTTTTCCTGGAGATTCCACATATGCTATTAAAAAGATTTAAATCTCACATCTTTTGAGTATTTGCAAGATTGTCTGCAGACGCAGTTTCTCCAACAAACACCTGAAAGGGAAGAAGTATGTTAGAGCCACCTTGTTAGCCGCCATAAAGGATGTTAGTTTGCACTGCAGTATGTAAAAAGAGTATTTTTTGGGATGTATCTTGGTGTGCATCATCTTTTATTTGTATAGTCTGGCTGCATGTTTGCTCTCCTGCCACAAGGGGGCATAATACCATTAGTTAGTAGGTCAGTCTACCTGTTGTCTTATCAGTGTTGTAAGTAATTTTCCTTACCATGCAGCATTGTCTCGGACCACTGAGGCTCTAAACATGTAAGGTTAATTAGGAGTATTTCTCATTATGTACTCTTAAAGAGCCTCATTTACTGTGTTGATCATTTAGCAGTGAACAAAGATGGCTGTGGAATACAGGGGCCTGTGTGTTTGGAAAAACAAAAATGATATTTAATATCAGATGACCCTAATGGTTGAGTGCCTTGACAGCTGCTGAGTGGGTTTTTGTAGTGTCAGGGTCTTTTGGGGGACTTTAGACACCAAGTCTGACTTTCCGTTGCCAGTGTTACACTTCAGTGGAAAGAGGAAAGTCCCAAATTGACCCTGGTAATTAGAGCTGATGTCAGGGTGGAGTAGGGTAGGATTAAAGACAAAGAGGTGAGATGTGTTTTTTTTTTTTGTATGTGCATTAATGCGCACATTCACGGTTCAGTAAAATGTCTGTGATCAGGTAACATGTCCATATACAGAGCAGCTGTTACACTATACACCAACTGATCAGTCTGCCAGTTTGGGTGAAGGGCATCTCCTGTCCAGTGTTCCTCTTCTTCAGGCTCCACCCTGCAAATTTAAAGGAATAGACTGTGAAATTCTGAGTCTGCAGGTCACCTCTGATAAAGGCTCACCACCAGATTGGTGCAACTGATGAACTTACATGACAATGACTGACTTCTGATTGCCTACAACTTGCAAAATCTGTACTTCAAGCAGCAGGAAGTTACACAGTCTATGATGAAGCAGAGTTGTACTTTAGCCCTTATATGGTGTTTGTTCATACTGTTCTTAAGTACCTTTACTACTACATGCACCTATTAGCAAGTTGAGATTAGTTTTTAAACCCAGGGGATTAGTGTCAATTCTAATGCAGTGATGCATGTTGGATGTTTTGGGCAAACATCTAAAAAAATCTGCAGAGGCAGGCCATCATGTGATCAGAATACAAGAATAACACCAAAAAAAAATACCCCTTCCATCATATGAGCCCACAGAAATCTTTCAAACATGAAGACGAACCTTGTTTTCCTGTGGCTATTTTACATCAATCTAAAAGAAACAACTCAAAACTTCCCTAATGTGCAAACACATTATGAAATGGTCTTTGCAAAAAGGACTAAAATGATCATAATTTGTTCCATTCCTTCAACAAGGAAACTTGATAAATACAGAAAAAGTGTGAAAAGGTTTGAATGAAAAACACGCCTTATGTGTGGTGAAAACTGTTGCTACACCAAAGTTGTCGTTAACTCTATATTATGAGCCTCAGACTGGTGATGTGTGCTCTGACCTGCAGTCACATCACAATGTGCGCAAAACAAGTGAACCGACAAAAACCAACGACCCGTCTTTCCTCCTCAAACTTCTTGAGAAATTCAGCGATCAATCAGATGTTTTGAACCAGGATGTAAATCAGACAGATGTCAGAGAAGAAGCCAATGCATAAAATTAACGTGAATTCACAGCCGTGTTTTCTTTTCTCTCTCTCTCTCTCTCTCTCTCTCTCTCTCTCTCTCTCTCTCTCTCTCTCTCTCTCTCTCACTCAGCATGATTTGTTTCGGTTTTAAAGGGAAAGCACCGTCAATTTAAAAGCAGATGAGCGCTGGCGCTGCTCTGCACTGTACCTTCAGTTTAGTGCGCATGGATATATGCATGTTATCGACACTTCTTTTGGCTTCAGTTTGAAAATACAACTTCATTCCGGGTCGATGAACTGAGAGAGATCCCAGTGACACAAAAGGAAACTCAGCGAGGATTTGAATGCCGCCAATGAGGTTTTATGGAGATGGGAATTGCGCATTGCTGGTCCCTTTGGATGGCGTGTCACTGAACGCAGAGAGGTTGTCACACACCTGAAACTTCTCCAGAGACTGAACACCTCGACCCCCAGTTGATGCCGAGGATCATGACCATGAACGGTGACCACCAGTCGGTTGCCACGGCACCGCTGGATTTACGCACCACAACCCGGGAGCGTGGGAGCTCCGGTGCGAGGAGTCCGGATTGCAAAGGTCACGTAAGGGACGCCCGGGTGACAGGCGGCTCACCTGCACCTCCTGCGTGCACGGGGACGGACAGTTTGCAAACACGCTGCCCTGCTGTCAGAGACGCGCACCGGTCAAAAAACGGCACCGACCGTAAGCGACCGGCGGACGAATCTTCCCTCAGGCTTCCTTTTAGGAAACGCCGGATTCTTGTAGAGCCGGAGACCCAGAGTCAGTCACCGGCTCCTACAGAGAGAGGAGACCGAGTTCCCCCCGTGGTCGAGACAGACTTTACATCCCGGGTTCGTCGTTTGGAAAGAGTAGCGGATGATGGCAGGATCAGCGCTGGACCACTGACTTCCAGTTGGCGTCATGATGCTCGACAGAGTCTTGATGGCTATCCCGTCCGATTTTTGCAGCCTTTTGAATACAGTAAGTGTTTATTAACATTTTAAACAACAATATGCAATACGTCCCCCTATCTCAGAAAACAGGAATGTTTTATTATCTTCATAAACCATTAAATAACTGTTGTAATAAATGTAGTTACTTTAGAGTAGCCACAAAAATCAGGATCTTCTGACATACTTTAAGGAACATATTTGTCAACTCTGATGAATTCTAAGACTGTTTTAGCTGATGGAGTGTGTCAAAACCCTCAGGGACTGTAATTTTCCAATTATTTCATGGACAGATGTGGGATTTTAAATCTGAAAACAGAACTTACAGATGACTATTTGTCACTGCTGTGTCACAGATGGATGAAAAGAAAGAGGTGTCACGATTGATGCAGCACTTTTCTGAAACGATCAGAAAGTGTCCAGTCAGCATCTCTGCGATTGTTATGTGTCAGTCTCCTGCACTAAAGATCTTAGCCAGATCAACTCATAGCTAAATATGTCCTTTGCACACACACACACATACTCAGGCACAGCTGCACACTTCCTCATTACAGAAACTGATGTACTTGCAAGAGTTCCATATTTGAAATATCTCCATCATTTATTTTTTTTTTAATACTTCCTTTATGCTCTCCACCCTCTATCTGTCTGTCTTTGCTCAGGTCCCTACCCAGTCTTCTGTGTGCCCCCTGAGCGGAACCATCCTGTGGCCCTCCAAACCAGTATCGCCCTAGCTACAAATCAAGATGAAGATGGAGACACGTATGTTGATTCTTTTAAAGCTGGAATGTCTTCCTTGTCTTACGATTAAATCATGCGTACCTTTATCTCATACCTCCAAGTCACTGAAGCGCACAGCGAAGTTAAAATTGTCATACGTTTTCATGGTCATAGCAGCCGTGCTGATGATGAAACAGGTCACAGATCCTAAATTGTGATGAATATGTACACAGTCTGGAGAAGTTACAAAGCAAATCTGACATGAAGCTCGACGGAAAAGTTATTCATTTCCTCTTAAAAGTGGTAATTGTGTACACTGAAGTCCAAAATTGGTTTGTCGCTTTAGGGAGTGGACAACCTGAGTCAACCCATAACATGTTTTCCAATTGTTTTTACTGGGAGGACATAATTCAGCACATGAGTTACTTGAAGTAATTGAAATATAATATCACAATTAAAGAAACGGTGTTGGCACAAGTAGTTGGGAACTTTGAGGGTATTTTTGCTGCTGTCTTGTCTCTACTCATGCGTGTGTTTGCTGGTTTGATATTCAGGTTTGTCTGCCTCTGGTCTTTCCAAGCAGACATTTACATAAATACTAGCAGGAAATTTAAAAATTCTAATTAGCCTCAAAATAGAGAAAGTCAACTAGGACAACATTTTAGAACCTGAAGCTGGAGAGGCCAAATGAAATTCACTCATTTGAGCTTCTTCCCTTTTTGACCTGTGAAAATGTTATGCATGAATAAGTTCCCTTGATAAGTTTTAGCTGACGGTAAGAGACTGATGTTGGCATACTGCCTCCCTGTTGCTTTGAGTCTTACACTTCTCCAACTACATCTCTGGGGAAACAGACATACTAACAATAATAAATGAAACCATGCTTCACTTCTCACGTGGCTTGACCTAAACACCACCAGTGTCAAACGGGGCAGTTTGACCTGAATAGCAAAGCTGCTTTGCACAACCTTGATGTGGTTTAGGAGACGTCTACGTCATCGCAGTTTATTTGTTATGGTGTCTGTGACTCACCTGGTTTTACATATTGTGCAGGTACAGTCAGAGCCCCTCTGGTAACCAGTTGAATTCCGCACTGTCGTTTCACTTCCTATCTGGGATGCTGGTTTATAGCAGATCAGAAATGATTCACCAAACAGTGATGGAGACTCGGACCTCACACATTCACCTGGAAAAGCACTGGGGACTAGACATGTGCATTTGTTTGAGTGTGTGCATTGAACAGGGTTTAATTTTGAGCCCCCCTGTCCCCTATGGAATAACATGGGAGGGGGTTAATAATGAGGGTTATACAAACAAGACAGTCTGAAGATCACATGAATGCAAATATGAAACTTTAACGCATGGCTACTTTACTTTGTGTAAAGGTTTAACACCCTCCCACACACTAACTGAAATGTCAAACTGATGCGAAACACAAACACACACACACACGCACACACACACACACACACACACACACACACACACACACACACACACACACACACACACACACACACACACACACACACACACACATGTATATACACACAGGCATGTGACTGAAAGACAAAGCATGTCCAAGAATGAAGAGTGCTTTGATGTTGAGGTTTCAAAAAGTCTCAGCATCATTTGCATCCATCCCAAACAAACCCGTGATGACCATGGAGCCATGAGTCTCGTGATAAGTCATAGTTGCTCACTGTCCCATAACTGCTGCTTCAGAGACTCATGTTTGCTATTACTGCACAGGCAACATTGAATAAAGGACAGTACTATTTATTATTTCACCCTTATTATCTCCTTTTTTTTTTTTTTTTAATAATTGCTAACAAAAATATTTTTATATGTTTATAATGGTTAGAATTTTCTATAACATGGTTTATTTCATTGTTATGCAAAGTTGCAGGGCAGACAAAAGAGGGTAAAAGGACTAATCTGTAACATTTTTGAACAGCAGTGCGTAAATGCACCGAACTGTGAAGATACTATCATAAAAATCTGTATCGCAGCTTGGTTACTGGTTGACTGTATGTTCTGTGGTTGTTTGAGACTTTGTGTGAATTCTGCAGAAAAACACATTCTTAGCCCCCCTGTCTTTTTCACACAGTCTACATGAGTGTGTGTGTGTGTGTGTGTGTCTGTGTGTGTGTGGCATGCATAATGTGAGTGATGATAAGCTCTTACGTCAATCAGGGCGTTCATCTTCAGTTCTCATCGCCTCTGAGCCCCTTAGTTTCGGGAAAACCAGTGAGTGCTCAGTTTTTTGAACATGTTTGTGGTTTTTTCAGGTGTCTCTGTCTCTCTCTTTTCTTCTCAGTGTTTTTTAAATGAATGGGCTCGAAAAACCCAAACATCCGCTCCTCACTTCCTCATTTACCGCTTTCTTTCTATCAGCCTTAGCTCGATCTCTCTCTCTCTCTCTCTCTCTCTCTTTTCTACATATGTGAGACCAGTGTATATGCACTTTTACAGTAAAATGTCTCCTACAATGCTGTTAAAGAGTACAAAAGCACTGGAAATTTGATGCAAATGTGAAGTTACTGTTGCACTCATATTTTGCTGGTTACACAATATAAGCACACTTGCACATAATACAAAGTATCTAGTCCAGTGAAATAGGCAGATACACAAATTTAATTGCAGGAAAGAAATTGTCACTTGGCAACAGTCTAGTTCCAGTCCAGCAGCCAGGTTATGCCAACAGAGCCATATATAGTATATATTTATATATCCTTGTATAACTGTTATATGAAACCTATCATGTATAGGGTTGTACTGTAGGACTGTTGTGTCTTGTGCATGTGTGTATATAACTTTGATACTTGTTGCACAGTGTTGTTTATTTGACACAATCACAGATGTGTAGATAATCTGTATGTCAGAACTTCCTCTTGTGCAACACAGCTTCATCTACAGCTTGTATGAGGAATTTTGGTTCATGTCAGTTTTGGTGCCCCCTTTTGGCAAAAATGGAACCTTTTCATTCTCTGCTGGTTTTGTCCTGGAGCGTTTAGCCAAGTTCTTTTTTTTTTAAAAAGAATCTCTTCCCATAAATTACTGCACCTGAAAACTACCCTGCAGCAACGTTTTTAGGAAGTACAAAAACAAATTCTGAGAAACTGTCAGGTTGCCTGGTTTGTTGTACAGCTGTGGAGGAAAAAATTTTAATTTCACTCTTTCATAGCTTCAAACTCCTAACAGGTACAGTGTGTAATATTTTGCGTACCGTAATCAGAGGTGTGTTTAAATTAGTTCATAACCCCCAAAATAAATTTAAAAAAATATATTTTTTAAACATAGGATGAGTCCTGTATAGCATTGTAAGTGGCAGGCCCTCTTCCACATAGGTTGCCATCTTGCACTGCCATATTTCTACTGAAGCCTTAAACAGACAAACTAGTAACAAGCGTGTTTTTGTATTTAGTGGGTGGCGTTGCAAAGTGCACTTCTGGTTGGAGGAGAGCTGTTGTGTGCAAAAATATTTGTTATATTTGAAACTTGATAAAATGCGTATCATACTATGTGTGTCACGACAGCTTCTTGTCCTCAGAGGCCACTGTCGGCTCACAGGCAGGAGGGGCAAGCAAGGGAGCATTTCAATCTAAAATCTCAGCTCAGTGTTCCCATCTCTACACAGTGCACCTTTAAGCAGGTATATCCACAATGTTTGTTAGCATGTTAGCATGCTAAATCTTACCAGCTGGTGCTTAAAGGCATGGTTGATGATCTGAGAAGCAGTTGGAAAAAAAACTGAGCCGTTGAGACAGATTTGAAACAAAGCATCCCACCCCCCACATACAAACCTCTCCCCTCTGTGCTTCAGGATAACTGCCCCCCGAACCTGTATTGCCCTCCCCATGACACACCCCCTCTTGCAGAGCAAGAAGCCGGCCGGCAGAAGATCCTATGCTAGCTTCAAATAGGATTCACCTTGTCGGATTGCTAGTGAGCGGCAGTAAACGCCAGCTCTGCCAGCAAGCACCGTCTGCAGCTGCCTGGACAGCTACTGTGTAGACATTGCAAAGACTAATAAGAGTTATCTATGTAACATGTGTCACGATAAAAGGCAAAAAATACATGTTCGACATTTCCTCTTCTACTCTGCCCTTTTTTCTGTCAGCTTGCGTTTTCCTCCCACTTTTTTTTTTTTTCCGTCCTTCTCCATCACAGCTCGTGTAGCTAGGCTGCTACGCTACTTTTAGCTGCTCAGAGCTCTGAGGAGGGCCGGAAGGGGACAAGTTGGCACTACTGGAGAGGGGTGTGTCAAATACAGCGAGGTGATTGGATAGAAAGGCGGAGCAGGAGTTTGACCAATAGGAGCTGTCCGGGACGGATGGCTCCCATTGGTCAATGTTTTTGCAGCCCTGCACCTGCTCGGGTGAACAGATTTTTTTAGTCTTTTTTCTCTTCACTTTGTGGAGATCGGGACCATGATCGCCATATAAACGAGGTTCATAATAATTACCAATCTCTCCAATTGTCAACTATGCCTTTAATATTAAGTGCAGCACTGGGGGGTGAAAATATCAAATGCCTTTTAAAGTTTTAACGAGAGTGAGACATGGAGGGGTGTAGTCAAGTACATGGGAGTTATTTCTTCGGTTGTGGAGACATGTCTTTAAAACTATAATTTTGGCGCTTAAATGAAAGTGAGAAGATCTTCAAGTCTTTAGGACACACTGTTGGGGCACCATGAACATGTTTGCAAAACTTTTATTAATCCAAGTATTATTGTGTCATGTAGACCTCAAAAAGAGTTTGCTGGAGACTGACAATGAGTTTGTATGAACCACCAGATTGTGTGTGCTGATAAAAATCAAAATTTCACATTGAAGTCGTCCAAGCAATGAACTCAACTATTGCATCCAAAGTTGCTTGAAAGAGGAGCTGCAGAGGAACATCTCACACTCAGAAACTTAGTAAACTATGAACAGCTTGTTGGTCAAAGAGTGCATGGCTACAAATTGGTCTCTGATAACTCTTAAAAACTGTAGGTGTTACTCATGTGCTAAATGTATATTTTTGTCTTAAAGGACGGCTCTTACAAAATGGTAAACATGCTTATCCAGGTTTGCTTTAGTACATAATGCACTGAGATACTAGCTGTCATTTCTTGTTAACTAGGCTCTGGTGTCTCTCTGCCACTCTTTTGTTTATGATTCCCACACTCTTACACATCACCTCGTAGCTCAGCTGGTTTTTAGACCACAGTACAAAGCCGGTTGCAGTCTGATTACCCAGTTTGGAGAACCTTCACTCTACATACCAGAAAGTACAACACACACCTCTTTGCCTTTCTCTCTCTCACTCTCTCTCTACACACTCACACATACACACACAGACACACACACACATGCGCGCTAGGTCAATCAGCTCTGTTGCGGCGAGCATGGGACTCCTGTCTGCGTCAATGATGCTGCGCTTGGGGTTATCTGGGGCTGTGGTCTGCCCCACTTCCAGGAACAAGAAACAGTACGGTTTCATCTGAAGTGAAAAAGAGAGAGATGGATACAGAATGAAATAGTACAAATAGAGAGTCAGCATAACTGTATACCTATTAAAGGCACATACAGATATAGCAGTGAGAGATGAGCTCTGATTCATTTGTTTTTAAGATCGTGAAGCACAGAACAAGAGGCATCTACTGAGTCTGAGGACAGAGTAAATCATGATTAGTCTCTCCAATCTGTGTCTGAGTTATTGTTGACACAGCTGGGGTGTTTTATAGGAAGTTGATAGTGTGTACAGTAAAAATAATAAATAGATGCTGATACAGATTTGTTCAGTTACTGTAACAAGGCTAGCTGAGGAAAGACCCACAGCACACACTCCTGCTTTATAGCGCAGTTCTGCTTTTTTTTCCACCATAATGAAATGTCAGGAGTGAATCATTTGATAGGCTGCACATTTAGCTTGGACTTTTTTTTTTTTTTTTTTTCAAAATAAGGGTTGAAAATGCTTGTTCATGCAACCCAAAAACATAAACATGCATGCAGAGTTTATCCAGCTCTGCCCTTTAACGAACTGGTTTTTAATTGTTTACATCGACAGCTGTAGTGCCGTTAGTTCGCAACCGCCATGTGAAGGTTGGCTCATGTTGTGCCTCAGTTTGGCAAACCACAGGTACTACTCTGTTTATACTTGCCTTTGTAAAACTTAATGCTGCGATGTCTGAATCAGAACTATGAAAAGGCTGATAGACAGATAGGTAGATAGATAGACAAGAACAGACAGACTGAAACATAGATAACACAGATTGAGACAAATTGATAAATAAACATAAAAGCCCCAAAACATGCAATGCACATATAACATTATTGCAATAACTGTGATTTTCCCACAATCTTGTTCTGATTAAATGTGCAGGGAAGTGTAGTTTTTATGTCTAAATGAAGGTCTTTTAGTTTTCTTATAGAGGTCTTTAATCTTTTCAACAGGAAATTACAGCTCTTAATGATTCCATGTTAGTGGGACACATCTCTGAGAGGAATTGATGCAAGTGCGTCTGTCAATGTATGAACTAATTGTCTGATATTTATTTTCTTTTTTTTTTCAAAGGTAGTTTAAACTTCTCAAGAAACGTCCCTGTTTCCTGTCTCAGGCTTGTGCTGTTTGCCTGCCTTTGACTTCTCCATCAGATGAAGCTGACTGAGTGAGCACCTAGAGAAAGCCCCTGTTAGAAACCATAAAGCTTCATGGCTGGATTTCACAGCAAACACAGAAAGATTAAGAATGCTGCCATTGTTACTGACAACAGGAAGTGACACAAAAGCTATCTGACTGTTACTGGAAGTCTCTGTTAACTGATAAATTGAAAAAGAAAAATGTGAAAAACGGCAACACCCATTTCTACAACATACCCTCCCCTTGGTAGTTTTCTACCCTGTCCTCAACTTTGGCCTACACTTGTTCTTCCCCTTCAGGTAGAAACCTCTGATAGTGGTTTCCCTTTAGTCTTGATAAGAACATGATAAGCACAATGTGAGTCATGCCTGTACATCTGTGGAGCTTCTCCGCACAACTGTCACTCGGATGTTCTTAATCAAGTCATTGAGTTCACCTTGGAGCTTATTTGTCCACGTTATTTTTTATTTTTTCAACCCAAATAAGCAGTTTGGATCGGTTAGTTAAAGCAGAATGGGATAACTCCTCTTTAAACATGAGCACTGGGTACAATTGAAAGCTAGCCTCTTCTGTCTGAGGGCAGCAACCTCTGCTTTGGCATTTACTCGCAGATCAAGAGCGAACTCATGAACATGTTGCAACTTTTTACCTTACGGCTGGTACTCTGCATTTTTTTTAATCGAAAACTGTATTTATAAATAACAGAGAAAGCAACATGTCATAGTTAGGTATGTTGTCCATACAGTTTGTGTATACAGTAGCCACCATGGAGGCTGAAGGTTGATCAAAGCAGCTTTAGAGGCACTTTAGTCATTGAGACTGTTGCATAGGAAGCACCAGTACCTCTGTGTTCATCGCACGAAAACTAAGTTCTGGTTCGTTTTCTACTGAGGTCAAATCTTGTTTCTGGAATGCAGTGTGTCAGTTGGTGGCAATACCAGTGAAGCTTTTTCCTCTCTATTTTAGCTGTATTTGTGAATTATCCTTTTGTCTTTTTGATTGCAGGGCTCTACACATAGCTGTGGTACAGGGGGAGCATGCCATGGTCTGCAAACTGATCGAACTTCTGCTGCTGGCTAACAGAAGTCTGGACATTTACAACAACCTCCGCCAGGTAAAACACATGCACCGTGAAAACATACATGACAACACATTTCTGTGCTTAACCAAGACTAAAGCAAACACTGGGCTTTATTTTTGACCCACATCCAACCTTTGCACAAATTTAAGCCTTAATAAGATTCAGTTAGGTGGTCACTGAACAACTCCTGTATGATTTCCACAGGTAAACTAAATTCACTGCTATGACATCTGGCATTCAATTTGGGAGTTTGTGGACTGTAATTCACATATTGTCAGGCTGGGGTGGTCATTCAAGGAATGGCTATTTTTTCAACGTGTCTTCGTCCCTTTTTGTTCCTAAGAGGTTGCATATATTTCTATTTCTTACCTATTTTATGTTTTTATTTCGGTCCTCTTGGTCTCATTTTATGTTGCATGGTTCTTGTATTGTCTGGGTTCCTTATGACATATCAAATTGGCTTCAATTCTGATTTTGATTGTCTTTATTTCCATGTGCTTTAAGAGTATTAGTTAAAGCACTTTGTAAACTTCTGTTTTTAAAAGTGCTTTAAAATTATTATTATTATTATTATTGTTGTTGTTGTTGTTTTTGTTGTTATTATTATTATATATTTTATTATTATTATTATTATTATTATTATTATATGTGCACACATGTCTGCACATTGCAGTTTGTAAGGCATGAGCAATTGGTTGCCATTTTTAATGTGGCACCAATTCAATCATTAACCAAAGTTTGTATGTATTTCTCAGCATCACCTGGTGCAACAGATGAGTGAAAGATGTAAAGTTTAACAGGGGACTTCTACTTGGCCAACCACAGCACGACATGTAGATACAGTCCCCCGCTTCACAGTTCTGATAACAGTAACATGGAAAAGAATGAAAGAGGAAGTGCCTTGGTTTCCTCCTTGCCTTGTGCTGCATTATCACACGCTCTCTTCCAGTCATGGTGACTGATGGTTATGTAGTGGAATTCACCCTTCCTAGTTCTCCACCTGTACTTGCCGCAAGACAAAGCCACATTCATGCTGGAAAGGACGATATGTGTTTTCTAATGTTCTCTTTGCAGAACGTGACTCCCGTGAACTCTCATGAACCCTGAACTCATATCTCATGGCGTGGCTTTAACAACAAGCACATGAACAAACAGGATAATATGTTAGAAATTGAAAACACACCATTTTTCATTAGAAGCCTAACTGATAACTGGCTTTGTTCTTTGTGTATGAAGAGTTAAACCGGCATTCTTCATCCGGGGGTAACATATATAAATGGACAAATGAACCCAATGAACTGTTATAGTTTTGACCTTTTTAGTAAAAATGACTGTCTTTCAATGCTTTTTGTTTAAAGGAAAGGGAAAATACATTGTCCTGTTAAAGAATGAGTACAAGAAGGTGTCTTTGAGTGTTTCCCAATACAGGGTTGTCCCAGCCACTGGCCGCTGGCCAACACTTGCACGTTCTTTTCCGCTCTGTTGTCTCCAGCTCCTCGCCCTCCTGCTGTGCATCCTGCCAGCTTTTTTGTCTTTCATCCTTCGACAAAGACAGCACCTGAGCCCTGCAGCGTCGTAGTTCTCAGACTGGGGTTTCACACCACACAGGACACCACCGGTGCGCTTACCAGAAATAACGCTGGCGCTATCATCAGTTGTTGTCTTTCCTCATTGCTGAGGCTTGACAGCATAGGTTTTGTGATATCCTGTGTGTGAAGATGCATGCACGCAACACTGATACACAAACAGCTTTTTCACACACACGCGTATTTTGCCATTTGCAGTTATTACCAAAAGGAGAGACTTTCTGGCACAGGTCTTCTGTCATTAGCCAGCGTATACTCCAGTGTGGTTTCAGCTGAACAGAACTAGAAGGGCAAGGAAATTTTATTTAGCTAAAGAAACATTTCACTAGACAGGTCCCACCACATTTTTCTGCCGCTTGTCAACTTCCTACTGACAGCAAAAAAATTAAATACAGCTTTTCCAATATTGATGACGAATCCCGAGTTTCTGTGGTTTTACATATGGAACTTTCTGACAGGGTGTTACTATCAGTACCTTAACTGAACAATAATGCAAGTGTAAGTGCTTGATTTCTCTTCCACTCCATGAACTTCTAAGATGTTATGGAGACACATCTGTTTGATACTCCCACACTGGTCATGCTGTCAGTGTAACTTCACAAACACACTCTTTAGTAGCTGCTCTTGCCAGTGTATGGTGTAGTGTATGACACTGAAACGAGAGGGTTTTTGGTTTTTAGTCCCCGAGGACCACCCACACAAAAACATGCACATATGTTCATGTGCTTTATGAGTAACAGCTACAGTGCAGTTTGCAAAATAGTGTGCAACAGTTTAAATTTATTATGTATTTTCAGTGAAGTAATGAATTTTACAGTTTTTCAGTTTTCTTTTTGCATGCAGGTGGTGTGCTTTTAATTTCATTTTTGTGTAAGTGCCTGTGTCTTTGTTTGCATGAGTGTCTGTGTGTGATTGTGTGTGCTTAATATTCTTCTTCCGAGAAGTCACATGACTCCCCGCTCAGGGCTGTTTCTCACCATACCTTGCTGAGGTTCACAGGGTAGTTTACAGGGACTTTCCCTTCCTGCTCGCCCGCTCTCTCTCTCTGTCTCTCTCTCTCTCTCTGTCACTTCTGTCTCTCTTCCGTATCTCTTACTGCATATCAGTTGGTTTCCTAAATATAAATTACAATGTGGCTGATTCTATCAGCGTAACTGTGAACGTCACTGAAGTAAGAGTGTGTGATCATTATTCACGCAACAGCTGAAGCTTGCATAGTTCACCGCAGAAAAACAGCCAATCTCATAGAGCTGCCTTCCACCTCGCTTTGTATTTGGCACTGCTTACAGCCTGAGGGCAGCACTCCATGCCCAGAAACCTCCTCTCTTCTCATCTTTTCATCTCCTTCATGTTGATCTGCTCATTTTGCAGGAATGCAAGTGTGCGAGGACAGACCCAGGGGAAAGAGAAGGGATTTTCCCTTGTGATCCCGTCTTTCCCCTGAACTCCCCGCTGCTGCTTCCGTCTCTTCCTCATTCCTCAGTCCAACCCCCACCCCCCACACCCCCTTCCTCTTATCTGTGCTGGATTTTTTTGTTTTAGTCACTCTGAGGTCCCTTACAGGAACCCACAACTAGACCCTGCCAACTCTCCCCACTAAAGAGGTCCATTTTGGAGACCTTAAAAGGCCGTCGTGTGGAAGGTCATTTTTTAGGTTTCGTAAGGGGTTTCATAAATTTCATCACAGCCGTCTGACGAAAATAGAAGGATGGGCCCTTTTGTTGAAGAAAGGAGTGCTGGTTTTAGGAAGTTAAAAGACTTAAATTTTTCTGTGAAGTATATTGTGTGAGTGTCTGTGTGCAATTATGTGTGTGTTGTTTTATCTGTGTGTGTGTATGAGTCACAGGATTCAGGGAAACGGGAGCTAAAGGGAAGAACGCTGGCATTGACACACTTGTGGAATTCCACAACAACGCTCTCCCACCGCTTGACTGTCTTCTTTTTTTTTTTAATTGTCTTTACTGGAACAAACCTCCACTAAACACACACACACACACACAGACACACACACACATCTATGCACGCACACACACACTATATACAGTACTGTTACAGCAAAAATGAAACTTGGAGCAACCACCCGTTCCTGATTGGTGTGTTTATTGTGTAACCTTAAAGAAGTTAAAAATTCCAGATTAAAAGACTTCCCTTTACGACTGAACTTCTGGATTGCTTTATTTAAACAGGGGTTGTCAGAGCCCTCCATGACCACAGTTGACATAATTATCAACAGGATGATACATGCTTACCTCACCCAAAAGAACATCCTAGATTGCACAAGTGATTTCACTCAGCACTTCCAGGAAAGCACCTGGTTAAGTGTGTGTAATTTTTGTTTTCCCTGCACTTGCAGACTGTTGTTTGTCTCTTGGAGCTGGTTCCTCCTTGTTTTGGATAAATCACATGGTCTCATGATGATTGGTTTGTTGCTGTTGTCAGTGTTTACTCTATGGTGCAAAGGTCTCCTCACTAACAGGCACTTTGATTTGATTGCTCACAACTGAGTATTTTTGGCATTGTGTTAGTCTGTGCATGTATTGTGTGTTTGTTTATACATGGAAATTGTCACGTAGTACCTGTGCCAGTATGTCACGTTCTCATGATGTGTCATAAAAATAATCCTCCAAGACGTGGTTCCTTCTTTCTTTCAGGCGTTGGTCTGTTCTTACAGCAGTTGTTTTGTCATGTATCTGACCTTTAACCTGTAGAACAGGTTATATCGAGACAATTGCATTGACAAGAAGTTCCTCAGACTCCACTTTCAAGATCATGATGATTTGGAGATTTAATGAATCGTCACTTTCCCTTTTTGGTGTTTCTGCCGGTAAAAATAAATTAACCCTAGAACACTATTGTCGGGAGATTTTGTTTTGTTTTGAACATGTTTACGTGATTTTCATTATGTTGCGTTTGTCTGAGTATCATGGGTCTCTGGGTAGCTTCAGCATTGTCTTTGACATCTTTGAAGGCGTATTTGTTTCCCTGATCCAAAACCTGCTTTTTCCTACTTTTTTGCACGTGTTCAGGTGATTTTCACTCGGCAATAGTGATAGAGGGTAAAGTAGGTTTGGGTGGATTTGATAGCTGCATGTAGGCGAATAAGGTCAGTAAGAGTGGTCCTGGAATTTACATGCTATCTTTATTTATTTTTGAATATCTACCTATCACAAAGTAGTGATTTTCAAGGGAATTCATATGGTGATAGAAATATTTTAGTCAGCTGTTTTTTTTCCTCCTTTTGGACACTGCACAGTTAAAATAAAAGAAAACTACTTTAATTTGTCATGTATTGTCCCATTTTGATATATTTTTATGACAAGGACTTTTCCTTGGGTATATTATTTCAGGTAAAAATCACCCGGCGATAGTGACGGTGTTACTTATTTTAGCGATAGTGTTCTAGAGTTAAAGGAAACCATGTTGGGTTTGTTTGCTTTTTGGGAGATCATGTAATTTTCAGGTATTTATAGTTTACATGCAGCTACAGATGGTTCACTTAGCTTAGCGTAAAGACACCAAACAGAGGGTAGAGGCTGGAGATGGCTCTGTCACCCCCTACCCACACAAAGCATATAGAAAATGAAAGGTAATACTCAAGCCCGTAAAATACGGATTTTTTTAAATACTATTTTTTTCTGTATATTATAAACAATGTGTGGTTATCTGGTAGATAGATTAAGGTTTATTTACACCGGTTTCCAGCTAACTGTTAGCTCCTTTTGGTCTCGCTAAACAAGCAGTAATCTCTGATGTTGAGAAATGATGCCAGTGTGGGAGAACAAAAACTAAAGAATTCCCCATTTGGACCAACATTAAAATAGCCAGACTTGATACAAAAAGGGTTTTGGTTTCTGTTGTTCAACTTTTCATTCATCCTTCATTTGATTTCTAATAAGGCCAAGAGTTGTGGTTAGCTTACATAAGCAGGGGTGTGGCTGACTGGACTGATTGTTGTCTGAGTTGTTTATCACAAACTGAGTTTCATTTAGCTTGCTTCAATTTTTGTGAGATAAGCTAAAAGTTGTTTGGAGTCAGCATATCCAGCATGGTGACTACCTTTATAGGGAGACTAAGTCCATATATCTAACAGGCTTTGTTTGTACCACCAGAACTCAAGATCTTGGATTTCCAGTGTTTTATAAGCTTTTTCTGATCAGAACAGCAAAACTCAGATAGATGCTTGTTTTAAAAGGAGGGCCTCTTTAGAAACAAGAGCTCTATCACTAATTTTAAGAGCCTGGAATGATGTTCCCGAGGACAGTGGAGAGTGGGGGCATTGTTCAGCAGTAGCTGGGAATCAGACTCTCTGAATACCATCTTGTGTGTACTTCAGTGTGAAAAATGAAAATCTATTTCAAGAGACCGAGTATTGCACTTTGTGGTAATGGACCTGAATACACTGGTTTGTCTAAACTGTCATCTTTGCTTTCATCCTCCCTCACAGACGCCCCTTCATCTGGCGGTGATAACCCAGCAGGCAAAAATGGTGGAGAATTTATTAAGAGCAGGGGCCGACCCTGCTGCCTTGGACCGCAACGGCCAAACAGCGCTCCATCTCTGCTGCGAATACGCCCATCATGACTGTCTGTCAGTTGTGCTCCCTTTCTCCTTGTCCCCTATATGTCTGGAGATCAGAAACTTTGACGGTAAGACATGGTTATGCTAAAGATGCTCCTTGGTGTACACTGTGCTGAAAATGCATCCGACAAATAAAGATCTGAGTTGACTCATAAACTCTTTTAAGGAGTTGTTAAATCTGGCAAAGCTATGTTATTCCAGTAACTTCCTTGAATTTACTTAATGAGGACATGCAAAGTCGTTCTCAAAGACCAACAACTTCAGTAAATACACTTTGCTGCAGTTTATTTAATGTGAAACAATAAGACACCATCAGAAATAACTTTTCACATATACAACTGCATTTCTGATTGAGTTTAATCCTCATCCAAGTACTGTGAATGCTTAAATAACACTAATTTTCAATATTCTGATGTAAGACCAAACAGTACGTACAGGATAAAGAGATATGAACGCTGTGAACATAGTGAGATTGTGCAGGTTGTTTTTTGTATTTTGGCAGGAAGAGAAGAAGCCTTTGACTCCTCTGTGGTCTACTTTAGTGTCACTTGGCCACAACTCCACAGTACGCCTCTGATGTCATAGCGCAGAGACATATTTAGCATAAGAGCAGCAAGTCTGGCTACAGGAGAAAGCCCCCGAAATACGCACAGGCTCCTCTCTCCCCACATTAATTATTATCTTAGGGGGAGCAGGGTTTGCTCAGACATCAGCTCTAACAACATTATATATTTGCACCATGCAAATAACAAAATCTACTTATTGTTGATCATGGCGTAGATCCAGAAGGATCTTCTCCAGGTCAAACAAAAGAAAATACAGCAGGACTTCATGGTCAGGTGTTCTAGCATCATGCACTGTCTCAGATCCTTAACACTGTCAATATGTTTATCTTTTTTTTACACTAAATGGTGATGCTATGTATCTTTTTACATGTTTCACTTCATTCTAACATGCAAAGAAACAAAATATAGAAGCACGAAAAGGAATAAAATAGCACTAATTTAAACTACACTTACCTGTTTAAGTTGACATACCAAAGAAACATCAACCATCATATCAGATTTTTCTTGTACCTTGATAAGCAAAACGACACACCCTTAACAAGTAAAAGGAAGTAACAATACAATATGACTACTTCTCTGGTATACATTTCCATATTTTTAGTTTTGTGAAGCTGTTCTGCCGAAATAAAACTTGTTTTGTGTACAGAAACCTAGTACTGACATTTCTGTGTATATTGCACAGTATACAGTATACTTTCTTGCTTGTCTGTGAGAGTTTATCATTAGGAGAGGTCGAATATTTACAAACTGTTTCCTGCAGAATGTGAGAGGACTCATTCAACTTGGGTTTATGCATCCTGTGTGTTTCCATATGTGTGCCTGCATGTCTTTGTTGTGACACACTTGTTTTATTTGTCTGTGTTCTTAGGTTTGAGCGCTCTCCATCTGGCTGTGCTGCATGGCCATGAGGGCTTGGCCAGAATGCTGATAGATGCGGGTGCTGACATCAATGCTATGGTCAGTTCCTTTTGCTGACTTGTGTCTGACGAAGTTTCAGAACATCACAAAATTTCAGATTTACCGTCTCTGAGTTCTCTGAATTTTCCCATGGTTCTTTTTTCCCCTCTAATCAGGATGTAAAAAGCGGACAGAGTCCCCTCATGCACGCGGTGGAGAGCAATAACGCAGACATGGTCCACTTCCTCATTGAGGTAATACTGGTGTGTGGGCAGGGAGGAAAGAAGGGGGGAAGGGTTGTGACTCAGCTCTCTTTGATAATTCTGGTTTTCTCCTTCCAACTTAAAATACACTCTGGGTGTACTTTTCTTTCTAGATAAGTCATGTAAAGAAATGTACCAACAAACTTGAAGCTTAGTTTGTTGTTGTAACTTAGCAGATGTGGTGCACATGGGCAGAATTAAGTTTTCTCCAACCTTCTTCTCTCCTTTTAAAGCATTATTATTCCTTCACCTCCCATCTGATCTGACCCTCTGTACGGCTCGATCTTATGTTTCACTTTTCATGCTGAACTGCGTCTGCTCTTTCTGCCTGTGTGAATCATATGTGTGTCAACTTCTTCATTTTTTTTTCTGTTGCAGAGAGGTTCCGATGTTAACGGCCAGTCATACAGCGGGAACACAGCTCTGCACAGTGCCTGTGGTCGAGGTCAGGTGGACACGGTGCGGTTGCTGCTGAAGAGCGGAGCTGACAGTAGCCTCAAGAACTACCACAATGACACCCCTGTGATGGTGGCTAAGAACAAGAAAGTAAGCAAAGAAAGAACATGAAAAAGCCTATTTACATAATGAAGCAGGCCTCTTTGCTGCAGTATTTGTTGTAGCCTTTTGTGATGTAAAATAATGGAAAATCAACTTTATCTGCTACTTCTGTGACTCCAGAAACAGTGACATTTGTTTAAGGCAGAACAACATTAATGTCAAGAGCCATGTAAGAAAAAAATTTGTCTTTTCTGCCCTCTAGAGGTTGAACATAAGGGGTGCAGCAATGTTATCCACCAATGTTGTATTCTTTAATTACATTAGGTCATGCACTTTTAATCCTTTGCAGATATCAGATGTGTTGCGAGGGAGAGGCTCCAGCCAGATACGAGTCCAAGATCAACTCTCTGTCTCTAACTCACCACATGGGAGCAACTTAACAGAGATTGGTAAGGACAAGCCCTGGAAGAAAATAAGTGCCTCTAAAAAACCAGGTTTGTAACCAGTACTTTTTAACCTGTCTTTTAGGGTCCCCATCTCCCAACCACAGTCAAGGATATTCACCTTCAACGACCCCACACATCTCTTATCATAGCAACTCTCACTCTCCAATGACTCCATCTACACTTGTACAGCAGCCAAACTTTTAGCTCTAAGTTACTGTACGTCCAGAACAACTTTCGGCTACCTCTACAGAGCTGACCAAAGGAGACTCAGTGCCAAAGAGGACATCTGGGAGAAGGTTTGGCCAATGGAATGATGGACTACTAAAGACTGCAGTGGAAATAAGACACTTCTACATGTTGGCCATCTTTCCCTGGACTCAGTGAAGACAATTTGTTCCACTCCTCGACTGGATTTTGATGCCTGGGCTGAGCGTGTTTATACTCCGGCTGTTGTATCCAAATTGGTGATGTACAAACTGTTGTGCATATCAGCCAGGTCTCTGCGCCCATAAATGCTGCAATCGTTTTAACATGCAAATGAAGGCAAACAAAGAAATCACATCAATAACTTTTTCTGTACTTTGTGAAATGCCTTCGAATGCTGGACTTGGGCCTGAATGTTGTGAACTGTGGGGACATTTGAAACAGTGTTTTTGTCTGTGTTATTTAAAAGAAAAAGACAAGGATAAAACAAGAAATGAAGTGAATGAAAAGGGGGAGAGATTACAAGCATGATTGTAGTCACCTGTAAAATGTGTGTACAGTTTGCTTGCTTTAAAGGGATATTCCGGCGTATTAATTCAGGGTGAAACACACAGTTGAACCAAGTTAGACACTTCCCTCTAGAGATGAATGTTGCCAACCAATTGCTTCTCTAGCTATACCAACTTTAGTGACCGCAGGATAGCAATACACATAGACCTGAGGAGCTATAAACAAACCTCAACCAAAACGCCACTCTATAGCCACAAATAATGCACAGAACAGCACCTAACTCCATCAACAGTACATATAAGGTCCCAGCCACAGCACTAGCCACCAAACATCTTTTTAGCTTTGCCTAATTTCTTAAGCAAAGAGACGAAACACAACTCACCTACTCTCTTCCAGCAGCTACTTGTTTGTGGCGAGACCTCGGGCCAGTCCATTATGGACTGCTGCGGGGTGGCGCAGCTCAAGGAAGAACGTTTATGATAATTTCTTCATGGAAATGCAATCAGACCGAGATGCTAAGGCAGAAGAACTACCGCGTCTGCAGTGCAAAATGATTAATATGATGATTATTACTTAGAATAGAATAGAATAGAGTATTCCTTTATTGATCCCCCATGGGGGAATTTTCTTTTTTTTTTTTTTTTGCCACAGCAGCATCACAGACAAAGACAGTGGAAAAAATGCAGTTATAAAAATAAAGATCGTAAAAAGGCGAAAAAGTAAACACTGTGAGGAGCTGCTGTGACTTGCTGCCACTCTCAGGGCGCTCAGTCACACACAAAAAGGAATGATAAAGAAATGACCATAAATGTTCTTCCTTGAGCTGCATCACCCCGCTGGTATAACTAGAGAAGCAAGCGATCGGACATTCATCTCTCGACGGGGTGTCTAACTCAGTGTTCGGTGTGTTTGACCCATAGACTGTATATAGAATGGACAGAGTCTGCCTCCTCGCTGGGTGAAGCCACTCCGAGAACAGCACCCTCTGTTGATGGGCTGCAGTATAGGTCATAAATCCCACCTCCGCCAGCAAAGCTTATGGAGCTGTGGACAAACTTTAGAAATTTATTACACAGAACATACATTTTTCTCCCCCCTGCTTGTGATGTTGACATGTAGTTATTGTAAGACTGGTTTGTGCTCAAGTCCTCTTTTTTCTGTGAAGCTCAGTTTTTAAAAGTTATTAGGGGGTTCATGTTTTCTATGATTGACACCTGATACAGCCTATGGGCGTTCAGGGATTGCGTCGCTCACCCCGGGGGATACGCTGTTTGAGCCGAGCATCATCACAGCGACTCTCGGCGACTGCGTAGCCGAATGCGCGCATCGCTACTGCGCAGCGCTGGTTTCAGGAAATGAAGAAAAATCCCGGATATACCGACAGCTTTTTTGCTTCAAATCCGTATACAGGCGGTAGGCAGAACCAAGTTGTCCATAGTATTTACAGTCTACGGTTTGACCCTAAATTACTTTTACGCCGGAATATCCCTTTAAGTGTTGACCTGCTTAATATTGCACATTCAAACGCCTTTGTCCTATTGCATTTGTTCATAAAGCCCTTCAGATATCTTTGTATTATAAAAAAACCGAAGAAGTGTTTTTGTGTTTGTTTTATAAAAAAAACAAAATCTAAACTAAACTTTAACGTGTGTCTGTTCTGTCTTATAAAGCCAAAGTAGTTGTTTTTTAAGTTTAAGAGCGGAGTTGTGATTGGTCAGGAGGAGGTCCGCATCCAGCCCAAAAGTGAGAGCGCGGCCATGTTGAATTGTCTAGATTCTGAAAGAAGAGACAAAAGAGTGACAACTCGGTGGATTTCTCTAAACAGCATTTATCTTACATTATTTACCGAGACGTACACGTTGAAACTGCGATGAAACGCTGAAGACTGTTTGCGGATGTGCGAACTGAAGGTAGCATCTCTCTCTCTCCGTCTGTTTCTGTTTTAAGTGTCCTCTCTCTCCCTCTCTCGCTCTCAGAGGCATATTGATAAAAACACAGCCGTTACGGTTAACTTTTCAAACCAAAGACAAAAGTAGCATGGTTGCTCGGTGTAGTCATATCGCGGTCGAATAAAAGCTCTGTATTAAGTTTGATAATCTTAAAAGCTCCATATATTGTTTCTTGAACAATTCACTCTCAAGACGTAAAGTTCATGTTAGCTGGTTAGCTCGGTGGTTAAAGCCACGTTGCTATGTAGAAAGTTAAAGGCTGTTGAACGGCTTGTTCACTACTTTGGAGTTTATTTCCTGGTTTATCAGCGACAACAAAGGCTTCGTGATAATGAGACCGATTGGAAAGCGTTGGTGTGTTTTAACTAAACCTGTATTTTGTTCACCGAGGATCTAAAGTGTAATTGAAAACTCGCTTACTTTCGGTACAAGGATCAGTTTACTTTAGCATGTAGGTGTTAGCTTTATGTAGCAGTAGTTTGTCTTATTACAACAGAAACACACTGGACAGTCTGTGCCCGTTTCTTGACTTAAATAAGTAACTGACTTAGAGTTTGCATTGTTATTTCGTCTAATGTTCGGTTTTATTGAAGGTTTTGGTCGTTCACTTTGAGGCAGGGCGAGTTTATCATGAAAACATCATCTACTGAGGACGACTAAGAGGTGCTGAACAAAACAAGCTGTAACACGAAGAATGAACAACACTGAGAAATAAATAAAAAAACAACTTGTTGATTTAAAGTAGAAAGAATCAGATATATGATTTAATTTAGACAAAAAGAGAGAGGCGAAATAGATAAGGTATCCAAAGTAGGGCTGGGCGATATGTGAAAAGGTTTATAATGATATATTTTTTTCATATCGGTCGATATTTATCACGATATAAAAAATGTAATTTAACAGTACTTATTGGTAGAATGTCCTTTACAGCACTAATTTTCTTTTTTTCTCATCAACAGTGCTGTTGGCTTCACCTGTTAAAGTGCGATGGTTGCTGTCGCTGCAGCCTGCTACTACGCAGTTTTTTGCTAATTCAGCACACGGTAGGTTCAGCTTGAAGTGGACCCGGAGCAACTCCCCTTTTCATTGGCTATTCGTATAGTCTACCAAAACATACTGACCATCGAAAAAGATATTGATCGTGATTTTATATTGATATTGAGGGAAATTAATTTTCAATATATATCGTTATCATTTTATTGCCCAGCCCTAGTTCAAAGGTATATACAATTAAGTGATAAAGGGTGTGAGATCAATTAAAATTTAATTTCAATCAAAGTGGATGAAAAGGCATTGAACTAGGCAGCAGAACATGTTTTGGTGATATTTAAGCTCCTGTGTGGGGTTTAGGCCTGTTATGAAAATGATTGCAACCAATACTGACGCCTGATATGTCCTGAAAAACAAACAAAACCAGTTTGGTACCTAAATTTATATTTACTAAGGCTGCACGATATTGGAAAAAACTAACATTGCGATTTTTTTCAACCCTGCGATGTATATTGCGATATTAAAGATAGCGCTTTATGCTGTGCGGCGCTTCTGAAATTTTAAGGACAGTTAACCTGCACTGAACTTACCTGTTTTTGTGAATGTAAGTAGAATGGCTTCTGTCTGTCTTAGAGATATTTTTAGCTTTTATTGTGCTGGGACATTTTTGTGGCAACAGATGAACACAGAACAGGTGTTTGGTCGACATCATCCTCCTTGTAACCGAAATAATTCCAGATAACTGACATTCCTTTTCTTTTAAGCAACACGTCTTCATCTTCGGTGGATTTCTCTTGTTTGTTGCTCATTTTGCAATTGTTGTTGTTGTTACTGGTGTTGTGCTGAGAAACACATGTCCGCAGAGAATTGCATGCACCTTGCGGAAACGCGCACTGCTTATAGTAGAGTGGTCCACGGAAATGTACAATTTAAAACTCATACAGTTCTTATTTGTAGGGCTAAACAGTGATGAAGAATGTTCCCAAAGTAATTCTTGGCGGGCATGCGACTATTTATTTATTTTTTGGTTCTAGGAACACTAATTGTATGTGGATTTAAGTCAGATAACACTGGTTGTTCATTGAAGGACCCAACATGAACAAAGACTGGAACTTCCATACTGGAGCTTTAAAAAACCTACAGATTTCAAACTGTTTAGTACTCAGCTCGATCCACAGGTGAGGAGCATACAAACCAGAGGCTGCCTTACTCTGCTTGGTTCTGTCCATAGACTGTCTAAAATATGGATGTAGTTCTGAAGCCTGTCGGCGACAGTGGCCATATAGAAATGCTAACTCAGCCTAACTTTTCCCAAGAAGCGAAGAGAGGGCGAAGAAGAGTAAAGGCCTCAGATCAAAACTCTTTGAACCAACATGTGATTTTTGCTCTTATGATGCGCATGAATCGGTGTGTTTGTGGTTTCAAGACCTTCTGCAGCCCGCCTCAAGCAGGTGAACTGCAGTTTTTAACACTTCTGAATCAGCATAATTTCTCAAGTCTGGAGGTTGCTGCTTGCTTCTAACTTTAGGTGCAATGAGTAGACCCAGAGGACCTGAGGCATCTGGATGCTCCATAACAGACATTTTTTGGCCCAAGACCATGTCCTGCTTAAATTAGGGATAAGGATTTTAAAATCTATCTTTAGACTCACAGGAAGCCGGTGGTGTGATCTGATGTAATGTGTCCCACTTTCTTGGTTTTGGTTTCAAAACATAGGCTTCAGTCCTGTGGTCTACGCTGCTGTTGTTGACATTGGACAGCTTAACAAAACTTGGCGTTGTTATTTGTGTTTACTAATGCACACGTCTTAACTGCAGCCTGGATAACTGATCGACTGTAATCACATCTATTTTCTGTTTGGCAGATAATCTGGAATGGTACAGCACTTTGTGGACCGCCATCTTCAAATCTGTTGCAGCAGAGAGAAATAAAACTGGAACAAGAATGCCACTAGTATTAAGTTTGGACTGCCCCTATTAAAAAAACAACATATATTTTGAGCTGATATGAAGCACTAAAATAACTCAACAGAAGTGAATAAACAGATGATAATTTCTTTCTCACTAAAGTGAATGTAGCAAAACATAGCACTTGGACTTGAAAAGAAAACATTATCAGTACATCAATACTGCAGGAATGAGAATACTTTGACAAACACCTCTAAAGAAAGGAAAATAGTTTGTTTTGGTTCCTTAAGAAGTATTTGATTTATTTATTCATATGAATGTTAATTTCTCCATTTTTGGAGAGTGGTCGTGTAAATAGACAGATTTCATAAACAGACTTCTTTTGAAGAGGTCTGAACATCAGATTGTGTACACTGTAAAAAGTAAAGAGACAAAAAGGTTTGAGTTCTTTGCAGTGTTTAAGTTTGTGTTTACACAATTGAGCATTAATCCAGACTGGGATTGAAAACGCTAGAAAGTTAACACTGAAGAAATTATCAGTTAAGAGTTTTACAAATGGCTACGACAAGAACCGCAAACCCGGCAGCAATGATTGGTTTGAACAAACCAGCAAATGGGCAGCTCAGGGGACCGACCATGCCAGCTGGACAACAAGGAGGAGTCTTTGCAACTGTTGAAGAGCCCACTGCACTCCAGAAAATGACCAGCATTCCTCAGAGCAGTGGAGGCATCAAGTAACGTATTCCTTCTGTGTCATAAAATGTTCAATGAATATTAGTCGATGTATTATCACCTCTGTAGTGCCCTTAATATCGCCATTAACTGTATGAATTTTGTATGAATAAAACCGCCTTGTCTTGTGATTCACAAAGGTTTGGCGATGACTGGAAGAAGTGTCTGGAACTTCCTCCAAAAGACAACAGGTTGAGAACTTCGGTAAGGTAACACGTGGTTATGCCAGCCTCAGAATCGCTATAAAATCAAGACATGTCACATTTTGTGTACATATTTTAGATCTGAAAGTGTGTTAACTACAAACGCATTTCTGCGTTATGATCTGTCTTCAAAGGATGTGACATCAACCAAAGGAAATGAATTTGAAGACTACTGCCTAAAGAGGGAACTCCTGATGGGAATCTTTGAGATGGGATGGGAGAAACCCTCTCCTATACAGGTAAATGTGACTTTAGGTTAGTCTTCTTTTTATGTTGTTTACCTCTGTGCTACCACAACATTGACATATCTACAAATCAAATATATTAAGTTCACTCACTAAAATCTGAAATAGAATCTGTGTTTTTAGTCTGCTCCAAATGCTTTCAAATGTAACTCTTAGACATAATTAGGTTTTTTTGCCTCAGGATTTTTTTCACTGTCAGAGGACATTTAGCTGCACTTCCCCCAGACCTCTTATTTTTGGATGTGCATGCCAGTTCAGCAGAATTTGGGGTCTGTCTTGCAGCACCATTGTTGCAGCCTCACTGCATTTGTTCTCATTCCTCATTCCCCCACACCTCTATTCACGGTTTAGATATTTGACAATGAGATGGATTTGTTACGCAGAATGCATTTCCCTGCAGTTTGAGCTTTTATAAATAGACGTAACCACCCTGTCAAGGATTCTAGAGTTAAAGGACTGGTTGTCCAATGCTTCATATTGTGTGTTATGCCTGTTTGCCTCATTTACATAAAGTCTGCCATGTCCAGTTAATTATGGCAATTGTGCTGATTTATCTTGTCTGTTTGCCAAAAGGAGGAGAGCATCCCCATCGCTCTGTCAGGCCGAGATATTCTTGCTCGAGCCAAGAATGGCACAGGAAAAAGTGGAGCCTACCTCATCCCTCTCCTGGAGAGGATAGACCTCAAGAAAGATCACATCCAGGGTGAGATTCTGCTGCTTTTTGTCTTGAAGTGGTAACTTCATCCAGTGTATATATCTGCCAATACAAAATATACATCTATGTTGCATTATATGGTATCCTATTTTAAACTAAGGCAGAAATCAAAGAAAGCCTTTGGTGCACATGTTTAAAAATGGTTTCTCCCTGGTTGTGTTTCCTCGGCTCATTGTCTTTTCTTGTCTCTGTCCAGCCATAGTTATGGTGCCAACAAGAGAGCTGGCTCTGCAAGTGAGCCAGATCAGCATGCAGCTGGGCAAGCACCTTGGAGGGGTCAAAGTCATGGCTACCACGGGTGGTACAAACCTGAAAGATGACATCATGCGTCTGGATGAGACAGGTGCTTTTTAAAATTTTTGAAACCACTTACTCGTTTCCAATAAAAAAGAAGGTCTTGTCTCTCTGCAGTTTGAGTATTTTTTATTTTACAAATGTCTTTCAAAGATTTTCCTTGTCGATTTTTTTGTAGACAGCATTACAAAAAATTTATTGAAATGTGCTCATGGTGCTTCCTAATTTCCCAACAGTGCATGTAGTCATTGCTACTCCAGGCAGGATATTGGACCTGATGAGGAAGGGTGTAGCAAAAATGAACAAAGTAACAACGATGGTGATGGACGAGGTGGGTGAAGCTCTAACTTTCTCAATTAGTGTTTCAGTATTGCTCACTTTGGATTTACACGTCTTCTCTCAAATGTGTCTTCGTCAGGCGGACAAGCTGCTGTCCCAGGACTTTGTGGTCTTGATTGAAGATATTATCAGCTTTTTGGCAAAAGATCGACAGATCCTGCTTTACTCAGCTACTTTCCCCATCAGCGTGCAAACATTTATGGTAAAAACTGAAACAGCTTTGAAACTCTCGTACAAAGAGAGAGACTAAATGATAACCTGAGAATATTTATTTCCAGAGGAGGCACCTACAGAAACCTTACGAGATCAACTTGATGGAGGAACTGACATTGAAGGGCATCACTCAGTACTATGCCTATGTGACTGAGAGACAGAAGGTCCACTGTCTGAACACACTCTTCTCCAGGGTGAGTGTTGGTGCCTGATGGTAAAATTAGTAATTATGGACAGTAACTGGTTGCTGGACTCAGTCATATCTTTTTATGTAGTGTTCATGGATTTGAACCTGTGTATATAAATCTGTTACAATGTTTTTGTAGTTTATTTAACAAAAGATAAGTTTGACATCTGATAGATAGTGAAGCTATTAAGGTCTTATCTGTTCGGTCCAGCACAGCACCTGGCTTTTATAGACTCAGCGTGTACCTACAAACACTAACAGGAGTTTTTCCTCAACTTCTATTAATCATCTTTTTTTTTTTCATACAGCTTCAGATCAATCAGTCCATCATCTTCTGTAACTCCACCCAAAGAGTTGAGCTTCTCGCCAAGAAAATCAGCCAACTTGGCTACTCGTGCTTCTACATCCATGCAAAGATGATGCAGGAATACAGAAACCGCGTCTTCCATGACTTCAGGAATGGATTGTGCAGAAACCTGGTGTGCACAGGTAAATGACGAGAGTTCTGCATTTAACACAAAACAGGAACTACAACAAGCGGGCTGACTGATCTTTATATTTTCTTTCAGATCTTTTCACGAGAGGAATTGACATCCAGGCCGTCAATGTGGTCATCAATTTTGACTTTCCGAAAAGTGCAGAGACTTATCTGCACCGCATCGGCAGATCAGGTACAAAAATACACACTCATGAAAAGTCACTGCGCATAAGTTGGTGTACAGCTAGGTCTTTTGATTCGGCACAGTGGTGTGCTTGTTATTGTACCGCCACTGCCGGTGTAGATATTTACCACCTGTGTTTGTTTCAGGGCGTTTCGGCCATCTGGGTCTAGCCATCAATCTGATAACCTCAGAGGACCGCTACAACCTCAAAAATATCGAGGATCAGCTGGTGACTGAGATCAAGCCCATCCCTGGCAGCATCGATAAGAGTCTGTATGTGGCCGAGTTTCACTCTGTTGACCCAGACGATGACAGCAGGGACAAAAACAAGGACTCTGGAGCAGCCTGAAAGAATGGTCAGTTCCTTTTAAGATGAGATGTTACAAAACCACTGAAGCATTTCATTGTTGATCCTGATCTTGTACCCTCATCTGTTATGACAAATATAAAAGAAATTCTCTGTTTAATTGACTTCTTAGCTTATTATTGCAAGTTCAGAAACTAGATGATGGCTTTTATGCTCATTAAGTCCCACTCTTGAATACTTAAGATAAAGAAAATAAGTTAATGTTAGAAAAGATAAGTACTCATTGCTTATTAAATTAAAAAAAAAAATTGGGAGATCAAATTTTCTGGTCCAGATGGTGTGTGTGCGCATATATGAGGGAGTTTTCATGTTGAATTGGTAACTTTAAATCGCACTGCTGAAAACATCAGAGCATTCAAGCTCGAGGAAGACCAATACTAACAACCTTGTTTATGGATAACATCCTCTTACATCAAGAAGATTAACTAAAGTTTAACAGGATTTAGAGGTGAAGGGCTGTCCTCTCAGGCTGCACTGCAGCACACCCCATCGATTCATTTAGAGCTGATCAGCTCACACAGATAGATGCCTCCATTCCTCCCCTCACAGAGCAGCGACTCATTCACATGGTTTTGATCAGATATTCTAACTCGACTTTCTGTTTTTCCAGAGAGGCACCGCGCTGGCCGTCGATCACACCATCTCGTCTGTGCTTCAAGCAAGATTTCAAATGAAGATTTTCAGTTCTCCACTTGAAAAATGGTTTATTTTTAGATTTCTGTTTTGAGTTCTCAGCCGTCTCTTACTTCTGTCCATTAAACTGATAACTTTCACACATAAAGCAGTTCTGCCACACAGCAGGTGCATATGTTGATGGCTGTTGCTGAATTCTGTTATTGAACTGAGCCATTTTTTTCCTGTACTTTGCTCTAAGAATGAAAATGTGAAACCAAAGAGACCACAGTCCACCTCCTGTCTTTGTTGTGGTTTATAACGGCCCCATTGACATTCTGCCGACATGTTTTATGAGTTGATGCTTTGGAAGAAGCCCCATTTTATGTGTGCCTGTACAGCCAGACAACTTTATAAGATTATCCCCTCCCCCTTTGCTCACATAGCATCCTGAATTAGTCTTGGTACGGATTCAACAGTGTACTGGAAACATTCCTTAAGGGAGGCTGGTTCATGTTGGCATGATGACTTCACACATTTGGCGCAGATGTGTCAGCTGCTCACTCATGCTATGCGTTTAGTGCCTGATCTCATCCCATTGGTGCTCTGTTATTATTGACATCTGGTGTATGTGAATGCCAAGTGATGTGTCACGGTACCCTGAAAAGAAAAGGCCACAGGACAATGTTGGAATGAATATTCAAGATTTCAATAAGTGCGCAAAAAAGGTTTTGCCATTCTCCTCTGATCTGTTATTAACAAGATTTCTTTATCCTCATGGTCAAAACCTATGCCTCTTACATCCCTGTGAAGCTGTTGGTGAAAAGCATCTGACAATCTCTGCATGCTTTTGTACTCTGGTTTACCAACTATCTTAGTTGGTGGAATCTTTAGTAATCATTCCAACTGGTCCAGTAGCTTATTCACACAAGTTTGGGGATGTAGTGGTAAATATCTTAGCAGAATGCACATTCAACAAGTGTCCGTCAAAGAGGTGCCAAAGTCTAATATACAAAGTGACGGTTTTACTTATTTACAAGAAGTCTGCACAGTTTTTTCCCTGACACCGCCAGCAAGTCAAAGCACCAGGAGGCCTCCAAAAATTAAAGTGTGCCCAATTCTTTCACTAACACAAATATTTGTAGCACCTCTGTCAGTCATGGTACCTTAGAATTGTCCAAACTTGGCAGGCAGTATTTTCCTCAGGTCTTGGGATTGTCAATAACATTCTGGATTGAGGGGGGCCTTACACGCTACATGTTGAAACTGGTCAACCTGTTTAGTCCTTCTGTTTCTGAGTCTCCTATTCCCTCCCAAGTGCCTTCACTTCACATCACAGTTTGAGTTTGTTTTGCACCAAAAAGGCATTCAGACAGTTTACCAATTTAAAGCACAATTAGTGTCTGAGAGGTTTTTTTTGTATTCTCTTATGTCCCATTGCTGCATTTGAAATCTACATGAGCTTGATCACAAGTTGTTAAGGCAGGAAATAAAAGGAACTTTCTGTTAAGTGTGTCACACCAGTGCCTCTGAAAAAAAATAAATAAACTGCAACTGATTAAATTGTTTCCTCTTTGATCTGTACGCATTTCAAGATTTCATACTTTCCCTAGTGGCTAAAATCCTTCAACAATTAAACAGTCTCCCATAAGTCTCTCAAAGAAATGTGACCTTGGTCATTTGGTGTTAAGAGGTTAAAGGGATATTGCGGCGTAAAATTAAGTTAGGGTCAATCACACCATAACACCGAGTTAGACACCCCGTCGAGAGATGAATATTGCCAACCACTTGCTTCTTCAGTTATACCAACTTTAGTAACGTTATATACGTAACTAAAGTTGGTATAACTACAGAAGCAAGCGGTCAGCAACATTCATCTCTGGAGGGGGTGTCTAACTCTGTGTTACGGTGTGATTGACCGTAACTTAACTTTATGCCGGAATATCCCTTTAAGCTTCTGCATACCTGTGTATTCAGCGTATGTCTGTTGAGAAAAAAAAAATATTATTTGTAGTTCAGTTTGAATGTTTTATTCGTTTTGTTTCTTAGTAATAAAACGATAACGTGTCAAACTTCTCTAAAATGTCCCCGTGCATTGAAAACTACAGTTTACTAAAATACGGCTAAATAAGTATTTCATATTTTTAAAGGTTATCTTCTGCGGCGCTCCTAAATAGGTGTACCCTTGGAATGTCATTCAGCACGAGATTCAATGAAACGAGTGTTGGGCGAATAAACCCCGGTATACGTCACCTGGAGTGGGCGGTGCAAACAGCTATCTAACCCAATGGCGTTCGAGGAGAGATGTAAGTTAGCCAATCCCCGGGTGATTTACAGGAAGTAGGCGGGCAAATGTCAACTACGGTCACAGACGCTGTCGTGAACTTTACCGGTGTTGAACTACCCCTGGACCAAAACCTTCAGGGTGAGTAGTTAAACCATGTAATTGCATTAATGCTTTATTACGAAATCACAGCAAAAATCTCTTATTTCTTAAATATCGTATCTGTAAGTCGTGGGTTTTGCTCTTGAAGGAGATCAGATCTCGTGCTGGACTCCACATGGCTACCTAGCCGCCTAGCTTACCAACCAGCCCTGCTAGTTAGCATTAGCCGTCTCTGGTTAAACACCAGCAGGTTTACCATGTACTGTTGATCTTCAGGTGTCGTTGTCTGTTGAAAACCACGAGTTAACCATTTAACATGTCACTCGGTATAAATGTTTTGATCTTATTTTAAAGCATGTCGAGAGTCTGACATAGCTAGGCCTGAGCTACAACCGACCTGCTGTTGTGTTAGTGTGAGGACAGAATTACTGATCACTCCTGGAGGAAGTTCAATGAAGCTGAAGACATGGGAGGAAACTGGAGTAACTACACCAGAGCGTGTAAACTGACTGTTTGTCAGATAGAGAATATACAGAGTTTTGAAATAATATAAGTTTAAAACGACAAGTTTCTATTTTATGTTATTTTTTTAATGTAACCTTTATTTAATCAGATAAGTCTAATTATGATCAGGATCTTATTTACAAAGGCGACCTGGCCAAGAGGTCAGCAGCACACACCACAATAAGAATAAATTCAAGAAAAGATTAAGGCCATACATTACAAACAATAAATCAGGGTAATGATTCATCAATGTGACAGTGTTAGTTGAACAGTTTTGGGAGCAGTACCATTTCAACCCTAGAACACTATCGCTAAAATTAGTAACATCATCACTATAACAGGGTGATTTTTACCCGAAATAATATACTCAAGAAAAACTACTTGTCATCAAAATATGTCATAAGAGGACAATACATGACAAATTCAAGTAGTTTTCTTTCATTTTTAACTGTGCAATGTCCAAAGGGAGGAAAAAAGTGCCATGAGGAGACCGTATAAAAATGCAACAAAATAACCGAAATTAGGCATTCATGAACAAAAAATTACTAGACAAAAAATATAGAAACTGTAAACTTAGTTTCTTTTCCACCCATTCCTGGGGTATGTGAGTCTTCCCTGGTGAAGACTCAGGGTCCTTGGCACAATAACAGCTGCAGGAGAGAGAACCAAAATATGGCTGATTTTGAGTGAGTAAAAATGACCAGCTGACTAAAATTTTTTTTTTATTAGGTGATGCAGGACAGATCATGACAGGTGGTTGACAACATAGATACAGTGCAAACAGACAATGGAGATAAGACAAAGTGACAAATACAGCAGTAACACATAACATTTACATACATTTAAAAAGTGTTGCAAGACTGTTTAAGTGAAAAATCACTACTTTGTGATAGTTATTCATAACCACTGCACTAAATAAAGATAACATGCAAATTCCAGGACCACTCTTACTGACCTATTCACCTACATGCAGCTATCAAATCCACCCAAACCTACTTTACCGTCTATCACCTGAACACGTGCCTGTAGGAAAAAGCAGCTTTTGGATCAGGAAAACAAATATGCCTTCAAAGATATCAAAAGTAATGCTGAAGCTACCCAGAGACCCATGATACTCAGACAAACACAACACAATGAAAATCATGTGAAGATGTTTGGTCGGGTGAAATCACTCGATGATAGTCTTCTAGGGTTAAAAACACAAGCGTTGCTCAGAGGAATCTCGCTGCCTAGTGAGTAATAGGGGACGAAAAGCTTTAACTGAAACCAATTCTGGTATTTCAGTTCTGTCTGTAACATGTTCCAACCGGCAGCATAACAAAAAAGCTTGTTTACCCAATTCAGTTTGGACTCTGGGCACGTTCAGATGATAAATTGTACAAGAGTGTAGGGCATAGGTGCCCCTTGAATTCTGCTGCAGAGAACATGGGTAGGATGGAAGTAATCCAAGAAGAGACTTATAAATCAAGATCATCCAATAAGAGTTCCTCTGGGAGCTGAAGGAGGGGCACTCAGCTTTGGCATAGAGCTTACTGTGGTGAGTGAGGTGACCACAACCAGAGACAAAGTGTAATGCACAGTGATAAACAGTGGCAAATGCCAGAAGACATTTGGCTGAGGCACTCATGTCACCAGGACAGAAAAGGAGCAGACAAGATATTTCCAAGCTCTTAGGGAAAAACAGGATTAAAACCACTTCAGAGATTGTAGATGAGCCTGAATTGTATTAAAAGCTGTCTCCAAAAATTCTAAAGCCTGGGAAAGTGAGGAAGTATAAGTCAGTATAAGTGCAACCCTGTAATTTTTACAATCTGAAACCTGTATAGAATCATGTAAAATCTTAAAGGCAGCAGTAACAGTCCAGTGCTGCTTTGTAAGTCCAGATTGAAAATGTGTTAAAATGCCATCAGCACCTAAAAATGCTTTTAATTGCTCACTGTCAATTTTTTACAAACATTTTTGCCAAGTTTAGAAATTGTGATATAGTTATGTACTCCTGAAAGATTACCATCCTTTAGATTGTGGAGCACAAAAGCAGATTTCTATATTCTGGGAATTTTATTCGATTAATGAAATCTTCAGGTTTGACTCACCTTTTTAACCCTGACAGACTGTATCCTGCACATATCAGATTAAATAGCTTTGATTTAATTGACAAGTGTGATGAATAATTCATGTATCATTTATCTCTTTACTCGTCTGTACCAGTCTCAGAGTATGGGCAGTGTGTTGGCTGCCGCCTCCCCCACTCCTGCCCCAGCTGCGGCTGGAGGTAGTCAAGGGGTCCCGGGGCTGGTGTCGGTCCCTCCAGGGTTCACCATGCCTCCAGTGTCTTCCGTCCCTCCAGCATCTGGACAGCCGGCAGATGCAGAATCCTCGCTCCCAAACCCAGGCACATACGAGGAGTGCCACCGCAAATGTAAAGGTTGGAGAATTTCTTTAATGCATTGAATAGTTTTAATGCTTTTTATCACATTAACCATGTCACTATCCATTCATCTGAAGAATACACTACTGCCAATAAAACACACAAATCAACCACAGTGCTGTGAACACTTGGGCTGTGATCAATCAAAGTAAATCCTGGCTGACTGAAATCACACCCACTCAACAACCTACTGATCTGTCATGAAAAAATAAATAAATAAATAATGGCATGCTATCTAGATCTACCCAATCAGTGACAGTGTAGTCAGTGCACCCTGGCTGGTTTTCTAAATTCACTTAAAATTGAACACAAGCTTTTTTTTGCTGCATATTCCATTTATTTTTTGACTTGATTAAGTTATACACCTGCCTATAATCATATCTGAAAGTGTAACTACTTTCATGATTGTATTGGATTGCATTAAATTGCCCTGGTGTACAATTGGATACACAGGTACAGAACAGCTGCAGAATAATTGTGGTTTTAGTTTAAGTTTTCCTTCCCCCCACTTCTTGTCCTTTATGCTCCAGATGAGTAAATTGTGATTGTACAGAGACATGTTAAGTCAACCTCAACTTGCAGGAGTGTGTAGAGTGTAGAGAGAGTCTATCTAAGTCAATTGAAAGCCTTACTGAGACCCTCTTAGAACTTTTTGTTTTACAACTTTAAGATGTGTCCTTTATCGGTCGAGGGAAGTTTGGGGGTCTTTCCAGGAGAAATGTATGAGCCATGATGCTGTGACTACAGAGCTTTGCCTCAGGGAGAAGGAAATTCAAGGGTATTTCCACATAAGGGCACACACAGCAATGGGAGTTCTGTCTTTTTGCTCCATTGGTTTATTGTCTTTTCTAAGTTTGATCTCCTAAAGGCTCCTTACATAAGCTGTCATGGACTTTGGGGGTTTGCCCTTCACAGTATGTCGACATTGAAAGGGTTCAACTTTTCAGTAACATTTCCTTCAACTTTTTTTTGCTACAGAGGTCTTCCCTCTGCAGATGGAAGGGGTACGGCTAGTGGTCAACAAAGGCCTGAGCAACCACTTCCAGGTCAGCCATACCATCACCCTCAGCACTCTTGGTGAATCCAGCTATAGATTTGGTTCCACTTACGTCGGCAGTAAACAGACTGGACCAGCAGAGGTAATAATCACATCAAATCACTAAATAATGCTCAAATTTCTGTTTTTTTTTGTTTTGTTTTATCCAAGCTGACTTCAGGATGTTTTTTTGCCCTCTAGTCATTTCCAGTCATGGTTGGAGACATGGACAACACTGGCAGTCTGAATGCTCAGATCATTCACCAGCTTACTGCCACTGTGCGCTCCAAAATAGCCATCCAGGTAAGCAGAGCAACGGAGGAAACATTCATTCATATGTTGTCATAAACAGATCAATATTCCAGTTTTAAGAGTTTTTAATCTCTGTTTGTGTGTTGCAGACGCAGCAGCATAAGTTTGTGAACTGGCAGTGTGACATGGAGTATCGTGGCGAAGACTTCACCGCTGCTGTGACGCTCGGGAATCCAGACGTTCTTGTTGGATCTGGTATGATATTCAAACAGTGAAGTGGAGGCTGATTTGTATTTGTTGGTAACTTAAGATAAACTAAGCAATATGATTAGTCATAAGAATACATCGCTGATTGAGTTTTTTTGGCTCCAGCTCAAATTAATATTAATTGATACACACTCAGACATGGTAATATTTTAGGCGTTGTTAAATTCAACTGAGTTTCTTTCTGACAAATTGTAATTGAAGTCGTACTTCACAAATTAAACCCTTCATTTTTCATAAGTGGAGGCAGGAATTCCAGTTTATCAGCTGAATATACATGAGTTGTTTTGAATGAGGCTCTTCACTCTGATTTAATCTCTGGAGCTCCTGAAACACTGATCATTCAAGGTGTAAAAGAGCTGTTAATGCTTCTTCCTTTTAATCAGGCAGAAGCAGAAACTATTTATAGCAACATGGAGAGACTTTTATCATCTCGACCAATTAGTTAGTCCCCTCTGAAATTAAAAGATGCCACTTGAATGTTTTCTACAGTATTACTTACAGCTGAGGAGGAATAGACTGCTCCTTTACTCCAAGACTTTTAGAGACTTTTAGGAAAGTGTAAACATTATAAGATTTTATGGCAACCCTCAGATGGAAGATCGCATTGCATCAAAAAAGACTGGGAAAGAGACAAGTCTGTGACCAAAGAAAGGGGTTGAAATCTGTTCATCAAAACAGATGAGGAAAGATTTTATCAGTGATTTATGTCCTTCAAATTCTTCTTCTCAGGTATTTTGGTGGCCCACTATCTCCAGTCGATCACACCAGGACTGGCTCTGGGTGGTGAACTGGTGTACCACAGGAGACCAGGAGAAGAAGGAACTGTAACCTCCCTCCTGGGCAGGTACACAGGTAAAACATGCACTGTGAGAAAAGTTAAATTGTTCCATAAACCATCTGTATATAGTGTAAAATTACCAATGCCAATACTCCCATTCACAATTTCCAAATTTTTTATTTTTCTGTTGTGTGGCAGTCATTTAGAAAACTTAATACCAAATTCATATGAGTGATTATTTTATTTTTTTTGTCCCTGTAGGTGACAACTTTGTCGCTACATTGACTTTAGGAGGAGCAGGAGCTCATGCGACATACTATCACAAAGCCAATGACCAGGTAAAAACCTCTTCTAATGTCTGTCCTTTCTGGTTTAAATTCTTTCAAGCCTGACTTAAACGGCTCGCACAGGCCCTCTATAGATCACTTGTGGTTTAAGTGCAGGATAACTATGTGGCATAATTTGTAGTGATAAAGAATTTTCGGGAGAAAATTAACAACTAGCATCAATTACCTTAAAGGTCAAGTGCATTTTTCTCTTCCTGATCTTTGAAACACAGTGTTGCAGTAAAAGATCAATAAATTGGATCCTCTTCCTCGGACAGACAATAAGAAAAAAAAATATATTATTTATAAATGTGGCTTCAAACTTGTTTTCTCCTTGTACAGCTGCAGGTAGGAGTTGAATTTGAAGCCAGCACGAGGATGCAAGACACGACAACATCCTTTGGTTACCAGCTGGACCTCCCCAAAGCGAACCTGCTTTTTAAAGGTAAAAACACCATAATTATACAGCTAAAGGCAGATCAACAATAAACATGGAGTTCTTCTTTAAGAGACTCTTATCTTTTCTCCCCACAGGCACCGTTGACAGTAATTGGGTGGTTGGGGCAACACTTGAAAAGAAACTGCTGCCTCTGCCTCTCACACTGGCCTTAGGGGCTTTCCTCAACCACCGCAAAAACAAGTTCCAGTGTGGCTTCGGTGTCACAATCGGTTAGGAGTGCTTGAGGGGGCTGCCTGGAGTGAGCTCACAGGCCACAGCTTGGACCGGCACAGAGACACACAGGAACCTGGACTAAGTTTTAGAAATTGGATTCAGAGACTCTCTTTCAACTGTGATTTCTGGGGCAGACAGAGAGACAAAGACAACTACCAAGGAGCCAGGACTGGCCAAGCCATGCCTACATTCTGTAGCACAAATGTCTTTCCTTTATGGTGTATTTCATATACCCAGAGGCTAGAGAGGTGTATGTCAGAGGGCATCAGTGATGCATGAGAACATGTGACGTGAAAATCAAAGTGGTTAGAAATAATATATGGTTATCATGTATGATGGGTTGAAATAAATGTCATTACTTTTTGTAAAACTGGATGTGGTTATGTTTTCTATTCAGGACTTAATTATTTCAGAATGAGGGACACGTAACTTCAGCCTGGTTTAAAGGACAGGTACTTAAAACCACTAATGTCAGATAATTCAGTGTCACTAATACATACTGTGGTGGTTTAGTGTAAGTCAGTACTACAATAAATGATGTTCCCAAGTAGATTTAAGAAAGACAAGATGTTTACTTAAAATTTCATGCAGGATTTGAGTATTTAGTCTCCACTGCCATGAAGACAAATCCCTTTACAGCATGACCATGACTGGAGATAAGTTTCAAGCATTGCTATAACCAAAACTCTGAAGAGACAGACCAGCAAAGCTGTAAACTCTACAGCCAGCCTACTTCCTGTTGTATAGACACTTCTGTCAACAATGCCACCCTGTGGAGAATATGTCTGTCTGCTATGTCATAACTCACTTTAACAGTAACATGTACAAAAAAAAGAATTTGCATGTTAGCTAATTATTTAGTTTTGCCCAACACATTTATATTTAACATTTACATTTAACATTTAGATTTATATTTAACATTTATATTTAGATTTATATTTAACATTTAGATTTATATTTAACATTTATATTTAACATTCAGATTTATATTTAACACTTAGATTTAACATTTATATTTATATTTATATTTAACACTTAGATTTAACATTTATATTTAGATTTAACATTTATATTTAGATTTAGATTTAACATTTAGATTTAGATTTAACATTTATATTTAACATTTAGATGTTACATTCAGATTTATATTTAATATTTAGATTTGACATTTATATTTAGATTTAACATTTATATTTAGATTTATATTAAACATTTAGATTTATATTGAACAATTATATTTAACATTTAGATTTAACATTTATATCTAGATTTAACATTTAGATTAAACATATATATTTAACATTTATATTTATATTTAACATTTAGATTTATATTTAGATTTAACATTTAGATTTAGATTTAACATTTATATTTAGATTTAACATTTAGATTTAGATTTAACATTTATATTTAGATTTATATTTAATATTTAGAATTACATTTATATATTTATATTTAGCGTTTAGATTTAACATTTAACAGTATCATGTGTGCGCCTGCATGTGTGTGTGCGTGTGTTTGTACAGTGTCCACGTAGTTATTAACACGAAACGTCACCCCAAGTATTTGTTCCCCCCCTAAATTGGTTTTAATTCATTTTCTTCGACACAAGAATCATCAATATGACCTTCCGGAGCTTTTATTTTGGAACTTCTGGTTTCCAACCATGAATTTGCATAATAACTAAATATTTGGTTTTGCCCAACACATTTAGATTTAACATTTACATTTAACATTTATATTTAACATTTATATTTATATTTAACATTGAGATTTAACATTGAGATTTAACATTTTATTTAGATTTAACATTTACATTTAACATTTAGATTTAACATTTAGATTTAACATTTAGATCTAACATTTAGATTTATATTTAGATTTAACATTTATATTTAAATTTAACATTTAGATTTAGATTTAACATCTAGATTTAACATTTATATCTAGATTTAACATTTAGATTAAACATATATATTGAACATTTATATTTAGCATTTAGATTTAACATTTAACAGTATCATGTGTGCGCCTGCATGTGTGTGTGCGTGTGTTTGTACAGTGTCCGAGTAGTTATTAACACGAAACGTTGACCCAAGTATTTGTTCCCCCTTTGAATTGGTTTTAATTCGTTTTTGAGATTTAACATTGAGATTTAACATTTTATTTAGATTTAACATTTACATTTAGATTTAACATTTAGATTTAACATTTTTATTTAGATTTAACATTTATATTTAGATTTAGATTTAACATTTATATTTAACATTTAGATGTTACATTCAGATTTATATTTAATATTTAGATTTGACATTTATATTTAGATTTAACATTTATATTTAGATTTATATTTAACATTTAGATTTATATTGAACAATTATATTTAACATTTAGATTTAACATTTATATCTAGATTTAACATTTAGATTAAACATATATATTTAACATTTAGATTTATATTTAACATTTAGATTTATATTTATATTTAACACTTAGATTTAACATTTATATTTAGATTTAACATTTATATTTAGATTTAGATTTAATATTTAGAATTACATTTATATATTTATATTTAGCGTTTAGATTTAACATTTAACAGTATCATGTGTGCGCCTGCATGTGTGTGTGCGTGTGTTTGTACAGTGTCCACGTAGTTATTAACACGAAACGTCACCCCAAGTATTTGTTCCCCCCCTAAATTGGTTTTAATTCATTTTCTTCGACACAAGAATCATCAATATGACCTTCTGGAGCTTTTATTTTGGAACTTCTGGTTTCCGACCATGAATTTGCATAATAACTAAATATTTGGTTTTGCCCAACACATTTAGATTTAACATTTACATTTAACATTTATATTTAACATTTATATTTATATTTAACATTGAGATTTAACATTGAGATTTAACATTTTATTTAGATTTAACATTTACATTTATATTTAACATTTACATTTAACATTTAGATTTAACATTTAGATCTAACATTTAGATTTATATTTAGATTTAACATTTATATTTAAATTTAACATTTAGATTTAGATTTAACATCTAGATTTAACATTTATATCTAGATTTAACATTTAGATTAAACATATATATTTAACATTTATATTTAGCATTTAGATTTAACATTTAACAGTATCATGTGTGCGCCTGCATGTGGTGTGCGTGTGTTTGTACAGTGTCCGAGTAGTTATTAACACGAAACGTTGACCCAAGTATTTGTTCCCCCTTTAAATTGGTTTTAATTCGTTTTTGAGATTTAACATTGAGATTTAACATTTTATTTAGATTTAACATTTACATTTAGATTTAACATTTAGATTTAACATTTTTATTTAGATTTAACATTTATATTTATATTTAGATTTAACATTTATATTTAACATTTACATTTAACATTTAGATGTTACATTCAGATTTATATTTAATATTTAGATTTGACATTTATATTTAGATTTAACATTTATATTTAGATTTATATTTAACATTTAGATTTATATTGAACAATTATATTTAACATTTAGATTTAACATTTATATCTAGATTTAACATTTAGATTAAACATATATATTTAACATTTATATTTATATTTAACATTTATATTTATATTTATATTTAACACTTAGATTTAACATTTATATTTAGATTTAACATTTATATTTAGATTTAGATTTAATATTTAGAATTACATTTATATATTTATATTTAGCGTTTAGATTTAACATTTAACAGTATCATGTGTGCGCCTGCATGTGTGTGTGCGTGTGTTTGTACAGTGTCCACGTAGTTATTAACACGAAACGTCACCCCAAGTATTTGTTCCCCCCCTAAATTGGTTTTAATTCTTTTTCTTCGACACAAGAATCATCAATATGACCTTCTGGAGCTTTTATTTTGGAACTTCTGGTTTCCGACCATGAATTTGCATAATAACTAAATATTTAGTTTTGCCCAACACATTTAGATTTAACATTGAGATTTAACATTGGGATTTAACATTTTATTTAGATTTAACATTTACATTTATATTTAACATTTAGATTTAACATTTACATTTAACATTTAGATTTAACATTTAGATCTAACATTTATATTTATATTTATATTTAACATTTATATTTAATTTTAACATTTAGATTTAGATTTAACATTTAGATTAAACATATATATTTAACATTTATATTTAGCATTTAGATTTAACATTTAACAGTATCATGTGTGCGCCTGCATGTGTGTGTGCGTGTGTTCGTACAGTGTCCGCGTAGTTATTAACACGAAACGTTAACCCAAGTATTTGTTCCCCCCTTAAATTGGTTTTAATTCGTTTTTGAGATTTAACATTGAGATTTAACATTTTATTTAGATTTAACATTTACATTTAGATTTAACATTTAGATTTAACATTTACATTTAACATTTAGATTTAACATTTAGATCTAACATTTAGATTTATATTTATATTTAACATTTATATTTAAATTTAACATTTAGATTTAGATTTAACATTTAGATTTAACATTTATATCTAGATTTAACATTTAGATTAAACATATATATTTAACATTTATATTTAGCATTTAGATTTAACATTTAACAGTATCATGTGTGCGCCTGCATGTGTGTGTGCGTGTGTTCGTACAGTGTCCGCGTAGTTATTAACACGAAAAGTTACCCCAAGTATTTGTTCCCCCCTTAAATTGGTTTTAATTAGTTTTCTTAGACACAAGAATCATCAATATGACCTTCTGGAGCTTTTATTTTGGCACTTCCGGTTTCCGACCATGAATTTGTATATTAGCTAAATATTTAATTTTGCCCAACACATTTTGAATTTAACATTTAGATTTATATTTAACATTTATAATTAACATTTATATTCTACATTTATATTTAGATTTAACATTTATATTTATATTTATATTTAACATTTAGATTTATATTTAACATTTATATTTATATTTAACATTTATATTTAGATTTAACATTTAGATTTATATTTAACATTTAGATTTAACATTTAGATTTAGATTTAGATTTAACACTTAGATTTATATTTAACATTTAGATTTAACATTTAGCTTTAGATTTAACATTTATATTTAGATTTATATCAAACATTTAGATTTAGATTTAACATTTATATTTAGATTTAACATTTATATTTATATTTAACATTTGGACTTATATTTAACATTTAGATTTAACATTTATATCTAGATTTAACATTTAGATTAAACATATATATTCTGGAGCTTTTATTTTGGCACTTCTGGTTTCCGGCTGTGAATTTGCATATAAGCTGAATATTTAGTTTTGCCCAATACATTTTAAATTTAACATTTACATTTAACATTTATATTTAACATTTAAATTTATATTTAACATTAATATTTAACATTTAGATTTAACATTTAAATTTAGATTTAACATTTATATTTAGATTTAACATTTTGATTTAGATTTAACATTTATATTTAACATTTAGATTTAACATTTAGATTTAACATTTAGATGTAACATTTATATTTATATTTAACATTTACATTTAACGTTTATATTTATATTTAACATTTATATTTATATTTATATTTAACATTTAGGTTTATATTTAACATTTAGATTTAACATTAGGTTAAACATATATAATTAACATTTATATTTAGCATTTAGATTTAACATTTAACATTTAACAGTATCATGTGTGCGCCTGCGTGTGTGTGCGTGTGTTCATACAGTGTCCGCGTAGTTATTAACACGAAACGTCACCCCAAGTATTTGTTCCCCCCTTATATTGGTTTTATTTCGTTTTCTTTGACACAAGAATCATCAATATGACCTTCTGGAGCTTTTATTTTGGCACTTCCGGTTTCTGACCATGAATTTGCATATTAGCTAAAAATTTAGTTTTGCCCAACACATTTAGATTCAACATTGACATTTAACATTTAGATTTAACATTTAGATTTATATTTAACATTTAGATTTAACATTGAGATTTAACATTTAGATTTAACATTTATATTTAGATTTAACATTTATATTTAGATTTATATTTAGCATTTATATTTATATTGAACAATTATATTTAACATTTAGATTTAACATTTATATCTAGATTTAACATTTAGATTAAACATATAGATTTAACATTTATATTTAGCATTTACATTTAACATTTAACAGTATCATGTGTGCGCCTGCATGTGTATGTGCGTGTGTTCGTACAGTGTCCACGTAGTTATTTACACGAAACGTCACCCCAAGTATTTGTTCCCCCCTTAAATTGGTTTTAATTTGTTTTCTTCGACACAAGAATCATCAATATGACCTTCTGGAGCTTTTATTTTGGCACTTCTGGTTTCCGACCATGAATTTGCATAATACCTAAATATTTAGTTTTGCCCAACACATTTAGATTTAACATTTACATTTAACATTTATTTTTAACATTTATATTAATATTTAACATTTAGATTTAACATTGAGATTTAACATTTTATTTAGATTTAACATTTACATTTAACATTTAGATTTAACATTTACATTTAACATTTAGATTTATATTTATATTTAACATTCATATTTAGATTTAACATTTAGATTTATATTTAACATTTAGATTTAACATTTATATCTAGATTTAACATTTAGATTAAACATATATATTTAACATTTATATTTAGCATTTAGATTTAACATTTAACAGTATCATGTGTGCGCCTGCATGTGTGTGTGCGTGTGTTCGTACAGTGTCTGCGTAGTTATTAACACGAAACGTTAACCCAAGTATTTGTTTCCCCCTTAAATTGGTTTTAATTCCTTTTTTTTCGACACAAGAATCATCAATATGACCTTCTGGAGCTTTAATTTTGGCACTTCTGGTTTATGACCGTGAATTTGCATATTAGCTAAATATTTAATTTTGCCCAACACATTTAGATTTAACATTTATATTAAACATTTAGATTTATATGTAACATTTATATTTAACATTTATATTTATATTTAACATTTATATTTAACATTTAGATTTAACATTTAGATTTAACATTTATATTTAGCAATTAGATTTAACACTTAACATTTAACAGTATCATGTATGCGCCTGCATGTGTGTGTGCGTGTGTTAGTATAGTGTCCGCAAAGTTATTAACACGAAACGTCACCCCAAGTATTTGTTCCCCCCTTAAATTCGTTTTCTTCGACACAAGAATCATCAATTTGACCTTCTGGAGCTTTTTTTTTGGCACTTCCGGTTTCCGACCGTGAATTTGCATAATAGCAAAATATTTAGTTTTGCCCAACACATTTAGATTTAACATTTATATACATACACATACACATACACAACACATATCTTTTTAAATAAAATGTAAAAATTTTATCATACTATATTATGACATTTTTATCACACTATACATTGACAATTTTTAAACATATCATGCTATGGCATTTTTCTTTCTTTCTTAAATTTTAAATGTCAAATGTTTATCATAATATACAATGACAATCTTATCATACTATGCTATATGACATTCTTTTCTTTATTGAATTTAATTTTTTTTTATTACACTATACAATATCATTTTTCTATCATTAAATGTCAAATCTATCATACCATGCTATGGCAATTTGATCATACTACACTTTGGCATTTTTATCATTTATACTTTGACAATTTTTAACGCGACATTTTTTTCATACATAAATATGAGATTCTTGACATACTATACTATTTCATTTTTATCATACTAAACTTTGATTTTTCTTATCATACTCTACTATAACATTTTTAACATACTATACTATGGAATTTTTATCAAACTACACTGACATTTTTATCAAACTATATTATGACTTTTATTATACTATACTATGATATTTTTACCAACCTATACTTTAACGTCTTTATTATACTATACTATAATCCTTGTATCATATGATACAACAACATTTTGTAATACTATACTCTGATATTTTTGTGACAGACAGTGTGACAGGGCGGTGGTCTGCTGGTGGGGGGCTCGGGCCCGTTGGTGCCCTGTGTGACACTAGTTATCCTTGATTTCATCTTATTTGGCATCTCGTGCTTGTTTCATTATGATTAAGGAGAAAAATAGCATGGGTGAGCAAGGCAATTTAATATTTTCACAAAAAGTCAAAATTATCATTTTTAAACAAGCAGGTCTGGAAACATATAGGTAATCAATGAGGGACAGACAGTAACATTACACAAAAACACTGCAAAACAGTTTAAAGGCTACAAACATATTCAATACATAACATTGATATCTGACTGAGCATTATTGATTAACAATGTACCTATATGCGTATGGAAGACACACTTATAAGTTGTTGCAAATGATTTATTTGAAAAACAGAATTGCATGAAGTCAACAACCTACAAAACAGATTTTTAAGAATCATCTCCTGATGGTTATCTAAAAAACTTGGCCCCACCACCAAAAAACATTACAACACGTAGCTTTTTTAAAATTTTCAGTATGTATCTAGTGATTAATGTATCCCCAATTAATTACCTCTGACTACTCCACCATTTCCACAATGAGAAACAGAAACAGTACAGAAGACATTTGCCGTGGTCTCGTCCATGTGCAGAGGTGAGATGTAAACGGATTAAGATTCACATCAGCGTATCAGGAGCATCAGTGCGAGCAGGAAGGTGAGCACAGGGCAGGAAGCCAAACCAGGAGCGAAGCCAAAAAGGCTTTGGCAAGAAGCAAAGAGAAAATAATGCACAATAAATGAATGATGCACCAAAGATTTATGACAAATGTCTGATGGTCCTTTAAAAAATTTCTCCAGTGAAAGTGTAAATCTGTTTACCTGTCATCCTCTGTGGTTCTAGGTGGTCTGTAGGTGGAAGGATTGATCCTGTAAAGCAGATTTCATCAATTATTAGGCAAACTGAAATCTTATATTATTTAATAAAACACGATTTGATTTATGTCATCATATTTCATCTTTAGCGTAAATGGACTTGTTTTGTTTATAGAAGGAAAAAGCTGGCTTTCCTGAGGTACAAAGTTAAAATCAGAAGCATCTTAACAGCATCAAAAACAAGATTTTTAAGCAAAAATTAAAAAATAAAAATACTTGTCATCATCTGTGGTCTGTGGGAAAGGTGGATAGGTCCTGAAAAATATAAAATTGTGTGTTAGAGCCATTTTCAAAGCAAACATACCTGCTTCATTCAGCATTTAATGTATAATAATAGAAGGTTGTCAATATTCCCATTTATGGGGACTAAAAGCTGATGGTGGTTTGAAGAAGAAGACATATTACAAAGTACTTGAGGCTTTTGTAAGAATATAAAGTGTTGTGCTTCTAATGAACAATATTCTGAGTTAATTAAAAAAAAGGTGAAATATAATGAATCCTCATTACATGTGGTCATCTGTTGTTTTCAGAGGAGGCCAATCAGTTGTGGGATGGATCCTGTAAAAGTAATATACACATTTTATCATCATGTATGAATGAAGCTAATATGCTTTTTCAGTGCCAATGATAAATCGTTAGTGCTTTTCTGAGTCAATGTTTGTAATAGATATATGCAGAATTGCATCACATGACTCTTTACAAGGTTTTTACACAGCAAATAAAACATCCGAAAGGTGAAATATAATAAATTCTCATTACATGTCATCTGTTGTTTTCAGAGGAGGCCAACCGGACGTGGGATGGATCCTGAAAAATTAGATGCATCATTTTTTACCATGTATGAATCAAACTTTGATGCTTATCTCAATACCACATTATGTAAGCTATTAACACTAGGCATGTATGTCTAAAAAGCAGATTTTTTTGTTTATTTATAAGATACTGTTCTCTTGTTTGAACTTAAATAAAGTACATGACAGGTCATGCAAAATGTCAACCAATCTCTTTACAACATAATTCTAGCTTCCAGTTTTTACAGCTACCATAATACTGCAAAAGTGAATCATGAAGAAATATAATTACATGTGGTCATCAGTGGTCTTAGGGAGAGGAGGTGGGGTCCTGCAGAAATGACATCAAAAAGTTTATTGTCCTGCAGAAGCTTGTTTTTCAGTCAGACCGAATGATCAGACACAAAGATGTAGATATAATATCTAATGCAAACTCCACATCAACAATAGTGAGTGCATTCTTGGATAGAGTATCCTTCCTGTTAATGTTAGATGTCATTTGCTGATCACATTGGCCCCACTTCAATATTTTATCGGGGATATTTTAAAGAGTAACACTGATGGTAGTGCCTCAAACTTAGACATTAATCTGTTTAATCAAATCATTGGCTGTTTTGAAGATAATACAAAGCCTCACCCTGAAAAACACGGGCCATTAAGCTGAGCTGTAGCTTGTCTCATTTGCACTGGTCTCAGCTCAGGGCATGGCAGGGTATTCCCATTAACCAGAGGAGTTAAATCTAGAAAAGAATTAAGTGTCAGGAGTGTAGTCCTCAGGATCTGGATTTGGGTCAAAAAGATTTAACAAACTAGCAGAAAAAAAACAAAACAGAACGGAACGAAAACATTGTCCTACCTTGGAAGGTGAAGGAAAAAACAGCACTCCCTCCCTTTAGGTATTGTCTGGATTTTATGTCTTCAAAATCAGCAAAATAATATCGGCCGAGCAAAGGTCCAGCATAGGTGGTCTCGTTGTTCTCATTGACTGATGGAGTTCCAACCTCACTTGGGTCGCCCCAGTTCAGCTTTCCTTCTTTAAAAAAAAACATGTACAACTTTGATGATAAAAAAACAGAGTGTGATTAATGTTTTATGTGCTCAAAATAGATCAGATTCCTTACCTGAGTTTACACTCCGGTCACTGGTGATACTCCTCTGCTTGGTCATGTGAATCTGGATATTGGGCGTCTGATCCACCATTCCAAAGGTTACCTGCCTATTAGGGACAGGCCATTCTAGCTCGTCGTCATTTTCACCTGACACCATTCGCACAACCATACCAATAAATGTCTCGTATAGCACAACCCCAACAGTGTATGCATAGCCCCCCCTGGAGTACTGCCGTGGGCTGAATAACTGGGTTCCGTAGGCACTGGTATTCAAAAGGTTCTCAAAATTGTCAAACTGTAGTGTGACATGTGGACATTCAAGCTCTGACAGGTTGATGTCGTCAATGGAGAAGCCACCCCTAGAGTTTCCTGCTCCTTTACGGGCCTCAAACACCACCTGGAAGTCCTTGGTGGCGTTCAGGGAAATGTGCTTGATCTGCCAGTAAGATTTTGGTTGACCTGGAGGAAAGTTCATGGTTGACTAAGTTTCAGAATGTGAATAGTCAACACTGCCTATCATGAATGACTGTTAAGAAGGGCTCTTTATACATTACCGCTGATCTGTCCCATGAGACGGACAGTTCCTCTGACATCGAACTGATCTTCAAACTCTCTGATCCAGATGTTTAGTTCGTCTGACTCGCTCCCACTGTGGTAGTAGTAGAACTGAAGGCACTGAACATTACAGTCTCTTTTGGGGGTTATCCTCTTGGTCTCCAGCCATGCTGAGTCTTCCTCCTGGCCTGATGCTGTACTGGCATGCATGAAGTAACTGTTTTTTTGACCTAAAATAAATTGGTACGAATACATGTACAGTCAATATCTATGTGGCTCTAAATACAATGATATTTTTGATGCATCAAGAGCTTCCTGTTTTACTTTCTTCTTGCTTGGTTCATACAGCTTCTGGGTGTGTGAGACAATATAAAATGAATATGCCATAATATTTTAATATTTTTTGGACCAGGTAGCGTGGAGAGTGTCAGTGTGTTTTTAGTCTTTTGGTAAAAATCAGTTCTTTCCAATAGAAAATAAAAAGTTTTTTGCTGCAAAAATTGAATTATTTTAGGTTTTTAAAGCAAGATTTAGGATGCATGATTTTCCACATTGCCTGAAGTCAAAAATTGAAATTTTAGCATTTATATCTTACCACCACTTGTGCCATCACCACCAGGTAGGTTGGTGTGGTCAGAGACAGGACCAGCTGCAACCCGACTTGACTTTTCCCACTCAATGCCGCCCTGTGAACAGCTGCTCATTTGGCACGCGTCTCCATCAGTGAAGCCACAGTAAAACTGAAAAGCAATAGTTGAGTCTGTGGAGGAGAACAAAAACAGAAGGGGAAGAAAATGAATGATTTTGGATATTTCAAGTCAAATCATGGAGCTTCTCTGATTGAAAGTATTTGCATGTGAATCATCAAATTTCATTAGTATTATTATGCCACTTTAATTCTTACAATACTTTATGTCTTTGTTTGTTTTGATCTTACATGTTAAAATAGAAGCACTCAGACTGTGACTCGAACTTCAAGCACTTACTGCACTGGTAGCGCAGGTTCAGCTCCTGAACATCAGTGGGACTCATTTGCAGTCTTTGACCAATGACATCCTGGAACTTTGGATCAATGGTGATGATTGTTGAACCGTTGCCATTAGAGAAAGCGTCTTTCCCATAATGCATCACTGAATCGTAGTCGTACCTCAGTCCGTTGGTGGTGCTCTCTGCTTTGCTGGCTTTATCAAAGTTACTCTCAAACCCTGGATGACACATGTCAAAATCGTCGATCAGTTACAGCATGCTGCTTTAAGCACATGAAGACCATGCAGTAGATCATAATTCTCTTCTAATGCTCAGAAATATATTTTTAACCTATTAGCAGTGACAAATTTAATAAAGAAGCAACAGAAAAACAAACTATAACATTGAGATATTGATAAACAAAGTAAGTACCATGCACTGCTTATTTCATTTGACAGTCAACCATTTGTTTTAAAAAGTATTTTCAACTGATGTCTCAGTTGATTACATTTTTGACAGACCTTTATTGTTCCGAACACGTCTGTTATCAACTATTTTCTAGGCTAAGACCTAACACATTAAAAGACCAGGAGGAAGAAACCTTGAAGGATGTTCTTATAGATAATGGTCACATGGTCATCTCTGTCGTATCGGCTCTGCTCGTGGTTGAACCCAAGAGCATGAAGGTACTCGTGCTCAATGGTGGAAATCTCGTCACAGTATTGCCCAATGGAAAGATCTTGCCCGCCCGCAATTACTCTCCCAATATATGAAAAACACCTAGAAAAAAAGGTCTCATCAGTAAGTCGGCAAAATGTTATTCTTGATGTTTGTGAAGGAACTGTCTTCATGAACAGGACAAAGAACATGTTCATATTCCTGCTTGGATGAACTGTCATCAGTAGTTAGGTATGAAAAGCACAGAGAAAGAAAGGAATAAAGGAAAGTGAATGATATAATACATACCCATCTAACTTTTTGGCATTTATGTAATAATCCTCTGAGTCCCTTTCTCTGAAGTCGATGCATGACTTCAACCTGAACTGGTCAAAGGCCTTCAAGATGACCCCTTTAGCATTTGCATCTGCCGTCAGTCATGGGTTTGATGTAATGGGGAAAGAACAGAAATGATGACTGAAATCAGTTAAGATAGACGTCAATCTTCTATCTTTGTATTTAGTCAAAAACAGTGAAAACTTTATCGACTTAACATCTGAAACATTCAAGTCCAGCAAGTTCTTTTGTGCTTTTTTAACCACTTTTTTCTACTGTGAAGCTAAACAGCATATTTTGCTAACTATTCAACAGAGTGCAGTCACTCCTCCCTCACACCTACCGAGGCTGCTGTCCAACACATATGGGACGGGGGATGGCCACAGTATGTCATCATTATTTGTTGAGCTCCTTTGAATGTTTGGTGTCTGAAAATTAATTTTTAAGAAAGCATTTGATGAAACTGACAACAAACAAAAACAAAAAACATGCAAATGATTTATTATAAAATGCTGTGCTTACCTCCAGAATGTCATCGTGTCCTGAATCTGTCACAAAGCATATGAAGTTAATGACTTTCTGTACACAACTACCAATCGCTAACAAGACGATGGAGAGACAGTAAAAGTGCACTGTAGAATTTCCCACTGCAAGCTAATAATATCATTGAAACAGAGATGTGCAAACTTACCTTTGTTTATTTCGTCAATGCTTTTCTCAACACCGATTTCTACAAACACAGATGAGATGCTGCCTTAAGCAAAACTGAATAAAAATGAACCAACTTAGAGAATAAAAAAAAAAAAAAAACATCATTTAGGACATCAAAAAGTGCAACTTACCCACTATTTCTGGTCCTTTCTGAAAAAAAGAAAGAAAAAATATATATATTAGGTGACATGAACATTGAAAGATGTAGCTCTCATTCAAAGAACTTAAAGTAAAACTGGAAACACTTTATATAAACCCACTTTTTTAATGCTACATAAGCACATTTATAACAATCCTCATGAGTGATAATAAGCATTCATAACAGCTTATAGTAACATTTATAAGGTGATTTAGGAATGAGCACAAAATCCTTTATAAAGAAGTGGCTCATGATGTAATTAACTGTAACGCAAAAGGAAAAAAAAATAACTATAAAAATATATTCCTGTTGTAAAGTATTTTTGTCTGACACTTTTTTTACAGCTACAGAATACCGTCTGTAAATTCTCATCAGTGTGTTAAGTGCCCTTAGTCCTGCTTTAGCATGTTGTGAGTATTCATTTCGACTTTTTCTAATTGGGAATTGTGTGAATTACAACTTTTTGTGTACATTATATTGAATGAGTTCTTTATAAGTCTTTAAAACCAGGTAAAGTTGTAATAGATCCAATAGATGTGTTTTTTTCATTAAGGTAAATTGCATTATATATCACACCTTTATAGGAATTCTGCTCACTGCTTAAAACACTTCATTAATAATGATTTAAGCTGCTTTTTATTATCATTCTACCTTTTAAACATTTTACATCGACTGTACATTTGTTTTGTTTTCTAAAACAGAGTCAATCACTTCCTCTGTATCAGACATTAGAAATTCTTAGATATTAAAAAAGATAGGTGTCTTTTGGTCAACAATCCAATTCCTGATTTTGCTGATATGTACAGCAGTGTGTTGAGCGTTAAAGCTCCTGTTGGTAGTTTCACACCTGTTATGAAACAAACTGAAACTAATACATTATTATGAGCTACAAAAACAAAGGAGACCATAGTTGACAAGATTGATTAATATGAGTTGGTGGTGAAAAAAAACATAAAAAAATCTTTTGCTGTAAGATAACTAAAATAAAATAAAATAAAAAAGATTGAGCTCTCACCTTGTTTGGTGGTATTGCAGATGAAACTGCCAAACTCACAACAAGGAAAATGAAGCTTTTCATTCTTGTGGTGAATTTTGCAGTAAACCAATCTGGATAGTTTTTGCCCACCTGTGTTTCCCTCCAACTGGGCTGATCGCGTCTTTCCTCTTAAGTGCTCATAAGAAACTGAACATGAGTGCTTAAAGCAGACATGAAGACCCACTCACATAACAAACAGGTTTTTAACTTTTCAGAGAATTGTAGTCACGCACGGAGCGTCATGGTCCGAAAATACTTGGCATTCTCGAGCAAAAGTTGTTTGGGCTGCTATGCTGTCAACATGAAAATCTTTGTCGTTGTCTCACACACTTTTCAAGTGCGATCATATGTCAGCCTTTATCAGATCATTTGGAAACACAAAAGAGGATAATGAGAAAAATATTTTATTGCAATCCAACTCAGCAGCTAAAGCTCACTGTATTTTCCAATCATGACAGTTGACAGTTGAAAAATAATTCAGAGAAATGAATTAGCTAATATTTTAAAATTTAAAATCCCTAATATTTTAAAATCCCAAAATGCTGGAAACATTTAAGCTCATATAAAGTTATTCCAAAACATACTGGATTAAAATATTGGCATTTTTCAGAGTAATCAAACATTTGGGTTCACTTGTAAATGTGGCACGCACTCTTATGGCAGGTAAATAAATCACACACGAAAGTATAAAAGTATGAAACATCTCTTTATTAGTAACCTGAATCAGCTGTTTGTTGAATGGCAGTAGAGGAGGAGGAGGTAGGATGTGTAGATCTAAATCCACCTCTTGTGTATTTCCTAACAGAAACATATGAATGTAAACAGGCAGAATACATTAATTATATTTAAATGAGGTGATTTAATATCGTAAAAGTTACCGTGAAGAGGCTGCAGCTGTCCCAGAAACAACCGAGTGAGTCAGAATCAGTTCTTGTGTTGACCCTAAAGAATCACATAAACTGACTTAGAGCAGACTCGTAGAAGCTTTTAGAAAGTGCAACTTTACCTAAAGGTTAACAGCTGATTACAGAGGAGCACTCACCCTCACTGCACATGGGCCTTGGACAGAGTCGTTCGAATGAGTGGTTGTAGGTTTTGCTGGTGGCTGTTTTGGGCAAGGAAGAGAGCTGTTGTGTTGCAGACTGGAAATATCTGGAGACAAGTTGAACATGTTGAAATGGACATTTAAAAAAATAATAATAATAATAATAATGAAACTAAGTACAGGGCTTTACAGTGTGACCATTTCACTTGCATTTGCAACTAAAAATAGAAAATGAAAATGTAAAATGTATTTGGGGGCACTTAGCAACAAATGTTGTTTAACGTGAATATTGTGGTTAAGTTAGTTTTAGGTTGGATATTTGACAGATCTTCACTGTGGATCTACCGGTGTCTTCTCACGCTCCATAACACAGAATAGCAAGAGCAGCGCGGTTAAATCTACTGGGCACCCTCGCTGTCAACGTCGGGACCATCAATAAATTACCGGTTGATGTTCTCGGAAAAGGCTGTTTTTCCTCTATAGCTTCCATGTCATGTGACCAGTTGACCTAAAATTAATTTCAATTAATAATATTTATGTCAACCAATAAGACACACCTCTTTATTTCCCGAACTTGTCCTCATATGATTTTTGTGTTAAATTTAAAGGCAGATTGTGAACATTTTCTTCAATAGCTTCCATGTCATGTGACCAAAAGACCTAAAACTGTTTTCAGATAATAAAGACAAACATTATTTGATCAATTTTTATTGTTCCCCTAAAGTTCTCTGTGTGTTTCTTACTTTTTCAACTTAGGAGCACATGTGCTCCTAAGTTGAAAAAGGTCAGTGTCAAGCCCTGAAGTAGCAGGTAGAAGTAATTTTTCATCCAAGTAAATTTATAGCAAAAGTTTTATCCACCTTTGACAAAATATTCCAAAATTCCTACACAAATAAATAAGCCAACATGCATAATGCCATATTTTTTAAAAACTGCATAAAGGTATGATCATCCACCTGTTTGGGATACAACAGAAGGGCTTACCTTCCAATGAGAGGAGGAATACGGCGGTGCCCCCCTTCAGGAAGTCCCTCCTCCTAATTTGCTCCAGGGAGAGAAAGGACCTGGTTCCATAGGCAGGGTTCACATAAAGAGATTCTTCATTACTTCTACTTTGTCGGCCCACCATACTGGGGTTGTCAAAAGCAACTTCAGAGGAAAAGAAAACATATTTATTCTCACTGACATACATTCAGATATTAGTAATCAATAGCAGTAATACAAACATTTGTTTTTATATCTCTTTGAAAGACTCACTGTAAGTTGGGTCTGTGGTCAAAGTGAGTTGTTTGGACATCTGTTTTTGAATGTGGGGGTTCTTATCCAACATGGTGAAGGTCACCTGCCTCCATGGACACGGCCACTCCAGAGTCGAATCATAGTCCCCTGACACAAAACGGAAGTACACTCCAAAGAAAGTTTCCCGCAGAGCGATCAACATCTGGTAAGCATAACCTTCAGGAGAGTACATCCGAGGGCTGTAGAGATAACTGTTATAATCAGTGCTTGTCAAAAGACCTTCAAAGTCTGGGATTTCCCAGACGTTATGTGGACACCCAGTCTCAGATAAATTGATATCGTCGATGGAAAATCCCCCTGAGGACTCTGCGTTTCCAGTACGTGCCTCAAATATGACCTTGAATGGCTTGTTGGCGTTCAGGGACACCTTGTGAAACGTCCATTTGGGGGTTGGTTCACCTGCAGGGGAGAAGAGTGAGCAAATAACTGCTTATGTTTGTTTTAGTGTTTCTGTGACTAATAATATCACTAACAAAATTGTAGTCCCCTTTGGATGAACCCTTATGATGATGGTCCTGTGAGCTACCAGTCTGCATGAAGGGCGGCTATGGCCCAGTGGTGGAGTGGGTTCTCTCTCAATCAGAAGGTCAAGGGTATGACCCCAGGTAATGCTGTCCACATGCCAAAGCGTAAATTGGCCGCTTAACCCCAAACTGCCCCCTGCTGGCTGTTCCCGGTAGTGTCTCTTACCTTTTTTCTGTGAGAAATGTCCTTAAATCTGACAACAGCTATATTTAGCATGCTAACACCAAAACTGAGAAGGCTGATGTGTTAAAAATAAACCCTTAAGACATAAGCATTTTAGGATTATCTCATGAGAAAGTTGACATGCTGATATTTTGCCAAAAGCCAGCTGTGCTTATAAACAGCTTAACTAAACTTCAAGCATCTCCACATTTAGTAGAGCGGTATTCCTCATCTTATAAAAGCAGTATTTGAAATTTCTGATTTCATATTCTGTTTTCCTCACCAGTGATCTGACCCACAAGGCGTTTTTTCCCCGTTGTATCCTTCTCATCTTGGAACTCTCTGATCCAGATGTTGAGCTGGTCAGACCAGCTTCCACTGTGATAATAGTAGAACTGGAGACACTGGACATGGCATTTTGCAGTAGGGGTCATCGTCTTGGTCTCAAGCCAGGCTGAGTCTCCCTCCTGACCTGATGCTGTGCTAGCATGCATGAAGTAACCTGGGCAGGGATCAACAATTTTTCAGTTGATTTATTGTAATTTAGCTTTTTTGAGGATAGATCTGTTAGATTTTTTGTTGTTGTTGTATAGTTTGTTGTTACCCCCTGTTTTTCCGAGGGTGGTGTGGTCAGTAAATGGCTCCCCCTTAGCAGTGCTCAACCTCCTCCAACCTTTGGCCGGATTGTTTTCACAATAGCTCATCCCGCAGGTGTCAATACTGAAGTCGCAATGCTCCACAAAAGTGACGGAAGTGCCTGTCATCAGAGAAAACTTACATCAGGATGAAGAGCAATTGCCTCTTCGAATAAAGGGCCTGTGTCCACTAAGAGTGTTCTTCACTGGCAGTGCTAATGTTCATGAAAACCACTGCAGTTCAGTGGATCAGTGATCAGTACTTTAAATGCATATATGCCTTCAATTTAAGCACTTTTTTTTTACCCTGCTGGGCTCTGAGTTTCAAAATAGTTTAACTCTTGAAAGGCAAAATCTGCTGCTTATGCCCAGACAGGATTTCTATCAACTGTTTTGATGCTTTCTTCGTGAAATTCCATCAAATAAAAGCAAATTTAATTCAGACTTAATGGTCATGATTAAGGGGAAGTGAGGTGCAAAGGGAAAACTATTCAAATGCCGGCAAGAGGTGCTCTGAATTTGAGCTCATGTGTGCTGCCACTGCAAAAAAAAAAAAAAATGCTGTCAGTGGACACAGGCCCTTAGTGAATTAGAATGTAAGGTTTTACAGCATTGTTAAAACCATGCAAACTTACTGCAGTTATAAAGGCGATTTAACTTGTATACATCGATGGAGCTCATTTCCATTCGCTGTCCTATTTGGTCCTGATACTCAGGTAGCTTAGTGACGATTGTGTCTCCTGAGTTTTTAGAAAAGACCTTCCCGCCGTAGTGCATCACAGAGAGGTAATCATATGGAGCATTGAATGTTGTGCTCATGCTTGGAGTCAGTTTCCTAAAATTTCTCTTGTATCCTATGGACAGACAGAAAACATAATCAGACATAATATCCATCTTAGAAGTACATTTTAAAAGGTGTTAGCACACTAAAGTCTTGCAAGGTGTAAACTGAACAGTTCTGATGTACATAATGGTAATCAAATGTTTTAGAGAATAGGCATGTTTTTACCATCTTTGATGTTTCTCCAGATGATGGTTACATAGTCGTCTCTGTCATATCGTGCCTGTTCATGATACAAGCCTAAAGCATGCATAAACTCATGCTCAACTGTACCGAGGCGATCACATCGTCTTCCAATGGAAACAACCTGACCACTTTTAATGGTTCTCGAAACAAAAGAATAACACCTGTAGAGAAAAGAAATGGCACGTAATCAAAATCAATTATTCTAGGGTCAAAGGTCAGATTACAGGATGGAAAGCTGTCAAATTGTGCCTAAAGATAAGAAAGTCCTACCCTGGATTCTTCCTGACTGAGAGGTAGTACTCTTCGGATTGTCGGGGCCGGAAATCGATACATGTTTTCAGGCGGAAATGCTCAAAGGCCTGCAGAACGACTCCTTTTGCATTCACACCTGGGTTCACGGACCATAAACATGATCAGAACACTTAATGATTTAGCTTTCCTGCTAACTTCCATTGCTTTAGTGATGCACCATAAAAAAGGGGAAGCATGTACTGATCCATACTCACCAAGATTAGCCTCTAACACATATGGGACCGGGATGTCCCACAACTGTTTTCTATTCAAAATGGCATTCCTGGCAACCCTCCTTTGTGACTTGATTTCCTTATAATATGAACGCATGAATTAATTCAAATAAAACTCAACATGGGATGCAAAAAAGATCATGTCAGGCTAATTGCTTACTTCCATGATGTCACCCTCCAATAAATCCAAACCTGTAGGGCAAAGAAGACAGAGGATGGATTATGTTGGTGATAGCGAAACGCTTTGAGACTTTTCATTTCCAGTCTCTTTCTGTTTCATTGCTGATAGTATTAATCTTTTCACTTAGTAGTATTGCAGTGGAGTCACCAAACAACAAGTTTAAGTCGAGTCTCAAGTCCCAATTGCCAAATGACTTCAATCAATTAAGCTACAGTGCTGTGTGTTTGGTATGATAGGCACTACCCTTTTAATGAAGAGGTGCACTTATCGATTCTGCAGCATCAGGATATCTGCAGGAGTCTAATTATAAATGAAATAGGCAAAGAGAATAAGCCATGAACAAGTTTCTTTGCTGCATGACTCTGCAGCTGACACAATAAACTTTCTTTCCTCAAAACATATCAATAAACAGTCTATGTCTGCAACAATCTGTACGTCTAATGACTGAGTCCAAGTCGATTCATGGGTTCTGAAAACAAGGCTTGAGTCTGACCCAAGTTTGAGTTCTGAACCCGAATACTACATTGTTCACTTTGTTGCACTTTTGCACTTCATGAAAAAGTTGTCTTTGGTCATTGCTGTATTTGTATATTGAGCTGCAGCATTGAGAGCACCTCTAACTGAATGAAACAAACACATTGCAAAAAAATAAATCAGATTCTAGTCATAATTTTGAAAATACTAAAATCTATACACACTCTTACCTTCATTTATTTCAGTTATATCGAAGTCATCATCATCCATGTCTTCAAAATAAAACAGATAACGTTAAAATCATTCCAACTCATCTATATTTTTCCATAAAACTTATCATCATGAACAACATCATGAAAAATTTGAATTGAAGAAATATCTCACCTATTAACAACGGCTCTTGAGACTAAAATGGAATCAGTCAGAGGTCATAAAAGAATGAGACGAAGATGAAGAAGACAAATATATTAAACTGACCATGGAAATGAAAATATGTATATAAACTTACCATGACGATATAAAATAAGCTCAGCGTAACCATAATCCAGAAATGCATTACTGTGACTTAAAGTCCACAAAATAGTAAAAAAGAGCAGAATTTGACTAAAACACTTCAAATAAATCAATTAAAAAGAGCTAACAATTCAACGCGGAACAAAAAGGTGAAATTCTTCTGGAGGTTTTAAATCAACTTTTTTTCTTTTGTATCTCCTTAAATTTTCCTCCTGAGTTAAGTTCATTGATGACCTTTGTGTCACACAATCCACAGCCTTATGAACGAAGTCTACACCTACACCTCTTTGGCCCTCCAGAAACACAAACACAAACTTCGGTAAAAGCCTCAATTAACCAAACATGTTAACATTTTCCTCAAGGCCTTTATTGATGGTTTTGAAAACCAATGTGGGATTGATATTTCTCACCAACTCTCGGAAATAACAAGCATTAGAAAATAAAGTACAGCTGATAATAACAACACGGATGGCCTACAATTAAAAACAAAACAGGAAATGTCATGTCTGCTATTTAACTGAATTCCATCTCCATGTCAGTGTTGACAGACCTCAGGCAAGATGTAGCGTCAGAAGCCCTCGGAAAAAAAAAAGCCCCTTAACCAGTCGATCATGTTTTTGAGACAGTTACAGTCAACCTGCCTGCAGGTATGTGAGTAAAGAAGTTTCAGGAACACACTTTTGTTAGTGAGATGTTTGTTTGACTAAATATTTCATTTCATTTCATACAATCAATCTTTCTGGTGGCCTGAGTGTAAATGTCTGAGGTAGCTGTGTGAGTGCCGCAGAGGCATCCTTCAAACAAAACAGTCCACCGACCAGCTAGTAAACCACAATGGAGGAGACACAGTGTGCAATAACATCCTGTACTCAAACTCCTTTTGTTTGGCTGAATACGGTTTAGCTCATGAAGGAATTGTGATGACAGATGTGGTTTCAACTTTGACTCAAAGAAGATCTCTCGGCTGTCAAGGGATCAAAGATTATATCACTGCTTGTTTCATGTCTCCAGAGAGGGACATGTTGAAGGTTTCACCACTTTGATTTAGGCAGTGAAGAAGCCATGTGATACATGACAAAGGTACCTAAAAATAAAATGTACACTTAAATGAGTTTACCTAATATCTATTAGAATCAGTTTAATGAAATAAAATCTGTCACAAGCAGCACTTGAAACTGTTTTTGCTGAAATTGTTGTGAAGATGGTTCATCTTCTGTATCACATAGACTTCCTTCACTGCGTCAGATCAATAACATGTCTTACATCATACCCACATCTTTAACTGAACCATCCAGTTTGGTGAAATGGCCAAAAGTTACTCACAAGACAGGCTCAAGTTGAAAAATTTTAAAGACCTTTTAAAAAAAAAACCTAAATCTGCTAAACCTCAAGAATTTAGCACGCCTGTGAGAAACACCCACTGCATTTTTCCGTAAAAAGAGGTTATTGGAGAGGTTATTTGAATAAAGCAAAAACTTCAGTTTTCAGTTATGGTTAAATCTGACAAACATGTCGCTCAAAACAAATTGATTCATAAATGATCAATACTCTATAGTCACGATCTTCTTTCAGTATCACCATCAACTGAATGTTTTGCAACCCAGCTGTAGTCTGAGAAATATCTGCACATACAGTAGCTGTCACCAAATTGTGACAACACTCCTACGTAGGGGTGATGTGAGACAAATGCACCTCAGCTCAGACGATGAAGGATGGACGGGGATTATGTTTTCCAAGCTGTCTACTGAGGTACAGGGTGGTACTTTTTTGGGGGGGAGTGGGACAAGCTTTTCTGCATTCCTTGGTAGTTTCCACTCATTGCATGCAAACCTTTCAACAAATTCATTTGTATTTTTCCTCTTCTTTGTATTTGCCTGTCAGCTGCACCTTAAACAATTGGTTTAGACAGGTTGCTCCTGCTATCTGACTGTACAGCAGTCATGTGGCTCAACTTAGACTGATTCTGGAAGGTCCAGTTAGAGATCTGGTTAATCCATCAATCAGATAAAGATTGTAGAAAACGTGCTCCAACATGACTTAGCTGACCCTCCTTTAAGAGTTTGTATGAAAAGTTTGGTGGTTGGTTGATTTGCTGATTTGACTTTTAGAGTAACTTAAAAACAAGCAAGAACCCATATACAGAGATCACAAAGACCACCACAGCAAACAACCAACACGTATAGCACATTACGCGTTAAAGGCACAGGTGCAAAAAGAAAGCCCCCAAACTGTTCATATTAAAATAGAAATCCTTTTGGTTGGTTTCAGTATCATTTCCGTGATTGTGACTGGCTTCTTTGCATGTAAGGAAAGTGCAGTAGCATTTCAGTAAACCAGCCCACTATTACTTCCCTTGGAGGAAGAAGGAGCTGTTGACGGGGATAATTAAGTCTGAGATTGCGATTAAACAATCTGGTAAACAGCAGCTGATGTGAAGCTTTGGCATTAAGTTCAGGGAGGAGATTTCGATAAGATTATCAGAAGATGGATAATAGACTGCATACCTAAGAAGTGGAAACTTATCTCTGTTTGAAGATATGAACATCATCTATCAAGAATGCTGAGCTCTCCACCCCCTACGTTTAACCTGTCAGGTGTTGTTTGTGCCAAAAAATAAAAGTTTCAACACGTGATCCGGTCACGTCTTGGTGCTTCAGTAGGGGGGCTGTTGTTGCATGATGAAATTTGATTCTGCATGCTTCCTATCTTAAATCTAAGTGTCAGCCTGCTTGTTACTGTCTACTGGATATCTAGATATCTATAACTAGGTACTTGTACTACAGCTTGGGATGGCATCATTTGAACCAAGTTTGAACCTGACAAGGGTTCCTATAAAGCAAAGTGATTACTAGAATTGTAAAATAGTTCATGTTGAGATACTCGACTATGAATCCATGAGCACATTTTGTATTATAGTAGTCTTGATAAATGAGAGGGCAGTCCTGTGACTCGCTCTGACTTTTGCAAAACTAGAGTGTGGTAAAAATGGGTAAGAAATGTAAGTTTTGGAGAGGAGAGAGCCAAGTTGAGCAGTGAATGTGGCAAAATACAGCTAACAGTAGTTAAATAGAGAGGAGGTGACGATGACAATAAAAACAAACCCAGCAGGCTCACCCCTCATGCACATTTCAGTCATATTTTGTCCAAAGTGTGGAGAAAAACCTGTTGAACTTTGAGCAATGATGTGTTTTGATGAAACTGAACAGTGAGTCAGCGAGTCCACTCTCCTCTTCACAGATGAATTACCACGGAGTACATCTTATCTTACCAAACACACATACATCCGAGTTTTGCATATCAGAGTCGGGGTTTTGCTCAAGGCTTATTATCTCATAACAGAAGAGCTCATTGTTAGAAGTGGAAGGTAAGTTATATCACATTCCTGTGATGTCACTTTCAGGGTGATATCAATGTGTAAATTATTTGTGTGGGTTTGTGTGTTTTGTCTTAATTAAATGTTGTTGTGTTGCTACTATTAGCAACCAGCTTCCTCCTTATTGACAGGTTGAAATTAAAAATTTATGATCATTTCTCCATGGAAATGATTAATATGGTGATTATTACTTCAAGGAAATGATAAAGTTGATACCCCGCAGCAGTCTGTAATGGACTGCTAGTCACTTGTTTAACCATGGCCTAACCCAAATCAAACTTAAACTTTGATTTTTGTAAAGCTTACATGAAGTACAAAGGGACATAAACGTTAGCACTGAAATCAGGTTTACTACTTAAGTGTCTACAATCAAACCTGAACAACTTTTGGGTTGTTTTGGGTTACAGCTCCTAATACTACTTGGATGGGAGAGGATTTGAGGGAGAGGAGGGATGACCCTCTATTGTTGTTTCAAACATCAAAAGAGGATTTGGCAGATCAACACTTCACCCGTCAGAAAGCTAATAAATCAGCTGGACGAAGGTGTGTGTCTTTGAAGGTGTGTGATTCTGCATCTTGAAAAAGCTACTGTGTACAAGCGTCATTCCATGAAATTGTAAAGCACAAACCAAACAGACTGGACGACAAAAGCTTGTTGGTGTCATCTCTGCCATGACACTCAAGAATGTCACAGAGATAATGCACATTTACCATGTGCATACCGTGACTGTGCACAATCTACCTGTGTGCTCCCTATGTGGCTACAAAGAGTGCATATTCACTCAAGCATACACCCATACACTCGCTGACTCAAACAATACATCCATCCACGAATATATCACCCGGTCAAAGGAGATACGAGATAAAACAAGATAGATTGCAGATATAAAGCATCTATATCTCTTATACTGCCTAAAAGGCAGATAAGAGGTTATTTGCTTACTTTCGTGCCGCTTAAACTGCTAGCTCTAGTGTAGGTTTTTTTCAGCAGATGTGGCATGGGCGTGATGGATGAGAAGATTACAGGAACAAAAGGACCAACTTTATGCTTCTCCTCTAAAACTGAAAATAAGATCTTTTTGTGACTCACATTGTTGGCCCCGACAGGATCAACAGACCTTGTGACAAACTGGGACTCAGATGCAGAGAAGAAACCAAGGACACAAAAATTCTGCTCAGAAGACTGGGGTTACAGCTCAGGGGTCGTACGAGGCAAGACAGTCAGCGAAAGCAGAAAATCGCAGTTGGGCAAATCCACAAAATCAGAATCTCAATAAATAAAAAATAAAACTAGCAAGATTACACATGAAAACAAGGCAAACTTGAAATTAACATAAACACATGATTTGACATAATATTACTTAATGTTCCACTTGAGGCGAACACAAAGGTAACCTCATCAGGCCTCCTTTAAAAAAGGCCCATTTTTACAACAAAATTAAACATGTCTGGTGCTTAAAGGTGACTTAAAAAGCATCACTTATTCCACTTTTGGTCTGGGTTGAGGCTGATTAAAAGGTGGGTTGGGTCAGTACGTTCGATTTGGCGCCATCTGTTGTTGGGCTTTGAAACTCTCATTCAGAAACCTGTGGGTGGCGTCACTGAGACTGCCTTTTTTTAGTTACAGTTTCAGTAAAAAATCTAAGTGATACCATACACAGGTAATTACCCTTGTGTTGACAGGAATCTAAAATATGCTTTTTGAGTTCTAACACTTCTGTCTATGTTATCTGACAGTTAAAGTTGCAGTAACTGATAAAGACTAGCACTGTCATTTTTCCAAATGCATTTTTAAGAGGTTTGAGATGCTGATCTATAAAGCAATCCATATCAATGAAAGTTCAATACAAAAAACAAAATAAGTCAAATTAAATCACATAAACAGACTGCTAGAGATACAAGCCAACGACCCACCTCCAAGATGATACGAGCAATAAATCCTTTATACCATTATTCAAGAGAACTCTACAGTAAATCTTGAGATCTCTCAGATGGCATTTCATTTCTTTTTTTTAAAGAACACTCTCATTAATTTTAGAAAACCAGAGTCAAATAGAAATGTTCAAATTTGATTAATATTTTAAAGTATTACATCTTTTTGTAAATGATGAGCAAGATTTCTTGATAGCATGACTGTCTTTTAGATGAGCAATGTCACCCAGCAAACAACTCTGTGTGTCCACTGGAAAGACAATGCCACGTCAGCAGACTCATTTGTTTGGTCATTAGGTTTGCATGTGTATGTATTGGTCTGAGAGTGTGGTCTGTGGTTTAATTAAAGGATTTTTCCTGTAAAATGTCACTATTTGCTCTCTTTTCTGGGACAACAATAAAGACAAGGCTATTAAACTACTGCTGAGAGTTAGACTGAGGCTTATTCTGAAGTATTCTTAATCATGAAACACAACAGTAGGCATTTTTTGTGTTGTGGCAAATTACAGGATTGATGCATGGTAATTTTCTGAAAATAGACTGCCATCACTGAGACTTGTTTAAGAGGACAGGCCTTTACTTTTAAAGATCTCACACTCAGGTCCTACCAGTGCTCTGCAACAGTCTGACCACTGGATGGCACTGTGACCTCTTTCTGGAGACTTTTCTGAGATACATGGCTCAATACACACAAACACATTTTTCAAAAGCCTCTGTGTTAAGGTAAAAAAACAAACAAAACAACAACAACAAAAACCACACAAATGAATCATTTACCTTTACACCTTTTTGTCTGTTGTAAAAGATATGTTCAGGTTTTATAAACCACAGATCTATTCAAAGACACTCAATAAGTCCTCTTTTTTAAAATATGAATATAATACAAAAGCAGAAGTACACTGAACATTGGTCTGTTCCTCTTTTTTAACTAGCAACTAAATACTAAAAGATTTTAAAAGTAAAAGCTTTGACAAACCCTTTTATATCTTAATCACTCAGATATTTGTCAAAACATGCCAGCACCTGCTTTATATTGTAGTCTGCCATCTGTTAAAACTGAAAACGACTATATAAGTGTGTAAACCTGGATTGTTAGGATGAGAAACTTCAAATGTAGTTTATGAAAATGTGTTTTTAGCCTTGTGAGGATTTTGATGCCCCCCTGTGGACAGAACCACTACACTTATCTCCTTGATTTTTTTGCTGTCACACAGGAGAGTCTGAAGGTTGGAATTGAAACTGCGCCACAAAGGCTGTGGCCTCAATTAATGGGGCGGATACCAACAACACAAGGTCACGTAGACACCCCCTCCTTCCTTCTTTATGCAGCCAAATTTATTACTTTTTATAAATCTTTAATGGAGAAACTGTAAAATAAAAAGGCCTTTTCTGCACTAACAGCCAACCCCTAGCAGTTTTAGGCATTTCTACTACTATAACGAAATAATCAACCTTACTCCCGATGCTATATTAGGACACAAGTATTATAATCAACAGTGTCATAACCAGTAAAAAAAAGTCTTATAATTCATGTCCGAAGTATAATTTTCCTCACAGCTATATTTTAAACAGTGTACAATCATCAAATGACTCAAAATTGTCCTCGGTACAATGTTTGAATATATCATCATCCTCACCTTTAACCAAAATTCGAAGATAACCACAACACCACTGTCCTAGAATTATTACTTTTCCAATGATCTTCAATATGCCGAGCTCACCTTTGTTTTCCAAAAGCAAATCCTGTAAAATATTCCCTGCAGTGGAGCCTCAAACACTGTTTTCACTGTGGGGGAAAAAAAGCTTATTTGAATATGTTGGAGAAATTTCCGGACATCCCACTGAGCATTTTTAGGTCTAATAGACGTCTAAATGTAGCCTAGACAACTGGTCTAAAATCAGGCTACCACAGGTCTAAAAATGAAAGTTTTTAGACATCTAAATTTAGACCAAGTTTAGACTAGCCAGCTATACTATACTACACTGTATATCGCTTAATGGCTATCATAATTATTTTGATTAAGTACTTGAAGATCAGTTATGCAACTCACAGTTACTTTTTGAAATAAACAGTGATCGAATAATGGGTTAAAGTGCACCATCTAAATTCCATCTAAAAATCTACAGTCTAGATGGTTGAAATAGGTTTTAAAAAAAAAAAAACAGCCATCTAATAGCCGTCTATTGCTCAGTGGGATAGACCTACTGTCAAACATTAATAGTGGTTTCATCCCCTCAAAAACTCATAAACCTTGATGTTCTGGATCAGCTGATAAGAAAAAAGCATTAAGGTGAAGCAGACGACAAAGACCTGAGGGCTTTTACAATGTACCATCTACGTGAGACAGCTATCACCTCATCTCCCCAGCTACTGATCTGCTTATCAAACCAGCAGCAAAAGCCTGTTAACAACATCAGCATCTGCATCAAAGCAGCACCGAATCTCTGTTTGTCGCTGCGCTGATTAAGGCAAGACGCGTCTTGTTTGAAGAAACTTTTGTGCGTCAACAGCAGCTCCCACTTCACTTCTCCTCTCAGTGATGCAGAGTGAGAATGAGCCTGAAAACAGCCGTTAAGATGTAGGCCACCACAACGCCTTTTGGCTCTTTTGACTGAAATCACACCGTGAATAGTTGTTCTCTGTGTGCCCACACAAGTGCTAATCAGGAAGACGACAGGCCGGAGCATGAAAATGTGAGATCACATTACCATTTGTTAAGTCTCAGTCCTTTTGCAGTGGTTTGATTTGGATTTAGGAACTTGGAAATACAGAAGAGGAGAGAGGCCGGATGAATCCTGAAGAGTTCAGACAAAAGTACAGAGCATGACAAAGAACTGATCAATCAGAATTCACTTTTGATATCTGCGTTTCCTCAACACAATAAGCAATAAACTCACAGCAACCAAAATCAGTGACATATTTTTATCCATCAGAGCGCTGAGTTTGTAACTACTGTCCTTGAAATGTCTGTTATCTTTTAATGACCGGTACACAAGCATGTCCCGCTCTTCTCATTCATGTTCACATTAAAAATGTGACAGGGAAACAAATAAACATGTGTGTGCGTGCGTTTGTGCGTGTGTTTGTGTGTGTGAAGTACTGGACTCTGACCCTCCACGTTGGATGCTGGCTGGGTCATTAAGGGCGTGATAAGACTCTGTGGTATATATTTACAGCAATTACAGGTTGCGCAATTTTTGATGTTTTTGACTGACACAATTCTTCTCTGTAAAAAAAAGAAAATATATTAATTACAACCCCGTCAGGAAACGTTTATTTTTGTAGAGAGACACAGTAGAGCGTACAACCTGAAGGTGTTGGTGAATAACTAACCTGCCATCTCCCGTGTTCATGTTTCCCGTGGCTGTTTCTGTTTTTGCTTTTGTGTCAAAATCGAGAAGGTGCAGTTTCATGACACGTATTGGCAGGTATAGAGGCAGGAACAATAGTCTGCCTCTGGATAAAGTAGAAGATGAAACTGTGACACGAACTGGGGCATGTTAACACTTGAGAGAGAGATTAAAAACTCAATTTATCTTCTAAGGGGAAAAATACAGCACGTCTCTGTGGCCTTGAGCCTAGGTTTGTTTAAAAAGTTGGTGCTGTGAACACTGTTTGACTAATGTTTTTATGAATAAATATCTCTCTATGATAATTTTATATCTTCTTCACAGACTGCAAAAATAAAGTCAACTGTTTTTTTTTTTTTAGATCAATCCATTTATTTTTACAGAAATTGCAAAAAGTTACACTTTCCACTCTCACCACACACAATAAAAATGTCAAGTATGTACAAATCAAGTGCAAAGGCTGACCTTGCAATAAATATGACATTAAGAGCATGTACCTTAAATTTAATTTGCTTTACAGCTTGTTTCACATATTCAAATTATCTTTCATGCTTCAAACAGAGGTAGACCAGACAAGGCCGGCATCATGAGAAATGATGGAGCACATGTGGAGGTTGACTTAGTTGGCGTCTGTGAAGGACTGGTAGAAAGACATGAGCTGAGCCTGCAGGTCCTGAGCATAGGGGTCCAGCTTTTCCTTCAGGTCCTCAGCGTAGGGGGCTACCATCTGCTTCACCAGATTTGCTCTCTGAACCAGCTCCAGGTGCACCTTATCGGTCATGGGGCCCATGCTATCCTGGAAGTCCTGCAGGTGCTGGTCCACTCTCTGCTTCAGGTCATCAGTGTAGGGCCCCAGCTGGGCCTGCAGATCCTTCACACTCTGCTCCAGGCTGGCCTTCAGCTCCTCTGTCTTCTGCAGCACAGTGGCCCTCAGGGACTCGGAGTCCAGGGAGTCTGCGTAGGGGGCCAGCTCCTGTTTCAGCTGCTCCACTCTCTCCTGGATCTTGGCCTTCATGTCTTCGGTGTAGGGCTCCAGCTTGTCTCTGACGGTGCCCAGCTCCAGGGTCAGCATGTTTCTTAACACATCAGCCTCATGGCTGATCTTGTCCATCAGGTCCTGGGCTGCAGGGGGGATTCTCTCCTGAAGGGTGACGGCATATTTGCTGGCAATGTCAGCACTTTCTTCCAGGCGGGAGCTGGAAAAAGAAAGAATAACGATCAGGCTGACTCCATACAAGTCTTCATCAGCATGTAACCAAAGCTTCCATATGTTGCATAACCTACTTGACTTCCTGTCCAAACTGTGATTTCCTGATCATCTGCAGGGTGTCATCAGCTGTCTGGGTGGCTGTGGCAATGTAGTCCCAGAAAGCATCAGTCAGCACCTCCAGCTGTGGCTTGGGCTCATCAGCGTAGAAGAGATTGGCATTACAGCCTGTTGGATAGACACACGTATTGAATGAAAACAGTGCACCTTCACACTTATCTAATAATAATGTAATGCAAACCATAAATACAAAAAAACAAAGGCTTGCAGCTTACCAGACAGCACTGCAATGGCAAGAACCACAAACACCTTCATGACTGCGGCGGGCTGAAAAACAGTAATGATGTTGTTAACTTTCAAACTGCATGTAAAATAAGAAATCGATCACATTTGCTTTTCTAAGCTTGGATTTGAAATTTTAAAAAGTATAAGTCTCACCTGCTTTTGGCTTGTGCACCTCAGAGCGTTAAGTGTGTTTATGAATGAGTCCGCCCGCTGCTTCCATATATACTGAAGTCAGATGACAGTTGTAGTCAAGAGCCCAAAGTCCAGGAGTCACTGCCATGTTGTCATAATGGCTCTCTTCCTGTTTCTGCTGTCTCTCCAGGCTACTGTCACATGGCTTCTCAGACTCTGATGCAGACATTAAAACGTGGTCTTTACAAATGCCAAAGTAATATGGCTTTGACAGATGATGCCAACATCCAGTCCAAGATATAAAGTTGTATATCTTTATGCAAAAAAATTGGGATATAGCAGTTAACAGTCCACACAGTTTAGTGCGAACAGCTCACAGATAACACCAGATAACCTCAGAGTTCCAACACCAGTGGACTTTGTAACAGGGTCAAGCCATGTGAATGAAGTAGCATGAAGCACCAGCATCTTCCTTCGATGACAGAGGGGTCAAAACAATAACACACACTGTCAGCCTTTTTAAAGAATACAGTTTGATGTGTGTCAGGTTGAAATCAGGTATGTAATCATTGTACACTCGTTTGTGTGAGTGGAGTCTCTTCTATCTGTCACAATAGAGCCAAATTTCTTCAACATATTGCAGTTTCAGGCTTTAAAACTGGACGTGACTCAGACTGAGTTACTTTTAGAGTAAGAATAATATTAAAAAACGCTATTGAACAAAATAAGAGTGTTTTAAATATTTGAAGGAGAGGGTGGTGAAGATGGTAGAGGACTGTGAGAATTCCTGCACAAATAAATCATACATATTTTTGTGTATTTCAATGAAAAAAGAAACCAGTTACACACTGTATTCCTCTTTTGTTTAGACGGATCCTGTCTGGATGCAACTGCTAAAAGACGTGATTTTTCAGGGCATTTGTATAGTGATGGGGATTCATTTTTTTTACTTATTTGAATTTAACCGGGAAAAGCTTGTAGAGATCAGAAGTAGAGCACAGAAGATTTTCTGGAAATTTGTATCCAAAAACATAAAAATATAATCTATAAAAATCAAATAACAAACAAACTAACAAATTATATTTATTAATATAAAATCCATTATCAGATGTGTCCACCTCCAAATCATTCACACATCCACATCCACTGCTGGTGACACAATACGTGATAGTCACATCCTGAAACTACACTGTGCTTTGACATGCAATCTATCACTGATACTTGTTTGCACCTGAGTAGAAGAGTATTATAGACATTGTGGTAGAAACTATTAAGCAAGCCCCACCTCAGGTTAGTGGTAGGCTGAATAGTTGTACAACTTAAACACAATATGTTGAATTTCTTGACTGATTATTTATGCAAACCCAAAGTATCAGTGCTGCCTTTATTGACTATATTTTCTCTGTCAGAATTATTTGTGTTACAAATTTGATAGTTATTATCTTGTGAATTCATGTTCCCTGGTTTTTATTTATTTTTCGCATAAATATCCTTTAATTTAAACTGTCTGTTTTGTTGACTTTATGAAGCAGAGAGAAACCACAGATGCCACCAAATGACGGTCATGTCCCACAACTTAAGATAAAGACCATGACATACAGTATCAAGTGACCCATTTACTTTTTGCTCTAATCCTGTTAGCACTTTAGAGTGCTGCAGGACTTAAAAACTTTATATAATCATTGATTCCAAACTCTACTGAATTATTAAACTCGTAATGAATAATGAAATGATAGCCCCCTCTTACCCCGAGAGTGTCACAGTCCAGAGTTATCGAGGTTTGTCACCTTCTCCATTCACGAACCACTTCGTGTTGACTTTAGAGAGGACAATATCTCAAGTTGTGTTACTTTTTATTCTGGTTCAGTTTTAAAAAACAAACATGCATCTTATATTAAAAGTTATTAAATGCTGTTTTTTCATCATTCATGAACCGTGTTGAATGTTAACTCTTAAGCTGCGTTCGAGTTACCTCAGAAGTCAGATGTTGGATGTCGCACCCCAGTTACCAGCGTTTCGGTAACAAAGTTGAAAAAGCCAAATTGGAGGTGGAAACAAGATAGCTACATGTACAAAAGTTATTTTAGCTCTTGCCTTGTCCGACTATAACAAGAACAAGGCAAGAGCTGAAGTGACTTTCGTACATGTAGCTATCTCGGCTCCGCCTCTGATTTTGCTTTTTGGTAAGCGGCGAACTTGGTAAATGAAACGCTGGTAACTTGGGTGTGACGTCATTTTCAGCTCTGACATCTGACTTCCGAAGTAACTCGAACGCACCATTATTTCAAAAATACTGTTGTCATGGTTACATGTTTGCATCAAGAAATGAACTCCTAAATGTTGTCCTTGAAACTGCTCTAAAGAACCTTTGGTTTATGTTGGTTCTGGTGCCCCCTGTTGTCCTGTACATGTTAAAGTAAACTTTTCAGACTAAATCCTCATTCTGCTTTTATTTCAGTAAAAACAAACGCTTACTGTAAGTATTTACTGCCTTAAATACTTAAAAAAGATTTTTTCTTCAGCCTGTTGTTAATCATCTGAGAGGAACATACACCCTCACAGAGATTTTAGACATTAAAAAAATCACAATTAAGGCCTTATCAGACCTGTTTTTGGTGGTCTCTTTTTCTTATACAGAAGAGTCAGTAACAGATTCCGACTGTGACTATTTGTGTGAATTTATTCTTAAAACCTTCACACTGTATGTATGTCAGGTATATTTTTTTAGAATACATTTGCCAAACTACTTGGGAAAAAAAATCACTATGATAAATACGAAGTATAGGATTACAACTGATGGGCCTTTGCATGATTTCTATGAATGTCCTGTAGCAGTGTGGTGCAAAAAGATGAAAATCTGTATATGAGGTCGTTCTGTTTCAGATGTCACATCATGAGGAGGATTTTTCTTTGTCTACAAGAAAATAATATCATCACTCAAATAAATTCAGAGTATGCTCATCTGTTTAAAAGTAGCTGAAATATCAAGTATGATGTATGTGGACTGCAGCTACTTTGTCCTCCAGATGCTGATGCTGCTCAGGTCTGCTAACCTTTGGCCAAACTAATACACAGAGATATTTGAACATTGGCATGACACAGAAACTTGAACTATGAGTAATTGTGACGTTGATTGGCAACATGTCAACCGAATATAGCCGATAAACCTCCTCTGTTTATCTAATCAATGCTGGACATCAAAGAAATAATAGGGGAGAGGTTTCATCTGCCTCTGTAAAGCCTTATCTGCGGCTAGTAGCTCAGCGGTCTGTAAGAGCAGGAGTTCATTTAAGGTTGATGTTATGGATTTTGTTGTTCTCAGAAAATAAATAAATAACAGATACCTAACTTCAAACAAGGTCATAAAACATTGCAGCAACAAGCATGCTTAAAAATAAAGCTATTGGCATCTTCAGTCCAATTACTGTTAAACAGCTGCCGAATGTGGGTTATGACCTCGGCGAGTAAGGACAATATCTGCAGTCGTGGTCTGTGTGTGAGTGCTGCTGGAGGAAGATGTCACTCAGGTTAGCAAGGTGAGGCCAGGTGACAGCGAGGAACTTGCTGCTGGACTTTGGGATCATTACCGACTGTCTTGCTATATAAACCCCAGAAACTCACCACCTGAACACAAGCGCTTCCAAGTGGACTTACTGAGAACCACTCACAGAAGAGCCATGAAGGTCCTTGTTGTGCTCGTCCTTGCAGTTTTCACCGGTGAGTATCTTCTTTGCCTTTAAGAATTTTGAGAAATATTTCTGCTTTTTACAAGAGAAGGACCTAAACGTCTTCCAGAGGAGTGATTACGCACTGGTATCAAACCTCTATTATATATTCCAATTTCTTGTTTTTATCCAACAGGCTGCAATGCCAACCTCTTCTATGCTGATGCGCCCAAGCCACAGCTGGAAGTCCTGACTGATGCTTTCTGGGACTATGTCGCCAAAGCCACTCAGACAGCTGACGACACCCTCGAGATGATCAAACAGTCCCAGTTTGGACAGGAAGTGACGTAAGTCTCGCACAAACATGGACATAATTTCGCTGGAGAGCATGAAGACTAACTTTTATCTCCTTTCATTGTTCACGTGTTTAGAGCTCGTCTCACAGAGGGGGCAGACACCGCTACACTGTATGCCCAAAGAGTCCAGCAGCAGCTTCCCCCCACAGCCCAGGACATGATCAGCACAGTCTCCATGGAAACCTATGCTCTGAGAATGCGTTTGGAGAAGGAGATGGAAACTGTCAAGGAAAAGCTGGAGCCCCTGACCGCTGACATGAAGACCAAGATCCAGGAAAGAGTGGAGCAGCTTAGACAGGAACTGGCCACCTACACAGAAAATGTGGACTCTGAGGCTTTGAGGACCACTCTGCTGGAGAAGACCGAGGAACTGAGGACCTCTCTGGAGCAGAGCGTGAAGGATCTGCAGATACAGCTAGAGCCCTTTACTGAGGACATGAGACAGAAGGTGGACCAGCACCTGCAGGACTTCAAAGAGAGGGTGGCACCTGTGGCAGAGAGAGTCCAGGGTCAGCTGACTCAGAAAGTCCAGGAGATTAGAGATATGGCCTCCCCCTATGTTGATGGGCTGAGGGGAAAAGTGGACCCCCTGACCAAGGATGTCCAGGATCGCCTTGCCGCCCTGTACGAGTCCTTTGTCAAAACCAACTAAGCCAGAAGTACTGAAGGAAACTTCATCAAACAAAACAGCTCTCTGTGATCCCAAGACCTATCCACGCTGTCAAGAGTTTGACCATAAGCTAATCCTCTCAAAAGTTGCACATTTTTCTTCTAGTTATATTTCAAAAAACTGATAAATAATACATGTTAAATGTTGCTCTATGACCAAATACTGTGTTCTCTTTATTTTTTGGAAATAAAGTAAAAAACAAAACAAATGTGAGAGTTGAATTTCTTCATCAGAAAAACTTGTGCGATAAGGTTGTTGGTTGATGTTGAATGACCTGCATAAGGTCACATAAACTCAAATACTGTTTCTGCAACTACTTCCTCACACTTACACGGTGGAGATGTTCTTATCAGACAAAATAAGGTACGCATGCAGTATTCACTGTGATATCGTAAACTCTTATAACCTTTATATCCATTCTGCTTTTCTCAAACAAAAGTGCAAGTCAACACACTTATTGGTAAACTGCCCTCAGCGACAGTTTTTGAGAAGAGTTAGTGCCATCTGGTGAACAGAAAGAGTCACTTCAGCAGGAGAAAGTTCATCAGCATGAAGAGAGTTATCTGGGAGTCTAAAAAATCTGACAGCCAAGAGTGACATCTGGTTTATTCCAGGTTGACATTTGGGGTTTTTACTACTCTAAGCACTAAAAAAATCCCACATACCTTTAGAAAAAAGAAAACTGATGTCTCCAACAAACAAAGTCTTTTTCTTTTTGAAGCCCCCTCTCAACTTAACAACCTTTCTGTCCAGTTTAGGCTAATTTCTTTAAATTATCTAAGGAGGTCAATCTGATAAATAAATAAAGGAAGAAAAAAGCACCTCCTTGGCCTTGTAATTAAATCCTACTCTTTATGTACAGAGGTTATAGTCCTCAAATCTGGCTGTCCAGATCCAATTCGCACTTGTGGCCCTCTACTGGTTGTCATTCCCTACTCTCTCTCCCAGTGTCCTACTGTATCCACACTTTCTCAACCTCTCAATAAAGACATAACAGACCAAAAACAATGTGTGAAGAAAGAAATGTCAGTCTCATGTTTATTTTCAGTGATTATCTGCTCTCTATTCTCTTGCTGTGTCCCTAAGAACTTTAAAACTGTGCTACAGCTGCTCAGGTCTGACAGATATAGGCTGGATTATTGGCAAGGTCCTAACAGAAGCAGTATTCAAGTGATTGAGGCCCATGAAATATTTAAAGAAAACAACATTTAAAAGAAATTAAAGTCAGATTAAAGAAAACACTTTCCTAAGATAGTGCTAAAAAGAGTGACCAATGATCTTTGAAATAAATACAAATTTATCTTCAATCTGTGTACTGCTGAATTTAAGACCAACCTGTGGTCTCACTTTTAGATAAATACATCGAACAGGTGTTTTTTTTTTTTTTTAAATCCATAGGTGATTCTCTGCCGCTCCTGAAGTCCCTCACGGATCCATCTCTGGGACAGATATCATTATCTTATAGTGTGCTTTTTCAAAGTCACAATATTTTTTTTAATCATTTTTTCACTAATAACACACAGCTTCATCTTCCAGTAAAATAAAATGTCAACTCCAGACCCTCAAGTACTACAGACTGTAGGGAAATTAAAAGTATGGATTTCACCAAATGTTCTTGAATCAGAACCCTGACTAACATTGAGATTGAGGTGGTGTACTATAATATCTAGTTCTCAGAGAGTCCTTTATCCCCTTTATTTCAAACAAAATGACTGCAGCCTCAGAGTTACCTTCTGTTAATGTTTCATGTTTTGGTTAACATTTGATTGATTTGTGTCTTATTTACTGTCCACCTATTTTACTCATGCTCTGTCTTTGTTTGGTTTGATACAGTGCAACATGTTCCCTGTGTGTGTGCTGTGTGTAATAGTGGATATCCCAGTGTGAGTAACTTTGAGGACTTTTGGATCTACACTGTTTGACAAGCTATAAAAGACAGAATTTCACCACCTGAACACAAGCGCTTCCAGGTGGACCTGCCGTGAATAAAGTCTCCTACGAGCCATGAAAGTCCTTCTACTTTTAGTCCTTGTTGTTTTCACTGGTGAGTATGACAAAAAAATAGATTATTTCTTTTTTTTAGCATGAAAATATCTCTATTGTAATGTTTTAAATGCTCTTGTTTTCACACAACAGGCTGTAATGCCAACCCACACCATGCCAGAGGACACAAGCCAAAGCTGGACGTGCTCTTTGACACATTGTCGGACCCTGCTGAGTTAACCAGAGTTTTCAAACAGAGTGAGTTTGGACGAGATGTGAGGTAGGTCATACAAAACTATTGGGAACATGCTCCTTGGTCATTTTGTGAGAGGTAACTGACAAGCTATCCCTTAACCATAACTTATAAATGGTAAATTTATAATTTTTAAGCAGATAGTTTATTAATGTTTAATTATCATTAATAAATAGCATATAGACCATTAATAAATTGTAAAGTTTACAATTTTAAAAACCCTAACTTTACAATAACCATCTAGGTAATGTTTATAGGTGATTTATAAACCACTTATTAATCATTTTCAAAGTATTATAAACATCAGTTGCAACTTTACAATGACCATCTAAGTAATGTTTATAGGTGGTTTAAAAACCAAATATTAACCATTTACAAACCAATATTTAAACCCTATATAAACCTTTAATAAATAGTCCTTTAATAATTAATGAAAATTATTAATCAAAATTTCATTGCTTGTTAATGGTAAGTAACTTTTAACTTACAATAATAAACTATCTATTTTCCATTCATAGTTTGTCTCTATGCTGGTTTTAAATTATGATTAAACATTAATAAACTATCTATTTACCATTTATAAGTTATGGTTATTGTAAAGTGTTAACCTTTTTTTTTTTAAATCAACATTTATTTTTATCCAAGTGAAAAAATGTATCACTCGTAATAAGAACAGAGAATAATGACTCATCTTCACCCCCTGTTTATTCTCATGTCTAGTGATCGTTTGGTGGAGGGTAGAATTGCGGCCAACAAGTTTGTTGGAGAAATCTGGGAGAACCTTGATCTCTCTACCAGGGATGCACTTGCAGGAGTCTACTTGGACCTGATTAACTTTGGGATGGCTGCATCTGTTAGGTGGGACAGGTCAGAGCTCAAGCAAATGCTTAAGCCTGTAACTGAAACTGTGGATTCTGTAGTAAGGAATGTTGAGAGTGAGCTGACTCAGAGAGCCCGACAGGTAAAAGATGTGGTTTCTCCCCATTTTGAAACGCTGATGGAAAAAGTGGAGCCTGTAGCCCAGACTGTCCAGGCTCGTCTTGAAAGCTTTTACCAGTCCTTGTTCAAAAGCAGCTAAGACTCTCTACCTGCTGCAGGAGGCAAGAAGCAAACAAGACTGTACTTCCTGATCTCAAGACCTACTCGTATATGTTCGGAGTATGACAACTCCAACAAACCTGTATTGAAATCACACAAACATGAAGATATGAATGAAACACTACTCAAAAAAATAAAATGAAATAAATTAAAACAAGTCTGTCTTTCTCTTTACATTGTGGATATAAGGGACAGGAAAAACTAACCTACGAGTCTGTTATGGTATATGAAGAGGTGGTGTTATGCTTTTCTTTATAGTTTGAAAAAAAAAGTTGACTTACAATTTAAATCGTCAGTGCTGGCGAATGTGTGTTGAAGTAATCCCCAAATGGGACCGACTACAAGCTGCTCTGAATGATTTGTTCAAAATGTCACGTGAGAGTTCAATGAGATCAATACGAGATTTGCTCAAACTGTGACATCACCAGGCAGGGAATCTCCTTATAACTCAACTCAACTCAAACTTTATTTATAAAGCACTTTAAAAACAACCGAAGCTGACCAAAGTGCTGTACAGGTCAATAAGACACAGCGAAATACATAAAACAGACTGTAAACAATATGATCAAAAGCACAGAATACAAGATTAAAATACAGCAAAGTAAAATTGAGGTACAAATACACCATAAATAAAAACAAATATAAAATACGTAGGTACCGTAGATAAAAAACAAATATAAAATATAAAATACCAATCAAGAGCTGGGTAAAAGCTAGGGAGAAAAAGTGTGTTTTTAAAGAGGATTTAAAAACCTCTATCAACTCAACTTTTTATAAGGGCAAATGTGTCATTTTATAAAAAGAAACACAACTTTGCTGTGTGGCAACAGTGAAGGGGGTTTCAAAAATGCTGGGTGTGGCTTAAATGAGGGTTTTTTTAAGATAGCAGCCTAAACTACATTATGAACTTGTTGAACTGTAATCATGGAAAGCTGCTATGAAGCTGTCAGAGGAATCAGTTGAACGTTAAGTCATTTATTTAAAGACAATAAACACCAGAGAGGATTTTTTAGCTGTAGTATAGACGAATCTGGTGGTCCTGGTCCTAACATGAATATCTAAACTCAAAGAGGACATTTGTGTTTACCATTAGAACTCTGATTCTTCATGTCAACTTTTAAGGATCTTTAAACATACTTGTCTTTTTGAAGTTGTTCCTCTTTTAATAGAAAGGTTTTCTTGTTTTTAGTCACATTTGTTTTTTTACTGCTGTATTTTTGATTAATGCTTTTTAAGATCAGAAAAAGAACTTTAATATCAGTTTCTATCGGTGCTTCCTAAATTCAATGTAATTTGAGTCCAGCGTGTGTGCACTGTGTGGCCCACACTACAACTGAGGATAGCTGGGTGAGTCCAGGTGACTGCGAGGCTCTAGTCCCTGGACTTTGGGATCTTAACTGTGTGGCAAACTATATAAGCTGCACCATCTGACTACCTCAGCGCAAGTGCTGCCAAGAGAACTTGTGAGTGCACTCAGCTTCAGAGCCATGAAGGTCCTCAGTTTGCTTGTCCTTGTGGTTTTCACTGGTGAGTATGATGGAAATAAGACGAAAATGTTAGGATGCATGAAATCTTTCTAAAATTAAAATTGAAACGGTTGAATATCTCATTAATTTGAATGTACTTGTGCTTATGTAACAGGCTGTCAAGCCAGCCCTTTCCATGCCAATCAACCCACATCTCATATGGACACGCTGATTCATTCATACTCAGACTTTAAGAAGATAGTGATAGGGACAATTAAGGACATTGCTAAGCTGCTGCTGGAGACCGAGACTGGACAGGATCTGAGGTAAGTCATACCACAAAACCTACAGTGACACATTTAAAGACTTTAAAGACATGCTGTCCTTTTCATGAAAGCTAAAAATATTAACATCTATTTCTCCTTGTTTATCCTCCTGTTTAGTGCCCGTTTTATAGAAGGCAGAGATGTGGTCAACACTAATATGAAAGAGGTCCAGAAACATATCCCTAGAAGAGTACACCATGTAATGGGTGGATTCGGCATGGGTATTTACGGCCTTGCAGTGACTGTGGAGGAATGGACAACCAAGACCAAGAGAAAGCTCGAGCCCTTAGCTGAGAGGATGTCTCCTGTGACGGAGAAGGTAGCAGTTCAGTTGATACAGGGAGCTCAGCAGGTGAGGGATGTGGTCCCCCCCTTGGTTCAAAGACTGGTGGAAAAAGTGGGTCTATTTTCCCAGCAGGTCCAGGCTCGTTATGACAACTTCATTGAGAAATTTACAACCAACTGAGTTGACGTCCAGCTGAAGCAAGAGAAGTAAAATGCCTCATCCGCTGTTTTAAAAATGTGTGACAATCCAGCATTTATGAACAATAATACATGTTCAAAATCTCCTGCAACACTTTGTAATTGAATATAAGTGTGAGTCTGTGACCACACACTGTGTCCTTTTCTTGTTTCATGGGAATAAATGAAAAGAAAAACAAACTTGTGAGTCAGTCAAGTTATTAACCTATTTTACCCGAAAAAGACTTGGTAAAGCCTGAAAAAGCCTTTTTAATCACACAATAACATAATTTTTTTTTTTTTTTTTTTTTTATAGAAGATAGTTTTCAATCAAAAAGATTATGCACATAATTAGCCTTTGCCAGGACAAAACAAAACAAGAAAAAAGGAGGGCGTGCACAATGAGACAAAAACTAAGAAAAGAGATGATAAGACAAACGCTCTCATATATATATAAATATATATATAGACATGATTATTTGTGCTCAAATGTATGCACAGAGATCATTGAGGTCATTGCATGTGCAATATAAGTACACCCATGTCTGCTTTATCCCTAACACAAGCCACAAACACCCCTAGCCCAGCTCATTATAATTATCTAAGAAGAAACAATCATCCAGGGTCAGTGGAAACAAATCAGATGCAGACATGGCTCTCAGTCTGGTTGAACTACCCAAGTGTACCAATATTATTAAAGTGCCATGTTTGAAAAAAACTTTATCAGTATATCCTCACAGTTTTAAATTTCTGGAGCTTAAGGAAATGTACAGTATCTTGAATCCACTGGGAGACTGTTGGAGGATTACGAGACTCCCACTGCAAAAGTAAGTCAGCAGCTAGTGATTATTTCTTTGCTCAAATGTTAATGGTCCTGACTCAGTAGGAGTCCCCAAGGTCAACGCCATCATTACAGACATCCTCTGAAATAACTAGACCAAAAGTTGGTTTGAACGGGGCAGAAGAAAAACATGAAAAACATTTCTAAAAAAGGAAAGTTACAAAATTCTGGGCTGGCAGTTCATGTCAGCCAGGAGAACTTGCACCCAGTGTGCAAAGGTCGTGTTCTCACCAGCTGTCCCTGATTTAACTCTGACCTTTGTGCCCGTGCGGGTTTTCCCTCTCATTCTTCCTCTTGCTGTCTGTCTCCTTGGCTGCCCCAGATAAATGGCAGAACAGCCAAAAATGATAGATGTGTAAAAATAAATAGTTTATGTTGGCGTTCAAAAGTCATTTCTAACTTGATCACATTGTTCACTATGCTTGATATATATGCTTTGACCGTCTGCACCAAGAGCACTTGAGAGGACTGAAAGTCTTTTAGTGTCATCAGCTCCAAAGAGGACATCATCAGATCAACCAGGTTGCAACATCAGTGTCTACTTTTCAACAGCTGCATATGATCTCTTTTTAGAAAGACGTCTGTTCTCATGCTTAATCACACATAATATAACTGAACATGACATAGATGTTCTTTCAAGATTGGAAAAAAGGACTTTGTAATGATGGTTACCATAAAAGTCTATTGAATAATGAGCACTATAAACGGTATAGTCCAGTGTGTGGGCTCAGTGTGGCATGAGATTAAGATGGGGCTAACAGGGTGAGGCCAGGTGACAGCAGGGCACTATTACCTGGACTTTGGGATCTAAACTGTGCGGCACACTGTATAAAAGATCAGAATCTCACAATCAGAGCACAAGCGCTGCCAAGTGGACTCACTCAACTTCAGAGCCATGAAGGTCCTTGTTGTGCTCGTCCTCGCTGTTTTCACCGGTGAGTATGAAAGAAAACTTTCTCTGTTCTTGTAAGATGCTTGATCTCTATTAGAAGTAAAAAAGTAATCGCATATTTATCTAAATGTTTAAATTTTCTTGTCTTTACCAAACAGGCTGTAATGCCAACTTCCTCTACGCTGATGATCCCAAGTCGCAGCTGGATGTGCTGACTGATGCAATCTCAGACAATATTGATGTAGTTGTACAGAAAGCTACTGATACCATTGAGCAGTTCAAGAAGACTGAACTTGGACAGGACCTGAGGTAAGTCCTACAAAATCATCTGATGCATGAGTGCAGTTTTGTAAAAGTTTACTTACAAATGGTTCTCCTGGCAAAAATAGGATATACGAATGATCTATTTCTCCCCTACTTATTCTCATGTTCAGCACTCGTGTCAAAGATGGATCCGAATTGGTGTCCATGTATGCTGGGATAGCCTGGGAGCAGGTTCCTGATGGGATCAAGAATGCAGCGGAAGGAGCTGGCATGATGGTCTATGGCATTTCAATGCGTGTTGAACAGGGAATAGACGTTCTTGAGAAAAAGCTTGAACCCTTGGTCGACAGAGTGAGTCCTGTGGCAGAGAAGGTAGCAGAGAAGGTGGCGGGTGAGGTGAACTACAGAGCCCAGCAAGTGAGCGAGGCAGCCTCCCCCTATGTTGCAAAGATTCAGGAAAAACTGACCCCCTTAGCCCAGGGCATCCAAGCCCGTCTTGACAGTCTTTATCAATCTGTAGTCAAAGCCAACTAAACCTGAAGCAAGAACAACAAACAAACTGCATCAAACTAACAAGGACTTCATGATCTCAAGACCCAGATATGTTTTTAGGAGTATAAAAATTTCTGCATTATTGGTTTAAAGTTACACACGTCCATAACTATATGTCAAAAAACTTCACAAGAAAACAAAATGAGTTTTAGTCTGTAGCCAGTGCCTTCCTGTCTTTGTTTATGAGAATAAAGAAATGAAAATCTAACTTGGGAGTATGTTTTTTTTTCATATACCATGTTTTAATTCAAGAAGAATATGATTTGGTCTCAAGAGGTAATTTTTAAAGACTGAAAACACATATTTCTACAGCAAGTGTCCATGTAAAACAAAAAGTACTGTTTCTCTAATTTTTCATTTCACTGAAACAAACTTAAACCAGTTTCAATAATCAGAGAAAATACAATACAGGCTGCCAGCTGCTCACACCCAATGCGCAGAGGTTGTGTCCTTTCCACAGATGTCCCAGGCTTAACTTTGGACTTTGTCCCTACTCTGGTTTCTTCCCATCCCTTTCGCCGTCTCCTGTCATTAAGGCAGATGAGCCAAATTACTATCTTTGCATACATGATGACATACCTGATAACTGATTATTATGACTGTTTGCACCAAGGAGAGACATAAGAGTCTCCCGGTGAAATCTAATACTAGTTTATTCAAAAAATATTACAGTGAATCCAGGAAAGATTTGAAGGAGGTCAGTCCAAATGAAGACTGCTGCATATTTGCAGTGCTTTGCCCCACACTCATGACCAAAGAGGACACTACAGGCACCATCTATCAGTAACAACTATGTTTGTTTTATCATGGTTGATATGATCTGCTGAAGAGAGAATAAAAATATACTTTTGTTTATTTATTGTGAGAAATATTGTCCCTATTGCATGGCTGCTATTCAAGCATTTCTTTATAGTTGTTTCTCTTTTACACATTATGGATCTCCTGTTTAACTGATGAAACCTTTTTGCTTCATTTGTGTGTATTTTACTGAGGTACTTTAAGGTTAAAAATGAAGCTAAAAGCAAAACAAATATGTGGGTCTGTTTGGATATTCAGAGATACCAGTTTTATCTGAAAAAGAATCTGTCAGGTCTGAAAACACAAATTTGTTCACCTACAAATTCGGATGACTTTTTAGAGAATATTACACAAATTTAAATGAGAATTGAACCAATTGATTCCAAAACTAAAAACACACCATTTTACAGAGAGTGCCCTCATCAAACTAAAGCTAATTCTCTAACCATTTCTTCATACAAGCAAACTGTTGACACTTCAAATGTGTGATTCAAAGGTTGCCCATTAATGCCAGTTGGAGGAGCATGCACCAGTCGTGCAGAGGTTATGTCCTCACCACAGCTGTCCCGGATTCATTGCTGACCTTCATCCCCATGCAGTTTTTTTTCTCATCCAGTTAAGTTGTCACATTTGATAAAGACAGAGCATCAAAATATTCTATATCTTAAAAAATCTATGAAAAATAAAAATGTGAATTATAATATCAATATACTTGTTATAAGCATTAATTGATAATTAATAAACTAATTAAAGGACTTAATAAAATGCTAATAAGCATTACCAAGTGTTAATAACTGCTTGTAAAGGGAAAATTAACACATTTATCATTTTTAAAGACACTTAAAGACACTTAGGCTCTTGTTGGAAACTAGTCAACAGTTTTTATACCTGTTTAAACATCAAAAGGGAAGATAATTAACTTTAATTATACATAACAAGGGTTAATTATGGATGAATTAACACATTGATAAATCTGCAATTGTGTAGCTTGTTACACATTAGCAGAGAACTGAATACCAATAACAGTATATAAAGCTTTAAGAATGTGAAAAGGTGTTCATCAACATTAATTTAACTGTATAAGCCTTTATTTTAATTATAACTGACACTTATTTTACGAGAGCTTCCTTATTAACAATTGAAAGACCATTTATTAACTTTAATCAGGTGTTTTTTTTAAATAAAAGACAATCAAAGGTTAAATTTAATGCCCTGTGAGGATTTATAATGCACTTATTAACAACTTACGATACTAATTTTCAGCAGGAACATTATCTTATTAGGACTAATAAAGCTTCTAAGACTCTTAAAAGCAGTTATTAACACTAAAACTTTATTGGTTATTAATAAATTCTTTTTACGTGACCTTAACACAAAGTGGTTGGGACAATGTAATGTTGGTTTTCATACACGCTTAGAAAACAAAATGCGGTCTGCACAGAATGGCCCCGTCTGTGTGCACAGTTTGGCACAGGATTTCTATGGTGATAGCAGGGTTAAGTGAGGCCAGATGACAGCAAGGCACTGGCACCTGGACTTTGGGATCTCTACTGTGGGGCAAGCTATATAAGGCACAAAATCTTACCGTTTGAATACAAGTGCCGAACTTGCAGAGGAACTCTAGGGCCATGAAGGCTGTTGTTGTGCTTGTCTTTGCTGTATTCACTGGTGAGTATGATGGATTAATTAGATTTTTTTAGGAGGCATGAACATGATCCTAATCGGAGTAAAAGTGAGCAGTTTGACTGATGTTGTATTTCAAATGTTATGTGTTTACACAGCAGGCTGTAATGCCAACCCTTTCTATGCTGATGAACCTAAGTCACAGCTGGATGTGCTGACTGATACACTCTGGCACTATGTTGCCAGAGCCAAACAATCCACCGATGAAACCATTGAGAAATTCAAGCAGACTGACTTTGGACAGGAAGTAAGGTAGGTCTTACGTGATCATCTGGGGCATGCTTATGATGCAGTTTTGATAGAGGTCACTGAAAAGTTTTCCCTCCAGCAGAAGCGAGAAAAACTGACCCTCTTTTCCCCCTCTGTTTAGTGCCGGTTTGAGAGAGGCCAGCATGTATGGTAATAAGTTCTGGCAGCATGTCCCTAAAGGAATTCAACACGAATTGGGTGCAGTCTCCATGGGGTTTTACGGCCTTGGCGAGAGTGTAGATCAAGGTATGACGGCACTGAAAAAGAAGCTTGATCCCATTGTTGAGAGGGTGGCTCCTGTGACAGAGAAGGTGGCGAACGAGCTGACTCAGAGAGCCCAGCAGGTGAAAGAGATGGCCTCCTCCTCTGTAGAAAAGCTGATGGAAAAGGTGACCCCCTTGGCCCAGGATATCCAGGCTCGCTTTGACACCCTTTTTGAGTCCCTCATAACCAGTAACTGAACCACCTCCACCTGACACAGAGTGTCAAAGTCTGGCTGAACAATCAGCTCTCCTGTTTCAAAAGGACACAATTGTGGACATATTTCATTATTTAAAAAGCTGAAAAACTTGTGGAATTCTAACTGTGGAAATAAAGTAAAAGCAAAACATAAATTGAAGTCTGTCATGTTATTTACAAAAACCTTGTATCATCTGACTCAAGGGTTGCAAAGGTCTGAAAATGCAAACTGTGTAAGTGCCAGCAGGCGAACACATAGACCTGGCTTGGTCAGTAATATGGTAAAGAGATATACTGCAGAATTAAAAAAGAACAATGGTATACGTTTCATTAGCATAAAAAAATGCTGCATAAAATAAACGACAAATGCCCACCAAACTGGTGTTTTCCCAGCTGAGAGGTTGTGACATCAGACTGAGTTAATGGATGTGTCATTGTTGGGGGATAAAGACAAAAGGACAGGAGAAATATAAGACCCCTCAATGAAGGTGGTGACACTTTGAACTGAAGGGCCAGTCTCCAGATCAATCAACTGCTGACCACTGCAAAGATTTCCTGGCCTACCAGGTGCCAGGTCAAGAAAAAAAGAGCCACATGCAAATCAGAAGGCATGGTTTGAAAATCTGTAGCCCTGGTTTGTAATCAGTACCCATGGATTTGTACAACGGGTGCACAGACTGCAAATCTTTATGAAAATTGGGATTCAGTTTGGGCCTGTGCATATAGGTACTGCATGGCATAATATTCAAATGAGAAGAAGAGGGTGAGGCCAGATGACAGCAGGGCACTGGCACCTGGACTTTGGGCTTCTCAACAACTGTCTTGCTATATAAGCTGCAGAATCTCACCACTCAGGCACAAACACTGCCAAGAGGACTTGTAGAGACAAACTGCCAAACAGCCATGAAGATCCTTTTACTTACCCTTGTTGTTTTCACTGGTAAGGAAACTTACAAAGATTTACTTGTTTGGTTAAGAAATGACCTACAGGCTTTCCTGTGGAGAGAACATGCACAAGTTTACATGTTTAATTTTCTAATTTTGTGTTTATTCAACAGGCTGTCATGCCAACCTCCTCCAGGCTGATAACCCAAAGCCACAGCTCGAAGTGTTGACAGATGCAATCTTTGAGAGTATGGGGATAGTCTTCAAGACAGTAGATGACGCCAAAGAGAAATTCAAGAAGACAAATTTTGGACATTTTGTACAGTAGGTTTCAAAACCCTATGGGAATAATGTTTGTCATAGATGGAGGTGATCAACATGTAATCCTCCTCCTAACAAACACAGTCTTTTCTAACACTAACTTGTTTTTCCTCTTTAGTGAACGTTTTGATGAGGGTGCCAAGGATGCCATCGAGTTTCTCATGAAAGTTGATAAAATTGACCCCCCCCCTGAGGTCAGGGACATGATGCTGACAGCCTCCAAAGTGACGAGTGAGACATTTCGCTATTTGGATCAACAGTTGACGACTCTAATCCGCAGAATCAATTCCGAGCCTGTTTCTGAGAAGGCGGCCCCTGTGATAGAGATTGTTGCAAGTGAGCTGACTACGAGAGCACAGCAGTTGAGAGAAATGGCCGCTCCCCAAATTGACAAGCTGATAGACAAAGTGGATCCCCTGGCCAAGGAAGTCCAGGCTCATCTTTATACATTTTATGAGACATTAGTCAAACTAAACATCATCTAAAAAAATGTTTTTGTAGTGAAATTTTACTTCAAAACTTGAAAAGAAGAAAAATGTGTATGCTTTTATCTGTAAATAAAATGAAGCATAAGACAAACTTGAGTCTGTTCTTTAATGAACAAATGCCTAAATGGAGTTTTGGTGAAGTCTGAGAATGCAAACTACAGTTCTTGTCAAATGAAGACAGAAGCTCCTAGCATCAAAAATCAATAGTAAACTATTAAACAAACCTTGAACACGACCCATTATGTTGTGTTTCCCTGCCAGAACAACTCAGTGGGCCTGACGCAGACCATTGTAGATGATGCAGCTGGGGTCAGGCAGGTCTGTAGCACCAGTCATGGTGGAATCTAAGAGACAAAGGAGCTCAGGGACACTCAGAGAGACCTGGACCACTGAAAGGACTTTCTGGCCCACCAGGAACCAGGTCAAGACAAAAAAAAAAAAAGCCAACATGCAAATGCATGAGCATGGTTTATGGATTTGCACAGCGGGTGCACAGACTGCAAATCTGAACCCCAGGATGAGCTTTGTTATAATGATTTTATGAAAATTGAGATGATTATTTATTCTTCATACTCATGTCAAACAATTCTTTTTATTCTAGTCCATCATTAACCTTCAGTTTTGGCCTGTGCGTATAGGTGCTGCATGGCATAATATTCAAATGAGAAGAAGAGGGTGAGGCCAGATGACAGCAGGGCACTGGCACCTGGACTTTGAGCTTCTCACCAACTGTCTTGCTATATAAGCTGCAGAATCTCACCACCCAGGCACAAACACTGCCAAGTGGACTTGTAGAGATAAACTGCCAAACAGCCATGAAGATCCTTTTACTTACCCTTGTTGTTTTCACTGGTAAGAAAACTTGAAAAGATTTACTTGTTTGGTTAAGAAATGACCTACAGGCTTTCCTGTGGAGAGAACATGCACTAGTTTACATCTTTAATTTTCAAATTCTGTGTTTATTCAACAGGCTGTCAGGCCAACCTCCTCCAGGCTGATGACCCAAAGCCACAGCCTGAAGTGTTGAGAGATGCAATCTCTGACAGTATGATGATAGTCTTCAAGACAGTTGATGACACCTATGAGAAGTTCAAGAGGACAACGTTTGGACATATTGTAATGTAGGTTTCGAAATCATTTGGGAATAATGTTTGTCATACGTGGAAGTGATCAACATGTTATTCTGCTTTACAAATCAGGAAACAAGTTGTTGATTTTTTTTTTAACACAGACTTGTTCACTCTCTTTAGTCAATATCTTGAGGACGGGCTCAATGGTGCCGTCACCTTTGCTATAGGAGTCCATACTCTGCCCCCTTCTGAGGTCAAGGACATGGTCACAACAGCTGTCAATATGGTATATGAGATGCCAATGTTTGTGCATCAGCAGGTGCTGACTCTCGGAGACAAACTCCAGCCTGTGGCTGAGAAGGCGGCCCCTGTAATAGAGATTGTTGCAGGTGAGCTGACTCAGAGAGCACAGCAGTTGAGCGACATGGCCGCTCCCCAAATTGACAAGCTGATAGACAAAGTGGATCCCCTGGCCAAAGAAGTCCAGGCTCATCTTTATACATTTTATGAGACATTAGTCAAACTAAACATCATCAACTAAATTGTTTTGTAGTGAAATTTTACTTACTTCAAAACTTGAAAAGAAGAAAAATGTGTATGCTTTTATCTGTAAATAAAATGAAGTATAAGACAAACTTGAGTCTGTTCTTTAATGAACAAATGCCTAAATGGAGTTTTGGTGAAGTCTGAGAATGCAAACTACAGTTCTTGTCAAATGAAGACAGAAGCTCCTAGCATCAAAAATTGATATAATTGTCTGCCTGATGCAGACCATTGCAGATGATGCAGCTGGGGTCAGGCAGGTCTGTAGCACCAGTCATGGAGGAATCTAAGAGATGAGGGAGCTCAGGGACACTCAGAGAGACCTGGTTGGTAACTTTAATGTGACATGAAGATCTAAAGCAGAATGAGAGGGACAGACAGGAGCTCATTGTGCCAGTTCCCCTGGCAGTCTAAACCTATAGCAGCATTACTACGAGTTGGTTCATGCCTAACCAGCCCTAACTATGAGTTCTATCAAAGAGGAACATTTTAAGTCTACTCTTGAAAGTAAAGAGGGTGTCTGCCTCCAGAACCTCAAGGGGTCAATGATTCCGGAGGAGAGGGACCTGATAAATGAAAGCTCTACCTCCTGTAATACTTTTAGGGACTATTGGTATGACAAGCAGACCTGCAGACTGTGAGCGTTCAGGTCTAGAGGGGGAATAGGGTATTACACACTCTTTAAGATTCGATGGAGCCTGGCCATTAAGAGCTTTGTATGTCATAAGAAGGGTTTTAAATTCAATTCTGGATTTAATAGGGAGCCAGTGAAGAGAGGCTAAGACAGGAGAGATGTGCTCCCTTCTTCTAGCTCTAGTCAATACCAGAGTTGTGGCATGTCGGACCAGCTGTAGAGTCCCTAAAGACTTATCAGAACAGCCTGATAAGAGAGAATTACAGTAATCCAGTCAAGAGGTAAAAAAAAAGCATGGACTAGTTTTTCTGCATCAGTCTGGGACAAAATGTGTCTGATTTTTGGGATGTTGCACAGGTGGAATAAGGCTGTCATAGAAATTCTGATCAAGTAAACCCCCCAAGGTCCCTTACAGTGGGTCTGGATGACAGACTGATGCCATCTAACACGGTTATATAATTGGGAAATGCCTCTCTAAGATGTTTAGGGCCGAGAACAAGAACTTCAGTTTTGTCTGAGTTGCGCATTATAAAGTTTTTGCCATCCATGACTTTATATTGTTGAAGCAAGCCTCTAGTGAGGTTCCCTGATTTGTTTCTTTTGGTTTTACAGGTAAGTAAAACTGAGTTTCATCTGCATAACAATAAAAAATTAACTGAGAATTTCCTGATAATTTCATCAAGAGGGAGAATGAACAAAGTGAAGAGAATCTATCCAAGCACTGAACCTTATGGGACACCGTCATCGATCGTATCAAACGAAGCACTAAGATCTAACAGGACAAGAACAGAGAGAAACTCACTGTCTGCAGCCATCAGAAGGTCATTTGTCACATTCAGCAACGAAGTCTGCGTGCTGTGGTGTGGTGGACTCAAAATCTGGACTAAAAATCCTCCAATAAACTGTTGATATGAAGAAAATCACAAAGTTGCTTAGCAACAACTTTCTCTGGGAATATAGAGCTAAAGGGGAGGTTTGAAATAGGCTTATAGTTAACTTCAAGAGTCAAGAGTAGTTTTTTAAGAAGAGTTTTAATCACTGCAGCTTTAAAAGAGTGGGGCATCTATCCTGTTAAAACGACATATTGATCAAGCTAAGTGAAGATTTATTAATTACGGGAAGAGCTTCTTTCAGCAGATCAGATGGTGTTGGATCTTAAAGACATGTTTATGGTTTAGCTACAACTGAATTTTATTCAGGAAGGTATTAATGAGTTATACAAGAATCTTTTTATGACAAATTCATAAGAGAATAAAAAAAGTGGGTTATGTACTCAGCGTGCAAGTATAGTATGTTTAGTGTCAGCCTGTCCATCTGTTGGTGAGGTTGTAGTGTCAGAATCAGTAAATGGACATGTCATTGTAACATGTCATCAGCCAGTCAGGAGGTTGACAAGAAAAAGAGAAAAGTAAAACCCCAGTAGTTTGGCTGAGTTCTAACCAAAAATGGGAGAACCAGCAAATCTTGATTTATGAAGGATTTGCATGAAGATGGGAGCAGCAAGGGATGGGAACACTTTTAAATTGATGGGCCCATATTGTGACCAATCATCTGCTGACCACTGAAAGGACTTTCTGGCCCACCAGGAACCAGGTCAAGACAAAAAAAGCAACATGCAAATGCATGAGCATGGTTTGAAAGTCTATACCCCTTTATTGTAACCAGTACCCATGGATTTGCACAGCAGGTGCACAGACTGCAAATCTGAACCCCAGGATGAGCTTTGTTATAATGATTTTATGAAAATTGAAATGATTATTTATTCTTCATACTCATGGCAAACAATTCTTTTTATTCTAGTCCATCATTAACCTTCAGTTTTGGCCTGTGCATATAGGTGCTGCATGGCACAAGATTGGAGAAGAAGAGGGTGAGGCCAGATGACAGCAGGGCACTGGCACCTGGACTTTGGGCTTCTCACCAACTGTCTTGCTATATAAGCTGCAGAATCTCACCATCCAGGCACAAACACTGCCAAGTGGACTTGTAGAGACAAACTGCCAAACAGCCATGAAGATCCTTTTACTTACCCTTGTTGTTTTCACTGGTAAGGAAACTTAAAAAGATTTACTTGTTTGGTTAAGAAATGACCTACAGGCTTTCCTGTGGAGAGAACATGCACTAGTTTACATGTTTAATTTTCTAATTCTGTGTTTATTCAACAGGCTGTCATGCCAACCTCCTCCAGGCTGATAACCCAAAGCCACAGCTCGAAGTGTTGACAGATGCAATCTTTGACAGTATGAGGATAGTCTTCAAGACAGTTGATGACGCCGGTGAGAAGTTCAAGAGGACAACGTTTGGACATATTGTAATGTAGGTAATAAAGTCCTATGCAAGTAATTTGCAGCATTGATGGAACTAATCAACATGTTATTCTCCTTTACACATCAGGAAACAAGTTGTTGATTTTTTTTTTAACACAGACTTGTTCACTCTCTTTAGTCAATATCTCCATGACGGGCTCAATGGTGCCATCATCTTTGTCATAGGACACGATACTCGGCCCCCCCTAGAGGTCACGGACACGATGGCAACAGCCGTCAATGTAATGTCTGAGATATCAGGCTTTGTGCATCAGCAGGTGGAGACTCTCCGAGACAAACTCCAGCCCGTGGCTGAGAGGGCGGCCCCTGTGATGGAGATTGTTGCAGGTGAGCTGACTCAGAGAACACAGCAGTTGAGAGACATGGCCATTCCCCAAATTGACAAGCTGATAGACAAAGTGGATCCCCTGGCCAAGGAAGTCCAGGCTCATCTTTTATATGTTATGAGACATTAGTCAAACAAAACATCATCAACTAAACTGTTTTGTAGTGAAATTTTACTTCAAATATTGAAAAGCAGAAAGATGTGTATGCTTTTATCCGTAAATAAAGTGAAGTATAAGACAAATTTGTGTCTGTTCTTTAATGTACAAATGCCTAAATGGAGTTTTGGTGACGTCTGAGATTGTGAACTACAGTTCTTGTCAAATGAAGACAGAATCTCCTAGCATCAAAAATCAACAGTAAACTGTTTTACAAAAGACCTGTGCGAGATCACTTTAACCCCCAAACTGTTGTACTGATGGCTTGGACCATCTTTCAGACTGTCTGTACAGAATCAAGAGTGGATATCTCACTTCACAATTAGGGGGACAACAAATGAGACAATTTCTAAGGAGCAGAGTGGGGGGGCATAGAGGAAACTGATTTATAAATGTGCGCTATATGTAATAAATCACAGACTAAATGTAAATTTATCCTTTCCTGTAAGAAACCAGTGTCTCTATGGTGAACGAGTGGGCTATATCACACTCCCTAACCATCCAGAGTAAGTGATAAGGCTCTCTGAAAGAGTAGGCAGTGTATAAGAAGGACCATAAACCAAAAGAAAAGCTAAAACAGAGATGGAGTTGCCTCATGTTTGAAATACTGAAATTGTCTTACAACATTTAAATCAATCAATCGGCTTTTAATTCAGCAAAGACTCTCAACACAAACTTAAATCTACTCCTGTATCAATGATTTTTACTGACTAATTTCTTTCAGTGATACCTCAAAGTTTTACTTGTTACTTTTTAAGGACTTCTTTGCTTTGGTCTCAAGAACTCCTGTACTTTCACCAGCCAGTGAGCAGACTCAAACCCTCTAGCAAAAACCTCTTTGTTCATAAATATTCAAAAACTAAAGGGGACCTAGAAGTGTCTGTGAAGGACACCTCAGTAGAGGAACAACCTGCTTGAGAAACTGATGAGTTAAATCGCTCTAATAATTCAATAAATAATTCAAATAGACTTATTTCAAATTGACATCTCTAGTAGATTTTACTGATTTGTTTTTTTGTTTTTGTTTGGTAAAACACTACTCAGTATATAAGTACAACATGTTCAGTTTGGGCCTGTACAAAAGCATTGTGTAGCATAAGATTCAAGTACGAAGAACAGGGTGAGGCCTGGTGACAGCGAGACACTGGCACCTGGACTTTGGGATCTTTGCTCTTGGTCTCACTCTATAAGCTCTCAACACCTAAGTACAAGTGCTGCCGAGTGAGCTTGCAGACACACACTGCCTTGGAGCCATGAAGATCTTTGTTGTGCTTGTCCTTGCTGTTTTCTCTGGTGAGTATGAAGGAAATAAATCATTTCACTGAGAGTAAATTTTAGAAAGTTTGAGAGTACGGTGACAAAAATGATGAAATAGCTTTGCTGGGGAGTTACTGTTCATTTAATCAATTGTGTGTTCATCCAACAGGCTGTAGTGCCAACCTCTTTCATGCTGATGAACCCAAGTCACCGCTGGATGTGTGGACTCGTGCAGTTGATGACTGTGTGAAGATAGCCTTCCAGGCAGCCGACAACACCTATGAGAAGGTCATACTGACTAAGTTTGGACATGAAATAGAGTAAGTCATGCAGACATTTAGGTACTGATTTATAATGTAGTATGGATGGAGGTCACTGACATACTATCCACCACAAAAGATCAGGAGATAATGATTAACTTTTTCTTCCTTTTTACTTAGTGAACGACTAAAGGAGGCTGCTGATTTTGCCTTCAGGACTACAGGCAAAGCCTATCATGAGCTCCCTCCTGAGACCAAGGAAATTATTAGAAATTTTGCAGATACTGTTTTCAGCGTGGGAAAATTTGTGGAAGATACACTGAAACTGGTCAACAAAGAACTTCAGCCTTTGGCTGAGATGATGGCTCCTGAGATACAGACGATGGCAGATGGGCTGGTTACGAGTGCTCGACTGGTGGTAGATACGGCCTCCCCATATGTTGATAAACTGGTTGAAAACGTGGACCCCTTTGCCCAGGATGTTCAGGCTCGTCTTATCTCCCTGTACAAACGTTTTCTCTAATCTAAGTTGTTAAGAGAGTGACAACCAGTAAGCCAGCCTCCAGATGTATATTTTGAGTATTAAAAAGCTGATGAGTTACACACACACGCTGAGCATCGGTCTTCGACCACCCATTGCTTTCTCTTTTTATATTGTGTAAGTAAACAAAAAAGCAAATCAAAGTAAGTGTTTGTTTTATCATTTAAGAGATTTGAAAAGTTTGATATTATGTATTGGTGGATTGTGGAGTGCCTTCGGTTTATTTAATTATATTGATGTTGCTCTATTTCAGTTTTGCATTCTGCAGCTTTGCATCAAGACGTAAGATTTGAATTTACAATCAGTGCATGTTTGACCTTAGCAAATACGAGAAAGAGACACTGACCATTTCACAAATATGCCTGGAATATTTCTATATTTTTGAGGTGGGGCTCGTAGGAGGTTCATGTCACAGGCAAGTGTATATGCTGATCAGCTCTGCCCGTTTAATCTGAAACTGCTGGAAGAACCAGGATGCTAGCTGGGCTGCAGTTTTCTCCAGATGGGGCCTGACCCACCACAAAATCTACCTAATCCAACTGACTCTGGCTAAAGCATCAAAAGCCTGTTTGTTTTTCCTCGTTATCAGGATCAACACCCTTTTGCAAGTAGTGCAAACAGGTCCACTATCACATTATCACTGATAAAATGTAAATGTTATATTTTTCATCTCAGTTTGTTATAATGTCAAGCACTTAACACACAAGATTATACAAAATCACAGCAATGTGTGTTACATGTTATGATATTGTGAGGATTATTGGTTCTGTCATTATGCCATTAAACTTCCACTCAACCCGTCTGGTTTTCTGATTGAAGACAGTTGGTAACAAACATGAGTGTTCAATAAGGTAGTGGTTTCTGGTTCTGAGCGATTCAGCATATAGCCTCATGTGAGCCACTGGTGTCTTTATCCTTCCTACATTGCAAATCTCTTTTTTTTATCAGTGTTATACAAATCAAGTTCTTCTTTCTCTTATTTGTATTATTCATTTATTTTCATTCTTTCTGTTTCACTCCGACATGATTGTTTATACTATTCTTGTGTTTTTTTTTTTTAAAGCTATAGGTAACTCTGGTTTATTGTTGGTGATTATTGTAATTAATAAAACTGTAAATACTCAAAAAGCAGAGTACAGTCTGCACTCAAATTAAAAAATCAGGGCAAAATAAGGTCAATGTATGAAACAGTGATAGAGCTGAAACTAGAAATAAGTCGACAGGAGAAGATAACATGCATATAAACATGAAAACAAACGACAGCTTAGCTTTATTATTCGTATAAATCTCTGAAATTACTTTCCATCAGTGAAACATGACCTGCAAATATTGCAAACTTATTCCTGCCTCTGGACAGCATGGCTATCCTCGCTTGTTGAGAATAATGTTAAAGATTTCTCTTTGTCGTATCTTTGCATGTGAGTGGGTGTGTTTTCTACGTGTTTCTGCCTGCTCTAGGGAGAATTAATTGGCAAGTGTGTGAAAATTGAGGGCTTGGTGTCGGTCTGAAGCCAGGGTTTTCAGCCTACGTGGGGTTCATGAAGGAATCTGTGCCTGAGTACACTTCATCTTGAGCACAACATTGGTGATATGAGTGATGATCAAAGCTGAGTCAGATGGAAAACAGCCATGACTCTTGTGTTGAACATTGAGTTATTTGGCTCAGGTTGACTATGGGGCACTTCATTCAGAAGATTGTTACAGATATTTAGTCAGAAGCAGGACAAACATAACTTCCTGGTCCTGGTCTCAGAGGAGATATCTATAGTCTAATTCTGTTCCTGTGCCTGTTCCATAAGAAGAAAGAGGACCAAGTGTTCAAGGAACCCTATGTGCTCCTTCTACATTTGGTGGCAGCGAGAACACAACACTGGGATGAGCTAAAAAAAACATGGCAGAACATATCCAAACAAAGGGGTCAGTAACATGACTGGGTAAAGAGCACCCCTGAGAGGCTATGGGTAGTAAAGATGGAAGAGGACTCTGTAAGAGACTGTTAAACAAATGTTTAATTTTTTTTAGAGTAAGCTTCCTTTGAGAAAAGGTTCAGGAGAATCTAAAAAGAAGTCTCATGTCACAGGTGAGTGTTTTAGCCACAATGGATGCTGATCAGCTCTGCCCATTAGATCTGCTAGCAGTTTTCTACAGATGGGGCCTGACCAACCACAAAATCTACCTAATCCAACTGACTCTGGCTAAAGCACTCACACTGGTTTTAAGTGTATCATATGATGAGGTTTTTTTCTGCACTTTGCCACTTGTTTTTCCTCGTTATCAAGATCAACACCCCCATGCTCTTTTGCAAGTAGCGCAAACAGGTCCACTATCACAATATCACTGATAAAATCTGAATTTTATATTTTTTCATCACAGTTTGTTATAATGTTATACAAAAATCATTATAGATTATACAAAAATCACAGCAGTGTGTGTGAAGTTTACTTTGGCTCAGGCTTGCCCTTTGGCAGCTTACACTGTATATTAAACTGGAGACATTATGGTGAGGATTATCCGATCTGTCATTATGCCATTAAACTTCAGTTAAACTTTTCTGGTTGGTCACAAACAGCAGTGTTCAATAAGGCAGTGGTTTCTGGTTCTGATTCAGTCGCCTCATGTGAGCAACCGCTGTTCTTTGATTCCATCCAACTTTGCAAATCTCTGTTATTATCAGTGTTATACAAATTAAGTTCCTTTTCCTCTGATTATGTATTTATTCATTTATTTTCATTCTTTCTGTTCCAACATGATTGTATCTACTATTCTTGAGTTTTTATGTTTTGTAAAGCAATAAGTAACTCTGTTTTTTGTTGGTACTGGGTATAAAAATCATATTGCATCCCTTTTGGTAATCAATAAAGTATTATCTTATTGTCCGATTTCTGGTGAAGCTGAATTCAGTGGGTGAGATAAACCCACATTTATAACACAGTAAGAGCTGTTTAGATAGTCCAGGTAGCAGTGAGGCACTAACACTTGGACTTTGGGCTCCTCGCTTACTACCTCCCTATTTAAGCTGCAGAATTTTGCCACCTGTACACAAGTGTACTGCCAAGTGGACTCACAGGGACACACAGCCCCAAAGCCATGAAGGTCTTTGTTGTGCTTCTCCTTGCTGTTTTCACTGGTAAGTATAAAGGAAGAAAAAAAATTAATTTATTATCAACTTGATAAATTTCTACAGGTATACTAGAGTTATTCCCCTTTAAGTCTTGCTAAAGAGTAAACATGCACCTGTGTAAAGTCTCAGTTTTAATTGTGTATTCATCCAGTGGGCTGTAATGCCAACCCCCTCTACGCTGGTGAACCCAGGCCACGGATCGATGTGCTGATTGATATAGTCAAGGGCTATGTTAGAGCAGCTGAAAGGACAGCTGAAGAGATCTTCAAAGAATTCAGGAAAACTGAGTTTTGGCAAATTTTAAAGTACGGTTATACAAACAACTATTTATAAAACAGTACAAAAATACAATCCTCCTACCACTAAAACTGCTGATTAACTTTCACACTCTGTCTGTTCCCTTTAGTGAACATCTAACTGAAGGTGCTGATGTTGCTGGGAGAGCCGTTCACCAGCTTCCCCCTAACATCAAGCAAGCGCTCACGATCATTGCCTTGACAGGTCTTGGCCTGGCAAGGTCTGCAGATAGCGGATTGTACATTCTAAAGAAAAGACTTGAGCCCTACGTTGAGGAGGTGGCACCCACCACAGACGAGATTGCTAGTGAGTTGACTCTCGGAGCTCTGCAAGTAACAGATTTGGCCTCCCCCTACATTGAGCAGCTGGCTGTTGAAGTAAACTCTTATGTACAGGGCATCCTGGATCATGTTTACACTTTGCGTGAAAACAGCTAAGACAACCTCCCCGAAGAAGCTTACTGATTTCTTAAAGGATGTGAATAAAGTAAAAGAAAAAAAAACCTTGAGTATATTTTCACTGTTAATATATTATAAAAGTGTTTGTTTGGTCAAAGGATGTAAAATCTAAGTTGGTTGATGAGAAAAAACTGCTTTCTTGTTTGTATCGATGTCTGGTTGCAAAATCTCTCCCCCCCTGCCACTCCCCCTGTAAGATCTAGTTGTGGGCCTTGTTTGGGGCATGTCCAGGTTTGCCTGTGCAAGACTGGAAGTTCACAAACACATCCTGCTTCCACCTTGTTTTTCAGTTCTTTTTTTTTTCCCCCTTTTGTGCCTCCATCCCTGCTGCCAGCTCGCTCCCACGCTGCCTTACCCAGTGGCAAACAACATTCCTCTATTCTGCCCCCAGCTGTCACAGACTGTACTTACTGTTAACCCTCTAAGCTCACACACAGCTCAGATTTCTGAGGCAGGAAAGGTTTTTTGTTTTATATTACAATCTGCAAAGAGAGTAATGTCTTAACTTACCAAAGTTGTGTGAATGGTTTTAGATTTATGACTCAATTTAATACAAAACAGTCTGAATAAATTACTAAGTCTAACTGTGCAAAACTTAATCAAAATTGACTGACTGGTTGATCATACACCAAGTGATGCAACTTCCAAGACTTATGTATTTAGAGTAAATCACTTTTTTAAAACAAAGATGAGGGAATGTGTGGCAAATAAAGAGTGAGGTTTACAGGAGTTGTGTTTCAGTCTTGTGTTGGCACTAAGCTGTTCTGCAGCTCACATTGTGTAAGTAAAAAAAAACAAAAAAAAACTCTGCACTGTTTTTGTAACTGGAGATCACTACTTATCAAAAAAGTGTAACTTCAGGGGGCGGTAATGCCTGACACGAATGTTTTTCTTCCCATGATTTGAAGGAGTTACGTAACGGTGGTTGCCATAATCGCTCCTGTAATGTCCCAGCATGAACCAGCGAAGTTTATCTTATCTTATCAGCTGTCAGATACACAATCAGAGAAATAATTCAAAAGGCTGGTTCAACATAAATTAAAAGGGGTATGAGCATTAAGGTGGTGATGACACATGAGCATTTCTAACAAGAGCTCTGAAGAGGTCCACGTGAGTGAGATTCTTTGTGCTTGTTTACCCCAAACTGTGTCTTCATAAACCAAGAGGAATTAAAGCTGTATCAATTTAGTTTTGTACAAGAAAATAAATGAAAGATCACACTCAAGTGCTTTCTTATCTAAAGTGAAAAACTCCATTTAGTCCTCTTTGCATCAAGTCTATAAAACTTACATTACAGAGACTATAGAGTGCACCAGGCTCTCTTGACATCATGACTCAACAGCTGACCTCTCTGACTCAGAAACAGATGACTGGGGGATGCAACTCTTCATTCGGAACTTAACCATCCAGCTGGACAACTTTTCACCCACAGACTTAAACTACAGTACCCTTGCTGAGTCGTCTAAAAAAACATGTTTGCCTGTTAAATTGGGTGAGATCATCTAGGCTTCACCAAAAACACAGTTACTCATCATCATCCTCAGACTGAGGTTACTTTTGGTCATGCAGATGCCTTTACAAAAACCCTGGTTGAAGACAAAGGGCCAATGACTCTGATGTTGAGGAGCAAAAGCAGAAGCAGCTTCAGTTTAGATAAGTGTGTCAGATGTGTTACTGGATTACCTCATGGTTCTTCTTGTTTCTGTCTTTGTCACTTCTGCCTCTGTCCTCTTTCTCTGGTGGTTCAGTGGAGGAAAACAGGGTTCATGCTTTGGCATGCGACCTCTCTTGTCACGGTGTGGTCACTTCTGCAAAATGCAAACACAAGAGATGTAGTTTTGAGTTAAAAAAAAGCAAAACAAAACAATATAAACTGAAAAAACACAGGAGCTCCAACTCCAGTATAATATTCTAGTGGGAGTATGGTCACACAATGATGAGATCAAAAATCTAATCTTGATTTGTTTGTGGTCATGACCTGGACTGGACTTGTTATCAGGTTGAACATATAGTGTTGCTTTGTGCGTGACACACCCTAACACCTCCTATCATTGAACACCAGGGTCAAAGGTTGTTTCTATTTCTTAAAAATAACTTCAAATCCAGGGCTGCCTGATTCTTCTCTGTGTTTGTTGATTACCACTTAAAGCTGCTGTGAGGGATTTTTGGTTTGGGCCGATTTTGACTCTCCCTGTGGACAGAAAGATACCTCTTTAGTCTCATCCATCAGACAAAATCCTCACACTGTTGTCCTTTAACAATAAGATGTTCCATTTATTGTCATATTGCCATAAAATAAAATCAGGGAAGGGTCTTCTTCAGTTTACCGTGGATTATCTGATCTCATATCTACACTCTCACGGCGTTTTCAGGTGTTCAAAAATATAGCAGAAAAATGACCAGCCTTGTTGCCGATTGTCTTATTTGCTTCTGAGTTTGTCTAAAGGCATCAGTATCAGCTTCAACCACTCAAAACCTCCTGATAATGCCTTTAGATGAAGAAAAACACACTAATTCAGAGATTTCTCTATTCTGGGCACAATCATCCCACTCATGATGACCCCCTGTGGGTTATCACAAGTACTGTTATCATGTTCTCACTCTAATTACCTGACCAAGCCAACTCATTTAAACTTTGTTCCTGTGTAAAGCTGGTTTCTGTAAAAGTAACACAACAGAGAAATGACAACAAAGGGTCCAAGTCCTAAAGGGCAAAGGTCATTACACATGGACGGTGAAGGGATCAGAGTTGGACTCTATGAAGGATAAGATGTACTGTAGCTGGTAGGTTAAAGTCAGTTTTGAGTGATTTTAGTACACATAAAATCATGTAATATGTACATGTTAGAGTTAAAAAAGTATGTTTTTCCCCTTCATCATGACCCACTGGCAAAATTTGCTCTTGACATTGCTGCTTAGTTAGTAATACGAGACCGTACCAACATGTAGGAGCATCAAAAAGACAACAATACACAGAGATCTTTGCTGTCTCTGTCTCAAAACCATTTTCCACTCTCTCAGAGGAATTTAAAACCAACTGAAATAAATCAAATCTCTTAGAATTATAATCAACAAAAAATAGTGTGAAACTGACAAGTGCAAAATTGATGAAATCCTCTGTTGAATCCCCACCAATGCGAAGTTAAGCTTTTAGATTTATAATCATAACATTTAAGAAACAGGTCAATCGAACAGAGGGCAAAATATACAACAGGCTGTGATGTAAGTGAGCTCCAGATTTCACCAGGGCTTATCAGAGTTTTGTAATAAAATACTAGATGTGGTTTAAAAGGCCACAGTAAACTTTTATCATGTTTTGATTGACCTGGAAACTGTGATGTAAACAACCGTCCTCTGAGAAAAATGGAAAGACATCACATCATTTTTTCTGCTTGTATGGCTTACTTCTTGTCCCCCCGAGCATCTCTGAAATAAAATGCCTCACGGTCTTTGAATTTTAAAACCTGTAATCTGTCTTTTGTCAAACACTTTTGCTGTACCCAAGTGTCACCAAGCCTGAACATGCCCATTGTGTAATGCTGACACTTGATACAGTAAGAGGAAGGTCATTGAACAGTTTAATAAAGTACAAAAGAAATGTGATCTGGTACATGTGTTCTTCTTTCTTAGAAATCTCAGTCCTCTATTTGAATAAAAAAAGAGAAATGCTTCACAAAGATGCCTGATGTGATGGGGGTTGTCCGTCTGGAGGAAATTGTTGAAGGTGTAGGTGTGAATATCTGATGTGTTGATGGTCAGCACTTAGAGACCTTTAAGATTGAAATGCAGGAGTGAGAGGCTATTTTACATTTTAACGCTTAGAGGATTTATCATTCAAATCAGGCTGTTTGTTTGTGCTGTAAGGAGCGAGATATCTGACAAATGAGTAAAACTAAGCTGTGGCAGAAAACATAAGGATGTCTTTTTTTTTAACCCTTTAATGCCCTTTGTATCATATTTGATACATACTTTTATATACTTCCATCAAATCAATATGATGAACAAGTTACTAAAAGAAAACACCTGAATACAGTCTGATAAATGATAAAAATGTCCTCTTGTAGTTTATCAGTTTCCAAAAACATCTTATGTGTCAAACCAGATAAATTAATTTATTTGTTAAATTTTAAGGACAATTTTTTTCAGTAGTAATTGAAATAAACCAAAAAATTTTGAATTTTCTGGCCATAATTCGTCATGTCACTTGGCTTCAATAATAGTAAGATTAATAATTCTAATAATAAAAAAATTCCTATAGTGGAGTTATCCCTCAGGTTCTAGTGTTAGACACCCTGATCACCTTTGCTCTCAGTGAAATGACAGTGGCTTATGAGGACAAGGATGCATGATAAGCATGATCCACTTTTTGTCAAATTTTTACCATCAGAAACTTCTCCAAGTTTTACTGTTCGCAAAAAAACACTTTTGCCTTTTCCTTCGAAATGCCACTTTCAATAAGACTGAATAGAGTAATCCATTTGTTGCTATTTACTCTGGTTCCTGTGGGCAGTCCTATATTTAGGAGATGGGCATCAATTCACGGGGTCTATGAGGGTAAGAAGCACATGGGTGAAGGGGTTAGACATTTATTTCCAAAATTAAAACATTTTTCACTCTTGAAAGTGAATTTAGTCTGTCATAAGTTTTATTAGAATTGTGTTCAGACTAAAAAAGATCATTTTAAATTTGTTTAAAAAAGATAAACTAGTTAGAGACAAAACTATGATTGCCTTGATGTAGTGATCCAAAATACAAAAAATGTCTCAACTCACCCCACTCTCCCCTACTACTACAAGACTTGGTCTTAGTAAATAATGACAAACTGCTTTTTATATATGGCTGATTAAACACTTATTAAAACATACTTATGGATTATGTATTCTTTAATGCCTGCTCTGCTAAAATCCCTTCAGAAGCACACAGACATAGAGTGCCTCTGCTTGTCTATGGCACATTTATTTTGGGAACTCTTGTTTATCCTTTACTTTCACTAATGTCAGCAACATTAAGCTTCACTTTGCCTCTTTTTATGTTGTTATCTGATATAAGTTTGCTTACACATGTCGCCATTATTTCACCTTAAAAAGGAGAAAATGTAAAGAGACTGTGTCATGTTTTTTTAATCAATTTTCACTGTTTTTTTTTCATAACCTGTCGAATATATTAAAAATATGAACGCAGACTTGAATCCCTCATGACTGTCATCAAACTTTTACCCCCTTAATCTTGTGACACGCTGGTTGCTTAATCGCAGCACAAATAATGCAAACCTGCGAGAACTTCGGACGTCGTGTTGGTGTGGTGTTGGGTGGAGGTAAACCGGAATCCCCGCGGACTCATATCAGCACAGGCGCGTGAACGTCTGTGCGCGAGAGCAATTACTCCCTCCCTCCCTCCCTCCGTGACACGCGCAGCAGCAGCTTGTCCTCCCAGGAGTGTATAAAAGCCCTCAGTTACCGTGTGGAGGGCACGGAGGAAGCTCAACCCTCAGGTGAGTGACTGGGAAGCAGACCACGGGGAGTCTCACTGCCACTGGTCTGGATTTTACTTACAAGCTTACATGTGTTTGCATTTGTGGTAACTTAAGTTGGATGTAAAGTGAATTTATTGTCTCACAATTGTTGCATTTTAACAAACTTTACTATCTTTGAATTGTACTAATCCTAACATCTTCATATTCTCACCCAGGTGCATCTGTCTGTCCTACAATCATGAAGGCTGTAGCTATCATCCTTGCTCTGGCAGTCATCACTGGTAGGTGGACTTTTTTTCCAAAGTTTTAACAACCTTTCAAAGGCCACATCTGATTACTTGTTGCTTACTTGAACTCTTCCATTGTTACCCAGGCTGCAATGCCCGTGCAGTGCGCCAGGCTGAGATCGTCTCAACCAAATGGGAAGAAAATGTGGACCGTTTCTGGCAGTACATCTCTGAGCTGAACCAGAGAGCTGATGGAGTCATGCAGGACCTCAAAGCCTCCCAACTCAACAGGGAGCTTGAGTAAGTAATTTATAAACTACAAACCTCCAATTCTGTAAAACTGTAACAACTGGATGACAATACTGACTGGTCTCCATTTCCTGTTTTACTTGTAGAACCCTGATTTCTGACACCATGGCAGAGCTGTCAACATACAGAGATGATATCCAGACCAAGCTGAGACCCTACACCGAGGCCTCCACCGGCCAGCTCACTGAGGACCTGCAGCTCCTGGCCAACAAACTCCAGACGGACATGCTGGATGCCAAGGAGCGCAGCACTGAGTACCTCGGGGAACTCAAGACCATGGTGGAGCAGAACACCGAGGATGTCCACTCTCGCATCAACGCTTACACCCACAAGCTGAAGAAGCGTCTGAACAAGGACACAGAGGAGATCCGCAGGTAAGTCCAATGGAGGCCTGAGCACACTCCTTAAAGTAGAAGATCCTGTTGGTGCAACATCTAAATGTCTTCTTCTTCTCTGTTCCTCAGCACTGTGACCACCTACCTGGGTGAGCTCCAGTCCCGCACCTCCCAGAACCTCGACACCGTGAGGGAACGCGTTGAGCCCTTCGTCAACCAGGCCAGTGACACCGCCACAAAGAAGCTGAGCGACATCTCTTCCATTCTCAAGACCCAGGCTGAGGGTCTGGGCCAGCAGCTGGAGACCCAGGCTGAGGGCATCAAGACCCAGCTGGAGGCCACCGCCCAGGAACTGCGCACATCCCTGGAGGGCAAGATTGATGAGCTGACCGAGCTGATCTCCCCCTACGCCAGCAAGATCCGTGAGCAAATCGAGAGTATTGTGGACAAAGTCAAGGAGACCGCCACTTACTAAAGAAAGACTCTCAGGGTTTTAGACAAATTTGGGGTCCACTCTTAAGAGCAGTGATGACCACTGATTTTTTTAAACCTGTAAAATAGGGGAAAGTGGGGAACTTCAGATAAAATCCTCAGTTGGGTGCTTCATTGTTCTGGGTAAGAGGGCTGATAAGAGAAGAGAGAACGAAATGTTGTTTCTTCTCTTATTGACTCTTCAGTCACTGAACAAAAGCATCCTTGTCAAGAACAGTCTCTGAAACCAACACAGAAGACGTTTTTTTGTAACATGCTTTGCTTCAACTATGAATTAACCACCCAGCTGCATATCTCCTCAAAGTTTTTCTACACTCTCTTACATAGTTTGGTTGTACATAGAACAGCCAAATCCAATTCCTGAAGGCAGGGGATCCAGCCTCTAAACTCTTAATGTACTGAACATGAGTGTCTGTCATTTCAATAAATGCACTGAGTTACCCTTGAGGAAGTGTCGAACCACTATCTTGCCCTTCTTTCTTATTTGTTGTGCTTCACTGAGAAGTGGAATGTAAATGCAATAATGACGATCATAAAATGCTGCCTGTGTTATCTTCAGTCTGACTGTATCGAGTGTCCCCTTTGTGTTACACCACTTGTGCCCACCATGCTGCTCACTGCATGTGCACTGATGTGTGCCGAACAGTGCCGAGAGAATAAAGATCTGAGAAAATAAGACCTGATTGTGTTGTGAGTCTCTCATCAAACATTTAACAGTCATCCATTTTTAAAGAGGGGTCAGTTACACTAACATGTGCAGGCATTGCAAACATAGAATAAAAGACCCTCTATCTACCTTCTATGCCTAAATATGCTTATAAAATGATGGGAAACAAACTTATGAGTGATTTCACCCTCATACATTGTCAATAAATGCATCTCTTCTCTACTATCTGCCTCCCTGTACAACGGTTGTTGCACAGAAATTGACCACTTTAAATTACCTAGAGTTACCATACTCCCTAATGCCTTATTTTATCCGAAACTCAATCTTAGTTTAGACAAAACAATACCTTACTCATCTTAATCCCCTCCCTCCATCTCTTTACATCTCCTCATCCAGTGAAAACCCTCTGCCGACCGTTGACTCCAGTCAGAACTTGTTAAGATCCTTTCCTAGATTCCTCCCTTTCTCTCCCAGCAGGCATTTGGGAACACATTGTACCTCTGGTTCAATTCCCTAAATGTTGACAACTTTCCTCACTACCTCTATCTTGGCTCAGGTTGTATTGTGGGGCTTGCGTCGATGCGCATTTGCACAAGCATTTGTCCGGGCATGCCAATCTGAGTCACTCATCCATACACAGACACTGTTTGGATACAGCGTGCCCACATGTGGAGTTATGTTTTTCAAGCATGTGCAAGGGGGTTGCCTGATGGTTTGGATAAACAAGTTAAGATGTCTCCTATACTTAATGTAAACAAAGTCTAAGGAAAATGTGTGATGTATATATGGGTACATATATTTTTTTCATTAAGGTAATTTTCTTGTCTCTTCTGATATTCTTATATTGTCCTTACTCACTAGAAAAATGCTGCTGTAACACCATAATTTCCCAGTATGGCATCATAAAGTAATTCTGATTCTGATTCTACATTGTAAGTGATTAAAAAGCCCCTACCTTCAGAGAAAAGTCCAGTATGGATACATTTATCATTTTTTTCTGATATTTGCTCACCTCAATCCTGGCTTAGGAAACTGTAGTGGTTTAAGTTTCACTTAAGATGCAAACCATTCTTGTATCAAGTTGCTTACTGTAGCACATCTGGTTTGGCTAAAGGAAAAATGATGGAGTGATGTCCTCATTTACTATCAAATAAAAAAAAGTTGATAGTCACTAGACTCAGCATGTTTTATTCTTTGAAGTGTGGAGCAGAGGCCAGTAGAGGACACCAATTGTCTCCTCTTCAGCTCATCTGGTCTCCCCTGACCCCTCATCAGAATTCATGCTGGACAAAGATGCAGCTGTGTTTTCTGTTTTGAAAGCTAAAGACGACCACACTAGTTTTGCAAAAAAAATACAAACCCTGACATTTGGGTCTGAAATAATTTTCCTCTAAGATTCATATCTACAAATAAGCTTGTGGCTTTTCAAGGATCCCTGAGAGGTTCAGATTTGACAGGTTAGGATACAGTATACACTCATGAGTATCCCATTTATTGGCAGACAGAAGTCATGTTGCAGGATTTGTTTAAGCACCATTCCTTAACGTTTCTTGGTTTATTTGAAGTTTTAAGACTTAAATTATGTAACATCTGTGGGTGGTGTTACGTTGGAGGCCTTTCCTGTTCTCTGTCACCATATTTCATTTCAATTCTCCGCTGTACGCAATCAGTAATAAATGGAAATTCCAAGATTGCCTTAAAACAATATTTGTTTAAACCTGTGTGCAAATACGTGGTGCTCTAAGTGTACCACAGGTATTCATTTGAAAGTCTACTATTTGTTGATTTAAGCAGTGTTTTGTTCCCTTTTAAAATCCTTAACAAACATGTTTACCTTTTCTATCTGTGCGAAAGGGCACTGCCTGTATACTGAAAGAATGACTAACACAATAACAAGCTGTTTTTCCCCCCAATGATATCACTTCTTTCAGGAACCGGTGTTTATTCAGAAACTCCCCCTTTAAAGACAAGTGAAACTCCTAAATTAAACCGTCTGTTGCTATAAGGATCAGTCATGGGTGGTGAAAACAGGAAAAGCACAAGAATCCTGCCTGTTCAGCACTTCTGCTCCGTCTGTTCTTATAGGCCGTCTGCACGCTAGGCTAAAAAAACAGAAAAACTGTCCCAGAATATTTGCAGGTGCTGGCTAGCCCATGACACCAAGTAACCCCTTTATAAAGACTCCTGCAGAGATTTTACCTCTTATGACAACCCCCCTCTTTCCTCTCCATACTCTTCTTCCCTGTCAGAGCTGGCACATAACTGCAGCCACCACAGGGGCCCTCAGCCAAACACAAAAACAGCCTTTCTGTGAGCTTGTTATTGCAAATTGGGAGCACACAAGGCGCGCTCTTTTACGCCCTCTGCCTCCTACAATTATTCAAAAGGAGCTTATGTGCACGCAAGCACAAGCTCATACATAACCCCACTTGCCGCTTGATAACAAAAGGGATGGAGATTCAGTCTTTCAAATGTAATGTGTGAGTGTTGAGGCATGTGAAAGCTCATTTAACACAGATGTGGGCTATTCATCATGGTGATAACGCCTTATAGGCCGAGTCTTCATCTACAAATGGGCATTCAGCCGTTAGCAGCAGACTGCCCGGTGTGAAAAAAGATCTGTTAAGGAGTGATGAAGCCTTTTAACGGTCAGACTTCCTGACCAAGGCTTAGGTCACAGTACTAATGAGGGGTTACTACAGTTCATGCCACTGTACTGTTACTTTTTTTTGTTATGTCTGCCTCACTTCCCGGTTAAGAAAGGGAAGGTCTGAACAGAAAGGGGAAATCAAAGGAGGTGATTGAATCCTTTAGAAAGAAGTGGATGGAAAAATAACACCGAATTAGAAAAAGAGACAGCAGACAAAGCAGTCTGCTTAAAAGTGCAAGCTGTCAGTGACTCGTTCCCCACAAACAAAACATGGGGCTGCATTTAGTGGAGCAGGTCAGGGGGTATCAAAAGGTTACGAAAACCAGCAGAATACAACAGTAGAAAGTAGTGCTGTTCAAGTCACTAAACCTCTTTAATTAGACATTAAACGTTAACAGCTCCAAATGAGTTACAAATACAAACAAGATAACCAGCAACAATATATTATATTATATTACACTACATTACATTATATTATGTTACATTACATTGTTATATTATATTGTGTTACATGACATTGTTATATTATATTATGTTACGTTACATTGTTACGTTACATTATATTATATTATATTATATTATATTATATTATATTATATTATATTATATTATATTATATTACATTACATTACATTACATTACATTACATTATCACAGTCATACTTTCAGCACCTTATCATAATTTTTCAATTTTCTTATTATAGTTTTTTTTGACCTTGTGGCGTCTGTTTTTCTCATCATACCATGTTTGTTTTATCCCATTGTTTTCACACAAGTTAGTTTAGCCTTATTTATACAACTGCATAAAATCTATACTGTAGAATACTTTGTAGAGGCTTAAGTACATGCAGTAGGTGAACATGCATCTCCTCAAAAATCTAACTGCATATCCAAACAATTCACACTGCAAGTCCTGTGACTGGTACTCATGGAAGTATTGTATTTCCTGCACTGGAAAGGTACTGCTGGTGTCTCTGACTCAGAGGAAAATCCCTTTGTCTAAATCAACACCCCTACTCACTCTTTTCTCTTTTTGCAGAAACTGTGGCATGATCATCTGCGTATCAATATTTCCCAGCTCCAACTCCAGCATAATATTGTAGTGGGATTTGGCCCCCATGATGTCCCGCGCATAAATGAAGCAAACAAGTAGAATTTGGCAGTATAATGAGCACAGATAGAATTTGTTTGACTCTTCATTTGAAATACTATTACAATATTTTAGAAGAGCAGATATTTTCTGAAGACGAGATGATAGTCAAAACTGCTTTTGTTCTTTTGTTTTAGAAGCTGTGAAAGATTTGATGATTCATAATAACACAGCACTGGTACAATAATAGGCCCTCTGCAAAGTTTGTAGTGTCATATAGACTTTAGCAGATCAGTTTCTATCAAAAACAAAAACTGGTAACACTTTACAATAACCATAACTTATAAATGGTAAATATACCATTTATAAATGGTAAATATACCATTTATAAATGGTGAGCAGATAGTTTATTAATGTTTAAAGATCATTTATAAATAGCATATAGACCATTAAAACATTTTACAATTTTAAAAACCTAACCCTAACTTTATAATAACTATCCAAGTAATGTTTACAGATGCTTTAAATACCAAATATTTACCATTTACAAAGTGCTACTGACACACATTTTAATCTAGATGTTTTACAACCAATATTTAAACCCTATATAAACTTTTAATAAATAGTCCATTAATAATTAATGAAAATTATTAATCATAATTTCATTTTGCTTGTTAATGGTAAAGTAACTATTAACTTACATTGATAAGCTATCTATTTGCCATTTATAATTGGTCTTTATGCTGTTTTTAAATGATGATTAAACAATAATAAGCTATCTATTGACCACTGATAAATTAAGGTTATTTTAAGGTGTTACCCAAAAATTAAAACAGCATTTTCCTGGATGTTTACTTGGCATTAACTATGAGCTACATGCACATTCATTCAGATTTAATTCTGACAGTTCAACGTTGAGGACAGTTACTCTCCACAACATCAAATTTCAGAGCACCCATCTCTGATAAAAGCTTTCTGGTGCAGGCTGTAGGCCAACTCTGCAGGTCCAAAGGAGCCTCCAGATAGCCTGGGTCTATCTGTAATAACACTATCAGGGCTGAACTATGCTCCTTTTACATAATGTCCCTTTTTATCTAATTATTTCGCTGATGCAGAAGTGGGGAATATAATCCTTAAAACTTTATTTTGAAATGAGAAATGGGGAAAGGGTTTTCAGAGTTAACAAGTCAACATTTCCTCCGGTGATCCCCCTCTCCTTCTAAGACGCACACTCTGCTTGAGGAGGACTCACTGCGTAACAACAATCATCGGTCATTTTACGGGCTCAAAATCAGAATTAGTTAATGCAACTACATCGGTACTGGTCAATAAAAGGGGCAGTAACGCTTCAAAGTCTCCACGTGTACATGTGGACTGAAGTCTAGTGATGTGCGTCACGACAGCCTTATAAAAAGGACCACACTTCGGGGCCAAAGCGCACTCGATTTTTTGCTTCTCTCAGGCACAAAACAGGTATGTTTTCACCCACTGTTGGAACTACTGAACAGAAGTATATATTTTTCAGCTCTATTAACAGTCAAAGCTTTGCTAAGGAATCATTTAACTTGATGTGACCTTTTCTTAGATATTGATAACGGGATGGCATCCATAGCCTCAGTGAAGCTTATGGCTCTTAGTCGTTGTATTGTATAGGCCTGAAGGGAAAGGGAGCTGACCACTGTTTGTGGTGCTGAAAAACATCGGGAGACCTTTATTTTAAAGCGTCAACCATAATTGCTCACGAGTCTGCGTAGTTTGCACTTTAACTTCAATGACTAGAAGTGACCACCGTTTCTCTCTCCCTGCTTCTCAGAGACTCACAGCCAAGATGAGACTGTACCTTGCAGTTGCCGTGCTGATGCTGGCTTTTGTCGCATACACAGGTTCGTCTTCACTATATATTTTTTCTTTTCTCTTTTTGTTTTCTTTTGTAGTCTTTTAACATTCTGTCTGTATTTGCAGAGGCTCAAGACGACACCATCGAGGAGAAGTTCTCCAAGTTTGGCGACCAGGTGGCTGATTTGGGCAGGAACATTGCTGAGAAGGCCAAAACCACCTGGAGTGAAATCCAAAACAGCGAGTTTGCAACCAACTCAAGGTAAGCCTCAACTTAACTTAAGTTTCTTCAGTTACCTCTATCAACCACGAATATATGTAACACCCCTTTTTTGTGCTCTTCTTATCAGGAATTGGTTCGAAGGTGTGTTTCAGAAGGCCAAGGAAACATTTGACGGAACCAGTCAGTAGACTCTCTCCTGCACCCTCCACCCAAACCGCCTATACGCCCACACCTGACATCTGACCCCCAGTGGATGTGTTGACTGCTACCTCACTCTGCTGACCTGACATGGTTACATCCTCTCTCTGTAGAGATCCCCGTTGTCCTATAATTTGACTGTGATCATTTTCAACAAAAGTTAAGAGTGCTGTAAAGAAAATAAAAGAATAAACGTTTTTTATACATATGTATATATAAACGCTGTCCTTGCATCGTTTTATTACAAAAGTATATAGTCTGAAAATACTGAGCAACAGAGGATTCAACTAAACATTGATACATTTATGACATTTCAATCATAAAAACTGAGAATTGAGCAAGGGTTGATTATTTAGTCTGAATTCAGTGTATTAAACTCACCCTATTTTTCACCCTTTAAATACATGAAAAAAAGAGGTTTATCTCCCATTATAGGTGCATGGGAGTCACAATTAACATACAGTTAACATTAAAAGTTTTCCAAGTCAGTATAACTTTATCATACATTATCTATTTTAAAATTTTAGAGGGTTTTATTTGAGATAAAGTGTTGATATAAGAAAGTAAAACACATCTTACATTATTGGACTATGAACAAAATCTTCAGGATTTCAAGTAACCATTCAAATATTACTTTAATGGGAGAACACTGTTATACTGGTTCACTGCCTCCCCTTAAAGCACTGTTTATTTATGATGGTAATATTTGTCTTGTTTTATGAGCAACTTCTGTTGTGAATGCAGATTTGCTTTGTGATGATGTATTTTTTTAATCAAGAAAAACACAGTAAACTCCACCATTTCCTTAATGTCAAAATTTTTAAAACTTTCCTAGAAATTCTAGAGGAAAAAAAAACAATTTCACTTAAGCAATGTGTGATGTCTTTATTCATGTTGCTCAAAGTGTTTAAAAATGAGTACGGTTTGTTTCATGGGGAATCGGAAGCAGCATCTAACATACCATCTTGTTGTGTGAATAGCTGGTACAAAAGGGCAAGAGCCAACATGACTGTTCCTCTGGCATTTCACAAGAGTTTGGCTAAAGTCGCTGTTTATGCTGAGTTAATAATCCACAGCATGTCCCAGTTCAGCGAAATCTGTTCCTGTGAAGAGAGCAGAGGGGGAGAGGTCAGCAGCTGGAGCACAGAGGTCAAACACTGCACATACACGAATACAACTTAACTCCAGACTAAAATCAAGTCTTAATCAGTTTTAATTTTTAAAACATGACAGGTATGCTACTAGATGATGTCCCAGCCTTTGAGCACATTATTTGTTCACGAATACACCATTTATGTTGCACTGAACTTTTTGATTTGGAGGAAATATCTACATATTTTTGTCCCTGAGCTAAAATAAAACAACAAAGCTCAAACTTAGAGGAGTGGAATTATATTTAGAGATTTATAAGATCGCTGCAAAAGTTGCACGTACACTGTAGCCTTTAAAAACTGTTGCTTTTTAAGCGTGCTATGTCCTTAAACTTAAATAAGAGTGGAAATGCCTTTACTTGGACCTGCCATGACACATATACAGAGTTTAGTCTTTCTTATGCACAATGGGAGGCCGGGTCGTTTAAGGGAGGCACGTTTACAAAAAGACACACACAGACACGTCTTACACTCTGCGGCAATGTACAGATGTTTAAAGCTGAAAACACAATTAAAAAAAACATAAATAAGACTCTTGATCCTCTCTGTTTGGACAGCTGTGAGATCATGTAAGTGCAACATATGAACTCAAATCCCTGCATTAGTTCAGAACATGAAGCGATCACCAAACCTGAGCACAGGGAGGATTAGATTGATTTTTCTGCTGGACTCTGCTCACAGCAATGCTTTGCAGGGCTGAAAGTGTTTATCTATTTTAGCCGCCTCCAGTCCTCACTAACACCCATATCTCTGCTACCTGGACACAGACTTTGACTGGCCTGAGCACATATCAGCAGCCGCCAACTAGACTCAAGTGTCTGATCCAAAGGGCGCATGGACAGTAAATACACTCAGCTAATGTTGATTTTGAAAAGATATCAAAAGTTCAGGATTGAAAAAGCAATCTTTTGGATTAAATGCTGAAAGGAACATCATGTTAGAGCCCAAAATTAATGTAAAATGACGTATGATGGATGAAACGCTCAGTAAAAACCGAGGTCAAGTACAACTTAAAAACATGAGAAAACTATGGCAGACATAAGAAAACTCTGCTTACAGGTTTCACCTTTGAAAAATATACTAAAATTAAGATTAATGAAAATATTCTTCTAAATAATTAGTCCATTTATCTGTTTTTTTTTTTTTACTCCTGATGCATGTCTTTTTTCCTTCATAGTGAAAACATTAAAGCTGTGGCAGAGACAAAAAGACACAAAGTAGATCTGTACTTTGTAGATCTAGTGTGATTATTTTACTCAAAGACATGGTGTTTCGCTGTTGTTAAGATTTCCATCAATAATAAGACAGACTGAAGCTGAGAAAAAAAAAGTCAGTCGATCAGGACCAATGTACACCCAACAGTGGTCACCTAATGCAAATAAGATGGTCCTGATAACATTTGATTCATTCAGGTTCTGTTGACCGGAGGATAAGGTGAAAAGGGACTTTTATCATTTCTTAGCTTGTGTTTGTTGTTTTGTGATAGAAACAAGGTTGTAATTTTCAATTGAAATCAGCCGTTTAACTATGTTGTTGTAATTATTGTATTGTTTAAATAGGAACGACTTGATAGATCTTGTTGATCTGTAAATGAAAAACATTTTTGGATTGGATGTTTAACTGCTAATGGATTGACAGCAGCCATGTTCCTAATCAATGACTGACATTTTGGATGAATTTCTGATAGTTGTATTTCTCTCCTGTGTCCTGGCAGATGCAAATGAAAGAGCTTGTTTTCACTCTCATCTTGCTTATGCAAGGTAAGAATCAAAGAAACTCTCTGTTTTGTGGTCTTCGAATGAAATCTTGTCTTTGCTCTTATTGACGGGCAAAAATTCTCCCCTGCAGCATGGGACCCTCTTTGGGCCCAGACTACAGCAGCACCCGCACAACCAGACCCTCCAGGATTACTGCAAAGGCTGACAGAGGGAGCCAGGTACTTCCACACGCCATCTTTTTGCAGCTAATTAGATCGAGCAAGCTGGACTCTTCTGTAAAACATTTCTAGTTTTCAGAAAAGTAAAAGTATTCCCCGTGTTTGCAGTTTGTATTTACTTTGTTGCTCATTTGTGTACTTTTGTATGACACAGGGAAGTCAGAGCTAAAGTCCAGAATTTTGGGGAATTGGTGCGAGGCTTTGCTGATGCTTACTATGAAGACCACATTGAACCAGGGTACGGCAAATACTTTGAATGGGCCTCTGGTGTGAGAGACTCTGCGTGGGAGAGGATCCGAACAACTGCTGATAAATTCAGTCTGTTTAAAGGAAAAACACCGACTGATCAACCCGATGTAAACTAAAGACAAAAATAAAACATGACTCTTGCCACTCTTCAATTGTCTGAATGTGTCTTTTAGTTTCATCTGGTTTGACGTGATATGTGAGCTAAAGAAAGACTCAAGTTTGAAGTTAGATCTGGGCCTGACGTGCTCCACATAAAAGGCGTAAAAAGGCTAAATTAGGATGCAGTTATAAAGCCGCAGTGATGGTGGGTTTAGAAGGCACGTGATATGATAATATAGAGGATTTTCATGCACAGATTTTGATATCTGCAATAAATATAGATTCAATGTTTATATAAGGACTCATTTTTACTATCTGTGACATTCCTCTTAAAAACGTTCAGTTCCTCTCGACAGAAATAAATCAGAACTTTTATAAGTAGCTCAACCAAAGTTGTAGCCGCTACTGTGGTTTTAAAGTTTACTGTTTAAGAAAAAGAAAGAAAGAACAGCACAAAAGGAGGGCAAAGGTAACTCTTTGAGTTATGACATAAAAGATGAGCAATCATTCTGCACACAGTCTGTTGCTGGTGTCCTAGGTGAAAGGTGAAGGCAAAAAATCCCAGCATGCACCGCTTTGGGTACAGCACAATGTGTCTAGACTGATCCTAGTTGATTGACCCGCTAACCATTAAACTCTCATCTGAGTGAATCAGGCGGGCAGCCAAAGACACGTTGATTAGTATAAAGTGATCAATCATGTTATTTTTCAGTGCTGCTGCTAACAGCACAAGCTGCTTTCCTTGAAAGTTTCCTGCAATATGAGCTGTGATGGTTATGACATGTGCAGTATCAGGAGGGCTCTGAGTGCACCACCGAATGAAAACTGATAAAGTTACATTAGTGCAGCATTGCCTAACCCCCCTCTCATATTTCCACATATAGTATTTAAAGTGAATGGCACGTACACTGGACTTTGTTTAGGGTGAACATGTGTGTGTGGGTGTGTGTGTGTGCACAAACATGCACGGAAGTGAGTGTAGGTGTGTGTATGCTCATCAGATGACGTTTGTTTGCAGTCCCCCACTATATCATCCAGTCCAGATGTGAGCTCCGAGGTTACAGACAACTCGCCGTCAGAGAAGACTGTCACTTCTTGGATCTGTATCCGACTCAGCAGCAGGTAATCATTTCTCCCCATTAAGAAAATTCTTTTTGCTAAAAACTTCACGAGAATTTTACACAACAATTTGCATTCTGCTGTGAGATTTCTCAAGTTTGATCAACTTGTTTATCACCTCTCAGTGCTAAAATGTTTCTTTTGGTGTTTTTTTCTGTTTTCTTTAGAAATGAATGCAAAATACGCAGTGGCCCTGATCCTTGCTCTGCAAGGTAAGCTTCATATTATTGCAATCTGAGCCTTTAACTGAATCTTATGTATGTTTTAATCTTATTTGTAGGAGGATATCAAAATGAAATATAGTGGTTTTAAATGTTAATGCTTTTAATTGCTCATCTTTTCTTGTTGCACAAAAGCGTAAGAATGACTTTGATTACACTAAAAGTAATGAGACTAACTTTGTGGTGTGGCTTTCTCCAACAATGTACAATAATACTGAGCTGCTGCTACACAGCAAAAAACAGAAAAATCTGATTTTGGATGCAAATTACCAGGAGAAAGCAAAAAAAAAAAAAAAAAGAAAACTGAAGCACAAGAGCTTCCTCTAAAGCACAGAAATGAAGAGTAGCTTTCTATATCCCTGAATACAGGATGAAACAAGGATATTTCTAAAATCATCAGCATTTCTGACTAAATAATTGCACAATTCTCTCTTCACTCCAGTCTCCATGAGCTTGTGTGAAGTGCCCCAGCCATCACAAGAACTTGTTGATAAGTACAATGAGCTAAAAGCTACATTCATGAAGAGAATAATGAATGTTGCCAACAAGATCCAGACTGCTGCTGGTCCTATGGTGGCACAAGCTGGACAATTGGAACAAGCCGGACCCGTTAGAGAATATGTTGAGGACCTGCAGAACAGGCCTGGGTTCCAAGCCTTTGTTGCATTTGCCACGTGAGTGAGAATCCCATACAATTTAGCAGTTCTCTACAGAATTTTAATACATATGTTCAACTTGACTGCATGTTTGCAGCTCTTATACGTATTAATGTCTGCACTAAATTTGTACGAAAAAGAAAAGGGCATTTCTCGATGTGCATCCTTAATAATTTGTTTTCTTTGAAACTTGCAGAGGCATGGCTGACGAGGCAAGGCCCCTGGTTGACAAAGCCCGCACAGCACTTCTGGGTATGTACGAGGAACACCTTCGGCCCAAGTACGGCGAGGGGCTGAATGAGGCCATCAACCAGATCAAGGTCTTCCTGGACAAATACATGCCCACTGAGTAAAGAAGAAAAACAACCACCTATCAGCAGCCTGTTTTAGATAATAGTTCATAGAAAGTGCACAAAATTTGTCGGAGAGGAGCAATGCACAATGCAAATACAATCTTTTGCCTCTTTTCATGTCAACATCCTTCATGAATCATGCAAAGTTAAAGCTGTACAAACATGTCAACACCATCTATGCAAATTGTGCATGTATAGTATTTTGTGTTTGATACACTAACCGCGGTGAGATTGTGTATGTTAATGTGTGAGTTTGTTCATTAAAACAAACTGAGTACTACCAATGACGTGTTTCTTTATCAAGACGTTGATTTCATGACAAATGCTGTTACATTATTTCACCTCATGAGCTAAGACACGATCCAGACTCCACTCATCATCAATTAATAAAGATGCAAAGTGAAAAATACAACTCAAAAATATAAACACTGCAACTCTATTTGCTGCTATACAAACAAAGCTTTGATCTAATCACATGTAGAGCCTGTTAGGTTTCTGAGATTAGCCGTAAATTCAATCTAACTGGACAGTGAATGGGAACAGACACACATTATTGATGAGACATTAGGTTCACGCAGGCATCTTTCCTCCACACAGACATAATACATGTCAAGCTCAGTTCAGGCACAGTAAGTCAAATGTTGTAGCCAGAACAGTGAAAGTTGATGTCAGTCTATCATTGTTCAGTATTGGACAAGTGATCATGCGTACGCACTAGAGAGTAGTATTAAAGTAAGCAGCCAACATAGTTAAACTAACACCTTATGGATAGAAGCTACAACTATCAAAGCAGCTGACTTCCACCCTCAGTTATTTACTCAACACACTCTTTCTCTTCCTTGTTTTCTGACTCTGTCCACTCTCCTGTCCTCCCAGACACGAAGGCACTAAAAGCCAAAAAATATACTCTTATAAAAAAGGTATCACTGTGAGTTAAGAACTGTATGCGACACCTCTACTCTGGGGTTTTTGCAACCCCTCCTATGATGTAAAAAGATTATATCACCAACAACCATCTTTTAAAACTGTATATAGATACTTTTGATCATTTTTGCAAGTTTGGGTTAAAAAAGTGAAAGATGCTTTTACTTGGAGTCCAACATTTTATTCATAGAGATGGTTACTCCAGTTGGAGATCAACATATTTTCTCCTCTTACTGACAATTTTTTTTTCATTGAAGCTGTTGAATTAGAAGATTACCTGTCTGCACCTGCTATAATGTTAGTTTTTATTTAGTGGTTTATGTATTATGTGCTGTATTTCCCACTGTCTAACTAGGGACAATGACCATAAATCAGCCACGGCTAGAAATCCTGTATAAACAGCATCGGTTGCTCTTTAATTAGATGCAACAATGCTTGATGTACTGTCCCTGTCACATAAACAAATAAAAAAAAAGAAAAAAAGAAAAAGAAAGATGGTCAACATTGTTATAATTTTCAATAGTCACATCTTACTGAGTTCGGTGTACATGTTGTCAATGAGTGGGAACTTTTTCTGCGTGATAACTACTTTTATTTTAAATGTTTTTGGGTGTTTATTGATAATCAGTATTGTCCCCAGTATATTATGAGTACGTTTACTTAGGCTGAGTCTTTCTGCTGAGATTACAAAACCATTTTTCTACACAGGTGTTATAACTCAAAGATGTGTTTAAATGATCAAGAGTTTTATTTTTAAATCTCTGCCTCTTATTTAGTGCTAATAGAAACTAATCAGGAGGACTCTCTGAAATTATCAAATATCCCTGCAGTGTAGTAATTGTATTCAGTAAGACAACACAGATCAGCACTGAGAAATGAGTATGGTATAAAGCAGGGGTGATTATTAAAATCATTTAATTATCTGCATTTAAAACAAATGCTGTCGGACATTAAGAGTGTCAGAGCTGCCCACACCTGACCGCAGCTCAAAGGTCACAGGCAACATGACATGTGAGGCCTGACCACATGAAGGACTCGGATGTTTACTTTAATCTCCATCAATGTTCCCGAAAGAGTGTCTTCGAGCAAGAAAACAACATGGACTCAAAACGTCCCTGTCTCTTCTCAAAGAACTGAAGAGAGTTTCTTAGAATAATGTCCTAAAATATTTATCTATTCATCAGGATAATTCTTTAAAATAATTCTTTCATTGTCTCGTTTATTTATTTAATTATTAATTTATTTTTGTAATTTTCTCTGGCCATTTCTAAGGCCTTTTTTTTAACAAATTAATTGCTTCAGGAGAACTCTCAGCATTAAAATCTTATTAAAACCTCTTTTTTGGTATTTACAGTTTAATATGAAACCTCATCACAAGAAAATAATGCTTTTACTCTGCTTTTGGGTTAAAATATCCTCCCTTAGACTTTTTTTATTATTATTTTTGATGAAACAGTAATAATTTAATGACAGTAAAAAGTGGGAGAGGTTTGTTTCACTCCAAAATAAAAACAAAAAAATGAAAGCTCCCTTTATCAGAGGTACAACATATTTATCGGTATTATTTCATAATCTTGTTTGGTCTGTTGACGTGTTCAATGCCATAGACCTCTGACTGTCTCAACAGGACTTAGGACTGCTGTGGTGTGACATGTATGAATCACCACCATTACGCAAGCATCCAGAGCGTCCTTATGAATGTTTATGAGTCTGCTGCATTAATGAGCTACTAACCTAATCAATGGCGGTGATTACTTCTGACGTAACTACAGGTCACACTTTTACAGTTGAAGGGAAATGTGTCATCAGGCAGCTCTGTGCTCAGACAATCAAATCAGACTTGATTTCTTTGTGGCTCCTGATGACGTTTCACCTCCCCCGTGATGCTCTATATGCTTTTTGTGTTTACATTGAAAGCCACAGTGTCTTTTTTATCAAGACTCAAACACACACTCATACTCCGCACAGACATACTCCGGTCAAAAGCGCAGGTTTATCTCCGACAGAGTGCACTTTGGCTCCATGAGGGACAAGTCAACACATCTTCTCTCCTATAAAACAGGCTGGGCCAGCGCAGTTTTCTGTCTCGGTTTCCTTCAATTCTGAAGAGGGGTACAGTAAGTATGGACACTTTTTCTGTGTATACTGACTCAGATCAGATGTAAAATCTTTGAGGATCGGTAATGTTTTCATCGATGTTGTGAGTCTAAAAGTCTAGTCTAGTCTAAAAGTCTAAAAAGAAAATATGATATCTTAAGGTATAAGCTGTCAGCACATGTGAATTTTCATGCTAAAAAGGGTTAAACAACTTTTTTTTGGACAATCAGTGAAGAATTTAGGTGGAGAAATGTTTGACAATGTCTCCCCCTGGTGGACAAAATGAGGTGTACTTTATTGTCTTTTCACAGGTACGTGTTACACCATGAATAAGCTGCTGGTTATCACTGTGCTGGTTGCACTTCTCTCTCTCAGTGAGTAAAATCATAAACAGTCTGGCATTTAGAATAGGTAAACAAAAAACAAAGATTAAAAACATGGTTTCCTCTGACCTGTTTGGTGCAGACGCTGAGAGCTTCCGTATGCCGAGGCAGGCTGTGGAGGATGTAGAGCCCGTGGATGTCGTGGAGGCCGTGGATGTCGTGGAGGCCGTGGAGGCCGTGGATGTTGTGGAGGCCGTGGATGTCGCGGCGCCCGTGGATGTCCCGGAGCCCGTGGATGTCCCGGAGCCCGTGAAGGCCGAAGAGGCCGTAGAGGAGGAGAAGGGAACCCTCACTAAGTTTACAGACGGCGTCAAGTCCTACTACAACAGTGCTGTTAATACTGCCACTGGATACCTGGACAGCATCAGGGGCCTAAAGCTGGAGGAGAAAGTGAAGTAAGTAAAAGAGACTTTTCATCTGGATGCAACTAATTACTGACGAATACTGACACTCTTTTCTCACTGTGCTCTGCCCCCCACAGGAACATCTACACCGACACCGCCACAGCTGTGAACACCTACGCTGGCATCGTGAACGACCAGCTTTACCACACCTTTTACTCTCAGCAGTAAACCAAACAGTCATTTCCAATTACCTCAGCTACTTTTTCTAGCAGCACAAGTACTTTAAAGCTTCACACAGCACGGCCAAAGCTGTTATTTGACATTCTGGTCACATCGCTGCTCATCCAAACCTCAAATCTTCAAACAGCAGCAGGTCTTTGTGGCTCTTTCATTGGCGGTAAATGATGAGAACTACCCTACAGGGACTGCCAGCCTTTGAAAAACCATCAAACTGAACAGGATAACAAGCAAAAACACACAGCCCACACAATGTACATGTCAGTATACCCCTCCACGGATGGGATCAGACGCCAACCAGTTATTCAATATTTCATAAAAAGATAATTTAACAGTTTATATTCACCTGCTGATGCTTTTTGCTCCTGACACTCAACCATGGATACATTTCAATATTTATGTCACACTTTCAAATAAAAATTTATACAAAAAATAATGTCCGTGTTTGATATAATGATATTAATTTATCCAGTAAATTATGCTTATTTCTCATTTTTTCTTCTAATGTGCACTTGCTCTCATCTCTGTTAAAAAAAAGTGTTTAAAAAGTGTTGATGAATCTTCAAAGAGCCTTTTATCAGCTAAGGCAGCGGAAGAACAGAGGCTTCTGTTTTAATTAATACTGGATGAAATGAAACAGCGTGTAAAATTTGAGCTCAGAGAGACAGATGAATAAACAAACTAAACATGTCAAGTTTTTTTCTATTGATGCGAGACAGCAGAGATTTTTTTTAATCAAAACATAAATGGATAACTTTCTTACACCCTGCTGTGGCAACGACCAACAAAAAATGAGATTTCTTTTTAGTGAAAAGTGTCTCTGTTCTAGACTTCAACACTTCTTATAACGAATCCTCTCTTCAACAAAGAAGTTTAATTGCACATTAGCATTTTTAAAAATCTAATAATAGGCTCGTATGATTGCAGCCCTGCTCGTGTCAAAATGAATCAGTGTAAGAAGATTCAAACGTTTTCGTTCTTGGTTTCATTGAAAAAAAAAACAACACATTAAATCATATGGCGGGAAGGGAGGGTTACCCAGGAACTCGAACTAACTTTTTTGTTTACCAATGGAGTTTGTTTTTGTAGATTCATGAAACAAGTAAAAAGTAGAGCTTTTTCTGCTGTAATCCCTAAAAAGTATTGGAAGAGAGCTCCTATATTCAGTAGTTCTGCTGCACTAGGAGTTTTTGGGTGGGTGTGGATGTGGGGAGAAATGTTTATGGGAGTGTTTGATTTATTCTTTAAAAATGATTTACTCAGTGCCGCTGAAATAAGAAAATAAAGGCTTGTTTTTGATCTATGGACCAGTTCCCGGCACACTCTTTCATATACATACTGTAAGTGCTGACTCATGCTATACCCTGATATTTCAGCGCAGAAATGTAAAATTGAGCATCTACTTGGTTGTCATGGAGATAACCTGAGCAGATTTCAGGATACTTTTCAGAGGATTTACTGATAATCCAGCGTTAACATATTAACGTTATGATAGGAAGTAATAAATACAGACTGATACATGGAGGAAGCAGTTATACTCATTACATGTTGGTTGACAGACTTTCATAATCCGGCTTTAGACCTTCGATGTTCCTTCTTACTGTATTGCTGTCTATCGATTTATATGATAGGAAGCAGTTCGACTGCTTGCACTTGAATAACAAGTCTTTTTATCTGCCTGTTGGAGTAACTGGAAAATACAAAAGTGAATATCAAGGAGGCTCTTGGTGATTTATTCATGTTTGACACCATTTTACTCCACAGCACACTCAAGCACAACTCGAGTTTAAAGTCTGTTTCGAAATAATGAGGTCCACAAAGCCAAAACAAAACAGTCTGTCCAAAGTTTATCATGAACCGATTGAGAGTCTATTGAAAAGACACTCAGATAAAACACTCACACTAGTTAAATAAAGTGTTTCCTTGTTCTTTGGAGCAGAACAAACATTACGTAAAAGCAAGGTGTGTTACTATTACTGGACGTATTGTTGGAAGGAAATATTGTTCATTTCACTGATAAGGTAATTACAAAGGTTGTGGCTGGACTGGAAATGATGCTAAATAGTAATAAAGGTGTCAGTTCCTCCCACTTTCCTTGATAACTTATAAGTATAAAGAGAAATCTGATTGAAACAGTCATTGGATCACGACGGGGACAACAGATAGACACCATGAATCTCCTCCTTCTGGCAGTAGCTCTGGGGCTCGCAGGTAGATATTCACGATTTTATTTTTTCGAAACCGAAGACATTTAAATCTGAAAAGCTAACTGGTTTCTCTTTTGTCTTGCTGCAGGAGCGTCTCCTCTGCCAGACAGCAAGGTTTGCCAACCTCACTCCAGACCCTGGCAGGTCTACATTCACAGTGAGCGATCATCCTGCAGTGGAGCTCTTATTAACCAATGGTGGATAGTAACCTCCTTTGACTGTGCGCCCATGTAAGTACCAAAGTCTGCTAAATGAAAGCTTAATGGCGGATTTGAACTGGGCTTTGTGTCTTGCAGTAGAATTTTGCTTTTTGTGCCTGAGAGGTATTTTAATCTATGATTTCATTCCTATTTATTTCCCTCAAAGAATTTTTTCAGTAAAAGCACCTCTGCCTTTTATAAAACCTGGGTGAAGTGTTTGAGATACTGTGTTTTTCAAATTCAACAATGCATCACAGTGGTCTACTCTTTTATTAGCACCTTTCATTCAACAGCACTTTGACCCCCAGTCTTCAGCACTAGAAATTTTCCGAAAAAAAGCAGAAAGTAAGAAAACGTATTAATTTGATTCCTTCCCTTGTGTGAAAATTGTTCACGTTTTTCTATTCTGGGGGCTCGCACAGGCTGTCCTGATACATGTATTTGGTCTCATGAATCAGTGACGTATGATTGATTATAATGTCACTTTAGCAAAGCTACTGATTCTATAATTTCTTTCAGTTTCTTTGGCTCACTTCTCAAATGACAATTTTAGTCCTTGAAACAGTTTACAACACTTTTCAGAAGATTAAGCACAACAGGAGCTCAAATTCTGCTGAAGTCCTTCTCAAGTTGCGAACTTTTTAAATATCTAGGAAATTGTTTCAAGCAATAGTCTACAATTAGAGGAACTTGTGGTTGAACAAATCTTGGAGATCAAAATAAACGATTGATTTGTTTCACTTGTTCAAACATTTTAGAAATCTTCGACTTAACAAAATATCGTATATTGGTACATCCAAACTTTATATAATAGTGGAGAGACTGTGATGTTTTATGAATTGATTTTAAGTTTTGAACGAATAAACGACAGAAGCAGCAGGATGTTGAGTGACTCTAGTGCTGTACCCTTCTTTACCACACTATAGCCCAAAAGTTTTCCTCTTTTTTTGCAGTGTGAGTTATCTATTTTCTTTTAAGTATACTGTGAGTTTTACTGACTGATCCAAATTGTACATAAGTGCTTCTTGGCATTGCTAAGCATTTGAAATGTGTACTGCAAAACTTTAGACTCCTGAAATCCAACGGGTGTTATATTTGACACCCATGTAAGATGAAAAAATGTCATTGGAAAAAGCTGGCTTTTTGAAATTGCAACAAAAAGAGCGATTTTGTGTAGCTATAGCATCTCCTCAATTAAAGCTTTAAGTTCCAGTTTATTAGGACATCATCAGAGAAGCACCAAAGAAACATATTTATAAACCTGCTGTACATGTCTGAGTGTGGCCTCCTAAACCCTAACAAACTACAGGCTTCCTCTCCTTGTCCTTTCAGACCCTACAGCAGCTTTGCGTCTCTGGGAGAACACGATGTGACTGTGGAGGAGGGCACGGAGCAGCACATTCAGATCGTCGAAGTCATCAGGCACAGTCCCTACCGCTCACCCTTCCACAGTCTGGCCTTGGTCCGTCTGGCCGAACCCGCCCACCTCGATCAGCATATCAAGCCCATCCCTCTTCCCACTCGATGCCCACAGCCAGGAGAGACCTGCTACGTCAGCGGCTGGGGATTCACAGACCCAAATCAATGTGAGTGGATTTAAAGGTGCTAATGTGGCTTTAACACCTCATTAATCTGTCACCAGGTTACAATTCAGAATAAAGCCAGTCATGAAATCTAGTCTACAAGTATTCCCTGTCCTACAAGACATCATTCCAGCCTTCTTTGTCTAAGTATTATGTCTCATGCACAACTCTTAAGCCTGACAAACATGTTTGAATCTATCTGACAAAGCTTTTTTAATATTTGCAACCAGCTAAAGATCCACTACATGACTATGTAAGCAGGTATCAACATACCATACAAGCAACATACTATTGAGCTTATGTTACAGAAATCAAATCCTTTAACTTTCATAAACTGGCTAGTAGATTCACTACGTACAATAAAGACGCAATTCAAAAGGAAGAAGATCATCTAATTAGAAGATTAGATTCGTCTCTATCAATACCATCATATATTTACGTCCGTTTTAGAGGGCACTGGTTTTAAAAAGTGATGGTAAATTTTTAAATGCTTCATTAAAGAGATGCTGTTAGCAACATAAATAAAGTTCACTTCATTTATAGACCTGACACCCCCCAACCCTCCCATCTTTAACATCATGATGGATGTACATCCCTGAGGCTTTTTATAATTACACTACAGAAGTAATTTGATTGAACTGACCTTCAGAGAGTCCAGGTGGACAGAGGCTGCAGGCTGTCTGAAGGGAAAAAAAGTGAAGTTAGAGGAGGCATGGAGTTCAACAAAACAACTGTTTTCCTGTGATAAAAAAACGGGAAATTAGAACAGTATATTTGTCTTTGTAATTAAAATTCCTGTACATCTCAAATTAACTAGACATTCCCATTAGCACTAACTAACACGGCAGTGAAAGAAAACAGCTTTATCACGTCACTTCATGCTGAAAGTTAGGAGTTCTTTTGTGTGTTACTGACTTCGATAAGCACGTTTCTCTGAGTAAAATTGCTTATCAGGACTAACAGTGAGCGGGGCTAACAAAATGTTTAATTACTGGGGAAAAATGACAATTCTAAACTTAAAGTCCCACTCCGCTCTATTTTTTTATCAACTGAAGTGTTCTAAGTGATCTTTAAATTGTGATTGTAATTTTTAGCCAAAATTGCATTACCTGTGTCAGCTTCAAGGGCTTTTCTTCTGCAGAGCTCCAGTAGCTCATTAACAATTCACCTTGAGTCGTGGGCGGAGACAGCGCTGCTCTGCACACTCCTCTTCACGGTAGCTTGCGGCCTAACGTTGCCAGTGTAGTAGAAGTGGCAGGTAGCATAGGAGCTATACAACTCTCAGACACTAATGTCTTTGGGGAAATGATAGAAGTTAGTATCATAATTAGCAATTTGCATCATTGCCTCTCTACTTCTCCGAGTCTGGCCTGCATAGCAGGGCTCCCTGGGCGGAGCTTGCAGTTGTGACGTAGGAAATATCACTGTGTCTAAGCCTGTCGTTTGGATATGACAGAGGTTTACAGCGATTTGAATGCAGAAATACCCAGAAATGCGATTTTGCACTTACGTTTTTCATTATATGTTCTCTAGTATCAGAAAAATGTCCTATGAACATGTAGACAACAAGAAAAACATGATTTTTATGGGAGTGAGTCTTTCAGCTGTGGAGGAGAGGATAACACCAAACCCTTCCTGCGACTAGTTTTGACTCACACAATCAATATGCAGACCTATTCTTTTGCTTGGTAGTGCCACCATATTTCACAGCTGGTCTCAAAATACATTTACAGTATATAATGGAGACCGAGAACTGCAATACTGAGCAGGGGTAGATCTAGGATTATGGGAGATCTGAGGCAGAGGGAGGAGAGATGTATGCGCAAAGTTCCGGCTTTCTTTTGGTTTTGTTTTTTTATTGCTGATACAGAAAATACATACCAACTTTATCTAGACAAAGGTGTTGTCCTGAAGGATCCACAAACAAACAAGAACTCCATTTCATTCTCTTACATTTGATGTTTTTTATTCTCTTACATTTCATGCTGGCAGGCACCTCTGCTGTCTTTACTGCTCTGTTCTTCACTCCTCTCCTCTAAACTCGTTTTCATCTCTTGTGTTCAGAAGTCTTTTTGCTTCACTGTCCACTACGTTCCTTTCCAGCATTAGTTTGATATCTTCGGTACGACTCTGCTCTAAACTCAGTTTCATCTCTTGTGTTGAATAGTCATGTTTGCTTCACTGCACATGTGCCAGTCAGTGACACATGTGGTCATATTTGATCAATTTTACCTTTACTTTAGGTTTTTACCATGCAGCATTAATGTTGTTGTTATTCATTTTCATTGCATATGCCCACTGTTATTACAACTGACGCTAATGAAAACCATCTATTAAAAACTATAACTTTATTAGTCCGTAACTCGTCACACACCAGGGGCTCTATTTTCGTTCGCGCCGGTGAGGTAGCGGAGGGCGGCGAGCCCCGCGCAGTTGTATTTTCGTCTGGCGGAGCCCGGCGTAAGGCGAGTTTGGTATTTTCGTGGGCTGAGTCGCACGGAGGCGAGCCGAGATCCGCCAAGCTGGGCGTGGTGGCGTGGCAGGGGGAGGTGTTGACAGAATCAGCTGGCGCAGTGACATTTTCGTGCTCGCCACCGGCGTGTAACGTGCGCTGAAAGCTCGCCGATTCAAACCTGGTCAGCTTTCAGCGCAAGGCGGAACGCAGCTGGTCTAGTAGTATTTTGGTAGACCGGCGGCGTATCGACATACGTCACCGATGCCTCACCGGCAGGTTTCCACAGTGTCAGGCAGATTTCAGTGCAATAAATAATCATCAACAACTATTAATCTGAGTCAGCACATACATTTAGATCTATATCGATATATTCTGATCTATATCTGATCTGATGAGCGCGTTTGGCACGCGTTTGGGCACACAACCTGACCGAATCAATACAGCTGAAACCGCATCAAATTAAATTAAATATCTAGTAAATAAACACACATGATGAAGTTAACAAGATATGTAATGTGTCTCCCTCCTTTTCTTTCTTCCTCTTATTTCTCGCACAGCTCGACCTGGACACGTCTCCGTGTCCTCCGTCCATCTTGCTTGCTGCTGCGGCTGAACAGATGATTTGTTTCAGTGCTCAGATGCGTTATCTACTTTAAGCCGACATATGGATATTATAATATTCAGTTTTGTGGGCCAAATTTATTTTATATGCCAACATCTATGAAAGAAAGAGCCAGGCCACGGAGCGCGATGCGTCATTTACGCACAGATGGTTCCGATTTTAATGCCATTTTTGGAGTTTATGTTGTGATCTGTGCGCTAAACCCACCTTTGTCACGTGAGGTTTGAATATATGCAACTTTATGTGAGTGTCTTTTTTGTGGAAAAGGGTGTTTGTCTTACCAGTGGGTCCAACATTACGCACACTAAATCCATCTGTGCTCATATGAGAGAGAGTGGAGGACACTTGTTGAGCAGCTGCCCTCTGTCGCCATCTTGTGGCATAACTGTCTTCAGACATCTCTTGATCTCTTTGACTACTTCATGAAAATAGTAATACGCCTCGCCGGTGGCGGATTTAAAGGCAAGGAGAGGAGCTTATGTGATTGGTGAAAACAGGTCTCGGCTGTGTTAAACTCACTACACGCCCCTCTCCTCCCCGTCTATGACTTATGCTGCCGGGAGGAGCTGAGTAAGGGAGGGGGGATACTTACGCCGGGCTGCGCGGCTCACCAAAATACCAAAATGTGCTTGGGAACGCCTTGCCAGCGCGGCGGATCTGATTGACGCTGCGCTTGCGGCACGTCTCCGGCGAGGCACCAAAATAGAGCCCCAGGTGTTAAAACCCAATACCTACTAAGGCTACAAAGATAATTTTGAGATATTTTGTTATTATGGCTGTAAAATGGTCAGAAAATGCCTAAAGTCTGAGAGCTTTAGTCCCTTTTTCTAACAGTACTTGTACTTCACTTTTCAACACCTGATTAGTGGTTATTCCACATTATATATGGAATTGTCAGCTGTTGAAAAGAAGAAAAAACTAAAACTTGTTTGTTTTTTCATGGCTTTTATGAAAGCAAATTTTGTAATTGCTCATGAAGTTTTGATTTCACATTTGAAAAGTTAACCGTTTAGAATCAGAAACAGTTGTTTTTTCGAGTCTAGGACTCTGGCTGTGCAAATGATGCACAGCTTGCTTCGTCTGAACACACCTCTACTTCAGAAGAAGAATCCTCTAAATCACCCTCCTTTAAATAGCTCTCCTCCTACTCCTCTACTAACCGTTGCAGCCGTTTAATATATTACTGTATATTTACTACTATTTACAAATATTTATTACAATATTTCTAAGAAAAACTGTATTTTGCTTGCTCTGTCTTAACTTTTTCTCCACTCTCCTTTCCTCCCTTGCCCCTGTCAGAGTTGTTGCAGTTTTGGTGGTACCGTTCTAAATTACCGTAATATATACCATATATCATATATTGACAGAAAGCACAGATGCTCAGCTGTCTGTCAGTGTTGGAATTTTTCAGATTGAGCAAACTTTCGAAGAGTTACGGTATTGAGAAGCTGCGTAGGGCGTTACCAATACTTCCTGTGTTTTGCAACGACTACCGTAGTAAATCATATATGTACGCATGCCCACAACTCTCAGCTTTCCCAACACTGTTCAAATTTTTCTGATCGGATAAACCTTAGCGGAGTTACGGTAATAATACTCCGGGCATACAAAACACAGCGCCGGCGCTTTGGCAGTTAGGTAAAGTAATTTTAATGTAAATTCACAGACCTGAAACATCTTGTTCCGACGTTGGCGTTCCTGGTGGGTCGTTGCGCCGCGGAATCATTATGTCCATGATTCACTTCTATGTGTAGCTACGTCCAACTGACAGATCTGGATTTAAACTCGCGGAATCAATACAGGAAACAGAATCAGAGAGGAGGACAAACTTCTCGGCAGAGCAGGCTATAAACGCAGGTTACTGTCCCGCTGCTGCTGCCCCTCTGTTGGACTCCGGTACTGCAGGAAGGCTACACTTCAGACTCTGGTGCGGTCAGGCATAGATAAACGCTAGATGGCTTTCGCACGCTGTAAGCCGTCGTCCGCACATGGCGGCCATTTTGCTACGATACGCTCGCCCAGTCGTAACATTACAGTCTACGGTGCATGTAGCATTTAAATAACCATAGATTGCTTAATTTTAAACCGATTTTTGAACAGTTTGGTTTGTAAGAAACCTCAGAGTTTTAGTTATGTTCCTGCATACTCAAGAATAATTATAACCATGGATTTTCATAAATAAACATTAAGCAGATCTGTAGAGCCAAAGCTATAGGCCTACACACACAAGGCAGTTATTTTAAATCGTTTGTATATAAAACATTTAATCATTCCATGTATGTTATATTAGTAATATTTCTATTATAGGGATAACTATAACAACATATAGCAATAACATATAAATATTTAGTTTCAATATAAATGTTTGCCTCATGTTGCCATTTTAGATGTTTTTAACAAACCCAACAGCGTAGAAATCATGTGCAACTAAGTTATGTTGAATCAAAAGAGCATTTCTGCCTCTCCAACTAATGTAAAATTGCTGGGTCAACTTTGTAGTATGTACTTAGTGTCACTCACAGCGAGCCTGTTAGCCAAGTTACACAGCTGATAAACACAAGCACATCCACAAAGACTGTCACTTAGACTAAATAAATAAAAAATAAGGGCTGTGAAACAAGAAATTAAAATCTCGATTGTAGTCTCAGCCTTGACAGCTCACGCAAAGCGACCCAAAGATAGCCCTTTGGCGCAAACAGCCATAAACAACTGTGCTGCATGATTAAGTCTTTTTTTTTTTCTCAAAGAAAAGCTGCCATCTCAATATGTCCAAGCATCCCGACTCATAGCCATGTTACAAAGGTCTATAATAAACAAAACCATTTGTAAATCTGTCAAATTACCCCGCCCCTGGTACTGAGGTATTACAAACTCATGCTGTTACAGTAGAAAACACATGGGGTAACACCAGGGCACATCAGCAACTATGCAAATGTCAGCTGAATAAAAATAGTAAAATACATTACAGAATAGAAATAAACTCTCATGACTTTGTAGCAGGCTGAATTTTGTGCAGCAGGTGGGCTTTCACTTGATGTAACAAGCACATTAATATTCTGGTCATTTGAGCTCTTACAAGGCATTAACATTCTGTTTTAATAATGGCCAGAAATGTCTTACTTTAATCAGAAGAGTTTCTAATTGCCTGTCAGAGGGCACAGTCAGTCATCAACACTAATTAAAAGAGACCAGACCTTGAAAATAGCACTTACTCAAAGTTTAAAATTTATGCTCTGGTGCAAGGGGTGGTGATGCATAATAACAGGTCATAATCCACGGACCGACACAGGAACAGGACTTTAGTCTGATATTGATTGGCAGACTGATTCAGGATGTACAGAACATATGAGCCGAGTAACATGTACACAAAATGATAAGAATTTGAACAACTTGATCAGAACAATAACACCCTGTTTTTACACAGATGAAGCCGATCAATACCTGAAATGTTTGACTGTGCCAGTTGTGGAAGACCAGACTTGTAGGGACGCACTCCCGGAGTTCGTGTACTGGAGCGTGGGCATGGTCTGTGCAGGTCAAAATAACACGGATAACTGCCTGGTGAGCAAACACAAAACACACTGTTGATCAAAATGTTGTATTTGTCTCGCCTCTACTGTATTGCTTTCATACCACTTCATCACTCTCTTTGTCCTCATCCTTATTATCTGCCTCACAGCGCTTCCATTGTTTTGCATTTCTCATTGACAGCCTCCCTCTGTTTTCTGTCTTTTTTTCATAGAATGATAACGGCAGTGTGATGGTGTGCGATGGCCAGCTGCAGGGGGTTCAATGGATCAAGAACGGCTGCAGAGACCCCAACAACCCCAGTGTCTATACTAAGCTGTGTTTGTACACCAACTGGATCAGACAGGTGATCGGCTCTTCAACCCCTACGACAACTAGAGCAACTCGACGGGTGACCCCATAAGGCAGCACAGACATGTTCAGAAGATACAATTTCTTTTTTATTAAAGCTAAATCCCACTGCCTTTCACGCAAGTAATATACAGCAGGCCAAAATCCGTGTAAAAAAACAACTCATACAAACTGTTGATTTGAAGAACAACTGAATAAAATGTAATATTTTCCAACAATTTTTGTTCAATTTATGGATCTTAATTTAACGTTTTCTTGGCTGATTGTCTTTCATCCTCAATTGCCGCGGATAACTTTTTCCACAGCTGTTTAAAGAATCTGGATTTCTTTGCTGGAAATCATAATTTCACACATGTTGCTGTGTGTGTATGTGTGATGGATACAGTGAATATCTGTGTTTTTTAACATGTTGAAAATTGCAAACTAGTTAACAGATAAATTGCTCAGAAACAGTAGGCATGGAGTGTGAAGTATATGCATTTAATAAAGCACTATATTTGTCTGTGTATCCTTTTGCAGCCTGTTTTGCTGCCATCAGTGTCCAAAGAGATCATATAATGCACTTTGATCATTTGGAATGGAATAATTATCCTTTATTAGAGGTACAGTATGTAAAAATGCAAATATTTAGCGACACCTAGTGGTCAGATTGAAACACTCCCATAAGTGAAGCAACACTGACCCTGGCCTGTGATGCTTGACAATTATGATGAACATGTATGTTAGTAGTTTGTCTGTGCAATAACAGAAAGTCAGGACAGAAGGAGAGCCACCCCTATGTAGATATAAAAGATGCTTTTTTGGTAAACAAAACAAAATACTTTTTATATTCAGGTGATTACATGATACTTCGGAATATTTTGACTACATCTGTTCTGCTACAAGCTGCTAAATACAGCACACAGCATCACCCTTGAATATTTTTGAATATTTAGGTCAAAGACAGAGTGGGCGAAGTCTGGTTTGTTATGACAAATACTGCAGAGGAAATACAGCACATAATATAAATATTAATGTTAGAATGAAAGTCAGAAACTCTCTGTTGGTTTAAGCTTCTCAATAAATTCATAACATGGTAATAACATCTAATAAATGGAGAAAGACAGTTTTGAAGTTTGCTTTAGAGTTCCTCACAGTGCGGATTGTCCTTCATGCACAGCAATAATGTAAAGAACCACTAGATGGGAGTGCAGCATAGTGATTATAAGAGGCACATACTGTGAGAGAGAGAGAGAGAGAGAGATTTGACAGTGTGGACAGGTGACATGAATCTTACATTCTTGAGGAGGTTTTGTGTGAACTCCGGTCTGCACCCTGAGCTCTGTCATGACACCATTAAGTGCACAAAAGAGAAGTTATAGTAATAAACACGCAGATCAAATGTAGCATTACACAATCAGTTCAGAGAAATCGGAGAGCACACTGGCGAGTTAAAAGGCACACACATATAAATTCGGACACACAAAGCACACTCAAACCTAATACACATGTGTGCGCAGACAGACACGTACATGCAAAGTGACTGACAGCTGCGTCCATAATCACCCAGGCAGCTGAACACGGGGGCCACACCACCATCTGTTCTCAGCATTTCTCTCCCGCTCCTCACCCTCTCTTCTCCCACCTCAGCGGGAGACAGAAAGAAAACTGAGGGACCAATTTTGGAAACTGGATGTCACTTCAGAAAGCAGTGTGATATTAATTGGTGTGAATATGAAGAGCTTCTGTGTTTGTTTTTTTTTCCTCTCAATTTGGACAGCTATTGTTTATAATTTGGAGGGCATTGACTGAGACCAATGTGAGTAATAGCTGCAGTGTCAGTAATTTATAGCTGTTGTAACAGATACTTCACTCCTCTCCTCAGGCGGGGAACTCAATACAGCAAGCCTGAAATCCAGGGGGATTCACCCCAAATATTTCAAGGTTTCTGTGCTGAATCCCGAATGATCTGCAGTTGTTATGGTTTTAATTTGGCCACCCAAAAAAGGCTCTGTACCAGGCAGCTTTGTGAGATCTAAAGCTTCTCCCTAATGAACTCCACCTGAACTCTGTGGTAATTGAAAAGGGTTATCTTATGTGCTTCTGCAAACATCGCAGCCCATTTCCTCGTCGTATTTTCTGTTAAAATTTAACCTTTAATTTCCTCAACAAACAAAGTAAGCCAAAGCCTGCTAAAATCACAGTGATGCAGTGCTCTGAGACAACGATGTCTGAGATATAACAGATAACAGAACTGAGGCCGAGCTCAGAAAACCAAGGTTTTAAAACTTTAACCAAGCCAGAAACTGGGTACATAGAAAGTAGATGAGCACAAACTTCACAGATATTCTCCTCACGCATCTCAAACATGCACACAGAACAAGATTTGAAAATACAAGCATATCACTCACTGCAAGAATTCATTAAGATTATCTGCCAGACAACGCAGGATACCAACCGTGTGATCTGATATAATCTTACCTGATCTAATGAGAAAGACCTGCCAACTACAAGAAACAGACCAAAACCTGCTGGAGTGATGATTTTCAGTGAGAAAAAACAAAGTCAGAATACAAACAAGTCTATGAAACATGAGCCACTGATGGTATGTTAGTGTTCATTAGCTGGATGGAGCTAGAGGTTCATCATCAGCTCTGTCTTCTTTCTCCTGTCTTACTGGCTGTTTGTCCTGCTAAGATTTTGGATCCAAAGTAGTAAACAGTGAAATAATCTGAAGCCCTTGATGATACTGAAGGTTTAAGACTGGATCACTCTGCTAACTTGTCAAAGTGGCCCTGAACTCCTGATGCTGGTGGCTCTGTGAGAATATATGTAACTGAGGTACTTAAGTACTTCATTCAAAATGCTTAAGTCAGCACATTAGCACACACATAAAGATCTTTAGCAGCTATTTGGTTTGCAATGAAAGATTAAGATAAGATTTACTGCTGTTTCGAGGCGTCGATAGCCTAGCGGTTTAGACCCGCCCTTTAGACATATGCAGAAAGTCTGGGTTTGAGTCCACCCTGTGGCCCCTTTCATGCATGTCTTTCCCCGCTCTCTCCAGTTTCCTGCTCCAGCTACTGTCTATGAAGGCCAGAAAATAAATCTTTAAAATAAAATTGTTAAAACTTTTTTAAACTGATAATTAAAGCTCCTGTAAGGAACTTGCAGATTTTGGCACCCCTATGGACAGTCTTTGCTAATCTTGTCCTCTACCTGCCTGAGGAGTGTCTCCTGACAAAAATCTAATCCTGGTGACTTTTGACAGTCCAACATATCATCTATTTTTAATCTATTTGTGGATGTTGTTAAACCATGACTGTTTATCCAGCTGCTTGGATGACACCTACCCCCTTGCAGAAGTTTCAGGCATAAAAATCACAATTAAAAAAACAACAATCTTTTTGCAAATGGTGTTGTTTGCTTTCACAGATCATGAACAGGCATCAAAATGAATTTCAGTCTGTTTCATAAATGTAACAAAAACTCCTTGCAGGGGCTTTAAGAGTGGCAAAGTGATACTAATGACAACAATGACTAAATGTGTCACATTTGTTTGATTAACTTGAACCACAGTTAAGCAGGACTGAAACCGGTCTGAAACCGGTTCTAATGACATTATTAGCAACAGTATTGGTGAATTGAAATGTCTGTGTTTGGTTCAGTTTTTAAAAGTGGGAAAAAAACTGAATCAATATTTGGCACTCACACAGGGTGGCTGGATGCTTTGTTCAAAGGTCTGCTGACAAAGTTTGACTGTGAGAAATCAGTAAGTATGTTTCCTGTATTTTTCTGTAGGATGTTATAATTGCACAGTATTTTCTCTTGTGGCTGACACTGAAGCAGGATTAGCTCCTGGAGATGTGCTTTGCAGATTTAGTCATCATTCACAGTATTAGAAAAATCAAGGCAGATGATGCCACAAAAATCAACGTATCACTGAAGTTTTCACCATTAAAGAGTAAGACCTAAAGTGCAAGCATGATTGTTTTTTGGAGCTTGGGAAAACGCAATCTTGCTTCACACACACACACACACACACACAAAAACACTGTCATTATCGTTGTTGTTTTTCTAGAAAGAAATGAAACCTTGTTTTCTTGCCCAGCGGAGGTCAGATGCACCTCCTTAAACTCCCCACTCTGAGGTTAATGGAGCAACACAATCAGAAGTTGTAAAAAGAAGATGACCTTGCTGGTCAGAGAGGTTTTTATGCCCTGGAATAAATTCTAGACTCAAGTCTGACTCCCACTTAGCTATCTCGGTGTCCTTTTCTATGGTTTACACCTCTAACACGACAGATTGTGGTTTACTCTCAAATAGTTGGCCGTGTTATGCTAACACTCATCAATAGTCAACCATCACTCCTTCCCTTCCTGCTTCACTCCCTTCTCCCAATTAACTGTAAATTCTTCCCTAATTTCCCAAACGTCCTCCTGTCTACCTCCTCTATCTTTTGGTTTTCAAAGCTCAGGCACGCATGCACATCCTCAGACGAACACACATATCTTCCCAATTTGCCAGAAACTCCCAGAAACAAACTGATTAATGAGGGGATTAAAAAGGAAGGTGGTCCACAGGAGTAAATCTCTTTTTCCCGGGGTGTGACAGTACTTATCAGCGGTTGGTACAATATCTGGAGTGAACACGTGAGGCAGCTCCCCCCCCTCTCCTTCCTCCTTCTTCCCTCTATAGCGCAGTTTCTCTGGCAAACTGTCACCATCACTCATCGCTGGCTCACATTCCCAACATTCCCCTGTGGCACCTGGCTCATGAGGAGGGAAGAGTGACGGACACGCGCTGAAACGCACAATCGCAAATGGGGGAAAGTTACACTCTGCGCACACTCCTACACATCCCCCTGTTTTCATCCCCAATAACTGACAGTTTTTTTTTCAGAAGCATGTAAATGAATTTGGGGAGATGACATACATTAGCACAATCCCCCATGTGTGTGTGTATGTGTGTGTGTTTCCATTCACTAAGCTAATGGCTCATAGGGACTAGAGAATCCAAGTCAATCATGCCGGATCTCTCCTAGTCATCCCATTGAGACCTGTAGCTCATCAG